TGCGCAGGTATTTGGCCGAGAATGTTGGGCTGAACCGGGTACAGATTTTTCTTGGCAAGAATTTCCTCGAACACCGGCAGCGCTCTTTTCAAGGCGGGTATTTCTCTTCCCTGGGTGAGAACAAGCATTGTCTGGCTGATGGATAACCGAGCCATGGAGCGGACGAGTTCTGTTTCGGCTGGATCGAGGGCCGACTCGATGTGTAGAGCGAGCAGCGCAGTTATCGTGGTTATACTGGCAACGCTCTTGTTAGTCTCTTGAGGGCATTATATGAAGCATGTCCGAGAAGTGAGAAAATGAGAAGAAACGGACGGCACCTACAAAGGCATGGGAAAGTCTTGAAGAGTTCCATTCGCCAAAACTCTCATGGAAATCATGTCCAACTCCAAAATACCGGACCGAAGCCGTTCTTTGGCCCACTCGCTCCAGTCCGCGTGCTGAGACTGCTGCAAACGGTGTCGTATCAGACGACACAAGATGCATTCAAATCTGTAGCTCATGGCTTGTATATCCAGATAGTACACGTCGTTTCCTATATTCCCACCCACGTGCATCTTCGTAGCGAGAGACTTGCGCCATGTATCTAGTGGGTTCATCATGTTCCGAGGATCTTGTTGTGGCTTGTTTATCACAGTGGACAGACACTGCCCGACTAGATGGAATTAGTCATGCTTGCGGTATCAGTGCAGATTGAAAATGAAGAGAAAGAAAGCTAGAAGAAGAGAGGATCGAGGAAAACCAACACGCACATATTCGAGATAGTTCGCAGAGAGCAACAGGCAAGGCTTTTTGCTGAGGGGTGACGGCCGATAACAAGCTGGACGATGCTCCCGAGACATCTTCAGTTTCCCAGTCGTCTTCCGTCCTCGGCTTAATCGCGGACGTGTTTTCGAGTAGTCGTGAGCGTCTAGTATTGACAAAGACATTGAAAATGTCTAAAAACTACGTATCCATAGTAAGCATAGAGTAATAATAAGAGAATACAGCAACGAAAAAGAAATACGCACGTAGAGAGTCCACCAGATCCTCCTGTACAGCTTTATAATCTTACGGGGTTTGTCTTCTCGAATACACCTATCAGAGAGTTAGTAGGCAGTTGGTATATGCGATCAATATCACAGGAGTAATAGTCTTGGAGTAGTAAACGCACGTTTCGCGTAGATCAAGCTTGGTGGCAAGACGAATTGCATTATGGAACCAGTAACTGAAGTCCCGATCGGTGGGGTGATCGAGAATCACCATGCACAAGATGACGGATCCCTGAAGCATCAACAACGGATCATCTTCAGCAGCCAAGTCGTGGAGAAGCTTGGCCTTGGAGAAGAATGACTCTTGCGCAGCCGAACGGCTTTCAAAGCCGCAGGCGGATAGCACGTCTAGCGGCACATGGAGACTGGCTGGCGTCAAAATGACGTGGAGCAAGAATAAAGAGCAGTCGCCAGATTGATAACTCCGAATGAAATCAGCCCTGTTGATCACAGGGGCAAAAGTGCAGACGTGATCAAAGTATGTCTTGACGAGGGCATCTCTGTTGTTATTCCCTGTGAGTAATTGAAGACGAAGACTTAAAGAGGGTAGAGGATGGAGGGGTCTAGATAGTCTTACAAGTGCTGCTGAGAAGGTAGGTCAAAGACACCCTTTTTGGCAAGATATTCATTGTCAATGTCGTCTAGTTGAGGTAGCTTGGTCCATAGGCAGTTCCGAGGGGTGAAGCTCTCTTCTGGCCTTGAACGATAGGGGGTATTGGAAGTAGTGTGATGCTGACTTGACTCGGTAGTTTCTTTCACTGCGTCATTTAGAATATTAAGGTAGAGCAGGTCTGGCTCGGTCTGGGGTGGATTTTGGCAGTCCGAAGGATCGGAAATGGAAGACTGTCTTGACTGTCTTGAGTGATTGGACTGATTATGGCTGTCTAGCTGGCTACTGTGAGACGCAGCCGGGGAGAGTCTGGTCTGGCAATAAATTAGTGGGGATTCAAGGATCGTTGAAGGAGCAGACGAAAAGGGAGGCCAGAGAAGCAGCAGCTGGGAGAGGTCTAAGCATACTTGGACACTGCTAGATACCGGTAAGGCCTGGTGTGTTGCCTTCCTATGAGCCCCATCAACGTTAGCACACATTTGATGAATCAGGAGCCATGGGCCATCCCAGCAGTACATCTCTTACCTAGAGCGTCCCTTACGGACATGAAGTACACAGTCCTTAGCGCACTGCCTGCTGGTGCAGCTGCTACAGGGGAGGCCAATTACAGTGGCATCGCACTTGACCTTGCGTACACGGCAGGGCAGGCATGACTTGTTGGCTTTGGGGGCACGTTTCCCGGTTTCCCTCTGCCCCCTTTGCGGCTCGCGAGCTGAAGTGTTCATTAAAGGGGAAGAGCTGCGTTTGTTGGTGGGGTGGAAATCAGGGCGCAGGTGGCAGCGTGAGGGCGTTTTTGACAGTGATCGTGGCATGGTCATTTCAGCCTGGCTCGGAGTTTGTGAATTCCCGAGTTAGCTAGGTCTGTTGCTGAGGTCACGTGAGTAATACTATTGCGTCCGCATTTGTGCAGCGTTACATACAGGTACTCTTACTTTCCAGAGATCAGTCGATTGTTGTATTTTCGTGCCTGACAATGTCCACTATTCATTCAACCACATGGCTGTCAATACAATGCCTTTATAGATGTTTATAGTAGCGGAGTCTTGACCCACCTCCGCTGCCAAGAAAACTTTTAACAAACTTAAATTTGGCACTACCAGGTAGGTATATGTTATAGATAAGGACCTAGATTTACTATAAAAAGCACTAGTATATTTAAATATAAAAAGAAAAGGCTATAAATAATATAGTTATTAAACTACAGTAAAATATATTATATTAATAATAGGTTATTTATAGTGAGTATGCTACTAGAACGACTAGAGAAGGTATAATCTACTTGAACAGAATTATGGGTCCCAGGTAGATAATTTAATAGGCAGGAATCTACATAAGTGTACCAGGCTCTAGAGTTGGAGATTACTACATGTCCAGTACAAACGCAAAAGCAGCTAAAAGCATCGATAGAAAAGGACTCAGTCAAAATAGACACCGGCAACTTAACCTTGGGAGCTGCCTCTTTGCTATTGCGCTCCTGCTGTTTCTGCTTCAAGCGATCTAATTCTTCTCATTTACTTGTACCGCGAGACGCCGCTGATGCTGCTCTCTCTAATGAATCCTTTCGCTGCTTGGGCTGCTTGCGAAGATGAGAGACCCTTGCAATGGGTGTGCATTAATATTAGTACTCCAATTGTGGAAACTTCCTTGTACACACTTTGTTTCTTTGTGTCCCAAATATAGGTACTTGAATAGATGCCAAAAGCCTACCCTAAAACGGGAACAGCAATGGGTCTTACAAAGTGCGCCCCGATGCGCTGGCAAACAATTCTACGCTAATATCCAGTGAGTGCTGTCCCTCAAGGCAGGAATTGATATAAGCAAAAAGGTCACTACTGCACTTTGCGACATAAGACAAAGAGACATCATATTGGAATTTTGCGACAAGAAGAAAAGCCACCGTACACAACAAAAACAGCGATTGCAACACCAGAGCATCAATTAGCCGAATAAAATAAACCCCGCAATACCAAAAAAGGAAGCAGCGAGGTCCATCAGAGAGGCCCAGTAGAGAGGCCTAGCAGAGAGACCCAGCAGTGAGGCTAGAAGTGAGGCTAATGAGATAAGCTGTGCTTCAAATGGCTTGACACGAAAGGAGTAGAGGCTTTGCTTTGGGATACACGAAGGCAGCGAAACTCCTACGAAAACGCATTCAGAAAACCCCGTACATCCAGGCCTGTCAGAGCAATCAAGATGAAACTAGATCAAAGTCAGCCTCGAATCCGCAATACTAGCAGGCCTTGGGCCTTTAGCTTCGATAGGACAAAGCAGTCATTCTGTGCGGCATGGCGCCCTGGTCTTTGGCCTGAGCTGTTGTAAGTCGATCCTTGGCGTAGAAAGTGGAATGCCAAAACGAAGCTCCGAGTGGACCTCCGAAGTTCCGATTGGATCACTGAAGCTCCGATTGGACAACTAAAGCTCTCGATTAGCGCTAGCAGCAATGCTACATCAGCACATGTTGCGGAGAGGCCCACTGGCCAATCTTTTGAGGGAATACAACAGAAGGATCCTTGACCAGGAAATGTCAGCTTACCCGAAAGTAATGATGAATTCATAGCGTTCTATCATGATCCGATTACAATGTGGCTAGATTGCAAGGGCTTTGGAAAATACAAGCGGACATCTCCACCTTTACATGTAAATAGAAGTTGAATCAGGCTAGTTGGTCAATATAGGATCGTGGCATGCAAGGTATATTATTGATTACCCTACCAAGGTTGGCCGCAATAGAAATGGCTATTTGAGACCAGGGTATACCCTGGCCAGACAGTGTGAGTTATTGTTTGCTGAAATACATCTAGAAAAGAGATAGGTATGTGTACATTGTAGGTTCATACTTTGGTGAAAAGACAAGTAGTGTCATCAAGTACTCTAAAAGTAGATATACAATTGGCTTCATTTTAGAGTCCACTTGTTTGAAAGCGCATATGGGCAGCTGAAGTCATTACATTTCCAGCAGGCCATAGAACAAACATATTGTGACAACACAGTAATAATAAAACTGTCCGGCTGAGCATAGACTGCGCCTTCAATAAGCGTTTCTTTTGCAGCCAGCAACCCTCAGCGTTTCGGATGCATCTTTCAGATTGATTAAACCTCCCGAGACCCTGCGGAGACGCTCCGATAGCGATGTCGCGACTGTGTCAGACTCAAGGTCTGTTATGTGAGATGTTCGTTTGGAATCAGTCGAGATGACAAGGGGAGAGGATCCCATGTTGTAGAGGATTGACATATATAGTAATAACGACTCACGTTTGAAGACGTTTGAAGAAAGACAACCGGTATGGAATGAGTTCCCATGATACATTGATCCATTCTTAGAAACAATTACATTCGCTTTCGTGTATACCAAACAAGCAAACATCATGGCACCTTCCATCGACTCCTTCGACGCCAACAATGGCTTTGGTGACCAAGACTTCTCTAGTCTATCATCTGATATCGCCGTCATTGGTGTCTCTGGACGTTTTCCCGGCGATGCATCTTCCCCACGGAATCTTTGGGATATGGTCGTGGAAGGGAGAAACGCCAGGGAGCCCGTGCCCAAGAGCCGGTTCAACCCAGACGGCTTCTGGCACAAAGACCCGAGCCGGATTGGAACCATTGGCGGTATCAAGCAAGGTCACTTCGTGAAGCAAGATATCCGCCAGTTCGACGCCGGTTTCTTCTCCATTACGCCTGAAGAAGCAAAGGCAATGGACCCACTGCAGCGTATTCTCCTGGAGACGGCTTACGAAGGCCTCGAGAATGGTAAGCAATGCATGCATTGGTTTACTACAGGAGACAGATTGCTAACTATTTTGCAGCCGGTCTGACAATTGACCAAGTCGCCGACCAGCCCATCGGTTGCTTCGTCGGTGGCGGGCAGAGCCACGACTACTGGGATCTTCAAGCCTTGGATCTGGACAGTATCCCAAAATACTCGGCCACAGGCTTGGGAACCTCCATTTTGTCGAACCGTATCTCGTGGTTTTTCAACCTCAGAGGTCCAAGCATGACCATTGACACAGCATGTTCGTCCTCGATGACAGCAATGCATATGGCCTGCCAGAGTATTAGAAGCGGAGAAACCAATTCGGTAAGCCCCCTTTCATCTTCTTTTCCCGCAGTGAACTAACCGTTTTGTCTAGTGCTTGGTTGGAGGCTTCAACTTGCGACTTCTGCCAGTCTTTGACATTTTCGCTACCCCCATGTCTTTCCTCAGCAAAGACGATAAGTGTCATTCATTTGACACTTCGGCCAATGGATACGCCCGTGGCGAAGGCGGTGGCTTCATTGTCTTGAAGCGAATGGACCTGGCTCTCCGTGATGGCGACACCATCCGCGCCGTCGTCCGCGCTACCGGAGCCAACCAAGATGGCCGGACTCTCGGTCTCACACAGCCATCCGCAGTCAGACAAGCGGAACTGATTCGCCAGACGTATGAGTCTGCAGGCCTGCCCTTGCACGAGACCAACTACTTTGAGGCTCACGGCACGGGTACCGCAGCTGGTGACCCAGTTGAATGTTCGGCAATTGGCGCCGCCTTCAGCTCGACACGCGATCGCCCGTTGTACGTGGGATCCGTGAAAAGCAATGTGGGACATCTGGAGAGTTGCAGTGGCATCGTCGGAATGGTCAAGGCCGTCTACAGCCTCGAAAGTGGCTGGATGGCTCCGACCCATGGCCTGAAGAATATCAACCCCAAGATCAAGCTGGCTGAGTGGAAGATTGAGATTCCCACGGTCGCGACTCGCTGGCCTGCTGGGCTCCGCCGTATCAGCATCAACAACTTTGGCTATGGTGGTGCCAATGCTCACGTTGTGATTGACGATGCGTACCACTATTTGAAGAAGCACAACCTGAAGGCCCCGCACAACACCACCGTCGAAGAACTCTCAACCAAGAGCATTGACGGTCCTGCGACGACAACAGAAGGCCCTACCTCGCGTCTCTTCCTTCTCTCTTCTCACGAGGAGAGCGGTATCACTCGCCTCAGCGAAACCCTGCAAAGCTACCTCAGCGAGGTCGACGCGGAGAACGGGTCCGAGGAGCAGAACCGCTTGCTGCACCGCCTGGCCTATACACTCTCAGAGAAGAGATCCAGCCTTCCTTGGAAGACGTTTGCCGCCGCCTCAACCATCGAGCAGCTTCAGCAGGCTCTGGATGGCGCACGATCCCAGGCCACCCGTACCCCGACCAAGGCTCGGCCGCTCACCTTCATCTTCACCGGCCAGGGCGCGCAGTGGTATGGCATGGGCCGCTCTCTGCAAAAGTATCCCGTATTCCAGAAGTCTCTGGAGGAGTCAAACGCTTACCTCAAGTCGTTTGGCTGCACATGGGATCTCCTCGTTGAGCTGAACCGCAGTGCCGAGGAATCCAAGATCGATCTCCCAGACATCAGCCAGGCCGCATGCACGGCGCTGCAGCTCGGTGTCGTCGATCTCCTGGCTAGCTGGGGCATCCGCCCACAGGTCGTGATTGGCCACTCCAGTGGTGAGATTGCGGCCGGTTACTCAAAGGGTGCCTTCGACAAGGCAGCTGGTATGCGCATTGCCTACTACCGAGGTCTCCTCACCAGCCAGCTCAGCAAGAATGGTGCCATGGCTGCCGTCGGCCTGGGTCCGGAAGCGGCCCAGAAGTATATCGACCGTGTCACCGCAGGCAAGGTCGTCGTTGCTTGTATCAACAGTCCGGAAAGCACAACACTGTCCGGAGATGTGGAGGGCGTCGACGAGATTATGCAGTTCCTGCAGGCGGACGATGTCTTTGCCCGCAAGCTTCGCGTGCTGACTGCGTACCACTCCCACCACATGCAGCTCATCGCTAAAGACTACCTGGCCGGAATGGAGCAAGGCGCATGGAAGGCCCAGTCTGGCCACAAGGACGTCACCATGGTCTCGTCGGTCAAGGGCAAGATCATTGACGGCACCGAGCTTGTTCCCTCATACTATGTGGACAACCTGGTCAGTGCCGTCAACTTCTCGGGCGCCGTCACGGTAGCTGCTGAGGCAGGTCTTCTTGGAAACAAGTCACGAAGCATGACGGGCATCAAGGGAAGCCCTTACGCCATGGTCGAGATTGGACCCCATGCGGCTTTGCAGGGACCATTGAAGCAGATTATGACCAGCGTGAGTGACAAGGTTCCCGTCCCTCCTCGCTACTTGTCAGCAATCAAGAGAAAGCAGGATGCTATCCAAACCTCGCTGGAAGTGGCTGGTGAGCTGTTTCTCCTGGGCCACCCGGTCAACATGCGCCTGGCTAATGCATACGATGCTTTCCGTGGCGTTGACCGTGGCGATGTAACGGACAATGGTAAGATTTCATCGCTGGTCCAGCTGCCCACCTACGCATGGAACACGTCCAAGAAGTACTGGAGCGAGTCGGCTGCTATCTCGGCCTACAGAAACAGGAGCCAGCCGCGTCTTGAGCTGCTCGGCGCCCGAGACGAACGATCCACAGAGCTGGAGCCGTCATGGCGCAACCTCCTCCGCACCTCGGAGCAGCCCTGGATCGAGCACCATCAGTTCCAGAGCACCAACATCTACCCCATGGCGGGTATGATTGTCATGGCCATCGAAGGTATGCGCCAGATCCAGACCCGCACCGACATTGAGGGCTTCGAAGTGCGCGACGTCAACATTGGCAAGGCTTTGGTTGTTCCTATCAACCAGACGATTGAGACGAGACTCCAGCTTGCACCGTGGCGCTCGTCACCCATCGCGGACGAAGACTCCTCGTACTGGACCGAGTTCAAGGTGTCCAGCCGTAACGAGAGTGGCACATGGACGGCAAACTGCAACGGTTTGATCAAGGCCATTTACACGCCCAAGCAGGATTCAGCTATTGGAAATGGCGTGTTCGTGGACGAAGAGGCAGCCGCCAACGCTCAGCTCCAGGCGGAGTACAAAGAGATCCGACAAGCAGGTTTCCCCAGCCTGGACCCCGCCGTCTTCTACGACAAGCTCGACAGTGCCGGATTCCATCTGGGCCCGGCCTTCCAAGGAGTCAAGGAGCTGAACCTCCTCAACGACAAGTCCCACTACACCGTCGAGATCGAGGACACAAACCAGTATTACCCTGCCAAGTGGCAGCCCCCCCATCTGATCCACCCATCTGTCTTGGATGTTTTCGTGCATCTCCTGACCTCCAGTGCGTGGTATGGCGAGGACTTTACGGCACGAATGCCCGTGTCCACGGCGTCCATCTTTGTCTCGGCCAAGTTTGATTCGACTCCGGGCACCAAGTACCGTGGCTACTCACGCACTTACAAGCTCGGTGGCGGCGGCGACAAGATGGCCAGTGATGTCTTTGCCTTTAGCGAGAACGGAGACGACAAGCCCATCATTGCGCTCCGTGGCTGCGAGCACGTACCCCTTCGTGGCTCAGGTGCGCAATCCGATGCTTCTGGCGCATCTGCAGCTCTTGGTGGCCATGTTCCCATTGCTCCACGCCTGGCTCTGGATGTGACAATGATTGACGCTGCTCAGACCCAACAGGTTCTGAAAGGCAGTCCCGACCTCGCTACCTCGCTGGGTAAATACGTGACTCTACTCGCCCACAAGTATCCCGCTTTGCATATTCTCGAGGCCAACTCGTCTACGGACAGTCTTCTCACAAAGGCCCTTCTCGGAGCTGGAGGAGAGATCCATAAGCGTGTCAAGTCGGTTGTTCTGTCTGGAGCCGTGGCTCCTGAGGAGCAATCAGGACCTTGGAAACAGTTGATCCATCATCAGCAGCTCAATCTTTCCGAGGATCCTACTGCACAGGGCTTTGAGGAAGCCTCTCGTGATCTTATCGTGCTGGACACTGCTCAGAAGTATGAAGGCGACAGCACTGTTGTCTTGACCAACATCAAGAAGCTTCTGAAGCCATGGGGCGTCTTTTTGGTTGCCAATGGTGCTGGCAGCGCTTCCACCATCCCCAACAATGTCTTGGTGTCTGCAGGCTTCACTGCCCCGACTACTGTTAATGTCTCCGACGCATCGCGCCTTACGATCGCCTCTGTGGCGCAGGAGAGTAACACTGCAGTCCAAAACATTTTGATTGTCATGCCTCAGAGCCTGTCACCCAAGGCAAGCCGAGCAGTGGAACAAGTTGAGCGTGAGCTGCAACGGGCATATAACGTTGCCAAGCTGCCCTTTGACGCCGCCATCCCTGAACAGCTCTCGTCGCACTTGGCTCTCTTTGCATTGGATCTGGATCTTCCTTTCTTGGAGGATCTTGATGAGACCTCCTTTGACAAGCTTCGCTCCTTGATTCTCGGAACCCAGGAGTCGCTGTGGTTGACTTTGGACAGCGCGACCGGGGGCCTCGCAAAGGGTCTTGGTCGTACGATCCGCGGCGAGTACCCTGAAATCCCCTTCACCACCCTCTCACTCGACTCGACAGCCCCGCTTGACGCCGATGTCAATGTGCGTACCATTGCCAAACTCATTGGCAGCAGCAAGCCACTAGATCAGTCTACGGATTCGGAGTATGTCATTCGCAAGGGCCAGGTCCTGGTGGAACGACTTGAGCCGGATGCCGACCTCAAGACGTTGCTCGACGCAGCTCAGTCTGGCGAGAGTCTCCCTACGATCACAATGCCTTTGGAAGACCGCGGTGATGAGACGCTGCGTCTGCTCTTCCGCGAGCCTGGAATGCTCGACTCGTTTGAGTACCACTTCGTGCCCAGCTTGACTGCTGCGGATCCCGTCGCCGAGGGCCAGATGGAGATCGAGGTCCGATCGGTCGGTTTGAACTCCCGCGACGTGATGATGGCCATGGGCCAAGACGAAGACACCAACATTGGCATGGAGTGCGCCGGTATCGTATCCCGAGTGGGCTCCGGCGTCACCAAGTTCCGTGTCGGTGACCGTGTGTTCGGCCTCCACAGCGGCTGCTTCCAAACCCGTTTGCGTGTAGACCCACGCACCTTTGCGCTCACTCCGGAGTCTATTAGCGATGAGGTGGCTGGGTCATTGATGGGCCAGTACCAGACGGCGGTTCAGTCGTTGATCAACGTCGGCCGCCTACAGGATGACGAGTCCGTCCTGATTCACTCTGCAGCCGGTGGTGTTGGTCAGGCAGCCATCATCGTCGCCCAGCATATCGGCTCCAAGAACATCTACTGCACTGTCTCTTCGGACAACAAGAAGAAGTTCTTGATGGCCGAATACGGCATTCCGGAGGCGCACATCTTCAACAGCCGAGATCATTCGTTCGCCGATGGCATTATGCGCCTGACCAACGGAAAGGGCGTGGACGTTGTGCTCAACTCGCTCGCCAACGAGGCTCTGCGACGCACTTGGAACTGTGTGGCACCGTTTGGCCGCTTCATCGAGCTGGGCAAGCGCGATATCCAGGACAACACCGGCCTGGAGATGCGGCCATTCCTCAACAACATCAGCTTCTCGGGTGTCGACATTGGCGCCCTCGTATCGGAGTATCCCGCCAAGTGCGAGAAGCTCGGCGTGCAGGTGCTCGACATGCTGAAGCAGGGTGTCATTAGGCCTCTGAAGAACGTCGCGCAGTTCAGCTTCGGCCAAGTGGAACAGGCGTTCCAACTGATGCAGAGCGGCGACAACACTGGCAAGGTTGTCCTGATCCCACGACCCGACGACGTTGTTCCTGTTATCCCCGGGGGCCTCGGCGCATTCCGACTGTCTTCTAACAGCACCTACGTCCTCGTCGGTGGTCTTGGTGGCATTGGTAGATCTATTGCTAAGATGCTCGCGGACAAGGGCGCCAGGCATTTTGTGTTCCTATCTCGATCCGGCAACACGCGCCCAGAGGCACAGGCTCTGCTCGATGAGCTGAAGGAGCAAGGTGTCTCGTCGACGGTTACTGCGGTCGATGTCGCGGACAAGGCACAGTTGGAGACTGCCTTGAACACAGTCAAGCAGAGCTGTCCCCCGATCAAGGGCATGATTAACTGCGCCATGGATTTGAAAGTAAGTCTCTTATTACATTCTCTGCCCCCTTCTATTCACAATTGTATGTTACTTGATATCTAACCACTCTGCAGGATGGCATCTACAATAACATGACCGCAAAGGACTGGAACTTATCGCTGCGCCCTAAGCTCAAGGCCACACGCAATCTGCACGAGCTGCTGCCGGCTGACCTGGACTTCTTTGTCTGCTTGTCGTCTATTGCAGGCATTATTGGTAACCGTGGCCAGGCCAACTACAACGCTGGTAACAACTACCAGGATTCTCTCATGCACCACCGTGCGGCGTCAGGCCTGGCAGCCACCAGTCTGAACCTCAGTCTGGTTGTCGGCGTCGGTGTCTCTACCGAGCAGGATAACGTTTTCCAGCTCCTCAAGAATGGAGACCTGATCCCCCAGACCGAGACGGACGTGCTGAACCTCGTCGCGGCCGCTGTTTCCGGCCGGGCCCCGACACAGGTTGCCATCGGCACAGCCACCGGCGGTCAGCTCGACAAGTCATCATCCAACGATCCTTACTGGTTTGACGATTCGCGTTTCGCCATCCTCAGCCAGCTGGATCGCCATTCTGGTGGCGACAGCAACGGTCAGGCAGCAAAGGAGGACTGGAAGAAGCTGGTTGCGGCGGCCACATCCAAGGACCAGGCCCACGACCTCGTGCTCGACGCGCTGGTGGCCGGTCTGTCCAATATCCTCAAGGTAGAACAGGACGACATTGATCCCAGAAAGTCACTGCCGACTCTCGGTATCGACAGTCTTGTCGCAATCGAGATCAGGAATTGGCTGCGCAAGGAGTTCCAGGCGGACTTGTCTGTGTTTGACATTGTCAGCAATGATCCTCTGTCGAGCTTTGCGCCCAAGGTCGCAGCCAAGTCAGCCGTTGTCCCGGCTGGCCTTGCTTAAAAAAGTTTTTATATTTAACATTGGGGGTTTTCTTTAGTTTACATTTTTCCTTGTTATTTGTTGATTATTGTTTTGGATTGAGATATAAGGGCATATATAGACTGCAGTTTTAAATCTACATTTACGTTTCACAAATCTTTATTCTTATCTGATTTCGCGTGACGGACAGTCGTAGCCAGATTGCTTGAAATGGTTTCGGAAGATATACAAGTAACTACGTTTTCGTAATGTAGCATATTAAGTGGTAATAGGCATCACCACCTACAAGTGCTATGGTTCGTATAAATACTTGGACCCAACAATTGACTGTCGAAATAGGGGACAGATGCGTTGATCGATTTATGTTGTATCAAATACTATACTAGGCATAGAATATATCTAATATAGACGAATAATCACGCTCGCACCATTCTTTGACTCCAACATATCCAAAGTGCAAAGTTCGCCTTGACCAATTGATGATGAGGAAGAGAGAGCCTAATATAAAATTGCAGGTCAACACCCAAACACGAATTTGCGGGTTTCTTGCTCATCTCTTACTATTTTGGAACTAGTTACTTCATTTCTACTACGCGGCTTCGGAAGACTATTCAATCTTGTCAAAATTTACTGTCCACACTGATGAACGCTAGGCGATGTAATTGATAGCTGAACGTATCTAACATATTTACATAAAAGTAAATAAGCCTTAACGTACATTAAAATCCCGCGTAATTGGACTTCGTAGTTGAATCAATGTGCTTATCCGGACAGGCCAAGATTGGTTTCGCTCAACGCCGCGACCATTGCGTATGAGTTCTCCATCCCGTAAACGTCCACAGCGGAGAGCAGGCCCAGCCACTTCTGGTTCGTGGCGTTGTTACAATAGCTCGCCACGCTGTCAAGGTACAGTTTGAAACCAGCCCATGGATTCCCAGGATTCGCTTGGAGTGCCACATTTACCAAATGTTGCTGAGATATCGGATTCGTTGCATTGGCTGGTTGCTTGCTGAGAGCGAGGGCGTGATTACAGTTGTTTTTGAGGTCGTTGATATACTCGCGCTGCGCTTCCACATCAGCGCGGACGCCGGATCGTGTAAGATGCCCGCCCACAAAGTAGTCAAAATTGTACTCGAGAATCTGGTCGTGCGCTTGAATGAACCCAGGGACGTCTTCCGCCTCACCAAGATATGCAAAAGGCGCCCATCCGGGGAATACGACGTCAACAAGCATCAGAACCTTTTGGCTTGGCCCGTAGATGAAAATGTTTCCGGGCTGATGATTTGTCCCTTTGTATGAAAGCCGGATAGTTTGGTTGCCATAAAGGAGCGAGTATTCGTCCTCAAAGGTAACATCGGGAAGAGGATCATCAGAACTTGGTGTTGCCGAAAGTAGATCTTTGGTTATGCTATGTGCTATGTGGGTCGCATTCTTGAAAAGATACGCGCTGCCGATATGATCTGCGTGAGCATGGCTGTATATGACATGCGTTACGCGCTTGTTGGTGGTGTTACCGATTGCGTATGCGATATTTTGCCCAATGGATGCGGGCGCGTCAACAAGGATAACCCCCTCGGTGGAGACAAAGAAGACGCAGTTATACTGGTTGTCTGTGACCATATAGGCGCCGCCACCGAAAGGTTCGACACGATATCCTGCACCATTTAGAGGAGGTGAATCGGTAGTTACCGGAGCCCAAGTAGGGACAGTGAGAAGATCTCGGCCGTTGGAACCAATAGCGAAGAGAGCGAGAAATATATACTTCATAAGTGCCATATTGGCGCATAAAAGTGTTCGATTAAAGAGTTTCACAAACTTTGTAAAGGAAATATTTGTCAAGATCAGTGAGCTGTTGATGGCGGAAAACTAAACAACTGTTTTGGCGGGTATATTTAGAGACTTATATAGGTATCAAGAAACTCTATGATATTTACTGAAAATAGGAGTAGGGAAAGTTCTATCTCACAAATGAGGAGCTCTTCAACCTATTGGATTGGTGATTTGTCAAGATAGTTATACAGAGCTGTTCGATGTAACATCTTTTGACTAGGTATACCTGGGTTTTACCTTTTTGGGATGCTCAAGGTATTTCCTTTCTAAGCCATAGCTGAAGACATCCTGGACAGCGAGAGATGCTTGCAAGGTTGTCCTTTTACTCACTACCAGCAGGGTTTTTTGTATTGCCGGCAGGCTAATGCTAGTTTATGAATAGTTATTTACTTCCGGAAAACGCCATTTGACAATACCATTCAGATCACCTGTCTGCTCCTACAAATATATCTTGAAGAGAATCTTGATGAAATAGAAGAGAAAGGATTTAACATTACGACCATGGTTAAAAGAGATATTAGACCCTCTTTGCATTGCGTCTGGGGTGATGAGCTACGCAAGTCGATAACTGAGCATACCATTGCATGGAAAACTAACGTATCATCCGCCTTTCCTCTAGCGGACTATCCCATATCTAGAATAAAGAGACAGAACCTAGACTTTGATGAGCAAAGCGACCCTAAGATTTAGCAATGCTCTATAGGATCCTCTCTTCTCTTATCCGCTATATAAACACAACAACACTGCCTCGAGTTAGAGCTTCCGACGACCAACATTTCTGAAGGCAAGTAGGCCTTTTATATCTACATTGTGGCTGTCGTTGCGCAGCGGTAAATCCAGCTTAACATACGTGTTAGATGCTATGCTCGTTAGACAGCAGTGCATGATGCAATGAGCGAGGGTTGACAGACCGCCTCAATGATCACTAAGGAGATACGGTATGTCTAGCCTGTCCAAAACCAGAAACAAGGCTCGCTTATTTTGCTGTATCGTAACTCTTTGCAATTTTGCTTACAACTCATGCTTTTTTCTTGGAAGCTGCAGTTCTGTTACTGCGAAATGATGGGTCATTTTCTCGGCTTAGAGTTGATGTATGCCTGCGACGGGTGAAAGTGATGCTTTAATCTGATTTGTGGCTCAGTTTTCATTCTAGCAGATAGCTTTTAGCGGCGTCGAATCTTTCACTGGCTTAGTTGTAAGAATTAAGGCTCGCATTATGCGTACACGCTAGAGCAGTCCACATGCAATAAATAGCTCCTTCTCAACCCTAGCCTCTCATTCTTTCTCAATGGTTTGCTCGCTATCTCCGTCGCCTGTAGTATTTCTTCATGGTCCGCTTCAAGCGCAACTGATACTGCCAACGCTCTCGCATGAACATCCTCGCAGCCTAGCAGGATGCCATGTCCTGCCGTAAACTGTCATGAAACTCTCTTGAGCCTTTACTATCATCCCACATTGTCTTATATTCGTGCCACTCCTGGGTTCAAACCTCAAGTATACGAACAATCGCGCGTATAATGGTTTAGCAGCTTTACGATAGCCGCTACTGTTCCCACCGTAGCTATGTCAGAAATTCTTAATTATTATAAAGAAAGCCAATTTGCATACAAATTCAACATCCACATCGTATATAAACTGTACATTGCTTACATTATTAGCTACTGGTTCACGTATTTAGCTGAATAGTTCGATTGAGCTAGTGCTAGGCAGGCGAAGAGACCCGTAATGCAATGCACGCAGGTAAGCTATATGACCCATTAGTAATCTACATTTGGGTAAGAAGTGTGAATCGCAGCTTAATATTCTCTACTAAATCCTTGTGAGGGGATCTTCAATTCCATGCGATGCGTCCTCTACTGTAGAGAATTTGGCTATCTTTTAAATCTTCTTCTACTCTGCGCCTGCGGATTCGCCAATGACTCTATCATCAGTATGATCCTCTCATATTGTTTTCGTGGCGTGTAAGATTTTAGTAATAGCCTATATTCTTGGCTAGCTGCGTTTTTATGCTAGAGAGGATTCTCCGTATTGCGGTGTCAGCAGTAACAAATAGAACCATAAATCGATCTTATTTATACACCAGTGTAATGCCAGATTTTCACGGGAAAAGTGCAAAGAGTTTACAACCTTCTCTTCAGAAGCAGCTCTTTTTCAAATACACTTTATTCAGCATAACTGGACTTGGTCCTCTTCTATTACCTGGAAAGGAGAAGTAAAAAGGCGTTAAGCTCCCGCTGCTTGGTACCATGGCTAGCGCAGAAGGTACCACCCGGCCTTGGGCCGACGGACCTTTTGAACTTATTTCGATTGCGTTTCTTGGTTACAAGGTAAGCCAAAGTTAATCGACTACAGTTTCGAGTGGACGCAACGCTCACTCTTATGCCTAGCCCGGAGAGAAGGTCGAACCATACCACGCCATGGCCTTGGAAATGGTTACCGTCTATAACTGCTTGATAAGAGGCATAAACAGCATCTACCTCCAGTGCATCAACGTCGAACGTTCATCGGCTGCCATCCCCGCATTCATCAAATATGCAAGAGGATGGGGCCAAATCCTCCACACGCACCATACGACCGAGGAGAAGTGGATTTTCCCTGAGATTGAGGATATCACTGGTGAAAAGGGTATTATGGATGTCAGCATCGAGCAACATCATGCCTTTGAAGAAGGCGTAAAAGCATACACAGCTTACTTGAAGAATGCGGAAACCGGCGAGGAAAAATACGACGGGACAAAACTGAAGACTATTATTGACGCATTCATGCCTAGCCTTAGACAGCAATTGCAAGATGAGATTTTGACTCTGAAAGGCTTTGAAAAGTATAAGAACAAGACCGATTGGGCCAAATGGACAAAGGATACAATCGCAAAGGTGGTGAAGAAAACGCAGACAGCTGACGGCATGGTAAGTTTACCCTTCATCTTTGACTTGCCCTCATGCTATTTTTTCGTGGCTAGAGGACTGGTTCGTCCTCTGCAATATCTACACAATGGATTTTGACAATGAGATATACGATTCTAGGTTGTGGAGCTGCCCTTTGCGGTTCATAATCATGACGTTGAATATGAGCAAATTGGCAGCTGGCCTCCGGTTCCGTCTATTGTTTTCTTCATTATCAAGTTTTTGTATTTTGGAAAGAACTCTGACTGGTGGCAATTCGCGCCTTGTGACAAAAACGGCAGGGCCAGAGATCTACCTTTTTCTTTATAAAGCTTCTTAGAGTTATTTAGTTCAACCCTCTAAAAAGGATGCACAGCTGGTAGGTAATAATAATAATAATAATAACTATACTTACCGAAATTATAATGGTCTAAACATGTTGAGGGAGTAATCCCTGCGTAAACAGCATATAATCAACTTTAGAAACATCGCTTGAAAAACCGCAGAAAGCAACATCAACAGCAAAATGGAGAGCGATTGTAACAAAACTGTCCTACTTGTCACACCCTAAAGTGGCCTTGGAGTCTCATTTAGCACTGCGGCCCCGTTTTTCGTTAATACCAAAGCATATAATACAAACACTTTTTAATAGAAGGAAAATGCGGAACTCGGGCCCAAGCGATAATACACGTACTCTTTTATCTCGAAATGCTTAGCCTCCTTCAGCCGAAAGAACGGGCTCCAGGGGGCGGTTTGGGCTCGGTTTTTGTCGGAAAATTAACAATGGAGCATGGTGGATTAGACTGACAATACTGAATCTTTTTCCGAAAAGGTGGCCAAAGAGTTTTTTACAATCGGGTCACGGTTGCCCTAGCCTGACAGCTAGCTGTAGTTAGCTAGCATCTAGAGGCCCATTAGCTAAGTATTCAGGACAAAGGAGAAATTCTCCAAATAGCATCTATATGCTGTCTGGGTCAATTTCACGTCAAAAGCCTCATGCGATATCAAAATAGGCATTTGGGAGACAATAAAGGTTATCTCCACGTACATTTGAGTTACTCACGCCTTGTTCTTGCTGAGAATCACACTCTCCAAGGATATCACTGGACATTTGCCATGTAAGGTAGCTGGGTCAATCAGTAGATGAAACGCAATGCTTTACCCGAAAATAGCAACATTCCCATTAAGAACTCAACTATTACCAATGAAGAAATGGCATTTTGACAAGGGTACTCATATCAGCATTGATATTTTGAATTGACTTCTAGAGCCATGTGAAAGAGGTTTTAGAGTAGTGAAACCCCACTTGCCGCGGTGAACTTTTGCTACAAAAGCTTAATCTCAGACCCAACTCGGCTATCGCTGAAACAATAGCGGCCTATCACTTTCTTATTTTAAAGTACAAAAGTGCACTGGTGAAGCCGAGGCATGGGTGGTGCCGCATAGCCACTGTATCTGACGTAACAATTATTGCTTTGGTAGAGAATTCATTCCACGCAACCCATAGACATGTCACTCACGCTATACTTGATAAAAAGCGGCTGAAGCACTTACCTACTAGGTAGTTTTGCCTAAACACAGGGGCACACATCTCGCCCTGGTGTCTATATTCAGCATGGTCTGCACAATCCGTAACATTATTCTTAATCTGAAGAAAGAATGACACCCATCCAGGCAATCCGTGTTTATCATACTTTCCTTTGAGATTCTTTTTTGACAAAATTTAATATACGTGGACCTAGGCTGTATTACATTTATGCTCAAATTTGCATCAGTTGTGATTTGTTGCTTGGCATTCAGCACTAAATTATGCCTGGAAGTCGAGGATCTGAAGCGTTAGCAGTTGTATTAACACTGTACATCACAAGCTTTATAGCCATAGGCCTCCGATTCTACACCCATGGCTTCATTCTCAAGCACTTCTTCGCTGAGGATTATATAACATTAGTTTCCCTGGTATGAGATAATGTTCAAGACGGCATAGATCAAGTCCAGACACTGATATACTTTCGCAGATATTATATACAGCTTACACAATCTGTGCGGCCCTTTCTATCAAATATGGACTAGGCTCACATGTCGTTGATGTGCCGCCTGCTCATCGCCCAAAAGCCATCTTTTATAGATGGGTTCTCACTTTCATATACGTAATTCTTTCCATGTTGACTAAATGGATTGTTGGTATTTTTCTCCTCCGAATCTGTCCACGCAAACCCTGGCGACAAATCACCATTCGAGTCATTTTGGCCGTCATCACTGTATTCAGCGTTATATACGAAGTATTTGCTATTCGAACATGCGATCCAATTGAGTTACAATGGACGAGATATAACCCCATTCCACCGACTGAGGGAAGTTGCAACGCAACAACATTCGCCACAGTCACTACGTACATCTCAACTTTTCTTAACGTTGCCGCTGACTGGATATTGCCTGCATTACCAGCCACTCTTGTATGGAAAGCTCAGATACCACAGCGAGAGAAGATCTCTATCATTGTCTTGCTTGCTTTGGGGTCTGTGTAAGTAGCAGCCACTTCCATATTGTGAGATTATACACACCCTAATTATCTACAGTGCCTCTATCGCTACTATAGTTCGCATTCCTTTCGCAAAAGGCTATCTTGATAACCCAGATTACCTCTATACAACCATTGACCTAGGCATTTGGAGCACGGTTGAGATTGGAGTTGCCTTGACCACTTCATCTCTTGCAACACTCAAACCTCTTTTGAAGCATATGCGCTTTTTCAACTCTATATCTTCATCTGAGAGACTTGGCTCAGACTCTGACGAAAGAATCAGTAACACAACATTTGGAAGGAAGCCGACTATAACCAAAAGAGTGGATGCTTCCTCCCACCCCCGAGGCGAAGGGGAGCTATGGCGCATAGACTCTATGGGTGTGGAATTGGTTAGTCAAGGTGACAACACGTATGCTTCTGGAAGAATTCAGGATTCAGAGATTGAAACAGATTACCAGAAGGGTTTTCAAGATAATTATAAACGTGTGTAACTCGGACTGTACACTGCCCTTTGTCAATAAATTCAGATTTGAAGATGTGGCTTACTGATAGTCGTGTATGGAACAATACTCATTTTGGTACTGTAGAGGAAAAATTAAAACCCAGGGAAGGAAAATGTTGTATCTACTCTTCTATCGTGTTTTTCATCTCCAAGCATACATGAGATAATTCGATCTCAAGTTAACTCGCGCTATTATGTGTTTTTCGGTTTGTCGGGCTGATGCTGTTTCTGAATATGTGGTATCTTTGTCAGTGCCGCAGCTGTAAAAAGCAACCAAGATCTTGGTTCTTTTTAGGTCACTAGCCTTGATGTATATCAACAGTTGTATATGTATCTTCAGCTCATCTAGATAATTGCAAGGAAGTTCGTGGCGCATAGACACTAATTGGAATGAATGAGTAGATTGTAACCACCACATCACAACAAGTTAACATCGATGCTTTCGTCGATCAATGATTCAAGAACTGGTGGCTTTCAAGTCAGTCTAATGCTCGGGTAGATTATCTATGATAGATTAGCTATGACATCTAGATGATGGCAGTCTTTGATAGCTGCTGCCCGGCTAATTTGTACAGCAAGGACCCATCACAATATTATATCTTGGGTCGTATATTGACTTCGAAGCCATTTCTAGCAAGAAAGGAGAAACTTTTTCTCGCTCTGAAAATGTTCTGCGAGTCTCTACCATCTCGGTGAAGGCCATTCCATGAATTCGAAATGCTTCCACTTGCCCCTCCCAGTACTATGAGATAACATTAATCAGCAAGATAATTTTGCATGCGGTAAACTGGGTCAAAAAGCATCTGAGATTCCTTGAGGAATGCAACGAGACTTACTGCCTCTGTAGCCATACAAAGTACCAAAGCCATGGAAGCATCTGTTGGGTAGCTTCTCATATCGATTACGGCTCTGATCTTCTCTAAGCATAAGAGAAGGTAGCGTATCATGAGTTTGTGATACTTTTCTGTTTCCTGGGTATTGTTCGAGATGAGACTGTATCTTCGTGCTGATACGTACATCATGGAAGTAAACAAGCCTATATCTGTCATGGCAACGGGAACGAAAACTGATCTCATACTTACTTGAAACGAGCGCTGGGATTCTTCGGTAATACATTCGGTCCAGCCGTTCGGTATGACCCATTCTAAGACTATAGAACATGTTAGGATGTCACGGAAAGAGGATTTGGTAGCAACGCGTACAGAAGTCAAAGAGGAATAGTTCAGTCTCGGAAAGAGGCCACGGAAAGCAAGTACTACAGGCTTTTCTGCCGCCATCGCTGATACGGGCGTGCAACTGTTGCTTGACACTGATACTACCCGCTTGATACAGGGCTAGCCTCTCAGTAAGTGCTCGCCGCCGGCGAGCATGGGATTCCTTGGAAACATGCGATCTGATCTGGCTTAGCGCATTTGAACTGTTCAATTGCTGTGGCAGAGTAGCGGTGATGAAGTGCAATGTCGGCTGTTGCACATCAACGGGGCGAAGGAACTTCGCGTTCTGTCTTTCTTGTTCCGGCAGTTGCTCAGATACTCCTCCAGTACATGTTGTGGTCCTCATTTCTAATGACGTCTCTGTTGTTCTCTCCATATTCCGCAGTAGGCAATGTTACAGCGTCGGTGATTTGCAATAATGTGGAGTATGATGCATGGTTTCAATAGTTCTATACTGGAGAAGTTCAGTATTCAGTAGGCAATGCTTTTCGGGCTCATAGAGCACGTGAGTCGGAGTAAGCCACAACATACATACATACACGTCCCATGTTCTCAGCGCCAGGCATAAGCAGCTCCAAATTCCAAATGTGGAATGGTCATAACATCGAAACATCGCAAATCCACCCCAGGGCGAGTAAGCAGCTCCACTTCCCTAATTGGGCAATCATGCCTTTAGCTACTCTGGCTTCCAAGTCCTCACTCATGATATATAGTAAATATAACTTGGACAGCTTTCCGCTAGACTTCCAACAATCCATATGAGAACTATGATACTAATTGAAACGGAAAGATTTTGAGAAAGTGCTGTTCATTACTTCATCATGTCATCAAACACTCAACGAAAAACAGTACTTATTACAGGGTATGGCGTCGGTGATGTAGAAGCTCGTCAACCAATATTAACATAACACGTTTTCTAGATGCTCAAGCGGAATTGGCGAATCGTTGGCGAGGGAATTCCAAAATAGAGGTGAGTTCTTAACTCATCAAATACACTCATTGTTCGATACGCAAAATGCTTACATACAACTGTCCCTTCTCTGTCTTCAGATTATAACGTCATTGCTACGGCTCGCAGACTAGAAAGCATATCTCACCTTCGAGAGGCAGGGATGACTACTCTCTCTCTTGATGTAACCAAACCAGAGAGTGTCAAGGCAGTTGAGATGGAAGTTGGGAGAATCACTGAAGGCAAGCTGGACGTTTTGGTCAATAATGCGTGAGTGTAATTAGACTTGGTTGATGTCACTACTACTGATTGAACTTGGGCATCACTAATGCGCACATAGTGGAATTCTTACACGCGGCGCATTAGCCGATGTCTCACCAGAGCATATCTACTCTATTTTCAACACAAATGTCTTCGGAATCATGGCTGTTGTATCTGCTCTCTTGCCGCTACTCATCGCCGCCAAAGGCACAATTGTCAATATTTCATCAGCGTCATCTGTGACACCGTTTCCCTTCAAAGGCCCCTATGCAATGACCAAGGCAGCGCTAAACTCGTATGGCCGTACTCTCGCCATCGAGCTTTCGCCATTCGACGTGCATGTCTTGACATGCCCTACTGGCTATATACAGAGCAAACTGGAAGCCAATGGAACCGACCAAGTACCGGAAAAAAGCCTGTATAAAGCCATGGCTGGAAAAATGGAATTGGGATTGCCAGATACGCAGATGGAAGGTACAGAATATGCAAAGCTGGTGGTAAACGAAGTGCAGAAAGGACGCGGCTGGGGTTTCGGTCCTTGGAGATTTGGGGCAATGAGAGAGTGGCTATGGGTAGGAACAGGAGCATCCAAGGGCTATTGGGCAAGCATGATGGGGGAAGCATTTTTGCAGCGGGGATACAAAGGAATGATCAACTGGGATGAAGTTGCAAGAATTCTAAGAAAAGAGAAGGATCTATAGTAAAGTGCTATGAGATTGGCAACTTGCACGAAGGGGCAAAAATGTATAATTAGACTAGATCTCTATTTTGCATGCCATTGAACTTGTATTTGTGCATGCTCTCTCCGCGATTGCTTGTTCGGCCAGCCTGATCCAGCGCGTTGCTCGCAAACCCCAGCGGGCTAGGTCGCGCAAGTTGCTTAGTTGAAACCCAGCGTTTGCTTCCATCCTGTCGCTCAAATGCATGTGAAAAGTGTATAAAGTCGGTGCATTGTGCTTTCTATTATTTAATTAAAAAAAAAAAAAAAATCTGTTGTAGGTATTGTAGGCACCGGAAAACAGAAGATAGGGCATGCAGTAATTGGTGTCGTGCATCCGCCGCTCGTTCCAGTATTCTATGCGTCCAAAGCTTGACTTTTGCACATCCTCCAATAAACGCCCTTCCGTTCAAGTAATTCAGAATGGCTTCCCTTTTCTAGTATCTTGCCGTCCCCAAAGACGAAAATCACATCTGCATTTCTCACAGTAGAAAGCTTGTGCGCTACAACAACCATTGTTCTACCTTTTGAAGCGTGCTCAAGAGCTTCTTGTACGAGCTTCTCGTTCTCAGGATCTAGGGAGCTGGTTGCTTCGTCCAGCAATAAAATTTTAGGGCTTCGGATAAGCGCGCGGGCGATAGAGATTCGCTGCTTTTGGCCACCAGAGAGTGATACCCCACGGGATCCAACAGGAGTACTGAATCCCTCGGGCAAAGACACAATAAAATCGTGAATCGATGCATCGCGGCAAGCTTGATGAAGTTGTTCATCAGATACTGTAGATGGGTCTACACCTAGAAGAATATTTTCTTTGATGGAACCTAAAATTTGCACTGTCAGGCTCGAATATTCACGGACTGTTAATGACTACTAACCATGAAACAGCGAAGACTCTTGAGAAACTAATGATAGCTGCCGGCGATATGCCTTGACGCTAAGTTCGGCAATGTCTTTTCCGTTGTATAATATTTTGCCTTCTGCAGGATCGTAGAATCTATAATTGAATTAGTTTTGTTGGCGAAAGTACAATTAGCAGCTTACCTTTCTAAGAGTGATATAATGCTTGTCTTCCCGCAGCCAGAGGCTCCAACTAAAGCAGCGAATTGCCCCTTCTCAATCGTCAGGTTCAGTCCTTCAAAGACGGGCACGTCTCGAGTAGGATATTTGAAGTGAATGTTTCGAAGTTCAATTTTGACACCCCCGTCGGATCCCGGAATTTCTTCATTCACCCCAACCTTGTCCTGAAAACGAGACTCTCGCATGTCTAGAATTCTATTCGAGGCAGTTGTGACTTGAGCTGCGCTCGGCCCATAACTCAAACTTTGTCCGGCAGCTTCTCCCGCGTTCAAGGCGACCATGAAAGACACGAAGAATTTGAGTACCGTAAGCTCTCCGTTGGCAAGCAAACGGCCTCCGTAATACAAAAGCAGAGCTTGGCAGGGTATAGTTGCGCTATCAGATAGGCCAACGAGGAATGTTGCCCATCGGGCTTTTTTAAACGCTGCAGCCACATGGTTTCGGCAAAGAGTCTCAAATCGTTTACATATAGTCTCTTCCAAGGTAAAGGCGCTCACAGTCCTAAAAGCAGCAATTGACTCCGAAGCAAATTTAGAGCTTTCGGCAAAAACCTCATTGTTCATTCTCTCAAATTGTAGTTCGTATTTGAATCGGAAAAATGATGCCACGATGCTGATTGGGAGGACGACACAACATGCAACCACGGCCAGTTTCCACCCAAAAGCAAATGCTATTGATACAGAGCCAACGATGCTGAAGACGGCAATATAGACGCTCGCCATACTGGCACCTAAAAGCTCATCCAGCCGCTGTGGGTCAGACGCTACACGAGCGACAATAGCGCCTTGAGAATGCTCTTCTTGGTCGAAAAATGCCATCCTCTGCCAGAGAGTGGACTCAAAATATTCTTTCTGATACTTTGAGCGGATAATGAGTCCGTTGCGTAATGAGGTTGATAATGATCCGAAATAAGAAATGCCAGCTCCTGCAGCAAGCACTCCAAACATGCCGCTCCAAAATTCGCTCTCTGATCTTAGCTTGGATCCTGTGTATTTGGAAACATCAATAACGTGAGCAAAAAGAAGTGCCTGTACTGGCCCCGTTGCCCCTGCAGAAGCTGTGAAAATGAAAATGAGAATCATGAGATAGTGGCTATCTTTGGACTCATACAGCAGCCGCCCGAAGCTTTTCCAAAAGCTTCGAGAATGTTGCTGGATAGAATGACTTGAGACATCCTCAACGGTCAACTCCGTTTTGTCTTTTGGGGGTAGACTGGACATCTGGATATCCTCTTCCAAATCTCTTTCCATACTGGCCTCTTTCGTTTCATCCCCAAGGGATATGTTTTGAGCATGTACAAGATTAGAGTAGGTGCCATCAGGTATGGCCAAAAGACTCTCATGAGTCCCAGATTCAACCACTCTGCCTTGTCGTAGAACGACTATACGGTCGGCTTTTTGTACTGTTGATAACCGATGCGCGATAGTAATAGTCGTGCGCGACTGAGCAGCTCGATCCAGAGCCGCCTGGACAATTCTCTCGCCCCGCACGTCTATTGCGCTTGTTGCTTCATCAAAAATGAGGATGTTAGGCTGACGAACAATCGCCCGAGCGATAGCAATTCGTTGCCGCTGTCCACCAGATAACTTTGTACCTCCATCACCGACAGGCGTTTCATAGCCCTATCAAAAGTTTAGTCAGAATGACCTTCATAACAAATTAATCTCCGGAAGCAGAGACTTACCATTGGAAGCTTATTAATAAACTCATCTGCAAATGCCTCTTTACACGCCTGTATAACCAATTCTCTCTTTTGCTCCTCAGAACTGCTTTCCCATTGCGTTCCAATAAGGCCATTAGCAACATTTGTGTAAATTGTCCCATTGAAGAGGAAGGGCTCTTGTTGAACCAAGCCAATCTGAGATCTCCACCACTTCAAGTCTACTTCATCCAGGGAGCGGTCTCCAATAGAGACGGTTCCGCTCGGTTTTATTGCACCCCCATGTTCTTCGGGCATTGAGGTAGTGGATTCGCTGAGAGAATACCATTGCTCTATAAGTCCAACGATAGTGCTTTTCCCAGATCCAGATGGTCCAACAATAGCGGTTGTCTTTCCAGCCTCAATTCGTAAGTCTAGGCCGTCTAAAATTTTAATATGCGGTCGACCTGGATAAGCAAATGTGACTTGCTTGAGAGTAATATCTTCCTTGGGATTGACTTCTGGACTTTTAAGTTGACCTTGGTTTGGCTGAGGGGCATCAATAACGTTGAGAAATTGGCGAGCCGCAGCACTTTCTTGAGTTAGCCGTTATTACTGTCGCAGACATGGGTGATGGTCGAACCTAGCTTTGCTAAGAGCTAATAAAGGCGTAGCCACTCGCTCCAATGAAAAGACAATCATGGTCATCGAAAGCAAAACACTGACCATCGTTGGGTTAGTGGAATTCAAAGTTATCATAGGTGCTCCGTCCTTACACTGTTATTGTTCCAAAGTTGTCGAGGTGACCTTCAAGATAGAGTTTCGTACCAAACCAAAACGCAAGACCAAAGCAACCAAAAACGGCAAAAAACTGCCACATATTAGCATTTGGAAATATTGTAGAGGTGATGGGCATTTACCGTTAATGCAAATTGAAGAGCGATAAGTGGTGTCATTTTGTTACCATGTCTTCTCATCTCGTTTACAAAAAAGGCATATTTTTGAGCAATGCGATTCTCAGCACCGCAGGCCGCAATCATTCGCACGCCAGCCAGAGCATCACTTGCAATTGAAGAAGCGTTTGCGTCCGCCTAGGAACAAAAGAGTCAGTTCAATATGATAGACGGCCAAGTTTATTACAAACTGATTGTGCACCTACTTGAACCATTTGCCCACTTGCTTTCGCGGTAAAAGGCATCAAGATGGACACTGTTAGAATGATAAATGCAACCACTGAAATGACGACGAAAGATAATTTCCAATTGGCATGGAAGGCCACTACAAGCGCGGCAATTATAGTGGCATTGTATTCGAAAAAGACTCCGAGCTTCTCGGAAATTCCTAGCTGCAGTGTATTACTTGTCGATGTAATAGTGTTTATGGCATAGCCAGGAGACATTGAGTCAAGTGCATGAACACTCTGCCCGAAGAGCTTTTGCAGATAGTGGAGTCGAATAGCAGACGACAGTCGAATGCCCGCCATACGAAACGTGAACTGCTCTCATTCGTTAGACTATCTAATAGATCAAACCCGCCAATTGGAAATGGAACTTACTTTATTGGCATAGTTGAGTACGAGACGAGCAATGAAGAGAAAGAACATGTACAACCTTCATTTACTTAGTAACTCTCAAACAACAAGGGCGTTATGGAGATTTCACGTAGAAGGCTTACGATAATTTGTCTATTTGATGTTTTAACCTACTGGCATCGCCATCGCTAGATGACTGAGAAAAGCCGCTTAGGTTACCGACAAAGCTTCCTGAATAGTCCCGTCTGTTAGTTCATCATAACCTCAATGACAAGAAATAACATATGAGAGTCTTACCGAAAACAACATTCATCAATGGCAAAGTAACTCCCGTCGCGATGGACGCAATAACACCCACAGTGTAGGCCAAAATGTCAATTTTGGTTGCATAGCTAAAGACGCGCTAAACACTGTTAGACAGGGCTTTATGGAGGTGGAAAGAGGGCAACAAACAAAATAATCTTTCAATTGGGGCTTCTGCTCTGCCTGTCCTTGTGAGCCATCTTGAATTGGCTGATTGCCAATAGGATCTGCAGTGACTGAAGGCGACACTGTACTGCTAGTAAGCGATGTTTGGCCTTCTTGCTGCTGTCCCGTTGACTTTTCATCCATTCTGCTCAATAATTGCGCATCATAGAGCGACTTCCCAGTTGGGTAACAAGGTATGAATCGTACAAAACCACCCAGACTTGTGTATAGCAGCAGAAGCGCAGCATCAAGTAGCCTATTCCAGGTACGGGCACCTTTCGCGAGAAAGTCGGTACCGAGAAGCTCTGCAGTACCCGGTGTAAGTGCCACAAATGGTACCTGACTCCACATGCATCGTTGCATTTCCAGTTTCCAGCCAAGCTCTTCGGGGCGATTATGCACTCACGGTGCGGCATCACTGACCGGGTCTCGTCCCGTGCCGATTGCCACTGGACGCTGACTCGTATTCGACTCGTCATACCACTAGTACTACTGAGGTAACTGGCAATGCTGATCTGCATATCAACTTTTTGGATTACTCTATACTTTGTACACAAATGAACTCTGTGCGACCATGCCGGGCTGGATATATTAAAGAATAGAGCCAGTAATTCGAAACCCCTGACCAATTGAGCTCGTATTCTTACCCATTTATGCTCTATCAAGCGTAGCGTTCCTATTCATGAGCTGATACTTCCACACAGTGCACTCGTCTAATACATATTGATCTTCACCCGCAGCCACAGAGCCCACACCGCACATGTATGGATTACTCCATTCCCAGCTAATAGGCGAAGCTCCACGATCAGCGACACTAACATCTTATCTCCTGTTTGGTGGCATCCCGTAATTGTAATAAGTGATATATATGTAAGATAGGATTAGAAATATTAATGGCTGTGGTACGTCAAGTATTGAGCTATGGATTTTTGCTCTGTCCAGTGTGTATCCAAGGCTGGAGCGAGGGAGACCATCACTGGAACCTTGTCCCTGTAAACCATGCTGCAGCAACTTATTTTTCCAGCAGCCATTTTGAACACACCATGACTTAAAAGTGAATACTGTTTCACAGAACATTTCTATAATTTGATCAAATAGCATTCTCGTTCTTACTGCATAAGGTCTTTCAGGGGCTCTAGAAGCCCCAATTTTAAGGTGTTCTCACTCCGCTCCAGCACCATGGGAACCAAGTCTCTTGTTTGGTCATAGTGTATGCTACCATATCTCAGATAGGATGCAAACGTTCCCTCTCCGTGATCAGCGTCTTTAAACTCCTCTTGATCCCAGAGCTCTGCCAAGCACACTAACTTGGGATTTTTAGGCCCGCGGCTCACCTTGATGGCGGATTGATTCGCAAATGCATCGCGCACATAGGCATTCGCTTTCTGCCATACTTCGTCTTGAGGGTCGTCAAGGCGCGTCCTCAAGAGACTGTTCTGCTCGTTCCCAGACCATTGTGTGAGCGGTTGTAGGGCGAATAACTCTTGCATCGCAGGCGCAAGGAAAATCTTGGTTGCAAAGTACTCTGCGCCATCAAATCCATCATTAGGGTCACTTAGACCCCTCAGTCTCTCAAGGCAGAGGAAGTGGGCGAGATAGTCAAGCATGACATCTACTGCAGTAATCATCTCTGGATCTTCAATCACCCTGTCAGATGGTGTCTCTATGGCCTTGATGTGAGCTAGCAAGGGATGCTTATGGAATCCGGTTGCATTCGTCGTACTCGGACCCCAGAGGCTGAGATAGATGTCATGCCATCTTTTAATGAACGGATTTCCAGATTGGCAAACCAGAAATCCGTTAAGCATTGTGTAATACTTTTCCCGGAACTCAACGGCAAAACCACCTAGCTCACAGGGTGAAGCCGGATCGATAATGCGATTCCACCATATATCGTCCAGATGTCGAAACAGAAGTGTGCCGACATCCATCCATGCGCCGCCATACTTCCACAGGAGAGGTAAACGGACCAGGTCCCCTTGGTGAGGCCCCACGAATAGTCCATCCATGGTTCCGTTATTAAAAGCTTCTGGGAAAAATGATGGTTCGACAAAGTGCTTGACGTGTGTTTCTGATTCAGGAACGGCGTCCAGAACGTGTACTGTCCAATCTGGGCCAAGCTTTCGAACCCAATTGATTACGTTTCGCTGTGCCCATGGATGCATAGCCTTCCATCCCTTATTCCAAAATGTCCATACATTTTTTTGAGACGTAACGGCGTGTCTTTTTTGCAACCATGATGCTATTTCTTGGTCGGAACGCTGGTCAAGTTTTTCCGAGGCTATCAATCTGACACCTTGGGGCAACTCAAGCTGTGCCATATACTCCTCTGCTGTTGAGGAGTCAGTATCATTATTTGCCCCAGCATGCATCCTGGCGCCGAGTAACAAAAACAGGTATAGAATTGTCTAAAAGCGTGAATTTTGAATTATGAATGAAATTGGGAGACAAAAGCTAGAGAGGAAGTGGACTTGAAGAGGCATGCCAACACCATCACTCTCGGGCGTCTTAGCCTACAATTTTAAGCATGATCAAGATTTTGTCACATGTATCGGAATACAACTTGGTAACGTTTCTTTGGCTGTGGATCTTGTAATGTGTGCACTACTGCATCATCCTTGAAGCTAGCTGCGTCGAATACGACCGAGCTTCTCCAACGCGGGGGTAAGCCTGGAATATTGAAACCGCTTATTGCCCTGTATGTCTCTATACTGTATACCTATTCCCTCGAAAGGTTAGGCGGTAGGCCCTGCCTATTTTCTACATGTAACTATAGCAAGCTACCTAGCTGTTCCTAGTAGTAGATACTCGTACATCTAGATAGCGATGGGGCAATTTTGAGAGCAACAATACTCACTGGTGGATACGGTTTTATTTACTCCGTAGTAAGGTACTTAAGGTACTATATCTTACTCTAGCATTATGCAATCCAAAAGCGCTTACTTTAGCACCTGCAGCTGCAAGGGGTGTTGCTCTGATGTCCTTGACGGATTATTTTTTTCTCCTTACTCGTAGATGAGTAGTGGTGAGCGTCAGGGATATCTTCCTAGCTAAAGAATCGGCCATAACGTATGAGGAGATGGTGTTTACAGTGCCGCCTGGGCCACACTACGAATTAGTCTAAATCCTTCGAGGAAGATCCAAGTAGCAGTTCCTACCCATCCATGAGCAACACGATGTAGCCCAGTATTTGTAACTGTCGTAAACTATAGGTATCAGCATACGGGGCATGGAACGCATGGAACCAGTTCTACGTAGTGACTCCCAACGACTGAAGTGTAAGAGAGATGTTTGCGCATACCTACCCTACCTACAAGTGCTAGTAGTATTTCGTCCTAAAAAGTAGTGAGTACAGCCATTTTTTGGGTACATATTATACATTGGGCAACCAAATCTTGGCCCCGGCAAAGTATTCCGTCACACCCTTGTGCTCTACTAATTCGTGCGAGCTAATATCGAGTACAGTAGGCCGTCTATTTTTTCTCGCACGGAGTATCTGTGTAAACGTCAAAGCGAGATACCCGGTCAGCAAAATGTAATCATCACGCATTGCTTACATGCGATGAACACGGATTGGATGTTGTGATATAGTATTTCAATAGTAGCGGTATATTACATATTAACCTTTTAGGGGTTGGGTTCTACCAATATGCCATGTTCCCCCATTTCTTAGGCTGATCCTAAAAGAATCCGAAAGGAGCTCCCTGCTTGATCCGAACAAGGATGCAAAGAACGCAACGTGCCAAAGATCGATAGTCTTAGGATTGCCGGCCAGTGGGCAAGATTAACTAATATGGTAGTTACCCGAAGTTAGTGGCGGCCAATATGTCATACACATGGTGTCCTGCCAATTTTCGTGGAAAATGTATATGATCTATTAGTTAGTCGAATTGCCAGAGGGAAGCAGGAGCAATTTGCAGCGAATAATCAGATTGCCTTTTCAATTTGTCTCAGTTCACTTGACAAAACATATTCGTCACTTGGCTTTCATACCACAAAGCCCTACACCTCTTATCATATCATGGCGAGCAATGAAGATTTACAGAAAATCTGGGAGTGGAACGCCATTGTTCCAAGATCAATACCGATATGCATACACGATATTATTTCGAAAGTAGCTCGAGAGCAGCCGGATGAGCCAGCCGTTTGTGCTTGGGACGGCGAGTTGACGTATAGGGAGTTGGATGAGCTCTCAACGGCCCTGGCATGCCAGCTGAACGCCCTCAGCCTTGGGCAGGGGATTGTTCCTCTCTGCTTTGAGAAATCAGTATGGATGCCTGTGGCCATGCTTGCCGTTTTTAAGGCTGGAGCCGCATGCGTTGCACTTGATGTGACCCTACCAGAGGAGCGGCTCCGAGGCATTGTAAAGCAAGTGCAGCCAAAAGTCATTCTTTCATCATTCCCAAACAGGGTTAAAGCCTCCCGAGTAGCTGGAGATGACATCCCGCTTCAAGTGGTCGATAAATCCAGCATTCTCAATGGGGATCTCACACAAATGGGTTCTGGAACGGACCATAAGCCAATACTGCCGCCCGTAAATCCTTCGGATCTACTTTATCTAGTATTTACGTCAGGAAGTACGGGCGTGCCCAAAGGAGCAAAACTAAGCCACGGAAACCTCGCCAGTGCTTTACACTACCAGAGCGAAAAGTTGTGCTTCAGTCCAACGAGCCGGGTACTAGATTTCGCCTCTTATGCCTTTGACATAGCTTGGTTCAACTTCATCTTCACACTATGCTGTGGAGGCTGCCTATGTATAGGGTCACATGAGGAGATGCGCAATGACCCAGCGGCTTGTATACAACGATATAGAGTCAATTTTGCCCATCTTACGCCTTCTCTCACACACATCGTTTCCTCGGAAGCTTTATCTCAGCTAGACATTCTAGTAACTAGCGGAGAGGTCCTGACCGCCTCTCATGCGGAGAAGATTTCACTGCCGAAGAAAATCATTAATGCTTACGGTCCTGCAGAGTGCACTCCGCATGCTACTGCTTCGGTCATTCAGAAAGACCAAATGCTGCATCCGCCAATTGGCAGGGGCCATGGTGCATGCACTTGGGTGGTAGACTTGACTGATGAGAGTCGTCTGGTGCCTATAGGAGAAGAGGGCGAGCTGTGGCTTGAAGGCCCGCTCGTAGGGGAAGGATATCTCAACGATGAAGAGAAGACTTCATCTGTCTTCGTGATTGATCCGTCATGGCTTTTGAGCGGTGTGCCGTCAAAGGCCGGCCGTCATGGCCGTCTGTATAAGACTGGTGATATTGTGCGCCAGAATGAAGACGGTACATTCATGTTCATCCGCAGAAAAGATGCCCAAGTGAAGATTAACGGCCAACGGGTAGAGCTTGGTGAAGTGGAATACCATGTCAGACGTTTACTACACGGAAGTTGTCAGCTGGTGGCCGAAGTGATAAAACCACAAAATTCCAGCAGTGCAATTCTTGCCATATTTATCTGCATCGATGAATTTGAAAGCAAAGATAAAGACGCTCTAAAGGCATCTGTGGCGACTCTAACGCAGGGAGTTGACGGACTCCTTGCTCAAGTGGTGCCATCATACATGATACCCTCCGCATACATTCCCATAAAAGATATCCCGATGACAGCAACAGGGAAAACAGATCGGAAAGTCTTGCATGAAATCGGCAGCAGTTTCACGACTGTTGAGCTGGCAGCGCTTCATCCCACACGACAGACCGAATTTCAGGCGCCTAGAACCGAGGCTGAAGAAAAGATGCAAAGTTGGTGGGCCACAGTGCTAGGAATCGAGGCCTCAGCAATCAGCCTCGATGATAATTTCCTTCACATCGGTGGTGACTCTATCCAAGCCATGAAGCTTGTCGGAATTACACGCCAGGAGGGGTTGGTTCTAACAGTGGCCGACATATTTAAACAGCCTCGTCTATTTGACCTTGCTCGGCTGATGAACAACTTCGATCACGAAGCTAAGCCGGCCAATGAACCAGTAGCCCCCTTTTCCCTCCTTGGAAATGGAGTAAACTTGCATGATGCCCGGCAGCAAGTCGCGTCCCTGTGTGGCCTTGATGCTGCTCAAATTCAAGACATCGTACCCTGCACCCCATTACAAGAAGGGCTACTTGCCATGACAGTGAAGCGGCCAGGCGATTATACATCGGAAAGGAACTTTACACTTCGGCCTGGATTAGACATAGACAGGTTCAAAAAGGCTTGCGAAGATGCTGTCGCCATTCTGCCCATCCTGCGGATGCGAATCTTTGACTTGCCTGGTATTGGGCTTGTACAGGCGATTCTATATGAGACTATCTCATGGGAATCAACTGATAATAAGGATTATAATGTACCAAGTACATCCATGGCGCTTGGCGATAAGTTGACTCGATTTTATTTGAGTATTGATCGCGGCCTTGGAACTGTTTTTAAGTGGAAGATGCATCATGCACTCTATGATGGATGGTCGGTACCTCTGATGTTGGATGCCATTGAAAAAGCATACCAAGGAGAAAAGGTCGAGACAGTGCCGTTTCAGAGATTTATCCACTACATTCAAAACATAGACAAGAAAGCAGCTTTCGATCACTGGGATAAATACTATCAGTTGTCGCAAGCCACAATTTTCCCGGCCACTCCTTCGCCAGCATATTCACCGAATGTTGACGAAATCATCGAACATCGCTTCGCAAATATAACCTGGACGAAAACAGATATCACAGCATCTACCGCTATTAGAACGGCCTGGGCAATGCTTCAGGGAGCTTATACAGGTTCAAGCGACGTTGCTTTTGGTGCCACTGTGACCGGTCGGCAGGCAGCGGTTTTGGGCATTGAGAAAATGGCAGCGCCCGCTATTGCTACCGTCCCTGTTCGAGTTGTTTGGGAGTCTAATCAGACTCTGAATGAGCTATTGCAGCTAGTCCAGCAGCAGTCAATAGACGGAATCCCATACGAGCAGATTGGCCTACGGGAAATCCGCAAGGTTAGCCAAGATGCAGAACGCGGTTGCAACTTCCAAACTCTCCTCGTGGTGCAGCCGCCTGGACTGGTTACAGATCAAAGTGAAATTTTTGAATTAGTATCCGAACACACGGGCGCATTGAATGGTTTCAATACTTATGCTCTACAGCTTATATGCACTCTCTTAGAGGATGGCTTACATGTCAGCATCAGCTTTGACTCGTCCACTATTAGTAGGGCAGAATCAGGGAGACTTGTCACGCAATTTGAGCATATAGTACGGATGATTTGCGATGAAGAAATGCGAGCAAAGAAGTTGCATGAACTCAACATCCTTAGCAACAATGACTTGCAGGAGATTTGGAGTTGGAATGCGCAGCTGCCAGAAACGGTAGACGGTCTGATTCACAAGAGTATCGAGAAAATGGCAATCCAGCAACCAAACTCGACAGCAATACGGGCTTGGGATGGAGTATTGACCTACGGGGAACTTGATTCTATTGCTTCGAGACTTGCACTATATCTTGCAAACAAAGGAGTGCATGCAAACGTGCTCGTCCCTTTATGCTTCGAAAAGTCCATGTGGACAGCAGTCGCAATGCTTTCTGTGATGAAGGCGGGCGCGGCTTCACTACTACTTGACATTAATCAGCCAGAAGAACGGCTGCGGACGATAATACGCCAGGTTAACCCGCATATCATCCTCTCGTCCACCGATAATGCAGCCTTGGCCACTCGATTGAGCGATGCTCCTGTCGAGGTGGAAGTCATAAGCGAAGCAACACTAGACACCCTGAGTGCTGGTTCTCACATTACTTCGCAAGAAGGTATGAGAGATATCATGGTATCGCAGTCGCCTCTGGATCTATTATACGTTGTCTACACATCGGGCAGCACGGGTACCCCAAAAGGAGTCAAGATTTCGCATCAGAACTTTTCAAGTGCTGTAAAACACCAGCAGACTGAGCTCGGCTTTAATTCATCAAGTCAGGTGCTTGATTTTGCCTCTTACGCCTTTGATATGGCATGGTCGAACTTTATATTCACGCTGTGTACTGGTGGCTGTCTTTGCATCGGATCGCAGGGCGAAATGCGAGACGACCTCGCAGGTTGCTTGAAAAGATATCAGATCACCTTCATCCAATTAACTCCCTCGCTTGCCAGGACCATCGATTCTACCGTTCTTTCGCGGTTGGATGTTCTTCTTCTGGCTGGAGAAGGGCTCTCCATGACAGACGTCGATCACGCCTCTGTTGCAAAAAAGCTTCTGAATGCGTACGGCCCTGCGGAATGTTCTGTATGTGGAACAGCGTCAAATCTGAAGACTCATACCAAAGGCCTGCCACCGATTGGACGGGGCATTGGCCAGTGCACATGGGTAGTCGATCCAGAAGACCAAACAAAACTCGTCCCTATTGGCGTCGAAGGTGAATTATGGCTAGAAGGCCCGCTAGTTGGCCAAGGCTATTTTAATAACGAGGAGCAAACAGCGGCTGCGTTTATGCAAGACCCCGCCTGGCTTCTAAGCGGATCGCGGACTGCGCCTGGCAGAAAAGGACGTCTTTACAAGACAGGAGATCTTGTGCGGTATACTGCCGATGGCGCGCTTATTTTCACTGGGCGCAAAGATAGCCAAGTGAAGATTAGAGGACAAAGAATTGAGCTCGGCGAAGTGGAATATCATATTGCCAAGTTACTACCCAGTGAATATGGCAGCATACAGATAAAAGCTGAGGTGGTTGTCCCTCTCGATGGAAATGGCGAGATAATGGTGTTGTTTGTTTGCGCTTCTGGTGTCAAGGATGACGCCACCACCAACGAGCTGAAGCTCATCGTTCAGCAAATCAAGAGTGAAGTCGACCGGCATTTGACTGAGATTCTTCCGTCATATATGATCCCTTCTGCGTTTGTGCCGATTGCAACTTTACCTTTGACTCCCACAGGCAAAATTGACAGGAAAGTCTTGAAGAGAATTGGTAGTGAGATCACTTTGAAAACGTTGTTGGAGTTCCAACAAAACTCACAAGCTGAGAGAAAGCCGCCCAGCACAGAAGCCGAAGAGCAGATGTGTAACATGTGGGCGACTATTCTTGGTATTGATCCAGAAGAAATCAGCACAGATGACAGCTTCCTACGCATTGGTGGCGATTCAATTCAGGCTATGAGACTAGTCGGTATGGCGAGAAGCTCTGGTCTCCTGTTCTCAGTTGAAGATGTCTTCAAACAGCCACGCCTTGGTGATCTTTCGAAGGTGGCAAAGCTCAGCTTCAACGATATGGATTCTCCAGTCGACGAACAAGTCCGGCCTTTTTCTCTCCTGCAGTCTAAGATTGATGTCGAAACTGCCATACAGATAGCGGCATCTCTCTGCGCTATCCAGCCTGAACAGGTACATGACATATTTCCTTGTTCGCCACTGCAGGAAGGCTTGATAGCCATGACCGAGAAGCAATCAGGGCAATACATCTTACGCAACGAGTTCGAGCTGCCAGAGTCGATAGATCCAAGTGCTCTTAGGATAGCATTTGAGGAAATGGCTACAAATATTCCTATTCTGCGAACTCGAGTCGTGTATCTGCCCGGCCAAGGTTTCGTCCAGGTTATTGTTGAAGAGCCAGCACTGTGGACTAAAGAGCACTCAGACGCTAGAATGGGACTTGGTACAAGACTCAACGCTATTAATATTACTACCAAGGACGACGGTACGACTACCTTTACCTGGCTCATTCACCACGCCTTATACGACGGGTGGTCGTTTCACCTTCTGCTGGACGCACTTGAAGGGCTATTGTCTCGGAATGAACCATACCCTTGGCCACTTTCACTCCAGCCATTCATTCGTCATATTCAAAACATTGACGTTGCGGCATCTCGACAGTACTGGCAAACGCACTTTCAAGGATGCGAGGCAGCTATATTCCCGGTATCTCCTTCTCCATCTTATGTTCCCCGGGTGGACAGCATCTTGGAACATGGAATTACGAATCTGTCATGGCCATCAAACGATATCACACCTTCTACCGTTATTCGCACCGCATGGTCTCTTGTACAGTCAACATATACAGCAGTCGATGATGTTGTCTTTGGAGTAACGGTTGCAGGCCGGCAGGCTGCACTGGTGGGAATTGAGAGAGTAGCTGGACCGACAATTGCGACTGTCCCCGTACGGGTAGTACTAGAATCCAGTCTGCAAGTTGAAGAACAGCTTGAGAAAATACAGACACAGGCGGCTGAATCTATGATGTACGAACAGTTTGGTCTTCAAGAAATTCGAAAACTTGGTCAAGAGGCGGAACTTGGTTGCAGCTTCCAAGCTTTGCTTGTAATACAGCCAGCGGAACTGACCATTCCTCGGAATAAAATTCTCAAAACCATCTCACCCCAGGCACAAAATGAGCTTAAAGACCAAGCAGATGTATTTTCCACTTATGCCTTGGAGCTGATCTTTGGCTTTGACGATTCGGGAGTCTCAATAACCTTGAACTTTGACTCCGCAGTAATTGGAGCTGAACGAGTACAGAGGATAGCTGAACAATTTGAGCATTTTGTGCGGCTACTTTGTTCTGAAGATTGCCGTCAAACAACGATCGGCGACCTTGAAGTCGCCTGTAATCAGGACCTCCAAGATATCTGGGCGTGGAATAGCGCGGTTCCTGACGCAGTGGAGTTGTGTATACACAATATAATTGCAGAGACTATAGAAAGGCAACCATCTGCACCAGCAATATGCGCCTGGGATGGCGAAATCTCCTATAAAGAGTTGGGTGAGCTTTCAACGCGTTTATCCGAGCGACTGATACAGCTTGGAGTCGGCCGGAATGTACCAGTGCCACTGCTCTTTGAGAAATCAATGTTCATGCCCCTTGCCATGCTATCTGTTATGAAGGCCGGCGGCTGCTGCGTTGCTATGGACATCAATCAGCCTGAAGAACGATTGAGGACTATTATCAGTCAAATCAGACCGAAATTAATCCTTTCATCGGCTCAGAATGAGTCAATGGCATCTCATCTTAGTGACACCGCACACATCGAAGCTGTGAGCAAGTCGGCGTTAGAGGCATTGCGTATCAGTCCTGTTGGAACAACGAACCAATCTCCTGCATCAACTGCAAGGCCCTCTGATTTGCTTTACATAGTCTTCACGTCAGGAAGTACCGGAATCCCGAAGGGAGCGCAGATCTCTCATCAGAATTTTGCCAGCGCTATCAAGCACCAGAGTCACCACCTCGGGTTCACTCCAGAAAGCAGAGTGCTTGACTTTGCATCTTACGCTTTTGACATGGCGTGGTCCAACTTCCTTTTTACTTTGTGTATTGGAGGATGTCTCTGTATTGGCTCTTACTATGAGATGCAAAATGATCTCGCAGGCTGTCTACAGCGGTACAATATCTCTTTTGCTCAGCTCACGCCCTCGCTTGCACGCACAGTTGACGTGGAAGTATTATCTGCGCTTGACACCCTGATCCTTGCCGGCGAAGGCTTACAGTCTTCCGATATCGAGCGTTGCGTTAGAGTTAGAAATCTGATCAACGCGTATGGTCCTGCAGAATGTAGCGTTTGTGCTACAGCGGCAAATCTTAGGCATAATGATTTAGGCTTGCCGATTATTGGGAAAGGAGTTGGGCAATGTACATGGATCGTTGACCCTAAGAATCCAAACCTCCTCGTGCCTGTCGGTGTCGAGGGAGAGCTTTGGTTAGAAGGCCCGTTAGTTGGCCTTGGATATCTTGACGATGAGCGAACAGCAGATGCATTCGTCAGTGATCCGCCTTGGCTATTGAACGAAGTACCAGGGCACTGTGGTAGGCGAGGTCGCCTCTACAAGACAGGTGACTTGGTACGGTACAACTCCGACGGATCATTGATCTTTGTCGGCCGTAAGGATTCGCAAGCCAAGATTCGTGGCCAACGTTTGGAGCTTGGTGAAGTTGAGGTCCACATCCAGAGGCAATTGCAAGAATATCGAGACTTGCAAGTTGTGGCAGAGATTATAACGCCGCGCGATGGCTCAAACCAAGTACTGATTGCTTTTCTAACAGTAGGCTCTGAAGCTGAACAAGGTGAGATTCTTGGCGAAATAGCAAAATTACAAGGCGCTCTTGGCAATACCATCCCTTCGTATATGATTCCATCAGCGTTTATTCTACTGAGTTCTCTTCCAATGACTACAACTGGAAAGATGGACAGAAAAAAGCTCCGCGAAATTGGAGGCAACATGACAATAGAAGAAGTATTCGCCTTTGGTCAACAACAAAAGCGGGAGCCACGCACACCAACGGAAAGGAAAATGCAACATCTATGGGCAGAGATACTTGAGATTAGTAGCTCGCAGATCGGTCTTGACGACAGCTTTCTTCGCATCGGCGATTCAATCCAAGCTATCAAGCTCGTCAGAGCAGCAAGAGAAGAAGGCCTATCTATTACAGTTGCCGACATTTTCAAGCATCCCCAGCTTTGGGAGCTTGCTCAAGTGGCTACAACTGTAGAGTGCGCCGAGCTAGACGATCAAATACAGCCATTCTCCCTGCTCAACGTGGGGCTCAGTGAGGACGAAATTCGACGCGCTGTAGCAGCATTATGCGGGGTTGAATCAGCTCAAATTCAGGATGTGTTCCCCTGTACTTCCCTACAGGAGGGGCTTTTAGCATTAACTGAAAAGGAATTCGGTGACTACGTCTCTCAAAACGAGTACACGCTACAACCAGGAACAGACACAGAAAGATTCAAGGAGGCATGTGAGACTGTTTTTGATGCATTTCCTATCCTCCGAACTCGTATCGTGGATCTACCTGGCAAAGGGCTGGTACAAGTAATCATTGACGAAACCATTCAGTGGCAGACAAATGAGGCGGGAAGTACGGGTTTCGGCAGGAAGCTCACGCAATTTTGTCTAACTGTAGGCAAAGATTCTTCCGTCCGTTTTTCGTGGGAGATTCACCATGCTCTGTATGATGGCTGGACATTTCCCCTCCTGCTCAACGCCATTTCCAGTGCATATGAAGGCAAAAGGCAGTTTTCGACTACCCCCTTCCAAGCATTCATCCGCCACCTCCAAAATATTGACAGAGGGGCAGCACATGATTTCTGGCAAGCTCAGTTTAAAGGCATTCGTGCATCACCTTTCCCACCTCGCCCTTCGGTGCAGAAGCCGCGAGTTGCTGCTGTTATTGATCGGGAAATTATCAATGTCCAGTGGCCTGAGACTGATATCACAGCGTCCACAGCTATTCGCGCGGCTTGGGCTCTTGTACAAGGCTCTTGCACGGGATCAAGCGATGTTTTGTTCGGTACTATTGCTCTTGGTCGACAGCTTCCAGTTCCTGGGATTGAACAGATAGCAGGACCAACTATTGCGACAACTCCTGTGCGAATAGTCCTAAACCCCAGTGTACAGACAGTGGGAGACTACCTTCACGAAGTACAGCAGCAGGCAGTAAACTCTCTGCCTTATGAACAAATCGGCCTCCAAGAAATCCGCCGAGTGAGCCAGGAATCAGAGTATGCCTGCGACTTTTCCACTTTACTTGTTATCCAGCCAGAAGGCCAAAGTCAACTATCAACCAAGCTATTTGAAACAACATCCGATGATGATGCTTGGCTGAGAAATCTCAGCACATATCCGCTGCTCGTCATTTGTGGGCTTCAAGATCAAGGCGTCAACATACGCCTTAGCTTCGACTCAACGATCGTAGCAGCCGACCGTGTGCAGAGGATAGCAGAGCAATTTGAACACGTCTTGCAACTGGTCTGCTCTGAAGAGCAAACACAAAGAAAGCTTGATGACCTTGATCTCACAACGACCCAAGATGTACAAGATATCTGGAAGTGGAACGCAACAGTTCCCGAGACATTGGACGCATGTGTGCACAATCTCATCGCTGAAACTATAGCCAAGCATCCAAATTCTTTGGCAGTCGATGCATGGGACGGAACACTAACATATAAAGAGCTTGACCACCTTTCTAACCAGGTAGCAATCCAGCTCGTCCAAGCCGGAATTAAGCCAAATATGCCTGTGCCTCTATTGTTTGAGAAATCCATGTGGATGCCAGTAGCCATCATTGGTGTCATGAAAGCGGGAGCAACCTCTGTTGCAATGGATAGCAGCCAGCCGGAAGAGAGACTGAAAGTCATCATCCGCCAAGTCCAGCCAAAAGTTATTCTTTCTTCGGCTTTAAACGCAACACTAGCATCTCAGCTGAGTGAAACAGAAGTGCAAGTACACATCGTCTGCAAAGAAACCATTGGGCTTTTGCGTACTACAGCAGAAACCACTGCAGACTTGCGAGCTTTGGAAGATCTAGGCCGCCCATCACATTCTTTATACATAATATTTACGTCAGGAAGTACGGGCGTGCCCAAAGGAGCGAGAGTGTCGCATCAAAGCTTTGCAAGCGCCATGAAACACCAAATGAGTGTGTTTGACTTCAACTCAACAAGCCGCGTCATTGACTTTGCATCCTATGCCTTTGATATGCTATGGACAAACTATCTCTTTACCTTTTATGCCGGGGGATGCCTTTGCATTAGGCCAAAGAGCGAACTACAAAATGATCTTGCTGGCTGCCTGCGGAAACACCGAATCTCATACGCCTTCCTCACACCTTCGCTGGCGAGGACTATTGATGCATCAGTCCTTTCCCGGCTGGATGTCTTGGCCTTTGGTGGGGAGGGTCTGCTACTGTCTGATGTTACCCGATGTGCCGATGTAGGTAGAATCGTGAATATCTATGGCCCTTCAGAGTGCACTCCCTGCAGCACAGCGGCCGTTATCACGGACCTCACATTGCCGCCACAGATTGGCAACGGGCAGGGACAGTGTACTTGGATTGTCGATCCTCAAAACGGTCAAAAATTGGTTCCTATTGGAGTTGAAGGAGAACTCTGGCTTGAAGGCCCTCTAGTGGGCCAAGGGTATCTTGACGACAGACAAACTCTAGCTACATACGAGGATGACCCAGTTTGGTTACTTCGAGGGGCACCTGGTGTATCTGGCAGACGAGGGCGGCTCTACAAGACTGGAGATCTAGTGCGCTATGATTCAGATGGCACGCTAATCTTTTGTGGCCGCAAAGATTCCCAAGTCAAGATAAGAGGCCAGCGAGTTGAACTCAGTGAAGTGGAACACCATGCGCGCCAGCACCTTCTCAATAACGGCGAGGATGTACGCCTTATTGCAGAGATAATTGTTCCCAAATGCAGTGACAATGCCCTCTTGGTCATGTTCATCTGCCTTCCAGGCTTCGATATGGAGATAGCAACAGATGAAAAGCTAAAAGCCCAAGTTTCAGCTTTAGCAGAGCCGTTACAAGAGCAGCTATCAAAGAAGATACCATCATACATGGTTCCATCAGCTTTCATTCCTGTTCCAGCGATGCCTATGACAGGGACTGGAAAGACAGATAGAAAGGCGCTGCGAGAGATTGTTAGTAAGCTAACTCTGGAGGAGCTTGCGGCAATGCAGCCACAAAGGCAAAGGTCATATAGAGAGCCTCAGTCGACGTCAGAAAAGAGGCTCCAAGCTTTATGGTCAACAGTCCTCGGAATTGATGCTTCAAGTATCAGTGCAGATGACAGCTTTCTAAGAATCGGAGGAGACTCGATCCAAGCAATGCGACTTGTTGCAGCGGCTAGAGAACAAGACTTGGCTTTGACAGTAACGGATATTTTCGAGCATCCAGAGCTATCCGACTTGGCGCAATTGATGAAGGGAGAGAGTGATATGATCACAACAGATATTACACCTTTCACGCTTCTCAGCGAAAGCATCAATCGCTCCACTCTAGCGCAGCAGGCAGCGTCTCTTTGTAATGTGCAAGCTACACAGATTCTAGACATATTCCCATGCACACCGTTGCAAGAGGGGCTTCTAGCCATGACCGAGAAGCATTCTGGAGACTACATCTCCCGAAACGTCTATAGTCTAGAGCCAGAGATCGATTTAGAGAGATTCAAGGCCGCTTGTGAACGAGTGGTTGATTCCTTTCCCATCCTTAGGACGCGGATCATCAACCTACCCGGAGAAGGACTTGTCCAGGTAGTAGTTGACGAGCGTGTACAATGGAATCTCCAACAAGATCATATAGGTCTTGGTACAAAGCTCAGTTCGTTTGGATTACACCATGAAGGTACAATTACGCAGTTTCATTGGACAATTCACCATGCTTTATACGACGGATGGTCATTCGGCATGATGTTGGATGCAATCCAGAAGGCGTACAATGGAGGAGAGGATCCAACGACAGTCGCATTTCAGAGATATATCCAATATATCCAAGAGGCAGACAATTCTGCAGCAATTCACTTCTGGCAGCATCAATTTGAGGGGGGTCGCCCGGCTATATTCCCTCACTTGTCATCCTTGGCGCATATACCTCGAGCAGATACTCTCCTTCGACATGAGATTTCATCTATCGGTTTCCCCAAAACAAATGTCACAGCTTCCACTGCAATCAAGGCTGCCTGGGCTTTAGCCCAAGGAATTTTCACTGACTCGGACGATGTCGTATTTGGCACTACGGTAACAGGAAGGCAAATACCCGTTCCAGGCGTGGAGCAAATCGCGGCGCCCCTCATCGCCACAGTGCCTGTTCGCGCCACGCTGGATCCGAACATCCACGTATCACGTCTTTTAGAGGATATGCAGCGGCAATCGGTTGAGTCCATACCATATGAGCACATTGGTCTTCAAGAGATACGCAAGGTCAGCCCTGAAGCACAGCAGGGATGTGATTTCCAAACGTTGCTTGTCATCCAGCCATCGGAAATAGAGCAGATTCCGGAGGCAGTCTTCAAGCCTGTCGACATGGCGGAACAAGACAGCAGCCAAGCCAGTGCATTTTCTACATATGCACTAGAACTCGTTTGCGTCCTACAGCAAGAAGGTCTTGCTCTGATGTTGAGCTTTGATTCAAGAATAGTCCAACCGCAAGAGGCTAAGCGAATAGTGAACCAATTCGAGCACATGTTGCGTTTAGTATGCGCCTCGAGCCAGCAGGGACTAAAGCTGAACGAGGTTCAAATCTCCAGTGAGCAGGACATAGAAGATATTTGGAAGTGGAACGCCGCTGTTCCGCCCCTAAATGAGACGTGTGTCGACAGCCTACTGTCTCAAACGGCGCGCAAACAGCCCAATGCGCCGGCCATCCATGCGTGGGATGGACAGCTTTCATACGGAGAGCTTGAGCTACTGTCATCACGACTAGCTGCACACCTGATGAGAGAAGGCTTTAAACCTGGTGTTGTAGTACCCCTTTGCATCGAAAAGTCTGTCCTCATGCCTGTTGCTATGTTCGCGGTCATGAAGCTCGGGGCTGCTTCTGTTGCTTTAGATGTCAATCAACCAAAGCATCGGCTGCGAAGCATAGTACAGCAAGTCCAGTCCAATGTCATTCTCGCATCTGCTACAAATAAAGACATTGCCATGGAAGTAGCCGACCAATCCACCAAAGTAGTCATCATCAGCACAGCATTCTTGGACGCTTTGATGGAAGCCGAAACCTCTCAGTCTCAGAGCTTAGAGCATGTGACTGTCCAGCCCTCTGACCTGTTATACGCTGTCTTTACGTCAGGAAGCACGGGTTTGCCAAAAGGTGTCTTAATATCTCATCAGAATATCGCGTCCACTCTGGTAGAAGACGTAGAGACACTCGGCTTCAAGCCTGACGGAAGAGTCCTCGATTTCGCCTCTTATGCTTTTGACATGTCTTGGTTCAACTTTTTATTCACTCTTTATACCGGTGGATGCCTCTGTATTGGCTCACAAGAAGAGATGCACAACGATCTTGCCGCTTGCATTGAGAAATACAACGTTAGCTACATCCAGCTGACCCCATCGCTTGCACGATCGGTTGACTTACAAAGCCTGTCAAACGTCGATGTTCTAGCTCTGGCGGGAGAAGCTCTGAGTCCGAATGATGCCGAGTATTTCTCGTCACTGGATAATTTGCATGTTGTGAATATTTATGGACCTGCAGAATGCACTCCTTGCAGTACTGTTTCAGTCATTACTGATGCAAATAAGACTGAGCCTCCAATTGGTAGAGGACGTGGACTACGAACATGGGTCGTCGACCAGCAAACAGGAAGTCGCCTGATGCCTATTGGTACTGAAGGAGAGCTATGGCTAGAAGGTCCATTAGTAGGCCATGGTTATTTCAACGATCAGAACGGGCAGACCTCGGCGGCATTCACTGACAATCCTACCTGGCTATTACAAGGCTCAAGAAGTGTATCTGGGAGGCGTGGCCGCCTATACAAAACAAGAGATTTGGTGCGATATAACGCAAACGGCGAGCTTGTTTTTATTGGACGAAAAGACTCGCAGGCGAAAATAAGAGGTCAGCGTGTGGAACTGGCAGAGGTTGAGCACCATGTCAAGGAGCTACTTCCGAGCAACGAGGGTCTTCAGGTCATAGCTGAAGTGGTCACTCCTCGTAATTCGACCAGCCAGATACTGATTGCGTTCATCTATCTGAAACCATCCATCCATGAAGATACAGATTTTACGACATTATTGGCGAATTTGGACAGCCGACTTGCTGACAGGGTTCCATCCTACATGGTTCCCGCTGCGTTTGTGCCGCTTACTGCTATTCCGATGACAGCAACTGGGAAGTCTGATAGAAAGGCTCTGCGCGAAATGGGCAATCGGCTGGCTATAGAAGATATAGCGGCATTGCACGTCTCACCACAGACAGATGAGTCAAAAACGCCACTTACTGCTGGAGAAAGACGTCTGCGACAACTATGGGCATCGGTATTAAATGTCGATTCTATTCTTATTGATGCAAACACCAGCTTTCTTCGCATTGGCGATTCGATACAAGCTATGAGGCTTGTGGCAATGGCTAGAGAGCAGGGCGTGCTTCTGACTGTTGCTGATATTTTCAAGCAGCCCCGATTATGTGACCAAGCCAAGCACTTGAAGTGGAATGACAAAATCTCCGAGGAGGAAGTAATAGCTCCGTTTTCTCTTCTTAAAGAGGGAATCACAACTAAGTTTGCCCAACAACAAGCAGCATCGCTCTGTAACGGTTCAAGCAGTCAGATCGAGGATGTGTTACCATGCACGCCGCTACAAGAAGGACTCTTGGCAATGACGCAGAAGCGGAGTGGCAACTACATTGCCCACATTGAGTTTCTTCTCCAGCCTGACATAGATCTCGAACGATTCATTCAGGCTTGTGAAGATGTATCAACGGAAATGCCAATACTTCGAACACGAGTCATTAACCTTCCTGGGCAGGGGCTTGTTCAAGCCATCGTTGACGAACCAATTCAGTGGCAAGATGAAAACAGTTTAGACGCATTTTCTTGCTCATCAGCTTCGGATACCATGGGACTTGGAACAAGACTTAGTCAATTCGGATTAACAAACGGTGAAGATGGAAGTCTTTTTTCGTGGACCATACATCACGCACTATACGATAACTTTCTTGTTTCAATGGTCTTGGATGCAATTGACAAGGCATATCGAGACGAACAAAGAATGCAGTATATTCCATTCCAGCGATTCATCTCCCACATTCATGATACGGATGAATCCGCCGCTATCAATTTCTGGAAAGGATGCTTTGATGGATCCCAGGCAGTCGTCTTTCCTCAACTGCCCTTGCCAGGATATGCTCCTTCAACGGATAAAGCGCTTCACACAGCCATCACTAATGTCACATGGCCAAATACAGATGTGACTCCAGCTACACTTATTCGGACTGCGTGGGCACTGTTGCAAAAATTACACACGAGCTCAGATGACGTCGTATTTGGCTGCACTGTTACTGGCCGACAAGCCGCAATACCAGGAGCAGAACGTATCGCTGGTCCAACTGTAGCCACAGTGCCAATCCGGATCCAGTTTCCAGAGAAATCAGACATGACTATCGAAGAGCTGCAGGCGCAAGTACAGCAACAGAGCATAGACTCGATACCTTTTGAGCAAATGGGGCTTCAAAATATCCGCAAAATAAACCAAGATGCAGAGCGCAGCTGCAATTTCCAAACTTTGCTCGTAGTTCAACCAGCAAACTTGGATGGTCAAGCCAGCATCTTCAAATCTCTTGAGTCTCCTCGGGCCCAACCAGAAGTTGGCGTGTCGTCCACCTACGCTCTAGAGGTTGTCTGCGACATCAATCCTCACGGACTGTCTGTGAAGCTCAATTATGATTCAAACGTGATGGACAATGAGAAGATTACAAGAATGCAAGAGCAGTTTGAACATATCCTCCGAATCTTATGCGAGGAAGCCCATCAAAAAACTTTACTCCGGAATTTGAGCTTGATTCCCCAAAGCGATCTCGAGACTGTTTGGAATTGGAACGTATCTGTGCCCGAAACAGTGCAGGTCTGCATACATGACATTGTCTCTGCCGTAGCGCAAAAACAGCCATTTGCGCCGGCGATATGCGCTTGGGATGGTGAACTCACTTATATGGAATTGGAGTCATTGGCATACAGTCTCTCTCTTAGATTAACAGCAATGGGCATTGGGCCACGTGTAATAGTGCCTCTATGTTTCGAAAAGTCAATGTGGACAGCAGTTACTGCGTATGCCGTTTGGAAGACGGGCGCAGCTTGCTTCTTGGTAGATACCAACCAACCAGAAGACCGGCTCCAGTCGATCATACAACAGATACGCCCAAAAGCGATACTTGCATCAGCCGCGAATAAAGCACTGGCTTACCGGCTCCAGGAAGCTGCCGCTGGAATACAACTCCTCGACGTCACAAGATTTTTCGAAGACATCCTTACCAACGGCATTCCCACAAACGACCTTCAGCTGCCGCACCCAGTGACGAAAGCAAAACCAACGGATCTACTTTATGTCGTATATACGTCAGGCAGCACCGGTACGCCCAAGGGAGCTACAGTATCGCATCAGAATTTCGCTAGTGCAATACATCATCAGACGGGACGCCTGGGCTTTAGCCCGACAAGCCGAGTCCTAGATTTTGCGTCTTATGCGTTCGACATGTCGTGGTCTTGTATACTGTTTGCTCTTTGCAATGGAGGCTGTCTTTGTGTAGGCTCTCAGACAGAAATGCGAAACGATTTGGCCGGCTGCTTCCGCCGCTATCAAATTTCGCACGTCTCGTTGACACCTTCAGTTGCTCGGACGGTAGATCCAACGGCGATGTCAGGCCTAGAAGTCTTGTTATTAGCTGGCGAAGCAATGTCCCCATCGGATGTCAGCCGCTTCAAAGAGATACCTATGCTATTGAACGCTTATGGTCCCTCAGAGTGTTCTATTTGTGCGACAGCAGCCAATGTTGGCCAGTTCAGCTCAGGCTCCGCTGTTTCAATCGGCAAAGGTGTTGGGCAAAGAACTTGGGTGGTTGATCCAAGCAACGGCAACTATCTCGTGCCTATCGGGGTTGAAGGAGAGTTATGGTTAGAAGGCCCATTGGTTGGTCAAGGTTATCTCAATGACGAAGAACGCACTTCAGCTGCGTTTGTTCATGATCCGTCTTGGCTGCTCCAGGGGATACCAGAATTGGGAATATCCGGCCGAAGGGGGCGCCTTTACAAAACAGGAGATATAGTACGCTATCAGACGGACGGCGCCCTAACTTTTGTTGGCCGCAAAGACTCACAAGCAAAAATTCACGGCCAGCGGCTGGAACTTGGTGAGGTTGAGTATCATGTACAACAACTGCTTCCCCAAGATCAAGAGGTGCGAGTTGTCGCTGAGATCATAAATCCACGTGGAGGTAGCGCTATGTTAGCAATGTTCATCAGCATGCCCGGGATTGATCAGCCGCAAGCACGAGTTGCCGATATAGCAAGCCAAATAAGGCAGAGGCTGGCCAAAATAGTCCCGTCGTATATGGTCCCTTCAGTCTTTATACCTCTTGCTACCATCCCTACGACAGTAACAGGCAAAATTGACCGCAAGACACTCAAAACAATCGGCGGTGCCCTTACAGCGGAAGAGCTGGCAGCGCTTGATCCGAAGAGGAGCCAACAACAGCGTCTGCCTGTCACAGCTGTAGAAAAGCAAATGCAATACCTATGGGCATCGATTCTAGATATTGATGCATCCAGCATATACCTCGATGACAGCTTTTATACGGTCGGCGGTGATTCTATCCAGGCAATGAGGCTGGTGGTTGCGGCGCGAGAACAGGGCCTGTCGCTTACTATTGCAGACATCCTAACATCATCAAGCCTCTCTGAGCTCATTCACTTGGAAAGTTCGGATGAAGAGGATGGTCAAAGTCTTATTGATGATACAGCTACGTTGCCATTTTCTCTTCTTGGCAGCTCACTTTCCATCAGTTCCCTTCTAGAAACGGTGCCGAAACTTTTGGGCCCCGATATCATATCGTTTACTGATGTGTATCCTGTCACTACTGTCCAAGCCGATTTCATTGAAATGGCAATGCGAAAAAACCCTCTGAGCTGTGCAGCGATGTACTTTGACTTCTCCAGCGATATGACAGACGTGGAGCTGGTCACGGCGTGTTCAATACTGTGGGAGAAATTCGATATTCTCCGCGCCATCTTTATTCAATACGAGGGCGCTTTCTTCCACGTCATTTCGGACGCGATAGAAGTCCCTGTGTGTATTCATCCAATGGAGCGAGATCTCGAATCTTCACAACTTCATTCGAGAATACTCTCGCAGCCGTTGCAACTCGGAAACCCGTTTACCATGTTTCACATCCAGAGATCGTATCAGGGTCCCGTGCGACTGACAATAAGAATAGCCCACGCACAATACGATGGACTGAGTCTTGGTCCGCTGTTAACCACTCTCTCCGCTCTCTTGTCCCATCAACTGCCACCGTCAGTTCCACAGTTTTCGCGATACATCAAGCATATCCAATACCTGGAAGAAAAGTCATTCCCATTTTGGAAGGATTTTCTCCAAAAGTCCCAGCCTTTACAAATGCCCACACCGCGTAACCTGGAACATTCTACGGGAAAGGCACTGCGGCTGAGCAGGACTATCCCAGCACCAGGGAGAATTGATCGCACGACTTCCGCCACGGTGTTCATCGCTGCATGTGCACATGCTCTAGCTAAATTTACACACGCAATGGATGTGGTATTTGGGCTCACTGTTTCAGGCCGCTCATCCCTCAGCGCAGAGCTCAAAGATGTCATGGGGCCATGCTTAAACATAGTTCCCATTAGAGCAAAGGTCCAGCAAGGGACATTGCTGAAAGATGTCATCAGCCAGGTCCAGAATCAACGCCATCGCAGTGTTGCATATGAAGCTGCAGGGTCTAAAAACCTTCTACAGGATTGCACAGATTGGCCTCCAAGCTTACGACGATACAACTGTATCGTCCAGTTTCAGAACATCGATGAGAACCCTGCTCTTTTCTCCGGTCACGGGCCGCAGCTCAATATCGTTGCCAAGCCTGGACTGGTACAGACCAATGACATTTTTATCATCGCTAAGCCCACAAAAGATGACTGGTCTCTCGAGATATCTGGGTCGGATTCTTATGATCTGAAACAGCTTAGGGAGTTTCTTGACGGAGTTTGCACATCAATACTAGAGATTTAGTTCAAAAGATAAGCACTGCTTGTCGTAGTACTTTTTTGCTCAGGGGTGTGAGTTATAGAGTGGTCCACACGATAGTGTTAGAATTGAATAGTTATTGTTTTATGCGTTGAGCTCTTCTACTGTGAATGGGTTAGTAATGATAGACCTATGCGACAACAAGATAGATGCATTACGATGTATACAACATACGAGTTGGTAAACCCGCTTAAAAAATGCAATGGCCAAAATATACAGCCGGGGCTTATATAGCCTGAGGGCATACAGCCGCGGCAAAGTCCATACAGCCTGGCGAATACAGGCTAAGGATTACAGGCTAAGACGTATTTCCATAAATCCTCTAAGCAAAAGAAGCTATAATTGAGCAAGTTACAGTGTAGTAAGTTACAATATATAAATGATATATACATTTGTTTTGCAATTTGTAGTCAAGTCAAGGAGAAAATGTATAGACTTCAACATAGCATATGCGAATTACTTTTGCGTATTCTCTCAGTGAGATACAAATCGGTGCATAGGGGTTATAGCTATCATACGACTCGGTTCCTGGCGGTGAAATGCCCTTACACCGCTAATCTATCCAGTAGACACTCAGCATATTCAACAATGTTAAGTTGGATTATTCCAACAGCTTATAGATATTCTTACACTGAGTCAAAAACAATGAGAGATAATTACCATTTTCAACCGTGTATAAATATAAAGGATACAACGAGCCCTAAGTATGTTGCAGCCGGAATATTATGCTATATAGGAATTACCGCTCAGAGCCAGAACGCTCGGGAAATTAGAAAAGCGGCGGTGTGCATACCCCTTAGTTTTCAATCCATCTATATAAATTATTAAACGGCCTTTTGCTGTGTTGCCCATTCCGCATGTTGCCATATCATACACTTTAATACATCCTGTGTCAGCGTTGCGATTCAGTCTCAGCTACCTATTGAACATGAAGGCCTCTCTTTTTGTCGGCTCTCTTATCGCGAGCTCTGCTGCCGCGTATAAGGCTACCACCACCGCAAGTACGCTCTTGATAAGTCATGCCTAACAACAACTAACTAGAAATCTAGCGCTATTATGACGGGCAAGAGGGCGCATGTGGCTGCGGCGGTGCGAATGGCGGCGCCGCTTTCTCCTGGCAGGTGAGACTTCGCCCCATCCAGGCCAACCACTCTGTATTAGTCCTTGTGTTTCTAATCTGCATCCCACCGGTAGCTTGGCATCAGCAGCGGAGTTTACACAGCTGCCGGTTCCCAGGCTCTCTACGACACGGCCGGTGCTTCGTGGTGTGGCGCGGGCTGCGGCAAATGCTACAACTTGACCTCGACGGGAGAGCCGCCTTGCACTTCCTGCGGTACGGGCGGCGTTGCGGGCCAGAGCATCATTGTAATGGTCACAAACCTGTGTCCTAACAATGGAAACGCGCAGTGGTGCCCAACAGTCGGAGGCACCAACCAGTACGGCTACAGCTACCACTTCGACATTATGGCACAGAACGAGATATTTGGAGACAACGTGGTTGTTGATTTCGAGCCAGTCGCTTGCCCAGGCCAGGCTACATCTGACTGGCAACAATGCCTCTGTGTCGGAATGCAAGAGACGGACACCACGCCTGTTCTAGGAGGCGGCTCGTCTCCGCCGCCCGGCAGCAGCTCAAGCCGGCCGCCAGCATCAGCAACATCGTCAGCACCAACTGGCAGTGGGACACAATCACTCTATGGCCAGTGTGGAGGCACTGGTTGGGCAGGCCCTACAGCTTGTGCGCCCCCAGCCACCTGTAAAGTGCTGAACCAGTACTACTCCCAGTGCCTTGACTGAGTAAAGACAACAACAAATCGTGAGAATTGAATGGGCATTTGCATATATGAATCTCAGTATATACTAGATGAGTAAAGACGATGAATATAAATAATCTTGGCGGAAAAGTATGCTTAAAAACAAAGCTGGAGCTTATGTAACTTTTATTCAGCGCTTTTGTAATACCTTGTAATAGCGACGAGCCGACTGTGATTTATAATGCGCGGAATCGATATTCTACCATAGACTGCTACCCTCGCCTCCATTCGACTTTGGCTTTTGAGTGTAAGCATATATATTTCATTCACCACTGCGCAAATGCAAGTGATATCTCCCCACAAGCCGCATTGGACACACTTCAAAGAACGCAGCTTATCTCTCTTTACATCTACACTTACAATGGCCAGCCAAGATCCAGTTTCAGCTTCTACAGCTGCCCAAACTATCGCAGTAAACGATGAGCACCGCTCGCTGTACTTGTCCTACATTGAACACTGCAATGCGCACAACTTCAGTGCAATGGAGGCGTATTATACATCGCCAATTAACATCAATGACAAACCCTGGTCCCCGTCTGAAGTCACAGCGCAGTTCAAGCCTCTGGTCGCTGCATTTCCGGACTGGCACTGGACTATCAGGCATCTGACTATCGAAAACGGCTATATGGCACTTCATCTGAGTGTCACTGGCACTCATCAAGGCGAGTTCCAGGGGATCCAACCAACGGGACGTCGTGTGACTACGTCGTAGTTTACTCTCTATCGACTAAAGGATGGAAAGTTTACCGACGTTTGGGATCGTATTGATATAAACTCAGTGGTAGATCAGATCAAATAAGTCGGGTCAAAATGAGCCCTTCGGGAGAAACTAGCTGCTCTGTGTTCTTTAAGGTTAAATGATTCAGCTTAATTTCAAAGTCGTGCTTTCAATGTACAACTTTATAAGAGGTTTCACCCATTTTATCTCTTCAATCTTTTACCAACTTTCAGTGTTGTAAAGTTCAGTAGGTAATGTATATAATCTTTTCAAGTCGAATAATTTTTTGAATAAAGGAAATTATCCATCTAGAAAAAGAACGAGGCGTACATTACGTCCGCTAATTCTTCCAACGCGATATATAATTAGTTGTAGTGCAAAGCCGCTATTAAAGTACACATGATATTGCCCTATTGTGATGAAGGATTTTTGTTATACGCCACGTTATAGTTGTCGACATAACCGCACTGTAAGAACGCTGGGTTGTATGGCTCGTTATCCATGATGCAGGCGGATCCATCATAACCTCTGGACTTGTTGGGATCATAATGAAGGAAGAACCAGAATTGGCAGTTGGCATCCGCAGTACACAAATCTTCGCATTCTCGCACTCCCGCCTGATAGTTATTCGTCGGGTCGTTGTTAACAGTAGGAAAGTTGTAATATTCATTGTAAATGCAGTTGTTGGAAGGGAGGCTGATTTGGCTATAGGTAACCGTGTCATAGACGTATTGTGTGGCGATGGGTGGAGTAACTGTAATAGTTGTAACGCCTGTTGCTGTTATCGTAGTAGAACCAGTCACCGTAGTAGTTGCATAAGCAGTAACAGTAGCAGTTGACGTTGACAGCATAGTGATTGTGTTAGGGATAGTGGTGGTCACCGTTGTTGCGAGGATGGTAGAAGACTTTGTTACTGTTAGAGTGGTCGTAGCATGCGCAGTACTCGTGCTGGTTACAGTCACTGTAACCGGTGGTTTCAAAAAGCAGTCACAAGCTTGTATCGCTTCGCCTTCGAAGATAACGGAAATCTCCTTAGGCAGCCCATGGAATAGTTCGCCTAGGCAAGGATCCTGTTTATTTCGCTTCTGCACATAAGCAGCGGTGGTGGTGGTACTAGAACCAGCCGCAGCATTAGTTAGTGTGTCTAGATTACAAGACCATATCTTAGCCAGACATGGACATGGCAACTCACATTGTAACGGTTTCCGCAGGGGCTGTGATTGTTTGTGTTATGGTATCGGTATTGGTTTCAGTGGATACAGCAGTGGTAGTAATTATTGCAGACACTGTGGCTGTTGCAGTATCAATTTGGGCATTTGTCTTTGTTACCGACACGCTAACAAACGAGGTTCCTTGCTTGGCAACTATGGTCGTCGGCTTTGTGCAGGTTGAGGTGACTGTCTTTGTCGTTATCTTCGTTGTGGTTTTGGTCCCGGGAGGTGGGCGGTGCAATAACTTTGCGCAGATATCATTGCTAACTGAGGAGTATTTGGAAAATGTCTTGATCACAGCAGCAACATCTCTCCTAGCGCAAGCATTGCAGCCAGATGTTCGTTTCTCCACAGAGTCTGCTGGTGGGATGTTCAGTGCATTGGCAGTAAAACAGAGAGATAGCAGCGAGAACAGGACGCCCAACACAAAGGCTTTACCTGGAGAATGCATTTTGAAAGACATCCAACAGAAATAAATTGTAGATGGATGAAGATAGGAGCTTGAGAAGCTAGTAGAAGCCAACTCCCTTATAACATTTTCTCACTCTCCTGTGCCAGACTCGAGTAGGCGAATAATTTGCCTCCCTTGCATCGAATCGTCGTCTAGTCCAGTTGGCAGACGCTAACATCTCAATAGCGCTGGGAGCTGAATGAATTTAAGCTGGGAATTCCCAGCTAGAAGCGGTGGAGGCTTCAAATTTCCAGGCCGCTTGGAGACGGCAGGTGTATTAGTGCTCCTATGAAGAGTAGTATTTAGCGCTAATGCAAGCAATAATTTCCTTCACTGTGCCGCGAGGGGATCGGAAGTTGTGACTGGGGTTAGCTAGAGATCTTGGATCTAGAACTCTTGAAGGGCACCGGCGCGTCTCCCCGCCAAGCACTTGTATCCATCTCACGAGAAAGCGAACAAACATTTAGTATTGAGAATGCATATATACATTGCATGCAACTATCCTCCAAACGTAAGAGTATAATGGAAAATCGCGTCGGCGATCCAACGGAGTGCAGGCAGAGAGGTGTTGTCTCGTGACGGCGAGTTTCTCCCACCAAATGGAAGCTTACTCGGCTGTGGGCGTGATTGCGCGCAAAAAGCCTGTCCAGAAAATACAAGTTGTCCAAGTTGAACAGGTGCTTTCACTAACTAGTGCATCAGAATCAATCATTAGCAACCTTGTTAGCCTTAGATTCGATAATAATCGACGAACAGCCAGTAGGTGCTGCGCCAGCACTTGTAGACGAATCTCAAAGCAGCAGATGGCGAGAATCGTTGAGAAACAAGTTGCGGCTGGTTACAATGTATGATGTCAGAAGAATAACAAAAGCGACAAATTTGAACTATGACAATCGCGAGCAAGGTTGCGGTATTTTTGCGACGAATTTGGCGTGGAACCTTTAAAATAGCCCTCTAGTTCATGCCGATCCGATCGTTCCATGTATAATCTTCAAAACATGACGACTCATGTGTCCATGGCATCTATTCAGATGCTAAATACGTAGGTGAGCTTTGGAATTAAGAATCCGCACGAACCATACGGTTTGGGAATCTGAGTAGAGAACAAGATGTTGAAGGGCGTGATGCTATGACCAAACACGAAGAAATGCGTCAAGTGTTCCATTGCGCCGGTGCCAGCTTTAGATATGCCTAACCATCACATGGGGAAGACCACCGGAATTCACTATTTGGGCTAGATATCTGACATCGTATACGTCTGACAACTGATCGAATTGCTAGCTAAGTATTCGGTGGACAAAGCATCAACCATCCCAAAAACTCATCATGTATGATAAACAGCCACAAATCCATAATCTGCACCTTCATGGCTTTGTAGACAATCTTTGCACCTTGCATTTTATTGAACCCAACACCTCGCTCATACAACTTCGTATAGGCTTGCAAGCCGTAATGTCTTATTTGATCTCGGCGAATTTATCTAGAGCATCATGCAATTGCCCAAATATACCACCATGCCAGCGCCGCACCTCTTCCCACTCATGCTTTGGCAAAGTCATTTGAGCCATCCGCAACCAGGCGCCAACGATCAAGTCCGCGTAGCTGACCTGCTGTCCTAATAGAAAAGGGCCATCAACATTTGCAAGGAACAGTTTGGCCAGATCGCCCAACGTATTCTCAAATGACCCCATGAGCTTCTCGCGCGCTTCTTTGGTTAGAATAAAGTCCTCCCAACAGCTGACGCCGGCGCGACGGACGAATTCGGCCTTGGTCTGCTCAAACGTAGCCGGGTCATACGGCATACCTTCGACCATTAGCTGGACGTGAGCGCTGAATGCTGCGTCAACATTGATGTTGAATCGAGCGTACTCGGGAAAGCCTCCATCATCACGCTTCGACAGTGGAATGGGGATCTCGTAACTCGACATAAAGGTGTAATCAAGAGTCTGAGCGGGGAACAAGTCGCCGCCGCCCGAGTCAGGATATGTGCGCTGTAAATAGAGCGCGATATCGAATGAGTCGCCGACTGTGGCTTTTGTCGCAGGATCTTGAATCACAGGAAGAGTATAGAAGTCGGTGCCGTCGGCAAACTTGCGAGAGGCGGGTTGACCAAGGCTCTGGCGCACTTTCGAGATGTCAGGCATAGCCACCCACGAGGTCGAGTATTGAACGCCCTTGAAATTGAGCGCCAGCCGGCTTTTCCATGGGTTTGGTGAACAGCACGACTCCTCTACGGGGGGCTTGTGAGCGATGTCGTAAAGGGTGATGGAAGCCATTGCGTGGTAGCTATCGCAATATATCTTTGGCGGAAGAGTGTGTGCGGCGAGATGAGGAGAGATTCTCTATGGTGAGGCAAGTAAATGATTGGCAATTGATACAGTCCGCGTGTAGCTGGTGTAGCAGGAACACGAGTACCACAAGACAAACTAATCTCTTGAATGTCTGCAATGGTCTGGGAAGCTCTACGTAGTGCATTTATATACCGGGCCAAGAGGGTACCTCAATGTCTAAGTGCTCGGCCCATCGGTGGCACTAGCCAAAGAACCCGGCTGAGGATCGCTGTGGGATCGCTGGAGGATTGTCGGAGAGTTGCATTTGCCCCGCCGAAGGAGTATACAGGTACTATTGATGCTGCTGTTTCTGCTGCTACGATGAGGTTCCTGTACATGCATCATCTGGATGATGTGTCATTCAAGATGTGCCGACGTTCCTATTACTACTAGCTGACGCCCAATTTCCGACGCCACAGAGACTTTCCAGCAGATTACCTACATGTACTGCCTCGCCATTCCTGCTCCCCTTCGCCAAGCCCTGGTGTATTGCAGCAAACTGCTCGGTTACCTATTGGTGGCTGAGCCCCTCGTGCCGCTGAATTTCCCAAGTCCATCGGTAATATGTAAAGGCCAGTGACTCACCAAAGGGGCCAGCGTGGATCAGTCAATCAATACATGTATTTTCGCCAAAATATCCCATGTTCTAAGGATTCTTGACTCCGCGTACGGGGTGCATAGGCAAGTAAATGCTCTTTATTTCATATCATTAATTTGGTTTCACGTCCTGCCATCTACCACTACCAAGTGACTCTCTGATACACAGCCGAGACTCATTCCGCCGCACACTTGCCGTTGCTGCAGACAAAGTCATCCGAACAGTCATCGTCAGTTCCGCAAGAGGCCCCGATGCAGTGGCCCTCCCAGGAGCAGGTGCCAGATCCTCCGCCACCAGAGCCGCCGCCGCTTGAGGTTCCAAGACTCTGGACGAGCGAATCGCCCAATGACTTGATACTGGCTTCGAATTGTGAGACATTGCTCGCTTTCCAGTTGGCGCCGTTCTTGCCAGGCACGGCCTCGTCGCCAAGGAAACCAATGTAGAGCACATCCTTGGTGCCGTGTCCAAAGTCGCCATTCAGGCCCTCGTTGGGGAAGCACAGCTGTGCAAGTGAGATAGCTGCTTCGCCTGTAGTCGGCTCTGTGTTGGTATCGCCCCAGATACCATACCACTAAGAGGAGAGCAAAATTTGTAAGCATACACCGTAGACGCGCACAAAGGAATAAAAGTCACAAAGGTGTAACTCACCACTTGATTGTTGCAAACAACAGCCATGACACTCAGCGGCTTCATGCCATGTTGCTCGGCATTGAAAAAAGGTGGCTCGTTGAAAACGACATATGGATGGATGTTGGCATTCAAGTCGGAAATGCCGTAAGATTGCACGGTGTCCTTGAACGCTGTCTCGCCATATCCAGTAGGATCATTTGAGCAGTCGCCAGCCTTATCGTCGGAGCCATCGCAATCGACGTCCATGTTGTCATAATTTCCATTGCTTCCTTTCAAGAAGATAGCATTTGGGATATCTCCACAGAATACAGCTCCAGAAGAGGAGGTCCCTGAGAGCGGAGTGGCGCAAGTTCCTGCCTGTTGAGGTAGAATTCGTATTAGTGGTGCTCAGGACTGAAACTTGGACAAAGCGCTGACCTTGTGAGCATTATAGATTGCTTGGAGGTTGGCGGGAATCGTGTAGGCTAGAGAGCCAGTGCCAGCTGTGGCAGCAGCGAAGAGAATTGAAGAGCGCATGGTGTTTTGTGTTTGTAATAACGCTGAAAGCAGTGTATGGTAGAAAGGCAACTCAGACTACGATTAGCTACTCGCGGAGAGAGTAGTCCCCTATTATATAGCATGGTAACCTTTAAAGCAATACGAGACTACAAGGTTAGGGGTTGTTGTTAAACCCCGATTAGAGTTGCAAACAGTAGCACTTGCTGTAGGTCCCCACAACTTTATATCACACCCTAAATTAAGCTTTAATAGGAAGGTTGTTCCTCTGTGTTCATTTGGAAATTCTGAAATCGCCCATCCTTGCGTAAATATTGAGTATGGAGGGTATACGAGAAAGGAAGGCTCTGATGATTCGAGAAAAAATGTGTCAGTACATTCCCAAAAGAGCATTACATGAGGGTGTTTTGAGGAAGAAGTCAGGCTGTTTTTCGTATCATTTGCAGCAGCTGCACTATTCTCATCTATTCAAGAGCCTACATTGAGGTACGTAGGTAAGCTCTAGATCCTACGCACCACATATTTTCCTCCAATGGGACTGCCCCGGAAATGCCAAGACAGCTGATATAGATCAGTCTACCTAGGTACCAAAAATGACCTTGCCAGCGTCATTGAGCCCGAGGGGGTGAAGAATTCCATGGACCAAGGAGAAGGGATGAGAATTAATTCGATGAGTTGGACATTATGGCGCTGAAAGCCATTGGTCCATGCACTGTAGCTCAGGCATGTCCAATATGACCCATGCTCACAACTTTTTAGTCACAAAGTACGGGGTAAGATATCACTGCATACCCTATAAAGCCCTATAAAGCGCATCAAAAGTCATACACAGCTGCTGTTCAATTGAACGTTACAATACTGGCTGTCATGTGCATGTACCGGTACTAATTTGGTGTAGCATTTGCATGTACATGCGCATCCATGTTAAATACGCTGCGGATATCTATGCGCTGCGTATGATCCGAAATGATAGATCGTGTACAGATACTAAAGATACACCGCTGTGTAAGTGGACAAACTTTTGAATGTAACCTAGTAAGTTAGAGACCTATGTAAATGAGACTATATATTATACAAGCAAAGCATTTCTCCGAATTAATTACTGTTTCTGTAAACTTCTTCGGTAAATATGAGAATATGGGGGTTGAACAAAACCTGATACGAGGCAGGAGTCCTGCTTTAAAATGTTCATTGGGCAAGAATTGGCTTGCAACTTTCCGTGTAACAAAACGATACATTTGGCCCTCCACTATGACATTCAGAACAAGAAGTGGGCGATGCACAGAAATCTCATAGTGCTATTCATAGAGTCCAGTATGATATGCGAACTGAGGCAAAGAGACGTAGCTCACGTGCTAGACAATTTCTCAGCGGGGCCTTACAGCAGCTCAGCACCTAGGTAGGTCTCCGATAGGAATATCTAGCAACGCAGAATGCTCCGTACCTAGGGTTACATGTGCTACTTTAATTATACTACAGTAATATAGAACGCAAAAAGAGCCTTGTTTGCTGCTACCGCAATTTATAACGATTAATTTAATCCAAATATCCAATCTCTGCTCGGCTGCAGAGATAAGATCATTTAGTCAAGTCAGCTTGGAAGCGATCGAAAAGGAATCAGCCAAAGAGAGATACTGAAATGTATTATAGGAAAAAAAAATACATTCTCTCGTCATCAAATTACTAATAAGCTTCTTTATTACCTACCTACCTATACTAGTAAGAGCTCACCAAATACCAACACCTTAACCGCGCTTGTACCTGAATTTACTGTATTTAGGCACAAAGAACGCTACTCAGGGCACACCGTTTACCGTTAAGGCACAAGTGCTGTCGGGGGCACCGACTCTGCCGTTCTGGAGCGGTCCTTGCTCTGCCGACGTCTCCGCAGTCGTCTTGGCGGCAACCAGAGTTTCCCAGATAGGTAGGTCCCTGCAGGCGCGAACCATCGTATTGGCTGATTACTTTCACAGAGTTTGTCGTGTAAGCGCGTTTCAGCCTCAGTCATCGCTTGTGCTGCCGGCGTTGTAAAGGTAATCATGCCGAATTACTACGGCGCGTGCTGCCAGGACTTTTAGCGTATGGCAAATGAAGCGTATGCGTGATGGAAGTTTATGAAAAACAGAATTTACTATTCTTTGAGCTTAGCCATGCTTGGTAGCGTATTGACTGAGAAATCTGGAAGAACGGCTCGTCGTTGAGACATACCGAGTGCCCGAAATCTTCCGCTGCTCTTTCGGTGGAGTCTACATGTAATTTCTCCGTAGCTAGGGGACAGCTTATCCACCAAACGCATTCATGTTATTTCTGACCAAAGAGAGGGACGTGCTCTGTCTAAAAAGGAAGGCAGATTTTTTTATAATTACTTTTTTGCTTACACATGCCTGTATCCATGTTGCTTTAGCGTTATAATACTTTGAATTTTTGTGCCATGTTCAGTTTGACCCAATGAAAGACCAGTGAGCATATATGACATTTGAACTTTGAACAGAAAAAAACCAATAAGAATGACGGGGGCCTTGTTCAAGTTAGGCCAAAGGGGCCGTGTCAGCTGGGGTATATCCTCGAGAGTTGCCAAGAAGGGCAGGACAATCGTGTCTATAAGCTTATGTCCAATAAATGTTTTCAGACTATTTGATTCTCCATGAACATGCGAATAATACTCGTACGGTCTTTCGGGCCGTTTATTCGTACAAGGCATATTCTTTCACGATAGTATAACCGAAATCCCAATGCAAAAAATAGTATATATAAGTAGCTCAGTGTTCCCCAACTAATGGTGTTTATATTCATCAACAACCGTCTCAACCAAGGAGCCAGCTCATCAAGCCTCTACCAACACTCTCTTCTTAAAACCGTTCGACTCATTCAAAATGAAGGGCCAAATTACTGCGTCTCTCGGCCTTTTCGCCAAATTGGCCGCCTCTTCTGTCATCTACAGCGGCAATGGATATGGAACATACTACTACGATATTCAGCACCCTCAGTCCTGTGGCCAGGATCTCTCAGTCGCAAACACGGGCAATGTCGAATGCAGCCAGTTCCTCGCCCTGAACCTGAACCAGATCAACAGCAACAACCTCGTTGCCATGAACCACAGTTTGATTGCCAGCAACTTGGCCCAGTACTGCGGTAGACAGGTTGTCGTTAGCGTCAACGGAGTGGCATCGAGCACTCCATTCTTCATTGGTGATGGTTGTGAGAGATGCGGCACCGGATCGTCTACTGGCCCTTGGAACCCGAGCGGAGCTCCCGGTCTGGATTTCAGCTTCTCTGCTCTCTCCGCACTGAACGGACAGGCATGCAACCAAGGCCACATCGACATTAGCTGGCAGGTCCTGGATACGACTCTTTTCGACTTCGACAGCAACGCCCCCGGCCAGCCTTGGGGTCCTGTTAGCGGTGGTAGCAACCCTGGAAACGGCGGCGGCGACCCTGGTTCGTGTACTTGGGCAGGCCACTGCCAGGGCGCCAGCTGCTCCTCGGACGATGACTGCTCAGACTCTCTCGTCTGCAGCAGCGGCAAATGCAGCACCGACTCCGGCAGCGGCGGTTCTGCCCCCCCTGCTACTTGCACTTGGGCAGGCCACTGCCTGGGCGCGAGCTGCTCTACCGAAGATGACTGCTCTGACTCCCTCGTCTGCACCAACGGCAAGTGCAGCAACTAAGGGGGTTTACGAACTCGCGACAGCTTCATATATTATCCCTTTCTACATGTATATAGATTGGTCACTCATGTCTATGGATATTGCCAGACAGCATCGCAATGCGGGTTGTCTATGATGACACTGTAAATGACTCTACAAGTATATAGCTTTTGAAAATATATTGTATATAACACCTATACTTACACCCCTGATCTCTAGTGAAATGTGATAGTGATACAACTTTTTCATTGATGCTGCTGTTCCTAGTACAATTACCATCCATCTCTACCTAGGTCATGTCAATTTGATGATCGGAAAATAGCAACTCCCAGATAAGAATAGTAGGCCATATTACACGCTAATCAGTCCATAAAAGTGGCAAGCTAGCCGAATAATCATGAATACAGTATATAGAACTTTTGAGTCTTAAGCAGGCACATTGTTCTTTACTTCCCCTCAGAAGGATCAATGTCATACTCGACGTCTGTTCGAATAATGTACTTGGCGCCCTTGGTGACGCTTGAGCCTTCATGTAGTAGTGCTCCGTTGGTTTCCCCATGTGGAAATATAGCCACGCCACCTATGACTGGACGCACTCGATAGGCATTGAGTTTTCCTTCTGACGGGGCTGGGACAAAAAACGTTGTTTGGCCTCCTTCGAATTCATCATTGAGGTACAATAGGAAGGTAAATAACGAGCTTTGCTTTTTTCCAGCGGGAGAGTCGTCGTATACATATGTATCGTCTGGGCGAATACCAGACGGCGGCCATGCTCCGTCGATGTGACATCGATATTCTGCACCAGGGACGTATCGGTACACACGGAAACGTCGGTTAATGCCACGAGCTAAGCGTCCATTGACAGATTCGGGCACAAAAGGTGACATGCGCGCCCACAGCCTATCATGGAATGATGTGTCGACGACCCAGTAGAAATTGTGCGCCAAAACACTCGTATCACCGCCCTCGCGCACGGGAATGTCGGGCAGGAAACCAACAGTCTCTCCAATGGCAATAATCGCCTTGCATTCCTCCGGTGAAAGAACGTTCGTTGCGAGGCTGAGATTGGCCACGTTTGGATGTTTATGAAGTTCAATCTGAGGAGATTCTGATGATAGCAGCACGGTATCAGGCTGCGTGGTGTAGAGAATTGCTGGGTGATAGTTGGGAGGATTGCGGAGGGGGCCAGGAGTTGTTTCGATGATACGCAGAGAAGAGGCCGCGTTGCTGGGTGCTGATGAAAGTATTGATTTGTCCAAAACCGAGTCATAGATCTGATGTGTTGTGGTAGATGATCGCAGATCCCATGTTGCTTGGAAAGCGATTCGAGAAGACAGTCCAGCCAAACGCTTCCCCAACTCCATGTTGTCATCCACTGGGCAGCTTACACGTAGGACGGCATCCAATACGCTGAGAAGCTCATCATCCTTTGCAGAGCGTTCAGGGTCATTGGCATGTGTTTGTCTTGGCTGCGTTATAACGTCAAGATCTCGCACCCAGCGACAGAGTGCACCCAGCTTCGGCTCCTCACCTCTGAGACGCATCTCGGCCAGCAAGATTTTTGCCTCGAGGTACTTTTCATCAGCAAGTGCAGCAGACACTTTTGCTGTGAGATTTGCAGCCTCCGCTAGGAAATGTTTAGTTGCACCACCATGTTAGATATCTATAGTGTGACATACTGGTAGCATTGACACCTGTCGTGCATGACTGGCGAAAGTCATACACTGCTGTTCGAAGGTTTCTACAAAGCTTGGACTTTGTCAGGCTTGGATATTGCGCCAGTGTGGCGAGAGTATCAATCGTCACTTCGAGCTCTTCATCTGAGATGACCGACTGCAAACGCTTGATCTCGAATGGTTCATCAGCGGCAATTGGGTTGGCGACCAAGGCCGCCTTGGTGACCTTGATGTGCTTTTGGGGAGCGCCTCCCTGTGCATTACGCTTGCGTTTCGCAGACTTGGATTGTGTCATTGTTATGGGGTTATGGTATATTTGTGTAATTGTACTTGGCATATGATGCCTGAATAACTACTGATGACCCTGTTCCTCTTGATTGCGGAGAGAATTTTTAACGAAACGAGAAGCCCACGGAATAACTAAGATCCGACAAGATCTGAGTGGCTGCTCCTCAGCATTGCCGGCACAGGTGTGCGATCTGCAAAAGGAAGCTAATTATTCATGTAAATTAGTAATTATGACATGTTCTGAAATTCATTGAAGCTTAGCTGGTTTTATTCACAATCTTCTTTTATTCTTTATCAAATCAATCATATCGCATGATACACGACAAGTGCACTGTTTTTGTAGAAGCGAGGGGATATTTGGGTCCCGGCAGCTAGTAGTAGCGGCACTAGATACAGCCACCGGAATGCTTGGCGATGCTAGCTTCCATATTGCATACATGCAATCTAACGCCGGAAGGAGAATTTATTTCTCAAGGTTTTCAACATCATTACTATAGTCAAATGACAACTTGGCAGTCTTCATCACCTCTTGATCCATAGAGCGCTTATAGCTGAACAATACTAGACGGCTCTTGCATTTCTGAGTTTATTTCCGGCCATGTTAAACGATTAGCGATCAATTTTCGCGGCTACAAAGCTCTGCAGGGGACTACTCTCCCATATATACCAAACGTTGCATCCGAACCTATTACACGCATCTCAACAAACATTATGCATAAATCCATGCTCCATAAACCCAATCACTTATTTCTTCGAAATATTGGACCTTGAAATTCACAGACTTACGGTCGCGAAGTACTGCTGGGGGTTTACCGCCGCTCATCTTCGTTTAACGAGAGTAATAGTCGAGCGGCCGTTTCAAAGAGATGGGTATTTTCCTTTGGTGCTTTAATGAAATATTGTTGTATTTATCATTACGCCCGCTCCTAAGATAAGGCCTACCAAAGCAATAACAATTAAAAATGAAAAGGATTGTAAATTGACCTCCAAGTAGTGGTTCCGTACCACGTATCTCGGATAATCGGCTGCCGACCACGCGACAGTGCCAAAAGTGCCCAAAATGCTTATTCTTTTCGAGCTAGATAAAGCCCGATTGCATGGATCAACGTCTAGTTTAGCGAATAAGAGCGAATGAACGGCAGGCAATCGGAGTTTCGTTGCCGGGAGGGATTGCAAAGTTCCTCTGGCAATTCGCCCGCAATAAACCATACCGGCTCCTCCCTCTTCAGGAAATGATTCTACACCAAAGACGGCGCGGGGTGCGATAAGCTAGCTGTCTAGTCGGAACTTTTGCTACCCCACATCCTACATCAGAAGACGTGCAGTTACGATCAATACGAATGCTGCGCGCAGATGTGTTGGATCTATATAACTCTGATGTTGCCGAATCAAGTAACACGGACTCGTCTTGTTATTTCTCTGAGAGGCTGGCGAGGAGCAAACCATCGACATCATGGCCGACCAGCAAGATTCTATCCATGCTCACGTAGCAGCGGATGAAAAGGGGATAGGGGAGAGTGAAAAGCATCACGAGATTACTTCAGAAAATCCAGCGTCCAACGCCGAAATCAGCGAAAAGAAGCCTGGACTGGATGCAGAAGTTGAGAGAGCAATCAGCTATGCCGAGGAAGACAACAACGACGGCTACGATGTCAGAAAGGAAAATCGATACGGCGAGGTTACAGTAATCGACAACGCAAAAGATCTAATTACGCACGTTCTTCATGTGGACGACAATCCAGACGATTCTCCCTGGACATTTCGCGCAATGACTATTGGTAAGATTAATTTATGCGTTATATCCCATATTGTTATTGACAACGATTCTCCCTCCAGGCCTTATTTTGTGCATCTTCGCATCCGTGTTACAAGAAATCTTCTATTTCAAGCCCCAAGTCATCTACGTGTCAGTAGTGTTTCTGACCGTCATCGCCTACATCTTGGCTATACCATTTACTTTCATCCCACGCCCGAGTGGCAATGGTATCATAGCTCGAGTGTGTCGCTTTCTCAACCCGGCCGATTTCAATTCCAAAGAGCACGCATTCATGGTGATTATGGGCTCTGCCGGCTCAACATCTGCAGTAGCAACGCAGATCGTTGCCGCCCAGCGACTTTACTACGGGTCAAATCCGAACCAAGGCGCTGCCATCTTTCTCGTCATCGCATCACAGTTCCTTTCATATGGTATCGCGGGTCTGCTTCGTACCGTCCTGGTTCAACCAGCCAAGATGCTGTGGCCAATCAATATTCCCGTCAATACATTGTTAGAGACATTACACCGCGACAAAGTTGAGACCAAGCAACGCCTCAGATATTTCAGCATTTTCTTTAGCGGTGCCTTTTTTTGGGAGATCATTCCATTGTGGATCGCACCCATTTTCCAGGGCATTTCGATTCCTTGCTTGGCTCGGCAAGACAGCCTTGTGTATACCAACCTTTTTGGCGGAGCGCAGAACAACGAAGGTCTTGGATTTCTCGGACTTTGCTTTGATTGGAACTACATTGCGGGACTGAACTCGCCTCTTTGGTATCCGCTCTACACACTGGTCAACAGTCTGACGGGATACTTGATCTGCATCATGTTATTTATGGGCGTTTACTACGGCAACGTGTGGCGGTCGATGGATTTCCCATTTCTGTCCCAGCTGCTATATGATGGGTCGTCCAACTCAACCAACTTTGTCGAATACAACCTCACGGCTGTTCTCAACCCCGACAACACAATCAATAGCACGCTCGTTGCCGATCAAGGATTTCCCTTCCTGTCTGGCTCATACGTTGTTTACCTAATCACCACCAATCTCGGCATCACTGCTGCCATCGTTCATATGCTGCTCTGGAATTATAGCGATATCAAAGAAGGATGGGCATTCTTGCGGCCGTCTAATTTGCGAAAGCTCCTAAACCCTTCAACATACATGTTCTGGCGAAGGAATAACAATGAATACGAAGAAACTCGGCGACAGGTGGCAATCGCCAACGATGAAGTGGATCCCCACTACAAGTTGATGATGCAAAACGGCTATGCTGAGGTGCCCAACTGGTGGTATGGAATCGTTCTTGTGCTATCATTTGTCATCGGCATGATAACCCTGTATTCGATCAAGTCAACACTGCCTTGGTGGGCTTTTATTGTGTCCAACATATTTGCCGCACTCTTTATTCTCTTCTTTGGCGCGCAGATGGGTCTCACTGGATTCCAGTTCAACCAGCAGCCTGTCATTCAGATGCTAGGCGGCTATCTACTGCCTGGAAAGCCCCTGGCCAACATGTACTTCACTGTATTTGGTTTCAACGGCATCCAACAAGGCCAATGGTTGCTGCGCGATCTGAAACTGGCCCAGTTGGCGCATTTACCGCCCAAGGCTACCTTTACGGCCCAAATGCTGGGCACAATCATCGGAGCCATCATGGACTACGTGATGATGGTCAGCATTGTGGACAACCAGACGGAAACTCTGCTGTCTATTGACGGCACCAATATCTGGTCTGGTCAAAACGTGCAGGGATATAATACACTGGCGGTAGCTTGGTCACTCGCTAAGAACATGTTTTCGGCGGGCAGCCAATACCAATGGGTCACCTTGTCGTATTTGGTCGGATTCGCAGCGCCTATTCCATTCTGGCTGGCTTGGAAGCTCACAAAGCTCGAGTTTTTCCGCGACATCAATACCTCGATCATCATTTGGTACTCTGGTGTGCTTTGCGTCGGCGTCAACTCATCACTACTCATGTTTTTTGGTCTTGGAATATTTGCCCAGTTCTACCTCCGCCGCTTCCATCCCGGTCTTTTTATCAAATACAACTACTTAATATCTGCCGCCCTGGATGGTGGTACACAGGTGATGGTGTTCATCCTCAGTTTTGCGGTTTTGGGTGCCAGCGGAACACAATACAATTTCCCTACATATGCTCTCAACAATGGCGGAACAAATAACAACAAAAACATTGACTACTGCATGTTTAATGTCGCCGATGGCGCTTAACGCTGCGGTAATATTGAGCTTGAGTAGCCGTGTATGTAGTGAGTGGCAGAATCTTTCAGATGGTATGGGCGAGAAGATACGGCAGAGTTAATCTCATTTCGCTACTTTGGAGTAATGAAGATAGCAAACAATGACATGTCCGTTATGTTAAGATTTTGTACTTTCAGTGCGTTAGTAATAGTATCGTAAGTAGCAGCTCCAATTATTTGTAATGGTCCAAAAAACTTGGGATGATGAAGGGAGCATCCAAAAGCAGTGGTTTCCCAACGCCTGAGAAATACATTTCGTTGTATCGGATTCTCATATAAATTTCACTCGTAACATGTAAAGGGTATCAAAAAGTTTTAACAGTTCATAGAGGAAAAAGCAAACGCTCTAAACCATGAATTAATGCAATACGGCAGAATTCGCCTCTATAGCTTTATAATGCTCTACTCTTTCAACGCTTTGTCAAACACCTCTTGCGCTTTCTCGTATTTCTTCCCATTCATCCAAAATCCGGTGACCAGCGGCTCCCGCATTTGAATGCTTCCATTCGTATCTTCTTTACCCAACTGGCTAACCCACGTCCAGTACAGCTTGTCCTTCCAACCATTCTCATACCAGCCATTCAAATCTCTTTGGGGAGCATCGTTTAGTGTTGGCAACACTGGTTTTCCGCTATCCTCAGCCAACAGACTGAGATCATGACAGAGCGCGACAAAGACATTTTCGGCTTCATCAAAAGCGTCTTTTATAGTACTCGCAGTGCTTTGGCCAAGTTCCGGGTCCAAGAACGTGGATAGCTGCCCAGCAGCGATTCCATACCATGGGTTTACGCGAGCTTCTTCGACCAATCCAGCCGCGGCAAGTGGCGACTGCTGATATTTCGGATGGCGTCTTAACAGCGACTCCGCATTTTCGACATCCGAAACTCCAATAGCAGAATCCGGAAGATGAGGATGAGGAAATGGCTGCGAACAATTTGGCCTCAAGACGCCGCAAAAGTGGCAGGCATCCCCAGCCAGGAGGATAAACGTATCCTTTCCATGTCCAGCTTTGGAGCTTGTAGTCCTAGCCAGAGCGCTCAAGTGGCCATGATCGTGGCCAGGAGTATCCAAAAGGTAGAAAGACCCGTCGTCATAAAAGTCGAGGGCACGAAATCCCCCAATCTTGAGCGTGGATTTGCTGAAGTCAATCTCATTATTATGACGCCCAGCGAAATCGGACGAGAGGAAAACTGCCTCTTCATTTCCTGTGATTTCCGGTTTCATAACCACCATCTCTTTCCCATAATTCAAAGTAGTGTTGGGTGGGAAAAGCGATACATCCCCTCGGTGATCCAAATGGGAATGACTCCAGATTACATCGTCGATAGCGTCCAATGGTACACCGCTCTCCTTCAAGACATCTGGAACGTCCTTGTCAACCTTGACTCCAACACAGAAGGCGAGTGAATCTCGAACTTTGGGTGGTAAATTCCACCAGTCTTTCCGAACGCCCAAGTCAAAGACGGCTTTTTTCCCAAGGTTCTCATTTTCAATCAGATATGCCATATCTGGTCCATTAAAAACTTCATGGCCTTCAGCTACTGGTTCTATGAAGAGAGCTGAAGGTATACTCATTAATCCAAGATCTTTGATAAGCCGAACACGAACAGTATGTGCCGACGGGGGCGCAGTCAGCCATCGTTGCTGAGTAGCCATGCTGAGCTTTTTGGAATAATAAGAAAGAGGTTCCCCTAGAGTCACTCTGGAAACAGCACTAAGTAGGGCAATTCGTAATGAAAAGAGAACAGGAATTTGTTATCGGCGAACGTCGACTTTAAATATATCTGCTTTTCTATCACCAACTTGGCGTTTACAAGTCACTCACAAAAGAAGTTCATCTGTTTGTAATACATATTTATAAGCCGCCTGACAAGAATTACACCGCTGCAGTTGGAAGATCATGCCCTATTCCTGTCATAGGCTGTGCAGCCATAGTAACTGAGTGCTTGCAAAGCATTAGTTTCCGAGCGGGGTTCGAATTCTGAGCCACTGGCTTATCATTTGCACCAGTGGTCAGAATCATGAATGCGGTCAGCTATAGGTAGTCAGCGTTGTATGTTCAACCTCTTATTCTTTGTTCAATCTTGGACCCACATAAGTTTTAATTTGAGATGCATACAGCAAACATGTTGATGTTTATCCTTTCTCCGAACTATGTCGGATTGTAAATACTGGAAGCTTTCATACTATCTCCTTCTATCAATCTGCAAACCCTAAATTTGGTTCCTAATCTAGGCCATTGAAGTGAAAACAAGGCCGGTAAAGGATAGTAATGATTTTGGCTATCACATATTGGAATGTTAGAACGGGAGAGAACAGAGACAGACAGAAGAAAATAGAAAGATGGAAAAGAGTCTAGATTATCTGGATATTGTATGTTTGTAAGTTGCGAGATATAATGTGCCAGATTCCATCATTGTCAGTATGTATTTACCTAGTAATTTACCTAGGCAGCTGGACATCTAAGCCAGGACTACGTGGAATATACAAGACCATGTTAGCTGACCTCCTGCCTCTGTGGCAGCCGCAGTAAAAGAGGTGCTTCGCCTCTAGATACTCTCCAAAAATTGGTCTCTTCCAAAATGTCGTCCGCAATTACCCACCACCATCTGTTAACAAATTCCTCCTGCATCTCCCAGCCCCTACGATCCCAGGGAGTCTTTCCCCACACCCTCAGTTTTCCAGATATCATATCATTCCAAATTTCTATGGGCTGAACGATATCGCCAGCACGAAGGAGATTGTCTCTGAATTGGGGAAACGGGAGAAAATCAATGTACGGCAAATGAGGCTTGCTTTCTTGAAGCGCTGTTGGTGTGAGTGCAGGCGGAGTACGTACGGAAGGGTGAATATGAATTCCAGGAATAAGCTTGCTGCAGTCGATGGCAAGTATGTATTTGTTTGTTAACAGAGCTGCCAGTGTCAACATTCCTGGTATATTCAGACTTAGATCGTTTGTGAGTGAAGGCAGCGGTATTAAGTTTCCACTCCCATCTTTTTGAGCACTTGAGTCCGTTAATCTCTGCCTAAAATAGAAGAATGAGCTTCACTGTAAAGGTAGAAAGACGTACAAAAGTGGTTCATCTTTAAGCCTTTCCAGAAAATTACAATCTGGAACAGTTGATGCTAACTTTTGTAAAAACGCAGAAGCAGAAAGATGCGAAAAGTCTGAAGTAGCCGATGCTTTTATCGGCCCTGAATTCTTTTCTTTTGGGTGCTCGATACCAGGACTGTTAGTCTTCGAAGGCGACTTGACTTCATTTGGTGGTGAAGATGGTGCCGCTCTTGATCTTTTCCGCCGCCCATATTTTGCTCCTAGGTGCGTTTATTAGTCAAAAAGGCTAATACCCATTAGATAGCAGCAGTCTACGAACGATGGGCTCTTTGAGCAAGCCTATTTTGTACCCGTTTCCTTTCGGCTTTGTTGGTGATGTGCGTCCAATCGTCTTCGACAGTTGATTTGATGAATCGCCTCCATTGACTCGGCATCCTGATACTCTCCTGTGATGCCGAATATGTATGTATATATATATACTCTATTTTGTGCGCGAAAGCCGCTCAACCTTTCTGACCACTGTTAGCTGCTTAGTATTGAGAGGTAGGATGAGAGGAGTAGTAGCCATGGCAGCCGAACTATTGGGCGCGACGGCGCGTCCTATCATTTCTAATGGTCAGAAAATCGTGTTCGTGGTCAGAAAATGGGGATTACCTAAGTTGTGTAAGAATGATTACAAAATGTGTTCACTAGGTAGCATAAACAAATAGATATTACTACACAATAACACAGTGCTCTACAGCGCGTCTGGCTCCTAATCTAACGCGACTCATTGCATCATGTACGTTGTGGGCCGACCTACTAATCATTTATTCTGTTCGAATGACTGCCTCCTACCAAATCGCAATGCTTATTTGGCCGACTGAGGGGATTTATTGTATTCCAGCCCCAGAAGCACGACAGCGAAGTACCCTCGGCAGCGAGGACCAACTATAGCGCAGCTTAAAATACATATACGTGCTTTGAAACATTGAAAGGAAGAAAACATTTAGCAAAAATGTCGGATAAATGATACAAGGGGATGAAGAACGGGCATAATCGTCATGGTATTCAGAATATCGTACTTGGCATCAAGTCATACAACTGTAAATTTGATGGCAATACTACCATATACATCTTCACAGCCAATCATAAATTCTCAAAACAGACTATAGAGAGCACCCACTATTAGACTAGCGGACAAGGGCAGTTTGATCCCCTGACTCGCTCATCCACATTTCTGCCTTGAGTGAAACGAATATAATAGAGCTATTGAAAAGGCCGAGGAAGAAGCTTGATACTGGGCCTTGACCAACATGAACTATCATGCGTGTGCTCCTATTATCGTCGGTAGCAAATTATTGATCTCCGAAGCCGAATTAGGTGGCTGACTTGCAATATTAGAAGACTAAAACAGTATGAGAAAAAGTGAGTCATGAGAAGTAAAAAATGAATATACTTAGTACAGTAAAAAGCTACTTGAAGGATAGCGAAGCTTTACATTTGACTGAAGGCCGCTCCAAGAACAGTCGCCCCCCATAATATCATGTCTAACTTTTTCTTGTTGGGCCTTTAAATTATTGTCACATGAAACCTTATCAACGTTTGCAAAAAAGCGCTCAATCATCTCGCCCGCTGTGTTAAATGCAGATGCAATAAATCTATTCTTAAAAAAAAAATTGGTGGAAAAGTAAAACGGTTCAAATCGAATGTGAAAGTAGTAATTCATGTGATTGGCAATGACTGGTTTGCAAAAGCTTTTATCATGGAAAGTACGCAATTAAAATGCATTTTCATGAGACAAAATGAACCTCATGCATTATTTGCGAATGCAAAATGGCACAATTCTTTCTCTTTCTCTTTTTGGAATGTGAGACTCAAGTAAACGCACCCGAATGTCTTTAGAAGCTTTTATTTATGGTTTGTTTGTATATTTCTTTCCTCCCCGTTGTACTAATTTGGCAAAGATATGGGTCTATCTAATATATTTTACACGCACACTGACAATTTAGGCAGTTGCCAATTGCAGAATATGCCTAAAAATGTAGCCGAGCCTTGAATTACATGTACTCGTTCTGTATTCTCGAACAATAGGCCATGAAGGCTTAGTTGGCCCAGATTGTCTCCCAAATAGATTGAAAATTTATAATTTGCCCCATTAAATGGAATCATTCGCATCCATCAAACCCTTGCAGTTGCTGTTTTCAGAATAGAAGGCCAGAGACGACCCCTTAGTGTGCACGGAGCCATTCCTCACGATCCTGCAATGCAGTAGATCGACTCCACGGAGATCGATACCGGAACCTTCGAAAGAGATTTCTAATACCATTGTAGTGAATGTAACCTCTATCAATACGTATATATGTGGTCTATCCATAGCCATTGCACTCAAATTGCTCTACTATAGCCCAATCGACTATCCACACTACAGCGCAATTATTTAATTTCCAAGCTATCTCGGACATACACGTTCAAAATGACAGTCAACTCCCGTTTAAATGTCATCCTTGGAGCGGGCAATGTACATAACACCAACTGTAAATATAAAAGGGTTCTTTTGCTGATGTGTATATAGCTTGGAGATCGAAAAATCGACAAAACAGTCCGTTATGATACGCCTGACGAGGTAAATGCGTATCTCAACGCTTTCTACAATCGCGGCTACCGGCAGATTGATACCGCGCGTGTATACTCGACCGGCGCACCAGGCACATCGGAACCCCGACTCGGCGCTGTTGGAGCTGGTAAAAGATTCACTATTGATACTAAAGTGCTTTCTCGAGAGCCCGGAAGTCACGAGCGGGACAAGATTGCCCAGGAAGTTGAGGCATCTCTCAAAGCCTTGCAAATTGATCAGATCAATATTCTATATCTGCACCAGCCTGACCGAACCACTCCTTTTGAAGAAACATGCGAAGCTATTGATGCGGCTTATAAAGAGGGAAAATTCAAGAAATTTGGACTATCTAATTTTAGAGCCGATGAAGTCAAGCAGATTCTCGAAATTTGCGATCGCCGTTCGTTCGTAAAACCCAGTGTTTACGAAGGACAGTACAACCCAGTTGTCCGAGGAGGAGAGAAGGAATTGTTCCCTCTCTTGCGCAAGCACAACATTTCCTTCTACGCATGGAGGCAAGCATTTGTTTCATGTTACCGTCTCCTTTAGCTTTTCAATGGCTAGAATGAGTAGCTAACATATAAATGCTCGATAATAGCCCTGCGGGAGGAGGCTTCTTTGCTGGAAACCACAAGAATGCTGTATCAGGTGGCCGCTTTGACAAATCCGTGAGTCCCACTCTTTCTCACTTTGGATAGCCGCGGCATCTATTCTAACAGAGATAGACCTTCCTGGGTGCTATTTACTCGGCACTGTATTTGAAGCCTGCAATCGAAGCAGCAACCGAGAACGCCCTGGCGGTGGCTGCTAAGCATGGAGTTAGTGGTCATGCTGCGGCGTTAAGATGGACTGCTTACCATAGCGTCCTTGACCCGAAATACGACGATGCGGTTATCATTGGCTCGTCTACGGTGGATCAGCTCAACTCAAACCTCGATGTCATTGAGCAGGGACCCCTTCCGAAAGACATTGTCGAGGCTATCAACGCCCTGTACAACGAAGTGGGCGAAGAAGAGATTCCGTATCACTTCTAGACGAGTTTGTCAGCTCGATTACGTGAGGCAGAATCTTGTGACTAAGCAGACAGAGATGTACTCGGCAATTCATGCGCCTGAGCTGCTTTAGGAAACTGCATGGCTTGGCATTTCAACTCTAGTATAGCGCAAAGTTACATTTCGGACTTCGCAAATAGTCTCTCTAGAAGTTTAAGGATTTATCACCTGAAATACACCCTCTCTTCGTCTCAAACGCTCTCTTACAGTGGTGAGCAATCTGCACATGATTCCAAATGACTCGTTGAGCTGCATTTAAATATTAGTCTTCTTTGCAATAAGCGATTACAATGGCTTCGCCGCAGCAGAAGCAAAGCATACACTTCATCTACCTCACAGATCCAACTAAAGATAGTGCGATATCGAGTCACAGAGCCGCAAAATCACATGCTGCGCGTCATGGCCATGCAAGGGTGCGTAGGCAGCGAATGAACGACTTCCACCAGAAGAAAGATAAACGTGAAGGGGACAATCAGGCACCACATGCGTCCGCCTCAGGCTCAGACTCAACGGTAAGCGTTCGCCGTGCGGGACCTGCGGAAGCTTCAAGCTCGAGTCACCACGCAAATGAAGGTGGTCGTGAAATAATTTTATATCCTCCTCGCCCATCTCAGCCGCTCGTTTTGGAAACTACACCGGTTTCTTCACTTCCTAAAAACTTATACTCGGTTCATGGACTTGAGTTTAACAAGACGGAGCAATATCTTTTACACCACTGTAAGTACCCAGCTCTCGTTCCACACATCTCTTTGGCTGATCATTTAATTTGTATCATCTTAGATGTCACCTGGGTTATCCCGTTTGGCAAGCGACACTGCAGAAAATACACAAATTCTGATGTATGGAAACGCTTCATGCTCAGGGAACTGATTCCTCTCGCGCTGTCAAACCCCGGATTGCTCACCGCCATCTTGCTCGCTGCTTGCCGTAGTCTTTTTAAGCAAGATCAAAATAATTACTATGTAGAGTTGGCTACTTTTTACAAGTTGGCTTGCTTACGGTCTATGAGTCAACAACTCGCAGCGGAAGATCGCCGGGTTGGCGATCCAGAGATTGCCCAGGCTGCGCTGCTCGCTGCAGATGAGGTAAGCTACATGTTCTGCTTACAAGTATGTCACTGGGCGGATGCTGAAAATTGTGTTTGGCAGCTCAATATTGGGGATAGAAGTACGTCAAAGCAGCACATGGATGCCGCTAAACGCATGGTTGATATGAAAGGAGGAAATGATAAGCTTGGCTTGAATGGCTTTCTCAGTGCTCTAGTAGATACCTTGACCTGCGCAATAGCACTTCAGAATCCAATTGGTGGGTCTCCCAATCTCTCGATCTTGTATATTGCCTCTTCTAACTTCAAGCCTAGATTGTCATAACTGAGAGAGATGATGAAAGTGTAGTTATATTGAGAAGTGTCTGTTCCCTAGGTAGCCTAGTTGCCAAGTCGCAGAAATACTTGCATATTAAATCTCCGAGATCCACTCTGTGATACTAGGTCATCGTTTCCCTTTTAAGCAGTACGCTTTCAAATTACACTAGGCCTACAAGATGAGTAGATGGATGAATAATTGAAAGCACACTGTAGATCGAGCTTTCATCTGAAGCGACATGCATCAAAATTGGCTGCTTGATTCATAGACAAGGGGTATTATAAAAGATACCAGAAGCTGTTACAAATCGTAAAGTTCAAGAGCGAGAAGAGGGAAAAGCTTACATATACACGTGGCCAAAATAGGAAAGTGCCCAATGTATGACCCTTATAATGGATGGTCGCATATGGCGTGGATTGCAATACTACCGATCGTGGCTAACTCACACCATACAAACGGTACGTCACCCCCAACAAGTGTGAAAACATTAAGATTTTTTAGTATGCATCCTCACAATGGTGTTACTGTTGAATAGAACTCAATATGGAAAATTCTAGTAGGTATTGCAGTTACGATTGCCACATCTCGGGGCAGGACATAACGTGGTTAATACAAACATGTGTATTTGCTATTTAGATGATTGCAAGATCAAATGGAACATTTATAACAAAACAGTTCGCTTTATGTCCTGATCTTAGATCCATCAGCTGTACCGGTGGATCGCTGATAGGACAAATCCAATGGAGCTGATTAAAGTAAGACAGTAAGTAGCGAAATAGACGGGACAACCAGACGTTATTGATGGATTCAAAGAACATAACAATACCTGCCATTTGACTTGTCCCTGTTATTTATACCTTAGATTGCATGCTGTTATTGGAGGATTAACAAAATGTCAATATACTTTATGGAAGAGTAGCAGCACCCCGTCTCTTATTAACGCCGTTCTGAATATCGGATTTTAGTTTTTAGTAATCCTGGTAGGAGATCACGCAAAATGAGTCAGGTATCAAGTATCAACATACACCGAATATTTTATTGCAGCTGATTAAAATCACTCTGCTATTACGTACTCTAATATCGCCCCAAACTAATACGGTCTGCAAAGAATCAGAGTGCGCGCGCCCTTGGGTCTCAAGCTGCCTAAAAGGGTAAGAGGAGGCCCTTTAAATTAGTTGGATTACCTGCATAGGTATAGTTACTCCCAGTTTTATCAAAGATGAAAACGCCTAAGGTGATAGGGTTTTAGATGGCTGCTGCTGCGATAACTTTGCTACAACTATAGAAATAGGCATACGAAGAGTTTTTTGTGTGGTGGCAGTATGATCAGCTGAATATAGCGTGGTATGTAACGTTGGAGCAGCGAATTCTGCCGCACTTTCTAGACTAGCTACTATGCTTATGTGGGCATTGGACTTTTCTTGACAAGCCGTCCCTCGATATAATTTCATTTCATTTCATTCTTTCGTTACAAAAAAAAAAAAAACCTCTTTTGTTCAATACCGTCATGATCGGCTATCTCTGCCAAACGTTTACATTTTATAAGTCTAGAGCCATGATGGTTGCAGACTAAGGCTAATCATGAAAAGACAAAACGTATATAAATTCTAGGGTAATCACAGTACAAGCAAGTATATACCAAGAGCAAAGCTCGAATGCGTTCAATGGTGTATATAATGCTCGTATAAAAATAGCAATGACCAGGTACACTTGGAACCGCCTCGGACATGCCCTTGAGCTGACCCAAATTGTCTGCATCAGTGCGGGCAGAGTCCGAGCTCCTGCCTCTTCCATGATCGTTGCAGGGATATGTAAGAAAGGTGGCAAAATTACGGGGATTTCTTTTACAGCCGCTCTCCACAAGTATCTAATGCGGTATATGAAGGCTGCGGGAAATAGCAAGCGCTCAGTTTAAATTCCGTCGGCATGTCTGTATCGGGGAGGAGCTGAGATCTCTCAAGACAAGGCAGCAATGGACAAACATCGCGATGCCCCGAGACTCCACAATGACTTGCACGCAGGGGCTTGGCTGGGCAAAGTTGCGCATGAACCACAGAGACAAGGTCATGTGGCTTGGCTGCAATGTATCCCAGATGCAGAAGCTGTACAAGTAATTTAATTTATCGGGCTGTATGCATCTGAGATTAGTATTTTCCGCTGCTACTGCATCCGCATCTAGCAACCCAGAATCTGGAGATTCGGTAGTCCAAACGATCTTAACGTTTTGCATTCGATAAGCTGTCTTGTAAACAAGACAACATGATTCTAGAAATGGCTCTAATAGGCACTAGAAAATGAGTGAACCTCTACCTAAATTGTTGGGCAGATGAGTCAGTAAGCACTTTACAACCTCGTGTTAGACCGTATCACCCGTGCTCAGTAATCTATTGGGTCCGACTTTCACGTACCGAGTAATATCAACGCCGATCATCATTATGGTGACTCTGTTAGCAACTCGGTCGTAACATCGCCAGGTCTTACTCATACAGTACGAGAAGAAAGTGTATTATTGGCTACTTTCCCCGAGAATTTTGAATTAACAGTGCTGGACTTGGCAAACTGAAACTCGGCACGTCCTTACAAAGCGAAGGCTTACAGTAGATGCCATTACCTGCCAATTGGGGCTACTCTCTTGCAGCACTAAGTGGGATTTGGCCGTAGGAGGTGCCGAGGCTGAGCTAAGACTACGTGCCCCTGACTACCAGAGCCTCTTCGTATGCCTAACTTCGCCCTAAACTCCACCAATTGGGGCGGTTCGGGGCAGCTGTTCGACCGCCTACACCCGAAATGTAGTTGACAAGGTTGGTAGTATACAGTCTCATCAGCTGGATGGACTAATTATTTCCAACGTTCGTGTAGTATGGGACTCGCAAATCCGGCTTCATCCGTGCAGATCTTCGCCCTATGGGACTGTGCTTCCACTTACAACGTTTCTGAGCTACATCGACCTGCATGGCGCATCTCAGTGGTACAACAAAAGGTCAAAAAGTAGTTGTCGTATGTTTTGTAGGGTGCCTCTTGTAGTATTACTACAGATCTAAGATATTGAGATCGAGATCGACTTTTCGCGTAGTGAGCACTCGGTATACTACCGAGCTATTGGCGCTGCCTGAGCGTAGCGTAGCATTTCGGAACATTTTTATCCGACCCAAAATGGGAGGATTCGCCCTTCTAACGGTACTTGTTGTAGCTTACTATTCTCGGGCGCCTAATATACAACTGTGTCTGAATTGGTAGTAGCTTCAAACCCATCTCGAAGTTTTGACAAGCTAAAGAACTGGACCTTGCACGATTGCCTAGATTGGAAGCTTGATGATATGCCAGCCCGCTGGTAAACATCTAACTCGATTAAGAACTTACAGTTGTCGACAAACGGAACACAAAGTAAGCCCTACAACAATGTAATAATAATCTTGAGACGAGGTTTGCTGGAAGAGGAAGTTGGAATCAAATTCACGAATAGGCATTTTGAAGCTCATCAGTAACAGTCGTGAATATATAATGAGCAGATATCTCGCTCCTCGATTCAATCCTCATCACTCTCACAAGAACAAGATCAGCATCGCCAGCTATTCAGCAGCTTCAATCAACTGATACACTCCTCCACAAACTTAACAATCAGTCAAAATGGTCAAATCAGTATGTAGGAATCATCTACCGCATCTTGAACTCAGCTAATAACTTGTTTAGGCTGTTGTTGCTTCTCTGCTGCTTGGCGCCGCCATGGCCACGCCTTACCCTCCCTCTATTGGCAAAGGCCCTACCGCGCCCGTCCCTGACACCGTTGATTTCTCTCCCAAGAAGCCCAACGGTGGCAACTACATGCCCTCAAAGTCCAGCAAGGCTCCGGCTTCCAAGACTTCTGATGCACCCGCGGCCAATGGCGGCAAGCTCAGAGTGAGAGCCACGGGAGAGCAAGTCACTAACGGCCTTGCCCGATTCGATAACTCCAACATCACAGATGGCGTTGGTGACGGCGTCGACCAGTACACCATGTACTTCGGCGATGGAAGCACTGGCGCCGGTTGGCCTGATCAGAGCCGATGGGTCTCCTTCGAGAACATGTTCAACAACTACAAGAACCAGATGTTTGCTTCTTGCCAAAACTTGGCGACTCCCCAGGCCAATGACAGTGGCCCAGAAGTGGTATGTGGTCAAGGCCTCGTTTTAATGGTAGCGGCAAGCAGAAACTAATTGACTATTATAGGGTGCTATCTGGGATGGTATTCAAATGGCCGCTGCCGCCACTGGTGTCGACCACCGTATGATCTTGGCTATCATTATGCAGGAGTCTCACGGCTGTGTCCGTGTCAACACCTCCAACTTTGGAGTCCGAAACCCCGGCCTGATGCAAGATCACAATGGCGCTGCCACTTGCAACGACGTCGATGCCAATGGCAACCTTATTGTCCAGAACCCCTGCCCCTCAGCAACCATCTACCAGATGATCAGCGAGGGCACTGCTGGTACCAACGACGGCGATGGCATTGCCAACTGCATCAACGAGTCTGGCCGAAGCGATGTTTCGGCTTATTACCGAGCTGCTCGTATTTACAACTCGGGCTCCATTTTCGCCGGCACTGGCAACCTTCAGGATGGCATTGCTACTCACTGCTATGCTAGTGATATTGCCAACCGACTGACCGGCTGGGTCAATGCAGCAAGCCAGTGCAACTGCGATAACGACCCCAGCAGCTGTGGCATTGTTACCAACTAAGAAACGCTGATGCTTGTTTGTCCATATTCGATACAGTTGACGTACATATTTTTTTGGTTTCTTGGTAACTTATTTATCTCATATGAGTGTAAATACTTGGGATTTGTAAATAGCATTGTTTTATGAGTACATTTATATGAAAAGTTTATTGCTATTATGCTTGAGTCTACGCTTGAGGATTTGAACATTGTGCTAGTAGCTGGGAATTGCACCACATTTGAGGCCTCAGACTGCGCTTGGACAAATTAATGTTGAGCAAATTATAGCAAAAGAAAGGAAGAAAACGAGAAAAACGAGAAAAACCTGGAAAATCTGGAAAACCTGGAAAACCTGGAAAACCTGGCCAATTGGCTACTTGTCAAGGTAGCATCTAAACCTAGTTGCTCCTGTACTTTTAAACATTCTAATCCAAGCAAGCTGCTGTACTTTGCCTAGTCTAGGCTTACTTTCGCTTTAAAATATACTCAGTAGCATCATGACAGGCCTGACGCAGTGTTAGTAGCCAACAACACCCATGTTTATGCTTTGTAAAATATTTAGTGGCCGTTAGTTTATTACGCTGTGGTGAAAGGTCCCATATTGGACATCTTGTTCAAGTATTATAATGAGGAATATACCTTCTGAAATATACCTCGTTGTATCTTGTCCAAGGTAATGTTGTTAAACCGACCCTGACCCGCCGATTAGGATTCCTCTCTCTTTTCCATGTTTATAAATTTCTTTCAAATGAACACTTTCCGTGGGTGAGCTGGTTTGTACATAGGGACATATGTAGCAGCGCGATGATGCTTATAAACTCATGTGACGTACCGTATATTACTTAACGAGATGACATCTTCGTATTGTCACGGTATAGTGATAGAGGCAGTCTAGATAATCCTTTTAAAAGCTTACAAGCACTGTTAGATAGCCTGTCGCGATCTAGTGGTCTCCAAGCAAGACGAAGCTCATGTGCCAAGCGATCAGAAGCAGCTTTCAGTTGAAGGAAGCCTTTTTCTCTTTTTACTCTATCATCTATAGTCTTTATCCTTATTCTCTTAGTAAGTGATGATTAAGAAACGAGATTGAGGCGTTTTTTGGGTTGTAGCTCCGACAACTGTTAGCCCGCCATATGGTAAGCAATTTAATTTACATATCTATCATCCTTCTGCTCTTGGAAAAGCCTTCATGTAACGCATTGACTTTGCATGCTAATGTGGCTCAATCCCTATATAGCGCCTGTAACCCACATACAATGTCACAAGGTTCTCAACTTTTGCCAGAAATGGTTTGAAGTCGGATAGTTAGTCAAACCGGCGGCGAACTCTGCCAAAGTCCGATAGATCCACCAAGAGCTTGCTCTTGAATATAAAAGAGACAATAGCTCTTAAGTATACAAAGCATTTCAAAGTCACACTACGACATAAAGCTTCAAGAAGTTTTCTATCAAAATGCAATTCCATCTTATCTTCACCGTCTTGGTTGGCGCTGCTTACGCCGCCGCCACCCTTACACCAGCTGACTGCGACTGTGTGAGTAGATTGACTATATCTCTAATTCATTGGGCAAAGCGCTAACTTGAGAGAGTAGTTCACCGTTTGCGACGTAAGATAACGGGCTACAATGGTCCAAGCATAGTAACAATATCTAACAACTTTGCTTAGAGCGACCTCCACGACGCCGGCAACTGTTATAACTCCAACATTGGGTGCGGAACTTTCGAGGAGCCCACCTGCTGCGAAATTTGTGGATGCAACTGCCCTGTAAGGCTAATGATCAAATTCTCGCTTGCAGCAATACTAACAAGTATTTACAATTAGTAAACTTAATCCAGCTGGAACTCACGGATGTAACGCTAGATAAGGTATGTGATTAGAACGCGAGGGAGTCCCTATAGGACAAATTGGGAGGCTTGGAAGAAACTTGTGGACGGGGTTTGGCGGCGTTACAGCCAAGAACGTAGCTTCCAAGGTATCCATAGAAGGCTAAATTATAGCATAGATATAAGCATTTAAAATAAACCCTAAATTTCGTGCTTGATATCCAGATCACATTAAGAATGCAATTGATGTCGACACTGGCGGTGAAGGGGGCCATAGCATCTTGTCCATTACAAGCTAAATGGTAATAATAATACATCACTTTAGCTTCGCGTACTTACGGAAGTACATACTACCTCTATTGGAACGCATGCATGCTCCCCACCTAAAGAAATGCCAGCAGTTCTTCAAACTAGAAGGAAATGCAATTTGCCGGGTAATTTTCAAGGCACGAATATCATGTTTCGCAGCAACCGGAAGTCGGTATGGCGCTAAAGAGTGAATTTTGCAGCGGAAGTCGGCCAATGCCACCGGACTTTGGAAGGAAAATGCAAGACAAATGGCAACATCGGCATGAAGAACAATTTTTGCCTAAGCAAGAATATTCACAACTCATGGTAACACGAGGATCCTGTATCCATTAAAAAGGAAATACTAAAAATAGAAGCAAAGAACAGAAGCGGCAAAATGAATACTAAAACAGCATTACAAGCGAGCGGCTTTACAGGGCTAGTCAAGCGCTATTTTCATGAGCAAGTTATCCGCCGTTTGCAGATCGCTTGATTGTTTGCCCAGCCCCTACCTTTTTACGTCCACATCTGACGCTCTTATATTCTCTTAGAAGCAAGATATAGCAGTCAAAATCATAATTACATTCCTATAATAAGAGACTCTACTGGAAACCAGCAGTTTTACTACCTGCTTGGCTTGCTAGACTTCTCTGCTGAGCATTCAATCTCTCCTCAAACTTTGCTGTAAAACGCTTAACTTCCAGATGTTGTAAGTAGTCATATTTCATCGCGCCGTCATCTTACTACCTGTGAATATTATTGGAGGATCTAATTTACTCCGATATCCTCTCGGCTAATGTTGAGTCTACTGCCAAGATTTGTATTGTGGGGGAGCCTTCTAATCAAGAGAGGAGTAGCATTATTCGGTGCTCAATGAACCGAGCTTTGATCTCGCTTAGTTACTGTAGCCCAAAATTATATAAACATTGACTTATTCTTGCTTAGGCTCTATAGGAACCAATGTCAGGAGTTTACCTAATTTTCAGCCGATTTGTGATCAATAATCGACGTTTCGCCCACATCGAGTTGATAACCTATTCGGTCGATCAAGGTATACGGTCTATTTTGATGAAAAACAGCCCTTTTCCCTCTGCTAGTTGGATTTTGCCGCGGACTCTCGGCATGCAAACAAATTGCTTGTTTTATACAAAGATAATGCGCCAATATCGTTCTATTGCTCCTACATGATGATTGAACAATACACCGATATACTAAGATTATATGCTAAGATTCGCTACTCAATTTGACAATAAAAGGATAAGTCCTACTGAACAAAATATCTTGACTGGTAAAAATATATAAAATGTTATCATATAAAGATCTAGTGATTAGAAAGCTTCAAGCTATTTTGCTCCGCTGTAGGAAGTGATAAATGCGTAAATAATGTAAAAGAGCCATGTATGTTGTGTCTCACTGACTTAAGCTACTCGAGTGCTCTTTCAACTTGAAAGTGAAGTCCCATGATAGATAAAATGCATTAGAAAGATAGATACTGTCACCCTAGTCTTTGGGGATGCTCTTGCGCTGAAGGAAAATGATTTGCTTCGCTCACTTCCGTGATATTCGCGATCTAGTACATTCGGCCTCGTGAAGTTTTATACTAGTCTGAATAGTGCGTAGAATGCGGCCTACGCGTAAGTTTCACGCGATTAGCGGAATCTCTACTGTTGTCCTTCACGGTTCAGAACAGACTAGGCATAAATCTCATGATACACTTTCCTATAGCGAGCAAGATTGATCAGGCCATTGCGTACCTGTACTATCTTAATTAAGCAGGCTTACAACGGAAATAATGAGTTAAATTGTTATCATCTATCTTAAGAATCGCTACTTTCTATAAGTGGATAGTTACTGATGTGCGAAACCATGATCGCTGTGTATCTTCTAACATGTCGTCTATCATTCTTTAGTATCGTTCATCACAGTCTCTTGCGGGATAGTCTCTTTAGCATTTCAAAGCTATTGTAATTGCATTTGCAAGCGGGTTCCATTGAGAAGAAGTATCTGATAGCGTATTCGCTTTCTGCTTCTAAAGCGCTGTACCCCATAGCAGGCTTTAATATAAGTGGGTTGGGGCGGGGCGTGCTCCGGAAAGATTCCCAGAAAAGGAAAACCGTGCCAAATACTTCGATGTCACACGGTTGTCTAGAACTCAGGGTTCTACTTGTTGGAGTTGAAATATCTCAATGCTGTGAGCATCAACTTGGATTTATGGGATTAAGACATTTAAATCCGAGGACAGCGGATTTAATCATGTTAATGAGAAAGGGAAAAAAAAAAAAAGGTCGCTTGGTGAAGAATCGGGACTCTGGGGATAAGTATATAAAGCATTTGGATCTGCTGTGGTGCGGCAGTCTTTTCGCAACTACATTCACAACAACAAACAAATCTACACACCTTATCATCATATAAACATGCCGGCTACATTTTCCACCCCCAAAAAGCCATTGACATGGTTGATCACCGGATGCTCATCCGGCTTTGGGCTATCGTTAGCCCGCGTCGTTCAAGCAAACGGACATCACTTGATTGCCTCGTCTCGCAATCCTTCCAGCTCACCCGATCTTGTTTCTGAAATTGAAAACAAAGGCGGTAAATGGATCCAATTAGATGTCAACGCTTTTGACTGTGATAAAGTCATAGAAGAGCTAGAACAGCATGGACAGCCCGTGGATGTTCTCGTCAACAACGCTGGATATTGTATCTACAATCCCGTTGAATGCTTCACGGACAATGAAGTTCGCGCCTTAATGGAGACATTATACTTTGGCCCAAGCCGTCTCATTCGAACTGCGGTTAAGCATATGCGCCAGCGGCGATTTGGCATCATTGTCAACATGAGCAGCGGCGCAGCTCTGGAGTCGAATCCTTCAATGGGTGCTTATGCGGCCGGCAAAGGCGCATTAGACTGTACGTAAAGTTATTTCATTTTTCATTATTATCTAGATAGATATACTAAATAGCATTTAGGTATGTCGAAAGCGCTTGCAAAAGAAGTCGAGGCGTTCAACGTTCGAGTCTTGACCGTGCTCCTTGGGACTTTCAATACCGGCATGGGCAACGCTACAGTGCTGGGTAAGAACCCACCGCCGGAGGACTATAAAGGATCATTTTCGGAAAAGATCATGGACGTGATGTCCACCGGGAAGTTTGCGCCTAATGGAGATAAAGATAAAGCTATGAAAGCCGTCTACGAGGTTGTTGTAGGAGAAGGCGTTGGTAAAGGTCATGAAGCAGAAACCGCGCTTCCTTTAGGCCAAGATTTGGCCGCCAGGATCAACGTTGTCCAAGGATCCTTATCTCATGCCTTGGATGTATTTGGGAGTGTGTGCAACAATGTCTACCTGGAAAAGAACTGAGCTTGAGGCATACAGACAGGTTTCCATATCCTCAACTTATCTTTTTTATAATAGGCTTAATTAATAAATTGAAGTCATTCCGGAAGTCAGCCCTTGAATAGTGTATGTTGAACAAATGGGGGGCCCAGTAACGCATATATAGCTACCTAGTTTGTGGTCTTATACTATTCGTACTAATAGCTAGGCGCGCAGGATCATTATCAACGATATACAAATGCCGCGCGATGTACATGTGCATATCTTGCTTTGACATTTACGCCGACTTATGCTATTTATGCTACAGCTCTCGTAAAAAATTGCTCTTATTTAGCATAATGTGATTTGACTATATTATCTCGCTAATAACGAGACACTAATTTTCGCGACAATGAATCTAAGCCTTCTGTTTCGCAAGTATGGTCTTGGTCTTGGATACCACATTTTCCTCATTCCAGATACTGTTCACGCTCGGATGCTCAATCACGGCGTTGGCCCACTTATAGAAGTTGGGAGTTCTAGTAGGCAAATCTTTGATCAAGCTCTCTGGTCCAACGCCGTTCTTCGGCAGAGCCAGTAGTCTCAGGATAAAGGAGCCAGTAAGGACCTGTTTCCAGAGTTAGTACGGTATCTTCTATCTTCCAAGTTCATGCAACATACTTCGGCCAGTGTCAATGTTTTACTTCCTCCAAAATACGGAGCCGCGTCGCTCAACAGAGGTTCAACTTCCTTCTCAAGCTGCTTCAAAAACTCCTGGGAGGCGGCTTCAGCCTCTTCGTCTGTTTTGGCAAAGAGAGCTTTGTGGTATTGAGAGTTTGCCTTGGTGAAAAATGTATCGACAAAGAAATTCACTCGAGCACGAGCAAGAGCTGCTTCTGGCGTGCCACCAGTGGGGACTAAATGCGATGGGTGAGCATCAGCTAGAAATTGGGCGACGATCCCAGATTCGGTGATGATCTGGCCGTTGTACGAAAGGCTGGGAACAAGACCGCGGGGATTGATAGCCAGGTATTCTTGTGTACGAGGAACGCTCAGGTCAATGATTTCTTCCTCAAATGGCAACTTCAGCTCATTCAATGCAATATGAGCCCGGTGAGCCCCTGTCACTCCATATTAGCGCAATTACACACATGCACTGTATAGAGCAAGCAACCTACAAGGGCAGCCATGATTGGTATAGAGCTTGATAGTTGCAGCCATTTCGTGCGAAAAGTAATTGCTAACTGTGTGCAGGTTATCCGCTCAATGTATTAAATAAAAAAGATAAAGCTATCATCTCATGCAAAGTCGAAAGACAAGAAGATGCCGTCCTCTTTATAGGCAAGTAATGCGTGATCGGTGCACACCTTGATGCAATTTCCCGCTTTTGATGCTTTATAATACGCTCGAGTACCCCGCACAGGCCGCTGAGTGGCTGATTTTCAGATAAAGCTTCACACTCGAAAGCACATGTTTGGGACTTCCTTTTGTTAGGTAAGCGGATGAGAGTTGTCCATCGTTGCGCAATTATTTGGAATTGGTACTACTCAACATATGGGGCGATAAACCGCTTTGTGAGTTTCTGTGTTATATCTATTTCTTTTATAAGGAGTAAACTCTCATTCGCAGCCTGCTATACCCAAAACAGTTTCGCAAGTGGCCTGTAGCAATCGCTATGATGAGAAGATGTTCGTCATTCTCCTAAGCACTTCTCGTTTTAAGGCCCTGTATTCCGCCAAAGTTCTCGTCACGGCGTCTTTATTCTCGTTCGCGCGTCGTAAGAGGTAAAAGATGCAGTCATTCAGCGTACCCCATGTAAGACATTTATATACTTCAGTAGCCGCGAATCGCTTGCCGGACGTGTCTTCCCTATTCATCTGAAGAAGTGTCAAGCTTACTTCATCTGCCATTCCTAGTAATTGGCCATATTGAATTCGAATGAGAGGTAATTGGGCATGCATTCGGGATTTTTGCAGCTGTTGTGCCTTGAGAGTACTTGGGAGGTTATGAGTTGCAAGAAATAGCTCCAGTTTCGGAGAGTTGAAAGCCTCGTCTTGTGTCCAATCCGCATATTTCCCTTGAATAAGGCCCTCGGCAATACTGTCGTAAGATATGTCTGTCCCTTCTTTTGTATCTTGTATGAGATGACGAGGCTCCGTGCTCATATATGCGCCGCGGACCAATTTAATGCCGATAACGAACTGTTCTTCCCTCGCCTTATGTAAATGATCAAGAAGGATTCGTGGCGTTGACTTTAAATAGCCTTGGTACGTGTTGAATACGACAGCTACGCCACCTCGGTTATAACGGCGCATCAGATTTAAAGCAACTTCGTCTATGCCTGGTTGAACATGGTGCTGCTCTGCATCTAAGAACACATTTACGTGGCGACTAATTGCTTCATCGCAGACATCGAGCAGAGCGCTCTCCATCTGTTCAGGAAGAGGTTTTCCAGAAGAAAGAGCAGTGGTTACCGCTTCCCCAGCTCCAGTTAATCTGTTGCCCCAAATTTGTTAGGATACTATTTGCATTGAAGAGGGAAAATCTTACTTTAATGCCAAAAAGTCGCCATCGCCGATCATCCTGACAGTTTGTAATACGCCTTGATGCCAAGCCATAGTCTCGCTGTCAACACCTTTTGACTCATCATTGGACAAATCCTTCTCGCTGGAAGACTTCCCTGAGGTTTCCTTGGCGTAAGTCAAGATTACGCCGCGGAATCCCATATTCTTTATGTTTTGGATCGTAGCTTTCACTTCACGGGCGTTTTCTCCTGCGCAGAAGTGGTTATACAGAAGGTTTTTCAGTATAGTATGCAAGATACGGTTTCTCTCCATGTTGAAGAGAGGGCCTCGCGGTTTAGATAGAAAGTTCAGGATGGACAGCCCGGGAGTAAGCAGCAACGGGTGGCTAGTAACCCCGGCCACCAACAAAGACCTTATAAGCATCCTAGATGGGAGAAGAGAATGCGGTGGCAACATTTTTACGGCTCTGGCCAACAACCGAACGGAGATCTAGATACAATAATCCGTGCTAAATTTGAGAAAACACCTCCCCACGAGGTGCGTCTCAACACTGCCGTCGGTATGGCCAGTCCTCTGTGTATGTTGCAATAGTTAGAATCTACCCCGCAAGTTCAACGAGAATGCAGTATTGCGAGCGTTAGGTAATCCGTACCCGCACTGATGTTAAGTAGTCGTTTGCGACGATATGATGGGCTAGGAAATAGACTAGCAGCCGAGTTGGTTGCGATTGCTAATACGCTACTTTATCCAGTGAATAATGTCATGTATTCAACAGCCAAAACTGCATGATAGAGAATGCCTCTTTAGCATCTATAAGCCGTTGAAACCTGTGAAGGTCAAGTCAAATATACGTCATTAAATGATAACCCGACAGATGATGAAGAAATTATACGCCGGTACTAATGTTTCTTTTTTACGTTCCAAAGAGGAGCATGTCAAATACGGTCCATTGGTCAAATCAATGAAAGCGTATTTAATGTTCTATATTCTCTTCTTCATAATGTCGACTAATTGAACCAAACGTTATTGAGCAGCCAGAGCACTCCCGCCCACTGTTCCTGGACAACAGGCCAAATATTTGCTGGAGGCAGGACAAAGCCACCTTGGCTAGATGTCACTGGATCTAATTCTAGAGTCCAAGAGTGATCCGCGCCATAAGCGCCGTAATGGTGGTCACGGCCATTACCAGCCGAATAATACTCAATATCACAGCCTGCTCCATACTGGTATGTTTCATTGCGGCTGTCGAATGCTTGTACAGCATTAGCAAAACCCTCTGCAACATCAAGCATCCGAGGAAGCGTAGCTGGGTACTGAGAGGTGTTGCATGTCCATCCGGGTGGCGTTAAAATCTTTTGGCCATAACTGTGAAGGTCAATGTATGATCGAATTCCCTTCCGTGATGCTCCTAGTTTGTCTGAGAGGCCTGATAACACGATATTTTCAGGGGTATCACCCGGGCTCAGACCCTGGAAAGTTTCATCGCATGGATCTGTAGATGCGGCTCCCGTGCCTGGCTCACCACCCCACTCAAATTTCCAGTTACGGTTGAGATCTGTTCCAACACAGGTAGTGTTGCTGCGAGGCAGGCGATTCTTCCTCCACATACGATCAGTGGTTTGAGTATAGTAGAAGCCTGCGTGGGGTAGACAGGAACGGTATTAGCATTTTGTAAGAGGCTATTAACTCAAGACTCTACTTACCATCGGGATTGTGAAATGGAACAAGCCAGAAGTCATAGTAGTCGAGGATTCTCGTTATATCTGAGTTCCTTGATTTGTGTCCGTTAATGAGCTGCCACGCCCAGTATTCGATTACCTGAAAACTTCCTATTAGATTGTATAGAATGTATAGGATGCGGGGCAAATATACCAATGTTGTAATCCATTCTCTTGCGTGGACCGTGGAATGCCACAAAATGATGGGCTTATCTCCCTTGATGCCCTTATCGCCAAAGAAGTGGAAAGCATATATGGTACGGTTCTCGTACGAAGAACCAATATCATACTTTTTAGAATTCCTTGGAAAGGCAGCCAATAGGTCATCCCAGTATTGGAGGTGATCGTCATACGCATGATATGAATCATACCAGCTCAAATCTGGTAGCTCGCCAACTTTGTGTAGTGAGCGCTTGTAAGTTGGCGTCTTGCTTTCATCCCGGATTTGTGATCCAATGTCATCACTCAGTAGACGAGCATTGAGTCCTAGTTCGTTGAAACTGCGGACTTCATTGGGCGGAATAATGACCTCGAATCCACGAGAAGTGACCTCTGTATGGTACGTGGCAAATCGTTTCGTGAGAAATTCAGCTTCTTTCTGGTCCGCAGCTCTTATTCTGTAAAGATGGTGCCCATCGTAACTGACTTTAGTCGTACGTGGACTTGGTGAGTCTGTTTCTAGAGAGCGCGATGCCACCAGAGGCGCCAGGAGAGCCAGAGTTGCTAGGAGCTTCATGATTCTAGCCACCACCTAGGTGATGCGATGGTTGCCTTTCAGGATGCAGCGGCTGAGATGAAGAGATTCGAACAAGCAGATGAAGCCCATCTTTATACTCATACGTTTCCAATGCATCATACAATTCTACGAAGAGAAATGTCGGCCGAGAATTATACCGAGATGGTAGAATACTATCACTAGAGACAAAAACTTACAACATGCGACGAGTGACAGAGAAATGGTGGGAAATATTGGAAGTATCACGCAATCTGCTGTCTCCTCATTGAGTGATATTTCACTGCATTTACGCAATTCATAATCCACTGCATTGCCAGGGGTCCAGTGATGGCATTGAGCGTTTTACACGACGGTAGTTTTCCTATAGGCCTTTATCATTATTAAGACTAGTATCCGCGATTTACTATGGGAAAAGGCGGCTGTTTAGTTTCCACAAATGGTTTTATAGTATCTTGGACTTGTCTGTCACTTACTCCCAAACCAGCTTGCGTTCAGTTTGGCCAGTGGCCTTTCAACGTAGTTGCACCCTGTTTATCCGTCCTTCCCTATTCTGTGGATAAATGGTCACTCAACCATGCTGAATACAGCCGGACTTTTGACAGACCACTAAAGTTTGCAACTCGCTTAAAATCTTGGACGCTAATCATGCGCTGTAATTTCTTAGACATGTATTCGTGCTGTAGATTATCCTCAATGCCGGAGCTTTTTGTAAAATGGTGCATTAATTTTTACTCTTCTATTGCTAGAACCCTTTAGTGTTCCCAATAACTTTTTGAAACAGAGATAAGTGACTTCTTCCAGTTCAGAGCAGTTTTACCTGCCATATGGGAAAGCAACTGCCGCTCACGATGTTTTAGCTTAGGCGCTCATGAACGAGATCGGCAGTTATAAACGCTTACATGCTAATGTACGCGGTAGAAGTGAGCAGCAAAGTAAGCATTCTAAATCCATTAGGTACATTGATTTATAGTATTTAGAGTGATTATTCAGGTAACCTTGCACCGAGCGTCTTTGAACTTCACAACAGGGGCGCTCGGGCGCTCTGTTGCGACACCATGCAAGTCTAACATATCCATAAATGACTATAACTAAATAGCTTTCCTGGATCTATCATCCCTTGACCCATCAACGACTACCCTTTCTCAGTTATAGCACTATGCGAAATTTGAGTGCATTCTTCTGGAGAATCTCGTCTTTCTTCTTCTCGAGCTCCTCCATGTCCCAGCATACGCTGATAAATCGACCAGACAACCATGCACGCCTCTCTTTAGCCAGCCAGACAAACGTGTGAGCTGCTAGCTCTGGCGGATCAATCAGGGCTTTGTGCATGTACTCAGGCATATTAAGCGCCAGTTCCGTGGGAACGCTTCCAGGATGTACATTGATAGCAATCAACCCCTGCTGATAGTACTCCGTATCTGCAAATTCAGAGAACCGGGCGAGCGCAAACTTGGCGGTCTGGTAGCTAGAAGCGCCCGGCATGACTCTATGCCCACCAATGCTGTTGCAATTTATAATCGTTTTTGTCTGCGATTTGAGCAAAAGTGGGATGAAGAACCGATGGCACAGATATGTGCCCTTGACATTGACTTCCCATGACCTCCACCAGTCATCAGGCTGGGTCTCGGCGATTGGGAACCACTGCTCCAAGTAGCCAGCATTGCAGATTAGAATATCGAGGGACCCGGAGAATTTTTCAGCGACGGCTCCAGCAGCGGCTTTCACTGACTCTTCCGATGTTACATCCATCGACAAGCTTAGCACCAAAGGCTCTGGTCGACCTTCGTTAGCCGCAGCATCTTTAACGGCCTTTGTAACTTCATCTAGTCCTGAACGCGCCGCAATTGCAATCTTGGAGCAGCCGGCAGTTGCAAAGGCGATGGCAGTGGCCTTGCCAATGCCCTTTGAGGCGCCGGCGACGAGAACAGATTTCCCAGCTAGATTGGCTTTGGTGGGATCAATGGAGGGATATAAGTTGCGGCGGGGCGTGATATATTCGACGAATTGTGCGGCGTTGGTCTCGCGGTTGACTTTCTCGAGGTCGGCCATGTTTGATGATAAGTGCGGGTTCGTACTACTGCGTCGATGATATGCTTCGGCAGAAGTAATAAGTATGTATTAACTGATGGTCAGGAGTGAATTTGATAGCTTGCATAGAGAGTTGAAGCCTTTTTATGATCCAGCTATCTGGCTTCGAATTCATTCTATGGCCTTATCTCCGCCCGAGCGCGCGATGTTGCAAAGTCGCTGGATTCGGATATAATGGACGCGAGCCTTCAATAACCCGCCTTTGCAGCGCTCAGAGTCGGATTTATAGGTCAATGTGACGTAATTTCGCGATTGGCTTCCTCGTTGTGATTTGATCTTGCATTTGATCCCTTATGTAATTAATTATCTACAGCTTCTAGACGCCGGATTCCTGATTTGGGGAGCAGGAAATGCCAGCAGAATGATCCAGATAGGGCACCATACTTGTGTGAATTTTTGTAGTAAAAAGAGGTAAATCGTGCAAATTTGTTCATCTATTTCAGAAACCCCCAGACATTGTTCAAGCTCTCGGCTAGTGACGGATGCGCCCATATAGCATTGCTCAGAGCTGGCCACTTGACTTTTCCTATCATCGCCATCTGTACCTGGCTCATTATTTCGCCTCCCTCAATCCCCAAACACGTAAATCCAAGAATCTGCTGCGACTCAGCATCAATGACTGCTTTCATCATTCCTCTGGACTCGTCCGTCTCCAGTGCCCGAGCAACGTAAGACATTGGCATGCTAGCAACCTGAATCTTCCGTCCAGGAAATTTGGCGCGGGCTTCATGCTCGTGTAGACCAACGTGGCCCAGCTGCGGATCCGTATAGACAACATAAGGTATGATTCGGTCTGTGGTGGTGAGTGTTCCATTCTCCAGTAAGTTGGTACACAACAGGCGGAAATCATCGTATGATACATGTGTGAAGGCAGGTCCGCCTTTGACATCGCCAAGTGCCCATACACGGGGGTTAGTAGTGCGCAGCTGTGTATCGGTAACAACGTGACCACGAGAAGTAGTATCGATGCCTGCCGCAGCTAGATTCAATTTGTCGGTGTTAGGCGTACGACCGGCAGCGAAGAGAAGATGGGAGGCCGAGAGCTTAGATGGCCTGTCTTGGCTTGGAACTGCGACTGATACTTCGACAGCTGTAGCTGGATCCTGACTGCTAGTAGCACGAATTGCTGCAGGGGTCGCTTGAAGTAAAACTTGGATGCCGTCTTCTTTTAATATATTGAGCATTGACTCGGCCACTTCGGAATCTTCACGAGGAACTAATTGTTCACCTCGCTGTATAATTGTAACGGCGGCGCCCAATCGGCGGAAAAGTTGACCAAACTCGAGGCCGATATATCCTCCTCCGATAACCACCAGATGCGACGGAACCACTCCAAGCTCTTGAACAGAGGTCGAGTCCAGGATGACATCTGGCGGAAACGAATCAGGATTGAACCCATCTATTGCTGGTATCGCTGGGCGCTCTCCACTGCAAATGAAGATACGATCGGCAGTAAGGGCCTTCTGGACGCCATCTGCACCGAGCACCTCAATCGTGCGCTCATCTTTAAAGGATGCTGTCCCCATGATCAAATCCACTCCAGCTTCTCGGACTCTGCGCTCACTTCCAGACCGGAAGCTGTTGACGATGTCGCGTTTGCGTTGCCTCACAGTTTCCATATTGACCCGGACTTCGTTGTTAGTAGCGTCAGAGTTGTTGCTGCTATATATGCCATATTGTGGTCCGCGCCGAGTAAGATATGCAGCCCGTCCAGAAGCAATCAATGTTTTGGTCGGAGTACATCCTTCATTGATACAACAACCACCAACATGTGAACTTTCAATCAGCGCTGTTTTATGTTTGGCTTGCGCAAATGTAGTGCTCAAAGGCGTACCGCCTTGGCCTGAGCCGATAATTACGGCATCGTAATGAGTAGACATTGTTCGGATTATTCTTTTATCAAGACGATGTCCGAAGTTGGATGTTCTGATGAATGCGTTGTACAAGATGCCGCGCATTGGTTTCTTAATTGTAACAATAAGATGGAGAGCTTATAATTATCTTGATATAGTGCATTTGAGCGAACAAAGAAGAGTCATTTCACAATTTTATCTATTGGAATGTATAGTTCCATATTGGCAGCAACAGTTATTTGAGGGGTAGAGCAGAGGCCTTGAATGCGGAGAAGTACGTCAGAGGCAAAACATGATTCTGAATTTCGTCACTGTAGAATCTAAGGCAGGCTAGCGTGAGAGGTAGAAGGATGATTACTGTGAGACCAAAAGCGTGTTTCCAGTGTCTTTGTATTTACGAAGGCGATCGAATATCAGCAAGACAAATGCAAGAGAGACAATCATTAGCATGTCGCAGTGTTGTGCTTCTTCTCAATTTCGAATTAGACAGAGGTTGAGATTATCATTATATCGAGCTGCGCGAAACATAGACCTAACAGCGACCTGCCGCCGTTGTCAATTTACTCTATGGAAGCCAGTATATCAAGCTGCGGTAGCTATTCAGGCAAGGAAATTTACAAATGTAAGAATGCTTCAAAAATTAAACCCACGCATTACAACAAAAGAGAGACAGCAGAAAATAAACGATCTTCTGCAATTGAAAGTACGCATGTTTGAGACAGACTCGCATATTCCTAATCGCTTGCCCTATTTCAGAAGGGCGGTAGATCCTGAATCAACGGTTGGTGCCCCATACTCATTACTAAACTTTCTGTCCGATGGGTGGGCTAGACTTTTAGCTGTTATGCGACAAACTAGACACCGAGTCGTCCGAAACGACCGAGTCGTGCGAAATAAACATTGACTGGAAGTTATGTTTTTTTCATAAAATAATAATTAAATCGATGCTGAGCAAGCACGAGCTTAGCTATATCCAAAGGTATATATTGTTGTCAAGAAAGTTGAGAGAAGCATGTTATAAACAGCGGTTACCTGCTTGACTGTAAATGCGCCGAGACTACATACCTCAAGTTGAACTTCCAATAATGATTGACAGAACAACACAAATTGTACATCAATCGATTGCCTAGCTGGACACTAAATTCTTAGCCATTAATCAGGAGAATCTAGTGCATCATTTTGTTCCGAGTTAGACTTGCGCATCGTTTAAAAGCCGTTGTTCCGAGAATCACGGCGATATTGAGTTTAAAGTGGCGCCAAGAGTGCCGAGATGCGGTCGATATTTCCCGACATGGTAATACGACTTACATACTGGAGCCCACAGTTTAGTAATAACCGGAGCGATTGTTGTCCTGGACTGAATTACATATCAAAAGCTTTCTGTAACTAGATCAAAAGTATTTAAAGGTCTTTATAGAGCCTCATAAACACAGCATCAAGAGTCAACATCAGCTACAAGAGACGAACGGTCACAAATAACAAGCGCTACATTATATCAACACTTCAACTGTTTATCCTTAACAAAATGGTTTATCCAGCTATCGAAGTGACAGTCACCACTGTTGGAAATCACACCGTTGAAGATGAGACTACCGAAGATGGAAAGAAGTACCAGAGGGCCTTCTACGATGCCGCCACTACCATTCCTGGCTGCTCCCGCGGCTGCTGGGGCAGAAGTGACAAGTACCCAGAGAAGGTCATTCACTTTATTGGTATGTCTGAAGTTTGCCAAATTTTGACAAGGCTTCATTTACTAATGCCTGTAACAAGACTATGACACCCGCAAAGAGCATGATGTCCACAAGGCTCTTATCAATGGGCCAACGCCGCCAGTCCTCTTGGACATTCAGAGTGATACCAACGTTTACGTTATCCATCCAAACACCAATGACCGCAACAAAGTCTACTATGCTCCCTACACAACAGTAGCCTTCTTCTGGGGAATTGATGAAGAGAAGTGGACTGAAGTTGCGCCTGAATTCTTTGCAGCTGTTGCCAGGTCCGATGGCTGTACTGGATACATCTGGGGCGAAATCGATAAACCAGTTCTCACCGACTATGAAGGCTTGGCCTCGCTAGGAAGCGGCAAGTGTGGTGTTTTTGCGGCTGGCTGGCGCAGCAAGGCCCATCGTGATCACGACCTTGGACGTGAAAGAGCTGTTGACGCTTGGGAAGCAATCCAAAAGGCCTGTGTCAAGGCGGATTCGTGGGGAACTACGCTTAGAGTGACGGAGAATACTGGCCATATTCATCGCTGGACAACACCTCTGCCTCTCAAGGATCGCACGGCCTGGCTTCCCGCAGCTGGCATGATCTAATTGCAGTAGGCAATTAGCTAGACAAATTGAAAATAATCTGTGAAATGATGTTGTGGGCGGCAAAGCCCAACTTGTATCTGGTCTATATAAAGATGCATCTCTTGGTTAGATACTTAATGTTAATATGTTTATATTTATTAATGATTCAATATTCTTTGCTGAATACTGGTTCATCTACAGATAGCATGATAGATATTCGATTCATATGTCGGTGCCGCCGCCTATGCTATGACCGTGACTACTACGAGCTGAATCATGAACTGTGTTATAATAATCTACTTCACGTAGTGTATAACAAGTGCTCAAGATTTCTCTTCATTCATTGACCAAACTCTCATAAGTTGCAAGGATTCATGTGGGCGTTGTGTATTGGAAGCTTGATGGGAATTCCTATGATTAGTCATTGTGTCCATGGCTAAAAATAGATGGAGCTGATGTTACATGGACTCGTTCGAATGTAAGACCGTTATTGCCTCACGCAAGTTATGAACGCTCTGGTATTAAAGGGCGCAAAGGCTAAGCAGAGAAATTGTTTTACGAAAGAGGCAAAGTGATAGATTCCATCATGTCGTTGAAGCACGTCGTCACCAAAAACGCGCCCGCATCGCCAGTTCCAGGATTGGTATGTTTATCATCTACTGATTCCCCTCAATATCTAAAATATCCGGGTTAATTTTGACTGGCGGTTCTCGTTTAGTTTGCTCAAGCAGTGCGAGCGGGCCCATTTCTATATACACAAGGAACTCCTGGCGCTCGTCCCGACGGTACTATGGTCGAGGGGACGGTACGTATCCCATAGTTGCCTTTCTATGCAAAGACATGACGCTGATATTGTATATAATAGATCGCAGATCGTACAAGACAAGCCATAAAGAACCTAGAACAGATATTGGTAGTTGAGGGAATGACCCTTAACGACGTTGTAAAGGCGACCATCTTCATCAAGAATTTTGATGAGAATTTTCCTTTGGTCAACCAGGTTAGTGGATCCACATTGCATGGGTTCATATCTTACTTTCCCTCTTGAGTTTCTCGCTCACCATAAAATTAGGTATGGGAAGAGATGATGCCGGAGCCTCGTCCAACACGAACGACCGTGGGTGTTGCTCAACTACCGGCTGGGGGCACGGATATTGAGATTGAATTCGTTGGTTATAAAGCTTGAAAGATATGTAGCTGAAGATATAGCTCTATGAAACGTTTCAGCTCGTGAATATTCACATCGAACCATGTGTTTCGGAGGTTTTTAAACCTTTATGAAGCAATCTCTCTCATCTAACAACAGTCGCCGTATACTTGAGCTAAATTACATATCAGTCTAGGACAAACAGATTGTTGGCCAATGCGTTTGGAGATCATGAACGCACATATATAGGCGAAATGCACTTGATAGTCTCGTCCAGTATGATGTTCACAAGGCTCCAGAGGCAGGGTTAATGGACACAACATTGTTATAATACGAGATACTTATTCATTCACAACCGTTCTTTAGATAAAATGTAAGCAGTCCCTAATACAGATAGTGAAAATTGATGCTGATTCTAAGACTCTCATAGCTAGCTATTCCATTCTGCCTATCACATAACCTAATTGTCATATAAGCGTATATGAACAGAAGATATTCAGGGATAAACAGGGCTGTCAATCAAGTCATGGCCTTTAGAAGAATAGCCTGGCGCATAACGATCTCCAAACGGCTGCATCCAGTTGTCTATTTGATTATCAGCATAATAGTCCAGAACTAAACAGTACAAATGTTTTCTCACCGTATGTCGTGTTTGGCTTAGTCATGCAGAGATGAATGATGGATTCGTTGAAATTGTTGCTAAAGTTTGTCCGCGGGAATTGCTCCGTTAATGTTTTCCAATCGGGCAGAGTTACTGGGAGAGATGGCCCCACGAAGTCTTCCACCGCTCCTTTGCTCACGAACTGCACCTCGAGTTCCTTGTAATCAGCAATCGTAAACGTGGAATGCAGAGCAACAGAATCCCAAAGGAGCTGCAGCCGTTGACTATCCCAAGTTTGGCCATCCTGGTGCTCCTTGACGAACTTCGTGGCAGCAAAAGCTCCATCAACCTCAAAGCGCCTATCGGGGCTAACAATGGCGGAGTTTGCATTAGGATCTAATCCAATGTCGTGAAGAATTGAAGCTATTGCATGGACTTCAAGATCAATAGTATCGCGCAGAGTCTCGTTTGCGTTAATGACGGTTGCAGAAAGCAGCCATGATCGCATCACATGATTGTAAATAGAGTCGATCATATGCTCACGAGCGAAGCTCTGTGCATCTCGGACAAGAAGAGTGTCGATAACAGTTACCCCTGCAATGACTGTTGTATTGTAAGACACGTCCCTAGGGGTGGGTAAAGCACGACTGTTGGCAAATGACAAGCCTTGGGAAATGGCCGAAGCCAGAAGAAGAGTATTTGCTTTGAAGCCGATCATTTTTGGTGAGTAGAGAGATAGATAAAGATGCAACAGACGATAGATTACACCAGGTCTTGAATAGAAGTGAAGGAGGTGATTGTCTAGCGTAAACAAGCGGCGATTCCACTGCCTTATATGTTATTTTAGAGGCTGTACCTCTGCCATCTTTAAAATTGCAATATCTCAACAAATCACACAGTACATAAAGATACGCTGAATGATTCCATACCAATTAGTAATTTAGGAATGCATTACGGCCGAGCAGCTGAAAGATGATACATCGGCATCTGCCGAGCCCCTGCCTAAAGATGTCGGGGATGCCATAATATTAGTTATCAGTATTTTACAATTAGTCTTGTGCCAAAGACTGTACTTCTATCGTTTGTGAGATTGCAATACATTACGCGCTGCTTTAATGTACATTAAATGATTCCAAAAAATAATGAGTAATTAGAGATTATATTGCAGTTAGGCAGCTAGAGGATAATACACTTGGTTCTATTCAGCCCCTGTTTAGAAACATCAGGGATGCATCGTTTTAATGATTGGTATTGTGGCCATTTTACGGCTACTCTGATCAGCAAACGCCAAACGAAAGAGCATGGCCAGTTCAGAACATCAGAGAAGGAATTAACTGGGCAGGTTCAAGGTGAATCAATTGAGCCAACATACCACTGTGCAATTCTACAGTCTTCCCAAGTGTCTTAGAACCGGGTTCGAATATTTACCTTTATATTCGGATAAAAAAAGACCAATCTTCCAATCTCCACAATCATGCCAAAGGCTGCTCGATGTGTTGCTGCCAGGCCCCTGTTATTAGTCCGAGAGCACGGCTATGTGGCCGGGGTACGTCTTGCCTAATACGGATATCCATAACTCGACATGCCAAGGTATATGACCCGTATGAATATGTTATTTATTTCAGCAGAGTAATGATCAAATCTAGTAGAGTAATTGCTCAAACCAGACATTTGTAGGCTGGTCAGTCTTAAATTGTGCATTAGCTACAAAGATGCACCACCTTTCACCCCATTCTAGCAGCCAACGGTCCAAATCAGCCAACAGTGCGCTCCTCCCCCTAGCAGCCTCCAAGAATGACAATCGAATCCTCATTTAAAGAAGAAATTGTTTTACAGAGCTTTTGCTATGACTGCATCTTGAAAACATGACTGCGAATACTCTGGTCTTATTATCCCAGCGCAGAGAGATACAAAGGCCGTTCTTACTAAGCGTGGGATGGCATAGTGCACGGGGCTACAAAAAATCCCCGCAAGTCACAGCATCAAGATACTAACATATGCATGTGGCCAGTTTGTGTCTCTTGTAACTTCTGTCTTCAGTACTTCTATGACTCTTGTCTGTGCATCAACCTTTCTCCAGCACGCCCTGTTACTTGCCACTACCTACTACAGCACTCACCCCTAAATTCATGGATCTATTATGCGAGCCAGCATCCCCAGCAACCCCTCCCCGAAAGACGCCGTATGTTTGTGATGAACTTTGGGATGGAGGGCCGTTCAAAACTTATCCAATCCGGAAAGGCAAGGTCGGGCTGATTCCTCCACATCTCCGGCATTTTCTAGGACCGGGTACCTTTCCTGAGCCATACCATGAAATGCTCTATCCCACGCCCAAAGAGGAGATACAGCCGTTTCTGCAGACCTGGCTCTGGTTTGGGCTACTGGCTGAAATGTTGGGTCTGAATGAGATCAGCACCGGTGTTCACCTTGTTGAAAGTACTGTTGCTGCTGAAGAGATTCGCAATCTATATGCAAGCACAGTCTATATTAGCCACGATGATAGCAAGCAGTATATCAGTGCCAAAGAGGTGCTAAACTCAGCCCAGGTTATTGCGGAAAGACAAAAGTTTGCGCCTAATCTACGAGAGAGGCTCATATACATATGCGACTGCCTTCGTTACACCAATTTCATGATTCCTTCTGCCTTGAATCTGGATGAAACCGTGCGATATTCGATATGCGCCCTTGGAGAATATTTTTCCACTGGCTTAGCAAGTGTGGTGGGACAGTCAAATCCCAAAATCGAAGTCCCCAACTTAGCGTTCAGCTGGCATCAAAATTACATGAAATCAGGGGGCACCATAGAGAAAGAGATGCTTCAGAGGGGGTGGTGCCCGAGCGAGACGGAGAAGATTCGATCTCAGTTTCAAGGGTTGCAAACTATGCACCACATTTCACAGCTACAGAAGTCGAATGCCAACCAAGATCACTCAAGCTGTACGCGCCATCTGTGCACAGCTTTCCAGATGGACATTGAGACCTATCAACCCTCGCACATGTCAGATGACTGCAGTTGTCCTCTCCTAACTATTGATGAAAGAGCAACCTCTCTCATTCTTCACAGCACTGATACTTATCCTATCCTCCGCTTTGATCAAATAGAAGACGAGTTGGACAGCTTCGAGCTGGTGGTTGAACCATATGAGCCAGGCGTCCCCTATGTTGCGCTCTCGCACGTAAGCACAATCATTCATAAACGCCCAACGATGGCAAGCTGACGAGATGTAATAGGTCTGGGCCAATGGACTGGGAAATCCAAGGGCAAACTCTCTTCCAAGGTGCCAAGTAAAACGAGTAGCTCAATTAATAGCATCGCTGCAAGATCAAGTAAAAGTGGGACAAACAGAGTACAAGACTCAATACCGAATCTGGATTGACACTCTTTGCTGCCCTATTGAGCTTGAAGGTAAATTGATTGCACTTGAAAGGATTGCTGGTGTGTATAGAAATGCAGCTCATGTCCTTGTGTTGGATGCTACGTTGACTGGATTAAATTCTCAAGACACGCATAGTGCTGAGTTATTATTGCGGATATATTGTGCCTCCCCTTGGATGAGACGGCTATGGACCCTTCAAGGTATTATTGTGTAGTATTTGAAAGCTTTCGATGCTAGTTTTGCTAACTTCAGACCTCTTGAATAGAGGGTACGCTCCCAAGGAGTCTATTCATACAATTCGCGGATAATGCAGTCAGAGGCTTCGATTTGCTTGTTCAGCTTTTTGCCGCTGGTAAAAGTGATCCGCGATATATGCGGATATGGCAAGATGTAATAAATGCAGTAAGTATCTTATCGTTGTTTTAGAAACATCTGAGAGATCCCATCTGATAGTCTCCCGCCGCAGTATAATGAACTTCAAGGCTTTCGTTCCGAGAATGGAGAAGCGGAGGCTGCTAGACCGCAACTCCTCACTCTTCAACGAGCATTGCAGTTCCGCACAGTATCAGTAGTGTCTGATGAACCACTCTGTATCTCTACTTTGATGTCTCTTGATACGAAGTACATTGCTGCTACCTCCGACGCCGAATCTCGAATGATTCGCACCTGGGAACTCCTGAGCAAGTTACATGGCGGCCTTCCACCGCGGCTCATATTTTATGCAGACGAAGTGTTGAGCACACATGGATGGCGATGGGCTCCTCGTAGTCTACTGGGATCGTCTGTCAAAGACTCAACGATAGGGTTCGACGAGCGCATGCTGCGTCTTGTTTGTGCCCCCGATACCCTAGGTATTCCGACACCTCTAGGTTTGAAAGTGGCCTTCCCAGGATGTCGTCTTGTTCCTCACCCGCTAGCTGCTGATCTCTCATTACATCCATGGCCTGGAGCAATTAATGCCTCGGAAGATCAGATCATCATTCGTCACGAAGAAAGCGGCAAGTGGTACCGAATAAATGATTGGTATCGTAGCAAAAAGCTATCATCATGGACTGATGATGAGAGGACAGCTTTTGATAGAGAGCAAAATGACCCTCTTTGCAGAGAAATCGACTCTGGGAAAAGCGTCCTAATCTACGATGAAAGATCAAGGAATAATAATATCTTAGTAGCGTGCATGGCGCTCATAGAAAATATTCCGGAAGACTTTGAACACAGCTCGATTAATTCGGAAGAACTCAACGCTGGCCTAAAAGTCCACAGAACAAGGACGGTTATCATGTCTCTTCTCAGTGAGGAAGAAGTACGAATGATGACAATTTTTGGAGACTTGGCTTCTATCGTGGCAGCATATCAGGAAACTTCTAACCTATTGGCGATCACGGATCGTGATAGTGAAGAGTGGAACAATTGCATGAGCAAGATCAAAACGAAGATGAGAGAAGTGGTAGCAGAAGCCTTAGGTTCCAACCCAGAGCTGGTTGAGACTATCAAGAATACCATTGGCGCCGACGTGGATGAGTATATGTGGGCATACATTCCCAAAATCTTTTCCCACACTATTACCATGGAAGAAACATCGAGCGAGCAGATTTGGTTTGTTGATTAGATATCAAATACAGTGCTACATATATATAACTAGCTGGACCGTCAAGCCAACGTTTAGTATCTTGTACTTTGTATCCCATATTTCGTATCAGGAACCGGTGTTGAAGCATTTCGTAATAGCGGAGCTGCTAAAAAATAGCATTGCAGTGACTTACGAATACTGGTTGACTAGGTAGCATTTGTAACTGCGAGGAGTATGATTCATAACTTTTCGCAATCCTAGATATAAGCACAACAATTCTTGGATTATTAAAACAGCGAATTGCGGTGAGCCAATTAGATTATACCTCGGCTAATAAACAGGGAAACAATTCAAAGGCTGAAGCGACATGATGAAGTCCAGTGATTGGGAGAAGCTGATATGATGAGTAAATAAGCAAAGCGTTAACTCCGTTCTTCTTTGTCATTCGTTATTAATCCACAATCGTAACCCCCTGGAAGCAAATCCCTACTTGTTATATTCGTGGCGTCAACATTATCAAGATCGAGAATTCGGAGTTTGTCGGCCCATCTTCATGCGGGTGACTTCTTTATTCACTGGGCTTCATCCGCGCTAACTGACCCTTAGCGTCTACGTCAACCAACTTTCTTTCGGACTCTTCAACAGGCGCTCAGCTCAGGGACGATTCGGAATAGGAAGAAGCTCCCCCGCTTCCTACGATGCCTTATACTATATCTTGACCAAAGAGATATAGAGCAAGATTTATATTAGCGACGGCCACGCAGTATAATACTTCCGCTATGGATATACCGCAGAATGAGTCATCGGACAACCTGACAAAGCCAACAACCAGGCATTCGTGGAACTCCACGCATGTGCTGAAAAAGTGGCATGCTCTCAACTCTGCCTGGCCCTATCCGAGCGTTGAGGAAAAGCAAGAGCTTAGTCGTAAATCTGGGCTAAGCGTTCGCCAAGTATCACAATGGTTTGTGAATGCAAGGCGGAGAAGCGAAGGGCGATCACACGATAAACAATGCAGCAGTGAGAGTCACTTAAGCTCTTCATTACCCAGAGTACGACGGTCTGCCTCGCTAGGTGCTCCCCCATCGGCAGCTTCTAGAGGCACCTTGACCAAATCGCGCTCTCAAAGCGACATATCTGCAAAGCTTCAAGCCGGTACCAATAATTCACGAGATTCCATTACTTCACGCCCCTCAAGTAGCTGGTCTTCTTACTCTGAGCATCCCGACATTTCAAATCACCACCAATCACAAAATGAGCGCTCCAAAACACAACATAGAGTGTGCAATAGGATAGCCGAGGATAAAAGCTCCCGGATCTATCAATGTACTTTCTGTACGGATGCCTTCAAAACAAGATATGACTGGACGAGACACGAGGCAACGCTCCATTTAGCGCTTGAACAATGGACATGTCTCCCAACCGGGCCGAAAAGATGGGATCTTGGAGATGGCTCTCCCAAATGCTCTCTCTGTGACGAATGCGACCCCTCCGATGATCACCTTCGGTCTCATCGTATATCTGACTGCATAGCGAAACCTACCTCGTTGAGAAGTTTCCTCAGGAAAGATCACCTTCACCAACACTTGCGTCTTGCGCACAGCATCGATAAAATGACACTCTCGATGAATGCTTGGAGCTCGAAACTTTCTCATGTGAAATCACGCTGCGGCTTTTGCGGAGAGACCTTTTCCCTTTGGACGGACCGCAATGATCATCTAGCCGACCACTTTCGAAGAGGAAAATCCATGAAAGACTGGAAAGGAGATCGAGGCTTTGAGCCTTCCATTGCAATGCTTGTCCAAAGCGCAATGCCGCCCTATCTCATTGGCGCTGAGTCTTTAGATCTAGAGCCTTTTAGCGCCTCGAAGGGTGTAATGAAGAAGATGCTCACATATCCGGACGCTCAGAATCCTCCAAATGTGTTTGAGCTACTTACAGCCCGCCTTAGTGACTTTGCAACTGCCTCACAAGCAAGTGGCGCTACCATCAATTGTGACATCCTTCGACACCAAGCGCGGCTTATTCTCTATGGGGACGATGATCCATTGAATCAGACTCCTGCAGACAATGATCAGTGGCTAACATTGTTCAAGATTGGGCATGGATTAGCGTCAGTATCAATCGCAACAGGTGGCAATTCTACGCATTCCCCATTCTCCGAGACGGTAACGCCGTTGTTATTATGCGCCAACAACCTTAGCATTCCGCGTCGAATGCCAGCGCAAGAACAAACAAGGAGCAAAGACGATAACACTGAGCCTACGCTCCCATGGTGGTGCCAGTCTCCTGAATGCCTAGCAGAGCTTATGCAAATGAGCCGAGAATTTGCTTTAACGACCCTAGGTGAAATCGAGATTAATAATGAATTGGATGGAGGATACTAATTTGAGTCTTCTTCAACATTGGAAAGGGAACGGAAAGAACCTCTTTTAAATGAGATGATTCATAGCCTAGCTACATCGAACTAGTGCTCTCTTCAAATTCGACCCCCATCACAGTTTAACAGACATCTCCAAGCCTTTAGAATAAGGAAGTGTCAGATTCGTATAACCATTTTTCGGAGACCTCAAATGCTCCAGTAATTCTTTGTATCTGGTAGCAGAGGAAATCGAGTTGTCAAGAATAACAACGCCTCCAGATCTCAGCTTTGGCTCCAAGAGTTTCAACGCAGGAAGGGCAACAGGGGCCCAGACTAGATGAGCTTAGTTATGTAACCTTACAATCATCGCAAATGTCAACTTACTATCAAGGAGAATCAGATCAATCTGCGGGATGTCTTTAGTCAACGTTTCAAGGAGATCCCCTTCTCTCAAGTCGATATGGCGCGTCACAAGATCGTTTCCAGCTTCTTGCCAATATTGGCGAGCTTTCTCGGCCTTTGTATGTTCTTTCTCCGTGGCAATAACCTTACCCTCGCCACCAAGGTTATCGAGATTACTTCCCACTGCCAAAGCGAGATAGATAGTAGAGACCCCAAAGCTGGTGCCGATCTCGACAATGTTACGAGCGCCGGTTGCTCTCGCAAGTTGATAGACAAATTGACTTTTATCTTGATCCAGGGCAATGAACTTGTCTCGCATCAAGTCATCAAAGCCACCAGAAGCCAAGTAAGTCGATGGAAGAGCGGCTTCTTGTGTAAGTGACTCTTGATGCAGACGATCGAGCAGCGCAAGAACATGGTCTGGTGCCACAACAGGGTTTGGAGTTGGAGCGGACATGTCTAGGAAATGGGCCGAGGGAGGGACTTCTGTTCAAGATACTGTTTCTTATGACTGTCCAAATATCTCGATGGGATTCTTAGTCTTTTGATGCTCTCTCAGTGAGGTCATACACACGGCGAACCTACGAGAGTATATATAGTCAGACTAAACAACTCATACCAGGATTTCGGATGTGGGCTCTCGGAGATCTGCCATCCGATCCTGCACTGTGGCCCACAATATGTGCCATTTGGCGCCCTGGACATACTCCGCAGCTGCCTAAAGATGACACCAATTTCGGGTACAAAGTCGAGATGTATAAACCGTTAATAGATACTCTCCTGGTAATGCATGTATGACAGTATTCTTATTTGACCTGTTTATACATTGCATGAGCCATCTTTCTTAGAACTTGCGTTTCATACCACGGGGTCTAGTATCAGGCCGGTAGCCGCTTAGTCAACCAGGATGAGAGGAAGCGCTTTGTAGGATCATGTCTGATAGGACCTATGTGTAAACTCTATTAGCGCCTACTTTGTTGGTGAATTTGCTCAATTATATAAGCCAGAAGCTAGCAAGAAGTTGCGTGTAGTAGTGTAGTGTACCATCTGCGCGATTTGCTATCTTTAAAACAGCCTCTAGCTACTGTCCAGAGTATGGTTGGTAAAGAATTAGCATTTGCGATTCAAGTTCATGGATGTTTGACTGTTTGCAAGAATTAATCACAAAAATAATTGAAAATTTAGGAATGCGAGTGTTTAGGTAGCTCAGTATTACTCTGTGAGGTCCTCAGCAGCTGACAAATGATCGTTGGCCTCGAAATGATTCATCTCTATTTCATCAAGAACTTCTGGCGGCCTACAAACGCTTTTAAGTTTGGTAATTCGCTGGAGCTAGGAATCAACAGATTTGCCATATACTATTATTAAATTATTAATTATTAATTTATTATGCTCTCTCAACTTCTATACTAGCTCTTATACCTAGTCCCACTCATAAGACCTTTTGTCCTTTACCCCTCTTTTCCTTCGTTTCCGAGCAACACGTTCAACTTAGACAACCGTGGCAACCACAGTATCTGTCAACTTTATAATTATGGACTGGTTCTAAAGCTTCCAGATAATCATCTTCAAATAAAATAAAAATGGCGCTAGAGCGCCCTTCATCAGAGATCCCCGACTATCTCAAACAGCTTTATGCTGCCTATCGCCATACCAGTGACATAAGCTCGAAAGGCAACTTCTTTTCTTCTACCTGCCTCCAAATATGCCGGCCACAGCCATCATTTGCAGCTCGCGATAGAGAGACTATTGTGCGGTATCTCCACGAAGCGTCAGGCAAGGGTGCTGACACCCCAGCATCGACAACTGAAGCAACAAACAAGCAGTCGAAAAAGAGCTATTACACGATCCGGCCCATACGAGAAGATGAGTTCGAGTTTGGCACTGATGATCAGGTCAAGCCCGCTGGATTTGTGACAGCAGAAGATCTCAAGCAAAAGGCAAGAATTGAGGGATGGGTAGGCATGAGAGTCGACTTATGGGATGAAGAGGGGAAAGATGGAAGTGAGGGGCGCCTGATCAAAGTTCAGTACTGGTGGAGGAAAGAGGAACAAGGATGGATACAGATTTGCCATGATATTATGTACATAGGGCCGAGAGATGGGACCGAAGGCAGCCAGGGCGAGCTGCTTGAGTGATGCTATTTCACAATTACTCGGCCTCTTTTGTCATTTATGCTTTTGATATGTTACTATATCTTTGATCAGCTCATGTCAGAAGTAAATGATAGTCTAGTAGTCATATCAACAAACTTTTTTCTTTCTTTTAGTTGCTATTGTACTGTATCAGTCTAGAACCGGCAGCAATCCCTTGTCTTGGGCATCCTTTACAGCCTGGTTATAAATTTCCAACTTTTCCTCGTACTCCCTGATCAAATCGTCTTGTGATTCTTCTCTCTTTCCGGGGGAGGCGTCGCCGCCTCCAAATGCTCTCACCGCAGCATAATAAACATCTGCAAGTGCTTTGCAAACTGACGTTACACTTGATGATTGGCATTGGTAGTAGAGGCTAAACGGCAATTCTCAGTATTCTATCTTCGCACTAGTCATAGATTCAATGGCCATCTGGTTTCACTTACTCAGATTTGAAGTTATTGTCAATATTGAGCTTGCCGCTCTCCGTAAACCGACTTTGTAGGCGATAGTTCTGGTAGCCGAAATCGTGTCGGTTGCAAGCAGGGACAAAGGGGAATCCAAACGGATTATCCGGCGAGTCGGTGCAGCCATCAGACGACCAGTCAAGCGTAGAAGGGTTTTTGGCATTGCGGCGAGTAATGAAGTCGGGGAGTGTTGTGCTGAACAGCAGCTGATCTGTGATAGCTGAGAGGCTGGTTTGCCGTCGGCTCAAAGTGCCTTCAGAGGCTGGCAATGCCAATGCGGCGGGGAAAAGGCTAAAAACGACGGATGCCAGCTTCATGATGAAAAGATTATATCGTCGTTCTATAGAGAATCGCTTGAATTATACGTTGATGCTATTGAGAGGGGGTTCTATCTCAACTGCGAGGAACTGTGGCTTCCTTTATACACAACTCCCATTTCCATACATTATGCCATTTGTAATGCCAACACCATCCTCCAACGCAAGGGACTGAATCAACTAGTTTCGACTTGTCATAGAGCATATGCCGAGACGAAAAGTTCTCAAATGTTCCATTTATGCTCACCGACCTGCCCGAAATAGGTTATTTCGACCCTTCGCCAAGAGCTCTCTCTAGAAGCCATCTGCATCCTAAATGGGGCCAGTCTCCCCAACAGCTCTCTACCCCTCATACTGGACGGCGCTGGAGCGGGTTAAGTCACTAGAGTAGCAAAGCGTTGTCTAGTCCGAGAGGGCAGTGCGGCCGAAAAGAGGTATCAAAACCGCGAATAGTCTGGCCGTCTTTATTAGAGATTTAAGCTTCCTATTTCGCGAACAGCGTGAGAGGTTAATATCGGCGGGTTATAAGCAGAGAGCATAATAAACTCAGAAGTAGCTTGCCAAGAGTCATACTTTATTGCGATTAAGCGCTAGGCCAAGCATTCCATCGCGTGTGAAAGTTGTGGGACTAAGTCAACTGACTATGTGCTTTTCTTCTCCTACTTTCACCGCCAGCCTACTGATACGATTTGCATCCCTGCTTTCCGTTACCAATAACAGAGCTTAACAATACTGCACGTTGCCGAAAATGGCGACTGTGGAAGTCGTGAAAATGAGCAGTTGGCTTACTGATAGTATTAGTTGAGCGGAATAAGAGAAGCGCATACGTCTTGTAGCTACAATAACTGAGACAAGAACGCCAAAGTCGATTTCGTTTCATGCGCTAAATTTGCTCCAACCTCAAATGCCCTAGATGCCCTATAAGCCACAGGCAGCATGTTGACCTAGATTACATATCTAAGAAGCGCAGACGTAGATGTAGAAGAAACATATTAGGCGGCGTCAACATGCATACCACGTAAGAGAAGAGAGACAGAAGGGAAATAGAAACTCTCCATCATGTTCGCAGAGCTGTGTGGTGAGTGTGCACTGCGGGGTATACGCTGCCCCTTGCATTTATATGTTTTCGGCCTTGCGACGAGATTCGCTCCATGTTGGCATAGAGTATATCAGCCGCCAGGGCATTGTACATGAAAGCCTCCGATATGCTTGTACTATATATAGGTATTGGCATCATACTTTACAGTACAGAGTACACAAAGGGGACTTTCGTATCCTTGCATGCACATGCTATAAAGAAAGGTTCCGGCCTGGTTACCTAGTCCAGTTGTTGACCCTCTTCGTTGTAACGTGAAGCGTTCCGAGCAGCTCATTCGCGGGCTCTCCGATCTCCTCATCAGCTCATATGACTACTTCTCCCGTACCCAGTCGCAATACCCAGCACTGATACCTACATATGGTCTTCATTCTCCCGTGTCTGAGGGAATTTTACCCCATAGCCATGTACAGCAGGTAGTAGCCAATTGCTGATGCTCCTCTCTAGTCACACAGAACAGCCGGCTCCATCAAAATGAATCCAGCGCGGGGTTATGAAGCGTGGACGCATGGTAACGCTCAGGGTGTGGCCATTCCATTACTCGCTATGCGGCCTCATGTCCGTTTCAGGGCAAAAAAGTCGCATCTTGCAGGTAGAGAATCTTTAATACCACCTCATATCTACGGAGCAGGTGTAGGTCATATGGATGGATGGTCGGGGCGTCTCAATGGCTGATAGCGGGGATCCATTGCTGTATGTAAAAGAATCAGGCTCATTCAATAGGTCGGTACGCTCGCTGAAAAAGGGCTGCATGTACAATGAGCTGCCTAGTCCAGTGTGCGACCATCTCAGAAGGGATAGGCTGAGAGGATCTCGCGATTGAGCTCCAATCTAGAGAATGCCGGGACACCTTGATCAAACTGGAAGCGTTGTGATACCCACGCCACCGCCAATCACGCTGCACATACTATTTCCATAGCATCATACAGTGAACGAGAAAGATGCATGCATAAGCTCGGTGTTCAGTATTGTTCAGGTTCGGAGATGAACCCCCCCAATCATATCCAATCTGTAGGGCAACTTGTGTCACCGACTTTGACGCGCAATTGTCTCGCTTGTCTAGATCGCGCCCATGGCAGCGGAGCAGCAGGGCTAGCTCGCCATCAGCCGCGGGTCCATGATGTGCTGCAGCTTGTGCATGTATCTTCCTGATCCATATAAGCTCCGGCGTTTAGCTACAAATATCTTGCATCCATCGATTTAGTGGTGGAGATTGCAAGTAGCAGCATAAAGCCTGCTTCCGCAATCGGTGCAACAGAATCGGATTTTCATCAAGGATTTTTGTTCATCAGCTCCCACTTACATCTACTAATGTTCAATAATGTTCAAAATTCCGCAGGGTTTGCAGCTAGCCACCTTTTCGCTGGCGATCGTTACCTGTACAAACTTGATGTGTAGTACAAAATATGAGGCAAAGAGGTGTCACACATACACACAACCTGTTCTCTCCCTGCAGCAGAGGAATTAGAGTGGCGGCACGTTATCACTTGTCTAGAAAAGAACAGTGGCAGATCACGATAAGTAGGCGCTTATCATGTTTGCTCATTTTATTATTGTGAGACATGCATGCAGATGACCGTGAGCTATCTAATTCGCTAACTTCGTGGGTATCCCGCCACCTCGTCTCCTGATCTATTCTTTCTCTGGCCCTCTGTAGGCCTCGGAATGCGCCATACATTGATGTTCACAAACAGGCCCTGGCGATTGATCATTCACTCTAGAAGAGAAAGTTGACCCGCCGATATGTGGATATCTAGTTCGGCATCGTGTATCCGGGGGGGCGGCCTCGCCTCCCTTCCAAGATCGACTGTATCACCCACCCAACCTTTCACTGCCCTTGATCCTGCCTTTTATTTTCGTGATCTAGATTTCAGCTATTAATACATTATTCCTCCTTCGCAATCCATGACAGTGATCTCAGAAGCCTACGTTGCTGTGAAGTGCTAATTGTCTCCTCTTTTTGCAACTTCAGTCCCAATCCCAATAACTGCATGCGATGGGTCGTCAATCGGAAACGGGGACATCGCCATGGCGCTCTTCAGAAGGCTTAGTGACCTTTGCGGTCGCATTTGCAGTGTTTACAGTAAATATGGACTGGCTTCAAGCCCAAAGGAATCTGTGTGCTAACCAAATTGTAGGACGGATTGGTGTATGATTTAGTTATACCCTTCCTACCTGAGCTCTTCACAGGTCGACTAAAGACCCGACCAGAAGATGGTTGGTAGAAACCGTATCTCAAACTCGGCAGCGAATATCAAGTTGGCTAACATGGCAGTCGATCACAGTTGACAATTGGGCTGTTCTGTCTCTTGAATCCTTCGGGATGGCATTGCTGATTACGAATTGTGAGTCAGCCAATTCCTTGCCAAGTAGCCTCTCTAGATGCTGATTCGTGTCGCATTAGGGATTGCTGGATATATTGCCGACGGAAGCGTCTCGAAAAGTCGCCCATTCCTCGCCGGAATTGGTATTATGCTTATTGCTACACTTCTGTTCTTCCTTGCCACTGATCCATACCTCATCATTTTCGCACGCGCCTTGCAGGGGGCCTCAGAAGCTCTTGTATGGGTGTCTGGCATCGCTTTTCTAGTCTCGCAGGTAGACGAGGCCAATCTAGGAGTGTGCATGGGTTACACAACGTTGGGTGCTACGATCGGGGAGCTGATCGGACCCCTACTGGGAGGCTATCTCTACGAAAAGCTAGGACATTGGTCTGTCTTCGGCGTAGTAGAGATGGTGATTGCGGCAGACATTGTGCTTCGAGTATTAGTCAAGGAGAAAGACGTGACGACTCAGCAACACACCCCAGTGGATGTTGTGAAAGGCGATTCTGAAACAGAGCCTCTGTTAGAAGCTGCGGTCGCTGTATCTCATGGGACAATAAACCGCCCTTTATCAACGGATATTGAGCGCGGTGAGGGAGATGACCGCACGGCATTTGCTAAGACTGGCAACTGCGAAGACGAATATGATGCCGTGTCTGAGCTGCGCAGTCTGGGATGGAACTGGCTCTCGAGCGTCATTGGAGCGGCTGTTGCGTGCATCGTTCGGTCAGCATTGGAAGCTGTGAGTTTGCCATCAAATTGCCTCGTCCAATATTATATTAACACATCACCACAGACTATTCCGATCTACGTGCTCCGCCATTTTGGTTGGACTTCATCTGCTGGCGGAGGCGTCATGTTCGCTCTCCTTTTCCCCATGGTAGGCGGCCCATTGGTCGGCAAATACACGACTTTATACGGCCCTCGGTGGTTTAGCTCTCTAGCATCGCTCGCATGTGGTGCCTTCGTGGTCACACTAGGCTGCCTTACAGGCGATGATCCGACGACTCAGGTTCTCTTTGTCATAAACATCGGGCTCATTGGACTCTGCATTTCTCTCGGCACAACGACGCAAACCACGGCCATCTCAGCAGCCGCACAGAGAATTGAGGCCCTGAGAGCACGTCTTCGATCCAGTGACGTGGAATTAAGCTGGCAGTTGAGAATGCTGACCCCGGGGATGATGTTGAGCGGTCTAAGCACAGCGTGGGCTTTGGGGCTTTTCCTGGGCCCTGCCTGTGGAAGTATTTTCCACTTCAACACGGATCGAGAGTGGCTGCACCTCTGCTGCTTCTTGGGAATAATATGTGTGGTAACAGGTTGCTATTGTTCCTCCACATGGAAAAAATGGCGGTAAATGGCCTTGTTGGTTGCAACCAAGTTTAAAGCAGTCGATTCACGATAACGTATGAGACAATGACAAAAAGAATTGCGTATCTGTATGCCCTAGGAACGATTGTTTCCAAAGACTCAGAAATATGGTAAAAGGGCCAAAAAAGAAAATCAAGATGAATAGCAATTGCACGTTTCGATCGTGCGACCTCCGGGTTATGAGCCCGGCGCGCTTCCACTGCGCCAAATTGCTTTGAATCCGCTTGATGGAGTCCCAACAGCGTAAATTCGGTAGATAGTGGTTACAATAGGCGGACGTGAAATTTCCGTGGTGGAGGTGGGGAATAGCGTCAAGGATAATGGAGTCGTTAAGATGGAGCGCTTTGGCCGTGATGGTTGGAGCATTGTAGAAAGACAGACAACCAAAAACAAGAAGGGAAAAAAGGCTGAACCATAGTACAATCATCAGCTGCAAGTGTGAGATTACATACATACATATATACATGTAAATTATAGATCTACAGATACCCGCACAGGTAGCAACGGGACTAGATTCTGTACATGGAATTAGCAACGATCGCAGCAGCTTAGTACACCACCAGGACAGCTTTCGATCTTTGTTAAATGATAAACATGAATAAACAGATGGCATGTCAAGAATTGACAACATACAGTGCCCAACACTATCAGCTCGTTCTCCCAATCACTGAAGTCCTGGCCAGTCTTCAAAAGTGGTGACGAACAACCTTGATGTCTTGCTCCGCCAACCATCAGGGTTCACCAACGCAGCTTTACTGTGCCTTATTTGAAAACAGTTAGTCTACATGATCGTGCAAACATGTATGAGGTAGCTAGAAGATATATAGCATTTTCACCATCAAGGTCCTCAGCTATACTTCAAGAAGACGTAAAACGTAAACACAATAGACGAACAGACTCTCTTTCTTTCTTGCAGCACTTTAACATCTCTTTTTGACTTCATCAGTCGCTAATTGCTTTTTTTTCATCATATGATAATTATTGTGTCTCTCTATAAAACAACACAAGACCAAATTGACAAAAAATGAGTATGCTTCAAAAAGAAGAAGAGGTGTACGATGTCATTATCGTCGGCGCTGGCCCTTGTGGCCTTTCCACGGCTTCTCGACTCCGCGAACATACTCCAGCCGCTCTTTTCACGGACGAAGAACACCGCCGTTACCATTGGATTGGGAAATATGGAAAGCAAATTAGCCTCAAGCATGTAAAGAGCGGCAAGATATCCCATCCCCATCACTCGGCAAGTTGTCGGCCTGAATACAAGATGCTCGTCTTGGACGCCACGGACAACAAGTGGCTCGGCCGCTGGAATCACCTCTTCAAAACATATGATATTTCGCATCTACGCAGCCCAATGCTTTGGCATGTGGATCCTCTCGATCGAGATGCTCTTCTGGCTCATACGTATGCTCACGAGCGTGAAGATGAGCTTGTTGAGATCCGCAACTGCGTAGGCAAAGAGGTCAGCAAGCACGCAAGCAAAAAGAAAGCCAAATGCAAAGCATGCGGCGGAAAGTATGTAAACCCGATTTACTGGAGCGCATATACAAAGGTCTGACAAGAGGATTCATAGGCAGGAAGCGAGAATTGATATCAACCTTAGAGAGCGAAACGACTATTACACACCATCACAATCGCTCTTTCGCGATCATTGCGAGCAAGTGGCCGATCGATATAACCTTGGAGAGAAGCTCCTCCGCAAAGAGACACTGCAAGATATCGACTTTGGCGAGGTAAAAGGCGTTTCGATAGACGGTACAAAGCTCTTCACCATCACGACAGATGCAGCTCGTCAATACTATGCGAAAACGGTAGTCCTCGCAGTTGGGCCTGCCAATACTCCCAAGATTCCATTGCTCTCATCTGTATCTCCCTCGCCCAACGGCGGGATTCCTCAAGCATGCCACAGTATGCAGATCAAGGAATTCCCAGATCCGCTCGTTCAATCACGCATCGCCGCAGGTAGATGCACCAACGTCCTCATCATTGGTGGCGGCCTTACTTCTGCACAGCTAGCGGTACTCGCTCTCCGAAAGGGAGTGACCAAGATATGGCACCTTATGCGTGGCCCTATGCGCGTCAAACATTTCGACGTTGACCTCTCGTGGATGGGCAAATACAAAAACGCAGAGCATGCGCGGTTCTGGTCCGCTGACTCGGATCTTGAGCGCCTTGAGATCATCAAGGAGGCACGCGGCGGTGGCAGTCTTACGCCCCTTTTTTACAAGAAACTGAAAAAGTGCATCGCGTCTGGCAGTGTCGAGCTTCATACTCATACAACGCTCGTAGATGCGGAAATGAAAGAAGTTGATGGCGCTCAATTCTGGATTATCAAGACAGAGCCTCCCATTGCAGGGCTGCCCTTATTCGATTATATGTATTTCGCTACGGGCATCCAGACAGATTTTACTGCCTTGCCATACCTTCAAACCATGCTGCGGAAATATCCTATCCACGGCCATGGCGGGTTTCCATGTATTAACGAGGACCTCATGTGGAAAGACGGAGTGCCTCTATTTATGGCTGGAAGGCTGGGGGCTCTTCAACTTGGTCCTGCGGCACCAAACATTGGAGGAGCAAAGATTGCGGCAGAGAGGGTAGCATGGGCAATCGAGAACATGATTACGCTTGACGGGGTGCAAGGGAATGATGAACAGGATAATAGTGGATTGGCAGAATATCTTTCAGGCCATGGCAATATGTACAGCATTTTGCAAGATGAGGTAAACCAATGATAGGCACAGCTTGTTGCTTAGAGAGTTTGATACTTGGTTTAAAACACAAATTCACATCTCAATTCGAATAAACATCATAACTATACTACAATACGTAGTAGCCAAATGTTCCGCATATCATTACTCGTATATTAATATCGTAACCGTCCGCTCGGTCTAGCCAGCAGATAAAACGCAATTTCGTCCCTTGGCACAATAGTTTTCAAACAGCCCCTTTGCCAATATCTACTTAGACTTCTCGAACAAGCTCATCGTCATGGAGGCCTGCGAGATGGCCGTCCTGCTGCCTGACCATGACCTGCTTCTTCAAGGCAGCACGCGGCGGCCACTTGGCGTTGAAGACTTCGTCCAGCTCCTCCAGAGTACGGCCCCGAGTTTCAACTCCAAAGAAGTACCAGCAGATTGCATAAATGAGATTGAGGCCGACGAAGATGAGGTAGTAGCGCCAGTCGATAGAGTCCAGAGCGATGGCGGTAACATAGGTGTTGTAAAGATTTGCGGTGTTTGAGAAGATTACGTGCTGTGGGGCGCTCAAAGTCAGCATTACTGAAATATTGATAGAGAATACTGCTCGGATTGTAAAAAGAGAGATGAAGGGCGACTTACAACTCCCATACCCTTGGCACGGGTATGGTTGGCCAGAACTTCCGCACAGTACGTAGCGGTTAGAGGAGTATACACGAATGAGTAGGCGCAGCCAAAAAGGAAAATCTATACAAGTGATCTTGTTAGCATCTACCGCCATAACGTTTGGGTTTGTTTTTGCTATATCCGGAGGGCCATCACTTACCATGGCAACACCAGCATTCGAATAGGCCGTACTGATACCCGCAGAGCCGTGCTCAAACTTGCTAGAGAATCCAGTGACTGCAGCGAATAGTCCAGCGAGGACAATGCTACCGATCCAGAGCTTGGTACGGCGACCAACCTTGTCATTGGTGGCAGAGCCAGCAACAGCACCAGTGCAAGAAACAATGGAGTTGGCAAAGGTAAGAAGCAGTCTGCGGTCAACAGAAATGATGCCCAGAAGCTTGTACATGGACGGGAGATAGTAAGTCAAGACCGAGTTTCCAGAAAGCTGGGCGAAGAAGGACATGAAGGCCATCTGTGTGAATCGCCATCGAGAGTTGCGGTCCTTGACCAGAAGCCAGTAGTTGAACACACTTGAAGACTTTTGCAATTCAATCGAGCTCTCGAATTCGCGCAGCTCGAGCTGGACCAACGGGTGGTTCAAGTCGCCACCGCCGTGGTACTTGGCCAGAATCTCGGCAGCCTTTTCCTGCTTTCCCCACATAGTGAGCCATCGAGGGGATTCGGGGATGAAGAGTGCGCCGAAGAAGATGACAAGCGGAGGGGCGATCTGGAGGGCCATGGGAAGGCGGAAGGCGAGGGTGCTGTTGTGCTTGGCGGAGGCATATGCGACACCTGTAGCGAGGATGGAGCCGGTGTAGAAGACTGTATAGCATCGCTCCTATGTTAGCGGTTTTCAACATCTCCAACGGTCTCGTTGTAGGCTGAAAAGAAACGAGCATCCACATACAGGTATTGTAGTATCCAACGACACGGGCACGCCACTGGGGAGGAGCCAACTCGAGGGCATATGTGGGAGCAGACGAAGTTCCGATAGAGACGCCGAATCCAAGGACAAAACGACCCCCCAAAAGGTAGGCGTCACTCTTGGCGGCGGTTTGTACAATGGCACCGACCATGATGAAGACGGCACCAGCCATCATACCGGCGCGACGACCGAAGCGATCGCAAATCGGGCCGGTGAAGAGAGAACCGATCATGTTGCCGATGGTGTAAATCATGAAGATGCTACCAAGATGGAATGCAGATGTGAGCCAGAGTATACTATTGAAGTGACTTCTTTGGAGTAAGTTTCAACTTACATGCCCGTGGATGAACCAAGCTCTGTGTGGTGGAAATAGTCCTGGTACTGCGTCATGGCATTGATAGAGCTGAAGATGGACTGTGTTTGAATCACTGTTAGTCGGCTCGTCTCGCCAAAGTGCATTATCAAGGTAAAATCCACTTACACCGTCGAAACCAGATGCCGTCGCGTTCAATCCCGCCACCAACAAGATCAGGTACAACTTGATGCTCGTCCTTGACCATGGATCCATCGGCGCCGCGGTAACGGTCTCATGGAAATGCGCATTGCCCTGGACTTCGGTGATGTTTCCAATGGCAGATTTGTCAAAGGCATCGCCATTCAGCGAGCCATGGTCAACGACCGCCTCAGGCCGTGACTCGTCCTTCTCACCCATGGCTCCGGTTCGCGCTGTCGACCTTGTATATCTTTTTTTTCCTTTGCAGAGCTAATAGATGGTTGTTGTGCTGCTGCAAGTAAAGAGCAGAGCACGACTGTCAGCAAGGTTCAGGGAGAAGGAGAAGGCTGATGAAAGGGAAAAGATGTACGCAAGACTGACAGCGGGTCAAGATCTCTTTATGGTTTCGCGCAGTCAAGCAAAGGGCAGCATCCAAGGCGATGGTAGCAGGCCGGACTAACAGCCCAGTCTTCCCCAAGCTCCACGACGAGCCACGAGGCAAGCCGAATTCAGAGCAGGGATCAGCAACGAAGCAAGATGGAGGTTGCAGTCCATCATCCACTTGACTCAAAAGTGCAGCAAAGGCCTATCTCCTTGCGCGTAAAAGTCCCCAGCCTTCGGGGAAGACAAGACAAGACTCCGCAGTTTTCCCCCATCTTTCGTTCCCCCACCGAGCGCCAGGGAGCAACAAGCACTCGAACCATCAAGCTGGGTCTAAGGCTAGCGGCGGCAAGCCTCTGAATTCGCGGAGGGATGGGGTAAAACCTGCTGTCGATGAGTGCGTGCAAAGTGCCGTTTCTGGTTAGTTGTCGTAAATGGGAGCCCGCTGGTGGGTTTGCATCCCGACGGTGAGACTTTGCCGGCTATTCATGAGCCTTCATCCAAATGCGGGGGTAGCTTCACCAAGTGGCCATGAGACAAGACAGATGCATGAATAATGTATTGCATCTTCGGTGAGACGAGGCTCAAATTCCGTTTCATCGTCGAGGCGAAATCGAGCTGAGATGGGCTCAGCCACGATCATCTCAGGTACCGGAAGCCGTCGAGAGTACAGGTGCATATTCAGACCTTGGCTTGGCGCTGAGACTGGCTTATTGGCCCTATTGACCCCCACAACGTGTTATCCACCACCATACGAAGAGACGGTACCCAGGATTGTGTGTTCAATGTCTGCTTATAGCACTACATAGTGATGGAAGAGCTTGCAAAAGTGGCTGCCGCATCATAGCTTAGAGCCCATGTATGTATACACTCGTAAACAGTACGTGTATGCTTTGTCTTCCTCGGTACTTGTATACGTCTTGAATCTCCCAGTACCAATGTGCCCAGTAACGACACGGACGAGCGAGCAAAGAGGTGCGGCTCACTGCATTAACCTGGACATGGATCTAGACATTCTTGCTCGATCCGTGCACTGCTATTGGCCGGCCCTTTTTCAGTTGCTCCGGTCTCCTCATTCTGAAGTTGGACTTTTATCCGTTTACTTGCTAATCCCTGACCAGCAATGCTCACGCGCCCATCATTCGTTATCTGCGAGCATTGTTTTGCAGCTTTTAAGACTACATGTACCTACCAGCTTCCCTTATGCTCTGCCAGGCCATTATCTTGCGTCCGTGGCTTCTCCTTATCCAGCGTTGATGATAAAACCCCACCAACCAGACCCCCCATGCATCATCCCAACGTTGCGAGGCGCCTCTTGGCACAAGATTCTCTGTGTCTTCATTATCGGCGGTGACCAAGTAGCCCATATCAGAACGTTCCATCACGGCACGCCCTGGCTTTGAGCTCGACCCCCACGGATGCTGGTGCGAAACTTCCTCTTGGAGCTTCAAGGATGGAGGCCCTCCTCGGGCCAACAAGGCGAGATCCGTTGTCTTTATCCGTACTCCGTAGAGCTGTCAAACCAGAAGCTATCTTCGGAATAGATGTGCATTTTTATGGATATGGCTCTAGCTGCCTCAGACGTTACCTTGAAGCTCCATTCCTAGGTATAGACATGTTATCTAGTGTCCTTAGTGCCTGTATACCAGCGTCGCGCCCTTTACAGAAAGCCCATCTCCTATCTGTGATATTGCTACGCTTGCTATCTTGAGCCTCTGTACGAGGTAGCTTCCCCGCATAATCTCAGCTTGGTCATGCCTTGAAGTTGGCCGGTCCCCCACAGAATGGGGTCGCCTTCTCGACAAGACAAGCTCCTAATAATAGACAAAAGTGTGAGTCTTCAGCAGGGCGACGGACACAAGGGAACTATCAGCTTAACTATATTTATCCATCTATTTCTTTTCTTGTTTATCCCTCTTCAGCTTTAAAAAGACGCTATTGAAAGCTTCAATTTGACATCACAACAGCAAGGCGCGTATAAGACACTATTCATGGCTTGGACCCCCAACAATGGCTTAGACTCGAATGACCGCCGTTGGATGGCACGACGACATGACAAGCTATCGTGGCGCCCGGCGGGAGGTTGAAGTGTTTGTTCTGAACGGATGAACGGATGACTCTCCCAGTATTAACTTCGATAGTTCCTTGCTGCAACGTGAACTTGGCTCAGCTGGAGTTGCGATGGGGTAAAGTGGGAAGATGTTGGTTTGACGCATAACGACCACGCAGGTTCGGCAATCTTTCCAGACCGACGCGACATGTAGCATCTTCTACAGCTCTGATTCACGCCCTGTCGAAATGAGAATGCCTTTTAGCCTCTGATGAAATACACTTGTACAAGCATGCTCCAAAGGAGCTCTGCGAACATTTGTGAGCGGAGTATGACGATTCTTCGGCTTAACATATTCCGTCAAGTTGAGAGCCTGTTCCAGACGATCAAACTAACCGTCCTACGAGGAACAACAGATATGCGAGTTGGATGTCTTGAACGCATTTAAGAATATGGCCCTGAACCAAGACTAGAACATGGAGCTCGAATCTAGCAGCCTTTGAAGTATGCGTACGAAACGCCATACCCGAGAGCTTTTAATCCTGTTGCCAGCATTTATCTATTACAAGCACTACCCAATCTTATTATTTCTCCATCTGCCGTTGCCTGTACCGACCCTCTTTGCTTATAAAGAACCGGATCATTATTAGTCTCATTTCCACGCTTCATCGTCTCAACTTTTGAGTCAAGTAGAAAATGAAGTCTCTGCTATTTGATAGCTGACTGATAGGTCTGCTTCACTGATAACTCCCATGTTCAATGAATACTCCAAGCTTCAGACATAGCACAGTCGGTCGCAGATGCTCAATTGCATAGCAACTGTCTAGTAATAGGTACATTCAGATGACGATATGCAAACTCTCGATCCTTTGGCCGCTGTCTGGCTCAATAAATAAGCTATATTTACAGTAAGCCGCTCGTACGGAGACATGCCTCGGCACAGAAGCTTCATTGCCGGCAGCCACAGGCAACAGCGTCTCTTTTTACCAAATTACAGCGGTGCATTCGTAGAAAGCTAGCCAATCTGACGCCAAGAGTGAGATCAGACCCACCGAATTGGCGTTGGAAAGGTTACAGAGACGTCCGTTTGCAGTAAGCCATCGCTCAGCCCGATAGGCGCAGCCAACACAACTGGACCTCTACGTGAACAGGGCTTTACTACCACTGCATATTAAAGAGCGTCTGGTACATCCCAATTGAACGCTTTCGTTACCTACTGTCCATCATACCTTGATTCCGCTCTCAAACAAAGTTCGCCCGGTATTCATTCCGCAGCTAATTCAAACTACGACGCCACCAGCCCAGGCAGCCAATCGCCTGCCAGACCAGGTTCCCCGAAAGCCACGTTCAGTCAGCCAAAGTCTTCTCGGCCAACCGATAATTGGGGGCCAGCACCGCTTGCCTTCAGCCCGCCTACGGACTTTGCTTCAAATACATTAGAAACTCGGGAATCAAATACGACAAAAGCGAAGAAACAAAGACAATGGCCCTATTCTCCAAGCTCGCCACCGGCGCCGTGGGTGCCATCCACATCTACATCCTCGCCCTGGAGATGTTCCTGTGGGACACCCCGCGCGGCCACAAAGCCTTCAAGCTGGCCCCCGACTTCGCCACAAAGACCAAAGTGCTGGCGGCCAACCAGGGCCTCTACAACGGATTCCTCGCCGCAGGGCTGTTCTGGGGACTTGCCCACCCGGTGGAGAGCTTTGGAGAGCAGATCAGGCTGTTCTTTTTGGGATGTGTAGGAGTTGCGGGCGTGTATGGCGCGGCGACGGCCAGCAGGAGGATTTTGTATGTGCAGGCGGTGCCGGCAGCGGTGTCTGTTGCGGCCATGCTGCTTGGACTTTGAGAGGTGGAATACAAGACGATGGATGTATAATTTGACGCCTGTATATACCCTTTACACTATATAAAACGTCTTGGAACGCGAGTCTCAAACGATGAATCCTTGCACATCTATGCGTCTTGGTGAAATAAGAACGTGTACGCACTACAAAAGACGTCCACATACAAGGTATGCTTCTCACTCTGTATTCATACAAGTTCTCCAACACAATTCTTCCGAATATTCAAATTCGAAAAGAAGCCGGTAGCGATACGCAAATACACGTATATCCACCCTTTTTTGGTGTTCGTTTTTCGCTCCCTGCAGCAAATAATTGAAGTGGTCCGTGCGCGTCGCGATTAATTGCCAGACGCGCTTCATTCCAGCAAAAAGATGACCGAAACCACATGCACTTTAATTGTATTTACATCAATCCATGGCAACCTGAATTAAGCCATGCCTGCAACAAAGCGTCAAAGACCACCTGCTAGAGCAGCTTCCAAAACAAAAATAAATCCGTCCGACAACAGTCTCTCTCGATCAAAAAAGCTTCAAGATGCCGCGTCGCTAAGTGGCGATTCTGACTTTGAGATTGAAGCTGAGCTCAGCCCCCCAGAAAATGCCACCAAGAAGCGAAAGACGGCTTCTGCTTCACGTTCAGTAAAACAAAACGACGCTTTGCGTAAAAGACTCTTTGCCCGGGATTCCACAGAAACGCCAAAAGAAACATGCTTGCCGCCTTCTCGCCAGCACTCCATCATATATCACAGACCCCTGCTCTTAGATAAAGATGTCGGATCTCAGGGTCGTAAAGCCTTGCTTTCGTGGTTCCATTCCGTCAGCGAATCGCGATCTATGCCATGGAGAAAATCCTGGGTTGATCCCCAAATGATACCAGACCCAATCGAGCTTCGAACGACGCTCGAGAAACGCGCCTACGAAGTATGGATCAGCGAAATCATGCTCCAGCAGACTCGCGTGGCCACCGTCATCGACTACTGGACTCGCTGGATGGCCAAATGGCCAACGATACACGACCTCGCAGCGGCAAAATCTGAAGATGTGCTTGCCATGTGGAGTGGGCTGGGATATTACAGCCGGGCAACGAGAATCCATGAAGCAGCAAAGCTTGCAGTCGGCGATCCAGACATGAAAGGCCTTTTACCATCGTCTGCAAAAGATCTTGAAGCCAAGATGCCGGGAGTCGGGGCATACACCGCAGGCGCAATTTCATGCATCGTCTTTGGCAACCCCAGCGCCATGGTTGATGGCAACGTTTTCAGAGTGCTGAGCAGGCAACTGGGCATACATGGAAACGTAAAGACAGACAAGGCCGTCATCGACACCATCTGGGCCGCGGCAGATGCCCTGGTCAAGGCTACATCAGAGCTGGACGGTGACGATGGCTTAATAAACACTGAGCCCAATGACAGGCCAGGGCAATGGGGCCAAGCACTTATGGAGCTGGGCAGCACAATCTGCACGCCAAATCCGAACTGCTCGCAGTGTCCAATTACATCAACTTGCCGTGTTTACAAAGAAGGCGAACTCCAGGCCAAAAAGTCAAAGGAAGCTTCTCCTAGGATACCAGATATCGAAGATGCCTGCACCTTGTGCGAGCCATTCGAGGGTGGCCTTGAAGACAGCGATGATGATTCGGCACAGGACAAGAAGCGTGGCAAGGCCAAGAAACCCGATGCAAAGCAAAGCAAGCAGGCCACGTTGACAGCCTTCGCGTTTACGAAGAAAACCATCAGTAGCTCCTCATCCCTTTCTTCCTCTCCTTCGACTGCGGCTTCGGTAGCTTCCAAAGAGACAATGGAAGCAATCACAAGATACGCGCGCAGGTTTCCCGTCAAGCCCATCAAGAAAGCCGTCCGCATGGAGGAAACGCTCGTCTGTGCCATCCGCCGTAGTGACGGCCAGTATCTGATCCAGCGGCGACCACTGAAAGGCCTGTTGGCCGGGCTATGGGAATTCCCCAGCAAGCTACTCGAGACGCCAGCAAAATTGGATAAAAAGAAGCGGGAACAGCTGTCTCTCGAATACGTGTCGGGGCTTTTACATGGCACCAAAGCCAGTAAAAAGCCAAAGGTGTCATACAAGGGCGAACTGGGCAACATAGATTGGCAGTTTACGCACATCAAACTGACAATGCACGTCCATCTCTTCACCGTGGGAGAAGATGCTATGGTAGCAGAGGATGACGAGGAACAGCCCAGGCAATGGGTCGTTGATGTTGATGCTTTTGAGTCAATGGGGACGGGGATGCGGAAATGTTGGGATTTGGTGAAAGCAGAGGTTGAATAGTTGTAATGATGTGCTGGAGCAAAATGGGAAGCAAATGATTTTCAGCTTCAGGCATTGAAGCTGTTTACAGACAATGCAACTGGTAGCTAGACGGACATGAGCGTTTGATAGATGGGCATATGCTTGCCCAGATACACTCGATTGTACAGTTAATCTGTTGGAGCACATTAATAGTAGATGTAGGTATATGTTGAACCAAGAATACACATGGGCACATGGCATCTATGCAGCATCGAGACGTACTCTTTGATACTACTTTAGTATTCTTCACCTTTATCAGACTATGCAAGGAACAGCAATTGCAAAGCAGATCTCCCGCGCAGAATTACAAGCAGGTGGATGGGGCTAGTCGCTCTGGAGGGTTGCAGTATTGGAACGCAGATGTCACCGACGCCAGATTACCACGTGTATCAAGAGCAAAAAGAACTCACTGGGCAGATCTCATTGATTGTGTCAAGTCAGATTTACACTTGTTGGGCCATGCCTCAAGTACAGAGCTTCTGCTGTTCACTGCTCCTTTTTACAAAAAGTCCAGGGTAGGCTGGGGGCGCAATGCGTCCCAGGGACTAGGTAATTAATCGATTAGCTGGCGAAAGGGGGTGGAGGCTCAGGCCGACGATTCGTACATAGTCCGGCCTTGTTCCCCGCCCGCCTTTTGCTCTCCCAACACTGAACCCTTTGATATCCGCCCGTCGAGTCTGCAAGGTACGCGAAACGAAGCGCAGGGAGAGCAGAGAAGCGCAGGATCCAGAAGAGCCCGTCTCAGATCGATGCTAACTCGCCGTCTCCGGCAGATCCCGCACGTGCCGACCGAGCCTCGGAATCATATCCTGCGCTCCTGAATCGGCGGCCCGCCACGAAGACGCTCTACGAACAACACTCTATATCGCATCTACAGCGCCAGATCACAACAATAGAGAGCGAAAATGTCTGGACTCGACGCCCCCGATATCGTGGCCGCCTACGACGATGTGCGCAACGACAAGCTCGAGACCAATTGGATGCTCCTCTCGTACGCGGGCGCCGTGGGCAACAAGCTGGCCTTGACGCAGACTGGAACCGGCGGCCTGAGCGAGCTTGTCGCGTCCCTGAGCGACGACGGGGTGCAGTACGGCTACGTGCGGATCGAATATGCCAACGACAAGGAGAGCACGCGGGTCAAGTTTGTGCTGGTGATTTGGATCGGCAAGAACACAAAGGTGATGCGAAAAGCGCGCGTCAGTGTCGAGAGCAGCGAGGTCAAGAAGGTACTTGCGCATCACCACCTGGCCGTGACGGCGGAGGAGGAGTCAGAGCTCAAGGAGGACGACCTTGTGAAGCTGCTGAGAAAGTCTGGCGGCGCGGATTACAATGGTGGACGGGGTTAACTGTATAGCTGTGAAGAGGAGCTTAATTTGGAAAGGGAGAGAGGGGAAGAGACGAAGCAGAGAAAGGAGATTAGACACCAGGATAGATGGATAGATGGATGGACGCGAAGGAGGAGAGGGAGCTCAAAAAAGCTGGATATCAATATAGACTATATATACGCAATTTGTACTTAGCGGATTTGCATCAAGACACTGACGACAATGACATGTACCTAGTGATGGAAGATGACGCGCAAAAGTAGAGAGAGGGAAAAAAAGATTAGGGATCAGCGCGATATGCTGTAAAAAGAGACGAGCAAGACACGCGAGCAATCGGCTATCAAGTTCTGACCGAGACAGATGGGCCGAGATTATCGCAAGACGAAACTGCGGTGGATCGCGGCTTGCCACGGACAATGAGACAATGAGCGGATGGATGCAAGGGATAGGATGAGACTACGAGGCTAGGCTAGAATGGTTGTGATGGATAGATACGGGAGCAGGGCTGTTTTGAGAAAATTAACAACAGTGCGGTGTGCATTTGTAGCGAGGATAAGAGGATGGATAGACAGGCCAACTCTTGCGTATACATGGGATATCGAGCAGCATCGTTTTCATGTAAGCCAAGTGCTGCTTTTACTTTGTTTATATGAATTGAAGACACCAAAAGTGCTTCCAATTGTCTTCTCCTGGTGTATTTGTGACATGCAACTTGAAGTACAGATGCCCCTACTGAGACACAGACACAGCTCTAGATAGCATTAGCTGAGCGTATTAGCTGGCAATCTATTGGCAGATAACGGGCTCTAATTTGCCGTGTCCATCGTCTAGACTCCATCAACTCGCTCTCCAGGGATCAACTTTGTTGAATTCGACGGGCAGCCCTCGCTCTTAGAGCCTAGTGCGTGGAGAGGCCCTCGTGCAGTCTTTCCTCAACAGCCCACCGAGAACGGGTTATTGGGGCTTAGCGGCGAGTTGGCGAATTTGCATGTGCTTGCGGGTCCTTTTTTGTCTGTACTGACTCTGGTTTTTTTCTTTTCTGTCTGCGGCGTTGCTGTTGCTTCGTATTCATGTACATGCAATGCAATGTACCTCGTGAGACCTTTTGTAGGCACATGCCGCGTTGGCGATTTGGCATGTTGGCATGCCTCACCAACGCGTTGGCTTCAAGCATCAACAAACAGCTCTGACTGCACTGATACGCGAGCAAATCTCATAAGCACCTCTCATAAATCTTATCTGCCATCTCCAGCCCGCTGCCACTCGTAAGCATCCTAAAAACAAAATTCAAGATCTACATCACACAAGTCTTACGCTGCACCCTGGATTTAAAGCCCTTCTAGAAACACTAAAACAAATGGAAACAGCCGTTCACACCACAATCTCGCAGGCTTTCGTTCGGCCAAGACCGCCTCTTGCGGCCAAAACGACGTCTGACGTAGTGTTGGCAAGGTTGGACAACCGTCTAATGCCACTAACGAAGCCACCTGGGGCCACCGCCGAGCCCACGACAGCCAGTCAAAGCCAGGCAAAGCCATCCCAGGACCGGTTTTCTTCGCCTCCCCCTTGTCCGGTCCAGTCTAGCCCCGAGCCTCGCTGCCTCGCTAGCCTGGGGAACTGCTCCAGTTGCGGCGCCATATCGTCCAAAAGCCCATCATCCCTTGAAGATGTTGATGGGAAAAACTCGAGCTAGCGTCCAATCCGCCATGGGGGAAATACCTCGCTTGTAGTAGTAGACGGATATGAATGTACCTGCGATCCAAGCAGCTTTGGTATCAACTCGAGGCCTCTCACGCCGTCCCAGGTCCAAGGACAAGGCTCTATTTAGCCCCATGAATGACTCTCCTGCTCGTCCATGTCGTAGCCAAAAGCTGCACCTGATTGGAACACGGACATGGCTTGTTTTCCCTTTTCTTTAGCGCCAACTTCTCGGAGCGTCGATCCACGCCGAGTTGCTTTTACTGAAACTGGCCGGAGCCGCCCCGCCGGTGCCAAATAAGAGAGACGGGAGAGGAAAAAAGAGGAGAGAGAGACATGCTTTTTTGGTACTTTGTGATTTCCTCGACTCGGTGGTTTTCCTCTCTTTCTCTTCTCTCGTCCTCCTACTTGGACTTGAATTTTATCTTGTTTTTTTTTCTTTCTACTTTCCAATTCTCATCACCTTTTTGGAATCAGAGACACTCTTAGCCTTTCCCCCACCAGAAAAAAAAAAAAAAAGAAACACCAAATTTCTTTCTCTTCTTTCTTTACAAAGTCCCCCGTCCTCGTCTAGACAAGGCTCCAAGACCCCCAAGCACGCGACAGACTTCGCATGCGGCCTAGTCGCACATGGACTTCAGCTCGTCTATCACAGCATCCCGGTTCCCTTGACCCTGCTTACCTGCATGAGTTTCGGCGCTACAGCCTCTCAACACAATCGACTGTTGGATCTCGTAGCCTGTCGCAAAGTCTAGACCACACGTGCCTTCTCTCGCTGCTCCTCCTCGTTTAATTACCCACTTGCTCTATTTTCCGAGCCTCTTTGAAATCTTTTCTTCTCGCCGTGTGCCTCTAGCGACGTTCTCTTCTCCGCAACTCCTCTCGTTGTCGTGATACCCTCGGTCCTTTCTCCAGACGGCCTCGTCCTCGCCCGTCATGTCGTCCTCCTCGTCCAAGGGCGCAAGCCCGCCTGCCATCGACTCCAAGCGGCTGGAGAGCAACCAGCTGTCCAGCGTCGAAGACACCGCCGACCACCTCCTCGAGACCCTCGGCTACACGCCCGAGCTGTCGCGCAACCGATCGACGGCCCAAGTCGCCTTCATGTCCTTTGTCCTCGCCTCGATCCCGTACGGCTTGGCCACGACGTTATACTACCCGTTGCTGGGAGGCGGCCCTGTTGACATCATCTGGGGTTGGGTCCTGGTCTCTCTCATCATCATCTGCGTCGCAGCCTCGCTGGGCGAAATCACGAGTGTTTATCCTACTGCCGGAGGTATATCTCGCCAATTCCAGTCGCTTTTTTCGCTTTTGGATCTTGCGACATGCCTTGCGCATTTGTCGCGAGCTCTCCAAACAACCGCAAAATATCATAAACAGTGCTAATCTTTGTCGCTTTCTCCAGGTGTCTACTATCAAGCCTTTATGCTGGCTTCTCCCAAGTGGAGGCGCATTGCAAGCTGGATCACCGGTTGGCTCTTCATCGTTGGCAATATCACAATCACCCTGGCCGTCAACTTTGGCAGCACCTTGTTCTTCGTTTCGTGCATCAATGTGTTTGAAAAGGAGCCTGGTGTCGGCATCTTTGCTGGTGAAACATGGCAGGTTTTCCTCATCTTCTTGGCTCTGACGCTGTTCTGCAATGCCGTGTCTGCCTTTGGCAATAAGTGGCTCCCTTGGCTAGATGTAAGTCGTCTGATATCTTTTTTTTTCCTTTTATAGTTGACTCCAAGACTGGTGATTTGTCTTGCCTTGGCCTATCCCCGTTCCTATAATCTCGCATGCTAACTCTGCCGGCAGACTGCCGCTGTTTTCTGGACATTTGCTGGTGTCATTGCCCTCATGGTCACTATTCTGGTCCTTGCCAAGGAGGGACGAAACGATGCCAAATGGGTATTTGGCCACTTTGAATCCTTCTCCGGCTGGCCCAGCGGATGGTCTTTCTGCGTTGGCTTGCTTCACGCTGCATATGCTACCTCTTCAACAGGAATGATCATTTCGTAAGTGACTTGCTTTTTGACATGACCCCTTTCTTCGTCAGGTATACTAACAGGCCGACGTCAGCATGTGCGAAGAAGTCAGAGACCCTGCCACCCAGGTCCCCAAGGCCATGGTTGCCACCATCGTCATCAACACCATTGCCGGCCTGCTGTTCCTCGTCCCTCTCGTCTTCGTCATCGACGACCTGCAGGCCCTCGCCGAGCTTGTTAGCGCCCAGCCCGTGCCTCCCATCATCAAGTCCGCCGTCGGCTCTTCTGGCGGTGCCATTGGCCTCCTCATCCCCATCATGGTCCTCGCCGTCATGTGCGGAATTGGCTGCACCACCGCCGCGTCTCGTTGCACTTGGGCCTTTGCCCGTGATGGTGCCATCCCGGGCTCCAAGTGGTGGGTCAAGGTCAACAAGACTCTGGACGTGCCTCTCAACGCCATGATGCTCAGTATGGTTGTACAAATCATCCTTGGAGTCATCTACTTTGGCTCTTCCGCCGCCTTCAACGCCTTCTCCGGCGTCGGTGTCATTTGCCTGACCGCCGCGTATGGAACTCCCGTTGCCATCAGTCTGCTAAGCGGAAGGAAGCAAGTCCGCAGGGGCAAGTTCTATCTTGGCCATCTTGGTACTTTCTGCAATGTCATCACAGTTGGTAAGCATAAATCATTCTCCAATTCCATAATTGCTATTGCCAAGTAGTTGACTAACTGAATACGTTTCACAGCCTGGTCTCTGCTTGCTATGCCGCTGTTTTGCATGCCGACTGTCATCCCCGTCACAGCCGAGACAGTCAACTATGCTCCCGTTGTGTTTGTTGCCGCGATGCTCGTCTCCGGTATCTGGTACTGGGCATGGGGCCACAAGAACTATGCCGGCCCCCCTGTGCATGAAGATTAAGCGAGTTTGGACCCTTTTCAATTTTTTAAATATATATATATATTTCCTTCTCGATAAGGACAAAAAGAGGATTTTTGATACCCAAGGAGTGGCGTTTGGTGGCTGGTGTTTTTTGAGGTGAACGATGATGGCGGGAAACAAAATTTACATAGTTGGCTGAATAAATTATGAATTTTGAACACTCAGTTGTCGTTGCTCCTTCGTCTTGGCATAGAATTGACTCAAAACAGACGTCCAGTTGTCTTGAAAGGAGTCAAACTCGTGTCATATGCCGTTGTCATCGAGAATTTCACCAAAGCAGCAACACTTGCGAAGACTGAGCTCAAGGTAAGAATCGGTATCCCTTTCTTTCTGAGACTTGAACTGCGCACTGACTACAAACTGGGCAGACTCATGAAACTGTCTCCTCATACTCCCTGCAGAAAGAAAGAAGCAAATAACGTGAGACTGCTCACCGTCACTTCGCTTGCTTGACTCAAAAGAAAAAAAAAAAACTCAAAACATGGCCCCCACGCAGAAAAAAAAAAAGGAGGCAAAGAAAGTTTTTTTTTTCCTCATGTGCCACGCGACATACCAGATATGCCTCCCTTGCTTGTCTAGATATACTCTACATATGACCCTCGCATGCATAGCCGCGGATATTTTTTTTTATACAAACGTCATAGATCTGTCAATGCAGCGGCATAGATTTCATAATCACAATTCGAGATATGAGGAGAGAAAAAAAAAAAAGAAACCAAAAGCCAATGTGAGTTCTGAGTTATTACGTCTCCGATATGCACGTTCCCAACTCTATATCATCCACCGCAACAGGTCACGCCTCTAACTCAAATTGTCATTCACTGCATCGAAATCGAAATCGAGAAAAGGCAAAGACCAGAAAAGGCATTCGAAAAGCGCCCCCATACAGGACCCTGTCCAAAAGTTTAAAAAAAGGCGAGAAAAGGGAGAGAGTCATGATGGAAGTTAAACTTTTTTCAAGTATCCCTGCCTTTTGTGTCTCTTCCCATCTCGTGATGGAAATCTTCTCGCTAAACCCCAACTTCTGCCCACGAACCAAGGGAGAACTGCAGTTCCCCCCATATTCTTCTTTTTCCCACGTTTAACGGAGCTAGCTATACCTCACAAACGAAGACACGAGAGAGACTTGTCACTTTGACGCAGCTGACTTATACTTGCATGCCTACAGTACATTGCATTGCATCTACATTGCTAGCGGGACAAGCCAAGCCTCTCTGCAGCTTATCTCCCTCTCCTTCTCTCCCTTTTGGCTATCCTACCGCTGTCATTATGTCGGTGAGGGATGGAAATCCTGGGGATGGCAGTTGACGGGAACGGGTCTTTCAGCCGTCACTCTTCCTTCTGCCAGCTAGACTGCTCCTACTAGGGAGAAGACTATGTGCTTATCTCGCATGGCTAGGCCAGCTGATGTGATAGTTCAACGCCATGCCTCCTGTATGCACATACATGGCGTACCCCAGAAAAACGCGAGCCGAGCCAACACGTATCAATATAAGGGCTGTTCAGCCAGCTGCACCTCCAACGTCACGCGTATCCTTCCCGCAGCTCGTAAAAAAAGCCGCCAGTGCCGCACCCCGGATTTCATGTATATGCATCCAGCATCATGGTTGTTTGAGAAAGGAGCATCATCCACGCACTTGGAGATGCAAGGAGAGAGTATAATCCCGGCCACCCGTCTAGTACAAGTACCGCTACAAATGTCCTTCTCCCGGAGGCAATGCCTATACAACCAGTAGTATACTACTAGAATTAGGAGGGCAACAATGCGTATACGCGGGATCACTAGCTTACAAGGCCCAAACACCATCGATTGGTAGAACCGTCTTTTAGCCAGAAAAGATGGTGATGTTACTCCAATGCAAGCCACTACAGGGTAAGGTCGAGTGTGTGTGAGAAAAGAGTTGGGGACTAGCGGTCAAGAGACTACCTACGAGAAACGGGAACTTGGACCTTTGCCGTTGGCCTATGGCTGCAAGAGCTCACCGATCTGCTTGTTGGATTCGATTTAGCGCCAGTCTTGTCCTCCCCATGCGATCCGTCCAAGGTTTCGGGTCTGTTGCCCTTCGCTCCCTCCATCCAATCCTCCAATCCACGACAGGTAAAAAGCTCAATACTGTACGGAGTACTCCGTAGCTACAACCTTGTATATCAGACTTTTTGCCTTGTCTCCCATGCTCTCTCCTTGTTTGCGTCCCAGCTCATCGGTCAGTTCATGTTATGCTGTGCTTTGACCGATATCCCAGGGCTCCTTATCACGACCTGCCGCACTCAGCTAGGGTCATGACGTCTTGTATCTGTCATGAGAAAGTTATCGTCAGCAGAAAGAGGAGCCCCCTTGCTCCGAAAAAAAGAGCTCCGTAAGCCAGACCCCCATCAAAAAAAAAAAAAAGGAACGGCTGGTAATAAAAAAACGGGAGAGAGAAATGAGCATTGAAAAAGAAGGTAAAAAGCAAAGTCCGAAATCCCCTTCCGCGAAACTACCACATCCTGCCAGCAATACTTGGTAGCATCGGCCATTTTGTCCAAAAGCTGCCCGACGAACAGCTGGCTGTCCATCTTCGGTCCACCCCTCTTTTTCTTCATCTTCTGTATTGTCGCTTTTGCGCTGAGGCCAAGCATCCCCCATGTCCCAGACGCCCGTTTGTGTTAATATATAGCATCAAGCAATCAATCAGAAATGATCATTCATCCGTCGCCGGCAGCGAGTGGGGCCGAGTGCGTGTACATTGAGCACACTCCGTCTGTTGGCATCCCATGCCTTTTGGACTTAGTTCAGCAACGGCAAGCCTGCTCCGTTGGGAGAAGCGTATTGCTATTATAACTTCCAAGCGCTAGATATGTACGGCAGGCGCTTCGTGTGCGCTTCAATTCCATGAAGCTGCCCCAATACGGCGTAGTTACCGTAGTATTCGTGCTACCGTCCGCATCGGTGTGGCGTTCGTGGCTCGCCAGAGAATCTGGAGCGCGCATTGCAGCTCTCGCTGCAGCCCTTTTTCTCTTCCCATGAGCCACAAGCTGCAGGCCGGTGGTCAATAGCTTCGGCCTTCAATCTATTTAGAATTCAACGTTGGATTGCGGGGAAAGGACCGCGAGCTTCCAGCTGATTACATCTTAGGGTTGTAATATAATTTCACTGCTGCTGCCACTACTGCTCGTAGCTGTATGTAGGAGCATCAGAAGCGAAGCGAAGCAATTGAGGGGGGTGCAATTGAGCATGACATGGCACGGATGAAGCTTACAGCAGCCGTTAGCTCCATCTCCATCTCCATCTCGTCCTCGTCCTCGCCGTTATTCCGGAGACGCATGTACAAGTACGTCTCATCAGTAGCACTGCCTATTCCGTAGTCTCCATACGAGTAGCAGCAGCGGCGGCAGCAGTAGCTAGCATGCGCTGGGATTCGAATCATCGGCCCCCAGCCGACAGGCGGCGCCAATGGAAGTCGGTGTGACAGCCGGGGTGACCAGTAAACTCAAAGGGGGGGTGTAATACCAGCTTGGGAGAATGGTCCCGGCAAAGATACAGAGAGAGAGCTCAGGTCGGGCTGCATACGAAATCTAAAAAAAAATAAAAAAAAATGGTAATGGTCACGGCAAGGCGGAGCTGTGCTGGAGAGCTAGTTACCCTATTTGGCGAGTCCCATTGAGACTCCTGGAGATGTTGATATGGCTATCCTAGTCAGGTAGTGTGTGTTAGTCGAGTTTTGGCACCCAAGAGAGCCACTCTGGCAGAGAAAATAACTCTGCGATCGTCGCGAATCCACCGCTGGGACAGGGTACGTATTTCTCGATCCTCATAGTGATCCATGATCAGGGCTGGATTTGGCATGCACCTCATCGCGATCTGGAGGGGCGAAAAAAAGGATCCGTGTTTCGCATACCCAGGCTCCCCAACGCAATTTCAAACGGATCTCTTTAAGATTACATGCTGGTAAAGATGAGGTCAACAGACGGAGAAACATGGAGAAGAAGAAGGAAAAAAAAGAAGTAAGAAAAAAAAAATCTTCCTGCTGCTAGTAGGCATTACTACTCCTGCCGCTTCGTACTCAAGCGGTGGAGAGAGAGAGGCAAACGATGTCACAATGCATGAGTAACGACGGCACGAGTAGCAGTCAGTCGGCTGCGGCGGAATTTGACGTGGCTCAAAGGGGGCGTGCCTTTTCCTTGTTCTCTGCGTCTGCGTTGTGTTCTTGTTTTCTTGCTCAGCATACGGTATATGGTATGGATAGCAATCTAAACTCGGGTGCGGCGCGGGCGAGCCAAAAGAATGCGGCTTGCGCATCATGGACCTTCGCGGCACGGGATGGTGGGCAGACCCCGACTTTGATAACAGGATTTGGCGCAGACCCTTTGCCAGCTAGCAGTATTCGCCATCGAATTCTTGATGTTGATGGATGGATTGATTTGCGGATTGCGGCCCTAGATTTGCGCGGCGCCGCCTTGGAATGCCAATGAGCCCCTGATGGTCGCTGCGCGCCGCCCATCAGTCTAGGCTTGTTCGCCTCGAAGGTGGTATTCAAGTATTGGAGCTGCTCGGCCTCCCGTCGATCAGGCCTTCTAGACTTTTTTGATTTGGCTGATCCCCCGATCTAAGTCGTCCGTCGTCTGCCGTACCGGTGGCAAGCCGAAGATGATTGCCCAGCTGCTCGGGCACTTCTCCCGTGCATATCTGCTCACAGCCTGAGGCCCAATGTCTCTCCCACCGCACCCAGCTCAATCTCCGGGACTCGTCCACGAGGCAGAAACCAGCGCGCAAAAGCCTCCGTAACACAGCATCAGCATGTCGTCATCGGTTCGTGGCCAAGGCAGAGGCAGCCCCGCCTCGGATCCCTGTCCGCTGCAGCACGCAACTTTGAAACGCAGCACCGCAGCACAAAGTCCTCTGGCTGAGACGAGTTCGTGACCGGCGAGCTGCTGCCGCCGCTTGCTAGGGGGGGCTCTCAATCTCGGTGGGCCGTTGGCGCGGACAAGACCAGACCGATGGGGCTCGTCTGCAGATTGTGTGTGCGCCGTCAAAATTGCCCCCGTCCACCGTTAGCTGGGAACCGCAGCTCAGACATGGTTGCATCTACTCGTAGTACAGTATCTCGACATGCCCTAGCTGGAGTTGCTCGTAGCGCCTGTGCGTTTCCCAGTATGGCATGAACCCGCGGCGATGCAGACTCAAATGATCAAGTGCCATGTCAGTTCCGCCGCCGGCATAACGTTAAACTTGCCGGGGGGGACAGCTCTGGCTGGCAGTGTCAAGCTGTCTACTGTATGAGTGGCAGGAAGATGCCACCATCTTTTTACCCCGCCCTTTGTGATATGCACGTTAATAAAAGGCAGATGCTGATGGAGGCTTAATAAACTGATAGCTCCCAGCATCCGTCCACGGATGAGACGGGTTTGCCTGGCATGTGATATCCACGTTATCAGTCATCCTGACTGGAGGTTGGGCAATTTGCAGTAAACGAGCTCTTGCTTGGAGCCACAATTGCGGAGCAGAGATGCAGGGCGACCAAGGCTAGACAAGAAACGCATCCCCACGAAGAGGTGTGGTGGGAAGCTCGACCCCTGGCGCCAATGGCCTATCCTTGGAGTAGTTCAACGCCATGTGTACGAGCCATGTATAAGGTACGGAGGGAGATGAGATGCACGACAAGCCACCACCTGGGGGCTGCAGGTGGCTTGAAGGGTTGTAGCTTGTCGAACCACGAGACCATCTGGGCTGATATTGCCGACTTGGTAGATACCATCTGTGTAGGGATCAGTTGTCGAGTGGTCCCAGCGTGATGGACGGTCCGCATTCGGCGAGCGTACAAGTACATACAGACTTGTAGTCACAATACGGAAGCTGACTGCACCTATGAGTGATCAATCGATAGCCCAGCTCTCGCAATGGCCCGTGTTGGCTCTCCGTATTTTTCTTTGGATCTTTTTTGAACCAGTGGACCACAAGTAAACATCTCCACGGGGAAAGAAATCTATCTCTTCTCCTCAGTCCTTCTCTCAATTCTCTTTGGCCATCCGGGTCCCAGTCTCAGGCAGTAGCGCTGGCTGGCTGGGTGGCGCAAGGAGGAGAAGGGGGGAGAAACCATCACAGCATCTTACCAATCGTTGGCCAGAAGCTGTTGGATGGCTGGCATCTAATTTGATTGGAGAGGCCCTCTGGATGCCACCGTACCCACAAAGACACCAGGTCATATACGTATACTGTAGCCCCTTCGACACACGGCATGAACGTGAAGAGAGAGAAGTGGGTTTGCTCCTCTCAGCCTTTCACACCCACTCTACTAGTCTTGATGCTAGTAATAGCAGCTGCTACTCCAAGCACTTACTCGTTGTGGATGTGGTAATACTGCTCCTACCACTGCTAGCTTCCTGCATCGTTGCCTTGGAATCTGCAGCTTGTAGAACTTAGAAGATGAATGCCACACCACAAAGGGCTTGCTGCTACCATCCTTCCTCTCACCGATTTGCGTTACGCGGCAACGGCGAAGAGTCTAGAAGATCGATGCAATGCGCAAAGGGACCAAACCATCGTGCCGCGAACCCTTTTTTTTTTTCCTGATTCTGCTTCATTTCTTGCCACAGGGTCCATTGGATGCGTACCTATCAGAGGACCAGGAGAGAGAAAGCAGAAGCCAAAGGAGGCGAAGGAACTGTCTCCTCCTGCAAACTACTGCTACCTGCGGAGAGAATGTGAGAGTGAGTGTACCGGGAAGGTGGGTTTGGTTATTAATGTGCAATTTGCGTGCTATGCAATCCATCACAAGCCTGTAAAGCATGACATTCCCGCTTTGCCGGCCATCACTGCTGCTGGAAAGTCAGCTGGCCTTGATGCCCCCGCAGTTTCATGGCAGAATGCGAGTAGTCTGCCCGAGAGACGTGCCTCTTGAAGATTGAATATTTTCCGTGACTACAGTTGCATGCATATCGATGTTCTGCTGATGCTCGCCATACGTGCTACATGACATGGCATGACATGGCATGGCATGGCATGGTAGTGCGGATTGCCGCCCAAGCTCGGATCCCTGCGTAAACCCAAACGCTCGCCAAAGCACACTCTCCCGGAGATGTGGTCGTAAAGGGCGTCTGCTCTTATCTGGTGTAGGGGTTGAGGCGCCTACATACATGCACGCGTACGTTCAAGTGCTCGCATGCAGTGGTGATATGTAGGTATTATGAGGTATCACCCTCTTGTGCTCCATACCGCAGCCCCGTCCAACATGTACTGTACCTACTTGTACGACTCGTGCTACTCCAAACCCGCAACGGCGTAAAACATCGTGAGGTGGGGCTGCCGGACACGGGAGTTTGTGGGTACGGATCGCTCCGACTTGCATGTCCACGGCCTGGAGTTGGGCGTTTGTCGGATGTCTTCAGCATCTGCTCCTAGCCGATGGCTTTCGGGATGCAAAAAAGATAGTTTCTTTGGGCACTCATCGCAACAGACCCCTTTCCGACCCCGTCACTTTGTAAAAAAAGGACAATGTCTCAGCAGCCTGAGCGACAACCGGACCTTGGTCATAGATAAGGCTTCCGTGTGTCGGAGATTTTGGGCGGCGGCGCTGTTGTTATCGGAAGTGGGTTTGCCGCTCGGAGATGGGCGAACAAGTGATTCATTTCTGGCAGAGCAAGGTTGAGATCTGATCAAGCAACGGGTTCTATGGCAGATGCAACTTTGCATGAGTCACGCTGAAAAAGGAATATAACAAAATTACAACTTGCTTGGCATGCTCGTTCCTTATTTTGTCCTTCTTCAACATCTTCAGCCCAGCCAGGCTCTCCTTTTTAGGGCTCGTCCGCCGAAGCTGGCTGCGCGTTGGTGCCAAGTACCGTCTTCCATCTGTGGAAGCTTACCCCTGCCTAGCGTGGATGGCAGCCTCACAAGGGGCAAGATTTCGATCGAACGATGGCCGTGAAACTCGCTAAGCAGCGCCCCCCGGTCTTCTGTTGGGACGTGACTGGGGCCTTGCCTTCTCTCGAGCCGATGAAATTGCGATCCAAGCTGCAGCAATCTTCAAGATTGGCTTTGCAGCGACATTAGACGCCGATATTGCTACCAGGGTGCAATGCGACATGAGGTATCACAAGCAAGGAAATTGCGGAAAGGAAACAAACCAGCTTTCGGATCCCGTTTCAGGTGGCGTGCGTGGACACAACCCGAGCCTCCATGGTCCATGGGGGGGGGGAGTAAGTAAGCTTTCTTACGCTTATCATCCAGGAGGGAAATTTTTTTCTTCTTTATCCTCTTTGCGGCTTGGGGTCGGTGAGCAGCCCGTCTCTCTGATGGCCAGTGCTTGGTGAGTCGAAGGGATGTGGCTGCAAGGTTTGCGGTGCAGCCAGCGCTAAGCAGAAGGCCGATGATAGCGTCGCCGCGGAGCTTTGCCACCGGCTCGGTAGCCCATTCTATCCGGCGGTGCTGAGAATTCCCTCGAGGCTTGATCTGGAAGTGGTTTGGGAGTCGTTGGCTGCTTGGTATGCCTGGATGGAATCCTAGGGGAGAGCAGAATCAAGAGGAATATTTGCTCAAAGCTCCTGGCTGTATCACCCTTGTGCTTCCAGCCTGTCGCGACTCGTGTGCTTGCGTATGGCGAGCAGCTATCACGACATCAGCCTTGCATTCGCCTGTACTTTGCAGCAGCCTTCCAGGTTGAACTAATTTTACGGTAGCAACAGGCATCTGTATACCAAACTTGTGAATCTTCTCTTGGCATGCTTCTGTTAGGGAGATACGGGCGTGCCAGTGGTGTCGCCAGCGTCTCTGCATTGTCTCAAGGTATCAGAAGCCAGAGACAAGAGCAGAGACAGTCGTACTCCCCGCCTCCCATGTACAGATAAGTGGACCTGTTCTAAATTTTCTTCGCTTACTGTTGGCTGGTGGAGCTGCGGCTGCAAGGCGTAGAGCTAGTGGCACGTATTAGTCGTACCTCGTTGTAGCACATGTAAAGTAGGTGGTATTCGTTATGGGAGCGAAGCTTGCGGCGTGTTTGTGTACGAATGTGTACTGGTGGCAGTTGGCGCCGTGGTGCGATGGGATGACATGCAGTGGCCAGTGATCTGAGCTGTGCTTTCGAGTATGGAACCATTGTCAGGCTTGACTCGTTGGCGAGCAGGAGCTGCTGCAACGCTATGCCGTGATGGTCGTGCGTTAGCACGCCAGTGATTCGACGGCGGACGAACGACAAGGGAGGATTTGGTGCTTGTTGGGGATTTTGCCATCTCATCCTTGCGCGAAGAAGGCCGTGCAGGTGCTGAGACGCGGTAGAGATACGAGTTGCATCTAGCGGACGTCCTAGTGCGTGCAGGCAAGGCCCCTTGGCGTCTAAGAGCGAATCCTCATCTCCGCGATCTCGAGAAGGCGGCAAGAGCTTGGGTAGACTCTGTGCTCTGAGCCGCTAAGAGCAGGACCATCAGACCAGTTAGGCCAAGCTCCCGTACTGGTAACCTATCTCGACACCATCAGCACTCGCATGTATGTGCCGTAGGATGTAGATAGACATGGATAGTGTGTACGGCATCAGCCCGAGTAAGCACGGGTTTGTGGTGTCAGGTGTGTATACATACATACATTGCTTGCCTACAGCATGCTGGTCACCTCTCGTCAGGCTCGGACATCTGTATGTACAAGAACGCGCGGTTTTTTTCAGCAAGCGGAGGCACGCGCGCTCGCTAACAGTCAGGCGGCATCGAGACGTTGATGTCAGTAGTGGTGCTCCCGCTAGCATCATGTACAACGCATGTAATTCCATGTCGATATGCCAGATGATGCGGCGGGCAGGCAGGCAGAAGCAAGCAGCTCCGTAGCTGGGCTCCAAGGCCGCATTGCAGCAGATTCTTCAGCAGGCCGGATGTCCCCAAGCCAGTCGTCGTCGGATGAGCCCGCAAATGGCATGCATGCCAAGCTCTTCCCTTCCCACCGGCGGCTCTGTCTTTTTGGCGAGACAAATCACGGAAGAGAACCCTTGTAGCGCTTGTAGCCGACTTGGAACAGTACTGTATTGTAGCCGTAGCCGTAGCTGTAATTAGACGTGCGCGCGGTTTCGCAACAGTTCAAAACGGGGCGAGGGCGCGGGACGGGAGCGCGTGAGAATGGAGATGGAACGAGATAGCAAGGATGAAGAAGGTTTCTTGTCGTTGCGATGGTCTCGTTTTTGGCGTTGCTTAGCGCTGGGGCCACACAAGAGGAGCAAGCCACCCCTGGTGCTATCAATGGCCCGTGCGTGTGGCTTGCCCAGGCTCCACCGGGCGGGGCGCGAAGCTTAATATTGGCCCGTGCCAGACCCGTCCTTATCTCTTGGCGCGCTGACAAAGACTGCTGTGGCTGACGCCGCCGGACGACTTCGTGCCTTGGAAGCACCGCCGCCTGTGGCCCGCCCGCTCAAATCGACGCCTTCTAAGCCATGGCTGGAGATGGAGCATCTGGATGGGACGGGTGCTGTGGTGGCAGGCTACAATCTGTGCTCCAGGGACTTGTTCTGCACATGGCGTGGGCATGGACATGGCGTCGATATGCAAGGAGGCGAGGAGAGGGGTTCGAGATGGAGATGGAGATGGAGATGGCGATGGCGATGGCGATGGATGCACGCCATTCAGCTGCTGGCATCTTTCGCTCTCGAGGTCTGCAAAATGCCTCTCTCGGCTCGGAAACGGTAGGTGGCTCGCTGCCTGACTCGGTCATCGGCCTACCAATTGGTGACTCCTGCATATACAATTCACGGAGAGGCGCCTACGATTGGATGGCCTCGAGCTCTAGACAGCACACATGCACTCTACGCCTTCCAGGCGCCTAAAGCGGTCATGGTTTACAAAGCACCCGGGGGCCAATTGAGCCCGAAGCAGCTCCATCTTTGGGCGCGCAGGCATTGCAGTTGCAGTTGCAGTTGCAGTTGCAGACATGCACTCGCTAAGAGAGCTGCATTCTCTGCATTGGGACGACGTGAGTTTTGACAGCCTGGGGAAAAAAGCCTTTCGGTCCGTCGTGGGGAAAAAGCATAATGTACGTACTTGGATGTGGTTGGGCTCGGGGATGCGGAGAGACAGCACGGGGGAGGGGGCAGAGGAGACGAGTTTGACTTCTCTGGAGCTCGTTACGAAGCTTCTGTCACAGATGGAGATGGACGACGGCGGTGCAGCTCAGGTCGTGAGAGGATCCCGGATCCGGGGCGGACACCCGAACGACGGGCTGAGCAGATATACGGAGCACCAAAGGAGTAAGTCGATTTTCTCCTGCTAGCAACTGCTACTCCGCAGCGCCCGCTCCGAGTCGAAGCCAATCCGTCCCGTCTGGTCTCCCCTCCAGACCATTCATATGCCTGCTACAAGCCGCTGTAACAAACAGCACGTATAGACACCAGACGAACCGCTACAGGAGGTTGCAGGCGAGCAAACAAAGAGGCACAAGGTGAAACAGGAAGGCGACGCTGCGGAATACACCGCGGCATGGCCTGGTGTGGCCTGATTGGCGGGCGACGTCTGGCAAGCCTCAGCCAAACCGCGGGCAACGTCATTATCTCGACATCTAGCAGCTAACCCGAGACGGCCACTGCCAATGAGCGGCTGAGAATGGCCGGCATGGCCTGCTCTGGCGAAGGACAGGGGTGAGATATTCAACGGACCACAGAGTCGGGCGCCACACCAGGACCGGGTCTGATGCCGGAGTGCCCACCCCATCCTGGTCCTCCCATCGCGACTATTCCCAGCGCCGTGCCATGCCATCCAACCAACCGACCCCTGGCGCCGAGCGCAGAAAATTCTCCTTTGGAAAAAAAAAAAAAAAAAAGGCCAACCGGCGTGAGGGTAGCTCTGGAGATGGGTTTTTGGGAGCCGGATGGGCAGACTCGCAGCGAAGCATTGCAGATTGCCGTAGAAACTTGGATTCTGCTCCTGATTTCCCCATCCCGCTGCAGGACACGATACAGGAGAGGGAGCAAGATGGGAATTTAAAGAGGACCCGGCACAGCCTACTGTACATATTGCTACTATTACTACCTAGTAGGTAATATGCACGGAGCCTGCAGTGCAAGGCTGCAAGCAAGAAAAATACCTTGAACGCCTCTTCACACCCCCAGTCGCCTCCTTCAATGCGATTCGGCAGGCCTTCAGCCAACAAGGGCAGAGATTTGGCACAAAATTTGCAAATTTTATCTGTCGGCCAAGATCCACGCCAGCCGAAATCCTTTTTTGCGAGTACGAAGGGCGAAAAGCATTACGCACGACATTATTTGATGTTGAATACTAATGCCTATACAAGGACATGGTATATCGTTCGATCCACCAACACGCCAAAAGACAAAAAGACTCAGCTGGAGGAGCTCCCCAAACGGCGACGCTTCTTCCTCTTTTTCACAAGAGCTAAATTAAGAATATTGGCTAGATTGCTGGATATCTCTCATTGCCTGGGCGATAGTAACTGGTGCTAAAGTCACCCAGTAGCGTTAGTAGTGGTACCCATCTCCATATCCGGCTTCACCGGTCATCCGCCTTGGCCAAGACGAGAAGTACTTGTAATGAGAACAACAGCGAGAGAGGGCGCGCGCGCGGATGGGGCCGTCCTAAACATGACTGTACTGTACAAGTAGGAATGGAAGGAAATAAGAAGGAGCAAAACACAAAAAAGAAGGTTTGGTCCGGCCTGGGGAGCATAAGACGTTAGCGATGCCGCCATTTCCTGGCGAGATTATTCAGATGGGATCTCGCAACTCTCAAACCATATGACACTGAAATCAGCCCATGCATTCCATCACCGGCGCTTCGATATCAACTAAGCCGCCTGTTACTACTGTGAAGCGCATTGTTATCAGGCGACGCCAAAAGAGCGCACGGCCGCTTTGGGACTGACGCCTTTTTTTGCGTCTTGTTGCGCCGCTTATCTGGGCGGCCGAGGGAGAGAGAGAGAAAGACATTGGAAGCGTTCTAAAAAAGGTGCCGGCGTCTTTCCAAGACAGACATGACGATGATGACGGGTTTAAGACAAACTCAGTGCCTGTATGACTACTTTTGCTGCCGCCTCCGGTAACTTCCTACATGGCATATCCGTAGTTGCCGCCGGCTGGATCCCCCGGTGTTGAAACGGACGAGTATTGGATAGAATTGGAACATTTTGAGCCGTTTTTTTTTATCTTTTATTTCTCTCATTGGCGCCGACCCGTATCACGGCACTTTCCATGGATTCGCTTCCATTGCCGTCATTTCCTTTCCTTTTTTTTTTTTTTTTCCTTCTCAGCTTTCACTGGCGCCGAGTCCGAGCTTGGGGCAGCTGGGGTGCTCCGTTGGTATCATAGCTTCATTGCTTGTCTTGTCTTGGGCACCCAGGATGGCTGGCTACTGTACAAAGACTCAAGGGCGATGGCACGGGGGTGCACAGGACATGTGCATTAGCACGATCCAAAACGGTCTCTCCATCATGTACTCCGTACAGGCAATATGAATTAAGGCATGTATACAGATGCATACATGGACATGCTCGTACATGACCCTGTACGGAGTACCTTGGGACGACACGCAAGAGAGCGAGGCAGTGTACTCCGCAATAATGGGCATCCAGAATGCGACGTCGACACTGCAGCTCTCTTACATTAGGGTGCATTACTGCTGGACGGAGGATGGAGTCGTTTCGTTGGCTGACGGTCACTGGGCTCTTGGGGGGAGGGGGAAACAAGAAGGCTGGCACACACCTTTTGCCGCCGTTTCTGCGTCTCTCTTGTTTTTTTGAGTCTGTGTGTCTCGCTTTATCTGCAGGTGTTTTCGCCTCTCTGCTTCGTATTTTGCCGCTGTGCTTTGAATATCAATTGATGTGTATCAGAGGAGGGAGAGATGGAGAGAAAAGGAGGGGGTGTGTGTATTCATCAGATATCGCGCCAAAGCCCGGTTCAGGAGCAGGATAAACCACCAGCCTTCACTGTACCGAACTTGTACGAGCGAGCGAGCGAGATGGAGCTAACACGGGCCCCCGTAAAGTTGAAGATCCAAAGACCCCAAGCAATCTACAGATTATACTGCTTGTAGGTACTTGTACAAAGCAGCAGCAATAGGCGAGCCGGCCAGCGCTGTTGCTTTTGGGTCGCTGATGCTACGACGCAAGAGCGCTAGGCTCGACGATGGGGCTGCTGAAGTGTTGTTGTTGTTGGTGCTTGGCTGGCTGGCTGGGGTTCAGGTCGCCTGTTGCGCCGTTGCTCGGCTCGCTCAGACCTGTACAAGCCTCTGGATACGTGATGGAACCCCCCTCCCCGTTGGCCGCCTATCTAGGGCCCCTCTCGCGTCGTCTTCTAGGGAAACCCTCCCTAGTCGGTATCCATCTGGAATTGTGCTGGGGCTAAGGCACACTGGCCACCCTCCAAGCCGATCGACGGTGGCCCACCGTCTCAAGCCATCGAACCAGCGTGGCAGCCCACTGGAGACTTCTGGGAGAGGGAGGGGGTGCTTGTGCGTACAGTAACAATAACCATAATCAAACGAGGTAAAGCGGCTTTGTGATAGTGAAAGGGGGGGGGAACAGCAGCTTGGAAGCCACACTAGACGTGATGAGTGCCTTTTGCTCTGGCAGCTAGCAATTCGGCGCTGATCATCCTAGGCCGGACTTGAGAGGGGCTAAAGATGAGATCTGATAGATGCGAGGAACTTGCGCCATCCGGCAGACCGCGCGTAGACTACGACACGGGCGTACATGTAGTGGTAGAAGCAGAAGCAGTAGCAGCAGTGCGATTGTCGTAAGAAACACGGCCTTTACCTTTTGGGAATGGAGCAAGGCGGCGGCACAGCGGTCCCTGAGATCCGGCCTTTGCATCGACAGGGGCTCTGTGGCTGAAATCAACCAGGCATTTCTAAAGAATGTCGCTGTCCAGGTGCTAGCAGACTCCTGCAGCTCGAGGAAAATCGTGCAGAAAGCTCTAGGCTCGATGTAGAATGCAGCCAAGCAGAAGCAGAAGCAGGGCCTGCTATTGCAGCCTCTCCAAGCGCCATCGTTGCCAGAGAGGGCTCGCAGATGCGCCGCCGCTTATATCATAGACGCTGACTAGCTACCAAAGCGACGCAGGGAAATCCCAAAGAGGACATCAAGAGAAAAGAGCGTGACTTTTGCGAGGGTAGATGATCAAGACCACGTTCTGATGTCACTTGTCTTGCTGAATCCCGAGAACAAAGCGCCCTCAAACTCGTCACAGGTATACATGATGCCATGAGTAAGGGCAGCTCCAAGCACCCCAACAGCTAGATTTGAAGCAGTACTGCTGCTGTATCTGCTCCAGAGGATGGATCCCCGTATCAAGCTTCCCCGTGAAGCCCTTCAAGCTGGGGATGGGGGTCATAGGTACTCTTGCTACTCCCCAACAGACGTGGACTAATACTTCATGTTAGGGCCAACACCACTCAGAGAGAGAGAGAATTGTTAAAAAAAAAAAGTGCAGCTCCAACGTCAACACTAGCTGCCACACGTGTTTTGGGGACTCCTGTAATCTGATAGGCAGAGCTTCACCGGCATCCGGTGGGGGCTGTTTGTGCGTAATATAGGTAGTCGAAAGGAAATGAAAGAAGCATGGAGGTTGATGGTGTTTTGTCCAACAGCCGAAGCGTCAGAGCAAGGACAGGCTACCCTCGCTGAAGCATCAGAGACGCATCGGCCACAGTGGAAGCCGTATTAGAGGATTTGAGAGCACTGATTCTCTTCTGCCATTCGTCGGGGATGCCAAAGCTCTCCAATGAGATTCTTATCCTAGTCGAGATAGCTTCATTCTGGAATGGCCTATCCTGTCATGCCATGGGCCGCTAACCGCCCCCACTGCTCAAGTATGCATGTAGGATGAACATCCACTCGAATTCCGACACTATAGTGTGATGGATCTGGAGGGGGGAGTGAAATTGTGCAAGTGTTGATAGATACGGGGTCATGTTTGATCAAACACTCAAGACCTATTTGGTCTGTTAGAAGAGGAGACACACCGTCCTGTTTGAAAGAGTGAGTGGGTGAGCGAGTGAAACGCATGACACCCAGTGATGAAATCCTATAAGTCGCCGGAGACGCCGCTACGCACATGAAGCGGGCCATATGTGAAATAATAGGGGAGTACAAGTAGTGTCATCAAGGACACACTAACACTTGTCGCGGGTGAGAGTTGCATGAGCCGCGTGCCAATAGAAATGGCCGTATATCCTACCACTAGGTAGGAGTTACAAGTGTGTGGCGTTGATGGCGGCCGTCACCATAATACAACTCCTATGATTCTGAAACCAAATCATTTTGCTCAGTGCCTCCTGCTCTGTGATTGAATGATCCTAGCCGGCTCAGAAAATCCAATCAAGGCAATATACCGGTAGTAGTCGAAAATCAACTCACCGTGAATGCTTCTCTTGGGGTGGCTGAACCGCCACTTGGCCTTGCTCAAAGGCAGACCGAGCTGAGACATGATGAGACATGACTCGGGTCTTGCCAATACTCTCACCCCAAATGATATGTCTGCATTAGTACGACACAGCGGCTATACGCTTCGCCTCAGAAGTGGCCACTCATGGGGCATGCGTTGATAGTATGTACGTGTGTAAATGCGCGGCAATTGCAATACACTAACACCTTATCCGCGTCACTGCAAGCCGCTATGATCTGGCAACAAAAGATCCAGCTTGATGTGTATTCTAGTCTGGCCGATGGCGAAGTGGCCAAGCTCGATAGTGCGTCAAATTGATCCACATATAAATTTAGCAGAGATGTGAGTAAATGATACCCATCATCATTCAAGAAAACATGTCGTCGGGAATATAGCAAGGTCAAATGGCGTTGAACGAGCACATCGATACTACCTGGCGGCTCGTATACATCAGTGCAGAGAATACTAATGTAGCGTAAAATGAGGTGGAAATGAGACTGGGAGTATCAAATTGCCATACCTTGCGGTCATCTCTTGCTCTGAATTAGCACTTGTCTCTTTCTTCCCCATAGGTAGTCGTGAATATTATCGGCTCAAAGTAAAGGGAGACAACCAAAGATGGTACCAGCGGCGAAGCTGGAGCCTCTTGATGGACGCTGTTGTGAAGCATGAGCCATCTACAACGCGCGTTCCTGCATCCGCCAATACATCAACGCTGAGGTCCGGGCCAGATGAGGGCCCCTGAATCAGCGGACATGAAATCGTGCGTCACTTCATCAATCCACTCGTGTCTCGTTGATTTACGACATGCAGCTCGCTTGGACGTGCCGCCGACGCAAAATGAACCAAGGCCAAAGCCTCTGCCACTCGCTACCGCGCATCGATAACTGGTCACTTTCTGGCCATCCCTTGGCCCAAGAGCCCGCTTGGCCAGTGCATGTGGGTTCATCCTCTCATTTACCACCAGCCGAGTCCAGCAGAGGATACAGCGGTACAGCGAGCATCTAGGCTGCTCTGCACGATCTGCTGTGCTGTTTTGGGGCGTAACAATGCAATATTTGCAGTATTTTCTCTTCTCTCATTCTATTCGGCCCCTCCGTTTCATAAGCTTGCCAAAAGCTGAAAATCCTTCGTGTTCGCGATCCACTCGTGGCAGGGACGTCTATCGCGAAGTTTGGGGGCAAAACAGATGGACGCCAAAATCCCGATCGTCGTTCGCAATGCAGTTTCCCTCGATCTCAGTCTTCGGCCGAGATCCACCATCGGAGAGATCTATTGCTGCAGCCACCAATAAAGCCAATGCCAGGGTGCCCCGGAGAAGGGGGTGCGGTGCCCATGTAGGCCCTTGGCGAGGGATGTCTTCGGTAGAGAAACCAGCAAAATGCGATGCTCACATTGTGCATACCCAGGAGGATGGCGCCGGCACTAGGCGCAAAACGGGCGTGGTCGTTATGCAGGGCGGCACACCCAGCCAGTGCTGGAGGGCGATGACATCTTGGAGCAAACATGGCAGCTGGTTGTGAATACAGATGCGTCGCCGTCAGGGACCAGGGCGGGAAGAAGGACGCTAAAGTGGTTGATGGTGGGTGACTGCTCTGCTGTATATTTGCGGGCGGGGGGTTTGGCGGGACGTGAATGCATGAATCCAAGCTCCAGCCTCCAAGCACAGGGAGCAGAAGCTAAGGCGGCGCTCAAGCTTGAGACGGAGCTCGGCCGCTGGGCTGCCTCTCCGGCTCCATGTCGACGGCGGGTTGAGTGCCCGTTTGTGAGTGTACAGCAGGTGGTTTGAAGCCGGGAGTGAATGTGGTGATTGGGCTGCGGCTGGATTTTCTAACAAGGACCAAAGATGAGCCGGTCCCGAGACTGTCCCAGCACCCGAGGCACCTCCAATTGGAAATGTATCTTGGTAGCATTACTATTGCGCCTTGGTCCATGTCCATGGTCCGATGCATGGCAGCTATCATCCCATACCTACCTAGTGAGAGCATCGGAAGGGTACCGATCTGCTTTGCCTCAAAATTGATGCCCTACATCAACATGTGATGTATAACGTATGACCTTCCTCTCCTGCTGTCAAGAAACTAGAAGCTCGCGACCCGACCTGTATATGGTAACTGGATTCCGAGCCCTCGGAGCCTCGCCCTTTTTCTGCATGATTTTCAGCTTCTGCAGATATAAATATCGGTACCAACAGCGCCATAGGCTGCATAGAAGGGCACGATCTTGGCCAAAAATAGAACCGAGCTGGGAGCTGTTTCATCTGAAAAGAACAGGAAAAGAAAAGAAAGGAAATGAAAAGGGCAAGAGAGCTGTATGAAGATGATATGATAGATCCCTTTTTGGCCATCTTCACAGTACCCAGGCAAAGGCAACCTGCATAGCAGCTGCAGCAAATCTTGTGGCAGCCTCTGCAGCATCTCCGGCACACACAGTGGCAATCAACTGCGTCCTGCATAGGCTATACTGTAATTTGTTTACTACCACCGTCGCTGTGTATGCGTACCCCGTACGGTCACTCAAAACGGAAAGAATAGAACCCAAGATCCCAGGGCCTAGCCGTTGGGCAGCTATTACTCAAGTGACTTCAGTTCATGCGCAGCAATCCCGTTGCTAGCCACAACCCTGCTCACCAGCTTTGTTTTCTCAAAGCTAGGGTGAGGATAATAATACAAAGTACAAAGTACATTCCCATATTCATGGAGTAAACTTGGTGTAGCCCAGCAGTAGTAATGACAGACAGTCTCTCCCTTTGAGGTAGACCCCATCTGACTTTGTGCCGTCTGTCGGCAAGTTCCTTGTCACACCCCCCTCCATGCCCAGGGAAACAATCCCCTGTGAGCTTTAGGCTCAAAGAGCTGAGAGAGAGGGCGCATAGGAATCGTACTAGGCATCATGGCAATCCTACTCGAAAAAGTTATCAGACATGGAATTCCAAGAGCCAGAGATACTTACCCGGGTGTGAATAGTTGTAGCCCTCCACAGGTAGTACCAGGACAATGGTGATATCCTGGCCTCTCCTCCTTGAACTTGTTTCCCCTTAGGCACCGGTGGGACACGACCGTTTGTTGTGCTCCCAAGGCGTCTGTCAAACTTATCTGGCGCTTGGCAGCTCACTTCCAGTGTCTCTTCAAGAGAACTGTCAACTGACAACGGTGGGGTAGCTCCTCATTTGATTGCAGCCGAACGATGAATGTCAAAGAACAAAAAAAAAACCAGATGGGCTTCCCAGATACGGATGGGAAAGATGTGCAGGCTGCAGGGCCTAGGACCAGGTACCTGGGCCTGTATTCCAGGTTTTCTAACCGGCCGTTGGTCGATTGCACCTTATCAGGAACCCTCAATCTCCCTCTTACACTAGTGGCCATCTCCAGCCTTGTTAGTCGCCCAACGCACTGGGACTCGTATAGGGCCTGAGATTCCGGCTTCCAAGGTCCAAAAAGCCGACCAGATACGTCGCCCAGAACGCCTTGTTCGGGCCCTTCGCTTCTTTAGCTATCTGCTGTAGCTGGGGCGTGCGCCGCACAGAGTGCCATCCAAGCAGCACATCATATAGCGCATCATCTGTCGCATCTCAACTTTCGGGGTCCTGCCAAGGTCCCCGGAGACCGGCCCAGTGCGGGACCCTGCACCGCTAAAAGAGCAAACACGCCTCAGCGGGCATCTCTGCGGCGACGGCAGGGACTCTGCAAGCATCACCAGACAGCACTGATCTCCGTAGCTGGTGGCTGCATGTTACGGAGTATGGGACGGGAGCGCTACGGAACGCGGCGGGCGTCTGACTGCGTTTGCAAGGCCCCTCCTGGAGAGCTGAATAGGCGCCCCCCCGCACCGTTCATCCTCTAAAATAACGTGGCTTGCCGGCTTCAGCGACATCCGAGACTTTCGTCGCCAGCCAGGACAGGGCCAGGGCTTGTTCCTCTTGTCCTTCATCATTGATCTTTTTTCTTCTCAAGCCCACAGTAGAGCTTCCCCACAAGGAACCGAGCTGTTCTAATCAAGGTCACACGTGATTCGGCGCTGCTGTTTCATTGCCAACAGCAGCACACACCAAGGCAGAGCCAATCGAGCTTCCATCACATCTCGCCTGCAGCCATGGCTTGTTTCGATTTTCCTCAGTGATTTCGTGTGCCGAGGATGCCGCCCACACATGATGATGGGGGAACCAGGAAGGTTACCTCCATAGCCTTGCTGCAAAGTTGTTTATCATCGTAAAAAGAATCACAAGCGAGCATCCATGTATAGACCTTCCAGGTATTGCTGCTGGCAAAGTTGCAATGGGACTAGCTGAAAAAAAGGGCCCTGTACATAGCAGTGGCTGCCGTTCATCTGCTCCCTTCGCTTGCACGTGCCATGGTATTTCAGGTAAATTAAGAATGCTACATTCAGTTGTCAGCCAACTCGTATGTGGAGCCAATGGTCGAATACCTGGATCCCTACTCCTGTAAATCCCTCTTCCGTAAAAATCTTCACAGCTGTTGTGCCTTGTCCCTCGAACAAGGGGCACCCGTCCTACACCAACTCTTTGCCGTGCAAATGTGAGAGAGAATGCTACTCAGCATGATGGGTACCTACTGGGTGAGCAGTCGGCTTACTAGCGTCCTGAACCAGAGAACTGGTCATTGCTCCTAGGGCATATTGCTCGGATGCAGGATCCCTCTCTCCGCGGTGAATCTTGTATGATCTAAGCCGCCCTGGGAAAGGCACCGTCTGCCTCTTCCGTGTCTCCTAACTGCTTTCTTTAGTTCTCAGATCCAACCACGACTGTAACGTACTGCTGTTAGCTCGGCAGCTACTAGCCCGAAAACACGGCTCGTCGTTAGTTGTAAGAACCGCTGCAGTCACTTGACGGCCCGTGAAGTGTAAAATGAGGCACTTTCTCCTCTTTATACGTAATGATGCATGTTTTAGTAACATAACCATGCCGGTCACGTTATGAAGTAAAATAATAAGGGTACTGAAGACGAGTTGCTATGAGTCTTCCGGGGAGAAAAAAAAATCTCGTTGGGCTGCCTCGCTTTACACCGTTAGGCCGCAATGAGACACATGCCTGGCTCACATGGTAGATACCGCATGTGAGAAATGATGACGATACGTTTCTCTCCGCTCCGAATATTACATTGCGGTCCGTGCATACTGTAATAGCGGCCGTTGCGTTCTGCCCAGTCTTGTGAGTCGGCCTCACTTGCGCAGGATTGGCGGCCAACCCAGAAACAGCTTCGTGTCCAGCGGGTAGATCAGTCAATCATTCCGCTAGTACTTTGCTTAGAGGGCGTTGACAAGAGAGGGTAAGCTTCCATGGGTAGAACGTAAAGTATGCGCAAATCGATGAAACAAACAGGCCAACGCGTCCTAGTACTAGCGCTTGTAGCACTAGTAAGGTAGGTAGTATAAGTGACAGTAATACACAGTAATTTTCTCTGGCTCACCCGTAGATGATAGGTCAAGTTTTCTCAAAGAGACGAGATGAAGGTTTGCTACTGTTTTTGGTTGCGTGTACGAGCGGACCACTCAGATCGCTCACCTCGTCCAAATAGCTGCAGATTTTGAAACTACTAGTGCCTCCCAAAGCAGAACATTCTTAATAGGAAGTAGCTTCTCAGTACTCGTTAAGAATCCCGGCTTTGCTGGGGGTGTTGCTCCAGCCTCTCTAGTTCAACGAGGGGATGACGGTTTGCTATTTGGCCACAGGAAGTGAGCCCTCAGTATCTTGTATAAATGAACAGAGGAAAAGCCCCGTCATGGTTAGATATGTGACGAGAAGAGGACTCAGATCCGGTGCGGTTGGTTACTTTGCAGTCGTATCCAACAGCACATACTGTAGAACAGAATGTAGGTGGGTTCGGAGAACCGTTTGCTTCCCTATTGAACAGCTATCCATCTCCAGGCTCGGCATCGTAAAACTTTTGCGGTCCAGCCCGTCCTAAAATTGAGAACACTTGCGGCTCGGGCTTTATCCGCTCTCGCCTCGACAGGCATGCCGCATCTTGTCTGCACAGCGTGACCTGCAACACCCCATAGCTCGAAATTGTTCCCCGCAGCTGTTAACCATTTTTGTCGCTACTGTATCGGTACTGCAGAGATTGTGGCACTGACACCAGGGAGAGATCTCTGGTGTCACACCTTTTGATGCTCCGCCGATGCGATTGTGCACAGGTAGTATACTTGTATAATGGACGGCTTGCAGCGTGCCTCGAGCTTAGCGGCAGCCGTGGTCTCCCACAGATATCCACTCGATTCTTTATTAGCTTGACATGCATGCCACCAGATCCACCAAAGCTGGGCAAGAGAGCTTGCATTAATCGCGTTGAGCTGTCCTTGGCTACCGTTAGTCAGGTTAATGGTATCTCTGGTGAGGCGGACTGTTCACCTACATTTAGAGGCGTGATGCTGCTGCTGAGCCAAATGATGACATGTGCTGCTTTAAACAAAATACATAAATGTCCAACCCACACTTCAGTCCTCTTCATTTTCGAGAAAAGGGGCTTTCGTTTGTTGTGATGTGGCGGCGGCTCAGGATTTTGCGTTTGGGTCGCCTGGTGGCTGGGCTGCCGCTCTTATGCATGCTAGGAGTGATCGTAGTAAAATCTTGTTACTCCTTTCCCTTGATTATCGCTGTTTAAGTATCTGATCTTGCGCCGGCATAGGTATCTGCTTCGGACACACGAGGCAGCCTTCACTGATGCATGCATGGTGTAAGATCAGAGGCCAGATAATGATCATTTTCTAATGGGGATAAACTGATGAGGCGCTTTGTGAACCGTGCTTATTAGGTCGGTTTATTTGGACAAGAGATATTCTTTCGTTCTGGCAACAGGTAATTGCGGCGGAGAAGAGCTTCTCGGAGACTCGGAGACATTGAGTCCCTGTTCTTGCTCAATAACCTTGTGAGTTGGCCACTGTTAACTTGACGAAGGACATATCCCCGCCCCCCCCTTTTTTCCACTGCTGCTTCGGTAATGGCAGAAGCGATATGTGCTCCGGACTAGTGAACAGAACAGTGTACCGGATTCTTGAGAAGCGCTCAAAAGGGAAAAGAAGAAAAAAAGCAAACTTGTCTGTCGTCTCCTCCCACCCGTTCAATGTCCAGATCAGACGAGCTGAAAACACAGAGCCCAAAAGAGGTTGTAATGGCCATGGATGTATCCTTGCAGGTGCATGAGATGGGCCATTCTGCTCAAGGTGTCTGCCATGGTTTCCAGCCTCTCTGCGACAAGATACTGCAGGACTTTTCACATGGATAAACCACATCTTAACACTGTACAGTACAAGCAGAGATAGCAGAATGGCTTGTGCTAAGCACGGGGTGTACCAAATACGGGGACTTGACCCTCTTCCCTTTTTTGTTCTCTGGTGCCCACCCTGGTTCGAAAAGTGCGTCTCGTAACGTGACTGACCAACCGGGTCCAATTCCCTGGCTAGCATCTCTGCATCCATACTGAGTACACACCCCCGGCAGGTGGTTTAGAATTGGCGGGAGATGTTCATACGAGGAGAGTACTATATGTAGTTTCCAAGAAGCCGGGATTTCTGGCAGCCCCTCTAACTGCTTGATGCATTCTGCAGGAGGCTGTGCAACACGGCAAAGCGCGCAGTTTCGTTTGTGTACTTCGTAATAGGGATAGTTCTTCGAGAACGGTGTTCAGACCCATTCGGCTTGACATATTGAGCTGATTATCTCGGCTATCGACGCACAGGTGTTCCCTACCAACAGATTCGTATTAGTACGCCGTAGAGTCGTCACAGAGAGTGGCATGCGGTGCTACTAACAGGCTTGGGGCTCTCAACGATTTGTACAATGCGTTGCATAAAGAGAGGCACTGTGCGGTGCACTTTGCTGACAGACGGCCGGAGTGAGAGAGTGTGACAGAGCATCCCCGCTTGGGGCTGGACGGAGGTGGGCAACAAGGGGGCGTGACCAGACTAGACCAAACTGGTTGAGAAAAGTAATCTAGCCTGGAGGGGAATCAGAACGCTGCCGACGAATCAAAAGGCGCCATTGAACAAATGCATTGCCCAATCTGGACTTATATGTAGTTTTTTGCCATTTGATGGACTTTGGGAAAATCCTCGTGGACATGTGCCGCAACACTTCGAGGTTGGCAGCAGTCGACAAGCATTCCTTATCAAAGGTAATACTAAGTAGGTATATGCCTGCTAGTATGTAGGTACGAAGTAGGCGCATATGGTGGCTGCTTTTGAACAATAATAGGCGGATGAATGAAAATGAAAGCTCCATCTCACCGTCCATCGGTAGTGGCTGTGTGAGCGTAATCGAGGAAACGATAAGTGATGAGCCGTCGGATGAAGCCGCCCAAAGATGCGAGCGCTGCAGCATCGCTACCCATCGGTCAGGGTACCTAGCCAGGTCAGAAATAGAGCGGCATGAACACAAGGGGTTGAAGCTTGATTGTGTTGGCGACTTGTCTGAGCAGAGGATGGCTGCAAGAAATGGGGGTGGCCTTACAAGTACAGGCATAGTAGCAGTAGTACCTAGCAGCCGTGCTGGCGTCGCTAGCAGGCGATCGCTAAGCTCCACCTTTGGGGCTGGGGCGTGTAAGGCGAATTCGACGGCCATGCGTCTCGTTCAGTTGGGCGTAGATATGTGCCTACAGCACTCGGATGCACGTGTGTAAGGATGTATCTTGTCGAAATAACGACGCAGATGGAAACATGCATGTTGGTCTGGATGAAGTCGTATGGCAATAGCCATGAAATTAGGCGCTATACGAAGGACCATCTCCAATAGCCCTAGCAGCTGAACGCCTGCTGGAACTAGTAGTACTGTAGGTACCTATAGTACTAGTAGGTATTATGTGGCGGTACTGTAAGAGGAGTCGCACATGGCTAATATATGCATAGCATTCCTGGGGATGGGGAAGAGGTTTGCAATGCTGCTGCGCTAGGAGTTTGAAGAAAAACTGGGCTTCTCAACTGATGCCAGATAGGCGCATGTAGTGTCTCCCTGTGACCTGAAGCAGCATGGGAGGCAATGAATGGCCTCATAAATGCTGCCCAACTCTTCTCTTTGATACGCAAATAATACCTACCCTTTGTTCCTACCTCATCTGATGCTGAGCCATAGACGGCAGGTATTGCCCGTAAAGGGCTTTGCGCGGCTGTTCCTTCTCTTTTTTGGCGCCCAGGTATGGAGCTTTGCTGGCTTCCAGGGATCCCCGGTCCCCGAAATGGCAACTTTGCCCCTCTCGCTTGCCATACTGTAGCATACAGTACCTCCCTACCTACTACCTAGCCGGCTCTGTAAGGTACTGCTCGTACTTGCGGTACCGTCCCAGCTGCATGTGAAGTAATAGGTACCTGAGGTACGAACGGCTCAGTCAGACGCTACCCAGTTATAGGTGCTACAGGCAGGTATTGATTACCGGGCAGTGATTCTCTCTAGCCACGCCCCCTAGTAGTACTAAGCGTTCACCAACCCTCTGCGGCCCTGCCCGCCGCCTTGAATTCTGAATTCTTTCCTCGATTTCATATTGCGTACTGCATACTTCCTTTATCTGCCCTGGTCTAGCAGCACTATTTCAGTCTTTACTTCTTGTTATTCATTGAACTAGCTTACAATCATAAGGGGAAATCAAAACATGGAAACTGAAATGTCGGCAAATCGGATATCAGCAACAGGACACGTCAAACGCCTTCAATACCCGTCTCCCGTGTCTCTTTGGCCTTGGCTAGTTTTGTTATTTTTGGCTCAGAATTGGCAGCATCTTCAAGCCGGGATACGATATAGCTCATATCCACTCCTTGTCGGGAAGACACCTTGACACCCTCTTCTCTTCGTGGTGGTAATGGCTGGATGACCAGAAACTATTCCTTCCCGCAGTCTGGATCACCTTTCAGTTTCTACCTCTATACCATTGGCTGAGCGGCCAATTCCACCTTCTGACATGTCTTGAATCAGACAACAGAGGCCACTATCACATGTACTGCTCAGACATGCATGCGACTATCGTTTGCTCCAGACCTGCGGCGAAAGAAGAGCCTACAGCTGCTGATCTCATCTATTCCAGAAGACGCGATGCTCTTTGATCCGATGTGAAGTATCCGCTGGCAAGGGAACTACAAGTAGAGCCCGGATGGACGAGCCAACATCCTGGTACCAAGCATAGGCCTTCAATGTTCCTTTACGAGCCCTGCCAGCCTACTCTGAGTCTGTTCTGCAATTCTCACGGACTGCCCTAGGCCTGGGAAACGACCGCCACATCCCTAGCAGTCAACAGGCTTAGTCGGCCGCCATATAGCCCTGCGAGCCTTGTCACACCCCTCCCCTCCATCTTCACACAGGTACCTCAGTCGCTCAGCGAACAATATGGGGGGGGGGCTCTTAGTCTCCAGATTGGAGGGGCGTGTGAGAAGCTAATGGCAGCCCCAGTTGTTTGATCTTCTCACGCCCACCTGTCGCCCCGGCCGTGCCAGGTACTGCTTCTCCGTACCTGTATTGGCAATGGTATGCTCGCCGTTTGCCCAAAACAACATGAGTCAACGATTGTACAGTATATCATATCCGTCACTTTTTGCAGCTCTGCCTCAGCCCTCCTCTTTCCGTCTCCCCATGTAAGGGCTGTCCTCGCCTGTGCCTGGCCACACCCTAGCGGCTAGTCCTGGTCACATCTCTGGTGTGGCTATCTTCCAGCTTGCGATCTCCGACAAATACTACTACCAGACGACTGGGCTTCCACACAACCCCAGTCATCCGTCTACCTGGTAAATTGCTTGCGTACCAACTGTATATTATCCTGTTCCCAAGATGTCCCAATCCAGGCCACAAGTACATAACCCCCTCCTTATCCGCCTTTCAGAAACCTCTTCTTCCACTACTTGCTCAACAGATTCTTCTCTCAACTAGTGTCCACACATTGACTATAACAAACTCTTTAACAGAAGTTGGTTATACTGAGTGCTTCGTCCCTCTTCCATTCACAGCATTCACATCATACTTTCTCAATATTGTCAGCTTTGATCGCAAGCTTGAGTACTAGCCAGCAATAATGGCAGTCGCAGCTCAACCGCAAGCCAATCCCAGCTGGAGTCGGTGGCCTCAGCACACGCCATCAAGCTTTTCCATCATGAGCTCTCCGGCATTCACATCCTATGATCCCAGAACTCAAGTCAGCAGCCAGATGCAGCGTCAAGTATCCGCCCCATATCTAATGGGCTCGACCTACAACCACTCACCAATCTCTGCCGTCTCGCCTCCCCAATATCAGAGCCACAGCGCATTTTCTTATGTGCCATACCATAGCCCACCACCATCAACCCCTCTCGGCTCACCATTCAAGACCGAATTTCGAGAGCATCCTTACATGATCACTGAGGCCTCTGTTGTTGACCAACGCAATCTCCAGTCTATGAAAGAATACCAGCCCTATTCTCCCATATCGAGGAGAGAATCGGTTTCTTCTAATACCCATAGCCCCATCACTCCAGGTCCCGCTACTCCAGATTCTTGCACTTCAGCTTCTCTTTCCCTTAGTCCAGCTACTCCAAGTTCTGTCATTGCAGCTCGACTTGACAAGGCCAAGACACTTGCTTATAACGAGACACTTGATCCAGCGGACAAGATCGAATTCAGAACCGAAGTTGACGAGCTTATGAAGGCTATACAAGGATCTCGAGCAAAGGAGGATCATCAGCAACCTCCCACGCCTGCCCCTACGCCGGAGCATGTTGCGACACCCCCTTCGACGCTTCCTACTCGAAGAGGGAAGCCTAGAAAGCAATGGGTCTGCGATGGTCCCAACTGTGGCAGAGCCTTCACCCAAAAGACGCACCGTGACATTCACCAACGAACACACACTGGTTATAGACCATATGTGAGTGTTTGACCTGATTCTTCATTTGCATCACGCCGCTAATCGTTGACAGGTCTGCCCTAAAGCCAACTGCGGCCTTAGTTTTTCGCAGCGCGGAAATCTCAGGGTATGTATTAAGCGAAACCCCCCCTGAGGACACTGATTTGCTAACCGCCTTGGGTTTCTAGACTCATGTGCGCCGCCATACGGGCGAAAAACCATACCGTTGCAGCCAGTGCACCAAATGCTTTGCTCAGCGAGGAAATCTTCGATCTCATGAAGAGACTCACAAAGGCTTGAAGCCATTTGTCTGCCGGCTTGATAATTGCAACAAGGCGTTTTCTCAGCTGGGTAATATGAAGGTAAGAAGTCTAGTCTCAGCATACAGAATGACATTTAAAATCTAACCGAGGATCTTCTTGTTAGACTCATCAGAACAACTTTCACAAGGCCACTCTTCAAAGACTTATCGCCCTCTTTGTACAATTCTCAGAGGAAGGTGAAGTGCCCGAGGACTATCGAGAGCTTTTTGATTACTTCCAGAAGCACTACAAAAACAGCAACAAAGGCGTTAAAGGTCGGGGAAAGACTCGCGCCGTGACGGCCCGCGGGCCTCTGCGTTCTATCGCCTCTCAGGTATCTCAGCTGGCTCTACCAGCCCAAGATCCTATGATGTCGTCTTCGCCATATGCCATACCCCCAGGCTCCACCAACATCTTGAGCAGCGTGCTTCGCAACCCCAACCCCTCCTACAGCCTGTATGGGCCAGGATCACCACCACACCTGGGGCCGTCAAGCCACTTGCCATATTAGGAGTTGTCAGCATCCTATGAAGACGCAACTACTTTTAACATACATACATGATTTTTATATCATACGTTCAAATCTCATACACTGAGACGGAAAAAAAAGACCAGAGAGAGAAAGTACTAGTGGTATTTTCTCTTGATAAATGTACTAATTATTCGCAACGTGCGAGCGGTGGCCTAATTTGATTTGGAGCGATGAAGAATTCGGCACAAAGGCTGCAGGCAGCATAATCCTTCTTTGGGCTACTTGGAACAAAGCTTGCTCTTGTTTTTTGAGCTTTTATGAGTTATCTGCCACGATCAAGATAAGATTGGCTCGATGTACTACTGGAGGGACTGGGTAAGGCACACTGAACTGGCTGATTTATTGAGATACCTTTGCATGTGAATTGGTAACATTGCGGCTGGGAGGAATACTGCGCTGGGATTATTATCTTTTCTTTTGTTAACAATGGAGGGTTTGGTGTTATCTGTTTCGATTTCTGTTGCGAGGCACTTGCCTCTTTCTTGGCTTTTACATATATCATTATCAAACCATGTTTATTCACCAGTCTATCGGCGCGAGCTAGGTAGTATTTGACATGGGAATCATTTAGATGAAAAGCGTTTCAATATCCAACTTTTTTTTTGTGCTTTGTTTCCTCTCTATTGGCATGGTAGACTCTCAGTGCCAGTCTGGGTGATTAATCAATACTACGGCCAAGGTAGCGTCAACATGGAAAAGAACAGGTAGAAACAAGGATGGAGGACGATGAGCGAATGGAAGCAATACGCTTGCACTTTTTGGACTGGGGATGCTTGTCACGGGACCTGCTCCCGGACTTCCTAGTGTGTCGTCAAATGCTGAGACGACACGCTCAAATATCACATGCATCTTGTGACTATTGCGGTGCTCTGTCCCGTAACAAAGCAAGCGGCAATACGAGTAGAAATGCTGTTCGGGAAATTGGGGGCCGGCGGAGTGTTTTTTTTTTTCATCACGATTTCTCCCTTGCGTTTGTTACCTTTGCGTTGAGGATACTTGGTAGTTCGAATACCTTCTAGTCTGGTAAGTGGATGATTTGGTGACCCCCAAAAGCTGAAGAGAACGCAAATCGTACGATTTCCAGCGACCCGGATCTAGCTCCCCAGTAAGATTCTTAAAAGAAGGTCCTCATCTCAGCCCCCGGAGGCTAAAGAAGAAATGACTGCCCGGGTGGGTAAAAAGATGCCTACAGTAGAAGCAACAGAGAGAGGGAAAAATGATAAGAGACGAAGCTATGCAAGGTCCGTTCCTTGATAAAGTGGGATTAAGAGACACATCACTTTTTTTTCTTCTACCCTTGCTTAGTAGGTAGGGCAGGTATGTTGCGGGCGCAGAGCCCTGAGCAGCTGAAGTTTGGGGGGGATTTAGGAGACGGACGATTGGAAATTAAGTGCCGTTTCGCCGGATTCGGTTGCAGGATGCGGTTGTAGACTTGGGGCTGAAGAATATGGGGTAGTTTATGCCTGTGCGCTGCATTGTGGCAGAAATGAGTAAGGGATACAGAAAAGAAACGAAAAAGGAAGACAGGAAGAAGACAGGAAGAGGAAAAAGAAAGGTTGAAAGTCAACAAGGGAGATGGGTGCATGCGGCTGTCGCTGATCGCCTCATAATTTGAATCATGCGCTGAGGATGTCATCAAGCGCATTGCACTCCTCTCCTGTAATAGGGCATTACATACAAACAACCACGACAAGCGAAGCAGCTGAAAAAAATAATGAACCATCCGGCTGTCGGTGCGAAATCCTCCGAAGGATTTACCCCCCCCAAAAATATGAGTTGTTTTAAACTGGCGAAGAGATGGCACCGGTGTGAAGAGAGCAAAAAAAAAAAAAAAAAAAGAGACAAGGAACATGGTTGTAAACCGGTCACGCCTATCCTGTTCGGTGGGGTTTCCTGGTTTGTTTGCGGCCCCCAAAGTGATTTCTTCTACAGTATGGACCAGGCTGAGTTGCCAGCCAACCAGAACGCAAAAGAACCTTGGAAATGAAAGGAATCGTTAAAACGCAAGAGAGGAGGGGGGTGTTTGCATGGGAACAAGACCATTCAGAGACGTTGCATGCCCAAGTCTGTGCGCGCTTTTCCCGTGTACAAGTACATGCACAGTAATGCTGCTGCACGGATTTGATACGCTGTTTTCGAAAACTTGGGGAGCAGGCATAGCTGCAGCCGCGTACAGTATCAGCTAATTCTATGCAAGGGAGACTTTACTCACGCCCTTTTGATTATTCTTCGCATTCACCGCTTAATGGAATCCACTCATTGACTTGCCACGTTTGCGTCACACTCGGCTTAGATTCATGTCGTGTTGGCAAAAGATCACAGATCAACTCAGCTACATCGGGTAAACCACAGCCACCAGGGGGACAGAAACAGTAAGGCAAGTCACAGTGGTGCTCAAGATCGTCGATCACAAACACAGTGAGACAAAAGAGCCCCAGGCTAGATCGTCAAAGTCACAACGAGTATGGGAAAGGGGGTGAGCAACACCATGTCCACGCGTATGGCCTACGCACACGGGCTTGTTGAAGCTAGAATATGCGCTCGTTTATGAATATGGGCATACTTCCGAAATTCTCGGGGAGACAACAACGCTAAAGGGTACCATGGCTTGAATTTGAAATATCGTACATGGGGTTTTGGGCATCAAAAAGAAGTTTCGGGCGTAGGTCAAAACGAACGAAACTCGGCCCGTTCCCATCTTGACTGTAGTCCCCCTCTACTCTAATCTGCACTTGTCGGTTTATGCGGGTAGTCGAATAGTCGGGTCCGTAATATAAGACGGCTCAGATCTAAATGCCGTTTTATGCAGACTTTTGATGCTACACTGACGGAAGCCGGACGGTGCATGAATCGTGTTAATCGTACGGACCGTGGCGAGCTGGTGGTTGGGACGACGACGAGCACCCTGCTCAGCTGAGCCACTATCGATCCAGGCTCGACGTGGGGAAATAGCTTGCTGCTGGTAGACAAAATAATGTCCTAACAATAGATTTGGGCGTGTCGTGCGTACACATGTACCCAGTGGTATCGGCAGGCCCAGGCCCAGGTTCAAAGCCTAGCCACCGTGCAGGGTTGATACGAAGAGAATGTTGTCGCCACTCTTCAGCTCATACTCTTCTTCCCCCTCCAGCTCCCAGTCCGCATCGTTGATGAGAACCAGAATGCCTGGCCGTCTGTAGAGTAGAAATAAGCACCAGTTAGCGACCGAGTTTCCATGAGATGGTGGAGCAATATCAGAACGTCGCAGCAGGCTATTCATGTGGAGGCAATATGATAGGCTGAGGTTGACACACTCGCTGCCGAGCCTTGAACCATTTCTCATACTCCCCCCAGTCACAGAGCTGAACATCTAGGTCTAGTACGTAGGAAGACCAGGACAGGGTGTTGCAACGCAGACCAGTGATTGGCACAGGTGCCCATGGGGAAGAGGAGGTGAGACGCACAGATGGCCGTCCAGGACGAAAAGCTCCCTGCGGGTGTCCTTCATCACATGCTCGCAAAGATGATGTATCAAATATGCAATAGTGGAAGGGCTGCCGTCCTTGTCCTTGGCAGGCAGAGTGAGGGCGTGGCGGCGTATGTCCGAGAAGAGCATCTCGAGGCCACCTCTACAGAGCATGAGTTAGCTTGATCCTCTTGGACGTATACGTATCAAAGACCGGACAGACAAATAGCCTAGGATGAGCTACATTCCAGACTAACAGCAGAAACGCCCGGGCTTGTGCGTCTTCTTGGTGGCATTAATGTGAGGGGAGGAGGAGGAGGAGGAGGAGGCATGATAGGAGTGAGTGCTTAGGCGCAAAAAGGGAGGTGAGGCTTACGAGAACTCTACGACGAGGGACATTTGCGCCATTGCTTCAGCAGTGTTTGAGGCCATCGTTACGAAGTCTTGCCCACCAGGTGTGCCTGTTTAATGAGATTGTGGTCGATGCTGCGACCACAGCAGATCCGGTGGTAGTAGATGGATGAGTCTGATATTGGTACGGGCAACTGGTATACAGCGGAGACCTTTTTCCGGCCTAGTCGGGTCCAAACTAGCCCTAAATTGCAGCGATCGAGTGCTATGATGGAACGACAAAATCAACCAGATCTCCTCAGGCCCTGACAACGCAGTGGTTTTTATCTCTTTGCATTGGACATAAATCATCTCGTAGTATCACAGATGAACAGGTTTATTCATAAGTTCAAATTTATTGTGATATAATTGCACGGCCTTCTCAAAGCCTCTGGGCCCTGGAAACAGCTGTGAGACTCGTACCCCGCCAAAAACCGCCAGTAACCACCAAAAAAAAAGTCTTTCCGCAAACTTTCTGCATGTCACATCCTTGTCACGTGGACCCCTCGTCCGTCTTGATGAACTCTCCAGTTCACACTTCACTCGGCATATTGATGACATGAGCTCCAACGGCTTGACGGTCGAGCATTTGGCTGCCGGCGCAAACAGACAGACTGCCGTTGCGGACTGGAGCCGGACGGGGCTGTTGGCTTATGGAGCGGATTGCAACATTGCTCTCTGGCGGCCAGCTGTGAGTTTTTATATGCGCCGTCTTCGTCGTTGGACATGCAATTTCTGACTTGGTTGTGTTTCTGTAATGTTAGGCCGATCCTCCAAGAGGCGTATTCAAACTCTTGAACGGGCATAAAGAAACAGTCAAAGCCCTGACATTTCTGCCCGAGCTTGAGAATGACTCCTCAAGTTACTTCATCAGTGGCTCAGATGATAAGACGCTGGCTGTCTGGAAATCTTGCCATGACAGACAAGATTTCGAGTTGCTTCAGACGGCATCTGAGCACACCGGGCCAGTAAACTGCGTTACCGCTTTGCGAGTCGCTGCTGAGCAGCCAAAGTGGATAGTCGCGACGGGAGCAGCAGATGCAACCATCAGAATTTGGAGTTTTGAGAATGATCAGCTGCAGCTGATTCAGACTGTCAATACGACACCGAAATACTTCCCTCTATGTCTTTCACTCAATATTCTTGGCGCCGACAATGACGCTTACATCCTTGCTTCGGCTGGCACAAAGGATGTCATCCAGATCCTGACAGCCGAGGCGAGGGCGGATCGGATCCAGTTCAATCTTCAGGCAACGCTCAGCGGCCACGAAGGCTGGCTTAGATCCCTGAGCTTCGCCAAGGAGACGAACAGCCCGGATAGCGATCTACTTCTCGCGTCGGCCTCCCAGGATAAATACATCCGAATCTGGAGAGTGCACCAGGGCAAGGAACTCCCCGCCTTGGCTGCTGAAGGCTCGGACCCTTCTAGCGGTGCTTTCATGCCTGGAAAGTCCCCATCCAATAAAGCGCACTGGCTCAAGATATCTGAAAAGGACTTTTCTGTAACATTCGAGGCTTTGTTGCTGGGCCACGAGGATTGGATTTACAGCGCAAAGTGGCATTCCCAAGCTGATGGCAAGCTGCAGCTCCTGTCTGCTTCTGCGGATAACTCGCTGGCTATCTGGGAGGCTGACCCTGGCTCCGGCATCTGGGTCAGCATGGTGAGACTTGGAGAGATTAGCAGAGAGAAAGGTGCCACGACGGCAACAGGAAGCACTGGCGGCTTCTGGACCGGCCTGTGGTCCCCCGGTGATAAATCAGTGGCTTGTCTGGGCAGAACGGGCAGCTGGAGAAGGTGGGAATATGACGCCTCAGAAGACATGTGGAGGCCTTGTATTGCCATTTCTGGCCACACAAAGGCTGTTACCGGCATCTCTTGGTCCAAAGATGGCGGTTTTCTCCTCTCCACAAGCTCAGATCAGACAACCCGACTTCATATGAAGTGGAAAAGCCACGGCACATGGCATGAAATGTCTCGCCCGCAAATTCACGGCTACGATCTAAACTGCATCGACTCGCTGGGTTCCTCGCAATTTGTTTCCGGCGCTGATGAGAAGTTGATGAGAGTCTTCAGCGAGCCCAAGGCCGTGGCCACCATGCTCAATCGACTGGGAGGCATCGATGGAGCAAACATTGCGGACATGCCTGATGCTGCCAACATGCCCGTGCTAGGCCTCTCCAACAAGGCCATTGACACCTTGGACGACGACCAGGAGATTCAGCCCATAGACGATCGTGATCGAGACGCTATCGATCCTGCGTCCATTGTCAAGAAGTCATACCTGGATATCGACCACCCGCCATTCGAGGAAACGCTCTCTCGGCACACCCTCTGGCCCGAGATGGAGAAGCTCTACGGCCACGGCTACGAAATCTCCTGTCTTGCCGCCAGTCATGATGGCAAGCTCATCGCTAGTGCCTGCAAAGCCAGTTCCATCAACCACGCCGTCATCCGCATCTTCGAGACGGATAAGTGGACCGAACTCAGGCCTCCGCTAGCAGCCCATACTCTGACAGCTACTCGACTGCGATTCTCCTCCGACGACAAATATCTCCTGAGTGTTGGCCGTGATCGTCAATGGGCCATTTTCGAGAGAGGTGTCGGAGAAGATTCAGTCATTCAATACCAGCTGCTACAGTCTAATGCCAAGGGCCACTCCCGTATGATTCTCGACGCCGCATGGGCTCCCTCTCCTTCAGTGCCCTTGTTCGCCACAGCAGGCCGAGACAAGCAGGTCAGAGTCTGGTCGTTGTCGAAGCAAAGTGGTGAGAACGAGGCCAAGCCCCAGTTTACACAGGTGTCATCATTGGCTTCAGACGGGCCAGTCACATCAGTCGATTTCTTGACGCAGCCCGTGGGGAACAAGTATGTTCTCGCGGTAGGCACGGAGAGCGGGCGTGTTAGCCTGTGTACAGTGGCTGAAGATGGCTCATCCATCTTAGAGCTGCCGACGTCTCCTGAGTAAGTTCTCTATCTCTCATTTCATAACGTGACATGCTTGGTAAAAGATCGTGCCGGCTAATTATCGACAGGTTGATTCTCCCCAAGACAGTTCTTCAGCTAGCTTGGCGGCCGGTAAGCAAGGATGAAAACGCCGCCAAGTATGAGCTTGCTGTTGCCGGAGAGGATAGCTCGCTAAGGGTCTATGGTTTTGGAGAGGAATATTTTACAGAACAGAAGCAGTCAAGCACTTGAATGATTCATATCCAGGGCAAAATACATTGGACATTTACATCTTGGCCAGGCATTCAAACACTCAAAAACACTTCCATTGGTGCTTAAAAAGAAGAAGAAGAGGAAGAGCTAGAGGAACATTTTGTATTACCACCACTTTAAGCTCGTAGCAGGAGCGTATTAATTTATACCATCATTAAAGCCATACAAGGCCGGCCATTCCATTACACTTCTTCGAAACCAATATACCCAACGCCAAATAGTTCATCACAGATAGGAACGACTGTCAACAAAAGCCGCTCTGCCCCCTTGCTCGTCGCTCTCGATATGAAGCCAAGTGTTTTGATTTCGCCAGGCAGTAGATTGCACCTTTTCTCTCCCACTCTCATCAGCCCTTATATTCGTGTCCGTTATTATCGTAAGCGCCTCGCTCCGGCTCGTACATCTCTCAATATTCTTTGTCTCCCAGTTGTCGATTTGTTTATAGCTCTCTCACAACCGCCGCAGCGCCCTTGCCAGCTCCCAGCGCCCCGTCAAAGACATTTCTCGCAAACGCCGCAATGTCAATCGTCTCGCCGTTGATGTAGTACCACGCGCGGCCGGCAAGAAGGGAGACGTGTTGCGGGAGGTACAGGGTTGCGGCGATGGAGGTCAGGCTGATGAGCAGGAAGAGGACCGAATCTGGAAACCGAGTTTCTTTTTGTTAGCGGTATGTTTTTTTTTTCCGATGCAGTATGGAAGTTGTGGCACTGTTGGCGGGATTGCCGGAGACGGATCAATCGTCATCGTTGATCCCAAAAGGAGGTGAAACCACGAGCGCAGAATCGAAGAATCAATCAGGCCAGCAGAAAATAAAGGGATTTCGGGGAAAAGGGAACGCCGGATAAGTAGGCGAAGAACAGGAAGGGGGGGAGGATAAAGTCTCACAGAAAAAGAACTTCTCCATTGGCGTAAACATGTACGTTGCGAACGTCACGTCGAATTGGAGCATCTTCTGCTCCACCATCTTCTTGAGACTCCAAGACGCCATGTTTAGATGATGCCTTAGTTTTCTTGGACGATTTGAAATGTTTCAGAGTATTGTTGCGTCGCAGGGCGATAACGGTCGTCTTTTTTCTCTCAATCGGCTCTTACCTCTCTTTGTGTCTGTCTAGAAGATTGCCTATGCTCGACGGCGTATGAATGCTGGTTCTCGGTATCGCTGGTGCCGACGGGAAGAAGGGGAAAAGGGAAGAAGATGAAGAAGAAAAAAAGAGGCGTAATCCGGAAATCGTAATTGGGAATGTCGCTATGCAGCGTTTCCGGTCCCCTTGCCCAACCTTTGTAGCGCCCGCCCAGTTAGCGGTGCCTCGCCGGTAGCCACTGGCGGATGCTCCCTAAGCCCGCTACGGATAGCCCGCCTATGCTGGGCGCCATTATGGGCTAATCTTGCTGCAACAGTATTATGGTCCGCAACTTCATAGCTCAAACTCAGATCCTCTACCTATGCTTTGCAGAGCTCTTCATTAACCAGAAAGACCATGTCACGCTCCATTGGCTTCTTTCTAAGAACCTTTCCCATCGCACCATCGGCCAGAGCCATCCCGGGCCTTCAATCTTTCAGCACCCTCGGCGCCACTCTTTTGAAGACGCTCCCGCCCCGTCCAAAACCTCCCCCGGACTCCGAAATCGAAGAATCCTACCTCAAAGGCAGCGGCCCCGGCGGCCAAAAGATTGTACGTACAGATGCACAGAGAAATATTTAATTTCACACATCCATGACAAGCCCTTTTACAAGTAGAAGATGTATTTACATGGGTCCCTCTACTAGAATAAAACCAATTCCGCAGTCCAGCTCAAGCACATCCCCACCGGCATCGTCGTAAAGTCCCAAGCCACTCGATCACGCAGCCAGAACCGCAAACAAGCTCGAGAGATATTGGCGCAGAAGGTGGATGAATTCTTCAATGGCGACCAGAGCCGCTCTTCCATAGTTGGGGCGATAAAGAAGAAGAAAGCAGATAGCGCGGCCAAGAAGAGTCGGCGAAAGTACAGGCGATTGGAAGAGGGAGACGAAGAGGCCAACGCCGAAGTCGCCGCCACCCTCGAAGATAGTCCGGACGAGATTGCCGAACAAAGTAGTGACACAAGTAAAGAGACAAGTAATAGTCCCAGCAATAGTGCCACTGACACCAATAACAGCCAACCTGGGCAGGATTCCCAACATAGGCATTCATAAGAAACTGCTGGCCAGAGTCCCTTCATTGGGCAACAAAGGAATCATCAATCAATGCCTTACAAACACTTCGCCGTAAAAGGCTGTACAACCAGGGTGCATCTAGCGTTAAAGATACTATTATTATCACAGAATTCCATTCAACGTGTTTCTCTAAGACCGGAAAGCAAATAAATATTTGTATCAACCTAAGCTTCTAGCCCCTAGACCCGCGTTACGCATCCAGCCCAGCTGCCATACACAAGCCGTTGTATCCTCATCAGAGAAAAGCCAACGCCCATCTCCTTGACCCTGTCAAAAACTTTTCGTAAATATGAGACTCGATCGCAATACACGCGAGCCCATGGAGACACTGCATGATTTGTCGACTCCATGAGCTTGGCACGAGTGATTGGCGAAGGATGTGAGGTTTTGTCTTTGACCTCGCGTAGCTTCTAAACGGCAGTTAGCAATCTGCAACACACAACAATTTCTTTGTTCAAGTCACGCCTACCTTAGAAGCACTTGCGGTGGACAATGGAGGGACCGCTCTCGTCGTACTCCTGCTTGGAGATCCACATCTGCTGGAAGGTTGACAGGGAAGCCAGAATGGAACCACCGATCCAGACGGAGTACTTTCGCTCGGGAGGAGCAATGATCTTGACCTTCATGGAAGAAGGAGCAAGAGCAGTGATCTCCTTCTGCATACGGTCGGAGAGACCGGGGTACATGGTGGTACCACCAGACTAGATTGAGAAATGCGTAATTAGCGCTGCTATTCAGTCGATTTGTCCTTGCGCGAAAATCACTTACCATGACAATGTTGCCGTAGAGGTCCTTTCGGACGTCGACGTCGCACTTCATGATGGAGTTGAAAGTGGTGACGTGGATACCACCGCTCTCAAGACCAAGGACAGAAGGCTGGAACAGAGCCTCAGGAGCACGGAATCGCTCGTTGCCGATGGTGATGACCTGACCGTCGGGAAGCTCGTAGGACTTCTCCAAGCTGGAGCTCTGGGCAGCGGTCTGGATCTCCTGCTCGAAGTCGAGGGCGACGTAGCAGAGCTTCTCCTTGATATCACGAACGATTTCTCGCTCGGCGGTGGTGGAGAAAGTGTAACCACGCTCAGCCAGGATCTTCATCAGGTAGTCGGTAAGATCACGACCAGCCATGTCCACACGAGCAATGGCGTGAGGCAGAGCGAAACCCTCGTAGATGGGGACAACGTGGGTAACACCATCACCGGAGTCGAGAACGATACCGGTGGTACGACCGGAAGCGTACAGGGACAGAACGGCCTGGATAGAGACGTAGAAGGCGGGAGCGTTGAAGGTCTCGAAGACGATCTGGGTCATCTTCTCACGGTTGGACTTGGGGTTGATGGGGGCCTCGGTGAGCAGGACGGGGTGCTCCTCGGGGGCAACACGCAGCTCATTGTAGAAGGTGTGGTGCCAGATCTTCTCCATGTCGTCCCAGTTGGTGACAACACCGTGCTCGATGGGGTATCTCAGGGTCAGGATACCACGCTTAGACTGAGCCTCATCACCGACGTAGGAGTCCTTCTGGCCCATACCAATCATGATACTGAAGGAGATTCGGTCAGATCCATGCTGCTCAAAATGCGACCACCAAAAATGACGGCGGCCGACACGTGAGTGTTGATTATTAGAACTTACCCATGGTGACGGGGTCTACCGACAATGGAGGCTATTTGGCGGCGTTAGCAAAATGTCAACCAAAGCGTGCGGTGGTGGCGCGCAAACGCCCAATAGCCCCAAAACGTATAGCTCTGGCGGGCAGTTGCGTGGGAAAGGGAGCAGAAGTGGGGTACTCACGGAAAACAGCTCGGGGAGCGTCATCACCGGCGAAACCGGCCTTGCACATACCGGAACTGCATTGTTGTCAGCTTTTCAGATTCAAAGGAAGCGAATTCATTCTTGTATGATGCAGTTGTAGATGCAATCTGTCGCTCCTCCTGCGTGGCGTGGCTGGCAGGCCGTGACCGTGCCTCCTGAGCCCGCAGATGAGGAGGGACAGAGAGGATATGGTGTCGGTGAGACAATGGCGGGGAAGCTTACCCATTGTCGATAACGAGGGCAGCAACTTCTTCTGCAGTGCGGGAAATCCATATGTTAGCCAATATCCTCATGTTCACGGCGAGGCATCACGGCGACGATTGCTCGATTGGCCTCGGCATCAGGAGGCTGGACGCGGTGTTGCGTGGCAAGGTCGACGTACCTTCCATTGTGACTGATTATAGGATGAAAACTGGTGAAAAGGTGAATGAAGAAACCGAAGAGAGACGAAGAAAGCTCGCGCGATCGCAGGGTCTCGAGAGCTATGAGAACAGAGGACGAAGTGAGGAAATATTAAGGTGACACGCAGGTCGAAAGCTGTCGATTGGGGGGTGCTGTAGAAGAAGTAGAAAGAGTGGAGGGGAAGGAAAGGAGGGAAGTATGTATCTCCGCTGCCACGATGGGCACAGAGTTGTGGGCGGGACAAAGGCCTGGTGGGGCCCGCGTGTGGGAGGCGGCGAACCAGGGCGAGACCGCCTTAGCGCAAAGTACCTCGGCGGTCGGGCTTGGGTACCGCTGCGGCGGCGTGCTTTGTGCGAGGTACCTGGTCGCCGCCCATGGAGTACCGCACGCGCCCGCCAACCATGCAGCGCTGCCTGCCGCTTTAATGATTGGCTCATGGCGGTGGCTGTTCAGCGCTCTCTGCTATTGCGCTCCTTTAGGTCTCGTTTAGGTCTCGGTGTTCTCCTTGGGTCCCCTTAGGTCGCTATAGCAAGGCATCTATCAGTGGGGGAGAGGGAGGGGCTGAGATCAACGCCATCGTCACCTTGCAAGAAAGCTCCATCCACACGGTACGAGGCCATGCTCACGTCCACCGCTGGAGCAGTGCGTACTCCGTGCCTAGGCATGTACGAGCTTGAGGAATCATAAAATGGACGCCTGATTGCAATCACCGGGAGAGGCAGAGGCAATGGAATTACTAGTCAAGGCAGCCAGATTCTCAGCGCCATCGAGTGTCTCATCGTACGCGTCCCAGTACGCAACCCGCCAAGGCTGAGGCACCCATTCGATGGCAAAAAAACGGCTGCCTTGTCTCTACAACTCTCTTTCGTGGATAACAAACACACTCGGTTTCAGCGGTACTACGGAGTGTAAACAGATCTTCCCAGGCCGACGGGTGAGCCAGGCATGCGATGATGCGCAGAGAGGGGCACTTTTGTGAAGCTCTCCCAGTTGAGAGCCCCTCCTTCTCCTAAGCTCGATGACAGCCGCATTATTAAGGGGGCCCAATGTGTGGCTGGTAGGAACAGCGGACTTTTGCTGCTGACTTCCTACCGCGTCGTACCAACTGCCTGGGAGAGAGAGGAAATAGGTAGTAGTGCTCTTTCTTCAAGGCTCCCTGATCTTCTCTGCACCAAGAGCCTCCCTCTCCTGACGACTGTCAAATTGCCTGTGCTCTACGCAGGCCCCTGCAACGAGATTCCAAGCCTGAATCAAGCTTATTGCTGCTAGGCAGAGAGATTACAGCATCTCTCACACACTGAAGGCAGCAGCATTCAAGTGTATCTCTTGAGTTAGGCATCTTGCATCCCAAATCCCCAGATTTATCCGCCCATCGAATGCGTAATACGCCAGTCGCTGAGCATGCACCAGTAAGCAGAGGCGCAGAGGCGCAGAGGCGCACCAGAAGAAGCTGATGACGGTTTTTAGCCCCCTTTTCGCTATCAAATCTCCCCAGCCAAGCTCATTCGGCCGCGCCAACACATCAACCCAATTGCAGTTAAAGCCAGTGCCGCCCTAAGCCTTGTTCCAGCTGTTCAAAGAATTCGACTCTACTCGGACCATCACGTGAGGCATGTGGATAAGTCATATTTCTTTGATATAAACTGTGTAGGGTATCAGATAGGTGGTAAAGCCGTTAGCTCTACCTTTCTACCTATAGAGAGCGTGCAAACTCCTAGTCTGATGCTGGATCAAGATCTCCCGGGAGATCCAAAGCTGCATGGCGCATAGCGCTGCAGTCGGCTTGGTCCAGAATGCAGGGCGGGCGAAGCGAGACGAGGCGACACTGTGACAGCTTTAAGACCATCTTAGCTTCCAGACAACGCGTGGCTTCTGGATTAAGGCTACACCATCCTCCAAGGTTTAATGTTTCTATATTCATCTGCCTGGATACTCGAAAACATGCTTACGTACCATGACCTATTAATCACAGCATCATTGTCAGTATCTACTGGGTATCTAGCAGTATCATCCCCGTTTCTTCAGCGTACGAAACTCTTTGTTGGACTTTACGCTGCGTTACGTCATCTGTAAGATTCCACCACTTTGACGCCAAGAAGAAGGGCTATATGCAGGATGCTTGTGAACCAACTGGACTCCGACGGTAGTACAAACTTCTCTAAGTCGAGGGAAAAGTCACCTAGCACCTCAATTCTGTTGTCCAACACCCCAGCTGTAGCTCAACAAGGCAGCCCGTCTGTGTATGAAAACACACAACTGCCCAATACATTTGAAAGTGGCAGCAGTAGCATCATCAGCAGCAGTAGTAGTAGCCCATGCTCTAGCTGGAGTGCTAGATAACAGAATTAGGGTGCTCAACTTTTGTCTAAATGAAGTATCGATATAAGTACTAGGTAAGCATATCATGACGACTAGGCTACAGGTCGCACTCGTACGGAGCTCGGAGTGTAAAGCCATCGCCTGGGTTCTGAGATGAACAAGTGGGGTTGGCATTTTGTTGCCCGTTTCTAGGATTCAGTCCAAAATGCCAGGCGTGCAAACAATTGTCGGGCTCAAAGGCAACTTGAGAGTCTTTTAGGAAACTTCCTCTCAAAATCATAGCTTTTCAGATTGTTTCTCTCGGAAATTTGATTCATACACAGTTTAATTAATGAAGCTGATGATCAAGCCCTGGATGCAACTAGAATTAAACCCTGGTAAGGCTGTAAAGGGAGAGTTCGACGGCACTAGTCCCTTTGTAGACTAAAGCCTTCTTGAAGTTTCCAGAAGCCGCATGAATGCCACAAGCGGAAAACTCGAAGATTTGGCGAACAACTTCAATTCCAGATTGCTGCTCCATATCTTGATCCTTTCATCCTCTTCATATTACGCAGATATCCACACACATTCTCGCTAAACCACTACGTAATTTACCATGGGCGACAAGCGACTCAACGAACTCCTGCGATGGAGTGTCGAGAATACCACGACCGGCGAAAATGGCCCCTCCACTGAGACCAATGCCCAAGTACCGCCGCCAACAAACCTCACCCCGGAGCTGATGGCCGCTCTCATGGGAGGGCCCTCCGATGCCGACCTCATGAAGGGCTCCATGGAGATCATCGGCGACCCCGAGGTTACCCTGGAGAACAAGCTCATCGCCTTCGACAACTTTGAGCAGCTCATTGAGAACCTCGACAACGCCAACAACATTGCCAACCTCAACCTGTGGACCCCGCTGCTCGAGCACCTGGGCAGCACGGAGAGCGAGCTGCGCAAGATGGCGGCCTGGTGCGTCGGCACCGCTGTGCAGAACAACGAGCGCACTCAAGAGCGCCTGCTGGCGATTGGCGGCGTCACTCCTCTGATCGAGATGGCGCTGAAGGAGGATGAGGCCGAAGACGTCAGACGCAAGGCAATCTATGCGCTGAGCTCTGCGGTTAGGAATTACCAGCCTTCCATGGATCACTGCACAGACGAGTTGAACAAGCGAGGGTTCACTGCAGCCAAGACAGACGCCGCGGATATGACAGCCGTTGATGTGGTCATCCATGGACTCAGGGAAAAGGTCAAGGCCGTCGCCAATGGGGCTTCGGAGTAAAAATCATAAATGTGTTTTAAATAGGTTTGAAAGGAAATGGAGAAGAAAAAAAGGACATTGGGCGGAGTTGAGGCGTTCTGCAAGTATTGGATGGATCAACCGGCAGGGATTGATGAATAAAGGTATCCTACAAATATTCATACATTGTATCTAACGATTATGGCTTTTACGATACACGTTGTTATACATTTTATATATCCCCCCCCCCGCAGATTTTTATTTTACCCATGCTCCCAAATCGCTGACGTGATGTTCATCAGTGCGTAACTTTTCCGTAGAAAGGGAATCCCAATGCTTCCATGAGCAGCCTGCCTTGCCTATCGGAGGTAGCAGTGGTGTGAATGAAGATATCGCAGCCAGGCATCAGCTTAGGAGGATACATCTATTATTATCAAATGTTAGTAATGAGAGCTGTTCGTGAATCAAGGACTTTCTGTCCCGCATCTCACTTACATCGTAGTTGAACTCAATCTCGGGAAAGTACGACATCCAGGCAGGCTTCATGCCAAAGGCAATGTTGCCCGCATCGTCGCCGCTGGAGGCCTTGATACCGGGCCAATCCTTGATCTTGGGCAGAACCAACGTCACCAGTTTATCGACAAAGTCGTATGCCGCAGCGCCGCGCAGGGTGGTCTTGGCACCGGCCTTTGATCCCTTTCGGACGCCCCAGTGGATGACGTTGTGCTTCACAGTCGTGACATCGGGAAACTGGCCGCTGATGGCCTGGACAACGGCTCGAGCCACATGAAGGTACTCCTTGTTGTCAGCGGCCAGAGGAGCATAGGAGTTGATGGTGACGGCCTCGATGTCAGGAATATTGTGCCAGGAGATGTCTCGCTCCAATATTCCTAGCCTTGACGAGCCTCCACCTCTTGGTCCTCTGCTCGGTCGGTTCTTGTGGTATGGAGAAGATCCGTCCCATTGGCGCAAAACTCCCTTTTGCGATTCGACTGGTACTGTCCCGGGAGGGGTATGGTTGTATGTGAGGGTCATGAGGTCGGGCGCAATAGTGCTCTCATATGTGTGCTTCAAGCGAGGGAAGCTGAAAGGCCCAGGAACGAAGTCACGAGCAGTTGGTTCGGACGAGGGTGGTGCCTGGACTGGGTGCAGAGGGCCTCGATTGTATTTGGGAGGATGATATTGGTATCTAGGATTCTTACCATTAGCAAAAGCTTTTGCAGCATGGGTCTGCAAAGGGCAGCACGTACCGGTTACCAGGGAGCCTTCTTTCTGTTTCGCCCTGCTGCTGTGACTCTTCAAAAGCTTTGAGAACATCTTTACTAGGCTGCGGCGTCGAAAACGAAGAGGTTGACTCGATATCGGCGATGCTGTCTGGTTTCACAGTCGCATTCTGTGCCGCTCTGGTCGAGACAAACCCTCTTGCGCATAGCGGAGCAGACTGATAAATTGGCAATTTTTGCCTCAAGGCTCTCGCCAAGCGAACGCCTTCTCGGGAAGCTGCCATTGTCAAGCCCAAAGCCAAAGGTCTCAATGCTTCGTCGTAGGAAGTTTCTCGATCTGCCCACCACTTTACTTCGAGACAACGGGAATTTTCCAATTCCAGACCTCTGCACAGACACTAGCCACAGGCTAATCCCGGCCAGGGTTGGCGCCACACTGAGGCGGAATACATGTGGCGGTGCAGACGCACCTCGGCCCGCACTCCGAACTAAACGAGATCTCGGAACCGATGGGCAGGCCGTTTCACAAAGGAGAGGTTGCTGGGAACCGTTGAAAATTGATCAAATTTGTGAGATTCTCAGCTATTATAGGTGCAGGTGGTTTTTCAAAATAAGACATGAGCTCTTGTCTTGCCAAAAGCCATGGATTGAAATGTAGCATTGCATAAAACTGCCAAGGGTGCCGGCGTGTAAGTCGCCATTGCAGCTTGTTTTCTATCCCATGAAAGCTAACCCCCCTACCCAAGATTGTCCGCGACTTGCGTCAAAGTGCAAAATTCACGATGAATGGAAACTTGGTAGATCGTGGACTGTGGGATTGGCCAAGAGGTATGCATGATTCCATCTAGGAGGCCATTCGGCCTAAGCCACCTCACCTCACTTTAGGTAGCCACTCTATTTTTGCAGATCCGACGCCTTTTCGTCACGCCATAGGCGATCAAAAAAGCCGCTGATGCTAATTTAAGCACAACACTAGAACGCTGCGGCTGCTCGGTAGATGCAAATGGCAACTACTGATAGTACTTCAAAATACTTTTGCACGAAAGCTCCAATGTTCCTTCATTCGGCACGCCTCCGGGGGGGCTGAACGCCTGGTATTGAGTAGCTTGGATGAAATGACGTTGTTTGCGTTTTACCAATCTCGTCCCAGAGCTCAGTGAGTCCGGAAAGGGCTCGTGACGAGGGTAGCTCGACTAGAGTAGTGAAAAAATCCGCTCCCATTGTTAGTAGATAATGCTCTAGAGAATGTCTTAGCATCTATGTGACCCGTAAGCTCGGGTCTTCGTCTGTCACGTTCCCCACCTATTCCGCCCAAGACCGGAGAGAAGTTTGTCTTGACTCTATGGCGGTAACATGACTGCGAGGAGTGGAGATTAGCAAGCCGCTTAGATGTGCGAAAACGGCTGTCGAAGGGGCCAGAAATCGCCTGCCTTGAGCAGTCGCCGTAGAATTACGTAGGGCATTCGTACGCAGGCCACGAGGCCGCAGGGAAAAAGTCAGGTTTGCGAGGCACGAGAACTGCAGGTTAGTAAAAGGCCGCCTTAGCACCGCGCAGGGACTGTATAGCTACATAGGACACAGTAAACAACAGCTTGGGGCCTCTGTGGGATTCCTAACGCAAGGCCAAGGCAGCCGTGTTCACGGACCCGGCCCTGAGGCGAAGCCCGATGGTGTTGCCCGCCGTGTGGTGCAGGGCGCAGGTGATTGGCGATGGGAGCTGGAAGCTGGAAGCGCCAAAGGGTCCCTGCGGATCCAGCTGCGATGCTATGGATACCAGCCTCAACAAAACGCCGTCAGCCGCTGCGATCTCATGTAAATCTCTCAATGGCACTGCGACAGGATCGATGGCATGTCGCAAGGTGCCACCTCAGCGCAGTATCATGCCGCGTTATAGCGCTGTCTAGTCGCTTGTGTCGCCCCTACAGCCCACTGCAGTCCCCTGGCAGCATATGATCCACCCGGATGTCCCGCCCCCGCCACTGTAACATCAGGCCAACACGAAGCACTAGCTTCAGCACTCTTCATGTTCTTATTTGAACCTGGAACCGCTCGAGGGTCCATTTGTTGCGCGACACAACATCTCCCTCCTGCCACCTCGTCACCCCGTCCGACTGCGCCCTTTGCAAAGTTCAGTTCTCGAAGCGCCTCTCAGCCTTTACTTTTTCCATTATCCAGCCGCGCCCTGTTCTCGGCGACGCATCGACGCCTGCGGCGCAGCATTTCTTCTCGAGCTATACCGGCCGTCTCGAATCTCGCAAGACAGGTAGCCGATACCTCGAATTAAGCCTGACGCCAACGAAGGGAAAGAGAAAGGAGAAGGACATATATATACGACCAAGATAAAATCATCTGCAGCAAAGATTTCGTGCCGATCCAGCTCCACCAGCGCCGCGTCGAGACTCGTCTCGCCCTATGATGGGGGCGTACCGTACGCCTCTTCTCTCGCTCCACGCCGCGAGAGTCTGTTTTCCACCTCCTCCACATACACGAGACAAAGCCCGTCATAGCGGAAAATCATGAAGGAGTTTCCCAGGAAGTTCCTTAGCCTGCGCGATAAGAGCGGCGAGCACCATCGTAGCAAGTCTGCCCCTCCTGCAAATAAGGTAAACCATTATTCCTACAGCCTCTCAATCCCCCATACCTTTCCTTGAAAATGGGCCGACATGGCGCCCAACTCCAAATCCCCCAAAGAGAAACGGTCATGGCTGACCAGTATCCTTTCTCGCTGGCAGGCACGTCCTCTCACAGCCGACACGTTTCGGTCTTTATTCAAGCCTGACCATTCAAGACAGGCCAACCAAAATGAAGCGGAAGCCACTAAAGAAGCCGCCAAGGTGCGCTGCTTTATGACATCTCAATTTCTTACCAAACAAATGTTAATCAATAAGCAGATTGAGGATATCCAGCGACGTTTAGACGCACTCAACATTACCAATATCACCGTCGAGCACATCCAAGATATCTTGGTCACCAAATACGCAAATGGCGACCCACAGCGTACTACGGAATTCATCGATATCGAGCAAAAATCTACCTCTGGCGTTATCCTACCCTATGACCCAAGCGTCCATATGGTTGGTGCCGAGAACCGCAGCGCCGTCACCTGTTACATAGATGCTCTGCTCTTCGCCATGTTCTCTAAGCTGGATGCTTTCGAGTGCATGCTCAAGAACCAATTCCCAGCAGATGATCCCAGGAATAGGCTAGTTACGCTGCTACGTATATGGGTGAACATGCTACGCACAGGCAGACTCATCCGCACAGACTTGGTGAGCAACAAAACATCTCGAGAATCTCGAAAAGTTGATCAATTTACTAACTTGCGCAGACTAAATTAATACAAGACACCATGGCTGAATGCGGCTGGCTGGACGCTCGTCTCTTGGAACAACAAGATACCTCAGAAGCCTTTGCTTTCCTTACGGAAAAGCTAGAATTACCTCTCCTTTCGCTACAAGTTGATCTCTTCCACCAAGGGAGACATGACGACGATGACCACAAAGTTGTCTACGAGAGGCTACTCAATCTAGCAGTACCGTCAGATACCGATGGAAACGGCATTAAGCTAGAAGATTGCCTAGAAGAGTATTTCAATACTCAGGTCGACGTGCTCAGAGACAGCGAAGAAGCAAAGAAATCGATTGCAGAGGACGGCAGCCCAGGCGCGGTTCCTATATTATCAATCCCGAACCAAATTCGGCTGATTAGGGACGAAGAAAGTGTCTTAACGCCCACGGCCATTTCATCATCTCCAATTGACATGTCACCATTGACTCCGCGGGCAGGACCCCTGCTGGAAAAAGACGAAGATAAAGAAGAAACCTCTGTATCGGAACTAGTCGTTAATGGCACGAGCCAAAACGACGCTCCCTCTGACACACCGCAATCACCGCAATCACCCAGCGTATTGAGCGCAGGAGACAGCGCAGGCAATGCAAGCGATCATGCCGCAGGGTCTTCTTCTAGGATGACAATCAGGCATAGGTCAGCCAGCGTCATCCAGCGGGTAATGCTCGACAATGGAGGACGCCCAACGAGTTCCGAGACCAGCACCCTTCGCAAGAGGCTCAGTGGGAAAGGATCAACTGTAGTCAAGGCGGTTACGATACCTGCCTGGCAGTTCTTCCGACTAATTCGTATGTGTACAATCCTTGCCAGTCACTACTTCCTTTAACTAATGCTGTGTACAGCTTGGCATGCGGTTAATAGTACAGAGCCCCGAAACGATGTCGAAGTGGCAATGAATTTTGACCAGCGCCCTGTGGTAGGCATCTGCTTAAAGCGGTATGCTATGACCGAGTCTGGCCAGCCGAAGCGTCTCAATACGTACATCGACATTCCAGAGAGCATGCGACTTCCACATTTTATGCTTGCTGATGGACCTAACATTGAAGAGGAGATCAATGGACTGGCAACGGAATATAAGCTCGTCCTGCAGTCTATAGTCTGCCATCGAGGCGATTCATTGCAAAGTGGCCACTACATTTCTTTTGCGAGAGTCGCCCCTAAACTCCTCACCGATAACAGAAGGCATGATTTCGATCCGCCTCCGGATTATGAGGAAGCGCAGTGGGTGAAATTTGATGATCTAGATATCGCCAACAGAGTCAGCTTTGTCGACGATATCAAGGAATCATTAAAGGTCGAGATGCCATATTTGTTGTTCTACCAGATCTTGCCCATGGTCGATGCTTCTGAGAGCACAGACACTGGGCGGCCGCCATCCTATGATGAATCAAAGAAGAGTCTGGAGATTCAAAACTCTGCGACTAGCGAAGAAACGCCAGCTAGCTCAACGCATGTATTGACAGCGCACCATGAGCATCAAGCTTCAGCTTCGACCAGTCGCTTGGGGCAAAGCAAGCCTCCTAGCATTAGACTTTCCGCCGATGTCGAGCGACCATCACGTAAGTGGCTAGAAGGTATAAGTCTCAACTTTGGAGGGTCGTACGTGGAGTCTGTGATTTCCCGCCGCCAGAGCGAGGCGCTCACGGACTCTACTGCTCATACGCCATCTGTTACACCAGATCCGCAATCACCTGCCGTAACACCGGCTGATGAACCGACATCGTCCAGATTGTCTCGCGCTGCGTCGCGCTTCAACCTGAATAAGCAGAGCCGCCCAGCTAGTCAATCGGGCGAGGGCCGTATCAGCCTTAACCTCAGTCGCTTTGGGTTGATCAAGACCAGCAAAGAGCCGCTACCCGACCCACCGGCGCTGAATATCTCATCTACCACCTCGATAGGCCAAGCAACTGCAAGTCCTCAACCAATTTCCCCATCAATGTCGTTAGAAAAACAGTTACATCACCCCCCTGGTACTGAAAAGTCGGATAGAAATGAGAAGGCTGAAAAGCATGACAAGAATGACAAAATAGAGAAGGCGGAAAAGCACAAGCATAAAAGGAAAAAGTCTAAAGAGAAGAATGAAAAGCAGAAGTCGGGAGATCAGCCCGAGCGGGAGTGCGTCGTTATGTGATGGGCGAGCTCTCACAGTTTTAGACGATAGCCAAATGGCTTATGATAGCATTATGGGACGGACAAAATATGGTAGGGTGGCAAGCGCTTCTCCTTTTTTGTTTTTAAACTTGGATACATCTTTTTCTTCCAAAGACAGAAAAAAAATCACAGTCATGATGTGAAAGAGTCATGGAATTACAGTGTTGGAATGCATGATTATCGGATGACTGGGAGTTATTACAGGTTACTTGCATGTACCGATATATCGAAAGGAGAGGAGGAAGAAACAGCTTATATATATATATATTGATACCACGGCGTTGGTGGAATGAGGGACTTTTTTTCCCCTTGTGTTTTATTTTCGATTACTAGGTATACTGATTCAAATGCATTTTTATATACCTTGGGAGCAGCAATGAATGTCCCTCTTTCTCTTAAACGGTGATCAGCCACAAACTCATGTCGTACTCCTTTAGACAATGAGTCTCTGTTTTTTTATTTGTTCATCACAGTGAATCTTTTTTTCATTTATTACATTCAAGTTCGTCATCTCTCTATCTCTCTTGTACATTCAGCATGAAAAGGAAGTTATGTAAAACTTGGACCCTTTTTCGCCAACATGCCGTACTTGGTAAAAAAACTCCCTCCACTTCCCCCCTTTTTTGATTCTCGTGTACACATGCCTCCCTACAACATAGTCCCATCCCATCCAAAAGATAGAAAAAAAGTAAAAAAATTGACGGACATTCCCAAATGCTTTACATACCGCCCATTTCCCGCCCGAGCCCACTGCACGTATGCACCGGTCTTGGAAAAAAAAAGTTGTAATATACACAGGGAGGTAGAGCAATTACCATGGACCAAGAAATACAAACCTAAGAATAGATTTGTGGTCATCTCGGGCCATAGCGATTCTCTCTCCCCTAACAGGATTGGAGAGTCACCGTCATAAAAAAATGTCACATACAAGCTCCCCTTCCCATTCTTCACATAGGCGTTGATGAACCCCCCTATAAGGAAGGTTTTCAAAGAATGGGGTTTTTTCTTTTTTTTTTTCTTTTTGTTCTTCGCTTTCCATCCCTTCTCCCGTCGTTATGTAGAGAGGTATGAACCGAGGCCTAAAAAGAAACGATATTCATCATCAAACATATAGCGATAGAAAATTTTGCTCTTCGTTTTTCCCCCTTCTTTTCATTTTCTTTTTTTCTTGACCAATCAGAAAGTCGTGAGTGTGGAGAAGAAGAGATGAATGTTCGTCCTTTTGTTGGCCAGCGGTCCTACTACATTAGTCGTCTATCAATCGAGATCCGATTATGGGTTTCGTGATGCGCTGGGAGTTTCCTGTCATGGCCTTTTTTAAAATGGAATATTGGGAGGAGCCTGGCTGCCCAGAGCCTCCTGCTGGTCTTGAAGTTCTTCGGGGGCAGCCTCAATTGAGACACCGAGGCCAAGCTTGGCTTGTTGCTAAACGAACAGTTAGTCTGATATATATCGTATCGCTAGTAAACATGGCACACATACCGTAAAGTGGTCAATATCGGCAGCAAAGGTCATCATAACGGGTGGAGCGACACGCTTCTCCAGCAGGCAGCTAAGCTTACCCTTGGAGTCAACCTGGGCTCGGAAGGTGGACATGCGGAAATCGTATTTGGCACCAATGGTGGTGACGCCCTCTTTTTGCAGGCCACCACCCATCATACCACCGGCGGAGGGGACGAGACCGAGGCTCAGGTCAACACCGGCTTGAACCTTGTCCGACAGCTTTCGCCAGTATGAAGCACTGACGGTTCCCATAGCAGCTTGCAATTGAGCAGTGGCGACCCAGTCAGCGGCCTTGTATCGAGCACAGTAAGAGACGGCACATTCAGGACCTTGGGTCAGAGCAGGGCGTTGCCAGAGGGTTTCCAGACCGAGAGCGAGCTTAGGGGTAATGGATTGAAGGTAGCTTCCAATGTAGATGCCAGTCATGCCGCCTTCGAGGAAAGAGGGGTTGAGCATCTTGAGAGATGCGCTGAAGTCATTGCCAGTATACTCGTGCTCGAACTGGGCCATGTCCTGGCCACCGGGAGAGATGGACAGCTGTGACTTGGAGACCAGCTTATCGGTCCATCGGTAGTTGAAGCGGCCGGAGAGAGAGCCCTCGTTGTCAACGTTGCCTTGGCAAAAGACCTGGGAGTTGAATTCCGAGTTAGTTATCAAGGCGGCACTGCGACTCGTGCGCGGGTTCCAATGCGTTGCTGCTTACCTTGCCGGTGCCGTACATGGCGGCAAAGGTGTACGGGTTGATGCGTTCACCCATTGCGAACTGGTGCGACACCTGGAACAGCGGCGCCATGCTGAAGATCTTTGTCAGGTCGGCACGGATGCCGGTGAACATGTAGTTGTTGAGGAAGACATCGCGCTGGACTTCCTTGGACAGCGACTCGATTGTGCCAGGGTTGCTCAGTCCGAGCTTTGCCCTCCGCTCGGAGAAGTAGTTGACGGCATCTCCTATTGTAGCGGCGATGGGGTTGGAGAAGACGAGGGACCGCAATGTGTCCACGGGGGTGGCCATGACGGCGGTATTATGTGGTGGCTCTGGAGCCGAGCCGAGCGAAAACCGGTGATGACAGACGAAAAAATCGAGTCGCCTCGCTGCGCCGGTGAGAGGAGCGAAGAGGCTATTGGTATATCAAGGATTATTCAAGGCCTCACGCAAGCCTCGGCTGTAGATGTTTGCTGCTGTGCCCCAAGAAGCGCGGTGTCAAGCTCCGAAGCGGCTATAATGGGATGGAGTTGCTGAGAATAATTTTCAACCGACCCAGTTTGTCCGTAGCCTGCGGGAGCTGCACGAGCCACTTTTTGTGAGTGACGCTGCCAAGTTGAGACTTTCAGCCTTTTTTTCAGTGGCGGAGAGTGCGATAATCCGGAGCCGATCGCCGCGGGGCTCACTAGTTAGTACAGTAGTATGGCTGAAGGTGCTTTGTATCAGCAACTTGCAATGAGGATGGAAATCTCTGGACTTGTATTACGATAGAGAATTTTGTGGTATGAAAGTAATGTTGCTCACTATTGTTTGGTATGCCAACTATCTAAATAAATATACCACTTTCTTCTTCAAAGCATTCGATTTTTTGACAGCAGTCCAGCTACATGGCATGGATTCCACAAGAACTTGGAAGACGGTTGATGGTGGGGTAGGTACTGAGAACTTGATCAGCCGTTGCTGTGAAGTACCTATGCTTCTACACAAGCTGCAGGCAGGTACCTCTGCACGCTCTAGGATTTCTCGTCGGGTAGTATTCAATACTTGTGCGATTCCCGTGCTGCGTCCCTCCGTTCTTGCCCGTAGCGCATGTCCCCTTGCATGAACGGCCTCTTCATTTTGCATCCGTCATTCTCAGCACCTAGAACCGAATATATCCGTCCCTACGGCTCGCCTGGGCGTCAAACGCGGCCCTCAGCTCCTCCATCTTCTTGGCCAGCTCTATTACTATCGAGGCCTCTGCTGGATAGGCCAAGCCGACAGCCAAGCTCGACATCTCTAGCCACTCGGTCGCCGTCTTGTCTGATCCTGGTTGCATCATTCCTCGAGGCGGGGCGAAAGGCTGAGCTAAGCTGGATCTCATCTCGCATATCACACCGCATCCCAGATCGCCAGCTTCCCACAAACTCACTTATTGGATTATTGTTTCTTAGTCAACTTGGACTCTGTCGCATATTATTCTACTATTGTTTACTATTATTCTTTAGTCTTCGAAGTTCAGATATTACTGGTTGCAACCACGAGTCTCAAGAAAGCCCAACAGAGAGCGTCGGTCAAGTCTTGCCATCTAGCGAAGACGAACTCGACTCGCAGAGATGGATACCTTGCTGTAGGTGGCTTACATGCGCGCGCCCAGAATTCATGTCCCGATGAAAGCAAGATTGATATTATGGCTATGGTGCTGTAATGTCTCGAGAAGCTCGCATCTTCCACACAGTTCTTTTACTCTATTCCAGTTCATCCCTAGCCCCTGACCCAACCCTCTTGGCCACGACTATAGCTACAAGGGGAACAATTTCGTGCTGGGGGGTAATATTTGACAATGTTCATACATACACATGCAAGATCAATCATTGTTAAATGAAGTTTAAAACTGATTCAACGGCATTCTAGAACAGCTGAGATCGCGGCCAACGCCCCCCGGTACCGCCGGAGGAGCTCGACCTTCATTGATAGTATCCATGATGTGTCTGAAGATAATGACATGGCGCCGGCCCAGCTATATAGCACCATGTCTGGACGGCTTTTCCACTCCGGCCGTATCACCATTGTCATGGTTGGACCACCTGCTCGCGGCAAAACGTAAGTTTGGAAAATCTACGGCTGCAGCGATTGGACCGAAAAGCTTACGATAGGCAGACACATCTGCGTGTCTTTGGCACGCTATCTCCAATGGCTTGGCGTCAAAACTCGTATTTTTCACCTGGGAGACTATCGACGAGCCACAATAGGCCCTGACGGCTCACTTCCTGACGATTACTTCTTTCCCGATGCTTCTCCTTCATCCATCATCCTCCGTCAAAAGATTCTTAAGAAATGCCGTGAAGATATCTATGCCTGGTTAAACCATGAAAATGGCCAGGTTGCTATTTACGATGCAGTCAACCCAACGGCGAGTGGAAGACGTTCTCTAGCCAAGGAATTTGCAAAGCACGACGTCCAGGTGAGGAGCCAAGATTTGTCGGCAATATTTTGGTTTCTTTGTTGAGTTCACTGACAACAGATGCTGATTAGACTCTATTTATCGAATCGTTTGTGAACGACGAGCGAATTCTACATGACAATGCCATCAATGTCAAGATTTCCTCACCGGATGTAGGTTTCACCGAAGCCATTCCGTCATATCCCTTCCCTCCAGCCACTGACCGCGGCCATAGTTTGCTGGAATGGATCCTGAAGTAGCGGCGACAATGTATCTGAAAAGAATAGAAATGAGGATCCCGGTTTTTGAAACCATGGACGAAGAGGAACTCAACTATATCAAGATGATCAATGCCGGGGAGAAATTCTTCTACAATAACGTTAGCTTCGGTTACTTGTCGCACAGAATTGTCTTCTACCTCACTAACCTCCACATCAAATCACGGACTACCTTCTTTGCCCGTGCGGGCACAACAACAGAAGAGGATTCGTATAAGGCAGACGCAGACCTCTCAGAACAAGGCAGATTTTATGCCCAGAGGATGTCCGAAACCCTCATAAAACATCGCGAACAAGAAAGGCTAGAATTGATTGCCAAGGGTGGACCTGATATACCTCAACGGCCTCTTTCCATCTGGACATCAACGCGTCTTCGCACAATACAAACTGCTGATTATCTCAAAGAAAAGGGATACAAGGTTCGACAACGCTCTCAAATGAGCCAAATCAATCCTGGTGTCTGTGAAAAGATGTCAGAGCGAGTGATCAGGCAGATATATCCCGAAGAAGTTGAGAAGCATGGGCTTGATCCCTATCATCACAGATATCCCCGCGCTGAGGTAAGCTATATTTGCTTCATTGGATTATGGAAGTGTCCGACGACTAACGATATGCCTTGTAGTCCTACCATGATCTTGCCGTTCGACTTGAGCCCATCATCCTGGAGCTAGAGCGCGAACAGAGCGATCTCTTGATTATTGCTCATGAGTCTGTTCTTCGTGTGCTATTCGCCTATCTCATGCACTGTTCTACCATGGATATCCCCAATCTCAAATTCCCTCGCGACGAGATTATCGAGATTATCCCTGCCGCATATCAGAACGAAGCCAAGCGTATCCGTATTCCTGGCTTGGATCCAAAGCTACTCCCAGGCTCCCCCGATGGTATCAGTATAGCCGGCAGTCGACCCATGAGCAGACCTGAGAGCGGCCAGATGAGTCCCATTCCTGGCGGCTTGGGTAGCCCAGCTGAGCCTCTGGAGAGGCCGAGCTCAGAGAAAGTAATCAACACCTCAAAAGACATGGTGGCAGACAAGATCCACGACGAAATTTAAGTAGTGAGCGCCAGCATCAAATTGACAATTACGATTCAATTCTTAAAAAAACGAGGAAGCAAGATTGGTGGTGGTATGTGTGATTGTTCTGGTTTTCATCTTACGCAAATAAATTCGAGACGAACAGATGCTTTACGGTAAAGTAGCAAATATTGGCAACTCTTTGACATTGAAAATGTCCAGGTACTTGACGAAAAAAGAGAGCCTAGCCAAGACTTCCATGAATCCAATGAGATACTCCAAAGCTTCCGACCCTCCCGCCCCTTTCGATGACCGGATTTTGTGTAATTTCCGTTTTCTTTTACACTCGCCTTTGGGTGACACTTCAAGTTAGCCGCATAGAGCTGGGCCAAAGCCCAGACGCCCCTGACCCCTAAGATATGACGCGGAAGGAGAAGAGCTGGCCAACCGGCTGAGGGTGTCGCATGAAGTTCGAGACACACGTCTGTTGAGTTGAGACAGCCACCCTAGAGCTTCTAGACCATCTTTTGCCGCTTTTTGTGCTGCCCAGGCTATGCAATCGACCCAAAGCAGCCAGACACGCAGACAAGCGGGCGGGTTTTTTCTCTCTTGTCTCTGTCTAATACACCTTCCAATATTGCTCCCTGCATATGCAAGTTTCAGCTCCGAGATTGTAGGGTTGCATGTACTGTAAGAAGACTTGAGAGCTAAGCTCACACACTAAAACGTGCCGCCCCTAACTCTACTTTTCTTTGATTACGCTACGCCGAGTAGTACTACCTCACAGTCTCAGCTTCTACAGTTTCACTTATTTTTGCCTCTTGTTGGCTAGATACAAGGGAATCATGAGGACTTTAGGTTCAGCCAGGCGCAGAAAACCCTCCCGATCCCTGGGATATGGCTCTCTCTTGAGTGTCTGAGTTGTGTTACGCAGAGATATACGTGGTACTTGCGGCTGTATTTCTTGCTCCCTCCCCTGTTTGATCGCCACGAGATATTTATAAACTATTATTACTCTGTACCACTACGACAGCGCCCCCCTTTTGTTCATCGGGACTACCATCCTGACTGAAACAAAAAGATATCGAATGATTTTTCTTTTATTCACATTTTCGATGCTGAAAGAAAAAAAAAAAAAAAAAAAGCACTGCTTCTCTTTTGCAGCTCCTCACTCCTGATCCCCTTTTTTCAGCATTGCCTGCAAGTAAATCCCGAAATGAACGCGCAGCCTGATTTCCTCAGGCTATGGGATCAAGATACCACACCAACCCGCGGAAGAAAAAAAAAAAAAAAGGAGGCGAGACAAGGCGAGGCTGTGGTTGGATCCGTTGTTGGCTTTGCTACTACCTAATTACGAGACATTGTCGCAGCCTAGATGGCGGCGGGATGGAGCGGGAAAGGACGGAAGCAACATCCGAGACTGGTTGGTGATGCAAGGGGAGAAAAGGCAAAAAGGAACGTATATACTAGTATCAAGTACTAGTACACAGTAATAAGAATTAAAAAAAAAGTATGAGAAACACTTTCATCCTACGGGCTGAAAGTGTCTAAGACATACAGTTCCTTATCTACCTAGACGGCTTATAGTATGAGGGAAAGGAGTTGTACCCCCAGTACGTATTATGCAAATTGTTTTACAAATAGCTATGGTATGGTTGCCATGTGATTTGCTGATTATATTGGGCGGCCTCTTGGGAAACGGCCTTGCTTATATTGGTCGGAGGATGAGCTGTCTATTCCATGTGGCTGACTACATGTGTATGGTCAGTCTTTGATATATAGGTAAGCGGCATGTGCTGGCAGAGCTCGTTTGATAGGCTTCTATGCTGCGTATAGGATAGAGTGATTGTTTATACAGAATCGTTATGTGTGTCTGTAAGCTCGTGATGAAAGAGACTTGACGGCTTATCCGATGAAATTCAGTTAAACATGTCTTGCATACTACTCCCTTGCATCCTTCTACCTAATAATACTCGTGTCGCTAACCAGAAAGCCCAAAATTGCCCCTGAGGCCTGAGCCATCCATCTCTTCTGACCCGAGATGGCGTAAAGTAGCTGCTGATCGTGAGACAGACGGGTCGACTGCCACTAGTCTTCTATACGTTATTGACCAGATCTCGCCAAGGCATGACCAAGTCCAAAGGCCAACAACCCCACGAGGGCCCCCAAAGTTTCATTGGTATCCAGCCTTCTCCAGAGATCATACAAGCAAGTACATGTATGCTGAGAATGCGTAAATTGCGCCTCTTTCTGGCATTATACGACTGGTACCTGGTCTGAGTGTTCCACGTCATGGTCCATAAACACTGGCCTCCAATTGAGCATCCAAAGTAACCCGGAAAACTGTCTCGACTTTCATATGCCCAGATGGCTAGACAAAGCTGGAGAGCCAGTTGTAGCTGCATCTGCTTTTCCACATTCTTCATGGCTTTGTTTCCCACTTTCCAGCATAGGCAGGCCCCCTTTACTGCTGTGGCATTTTCATCATTCATCATCCACATGGACAGACGACCGGCTGCCTTTACGAAGCATGATGAATGCCCTGCAGGTTAACCGCACGAAGTAACGCCAACAGGGGCTGCTAGAGACTTTTCAATGACGGCAGAAGTATGCATGTACATATGAAGTAGTAGTAGTAGCGCCCAAGACGGAAGAGTTTCTGACCACTAGAGACAAGCTCCAGCGGTGCCGGTGCAAAAGCAGCCGCAACTAAAGCGCAACACTCAAACCGCGCAAGAGAGGAACAGTTTTCCGTGGCCGGCTGCCTCAAATAGTAGTAGTAGTAGTAGTAGTACCAATCAGATACCTTGGACCTGTCTGTCTGATGTAGGCATACCTTGCTCCCTGCAGCTGCACAAGGCCGTCTGACCTCGCCGAAATAAGCAAGGGGTAGGAGTAAGTAGTCTTGTGAGTGCAAGTATTACTACTTGCAGCGTCACTACGAACACTAGTGAGAGGTACTGCCGACACGTCTATCTGATTGGGATAGGTTGGCCGTAATAGCTTCAACTACTTCCCCTAGTGTTCTCATAGTAGATCTAGTAATCGCCTCTGCTTGTAGTCAATTACTAGTAGTGATGGAATTGTCTCCAAGTGTGACGCGGCAAGTGAGACGAGCATTCGGATTCGAGGTCCAATCAGGGGTCCCCTACTGTACCTCTTTTGGTTCATCGACTGCAGAGTTGTCTGGTCATATATGACTTGGTGAGTTTTACATATTCCTACTTGTGGCTTTTATGGATGTTACCCAAGGCACGGAGCACTACATGCATGGAGCAGTCATGCAGTTCTTCACCAAAGAAGCATCAGAACGAGCGGGTAGTAGCGTATATTTTGCGGCCGGTAGCAAATCTTCAAGCTCGTACCACTATGCGCTGATGAATTTTTTTTTTCTTTTGGCACGTTGCCTTGTAAAGGAACGATTGGTTGCCTCACTTTAGCAGGCACAACTAATGAGGTGGTGGTACCTAGTACTCGGCAGTGGGAATCGCAATAATGAGAGCTTCAAAGAGATGGAAATTGCTAGTCTTGGTGGCGATGGCCGTTCAGCCGCGAGAAAAGCAACATGGAGGAAACCATCTGTCCATGGCGTTTTCTTCTTCTTCGCTGCTGTGTGCCGGCTTCACAGGCCATGTCGACGCACCATCGTTGCACCGCATCACGGCCACCACTTTTTGGGATCACGTCCCGTACTTGCGTCTTCCACAGACTGTGCAGGGGCTGTTCCAGGTCTCGTGGCCTCGGGGTGGGGCCTGGCAAAGACATGAAATGAGATGCTAGACAGAGCACTCCATAATGTTCGTAAAGCCAGCAATGAGTCGCCGCGGTCGAGATCAGGGTGCAAAGACACGCTGCAGGTAACACCGAGATGGACCTAAGCTGAGGCTCCAGTCGTACTGTATCAATTTCATCACCTCGACGCACGTTTCCATCTGCCACTGCACCATGACTGTCTAGCTCAGGGTCTCGGTGGATACCTACAGTACGGTACCCTCTCTTGCGAGAAACATGGTCGAATCGAATGTGGAGCACTCTGTATTAATACTGCACGAGTAGCAGTATGTACAAGTGTCATCGTCGTGGGCTTGGAGCTCAGCAAGTTTGCAGACGCATCTACACGCGGCGTCAAAGAGCAGCCGGTGCTACATCCGCCCGCCGATGAATTGGGGCGAGCCGGACAGGGCGCCACATTGCAGCTCAGCCAATTGACGATGGCGATTGGCTGCTGCGTCTCTGATCCAAAGGGAGGCATTGGTAATCCCGGTTCTGCCAATGCAATTGAGACCGGGCTGGCAGCTGGTCATGCTCTCGCCGCAAAGCTCAATTAGATGCTGTATCAGGCTCGACTCCACAAGCATACATTCGCACTGCTGTCTCGTTATGCGCGTTGATGGAGATCTTTCGCCATGGGAGACGAAAGGCTCAGGGTCTTAGCGTTGCATGATTTCGGTCATGAGACCCTGACGAAAAGGAAGATTGAAGGGAAAAACACCAGAAAATTTCGGTATAACCGGCCAACTCTGGCTCTGGCAGCCTCGTCTCGTCAAGTCAAAAGTCTTGCAGAATAGCAATGATGCTGCGAAGCTGGGCTAGCCAGCATATATTGATGCCATCTCAGCGATAGTCCACCAATACAGTAATAAGATCGCCCTCAGTGCTTGGACGGGCCAACACTAACTGGCGATGCACACTAGTGTTAGTAGCTTTTCGCCGGCTCTGGCTCGCCCAGATGACTTTCAGCATGACGTTGAGCCCCAATGTGACCAAGACAGAAAGAGACGTGAACAGGGGGAAGAATGCTTGCAATGTTGGCGTTCGCGCTATGCTGCGGGCCTTTGCCATCAGCACCATACAGTGCTGGTAGCAAATTGGTAATGTGCAGAGAGCGCCAAGCTGTGCTCACTTTGCGCAAGTCATGGCAGTAATTGGCGCTCCATCAACGCAAGGGGGCAATCTCCGGAGGGGCAATTAATCTCTCAGAGCTCATATCGTATCTCCGACCACACAGTCGCAAGGCCCTGTGCCGTGGAGAGACTTGACAGGAAGTCGAGCATGGAAAGCTGATGGTAGTCAAGCCGTGCCCACAGAAGGCCCCATAGAGGCTGGAGCTAAGATGCCCCCGTCGCTAAAACAGACAGAAAAAAGATGGAGAAGGGCACCCAGATAGCGAATACCAGCGCTTTGGTTTGCCTCCATGCTGTAATAGTAGCTGGATCTGGGTGTTGCTTTCTAGTGGTAGCAGCATCAAGCCGTTGGAGACATTTTCACGGATCGGCCTCCCATATGGCAAGCCTTGGAGAAGGGGAGGGGGCCAGGAGGGGCCGGATGTGCCTCTAATGCCTGGATGCTGCAACTGGTGAGGGGGAGCGGAGGGGATTTTGAGAATGCTATGCCAATGCTGGCAAACTAGCCATCAAGCACACAAACCTTGGGCTGGGCGCCCTTATCCACTGTGGCCACGGATCCAAAGAGATGGTCCTTTGCTCGCGAGAATCTCGAGGAACGCCGTTGCTCCACCATGGAGGTGGCCTGGCGAATGGTGCTGATTGCCTTTGAAGAATGTGCTCGCACAAGCACTCCCTGGGCCTTGCACCAATTCAACTTGGGTTTCCAGGCACAGAGCCTCATCTTGCATTCGAAGCTGAATGCTGGGATGCCGGCTGCTGGGATAATCCCAATGCTAATGATGACGCTCTGCTGCCGCTAAACAAAAAAAAAAAAAAAAAAAAAAGGCGCAGCTACCGTCCGCGACCCGCTAACAAGGCTCTGAGAAACGCAAAAAAAAAAAAAAAAAAAAGAAAGAAAGAAAGAAAGAAAGCCGCCTGCCTGCATTGGATGCAGTGACGGACACATCTCGTCGGTTGTGACAACAGGTACAGACTGCCCAGATGCATGGCAGCACAAAGGACCCATTGCCCAACTCCAGCAACGTCTTTGGTGAATGTTGCAAACTGCAAGCAGCGCTGTCTCTTCTTCTCCAGCAGACGTTGCAAGCCTCAGCTAGCCATTGATTATTGATCGATGGCCACTGATACTCATATAAAGTAGGTACTCCATGCTCATACAAGTATGTTGATATGCCTGCGCAAGAAACAAACAAACCCACACCCGCATGCCGCTACGTTCGGCCCCTTGCTGAAACATGGCGTCGAGTGTCGGCAGGAGTACCTGAGCATGTACAGTACCTAGAGGTATAGGCATTCTGTTAAAAAAAGGAAAAAAAATCAAAAAAAAAAAAAAAAAGCAAGACAAAAGAAAGTGAAAAAAGAGACCAGTCACATCCTTGGTTTGTGTACGCACACTTGTACTAGCACTGCTGCACGATGCTACATTTCTATATGTAGAAGCAGAAGCAGCAGTAGCGCATGCGCCTATGAATAGCGTGTCAGATGTCGGTGTTGCCACAGCGTATCTGCTTATTCTGCGTACGGCGCACATGCAAGCATCCGAATCTCTGACTGCGAGGAGCCTGAAGGCAAATCTGCGTGTCTTGCGACTGGGCTGCAATTGTACAGTAGCATCCTGATCCTGATTGAGCCAGATGCAGTCGACTTGTTTCAGGGACCCGACTCAGGGTTGGTTTTGCTTGGCTGTGCTTGGCTGTGGCAAGCTCACGCACACACACGCGCACACACACACGCACATGTTTGCAGAAGTAGGGGTGTGCGGCTTATGTGAACGAGCATCTGCTGTCGAGTGTGAGGTCATCATCCATGGGTCCTATTTTGGGCAGACGATGCTACTCGCAAATCGTCGATTTCCACAGGGGCGCACTCTGGACTGGCGAGATGCACCCTTGACAGAGCGGCAATGGCCCGGAGAAAAGCAGCAGACAATGGTAGCCAGGAATTGAGCCAACTGAGCACATATTAACCGGTAGATGAGGAGGGATTCAGAGACACTGCCACATCTGGCGTGACCTGGATGATATCACTAGCAATATGATTGGAAGCACCACCCCTGGGGCATCTTGTGAGAATCCTGATGCATGCACTACACATGCAAGCCGTATGTAGGTATGAGCGAAATATATATACGATCAAATTCTCGCCTGTGCATTCGGCCGCAGATCGCAAGAGATACCTAGATGCTGGCCCCCCGGCTGTGTGAATCTCGCCGCCGGTGGGAGCTAGGGCCTCCAGGGTTTGGCAAGGTTTGGGCCAATTTGAACCACCTCCTTCGTACGGAGCAGTTCTCGACAGCAAAGCGTCAAGTTTGAGTTGTAGCCGTAAGAGGTGGCGCCTGCTGAGGGCAATAAAGCATTGAAGGCGAAAAAAAGGGGTGTGTGTGGTGGTGGCGGCTACAGGCCAAAGTGGTAAGGGGGACATCCGTCATTCTCATCAATTGACTCTAATCAGCAAACCCCAACGGGCTTTTCTCTCTGTCTGGGCCCGCGATGCATGGCCCCAAGGAAAGACGATGATCATGAGAGACGAAGACATGGTCGTCAAATGACCTGGCAAAAGGTAAGCGATTTGTGGAAGCCTCTTGCAGAGCCATGATTAAGAAACTCGCCGTTACTCAGCAGCAAGAAAAAAGACGGTGCTACCGGCATATCAGGCCATGGCTTCTTGCCACCCTATTAAACGTTCCGCCTGAGCTATACCCGTATTTGGCCAGACTTCGTAATCGTGCCTAGCATCTGGGGGTAAATTAAGGTCGTGGTAGCAGCCAGTAGGTACCGAGAAAAGGGGAGTCGTCTGCGATGATGATGCCGTTATCTTTTAGGCGTCTGCCCTACCTCGAGGCTGCCTTGGGAGGGTACGCAGAACCGACGTCAACGCGACCGGCGGAAGCTGTGCCTGCACCTGGCCAGTACCGGTACCTGAGCATCGCCTCGTGAGCTGCCGCCAGGGAGCTCCGACGCTGTCTGATCCGATGGAAGGTAAGCCGTTAGCAGCCCGGGTCTCGTCCTCCAAAGCCTCCCTAGCTCTAGGTATTCCTCCGGGGAGCTGCGAGTCTGGGACGACGCTGGCCAGCAGCAAATGGCTCTCTACAGGTACTAGGCCGCTAGGAGAGCTTCAGGCTTGCATGGTTCGCTGCACGGCCCTGTCTTTGACTTCCGCTTGCCGAGTTTTAGCGCCAGGTGCCCGTCTCAAAAATGAGCACATGAGCACCTCGAGCCTAACCTGTGGATCCCCCTACTGGATCTCTGGCTGGCGCTGGAAGTACCCAGAGGCAGGTCCTGGTAGGTGGTACCAGACGGGATTTGCGCGCAGCAGCACTTGTCGAATTGTGCGCCGAGCCGGAACAAAGAGAAAGAAGAAAACAAGTGCGAGGGAGATGCAAGAAAGGGAAAGGATGCCGGCATTGGGCCAGCTGAGCAAAAGAGGCCGTGAGTACCGGGTACCTGCACCCAGCCCAAGCGAGTCCGCAGGCACAAAGCAGCAGTACCTGACCTCTGCTTCCCACAATAAGCGCGCCCCTACCGGCCTGTATCCATCAAATTTCTCTGCATGGATTGAGTGCATGTACTCCGTAGCAGGTCACCCGCCATCGCGCCGCTGTAGTGGGCTTAGGCGCCCCTCCTGGCCAAGAGCTACTCGCGGATTACCTCACAGCCCAGAGATCGGTATGTAATGCTTCGTGCTGCCCTCTGCTCTGCACGCTCGCGCCGTCTCTCGTGCCTCGAGCTCTGCAACCCATTGATTGATCCATTGGCCAGCAGGGAAAGGGAGAAACCCCCAGGCATCGTCGGCTTTGCGTGCACTTCTGCAGCGCGCAGCTTCTACGGCGCTCTCCTCGTAATAACCTTTGCCGGGCTGTTGGCTTTCGGTACCTCTCGTGCGTTGGTCAGGTGGTTGCTTGAGGTAGCCTCGCCCCGTCCGCCCTCGCTAGAGACTTTTATTACCGCGCCTCGCCCTCCCCTCTTGACTTTTCTTCCACCTCACCTTGGATCTTTCTTTACACCGAGCAGACCAAAGGCACAAAGTGTACGTGAACCACCGCTGGCCACGCTGGCCCCTCCCCTCACAGACAACCCGTGGATAGCTCTCCTCCAGGGAATGCGTGGCGTCCCCTCTGTGTTGAACAAAGAACCCGTTGGGCTGATGATGGAATGACCCTCAAGAGCTGTGCTGCAATTTGACCCTGAGAACGCAGCCAGAAGCAGAAGCAGGTGCCCCGCATCGCCGCAAAAGTGTAATAGTGCAGTTCGAGCGCAGCCAGCAGAAAGTCAATCAACCAAGCAAGCAAGCAGTGCAACGCGGCAGACAGACAGCGAGTAATCGTCAAGAGCATCTCCCGGGCGCGCACCTCGTAATCGGCCGTCGCATCACGACCAGACTTGACCAGAATTTCTTCTTCGAAGCCCCCGTGCAGCGTTTCGTCTCGCTGTGAGCCTGTGCAGCCAGACAGGATTCGTGCCGTCAGCATCGCGCCGTGCTCCACAGCCTCCGTCCCGGTCCTGACGTACCTCCTCCACCAAAAAGCCTCCCGTTTCTGCTCCTGAGCCGCCAACGCTACCATCGACAAAATTCGCAAGACGACAGCCAATACTGCCAATACTGCCAAGCTCCCGCAGCTCCCTCTCTCGTCAGCCTCGCCGACGCTTCAATTAGCATCGAATCGGCCGTGAGCCTGCATCTGGTACGTGCACCAAATACCTACCGTCCCTGTCCCCGTTCGGCAGCGACGCAGTGCCGTGCAAAGCCCTCACCAGCGACTCATGCTGCCTTGAGCCTCGCACCTCGCACCACCCACTGCCCTTTCTCCCTCCTCGCGGTATCCAGTTTTCCCGCTGGCCTCACGAGGCTGCAACTCAGCTCGCAGCATCTTGAATCCCCAACTCTGTCCTCCCCGGCACCTTCCCCTTCGTTGCGTGGCCTTTCCTGCTCGTCGCCTGTTGCATGTCACGAGCCCACCTCGTTAAGCACCCCGCCCTGCTCCCTCCAAGACCCGCCTCTCTCTCTGTGCCCAGCATTCTCGTGCCACTACACTACACCAACCACTACCAGGTAGCGTTTTTTCGACCTATGGAATTCTCTCTACACCCGCTGCCGCTTGTCACGTCCTGATTGCATGTACCTTTTACACTACACCTTATTAGCAGCTGTCTTCCTCGGAGGGGCATCCTTTTCTCTTTTCCTTTTCCCTTTTTTCCCCTTCCCACCTTTCACTCACCTACCCATTCTACTGTCATACTGCCTGGTGCAGCTGGATTCTTCCCATCGCACCGAGCAATTCTTGCACTTTCGTATCGAGTTTCTGGGGGGCTGCCTTCTCCGCGCCTGTTGATTATTTCATCGCTGGTAAAGCTACCAAGTTTTTTTTTTTTTGCCCTGCGCGTCCGCCTTAGCTGGTGCCTTTCCCCCATCCAGCTTCAGCTCCAGTCCCCTTCCCTCCCCGCACTTCCCATTTCGCCCTGGCAGCGAGCGTGTCACCACAATTTGTGACCTGCCAGTCTAGACTTCATCTCAACCGGCGCTGCAGTCTCCAATTCTTTTCCTGTCAATACCCTTGATTCGCGCTCCTTCTGATCTCAAAGCCGGATATTTTGTCGCTAACTCTCGGCGTCTCTCTCTCTCTCTCTCTCTTTCTAGCCGCTTCTCTGCACACAGTTCCTCTAGCAATCTCAGCTGGAACTTGACGAAATTCGATCAGCTGCGTCTCATCGCCGCGACTGCAAAAAATCTTTCTAGTCGATCAAGATCGGCTCGCCGCTGCCGGCAACTGAAGCTCTTGCGACTTGTCGCGTTGCAATCCGCCTCGTGTTTTCCTAGTTTTCGTTGCCCACCACGGCCCTCGCCAGGACTCTTTCTTCGTTGCCCCTCACCTGCTTATCGCTTGGGTGTTTCAAACCGGATCTACGATAGCATTGGCGCTCTAGTCACAGTACACGTCGCCCAAAATGTCAACCCACCGGCCGAATGCTTTCAATAGCTTGCGGATGGGAGGTAAGCTCACTATCCGTTCCTGTACGCCTGTGCATATGAAACTGACTCATCGGTTCAAAATTGTAGAGGTCATCCGCGAGAGAGTTCAAGATGGTGTCACCGGCGAGACTAGAGATCTGCAGTACACTCAGTGCAAGATTGTTGGAAATGGCTCGTTCGGTGTCGTCTTCCAAACCAAGCTTTCACCATCCGGCGAAGATGCTGCCATCAAGCGAGTCCTCCAAGACAAACGATTCAAGGTATGGTTCCCTCACCTCTTTCCCATCCTCCCGCTCTTGACTGATTGTCTTTAAACAGAATCGTGAGCTCCAAATCATGCGAATTGTTCGACACCCGAATATCGTTCAGCTGAAGGCTTTCTATTACTCGAACGGCGAACGTGTATGTATAACTCTTGGTGCTGTCTGAAAGCATCGTAGCTGACACAAAAATCAGAAGGATGAGGTCTATCTCAATCTGGTCCAGGAATTCGTTCCTGAGACTGTCTATCGGGCATCTCGTTTTTTCAATAAAATGAAGACCACCATGCCCACGTTGGAGGTCAAGCTGTACATCTACCAGCTTTTCCGAGCCCTTGCCTACATCCACTCTCAGGGCATCTGCCACAGAGACATCAAGCCTCAGAATCTCCTTCTCGATCCCAACAGCGGAATTCTTAAGCTGTGCGACTTTGGCAGTGCTAAGATCCTGGTCGAGAACGAGCCTAACGTCTCATACATATGCTCGCGGTACTATCGTGCACCCGAGCTCATTTTTGGTGCTACTAACTACACCACCAAAATTGGTACGACATCCGGTACTCCATCAAGACCTTTATATGTTTGCTAACTTGTTCCATCTGCAGATGTGTGGTCCACTGGATGTGTCATGGCTGAGCTGATGCTTGGTCAGCCTTTGTTCCCAGGTGAATCTGGTATTGACCAGCTGGTTGAGATCATCAAAGTTCTCGGCACGCCGACCCGGGAGCAAATTCGCACCATGAACCCCAACTACATGGAGCACAAGTTCCCGCAGATCAAGCCGCACCCCTTCAACAAGGTCTTCCGAAAGGCTGACGCCAATGCCATCGATCTCATCTCCCGATTGCTGGAGTACACACCAACCGAGCGTCAAGCTGCCGTCGACGCCATGGTACACCCCTTCTTCGATGAACTCAGGGATCCCAACACCAAGCTGCCCGATTCCCGTCATGGAACTGGTCAACTGCGAGACTTGCCAGATCTCTTTGACTTCACTCACCACGGTAGGCTAAAGCCATTCAAACAGGTGTGGTTTTGATTTCAATCATTTACTAACGTATTTTAGAACTCTCCATCGCTCCCCAGCTCAACCAGCTTCTCGTACCAGCGCACATGAAGCCCGTTCTAGCCGCCCGAGGTCTTGATATTGACAACTTCACGCCGATGGCGAAGCAAGACATGCTGGCCAAATTGGACTGAGCCACATGTCGGCCAGATGGAGTATGGCTCGTTACTGCTGTACTCGTCGAAGCGCTTGGTGTCTCTGGAAGATTAAATCCTGTCCTCGCTCCAGTACGGAGCTTTGGGTGATGCCAAGGGTAATGGCTCGCTGTTATACTTAGGCCATGCTGAGAGAATGGAGGATGAAATATACGCCCAAAGCTTTTGCTGCGTTGGAGCCTACGCGCTCAGCACCGGGGGGACAGGCGAGATGGTTTTTGCTGTCTGTTGTGGAAAGGAGGGCTTCGGAAACTGTCTCAAAATTGGCAAGGAATGGAGGCGTTTTATTTTTTGTTTTGGTCCCCTAAAAACCTTAGTTTTCCTGGCAGGAAACTAGGTCATCCGCCAGTACGAGGGAGGCTGCATTGATGCGCATCTCAGGGAATCACTTTTTTAGACCACGTTTGATGCATGATGGAGCTGGCTGTTACTTTGTTTCTTTTCTTCTTTTTTCCTGTTGTCGTGTTACGAGGCTCAGTGCAGTGGAAATGGAGGATTATGGGGCCGACGGTTTCGGATGTCGACCTTGTGTGTCTTTGACAACAGTGTCTCCTTTTTCGCCTCCAACGCATCGGCGTACAGCGGGAGAGGGAAATCGGGGGTCAGAGGAAACGCTGAAATTGCTGGACCAGATTTGATATCTTGGATCGCGGGATATAGAACCCCTGCAGCAAAGCCCGGATGTCGCAGACAATGGATGGGGAAAATGAGCTTTAGCGGGATATTAGGACAGGCATCGTTTAAACAGATGAAAAAAGGAATGGGAGATGGATTTTTACTACTACTATGAGAGCACTTATGGAAACGTTTTACTGATCCTGGGATTGAAAATAAACAATTTGAAATGGACACACAAAGAAAAAGAGAGAAAAAAAAAAAAACAGGTGCAGCGAGCTAGACGAGCTGTCAAACAACACATCGTCTGAAGAGGGCTAGGAGCGATGCTGGCCTATTTGCAGTGGATTTTTCTTTTAGGGAGACAGAAGATGATAAATAGCATTTACACTAGAATCATCAATGAGCTGATTGAACGTTGGGATGTGTGAGGGCTAATGAGCATCTGAGAACACTAGTTTGCTGTCTACTGATCAGCATTTAAACGATGATAGCACGAGTTCCTGCAGCCGGCCTAAAAGGGATATTGGGAAGAAAAAAGGTTACGTCGTGCAAGAGAGAGGTAGTGTAAGTGTGTATAACCAAAACATCAAGAGTTTCCTTGGAGCTCGTGATTCTATACGGCATAGCCTTGGCGTGATGGGTGACCAGCGGCTACGCGCGTGAGAGTGAGGCCAAAAATGCGGCCTGAGGCACTAATGTGGACTAGGGCGCTTGCATGTGCAGATCCGCTTTACAGCAGGGAATTGGCTGCTACAGGTGAGGACCTACTTAGTACTTAGCCCGAGCCTCTTGAAGCCGTCGCGCGCGTTGCAGCTTTTCCCGAGCTTTAAGCAGCATCTCAACAGTCAATTGCACGCCTCACCATCGCTTTGTGCTCCAGCCGAGGGTCGAATCATGGCCGACTACGATCGAAGACAGCAGGGCAGCTTTAACCGCAAGAGGAGGTACAGAGGTTCGTCATATCCCAATACGTGTATACACACGCTCTGCAGAAGCTGATGTGACCGTCTCCCAACCCAGATGACGATGATCATTATGACCGCCGCCAGCAGCGACGGCGAATAGACTCGGCACCACCGCCTGTGCGCCTTCGAAGGCAACTCCTCAGCATCGCTGACTCCCCTCTGCGCCGATGGGGCGAAGAAGTGCAATCAATTGCCCGCCTGGTGGCCGACAACTACGACGACGAGAACCTACGTAATACCTTTGTGAATCTGGTCATGCAGCTGGTTGTTGAGCAGCCTCTGAAGACTCCATTTGTGGCTGCTGTGGTGCTGGTGGCCAACACTCTCAAGCCCGAGATTGTGGACGCCATCTTGACGCTCGCTGCCCAGGAGACGGAGAGCAAGATTGCCAAGGGGGAGTGGAAGCACGTGAAGCTGTATTTGAAGTTCTTGGCATGCCTTCAGGCGTGCTTGCAAGGCGATGGAATATTCCCTCTACTCGAAGAACTCTTCAGCCGCGCGGCTGACTTGCAGACTGCAAGCTCTGAGGATGTAGGCTGCCCTTTCTTCTCCCTCTCCAAAAACCCTTACACTCTCAGATCTGTTCACGCATTAACATGTACCCATCTAGACGATCGGCACGGAAATCGTCAAGATCATTCTGCTCACGATTCCTTACATCATGGCTGCTGCTCCCGGTCAGTTCCAGCAGAAGGCGGCAGATCTCATGGACAAGACCGATATCATCGCGTCCGAGCCCCATGCGCTCCAGGCCTTGGTTGATCCCTATCACCCCGACATCAAAGATGAAAGCTCATCGGCATCTCTAAGCTTGTGCATGCTTCTGCAAAAGCAGCTGCAAGCCGAAGCCGCCAAAAACTGGGAGCTGACCTGTATCCCCCGGCCCTGGAACATGCCCCTGGAAGAGATTGAATCTCAGGATAAGCTTGCCAATGCGCCAAAGCACGAGCTGCCAAACATCTCCATACCCGCAACGGTGATTGCTGGTCCTCGCCCACTGTTCCCCGAGGTCTACTTCTCTGTTTACTCTGACCAGGATGTGGAATCCGTGCCCTCGACGGATAGCGTGGCATCATCTTTAATAAGGGATGGTCTTACCGACACAATCAATGGCCTCCATTTCAATAGAAACGCCACAGCGAGATATTTGATCGACTTGGACTGCTATTTTGCCGATGATACCTTTGTCAAGAGGGCCACCCCATTTGATGAGCTGCGCAACACGACGCCAGGAAAGTCCACGTGGAAGCCGGAAGATGTCGCTGTTGACATTGTGTTTGCGCAGCTGTTCCAGCTACCTTCACCTGAGCACAAATTGGTCTACTATCACTCTGTTTTGACAGAGGCTTGCAAGCTTGCCCCAGCTGCCATTGCGCCTAGTCTAGGACGAGCCATTCGCTATCTTTACAACAATTCTCCTCGAATGGACTTGCAGCTGGGCTTTAGATTCCTCGACTGGTTCTCCCACCATTTGAGTAACTTTGGTTTCACTTGGAAGTGGGCGGAGTGGAGCGACGACTGCAGTCTCCCAGACATCCACCCTATTAAATGGTTTCTGAAAGGTGCCTTGGACAAGGAAGTACGACTTAGTTTCGCTCAGCGCATTCAGAAAACCCTTCCGGAACCATATCAACCATTGGTTGGTCCTGAAAAGGAAAAAGACGTCCCTGATTTCAAATTTGACAACCCTGGTAAGCCACTACTCCCTGTACGTTAAACATCATCGTATTGATGCTAACCAACTACGTCGCTTTATTCAGATACGCCATTCGCTAGCGAAGGTCAAGAGATTAGCGGTTTGCTCAGAAAGAAAGCCCCCGATGAAGAGTTTCAGCCCATCATTGACAAGATTCAATCTGACGCTAGCGAAAGAGCACTCGATCCGGTCGTTGCAAGCACCGATGTCTTGATGACGGCCATTTGCTGGGTTGGATCAAAATCACTGAGTCATGTCATAGCGTGCATTGAGCGAAGCAAAAGCCGACTTCTCGATGCTGCCAATTCATCGCCGGCGGCGCAAAATCAAATCCTAGTTGCCGTCATGGCCTACTGGTCCGCACACCCCGGAATCGCCCTGTCCATCGTCGACAAGCTGGTGAATTACTCCATCCTTACGCCTACTTCGATTGTGCGCTGGGCTTTGACGGCCGATCCTGTTGCCGATGGTGCTACTGCCGGCGAATCCCTTGCCCAGCCTCACATTTTTGAGCTTGTCTTGAACACGGTGACCAAAGCGTCTTTCAAAACCCGCCAAATTGTCTCTTCTCCTGATGCAGATGAGGAAACACGCAAGGCTGAATCCAAGGCCATTGTCGATCTTTTCAGCACTCTCAATGACTTGCTGGTAAGCTGGGCGGGCGGAAGCAAGGATGAACTGATGGAGACTGGCGATGGCTCAAGTGAGCGCGAGGCTACCATTCGTCAATGGGGCCAGCGGTGGCTCAGGGTGTTTAAGCGATTGGGGGCAATTGAAGAGGCCTTCCTCGTCGAGGCGGCCAAAGAGAAGCCTGGTTCATCGAATGGAGGAGTCGATGCGGTCTAGAAGACCTGGATCGAAGACTATGACTACTATGGTGATATATTGTAAGAAAAAGGAGAGGCGTGTGTGACAAGGAAAACGTGTTGAGTTCGTATAAGGGAGGGGGACGAATTATTAGTTAGTATTCGATAGGTACTTGCGAGTACGGGGTTGATAAGGGTAATGCTTTTTTTCCAAAGCAACGGTTTCGTTTTGATTTTTTTTTTTCTCGGGGATTCCAGTTTTATAGGCTAATTTAGAGTGAAATATTCGCGAGGTTTAGAAAAATCAGAATTTAAGAGCTATTTACCTACCAAAAATATAATATATGACACTCATCTCCCTTGTTACAATGCCATTCACCTCCCAACTTCGCCCGAGAGAAGGAGATACAATGACAAGGAAAAGAATTACTTGTTTCATGCTTAGCTAAAAAAGAAATCCTCTTCTGTTCTCAAAAATTGGATGCTCTATGAGATAGATAGTAGGCTATGCTCAATCCTAGATAATTTACATCATTTGCGATCGTGAGCTTTTTTTCACGATGGCCTTTCCTCCCACAAAAACACTTTCTTACAAAAACAACTCCTGTCTATGGGAGAGAGAGAAGGATAATATAAAGTGACAAGACTTCTAGTCGTTGCCGTTGTTGTTACTGTCGTCTTCGTCGTGGTATTATTATACGCGTGTAATAGCAAAAAAAATTAAGATTCGTTACCGTCCCCCAAACTCCATTTGTTACCGTGTCCCGTTTCCTTAGAAGTCTGTCATAACCGAACTATACTGTCCGAACAAACAACTGGTATTGCCATATCAAAGGAGAAAAGATGCCTCAAAGAAAAGGAGAGAAAGGAAACCTTTCGCCTCTAAATAAAGAGAATTATTCGTCGTCATCGAGCTGCAGCGTCATGCTATCAGTTTCCTCTTGATCGGCTGCGGCATCGTCCCGCCCGGTATGATAGGCTGCTGCGTGTTTTCGCCCATCTTTTTGAGTTTCTCGAGTAAATGACTGTAAGAGTGTTAGACTCGCAATTCTATCAGAGACAGGCTGAGGGCGGCGGCGAAATGTATCAACCAGTTGACGGAAAGACTCCTTTGCCGATCCACTAAGATCTGGTATTCCGTTGGGCGGTGGGCTCAGGGATGGAAAAGCCTCGATTGTTGTGGGATTTGATGAGTGAAAAGAGTGAGTGGTGCTGGTGGATTGTGGTGATACGGAGGGTGGTTGGGAATTTAGTGAATTAGGACGAGGGTCGACATTAGGGGCAGCTATTTTTGCTGTATCTGTAGGAGGAGGGAACTCAACGAGAATTAGAAACGGTGGGAAGTAGGCATACTTGATTGGCATGTGACCGCGGGAGCTTTCAGTGACTGCTAGATTGAGCCTCTTGGTTTGCTCCCGGTGCTCTTCAAAGTGTTTTTGGATTCGGGCTTGGCACCCGTCAGCCTCGCCACCTCTTACAACGTAGGTACAGCCGTCTTGGTCGCACGTCCAGGCGTCACCGCTTCCGCGAGGAACTGTGGATGGTATTTTCTCCGTTCGAATCACAATCTGAATTGGCTCTGTTTTTTCAGATCGGAGCGGAGCAGCTTGAACAGCGTCCCTGGGGGTGTCTGCTCCAGTCGAGTCCTGCATGGAAACATCTTCCTCTTGCTCTTCCTCTCGGTCAGAAAAGTAATGTGACCGTTTCAAGCCCGACGATTCGGAGTCTGGCTCGCTTTCATCTCCAATCTCGGCAAAGGTTCGTTTCTTGGAAGAAGTCACCGTTCGCAAACTGGATGTCTTGCCTGGTCTCCGGCCAGGACGCTTCAAGGTCTTCCCGATGGGGCGAGGTGGGTCGTCGATTTCTTGTGGAGAGGAGTCTATCTCAACAGCGGATGGCACTGGCTTCTTTGAACGCTGACTTGGTGTGCGTCGCACCAAGCGGTAAGGGAACTCGGATAGTTTTATAGCGCGTGGGTTGAACGGTTTTTGTTCCAACTCCTCCAGGTATGACCAAAGTTGCAGCGTTTGGAATCTGTCCTTGTCTAAATTCTGCAACAAAGCAGTAGCATTGTAGTGCAAGACTTCTTGAACAGGGACTTTGTGGGAACCAACAGAACCGTCTTTCCACATGGGAAACTTGTAATCAAAGTAGAGGATATTAAGAGCAGTCATTCCAGAGATGCCTCGTTTTGACCCAACTCGCTTTTCGCATATCTCCTCTACTGCAGAGAGAACGGAGGCAAAGGGAGTTTCGTCTTCATGCGCAGTGGTCATGGCAGCATCAGGAGGTTGAATATGGATTGCTGGTTGCTGGACAGTGATGCTAGGAGTAGCCACATCCATATTTGAGGCTGGTTTCGATCGCTTTGACAGTTGAATTTGATCAGAGTCGACTTTATCCATGCTGACGCTCCTAGTGATGCGACTTGAAGACCTGTTGCTTGGTACTGGACTCACTCTTTCACGTGGTGAAGGACTGCGCGCTTTTCGAGGATTCTTGAGTGCTACCATGGTTTTATGTACCACATCCTATATGGACGTTAGCCACGGAGCTAGCAACTGTAGCGAAGTTACTCACGGCATGCTCAGTTGTGAACCATTTATAGAATGGGGTTTGTTTCCAGTCGATAAGGTCGAGAGATTCCTGCGTGAACTGGCAAACCAGGAAAATGGCGTGCTCAGAACACCGCTCCAAGACCTCATTGAATGTTGCCCCGTCGCCAGTTTTCATGGCATACTAAAAAGCCATTTTAGCCGTGACCTTTTTACCGATTTTACCATTCACTCACCTGTAGAAAGTCATCGTGAAGAGCTTCTAGAAGGCCTGAGCCTGATGCCTTTGGAATTCCGCTTAGTCGCTTTGAGTTATATATGTCCACCAGGTTATAGTACATGGTCGTGGCTTCGCACATCTTGTTGAAAATCGGGCGATAGTCTTCTGAAGGGTTAATCTCATACCAAGCTCCTCGGCCCAGCGCCCACACGAGGGGTCGCGCCCCCGGCGCTTCTCCGATCGAATAAGCGATGCAATGGCGAATCTCTATGGGAGTGGATGATCGGACCTTCATGATGACTGTGATTGTCAGAAAAGTTATTGGGACGACTGAAGGGGAGGGATAGTGCGTGGCGACAACTCACGATGTCTCCTGTCTGAAGCATCCTCCATGATGAGGTAGCCTCGCACGATATACGGGCCTCTCACAGCGACATCGAGGGCATTCTCGAGAATCTCGCCTTTCCTGTCAAAGACGGTGGCATTTCGCAGCTCCAGGCAAGGATAGTTATCCTTGTGGACGTCCTTTGGTTGCGATCTGACGACATTGGACTCTTGCAACCAGCGGATCTTGTCGCCATCAACAGTTTCGACACTCGATGTCGACGCCCTTCGCCTGCGTCCGCTCATTGTAATTTGAGATGACGGTTGACAACCATAGGACGATGGTAGTATAAGAGTTCGGGAATATCAAGAAATAGCAGCGTTCGACGTAGAGGGAGCAGTAGGAAAGCGAAGAATCGATCGAGAAGATGTTTGTCGTGGCGTCGATCTTGATCGTGGGGAAAGACTCTGGGCAGGCCTGATGAATTGCTAGCCAACTGACTGATCTCTGTTGGAGGGAAAAGGAACCACGGTTTTCTCTGGTTACAACCGGATGGACGTGCACAAAACTCAGCCCAGGAGAGCTGTCGACGGTGTTGGCGCAGTTGAAGATGCAAAGCAAACGGCGTGGAAGTTGGAAAGGCACTTGGAAGCAGTTCGCAATGCCTTCAGTGCTTTAGCAGCAGTGGAACACGCCAACGCGCTAACTCGGCGTCATACCTGGCGGTTCGCGACTAAAGAATGCGCCGGGATAATCGGCGGTAGAGCCTCTGTGGAGGGGCCAGCGACTTTGACAGCTAACCGGCAGTTGGAGAAGCCCTGTAAGGACTCACTGGCAGCACTGGCAGCACTGGAGGACAGCGCTGTGGCATGACCCCACTACAACTTGGGCTGCTGTACAAACGCAGGCACCTTATACGAATGCTAGCATGCAAATACTGTTTACATACAGTAATCACATGCCTTTCAGACAATAATTTATAAATCCAGTTTATACGTCTTATTGTCTATTTTATTCTTGATGGTGTATTTCGCAATGCGACGTATGGCGCAGTTCCAAGTCAGCAAACGCTGACATTCAGCTCAGAAGTACGCCAGTGGATATGATGGGACCCTTGTATTCCAGAGCCCTACTCCGCAGTACCAGTCACATTTCATCTGGCTAGGAGGGGTTCCTCTACAGGCCTCTCAATACTGTCTTTGGCGCATCTCGTGTACTTGCCTTGCTAGCTTGGCGTAGTTCAGGTATAGGTACATGCGATATCTTATCGGTGCGCTAAGTCAATTTTTTTTTCCAATCGCCGCCCATAGCCTGAATCGCGACTTGATTGCTCGAGGTGAAAGTGAGCTCGTGGTGAAAGCTACATAATTTGCGGCTTCCCTCTTTATCCTCTCTGACTTTTCTCCTCTTTTTCCTTCCACTCTCTCTCGTATTACTTTGTTTATCTTCCCCTTATCCAGCTTTGGACTCGCATGCGACGGCTTGGAAAAGTGCTATCAACAATGGCTTCGGACATCGTCCGGGATGGTGTTTTTGGTAGGCATTGTCTTTCTATGCGCTGACCTCGACTGCGCTTCTGCTCTGCCGATGCCTTTGGCTCTTGGGGAATGCTGCTAATGCGATTTGGTTTGCCTCCACAGCCATAAACAAGCCTTGCGGCATCAGCTCTGCCCAGGTGATACGAGAATGCCAGCAAGCCTTCAACCCTTCCTCATTCTTCAAACCGATGATCGACGCAGAGATTGCCCGACGACTGAAAGAAGGCGGCCAGTTCCATCGGCGCAGGGCTGAGAAGAAGGCTTCTCAGGTCAAGATCGGCCATGGAGGAACTTTGGATCCCTTGGCGACGGGTGTATTGATTCTGGGCATTGGATCTGCCACAAAGCAGCTTCCTCAGTTCCTCGACTGCACCAAAACGTACGAGACCATTGTCTTATTCGGCGCGAGTACCGACACCTACGATAGAGTCGGCCGGATCTTGTTCAAGCGTCCATATGATCACATCACACGAGAGATGGTGGAAAAGGAGCTGGAGGGGTTCAAGGGCAAGCAGATCCAGATCCCACCTCTGTACTCCGCGCTCAAAATGAACGGCAAGCCTCTCTACGAATATGCGCGCGAAGGAAAGCCTATACCCAGAGAGATTGAAGGAAGAGAGGTCGAAGTGCTGGAAATTGAGCTTGTGGAATGGTACGAGCCTAAGAAGCACTCTCATCGCTGGCCAACAGAGGAAGCAGAAGCCGCTGAGCGCAATCTTGCCGAGCAGGCCTGGCGGGTCACGAAACAACAGGAGACTGCGCGGAAGCTCACGCCAGAGGAGAAGGAGCAGGATGATCAAGCAGTTGCGGCGCATGAGAGTTTCAAGCGCAAGTTCGAGGAGCGACAAGACGAGCTCATCAGAGATGCGCCACGTAAGAAGCAGCGCCCTTCCAAGCACTCTGCCATGATGTCTGGCGCACTCGGCCAGCTGCCTCAGCCCATCCACTCAAACAAGGGTAAAAATCTTGTGCCTCCTTCGCCCGACGAGAGCACCCCTCCGCCGTGGAATGACGAAGGTCCTCCTGCTGCTCGGATTCGATTAAAGGTGACATCAGGCTTCTACGTGCGAAGCTTCTGCCATGATCTTGGCACCAAGCTGGGATCGGCAGGCCTCATGGCCGAGCTTGACCGTGTCCGCCAGAGTGATTTCACCGTCGGCGGCACCAACTGTCTCGAGTACGAAGACCTGGCCAAGGGCGAGGAGGTTTGGGCACCCAAGGTCGCCGATATGCTGGCGCGATGGAATGGAGAGCCCGAGGGACAGTGGCCTGGCCCCCAGGCAGCTGAATCACAGAAGAAGCCAGAAAAGAGAAGCCCAAGCCCAAGTCCTGGCGCGTCAGCTTCTGCCCGATCTGAAAAGCGATCACGGTCGCCATCTGTGAACGGCGCCTCGTCGCCCGCTCGTAAACTCCAGGCTAAAGGTGATGGAGAGAAGCCTACACGACAAACCAATGGCGCCAAACCTCCCACAAAGGCGGATGATGAGAAGTCCTGGAACGGATTTGATGACTGAAGTGGGAGAACAAAAAACAAAAGAATACCAAAAAAAAAAGTCATGATGATTAATATATCAAAGCGGATCATCTCCTTCTTGTTGTTCAGGAGGGGAATACGACAGCGTTGTCCCGGACAGTTGATGAAACCAGGGACACATGCCTATGCGTACGCAAACCAATGGCGTAGGGGCACGAAGGCATTTTATATAGAATCGCAAGCAAATACTTTCACGAGTGTAGTCTCTTACACCATGCTACCATAAAGATACATCTCAGTTCTCATGTGTCTCTATCCAGTGATTAGTCAATGCCTGTTACAAACACCTTACTATGCACTTCCCGGCCACTCCCCCCAATCGTGCAAATCCAAAAGCTGTGGTATTAAAGTCAAAAGCCAGGGCATGTTCCATTCTTGCGCATTGCCCATTCGCCAACGAAAGAAGAGTATAAGAAAAGAAAAAAGAATCAATACAAATAGATCCCAACGCTCCCATTTCCCATTTATCTGATATTCCGTAACCCAGCCCATGAAATCAGTCCATCCAAGTCGCCCATTTATTATTCCTTTTGCTCTTCATTTATTCATGTATCCATTCATTCAATATCCCTAGACGCCAATGTCAGAGCCTCTGCATCGTATCCTTCTATCAGCAGGGTCTTGACTTTTTCGATTCGATGCATAGCTAGCTCCAGCTTGTCTAGCCGTACCCTCTTCTCCACATCCCGCTGCTCGAGTTCCGACACCTTCTGCTCCAGGGCCGCCCTCGCGCGTCGCTCCGTGGCCACCATCTCGTTGGCCTGCTCAAACAGCGTCGCACTGAGATCCTCAAGTTCCCTGTTCGTCTCGTTGAGGCGGCCCTCTGCCGCCTTGCGCAGCATCTGCTCCTTGTTCAGAGCTTCAAGCAGGTCTTCTGCCGTGCGGCCGCTATTTCTCGTCGTCGGCGTCATCATCGTCACTCTCGGTTCAGGCGGCGGCGGCGTCACAGGAGGTGCGGCCCTGGGTACCGCCGGAGGGCTCGCGGTCTGCGGTCGACGCGAATACATCAGCGCGGATATCCTCGTCGCGCCGGCCTGGAAGAAGGACGAGCGGGTGGGACTGTGAGATTGTTCGGGCGTTGACGAAGGCAGCATGGCTCGCAGCCTGGTCAGCTCGGCCTCGTAGTCCGCCCAGCGGTCCACGGCGGCGGTGGCCTTTTGGTTCAGCTGGAAGACGTGAGTTTCGAGCTCGGCGATGCGGGCCTGGGCCTCGAGCAGCTGGGTTGATGGCGGCTCGGCATCGTGTGGAGGGATCACGAAGGCACAGTTGGGGCAGCAGGACGGGCTGGGATCGACAAAGAGGGATGTTGTTTTCGAAGCAGCGGCCGTAACGACCATGGTGGACGACATAGTAGCCAGAACGCTGGTCTGCTTTTCCTTGTGCGATGCCTTGTTTCCAGCCGCTTTCGGCACAAGAGACGCCGAGTTCTCGTCTCTTCGTTCAAAGACCCAAAAAAAGACAAATGATGAAATGAGGTCAGAGCAGCTAGGCAGTCGTAGGGTCAAAGACGCAGATGCAGGTGCGCTGGCGGGGTGGTTTAAGGGAATGTCGCGTGTGTTAGTGGAGCGCTCAGCAGGGGCAGACGCAAACCTTATGAGGGAGCCAGGCTGAGATGCCCTTTGAAGAGCCAATGCAGGGGGGGCTGGAGGCACTGACAGCGGCAAGGTCCGCTTTATCTATTCCATGAGCTGGTCTGTGTGTGTAAAACTGGATTGCCGTTGTACAGCCTCCACGAGACACGAAGAGCTGCTATAATTAGATACATTTGACACATGTGCACAGATACGGAGCAGGGAGCAAACAAATAACATCAAGACACTTCCATATTATTGCCGCTACTGCTTCGTAGAGGCCCCTTTATCAATAGTATAGAGGACTCTTCAAGATTAAGAGCACCTCTAAGAGCTCCCATGTTGCAGCAACGGATAGCTGCGGCAATCCAGGGCACACGCTGCAGCCTTCTAGTCAGGTACAGTTCAGGGAAAAAAGCGCGCTAAATCCAAACCTGACTCCATGCCCAAACCCATGCCTACCAGCTAAGCTATTTTGATGGAGCACAGTAACATTCAAATGCGTGCCTCGTAGGGTCTGTGCTGTTCAGCATCTTATGTATCGCCTCATTTGTTCGCCGTCCATTTCGGCGTTGTGAGTGTCTGAGATCCAATAGCGCCCTTGTGTTTGACTAATAAACCCCAGTTCTTGCCTAGGTGTTTGTACAGCTATTCACCCGCGGCTGTTTGTGTGGCGCCCAAGAAGCCTAGCTAGGCCAGTTGCTGCTGACGATATCTGCAATATGATGCTGCGCATAGTACAAAAGATGACAGTCGAGTTTCGGTGTCTTGGCAGTTGCTTCAGCTTGGCTTGGCAACCTTTCGCGGCTCGCTCACACCCGTATCGGGATCTTTGAACTCTTTCCAGTTGATGGGAACCATGTCATTTCCTACATCGCTGGTCGCCATGATAACGCCAAGTTCGTTGGATGCCGTCGAGAGATAATAGTTGGCTTGGTCGCCCAAGGAGATCTAATCCCAAACTATCAGTCTTTATTGTCAACGTCGGCAATGGAGGGGTATTCCTTACTACTTGGGCCCGAACAATATCACCGGGTTTGAAAGACTCGTGAATCTTGACCTTATCTTGCTCCGTTGCCCTAACATCTTGTACCCGAATCACACCCTGCCACTCTGTCTGCAAAACTGTATCGCCAACTTGTTGAATGACTACAATGGCCTGCTTTGGCATAAGCCGCACCACGCGCGCCAACACAGTGTTGCCGACATCTGGCAAGACCTCTCGCTTGCGGCCGCGCCTAATAACAGAGATTGTCGACAATTCTTCCACAGACGGAGCTGTGATCTTGTTTAGTCGCTTGGTCGGCCCAGGAGCTTTGGCTGGTGCTGTGACGTTGACATTGCCTAGCAGCGACGAGACAATATTGCCTCCGTAGATGTGTGTGCCTGGGCCCGAAACATATTTGCCGGCGGGACCCAGAATCGTGCCTGGAATGGCGAGAGAAGGCAGAGTATCGGTCGCCATCGTAATCAGATTGGAGCTCTGAAGCAGCTTCGTCTCCTGCGCTACATCGAAAAATCGCCAGCCATGACAGCAGCAAAAAGTCTTATCGCGATAACGGTCACGTGCCAAGCTCCGATTATCTAATCCACCTCAAAATCCGCATTCGGCTCCGGAGTGGGCTTTCCAAGGCGGAGAGCGGAGCAAAGAAAGTCAAACACACGGAGTGGGTTTTTTCAATTCTACAAGAATGCTCGCACTCCATGTTCCTACAAGAAGGCCTTTTTTTCTGATCAATGGCATCCCGAAATATTCTTCAAGACGCATGTTCATTGATCTCTTTTGTATCAAGTGTTACCAACAAAAACGTCACAGAAGAAACTCTAATAATGTCGACTGATTTGCAACCATTGGTAAGACCAACAGAATCGATCCATATGATGCTTCCGAGTTGACGCTGACAGCTTGAAGAGATCCATTTTTCCACGCTTACCCCCTGTAAGGTGCTTAGCTATCCGCGCGCGGTACGAAAGGCGGCAAGGCGGCCTATTAGTCGAGGATAGCAAAAAAAACTTTTGAGCTAACGGCAAAAGCCACGAGCTCTGTGGCCTACAGTACAAAGGAACCAACTACAAGTATGCTGATCGGTCGGAATCGACGAAATCCGCACCGGCAGAGTGGAGTCTCCTGATGCTTACAAAACCTCTACCGCTAAATGGCGACGAGCTCTTGGAACTGCTGGAAGAGCCCAAGAGCCCCAGAAGCTGAGAGGCTGGCGCGTACGGATTCCGGTCTACACAGCATCGCAGAATCCGTCACCATTCTGCAATCCAACGCCTTTTTGTGGTCCTTGTGCCTGCAAAAGTGCTCCGAGGTGCTATCTCCGGCAGCCTCCTGGATCTCCGGCACCGTATCGGCACCAATCATCTGGCTTGCAGCGGCATTGAGTTAGGGTTTCACTTTTCTGCCTGGCGATTTGAGTCAAACGAATGCGAGGTGCATTCTCGAACAGATCGCCATGTGAGTCACCCTGTCGACTAGACGGTGAGACCTGCATGCGGGATGTCGGCATTGGGCCCCTTTTGCCGGATTGCTGTCGTTGAATCCACGACAAGCGGCCCTTTGCTTTCTGTACGGAATTCCCCGTATTATATGTACCTATGCGCAATGAAGCTGTTGCAACCAGGTGCCTTGCATGCCAACGAAGCTGTGGAGATACGTAGTGGGCTTGGGCACGGATTGCCGAGTTCCATCATAGCTCGAAGAGGAGACGCTACGGAGTTCTCGTGCTACTACTAGGTACAACTACTAGACGATAGTATTGCCTTTTGCGGCTCCATAAGCCATGCTTCATCTCAGTCTATGATGCGACCAATTGGCAAAAGTACGTGGTGCCGGTCCATTGTTTTTCATAATAAGTTTAGATCTATTGGTAAGCTTGCAGCTCTCGCCCTCTGGGAGGGCATACGCCACCCACCATCACAGACATCGCATGGCTAACTAGCCCGGCTAGTCTTCGAGTTCATTCGGATTTCATAGACCCCGAGCTGCTTGCCTAGTGCTAGTTGTAAGTGCCCCTCACCCCCTGCTCGTCGATATCCATCCATACGGGTTATACCCAGAAACGGGATTCTATTGCTTGCTCTCGCCAGCCCTGTCTGTGTAGTATTACAAACGGGAACTACTCCGTAGGCTGTCGTCAATATCCACTTCGGCCATGGATGGCGGGCTGTCGCTCCGCTCGCTTTTAAAGCGAATGTCGCCCCAGCTCAGCTTGCTCCTTCTGTTTGCGCGTTGACTCGTTCCAATTTACCTTTGGGTGTTTTGTCGCCTCTGATGTGCCGTGTCGTATCTGATTAGGGTTTCTCTGTCTTGCCTTTTTCGTCTTGAAAGCCGCCATAATATCAACTTGGGGAGGCTATCTGGACTCATATTCTTCGAGATTGAATCTTGTTTAGACGGGATCACAAAGCCAAGACTCTCTCCACGATAGACTCCACAGCAGCGACTCAGAAGATCTCCGTGGCGCCACTCGCCTTGCTGGGCGAGATCTGTGGCCTGGTCTAAGTGACCGTTCCCCTCGGCCATCGCGCTGAGATCTGTATAGATATGGCAGACCCCGGTGAAGAAAAAGAGACACAAGCGCCTAAAGCTGTTGCAAACAGCAATGCCATCAGCATTGAGTCCACTTCGGAAAGTGGCTCTGAGAGCGGGAATGCGGTTCACTTGAATGAGAAGCACGGCGATGATATCGAAAGAATCGAATCCAAATCCGACCAGGAAGATGACCATAACAAAGAGCCGCTCGCGGCTACTAGAAGTTATGCTACAGACGCCAGTGTGGCCACGACACCCGCCGCCCCACGATATGCGGAAAAGTCCTGGTATACGAAGCTGAACCCCATGCGCTGGGGCGCCATACCCGAAGTTCCCAAGGAGCGTATAGTCTCTAGAGAGTATGAGGCCGGTTTCTTCAGCAGACTCACGTTCCAATGGGTGAACCCGCTTATGACTGTGAGTTTATGGTGCAATTGAACTCTCTGTTGTCGAAATTATGTGGAAGCTAACGGTAAACTACAGGCTGGGTACAGACGCCCATTAGAGAAACAGGATATCTGGCTCATCAACCCGGACAGAGCAGCAGAGCCAATGACGCTCAGAGTCAAGGAGGCATTCAAGAAACATAGAGAAAAGGGTTCAAAACGACCTTTACTTTATGCCTTACACGATAGCTTCACAGTTGAATTCTGGATCGGCGGACTCTGTTCACTCATCGCCTCCTTTATGCAAGTTTTGTCGCCTTTTGTCCTTCGCTACTTGATTCAGTTTGCAACCGATGCCTACGTCGCCCACGTTAGCCACACTCCTGGTCCTCATATTGGTCGCGGTGTCGGGTTGGCCGTGGGTGTTACTCTTATGCAGATCGTCCAAAGCGTATGTATCAGCCACTTTATCTACCGAGGCATGATGATGGGTGGTCAAACCCGCGCCGTCTTGATTGGCATGATTTACGAGAAATCCATGGTCATTTCGGGTCGTGCTAAAGCTGGTGCCGCCAAGGCGGCCATACTGCCGGGAACAAGCGAACAAGAAGAACAGGACAAAGGCAACAAGAAGAAAGGCAAGAAGGGGAAGAAGGGAGCTCCAGAGGAGGTCCTGGGCTGGGGCAACGGCCGCATTACTAGCTTGATGAGCGTCGATACCTACCGTGTTGATCAAGCCTCGGCTCTCTTGCACATGACCTGGACCTCTCCTCTTTCTTGCATCATCACATTGGTCCTGTTGTTGATCAATCTGACTTACAGTGCCTTGGCTGGCTTTGGCCTCTTGATAATCGGTGTCCCTCTCATCACAAGGGCCATGGCGTCGCTCTTCCGCCGGAGAAAGAACATCAATAAGATTACCGACGAACGTGTATCGCTCACCCAGGAAATTCTTCAATCGGTTCGATTTGTCAAGTACTTTGGCTGGGAGAAGTCCTTCATCGATCGTCTTGCTCAGATTCGTGCCAAGGAGGTCTACTCTATCCAGATCTTGCTCGCCATCCGTAATGCGATCAATGCTGTCAGCATGTCCATGCCCATCTTTGCGTCTATGCTGGCCTTCATCACATACTCCCTGACCAACCACGGCCTGGCACCCGCCGAGGTTTTCTCTTCTCTGGCACTTTTCAACGGTCTTCGAATTCCCCTCAACTTGCTGCCTCTTGTCCTTAGTCAAGTGACTGATGCTTGGTCTTCCCTTCAGCGAATTGAGCAATTTCTCCTCGAAGAAGAACAAGAGGAAGATGTCATTCTCAAGCCTGAAGGAGAGCACGCGATTGAGCTCGTCAACTCCTCCTTTACCTGGGAAAAGACACCCCCCAAGGAAGCCGACAAAGGCGCTGCTGGCAAAACCAAGAAGGGCTCCAAGAAAGTAGAAGCTCCCAAGCCTACTGCTCAACCTACAGCCACTGAGGATTCCGCTAGCACCCTGGTGGAGGAACGTGAACCTTTCAAGCTACAGGATCTTAACCTACAAGCTGGTCGAAACGAATTGATTGCAGTCATCGGTACTGTCGGTAGTGGCAAGAGTTCTCTGCTCGCCGCCTTGGCGGGCGATATGCGCAAAACCGAAGGTGACGTGGTTTTCGGCGCATCCAGATCCTTCTGCCCTCAGTACGCATGGATTCAAAATACCACTTTGCAGAACAACATTACTTTTGGCAAGGATATGGACCGGGAATGGTACAAGGAAGTTATCCAAGCGTAGGTCTACTCCCTACTCCTACATGATATCAGCTGCTCACAGAAGCTAACTTTATATTTTCATAATTAGATGTGCTCTTCAAGCTGATTTGGACATGCTTCCACATGGTGATCTTACCGAGATTGGTGAGCGTGGTATCACAATCTCTGGTGGCCAGAAGCAGCGTCTCAACATTGCGCGAGCTATTTACTTTGATGCCGATATCGTTCTCATGGACGACCCCCTTAGTGCTGTTGATGCTCACGTCGGCCGCCACATCTTTGACAATGCTATTCTGGGTCTCCTTAAGGATAAGTGCCGTATTCTCGCTACTCACCAGCTCTGGGTTCTTTCTCGTTGCGATCGGATCGTTTGGATGGAAGCCGGCAAGATCCAGGCCGTTGATACTTTTGACAATTTGATGCGAGACCACAAGGGCTTCCAGGACTTGATGGAGACAACTGCCGTTGAGAAGAAGGAGGAAGAAGCAGAAGAAGAGGATGACGACAAGCTGAAACAACTCGTCCTGACTGAAACCGCCGAAGCTCGCAAAGCCAAGAAGAACAAGAAGGGCGCAGCTCTCATGCAGCAGGAGGAAAGAGCTGAAGCCAGCGTGCCTTGGTCCGTTTACGGTGCCTATGTTCGCGCTTCCGGAACCATCATGAACGCCCCCCTTGTCATCTTCGTCCTGGTACTCTCCCAAGGCGCCAACATCATGACCAGCTTGTGGCTGTCGTACTGGACTTCGGACAAGTTTGGGCTGTCAATAGGCCAATACATTGGCATCTACGCCGCTCTTGGTGCCGTGCAAGCCTTGCTCATGTTCCTCTTCTCCGTCTTGCTGTCTATCCTGGGAACCAACTCCAGCAAGGTCATGCTTCGCGAGGCCATGTTCCGAGTCCTACGCGCGCCCATGTCCTTCTTCGACACTACGCCGCTGGGTCGCATTACGAATCGATTCTCGCGTGACGTCGATGTCATGGACAACAATCTTACGGATGCCATCAGAATGTACTTCTTCACCCTGTGCAATGTCACTGCTGTCTTTGCGCTCATCATCGCATACTTCCACTACTTCGCCATTGCTCTTGTTCCCCTGTACTTTTTGTTCATCGGCGCCGCTTCATACTACCGCGCATCGGCCCGAGAGGTCAAGCGTTTCGAATCGGTCCTCCGATCCACCGTCTTTGCCAAGTTTGGCGAAGGTCTCTCGGGAGTGGCTTCGATCCGCGCTTACGGGCTCAAGTCCCGATTTATCCAGGATCTTCGCCAGTCGATTGACGAGATGGATAGTGCTTACTTCCTGACCTATTCGAATCAGCGCTGGCTATCCCTTCGAATCGACATGATTGGTAACCTGCTTGTTTTCACTGTTGGAATCCTCGTTGTTACTTCACGATTCAGTGTCAATCCTTCCATTGGTGGTCTAGTCCTCAGTTACATTCTGTCCATTGTTCAGTTGCTTCAGTTCTCCATCCGCCAATTGGCCGAAGTCGAGAACGGCATGAACGCTGTCGAACGTCTCCGCTACTACGGCAATGAGCTTGAAGAAGAGGCCCCTCTTCACACCGTTGATGTTCGCGAATCCTGGCCAGAGAAGGGAGAGATTATCTTTGACAACGTCGAGATGCGTTACCGAGACAATCTGCCTCTGGTGCTCAAGGGCTTGTCCATCCACATTCGGGGTGGAGAGCGCATTGGTATCGTCGGCCGTACTGGCGCGGGAAAGAGCTCCATTATGAGCACTCTGTTCCGACTTGTCGAGATCTCTAAAGGTAGCATCACGATTGACGGTATCAACACCGCTACCATTGGTCTGTTTGACCTGCGTTCTCGCCTTGCCATTATCCCTCAGGATCCTACTCTCTTCCAAGGCACTGTGCGCAGCAACCTTGACCCCTTCCAAGAGCATACCGATTTGGAGCTTTGGTCTGCCCTTCGACAGGCCGATCTCGTGCCCGCGGATGCTAACATGGAAGACCGCAAGGCTGATGCTTCACGCATTCATCTTGATAGCGTTGTTGAAGAAGACGGCCTCAACTTTTCTCTCGGCCAGCGCCAGCTCATGGCCCTCGCCCGTGCTCTTGTCCGCGGCTCACAAATCATTGTCTGCGACGAGGCTACTTCCAGCGTCGACATGGAGACGGATGACAAGATCCAACGGACCATGGCTACTGGTTTCAAGGGCAAGACTCTCCTCTGCATCGCTCACCGTCTCCGCACCATCATTGGTTACGACCGCATCTGCGTCATGGATGCTGGTCGCATCGCCGAGCTGGCCACGCCTCTGGAGCTGTGGAAGATGGACGGCATCTTCAGGAGCATGTGCGACAGGAGTGGTATCCGCGTAGAAGATATTGAGCATGCGAAGCTCGAGTTGGACCAGTTGGATGCTGCCGCTGCCGCTGCCGCTGCCAACCCCTAAGATGAATAACGACATACTCCTTTTCCAACCCCCTCTCTCCCTCCTTATATACATATATTTCTCTCACGCCTTGGTTCTTTTTTCAGATAGGATGATGTTTTTTTCTGTCTGATGAGCCAATGAATGGAATGTGCTTTCTTCTAATATTGAGCACTCAAAAAAAATTTTGATCAAATTGGCACACGTTTACGGGGTTTATGATACTCTTTTTTACAACTTAATAGACTGGGGGAAAGTATGGATTTGAAGACGGAAACTGCAAGCATATGGGCAGTGACGAGTACGAAAAGGCGTACGCTTTATATATAGATTTTTAATCAACCATACGCGCCTTTGCGGTTATATGATTCATACGTTATAATCCGTGACATCTTATGATTCCCATTTAATATGCCGTATTCCCTGGTGAAACTCGACTATGGGGCGACTGGATATCTATGTAGGTATCTTAGGAGTTTCATATACCGTTCTATTGAAAGGTAAATTTGAATGCCCCATAGGCGAGCTTCACGAAGGAGTAGGTGCGGCATCAGATATTCACTGCTGTGTTATCAAATATTGTGTGAAACTATTCGAGATATTAAGTTCATAGAGCACGTCAAGATACTGCAGCAGACAATCATTCATAACACACAAGCTACGTAGATAGATGTACTCGGAAGAGAAAGTAGCGCTTCAAAATAAACAAGACTTGACTTTACAAAAGTGTTCTCACAAGGCCACGCGCAATCCTCCATACAGGCAAGTAGTAAACAAAAAAAAAAAGACAAAAGCTCAACATCCTTCAGCCCGCATTTGTCCTCTGCTTACGGGATCTCATCATAGGCCAACAAGATGAAATCAAAGTGGATAAGTAGGTAAATAAATCGTATAAACTATCATCAACGACGCCATGAACCCCAAGTCTTCCAAGACAGATATCAAAAGACTAGACCAACTGTGTATACTTGTAATACCAACAGTAATAACAATATTAGAAATACGCCTTAGAAAAGAATAAGAATAATCATTTTTAAAACAAAATGTTTGGAAAAAAATTTAGTATCTGTTTCGAGGGCTGCCTCGAGGGCTGCCACTGCCACTGGCTCTGTCGCGCGGCATCTGGGGCGGAGGAAGGCTGCCAGGCTCATCGGCAAGCAAGTCTTCGAGATAGGCACTTGGAGCCCGCTGCCCCGGCTGGCGCGTGTTTAGGTTGACAGAGCTGCTGCTCATGTCTCTTCGCGGGGAGAAGTGAGGAGAGTCGGGAGGCGACGGGCCCATGAGCGAGCCCCTCGAGCCGTTGGGGTAGCTCGTCGATTCAGGCCGCAGGTTGGTTAAGCTGATGGAAGGGCCTTGCTGCCCACCAGGAGACGAGTTTCCGGCAGCGTAGAAGCCAGAGGGCAGGAAAGCCGAGCCGCGAGCACCCGGAGCAGTGGAACCCGCTGCTGTCGGCGAGAAGAACAGATTGGACTGGCTGGGAGCGGCAGACGGAGTCATGGTGTTTCGGTTGGTGCGACGGACGCCGCGGCCGCTGGAAGGCGCAGCGGGAGAGGCGTGGTCCGAGTACTTGTAGAAGGGCGCGGGCGGTGCTGGGAAGCCAGTCTTGGTGTTGGCCTCGTGCTGGGCCAGCGCGGCGCGGCGGACGGAGCGATGGAGCAGGAAGCTGACGATGACGCGCCACAGAAGAACGCCGAGGCCAAATGCGCCGAGGATGGCGCCCACGGCGATGAAGACGGTGCCGTCCGGCGCGCTGGAGTGCTTCATGAAGGGCGCATTCTTGGTGGGCGGCACGGTGGGCGCTGGGTATGTCGGGATAGGGCCGCCGGGGCCGGTCAGCGTGGGAAGACCGGTAGGGCCCGAGTCGTCGGCGGTTTGGGAGGGCGACTTGGTGGGCGATGAGGACGCGGAAGACGCAGAAGACGCGGAGCTTGAGGACGAGCCCTTCTTCTGGGCCAGCACTGGAGAGGCCAGCACGGCAAAGGCCGCCAGGGTCGACAAGAGGCTGGAGGCCCGCATGTTGTTGGACTTTCGATTGTCGAGAATGGACACCAAGCTGAAGTATGGCGGGGAAACGAACGACGATTCTATGTCCGCCCAGGCGCAATCAGAGGTGTCGAGTCGGCGATTCGAAGGGTGGAAGCGTATTGTTGAGAAGGAGATGGAAATCGGAGCGTGTATTATCGTCGCTTCTGCTTTGCTGTTGGGGCAGCGGCGGAGAATGGAGTTTATCGCAGCCCGCTGTAACGAATGTTGCGAGCCGGGAAATAATAGACGAATGCGATCAAAGATGCGATGCAATGCGATAAAAGGGCAACGAATGACAGCCAGGCCCCCCAAAAGAAAAAAAGAAAAAAAAGTCCTCCCAGGGCGGAGTCCGACGCTGACGAGGGTTTGGCGATGCTGGGGAGAGAGACTGAAAACGGCCTGCGCGTGTTTCCGAACCACCTCCTTTTGGGCCAAGGGCAGACGCAGTCAATATTACCACCAGACGCAGCTAAGCAAAAAAAAGCTGGAGAGATGCCCCCCGTTCTCGTAAAATGCGGTGCTGTGCTACTGCTAGCATTGACTGCTAGCGGCGCTACTGGAGTCAGCGCACATGGCACTGTACGGGCGCTGGAATGCAGCGCCAATGACGGGCGGCAGGGTGGCGGGAGAGGCTGGGCACGGCCCCTCGACGCACTGGGAAAAAGCTCGTATCGGCCTGGTAACGGGAGGCCCTTACAGTGCGTGGGGATGGTTTTTTGGTTGGTTCAAGGTTCGATGTTTAGCGGCTGCTATCTTGGGAATGATCCCCAGACCAGGATATGGAAATCGTGATATGGGGCAGCGGGCAGTACGAGGCATCGCAGGATGGGAAGAAGTTGATATCAAACAATGGATGATGCAGCGAGTTTTTTTGAGCTTCAACCATGGCTATGATGGCTTCCAAATGTTTCTGTCTTACATTCAACCACGACATAACTAGCTAGGAAATTATTATGCAGCACTCTTTGCTTCGATATAGCAGCCAAGCAGCCTAACGAGGCAGTCAATCCATACATGAAATATACCTGTATGCTAGGTACTTAGAAGCCGTAGTAGCAGTAGGTTGGAATAGCTGTAAACTCACGACATTGCCACGGCTGGGTTGCCAGACGATAATTCCCTACCTTGGGTACATGATAAGCCTCCGCTGCACTACTCCAAGACGTGCAGAGATGCCCAGGCACCATCTGTCTGGCAGGCGCCACAAAAGCATCACGATAGCGAATGGGCTTTCCTTGGAAAGCAAAAATTCTCCACATGCTGAGATGCTTCTTTGAGGCTAGCAATGAGGGTCCTGCAGGTTCTTGTTACCGAATGAATGCGGACTTGATGACCCAAATCTGCGGCATGCCTTATTTGTGATGGATGGATAGTGGACATTCAACAGATCAATGGATTAGAGGGGACAAGGACGTCAACGCATGGCAAATGGCTGAGATATGCAAAGATATATACCGCTCCTATTATATGGTATCATAAATCATGAGTTAAACCCGAAACCAATGCTTCTCTCTTATTCATTTTCTCTCGCGTAACCTCGTTTCAAAACAACTTCAAACACTGGCACCGCCCAGCTGACGCCGCTCAGCACGCTGCGCACGTGACTCTGACGTTGCCCAGACTTGTGCTACCGCCGGATCCCAGCATCTCTCCAAGAGCGTCATCACCATTCAAAAGAAGCCTCAAGCCATCCTCTCAACACCGCTCCATCCTATCGCCAGCTTTGCCTCCATTCAGCGCGTCCATCACCCCGACATATTCGCTGCCTGATCATTTCCCCCTACCTTTAAACCAGATCATCACGACTGCGATCCTGACACCATGGAAGAAGAGCGCCTTTGGAAGTTTAGGAAACCCGAGTGGTTAAACAGCATGTGGGCTCGGAACGCTGGCGTCTACGGCGCTGGAGCTCTGGTGAGTTCTGTCTTCCGGAATTCCTATTCATACTATATAGAACTGTCCTTCCGAACTTTTTTCGACAATTGAAAATGCCTCGATACGCCGTAGCCCTCTTTCGCTCTTCCAAAAGACCGCTTAGCTGACGTATGCGTTTCCTCCATTCATTAGTTCTCCATCGCCTTTTACGTTATGCTCGACTCCGCCGTCTGGTCCAAGTCGGCCAAGAACGGATCCAACGTCCACGTCAAATTCGTCGACTGGCTACCGCTCATCTTCTCCAGCCTAGGCATGCTCATCATCAACTCGGTCGAGAAACAGCGCCTCAGCACCGACTCTTTCAGTTATAGCGGATCTGGTGTCGCATGGAAGGCGCGTGTGGTCTTGTTCTTGGGGTTCGCGGCCCTTGCGGGCGGTATGGCCGGAGGTGTCACCGTTTTTGTCCTCAAGTTCATCGTTCCGGGCGTCGGCATGCCGGCTCTGAGCATGGGTATCGAGAATCTAGTTAGCAACGCTCTGGTCGGTTTCAGGTACGTATAAACTTTCTTAGCCCGCTTCTACTCTGGTTTGGAATCAGCTAATCTTTGTGTATTTAGCTCTGTCGTTCTATGGATCAGCCAAAACATGGAGGACGAGTACTCCTACAACCTTTCTCTGTAACTGAACTGAACCGAATCGAACTTAAACTCTGTTGCGCGCGAATGAAGGGGGGGGGGGCGAGTGTCGGCGCATATCTATGGATCACGGGCGTAACTTGGGGGCTCTTAGGGAGGGTCTGAATTTTCTTTTTTTTTTTCATCTTTTGGCAAACAAACACGTACGCACACTTTCTCGGAGCGTAGTTGATGATTTGAGCCCTTGTTTTCTTGTATCAGCCGGGATGACTAGTTTGATGGATCAATTTGAACTTGCCATGTTTATATAATACGATAAAAAGATTCGGCAATGCATTGATATCTGTGATTCTTTCTTACATCAGCCAGACGATGCCATTAATCATGTAGCGAATAATTCGATACTACTGGTATCAATACCTATAGGTAATAATGTTGAAATGTGACATATTAATTGACCTCACAAGTGATTGCTGAAGGGCACACTAGGCGCGCAGACGCAGTTGTCACTGCTAACGCTGCCAGCGCTAGTCGCCCCTGTAACCGTTCTCAGTTGCCTGGTGCAGTGTCTTCTTGTTTTCTAAACACAACCTCACTTCTGATATCTCATTTCATAACTCTTCATTTCGTCATCTCTTTTTATCTTATTTCAGAAGGGCTAAGAGCACAGCACGTTATCTGTACTGTTATAACCTGTACATGCAAATGAATTCCAGATAAAGAGCAAAAGAAAGGAAGAAGCAACACACCAAAAAAAAAAAAAAAAAAAAGATATGGCGGACCGCACTCGAAGCGCTGCTGCTCTTAACGGGACACGCACCACCCGAAGTTCCGGCCTCGCAAACGTCCCCAGCGGCGGCAGCTCCAGCAACAGCAAGACAAGCCTCTTCCGGAGCCACTTCATCAGACGACCCAACGCGCCCTCTGCAGACCCGGCGGCGGAGAGCGTGCGCCGGGACGCGGAGATGACGCCGCGGGCCGAGGCCTCGGATCTTGTTGTGAGAGACCAGCACGGCGAAGTCGAGATTGGGAACCCGCCGACGCCGGTGGTGGATGACGAGGAGGAGTTGCAGGCGTTGGAGTATCAGCAGGAGAATGAAAGTATGGGTTTTTTGCATCTGTCTTATTTCCTTATGATGTGATATGAGGAGACATGCTAATGATGAATCCGTAGGGGAGAAACAGCGTCTAGCAGAGGCGATTCGGCATTATCAAATTAGCCACAGCTCTATAGCTGATCAGCCTGACGGTAAGTCACGACCGGCTTGAATGCTTTGCCTTTTTCAGAACTTATTTCTTGATGTAGAGATCTGAGCTGATCTCCCCATCTCTAGCCCTCTTCGAAGCTGTGCGTGAGAGCAACAGAGCCAAGGTCAACGCTTTAGCTGAAGACAACTGGATGTTCGAGCCAGAAGAACAGCCGCGCATTCCATGAAACGACGGCAGAATCGGTGCTTGCTCATAATTCTTTTTAAAAGCTCCAACCCCCTTTCTATCCTCCTACGCCGGTTGTGTCTATGATACATCACTGGTTTTTTTATCCTACTCGTCGCTGCCGAAACCCATGATATGAACAAAAAAAAAGAAGAAAAGAAAATCAAAGAAAGCTGAGTCTAGTCGAGCCCCTCAGCAGCAGGAGCTTGCAGCCCCGGTCGTCGTGCCTGCTGGGGCGGCGCCGCTCCGCCTCCACCAAACAGTCCGCTCATCATATCCATCAAGGGATTGCTCTGTCTCGGCTTCTGAATGCCAAAGTACATCTCGCCAATCATCTCTAGGGGCTCCGCCCACGCCTCCGCCTCATCTATCTGCGACGCATACTTGGAAATCAGGCCCTTGTAGACTTCGGGGGCGCCTCGCTGGATGGCCAGGAGCAGCAGGCCCAGGAAGTTGAGCAGCGGCAAGCTGGGGAAGATTCGAATGTCGGAAGTGTTGCTGGAGACATCTTGGACGCCGAGGGCTGGGTTGTCGTTTGTGAGGGCGCTGATGAAGAGTCGGTAGGTTGCGGTAGCGGCGCGGACGTTACCGACAAGGAGATAGGGTAGAACGGCTCGTGCTGCAAAGTGCGGTGCCATATGGGCGTCTCCCTCTTTGTACCAGGCGTACTCCATGTTGATTAGTACTTCGGGAGAGTCCTTGGTTCCCAATACCAGGTGTCGCTCGGCCTCGTACGTCTCGTGTTCTTCTGCGTATAGTGAACCGGCAACATGATGTATTTCAGGATCGCCAGCAGGGTATTCGCCAAACTTGGCAGACCATCTAATACCAGTCCACAGTCAGTTGAAAAGAGCTCACCCAAGAGATATAGGAACCTCGTATGCTCATCACCAACTCACCCCACGCTCTCAGTGATAAACTTCTTCCTCGTAGGCTCCAGCGGATCAAACAGCCGCAAACACGTCAACAGCCTCCCCTTGCTCGTCGCATCAGGCTTCAGCTCAGCCTGCTTATACACGTCCAACATCATGGCACACAGGTCCCCTCCGCTGCCGCCCTGCTGGGCCTTGAGCAGCGACTGCGCGACACTGTAGAGAATGTCGATGGCAGCAGACCAGTTCTGCGTCTTGATGTAACGGGAGGCGGCGACTCGCGTCTGCTGCTGCGCTTCGTAAAAGTCGCCATCGGTGATCTTTTCCTGCAGCCGGGCGACGATGCGGTCGACTTTGTTGGCCATGGTTGGAAGAGTTGAGGACACAGCTCCAGGGAAGCTTGGAGAGGGTTTCTTTTGGTGTGGCGTTGACAGGAGGAAGTAAGGTTGAGGCCGCGAATACCTGGTAGAGCTGTAGGAGGGGAGAAGTGGCTTGGGAGAGCAATGGTAGCGAGATGGAGGGGTCAAAAGGTGGACAGAGCTACGATAAGGTGTATGCTTCCTTGGTATATATTGTGTGACTATAGATTTTTGCGATAAGCCTATTACATCATCGGCGCGAATAGTGTAGCGGTTAGCATGCGTGCTTCCCAGCATTGCTTTCTCAAGCATAGCTCCTAAGCACGCGACCCGGGTTCGAGTCCCGGTTCGCGCATCTCTTTTTGCCGTTTTGTTCTGTGTAAGTCTCCCCTGTGAAAGATCGAACCATCACGACTATTTCTTTTTGGTTTCGTCAGCAGAGCTTCTCTTTTATTTCCCTTGTGTGTTGATCGTAGTCACTTACCCAAGTCGTTCGTCAAGTTGAGTGTGAATAGGCTCACTAGCCTTGAGGACACGTCGACGTAGAGGAACGCTTTGATCGCTATGCTTTGCAGCCATGTAGCTGTGAAAAAGATTGTTTCATTACCAAATACCTGTTGTTACGTACGTTTATCATAAAGACGGACCAGTCTATACAATGCTGCCTACAGGCACGCCGGCCCACAAAACGGCACTCGCCCTTTTGTTTGATACGTCCAGCCCTGAGGGACGGCAGCGTCTCCCTCCCCAAAAGTGCCATTTGATACAGAAATTCCAAAGCCAAGACAATCTCTTTTGTATCAGTAAACCCAAGTGCTCCCGGAGGTTGATTTCCTTCCCTTCTCGTACAGCCACTTGCTGTTGAGCCCAATGCTTGTCCTCTTACCTGCTGACGGGCTTGGTGAGGCGGGATCAGAAAAGACATTTGACGAGGTGCTCGCGCCAAAGTTGCCGCCATTGAAGGAGCTGCTAAAGGCGCTTGGTGATCCAAAGGAAGATGTCCTATGGCTCATGCCATTAACACTCTGCGATAGAGGGCTCCCCATGGGGTTGGGGGAGAATTGGGAGACGGAGCCGGCAAAGCTCTGGGATGGAGAAAAAGGGACAGGGCTTCCTCGTCCTTCGAGAGGAGAGCCGTTGTAACTAGCTCTGCTCCCCACAGATCCAGCCATGGACGGCGTTCGCGAATATCGCGGGGGGGTGCTGAATTTTGCGTCGGGAGTTGCTGTGCCAAGTGCCGGGTTCAGTCCCAGCAGTTTCCGCTGCGTAGCCGTCAGCGGGATATCGGAGAGCTCGTCCTTGGGGCGGACAAGCGGCAGGCATGCCATGCCAATCTGGATAAAGGGCACCAGCTGGACGAGAAACCACGCCCAGCCAAAGTATTGTCGAAACGACTTGGGGAACCTAATCGTTGATCCTTTGTTAGAAAACACACCAATTGCACGCTGGGAAGCTCCCATGGTCCTGTGCCCTGTTTTATCTCACATTTGCGCGTCGAGCTTGAACTTGGCCAGCAGCTGGAGGCACCACATCAACAGCAAGGCAATGATGTTATAGATAATGCGCCGCACATTTTTCTCGGAGAAGTTTGAGGCATCGCGGCGCCTGGCGATCTCGTGGAGTCGGGGATGTCTCCATGTGCCTGGACTATTGGCAGTTGGGGCTGTCGCGACCTGCTTCGCGGGTGTGCTCACCCTAGCCAGAGCCGATGACATTGTGCTGTAGAGTTGCGAAGAATATGACACGCGCGGGGGAGAAGATGGCGGCTGGCGGTGAAACAAGGCGATTGTGTCTTTTCGATTTCCTGATGCGGCCGTTGGTGAGCTTTAGACCGATCTCGAGGCTAGGCGCAATGAAGGGCGGAAGAAAAAAACTTGAGCGCGAAGGATGGAGACGGGGTGGACGAACAAGAAGATGTGCTCTCGCTGCCAAAACGAGGCTCTCGAAAATAATACTGGAAGTGTCTGGTCCTATGGGTTAGTATAGCACATGTGCCGGGGAGGGGGAGCAGTGGCCGGAGCGGCCTGGGAGCTTGTGATGCCCGTCGCTGCGTGGTTGTTTATGTTCAATTTGCACGGCAACGTCGTGAGCGCAACTGCGAAGAAGTGACCGGGGGCAGGCCGCCAGCCCAGGTACCGCCCGGCAGTTGCAGGGGGTACGGGCCTGCGCTGAGTGGCTGGCCTGGCTGCAGTGCAAAGGCCGGGTCCAGTGAAATCATTCCGTCTGGCGGCATCTCCCCAGCACGCGCGCCCACTGAAGAAGCCCGTGGCCTGCTGTAGCACGGCATGCCAGATGTCGCAGGTACCTGGCTGCAAGGAACTGCGCCCGTGTACCTGGAGATTGCAGGTCCGCCTCCCACAACCGCAGTTTTAGGGCGAGGCCACGGCCGTGTCGGCCATCGCAGGGCGATTTTGGCTTATCCTGCTAGCCTTATTAGCGATGCGCGTGCGTGCGCCTCGTGCTTGACCTCAGCTTTTCTTGCCTCCCGAGTACTTGTAGACCTAGCTTTGTCGGTGGAAACGCCAATCGCCAGCCGTTTCCCACTTTGCATCCCATCGTCCATCCCTTCATCTCTCACCACCGCGCGACCTTCTCATCACCACCATCCGCATCCAGCATCAAGCATCGCCATCGGCCTCCACGATTCGACTTGCGCTATCGGCCCAAGTTGAAATCCTCCTTGATACTTTGTCAATCAGAATCATGCAGTATTAACACCATCATCCACACCACAAAGACGAAGAAGCAAACCAACGACGCACATCTGCCCTTCTGAACTTCTTCTTTCTCTCTCTCTCTCTCTCTTTCTTCACCAAACTCAGCATAGTCGCTGTCAGCGCCGAATTGCACCCTCGCCATGGCTGCCTCGCCGAGCTCCGTGGACGCCACGTCCGATGCAGAGCAGCCAAGCTCTCCCGCCCCAGCAGAAAGCAAATCATTCGCCTCGCGCGCCGATGCTGACGACGAAGACAACACCATTATTGCAACGCCCTCCGAGGCCGCTGAGAAGCCCTCCAGGGGCAAGGGCAGAGGAAAGGACAAGGACAAGGACAAGGACGCGCAATCATTGATTGGCAAAATCAGGCACTTGAAGAAGGAAGACGGAGAGCCCCTTTGGCGCAAGGATATCCAGTACGATTTTCTCAGGGCCGTCTTTGACAATGACCAAAAGGTCTTCACCAACTCGTATGACCCCGAACTGGAGAAACAGTGCTTCGCCGACTTGTACATAGACACCATGGCTCGGAGTTCCAAGACAAGCAAGGTGCTCAGGGATAAGCTGATGAATGACCGAGAGGCTGCCAAAGGCATGGCCATGGTCTGTTTGCTGGTCAACATGGGCCGCATGAACACTACACTCAATTGTGAGTTTTCGCCTACCCAGTTTAACGAGGCGTAATATGCATACAAAAGCTAACCAATGCAATTCCAACGTATAGTCTTTCCCGAGATGCGAGCACAGCTGCGGACATACCACGCTATCCCCTCTCTGCAAGCACAGCAAGATCCTCACGCCTACAAGCAGCTACAGGATGCCCCACGACTCAAGTCCATCTTGAAAGGCGGCGCGGAAGACAGAGACGAGCCTACTTCCCTAGAAAAGATCAAACAACACGATATCCCGCGCACCAACCCCGTCAACCTCATCTTTGTCATGTGCAACTCGGCGTTGAAGGTTGCAGAACTTCACTTTCCACCCCATCGCGAGTTTCATGATGTCATTATGAAAACCCAGTACAGCAGCATGTCTAGAGCCAAGGCCTTTTTATGGCTAATGTGGTTCTATCTAGAATCCGACTTCACCGAAGAAGGATGCGAAGAGAACCCTTTTGGAGCCGGTGTTGATTATGGTGTTGATGTTGCCAACCAGGGCGTGCCTGAGCTTCAAGAAATGACCGATGAACAGAAAGCTGCAGAAAACGTTGACCCAGAGGTTGAAATTGAATTTGGCCACGAGAAGCAGAAAATCCGAGCTACCATCTTGGAGATGGACCATCAGTTTTTGACAGAACGGGAGAAACGTGGGAAAACGCGGCCATCGGTGGCAGACGACGGCCCCGCCATCTTGCCTCGAATTAGACCTTCGAAGCATGAGTCTGATATGGAGAGCAATCGATCGACTCCGCCTAGATCACTCGCCAGAAAAATTGCCACTATGAACGGACACAGATCTGCGCCTCTCAAGTATCAAATCTTCGAGGGCTCTTCGCCGGCTCGCCATGGAGGCGACGGTGTTGTCGCCCGAAAGCCTCGTCCCCCAACAGCCCATCAGCTTGCTGTTGAGCGGAATAGAAGCCAGAGAGTCGAGTATATTCTAGACCGTGGCCTCCGAAAACATCATCACAAAAGCAGGAAGCTCAGGCGGCAAGAGGGCGCCATCGTGAGGACATACAATCGCCTTCAGGCTCAGGCTGATCCTTTCGAAGACAGCGACGCCGAGGACCATACTCCACGCAGCTTACCCGTCAATGGCGACAAGGGCAAGAACGTTTTCAGAGAGAAGGGCATTGGCGGCCTCTGCCTCTTGGCCACGGACGCAGACGACTACGGAGAGGAGGTGAGCTCGTATGCTGCTGCCATTAGACGGTCAACACGGCGTCTCGCCCGCTGGAGAGGGCATGAAGCCGAGCTCGGCGTGATCCCTATAGTCAAGAAGCCCAAGCCGGTGACGGCCAGCGACAATGCCCACGATGAAACTGCGGCTGATGCCTCAGACAATCTCGCTGCCGAAGGCTCGAATCCCAAAGTCAATGGCAGTGCGTCTAAAGGTGATGACAAAGATATCAACGGCGACGCTACGATTGCGGACGATGTGGAGATGGAGGAGGCCGACAATATGGCACTTGCAGATGAGGAAGCTGACGATGCAGACAAGACAGAAGTCATGGTAGATTCGGAGATGGAGTAGCGGGCTTGAACAAAAGCTACGAAAAGATGATGATCAGTTCGTATGGGGATTCGAAAAAGAACCATATTGGAATTGCTTTGTTTTGTTTAGTCTTCTTTTCTTTTTCGTTTTCACTATTATCCGTCTCTTCATCTTTGAGGTGCGCAGGGAGGATCTTGTACACAAAGGATACGTATGGCTTTAAGGGGGAATTAGATATCTGGAGGCGTCGAGGCGTTTTTTACCAAAGAGCTAGTGCTCCGTAACGACAAAATTCAATAATTGACTACAGGCTTAATGTGAAATCCCTCTATAATCTATACTACATGGAGGACAAATGCAGAATGAATTGGTCACTGCCGAGTTAGTTGAGTAAGTTATGTATTGTCTAGCAAAAGTGAATAGTAAGTCTCGACCTTAAAAGCCCGAGTACGAATACGACAGGGGACTTTTTAAAGTCAGAAGCTCTCCACCATAAAGACGGGCGCCATCCGGATCACGGCGATCCGGCCGAGCGGTGAGACGTGGCAGAAAGCTGGGACGAGTCCTCGGTCCCCGAGAATGACATGCCCAACATTTCAAATCCAAGGCCGCTTGTGGATGGGGGAATTGGTTATATACCTCTTCCATTCGGTACAATTGATTCGTGCTTGTTTTGCCCGGTTGCATGCCTGCTTTCCTTTCTTTGATTGGTTCAATTGCCCATCAGCCGTTCCCTCTGGATCTCGGGCACCCCACTAATACCTGGAGCCATATCATCCCATACACTGCTTTTTGGTAAATAAATCAATAACATTTATTTACATATTCACTCAAGCAATAGGAATTAGAAGAGAGGAAGGCAAAAAAGACAAAAAACAAAGTTATGCCTCAAAACGAGCCCTCACCCCCGGGCATCAGCCGCCTCCTCGCCATTCTAGGCCTCCTCACGGCGCTGCTGGCCTCCGTCGTCTACGTGATCGACCAGGACCTGGACCGCTTCTACGTCTTTGAGACGGATCACCTGCACGATCTGGCGCAGAGGGGCATCGCCCAGCACGGCAACGACACAAGGGGCATTGTCAAGTACATTGTCGACGAGCTCAACGAAAAGGTGCCTGGATATGTGAATCTCGACGAGGACTGGGTGTTTAACAATGCGGGCGGCGCTATGGGCGGCATGTACATTCTCCACGCCAGTGAGTTTGCTCAGCACCACTTATACCTGATATCCTTTTTGCTAATACTTGTGTTGTAGGTGTAACTGAATATCTCATCATCTTCGGCACCGCCGTCGGCACAGAAGGCCACACCGGCCGCCACACCGCCGACGACTACTTCCACATCCTCTCCGGCACGCAGATGGCCTACGTGCCCGGCGAGTACGAGCCCGAAATCTACCCGCCGGGCAGCGTGCACCACCTGCGCCGCGGCGACGTCAAGCAGTACAAGATGCCCGAGGCCTGCTTCGCGCTCGAGTACGCGCGCGGCTGGATCCCGCCCATGCTCTTCTTTGGCTTCGCCGACGGCCTGACCAGCACGCTGGATTTCCCGACGCTGTGGAAGACGACGTACATTACGGGCCAGCAGATGATTGGCAATCTGCTCAAGGGCAAGCTCTGAAATGAAATGGGGTGGTCGGTGTATTAAAAAGAAAGGGGGAAGGGGGGGGGGGGGGGGGGGGGGGGGGGGGGGTCATCAATCATCATTTATTATAAGAAACAAAAGGGGTTTTTACGCTCCATTAGAGTTGGTTCATTCACTCTAGGATAACGATGTTAAATGAGATATGTAGAGCGACAATATGTAGATAAGATGGGTGGGTTAGAGACATATTCATCATATGATTGTGCGAATAGGGATAGCGTACAGGCCATAATCACAAATAAAAAATCTTATTCCATACACCTAGCATACTATCTCACTCTATAGCAAGATACGACGCAATCGCAGAGAAACGCGTATCGCGGGATCGCTTCGCTATGTACCGCTGTATAAGTGGACGTCGAATACCCCGAATAGAATCCTCCTTCATCCACAAAGTCCAAGACACGCGCTTTCATCAGGTTTTGGTATACAGGTAGATATATATTTTCTCTCGGCTTCCACTCTTCCACCAACGCCGCGCAAATGTGCAATTGTGCCAAGAGAAGGAAAATATCGTCACCTTGAAAACTCCCGTCATCCATTGCCCAAACACTTTTTTCTCTTTTTGAGTTGCATAGAGGTTCCTTGTTCCCCACAAATTCAGCCCGTATAAAGCAGTAAACACCTACGCCTTCTTTTTTTCAAGGCCACCAAAAAAAAAAAAAAGACAACAAAGACAGAGAGAAAAGAAGCAATTCTCCAGATACACCGGGTGACTCAATCCGTGGCTCCAAATCCGTGTCGTATAACGCCGGGGCTTAAAAAAATACAGTAATCATTCATCCAATGACAAGGGGGCTTCATCTCAAGACACGGCCAAAGCTAATAGCGCCTCGCAGCTCAAAGGTCCTTCTTTAAGCGAGCCAGCCTTCCTCGGCACGCTTGCGACCTCGCATGACAAGTACATCGTCGTCGTCGTCAGATGAGTCGTCCTCTGCCTCGTCTTGAATCTTCATATTCTCCACAGAAGTCGTTGTAGCCTGGATCCGAGCTTCGATTCGAGCGTCGTGGCCATCATCCTCCTCTTCAAACATCCATGTCAAGCCATTGGCTTCTTCCTCCAATGGAAACATCTCTCTCGCATATTCTTCTAGTCCTCGGGGGCCCTCCCACAGCTCAAGCGCCTCCCGCGGGCAGCTAGCTTCCAGTTTGGGGTCTCCAAAGTATGGCGGCTGCTGTTTCGCGTCCTTCTCATTAGGGTCGAAAAGCTTCTCCAGCGCTTCTAGCTGTTGTCGGTAGCCTGTTGGGATACGAACTTTGATCTCAATGGGCCCCCTTATATAGCGAACACGGCGACCCACGCCACGAGCAAACAACTTACACGCTTCTACCGGCGTGAGATACTCGTACGCCAAGGCAATGCGCTCCCCAGCCCACTTGGATACGCCATCTTTAAAGAGTTGTAAAATGGCAGGTCCAACGTCATGTTCAGCATCCAGCCACGGAAGCTTGGCATCTTCATGGAATGGCGCCTGCCAAGTAAAGGAGCCGTCCGGCTGCAGCTCCATGCAGAACAAAGGATAGGGCAGTGATGTAAAGTTGTTATTGTAGATTCCAGTGTATACAAAGGTAGCGGGGAGACCCAAGTGCCGCACATATACCTCTACTTCGTGTTTGGCGGCCCATAGAGGCAGCGACGGCCACCCGCTATTGTAAGCTGCGTGATCGGGCATGGAGGAATAGATGTAGTGTTGGATATTGGTCTGCTTGGCTGCATCGGCGAGAGCCTTGCCGATTGCCAGCTCGTCGCCATAGAAGGTGGTATTGATGAATGCAAGCTGCGCGCCCCGGAAAAGATTTGCGATCAGTTCGTGATTGACTCCTACGCCCGGTAGGGAGCCACTCTTGGTGACGTCCCGGTTCTCTGCGGTAGGCTGGTGTCTGGTGTAGAGCTCGCCAACAAAGACAGTGACGTTTGGGTTGGTCGATACCTCAGTCGCAATGACGCCCTCAAGATTCCTCAGCTGCGCATTCACATGGTAGCCCACGGCCGTAGCTACGCGTATAAGCGACGCAGCTTGGCGGCCGCTGGCATTGATCACGGCAATGGTCTTTGGGGTAGACATGAGCCTCTTAGGCGGGCGAAATGTCAAGGAATTGTTCCTGGAGTTGGCGAGGGGAGACGACTCTGAGTATGAGGATCGCGAATGCTTGTGTTGCTTATGGAACCCGTTTGTCTGGTCGGTCACGATATGGATGGGAATGCTGCCCGTAACGGGTCCGTTGAATTGTGCCGGCATGGCTCCGTCGCCCTCTATTCGCTGGATTTCAGGCCGAAGCCGTGGAGGTGGTGCAAGTCGGCCGAAAGTGGAAGACTGTCGTCCCGGCGCAGGGTATTTATTCGACAGGCGAGGCCACCGTTATCCAAACGCGCCAGCCCGCCTGCAGAATAGAGGCTGATGGCCTTCAATTTGCGGATTGATGGTGGGGGAGAAAAAAAAGGTAACAGTAGGGCTTGTGATCTCAGCTCATGGATCGGAGCGGATAGCCAGTACGTAAGAGCGAAGTATGACAGTGGACCGTGGACCGTGGGTCGTGGGCCGTAGACCGGCGTGGGAGGACAAGCAGCAGGCACGGTATTAGTAGTGGTTAGTCTGTGGCCAGTGCCGGCGGCTGGACGCGGCGATGGAGGCTGCTACAGGGTCGGTTTGCGCCAATGCAGTATTCCACGAGGGTACGAGGCAGCCTGGCGAGTCGCTGGCTCGATCAACCGTAGCGCAGAAGTCGTCGGGTCTGGGCCGGCAGCACAGCAGTAGCGGAGGGAGCTCGAGAGCGGCGAGCGAATGGGTGCGAGAGAGCTGGAAGTGCGAGTTGCGATTGGTGGCAGGGACCCAGAGACCGGAACCGGGATTGTCAGCGGACGACGAGTCTGCGATATAGCGAGACAAAAGGGGTCGTTGCAGTCGGCGTACGGAGCAACGTGAGAAATTAAGAAACAAGAAGAATCACAAATGTATGTTTCGCCAAGATGACGGGAGTGAGAAGGAGAAGAGGAATGATTCAGAGGGCAAGAATCCCAGAGGCTATCTATCAGAGCAACAGTGGGATAAGGCCTGGATAACAGAGGGGGCTTCCTTTTTCCTCCCGATAAGAACAACGGCTGTAGTCGACTTAGCTCGGGCGAATTAGCAGGCTAGCTTGGACAAAAGAACGATTGGCGTTAGTTTAAGCTGGCCTCGCCACGCCAAGTTCTATGGGCGTCGTTTGGACTTTGCTTGGAGGGCGGCGGCTCGCCGAAACCAGTCAGATGCTAATGGTGCAAGTGCCAGTTATGGGTGGCAGGGCGATAAGGGATGATGGGAGGGAGGGGCGTTTGTGTTGGGGTTAGGATAATGAGATTTGAGGAGATGGAGGGGGAGAAAGCTTGAAAACGCCAGTCTAATCTGCCTTGAGGCAAAGGACGTGTCGACTAAGAAGAGATTGGATGTACCCGAATATACTAAACTTTGCGGCGAGATACAGATGGAGATTGGCACAGGTGCTACGACATGCAAGCATCGCAACAGCCCGAGTACAGTGTACTTGTACAGTCGCAGCCCTTGTTCCTAGAGCAGCAGGAGCGAAGGTCGGAGACGCCAGGTACCATTACAGGTACCAGTTCAGGTTCCGCGACCTGGGGTTGCCGTCTGATGGACGAGGATCCGATCAGGGAGAGAGAGATAAGCAGGTACATCTCAACGTGCCGCGGTGTACTTGGACGCCGTGTCGCTGCACAGCCGGCACCTTCCAAGCAAGGGGAGCAAGTTCCTGCCTTCTTCTAGACCGTGACAGTCGATATCCCAGCAACAAGTCCCGTGATTGACAGCGGCGGAGCCAGCCAAGGGGAAAGAAGAAGAACTGGCTCCAAGGCAAAAGGCATGAACAGGTCCCTCAGGCACTCTGCCCAGAGTGGTATCAATTCTTTTTGGAGTTGGCTAGTCCCGATCTCCGCCATCACGGACCCCTGCAAGGGAGTTCCGAGCAGAAACGCGCCGGGCAACATCTGATTAGATTCCGTCGAGAGCTAAATATGTACATACAGTACATACAGTATGCCGCGCTGCTGCTACGTAACACACAGGGTCTTGCGGACCAGTCAGACAGGTCCGGCTTGCGAGCTGGCCTGATTGCTCCAAATCTCTTACAAAAAGTCGATCCATGCGAGCGGGTGACCCGACTGGAGCAAGGCTAGCCACGGGTTTACAGCCAGTGAGTTGCGCAGAAATGCTCGTACCGTCCTGTCCGCATAAAGGGTCAATCAATTAACAAACCCATGCAAGATGGACCGCCAATCGGGCCAAAGGTGCGCTGAGCGGATGGCTGGCTGCTTGATGCTGTGCTCTCACCCTCACCACCTGGAGATAGTCTGGGGCTGGCCAATCGGGCGGCGTCGCTAAATCATCGCCCTCTCTAGGATTTTCTTGTTTGGTCTCTTGGCTCGACGCAACTCCGCGGAAGAGGCGCCAAGGCTCACAGAGGCGTTGCCTCCAACGCGATTCAACTATCAGCACCAAGTACATATTACTCTATGCTATTAGACACTCCCCTCCGGTATGTGGACTAGGCAGGTATGCAACAACTCGAAGCTACTCCGTGCTAGCAACTCTCATCCTAATGTCGGTTACCAGTGCACTGTGGCATCGGAAGAGAGACCAGGTCAGCAGACGTTCGAATTACACGCCGCCCCCATATTACTAGCAATGGTACTGCGCGATGCTTAGATGACCTGCCCTTACCGAACACAAGTTCTCCATATTGGAGACAAGCAGCATCAGCCTAATAATACTGCACTCCTGAGCAACGTGGACGAGTGCCTGGATGGAGATATACGTTCTGAGTCTCGACATACTGTAAGCATGGAGCGCAGGGTTTGAAGCCCCAGATTGCTTGTCACGCGCTCTTCGCTATGGAGTAGCCATCGTGGCCCAGAGCCGGAACGATATACGAGCACCGCTACTGGGTAGGTATTACAACTCCTGGCTCGAGTTTAGTACTCCGTGCATGTGCATGTGGTCTTGGACGCAATACGGTGCGCCCTGTCCAACTACGGCAGCTTGTCCTTCGCAATGCTGTTGAGACAATACCGGTGTTGAATTGCGGCATCGGACCAAATCGCAAGGGAAGAAAAAAGTTTGGATTCTGCGGCTGCGAGATAACAAAAACGCTATCTATCCATTGGCTCTAGGCGTCAACGGGGAAAGGATCAGCTACAAAATGCGATGCTAGCACGAGTAAGAGCCGCCACGAGAGAAAAAGGGTCTGGGATGGAAATTTCCTCAAAGAAAATTCTTTCCTACGTCGTATCTCGGTCATGCTCGAATCACTGGGGATAATATGACCGCCATGTGGGCTTCTCCCGCCTTTCCGGCGTTCGGCCTATTTGCATTAGCCTTCTCTGGCGATTCTTCCCACGTTCCCACGTCCCAGGTCCGACAAGGCCACAGCCAGGGCCCTTCGCAAAGAGGCAGAGCCCCTGCAGCGGCAACAGTTGGGATTAGGTAAAATTTTGCCCCGGTTCTCCAGTCAGATGATTTCCTTAACCTCATTCCATTGCTCATATCCTCCAGTGCCTCAAGATCGCGAGATTACTGTTGGTCCATCTTTGAAATTTTTTTCTCACTACCGGCCTGGACCGCCATCGATCAATCCAGAGCCCCATGGGTGCTGGCTAGTCACCAGACTCGTTGATGTTTTTTTTTTCTCTCCGTTTTTATCAGTTGCTCTGGTTTTGCCGCTCGCTCTCCTCTCGGTGCTCGTCTAAGTGCTCCGTACAGAATACTGTGCTCCGTAACGTGACGACAGAAGCTCTGCGCGCCGTTGACGCTTGTCCGTGTACGTACTGGTTGTGACTGTTACAGGCAGAATACACTCAGCCAATCGTCTGCGTCTTCTCTGGTCTTCCATCAATTTCGTGTTGTCTCATTCGTCATGGGCTGCTAAGTGGCTACGTTCGTTTAGACGATGCTGCGTTCCGACATGCCGCAACCACGCCGTTAACGCGGCGACCCCATAAGCACCAATTCCTAAATGCTAAGCCGTCGTCCTCCCGCCACTATCGCGCTTTGGAACTTCTTTTCAAAAATGGGGTTTTGAGATTTAGCGCTGGAGCAGGAGTCGGCAAGCACCACTTGCATCTGCAGGCAGAGGTTTGACAAGGGCTGCTCTCTTCACTTGTCTCAGATCTCAACAACATCTAACCGATGGCCAACCTCCTACATACGGTAGGTATTGCTCGTCTATTCTTCCCCGCCTCTCCATGCAGGGCATTGTTCATGTCACTGCTCCATCTATTTGCTAGCTCGGTTTCTGTCCTCGTGAGCTTCGTTGGTGCCGTCTCTCGCAGAGACAGCAAACAACTGCCTGCAGCGTTGGGGGCGTACAGGACACGGTAAGCCTCAGTTCTGGCGCAAAAGTTCACTCATACGACGCCCAGGCATGCTTGTACAACCACATTGTCGATCTGTCAGCGAGCTTCCGGACGAAGAGGCACATGTACAGAGTACAAGCACCTACAACACGAGGGAGCGAAAGGGGGGGGGTATGCAACTGCGACTCGGCCTATATCATGCATTAGCTCGCGTGCGCTTCAAACCTCACTGCGTTTCGGTCCCTATCACGGTGAAATTACTGTCTATGCGGTCGGAAAACTCCGTACTGCGTGACTTATTTACCATCACCCCGCGCCGTCATCAATCTTTATCTTTTTGAGGGCCATTGCAGGACGTTGTATGAAATTAGAGTAAGAGATATGCCCTGCGATGGCTCGGATGCCAAAGAGTTGGTATGAACAAGCCGCGGTGCCTTTCCGTAGACTCGCTGCGAACGGCTGCTCTTTGCCGTACTTGGCTTTCAAGCCTTGATTTCTTTAGCACCCCAGGATTCTCCCATCCACGTCACTCCCACCCATATTGGTATTCCCTTTCCGTTCTAATGACACGGTGCTATCTACGGTTATTTGAAAAAACGCCCTCCAGCCCCTTCTGGAGTAGCATCCCAAGTGGCTTTTCCCGGTTCCTCCCATCCCAATGGGCGGCCAGGCTGTGGAGAAGTTGGCACACATGAGTGGTGTAGCATTTGGCCGTGAGTTTGTATTTGCATCCATCCATTACGTTCTCACCATTGGCTATAGCAAGGTGCATATTACAATGTACAAAATAGGAAATCGCATCCCTTTTAATGAATCGTGATACGATAAGTATCTACTTGTAGGTATATTGATTTACAAGCTACCTGTACGTATTGTTCCTATACCATCATTCACACTGGGCGCTGCTAGGTAGTAATTGAAATTCGCGTAATGGATCCTCATTACTAATAATTATCCAAATATCATCCCTTTGAGGAAATATATGGTAGCAGCGAGCGCCTTGGTTCGTCATAATTATTAACATGTCATTATATGCCCTTTCCCCCATGGTGCTAAATTCCTTGGCTTCGCCCTCCTGAAGGCATACTCCAAAGATCAGTGGTTATCATATCCACATCATCGAGCTGTAGCCTCTCCGCCCACGTCTGAGCAGCGTCGGATCCCGAGTCGCCCACCACATTTTGGGCGAGGGAAGCATCAAGGTGTCTCTGGAATTAACGGATTAACTCGCTGAATCAGGCTGCACGTAGTCCACTCGAACGCGAACTATTCCGGAAGGGGTGTGGGAGAGGCTTACCCAGTCTACGTTATTCGCAGATAACATCCACGACATGTCAAATTGGTCAATGTTAGGTGCCATTGGCGCATTGCCGTTACTAAGAATGGTTGACGTATTGGCGGCAGTGGTGGCTGGGTGTCCTTGGGCGAATGGAGTTGGCCCAGAGCTTGAGGAGGAATCTAGACGTCCCCCCTTGTTAGTATATACTAGTGACTACTTTTTTCCTTTTCTTTTGCTTCCTGGATTTCATGAGGAATTACGAACCTTCATACCCACTAGTGGTTGCATAGTCAGACACATTTCCAGTTACGTCCAGAGAGGATGATATTGCATGGCTGGATGCTGACCGGGACGATTCCCCTCCACTTGGATGCGTACTTGATGGAGCTGAGGCGCTGCTGTTGACTGGTCTCCCAACTTTGGCCAGCATGACGGCCAGCGTATCCGCCGTCTTCTTTAGATCCGTCAATTTATTGAATACCTGACGGCTAATGTCATACGATTGTTGAATCATGTCAATCAGCTCGTCCTTGGACGGCGAATCCCTCTGCCTGCCTGCCGTGCCGAAGCCATTGCCGTCGTCCGAGTAGCTTTCATTCTGAATGGTGAGATACAATATCATGGCCGCTAGCATAAAATCATGCACCGCCAGCGAGGTCATGAACCAGCCAGAGCGGCCGAGGACGTTTCCAGGCCGGGTTCCCAGCCAAGAGGAATACTGAAAGCCCAGTAGTGTTATGGCGGCATCCAGGCATTGGTTCCGCGAGTAGTCGTGCTCGGGCTTTGGCACGGCTTCGGCGAGATAGCGGCGATGCAGGACGCAGCGGCACTTGTGGTATAGGGAGGCGAGTCCGTATCGCTGGATGATCTGGTGGGGCTCCTCGCCGATGCACTCTTCCAGTGGCTTGACGTACATGAATGAGGGGACGCTGTTCCAGGCTTCCTTGAGGAGGTTGTCTAGTTGTAGCACTTCGCTGTAGCTCGGCGGCGTTAGCGAATGGGCTTGTTGGGCGATTTTCCTGAACACCCGGAGGAGCCTGGACTTGTGAATGGCATAAGTCATGGTTGAGTAGACCGAGTCGGGTCGTGGTGTTGGTAGCTCCTTGCAGCCATCATCAAAGTCGTCGTCCTCTAGGTTGCGAGGCAACTCTGTGTCGGCCTCGATCCCACCAAGCATGCTCGGCAGTCCCATGTGAAAAGAGACGAGGAGGTCGATCTGGACAGCCATGTTCCACTGCCGCCGGCGCATCTCGCCTTCAAAGGGGGAGATGTTGGCGAGGAGGGACGGGTCTCGGTGGAAGCCCATCTTGAGCATCAGCCGCAGGCAGACGCCCGACAGGATGTAGCAGTTCATCTGAGCCGCCCGGTTGAGGACAAAGTCGGCCTCGACGTAGAGAATAAAGGCGGGGATCGTCACGGCCGTTGGCTGGGAGTATTTGCCCGCTATCAACGCCCATCCCGCAGCTGAGCGGTACTGCCTGATTCTGTCCTTTATAGAGAATGGAGAATCCCCTTCGACCTCGTCGGGCGCGGAAAAGTTGTTAAAAAACACGCCCATGGTGAGGACCGCAAATAGGAGGGCTATCCAGTGAAGCGAGGCTTGGTTGGGATTTTGCCAGAATTGCACGTACTGGATCACATCTTTGATTAGAAAACGACTATAGTTGTTGGCTGATGTGAAACTCCTGCGTAATCAACTTACATCTCTTGTAAATGTCGGGCGGTGAATGATATCTGCATCTCATAAGTCAGCCTCTAATAAACATGTCTCATAAAACTCGGGCATAAAGACTAGGCCAAAGACAAGATACATGTACTGACGCTGAGATGGGCTTTTGGATGAAAAGTATCGCGTAACCAGCCGATCCACCACATGCCGTTCGGGCAGCTGAGCGAGAAGCTCTTGTCGATTGCGCGGCGCTCCTCTCGAGTACAGAAGCATCTCTGGCCCTTCCAGCTCGTCGCCCGGCCCAAACTCCTCTTCCGACTCGCCGGGGTCGTCAAAATAGGCTTTGATATCCTCAATCTACACCGTAGTTTAGCGTCTCATTAAACAACGTTCCATCAGCCACCAGCATTCATCTTCCGTCACTTACATCTTCGAGCATCGCCAAACAGTGAGTCGCGCCTATATAAGTCGTCGCATGGTCTCCGTGAACGACTTGCCCCTTGACCTGCGGCGCAACAGGCTCGCCCGCATCTTGATTCGCCTGAGGCTTGGGGCCGCCCTCATCGTCCATCATCTCCCGAACCATGCCCTCCAGCCTCTTGAGTCGAGCCGCAACGCCCTTTGCCGCCGGCCTCTTCTTCTCCGGCTTTGGCGCATAGACACACAAATCCAGCCGGCCCTTTTTGGCGCACTGCCCGCATGGCTGCCCGCGGTCACACTTGAGCTTGGAGTTTCGGCATGGCGCGCACGAGAGCAGAATCCGCGTGCGCTTCTTTGAGATGGCCGCCGCGCTCCTCGAGGCCGAGTCCAAATCCATTTCTATGCGTTGTCACAATTGGTGTAGATATTTTCTCAGCGTGCTGCTGCGCACCCTATTGTGCCTCTTGTAATTCAATGAGTTCTGGTGGCAAGGGTGTTAAGCCGCGCTGACATGCCGAAGGCATAAGATCTCGGAAACTCTACGCGCCACAAACAGTTTTCCGCTAGGCAGGCATATATGCATAACACAACTAGCCGCAAGCCAAACACGCAACAACTGACCGTTAGGAAGCTTATTACAAGAACCGCGGACAACTCTCGGAGACCACGAGTACTATTAAATCTATTCACCACAAGGTTATGCCCGTATATTACCTAAGCGGCATGCTTTTTAGTTTGCTCGGACTTGCGCTAACTCCAGTCGCGAGAAGTTATACAAACTGTAAGACGGCGGAGTAAAGATATGAAGAGAGAAAAACAAAGAAAAAAAAATGCATAGACAACCGAAACAACTGAAACCGTAAACCCATAAATTTCTCATCATGTAGGCAGCGATCCCGGCAGCCGTTCTATTACATATTTGCCCCTGGCGACGCTCATGATCGGAACACCGGGGATCTTTCGTAGTCTCTGCTTCAGGGCCTTGTCGTTGGTTCCCACGATATATATCCTGTTCTTGCTCACTCGGTCCACGATGCAGTCATCGGCATAGGTACCCTTGTGGTCGCACTCTATCCGCTGCCATCTTTCGTCTCTGGCTATCCTCAGCGCCAGTCTGTATTTTGAGCCCAGTTTCTCGAGTTCGGCCATGACGCATGAGGTGATGATGGGGTTGCACTTCGCGTAGAGACAGTCCATCATGTTGTCCAGCAATGATAGTTTCCTCTGTACGGTATGACTGAGAAAGTTTGTATCGCAAAGGACGTTGTACGGCGGAACCAGGGCCTCGTTGTGGAGGAAGAACATGTTGCTGGGCAGCTGGGCAGCTTCTTTGACGAGCTCGCCTCCGACTGTCCTCTTGGCTTCCTTCTCCTTCTGCTTGAGTTCTTCCTTTAGTCGGTTTTCCTTGAGCCGGGTGTCCTTGAGTCCGATGACTCGTTTGACCTGATATCGAAAAGTCAGTAATGCGCCGGTGAGTGTAATTGGTTCTCTTCGGGGGGGGAGACGACGAACCTGTCCGAACTTTCTGGTCTTCTTCGCAACACCCATGATTGCGGTTTTGGAGTTGTTAAGTTGGTGGAGATGATTGGCTTTTTCGAATTATAACTTCTCGAATGTAGTAAACTCCGGACCAGAGGCTAATACAGGCGCGACAACCTGAGCGAAAGTGAGCTTGGCTGCCAAAGGCTTCAACTTCGTTTCTGCTGCTGAAATATGGTATGGCGATAAGACCAAAAAAAGTTCGGATAGATAAGATTTGCAGCAGCGCCTGCTTGCTGGTGCGGGCGGTGCACGGGCCACTTCTACTAGTCCATCAAGCGGTACATGGGAGGTACCCTTTTGTAGGTGCTGCAGGCAGTCAAGTCCACTAAAACGGATGTAGCAGCAGCAGCCTGCTAATTCTAGCGATCTCGACGCGTCCCTCTAGATCGCGTAAAGTGATTTATTTCATCGCTCCCAAATCCCCAAGCAAAAAATGCCTGCCGCAAAGCCTGAAGAAAAGGGCGAGTCCTCCAATGCCACGTCAAAGGCAGTCCTTGCGGCATCTTCCAATGGATCGCCCAACTATGAGTTGCCATGGTACGTCCAAGAGTCAACCCCTCCAAGCGTGCAGCGATAGCTTCTGTCAAGGTATTAACGGGCTACTTCAAGGGTGGAAAAGTACCGTCCAGTGTTCCTGGACGATGTCGTCGGCAACACGGAGACTATTGAGCGATTGAAGATTATAGCAAAGGAGGGAAACATGCCTCATGTCATCATCTCGGGCATGCCTGGCATCGGAAAGACAACCAGCGTTCTCTGCCTCGCCCGCCAGCTACTGGGAGAATCGTACAAGGAGGCTGTCCTTGAACTCAATGCCAGTGACGAACGAGGTATAACAGCTTCCAGCTTCGGATTGGGTATTGATACACTCCCTGCTAACCTACCCGCATAGGTATTGACGTTGTTCGAAACAGAATAAAAGGATTTGCGCAAAAGAAGGTCACACTACCTGCTGGCAGACATAAGCTAGTTATCCTCGACGAAGCCGATAGCATGACCTCTGGTGCCCAGCAGGCCCTTCGAAGAACCATGGAAATCTACTCCAACACCACTAGATTCGCATTCGCTTGCAACCAGTCAAATAAGATTATCGAGCCGCTACAGTCACGATGTGCAATCCTTCGATATGCCAAGTTGACAGACGAACAAGTCGTCAAGCGATTGATGCAGATCATCGAGGCGGAAAAGGTCGAATACAGCGATGACGGCTTAGCTGCCTTGGTATTCAGCGCAGAGGGAGACATGCGACAGGCTATCAATAACTTGCAGTCGACGTGGGCTGGTTTCGGCTTCGTCTCAGGAGACAACGTCTTCAAGGTGGTCGATTCACCGCATCCAATCAAGGTGCAGGCCATGTTGAAGGCTTGCTACGAGGGAAATGTCGACTCGGCTCTGGATACCCTCCGGGAGCTGTGGGACTTGGGATACTCGAGCCACGATATTATAAGCACAATGTTCAAAGTCACAAAGACAATGCCAACGCTTAGCGAACACTCGAAGCTAGAGTTTATCAGGGAGATTGGCTTCACGCATATGAAGATTCTAGAAGGCGTTCAGACATTACTTCAGCTATCAGGGTGTGTTGCCCGGCTATGTAAACTGAACATGGATCCCAAAAGATTTAAACCGGTGTCAAAATAGGATAGAAGATGATGACGGAATACAGGCAGCGAATGTGATTTTTTTCGGCGTTGGAGCTGGGGAGATGCTATACAATGTGAGGTAATTGGGTATCATCATATGATGCTATGTACATGATCAAAACACATGACCTTGAGGGGTTTGACAGGCAAAAGAACTGTTTATCACTTTACTTTTCGTTGTTGGCTGCAACTTCTTGCTCATACCTGTCCCATTTTGCTTTCTCTCTGAGCCACCTTCTCTGAGCTCTCATCTCAGTTTCATAATCTCTCAAGCGTTGGTCTGCCGCAATCATGCCACCCAAGGTCATGGCCGATATCTGAACGTAGCTATTCGATACATAAGCTTATGTGGTGATGTAGCAAGCAGACTTATCCCTGATATACTTACACTTTGAACTGGACGGTCATTCTCCGGTAGAGCGGCGATCTGAGATAGGCCAGGGCTCCCACAATTGCCGCTCCAACGCCCCATTTAGCTGCTCCTATAAGTCCTCCCTTGCCGGCTTCCCATCCGGCATCCTGTGCCTCGCCGCTCTTGAACGGATCGTGAGGCGCGATCATCTTACTTGGGGGGGGAGACATCTTTAGTGAGTCTATGAGACGAGAGGTAGGTTGAATGGCGTTTGGGGTGTCGAAGCCTAAGCTGGGAGAGCAGGATGGTGGGAAGAGAGGACGGTAGAATGCCAATCTTTAATATTCGAGGAGCTCTTGATATGAAGATACGCTCAAGATTTAAGCAAAGTCTACATCGAAATCGGCGGCGTGAGATCTCGGATGGCTGACAGTCCCGGAAATATTAGTACGTCATTAAGAAGCTTCAGGGTAGCAGCTAAGCATTTTATGAGCTTCCCCACATGGCTTTGCCTGCCTCGTACGATTATTGTGTGCGCCCGATTTTTAATGGATAAGAAAAGACGAAGATGCTATTATCTTTTCTGTCTAGATTTTTACGTGTAGTGTATAAATGGGTGATGCATGCAACGGTACTAAAGTCGTAGGCTGGCAGTGATTTGTACTGAATCTCATCCAACTTGCGCTATTCAACCTCTGCCGCTAACATAAACTCGCTACTACCTACCAATCTGATATATCTGCACTCCCATCTCAAATCAAATATCTACATCAGACTCTATTTGGCATGATACACACATTTCCAAAACATCCGAAAGTCACATCAGGGCATATCAATTCGCTTAATCTCCTCACAAGCAATACTAGTCGAACCACAAACACGGATAATTTCTCACTTCTGGTCCAATTCTACGCGTGCGGCATGATGCGGCAAGTGCGGGCACGCGGTACCTAACATTCCGTATTTGATGGTCTTAGGCGGGTGGATCGTGGAACCAAAAGGCTCACTTTTCTCTCTCTTCAGCTGTGGGGTACAGACCTGCAGGTACACAACTTACTAAGCAGTATATGCATCTAACCAGACACGGTCAAAGCTCTGATGACAAAAGCCCTTTAGGACACAATTTCTTTTCGTTCTGCATCAACAGGCAGACAAAAAAAAAAAAGCTCGACACGGCAAAATCCAGCAATGATTGCGCCTCCATTGTTGCCTGGAGCTGCCAAGTCTGTGCTTTCCTGTTTATAAACTGCTGAGCGCTCTGGTCTCTGCACCTCTTCTATTCTTCGCGTCTGCATTTCGAGATTTCGTGCCTTTGGTTGAGCATAGTTGCATACAATGGCTGAGCTTTCTCTGGACGCGTACTGGCGGGCGCCGCCAATTGCGAGGTAAGGCTATTCAGATGTCCCTTGATAACCGGGTTGGAAGATTTTCGTACTGACTGGTTTCCTTTTAGAACTGCTGCCACTGTTACCTTTGGCCTGTCTGTCGCCGTGCACATGGGAATGCTTTCAGGGGATTTCTTCATCTATGATCCTCAATACGTGGCGCGGATTCCTCCGCAAATATGGCGCCTTGTAACGTGCTTCCTGATCACCTTCCCAAATCTGGGCGTCCTCTTTGACACTTTCCACATGTACATGTACATGAGTCAACTGGAAAAAGGTCATCCGCGATTGTCGAGACGAGAAGACCTTGTCTGGTATCTGACATTTGTGTGCGGAACAATTCTGGTAGGTCTTTTTAGTTCACACTCTTCTGTGCTCTCCCGTGTATCCTATATATGAGAACCCCTCAAAATATCTGCCCGGATAGCGCTATGCCTCTACTGCTATCACGGTTCCTGGAATTGAGGGAGATTACCCCTGCACTTCGAGTCGATCCACCTCATTCGCATTAGGACGGCTTGCGGTGTGGGCATGGTGGGATGCCGTAATCTACAACTCTTGTGATTCACCATTCACTCGAGTGCCTTGATATGCTCCCTACATTTCCCCTTCTTAATGACACTCGTGCTTGTTTTCCCTAAATATCCTCTTAAACCACCCCGATTCTGATTGAGGCTGACCCATGCTTCAGATACTCAATCATTTATTGGGTTTTGGGTATGGAGTAATGACGCAGGCGCTCCTCCTCGCCATGGCGTATACCGTAACTCAGGAGCAACGCGGCCAGACGACGAACTACATGTTTGTTAGTATTCCGTCTCAGCTCGTTCCATTTGCCATGATGGCAATCAACCTCTTCTTCCCGGGCGGCATTGGTATTGTGTTTCTGCAGCTTCAGGGGCTGGCTGCAGCGCACTTGTATTTGTTCCTGACCAAAATCTGGCCTGATGTTGCCGGTGGTCGGAACTGGCTTGAGACTCCTGCCTTCATTCGGTCTGCGGTGAATGGAGCAACACCTGCGCCGCAACCACCTGCTGGAGGTAGAGGATCCGACACGACATCTGCCCAAAGCAGTGGTGCTTTACGTGGACCGTTGCCAGACTCATGGCGCACCAGAGGACCGGGGCACCGCCTGGGTTAATTCATAGCATACATTTAATCAGATTTAGACGTTGACAATTGAATTTCATTGCTGTTCTCCTAGTAAAGATTTCCTGAGAGTGTTCATGGTTTGTCGATGTACTATTTAGCTCCTTCTACTCACTGCACCCAGCAGCTATAGTGGCCGCGATAGTTGCATGACGGATTGCTCAATGAAATTGTCAAGTTGTTATATCTTATGGACATGAATTATATAGCTTCTAACTAGAATGCCTCGGTAGATATCCCAGGGTATAAATGATTGACAGCCGTTTCATTGCGGCTAAATACCTTGAACAAGTCCAACGCCCCTTTGAACAGACAAAGCCACCATACCAGATTATTCCAGATCCCGTCACAGCTCGAATAAAGCATTCAAGAATTTTACATCGCTTGGCCTCCCAAATACGTAAATCTCAAAGAGAGAAGAAAAGACAAAAGGAAAAGAAAAGAACGGCGCAAAATGAGTGTAGTCTTGGTGGCATCCCAGCGTCCACTATTCACATCCCGTACAAGATGCTCTTCCCACTGGCTAGTGGCACCTCCGTATAAGCAGCGTACTTCTCGCTGTTTTTCGGAGTAGGTGGACGATTTCGCTCGAGGACGACGATGCCTGCACCGAGTGGCCTGTCAACGAATCGAGGATCGCTCAAGAGAGGAGGTGTGATGTGAAGCTGATGATCTGCAGCGTCTCCGGGCCGCCCAGCTAGGGGTTGAAGCACAAGACTCGGAGGTGGAGCTTTCTTTGGTATGTATAGCTTGGGCAAAGAGAGCGAGGAAAGTCTGGAGCTCCAGCCGGATGAAGATCCAACCAATGTTGGTGAAGAGCTGGGCTCAGATGGAGATGATGACGTGGACGGCCCTGGGGTAGGGAGTGCCTGCGGCTCAGACGGCCGAGAAGCGTCCTCTACGACGGATTTGTAGGCTCGGATGATGAACGAGTCGGGAGTGCCCGGCCTCCGTTTGTGTATTGGCTGAGGCGGCGGCAGAGAATGGCTTGAGATTGCGTCTCTGGCTTGCTTGGAGACGGCATTGGGGTCGTAGGCGTGATGAGCAGGCATGGCATTATCGTGGCCATGGATGGCAGATCTCGGGTCATGAGTGAGCTGTATATGGCCCGAACGAGCGGCATTCTCCATGTGGTTGTAAAACTCGCCATTGGTCCCAATAGAGCCATCTCTGGCAACGCCCTGGAACTCGGGGTAATGAGACTGGTGGGCCACATACACCCAAGGCTCAACCATGGTCTTGGGAGATGCCTCAATGTCTTGTCTATAGTAGTAGCGCTGCTCGTAAAAGGGAGGAGGGGGGTTCCTCTGGCGAGCAAAATAGACGACGAATAAGCAAGTGGCGAGTGCGAAGATGAAGATGATTCCGACTATGATGCCGATGATTTCGGCTGTAGAGAGGCCTTTGGATGAAGCGGAATCAGTGTCGTTGGCACCGTCTCTTGGAACGACTTTGAAAGCTTGAGCAGTCTGAGAACTGGCCAGCGCCAATAGGAGGACATGTATTGAAGAGATCATGTTTGGGCTCTGCGTACGTTTGACGGAAGATGGACAGACAAGGGCTATATAAGATATACAAGGGAGTTTAACACGAGTCTATCACAGGGAAGGCCTGCCCGCTGTGTAATCAGATCGATCTTTTGCTAGTATCAATCACCGCTTTCGGGGAGGATATGACACTGGCAAGTAGAAAGATCTTTACAACAGTTGAGCTGATCAACCCTACTCAAGACAGGCGACGAGACAGGTAACCATCTGGGCAGGAGACACATTCTCTAGGAGCCGGCCGGTGGGAAGGGCCGGCAATACCTTGTTATATGACTACCCAACTTTAATACCAGCAACAATGAGCAACGCCACTCAAGTGAACACAAATCAGAGATACCTCCCAATTAGGGCATCGGCACCACGCTGTGTTGGTTCCAACGTCAATACCGCATGTACAGATAGGCTGCAGGCCATGTACATGTAGATATGGGGCTCTTGCCAGCAGGGGGCCGGCAGAGGACGCAGAAACGAGGCTATGGCGCGGACTTTGCTGCCGATGGATGCTACGCTCATGGTGGGCAGCGGACACATGCACGCAATCCGAACGCCTTTCGGGTCCCCGAGGAGCCATGAGGCGTATTCGAACAAGAGGAGGCCGACGCCAAGCTAGGACGAGGGGGGGTGTGTAAGCGTGAGAGAGTTCAGTTCTGGGCTGCTTAATATGCCGTTATGGCGATGCTATTCGTCGAGACGCTCCCGACTCATGACGCTGCTGTCTGCTGTACGACGTAGGGCTGTGAGGATCATCCCAGCCAAACAGAAGGCCAGCACGGCTCTTGCAGGCAAAAAAAAGCAAGAGGGGATCTAGCGCGAGATCAGCCAGCCTGGGACACGAAGGACGCAGAGCAAGGCTCTTTCTGGTGTGGGTGGGACAAGCGACACGACAAAGTCCTACGGGAATCGAAGCCGTGATGATGCCTGGCCTGTACTGCTGCTGGTGTCAGCACGCTACGATGCATAGAGGCAGATGTTAGAGAAGAAGAACGAAACGAAACAAGAGGCGGCCCAGATCGCGGCTCGGCTGAGCGAGGCTTCTCATCCACCAGCTTGACGAGGGTCCAGGCAGAAGAGAACCAGAACAGGGGCCGTGAATGGTGCCTTTAGACGCCACAATCCGCCTCCCCTGCTCGTACTTGGCGAGCGATCCAATCAGCAGCGGCATAGACGCGCGGGCGAGAGAACAAAAGCTGCGCACTTGGACGAAAGAAGATGCCGCGGAGATGGACCCCAAGCCGCTGTGTAACGTCTGAATGGCCTGATATCACGGGTGTGGACGACGACAGGGGGGTTCCTCTTTTTTTCTTCTTCGCCATCTTCCGCGCTCTAAGAGAGAACTTCAAGCGATAGAGACGTGAATGGCTAGAAAGGGTGAGTCTTTTGCCACTCTTTGTCGACGACCCGCGCAGAATGCAACCCTACCTGGTTGACGGGTTGACAAGTGATCTTTTGAAGCGGAGGTCAAATTTTGATTTGTGCCGTCTCAAGTATAAAGAAAAAGAGAAGAGAGAGAAAAAGAGAGAGCCAATTTAACCCACTTTGACTCGTGTATATTGCGTCTAAGCGGGCGGATGACCGCGGCACGGCTTGACTGCAGCCTTTACCCACCTTCTCTTTTCTGCCTTTTTCTTCACCATTTATTAAATATCCCTGTTGATTATCATGGGACGACAGACGCGCACTTTTGCGAGCACGATTGGGCTTTGTAATTGGTTAATTGTGCCTCGGGCATCGTCCCGTCTGCGGGGATGGTGAACCTTGCAAACAACAGAAAATGTAGAGGGAGATGAAGATGATGAACGGACTAAAGACTTTTGTAGCTAAAGAGACTCGGCAAGGGGAAGATTCCCAACGACGATCCCGTGGCCCCCAAAACTTGTTCTTTGTCTTTTTTTCTCCTCTTGGACTAGGGTGAGCGGTTTTGAACAGCCATGGAACAGAGCTTATTGATCTTCTTTTTCCTACCTGGCCGAGAAAGCCCGATAACAGGTGGTTATCTTGTTGTTGTAATCTTACTGGGTAGCAGTACTAGCAGTAGCGATATCCAGGATGCTTGTCCACTCTCCCCCCCCTCTGGTTCGTCTCGCAAGAGTCCCCGGTCACTTGTCATAATCCGCGCTAGGAACCTTCCGATAGCCGCGATGGCGGGCTTTCTTACGAATCGGCCTTTTTGGATTCTCTGCGCGGTTTCGGGTTGAGAAGCTTGAAAGGCTGGGGGTGGTATTGGATTGACACATGCTACTTTGCATCTCGTGCCATCTTTTTTGCCTTTGCGTAGAGAGACATCCCGTGTGGATGTTTGTATCAGGTAGGTAGTAGCTCGTATAGTGTGTGCCGTTGTGATATGACGGCTGATATCGATATGCCTCTTTCTTGCGCATTTAATATGGTGTTGCTCCGTAACTGTAGTGGCAGTTAATCGCAGTTTTGACAGACGGACTTGTCGGACCGATCTCCACACATTGTAGCTATGGGGGTTTCTCTTTCTCTCTTTTCATTAGTCTAATGTCTGCGTCGCCTGAATTAATTGGAGCACTCGTCCGAACAAGGGGAACCCATTTATCAACGGGATGGCCTTTGATATTGTCACTGGCTGCGTGGGAAGTCCCTCCTTACCAGTTGTTAATCCTTTTAGAGTCATTCCCCCAAAGACCATATGGAAAGCAATTGTCTTTCATTGCAAGGTTGAAAAAGAAAAGGCATCACTGGCGGACCGAATGCCGCGGTAGGCCTTACACCCAACGGCATCTTGTAATAATAATTGTGGAAATGATAATTTGGTGTCTTATTTCAATTGGTAATGTGCCGTATATGTCTTTAGCCATATGCTCCGCTTACTGTCTTTCTAGGTATAAACGTTCTATACTGTGCAATGAGCCCTCTTCTACTAATGGTATGCCGTGTATGATTCTCTTAGCCAAAAATGCAGCCAAAGCTTTCGCTATATAAAGAAACAAGAGTCGCTAGACAGGTTGTTGCTGTTATCCCTCTTTTGCCTACATCATGGTGAGTATTGGAGTATACGTCATATGCCAGGGAAAAGGCGAATAAACGTACTCTTCTTAACCATGACGAGCATTGTAAGCTCTAGTGCTCCTGATTTTGCTACGTATAGTAGCAAAGACGTGTGTCATCGAGTATATCATTATGCAACGCTGTAAAGTGAATATGACAAGAGCCGTGTTTTAGTTTGAGTTTCCGTTGGGTATCTCGATAGGTGTGCCATTGGATGTGGGCTGCTTTTGGTATAGATGGTGTAACTTGATGTACTTGTACACGGAATCGGGTATATCTTCTACTCTTTCTCCGTTTTGTATTTGAGCACGGACTCGTGTTGACTAGATAGTCGCCTTGTTAGCACAATAGAGATGATTACAAGACCAAAAGTGGGAGGTTTCCTACAGATACTTCGTTGATAATTGTTGGAACTACCCAGATCTTGTCGTATTTCTTGAGGGGCTCTATCGCATCCTGGGTCCTGCATTGTGAGGGCCTGAGTGATATTCCAGAGATTAGCCCTTGTTCAGACGAGTTGACACCAGCGAGGGTTTGCTACCTTTCAACAACAAATGCTCCGTAGTAGCCCAGCAGCACGTCAATGTCTGCAGGATCCCATACTTTGGGATCGGCCATTGTAACGGCGAGATCAGCCCCAATGAGCAGCATAACTTGCGCCCTCACGAAGATGCCGTCGTGAGTCTCAATGCCGCCGAGTACATTGTTTACTTCGTGGTCGAAGTGGCGGAGGACATCTACCGTCGGGCTATAGAGGGGCTTGCCTGATTTATCGAGGCGTACAGTCTCCCATGGGTCTATGGTGATGGTGGCCGTTGAGTCTGTATCGACGGCCAGGCTACACACTATGGAGAGCAGTGAGCGAGAGTTCGACTCTCTCTTTTATCTTGTATCTTAAGCCAATTATAGACCTACTTTGAATCCGGTCGTCGGCCGGTGCTAAAGATGCCTTTTGGTACGCATCCGAGCAGGGCGACATGTAATTACCAACGATTTCGAAGCCGGGGTCACTCTGCCTTACATACTTCTCCGCCAATTCAAACATTCGCAAATCTACAGACTCGTTAGGGAGAGTCATCCATCGCAGCGCCCGACTTACGAAGAGTCGTCACAGGCGAGAAGCTTCCGCAGGCGACGAGCACCAGCGGCACCTTGTCAGGCCGTGTCAAGCGACGCTTCAGGTTCTGCGCTGGGAATTTGTATCCGGGCGGTGATGCGATCGGCTCGGGGGGAGGCATCGGTGCGCCGTTTGACTGCGGGACGGACGCAAAGCTCGACGCCGAGGCCACCATGGTTTGATGGGGCCTTTATTACGGCGGACGGATGGCGTCGCGGAAGGAAAAGAGGAGAGGCGGCCGGGATCGATTTCGAGGATCCGTGATGCTGGCGTTGGCGTGGATTGTCGCGTGGGCAGCAGCAGGAATGGCTTGTCGGATCTAAAGAGGTTGCGACGATGACGAGAGTGGGATATTGGTGATAGATGCCTATCTGGGCGGGCTATTAATAACGCTGAAGCCCCGGAGAGGATGGGGGGAGCCTCCCGCTAAAGACAGCGAGCTAGCCGAAGAGAGCCTGCCTAGGAGGAGTCTGTTTCAGGCGGCTTACCAGCTATTGGGGCCTGCTAGGGCTTGTGGCTGTTTGAAGCCATGTAAGAGAAACAATACTGATGGCAATGAAGATATTTCATGAATAAACCACATCGTGAAATATTGAGAAAACAAATAGTGGCCATTGCTGCATCGCGAAATGTGGCAAAGATGACGTCAGTGTCTCTCAGCCAAAGTCTCACATGTAGCATGAACGTCTGTTAGTCGATCATTGTTTGTGTGACATTGCGGCGTCAGCTGCTTATTTGAATAAACACTGTCTAGCTCTCACGCTGGAAATTTATTGAAAGTAAGAAAGTATAATGAAGAAGAAAAATGATCTGGGTATAGAGAAAGAAGGACGATGGCTGCTAACCTGCGGTGATATACTGTGGCAGTGTCCCTTATAGCTGGCGTGGACTATAGAGGCGCAAATCACTGAAGGGAAGAGGATTGATTAGAAAATAACCAACAGATTTATTACTGGAAGCCAATGTTATATAGACTGAGGCAGCCACAGCAAATCCATGCATCATGTTATGGCCTCATGAGCAGTATGTCACTTGGGAGTTGTGTGTCAGTGTTCAGCAGTGTATCATAAATGGCATTGGACTTTGCAGCATCTTGTATCAGAAAAAAAGGTGCTTGGCTACCTACCAAGTATAAACCACGATCGAGTTGTGCGAGAGAATAGAGAGCACCTATATTAATCCAACGTCAGCGTGCAATTTATACTTGCCGCAAAATTTCCTTCCGTGTCTTATCGCATGTAAAGAGCTAGTAATTGTTCCGATATCCGTATAGAATTTCGTAGGTGCTGACACCGTCTTATATACACACATGCAGCCATATATCCGGCGGTCTGTACTTGTCTGGTCCTGCGACAGAATGCGGCGGAGTGGCGGCAAACTGAGCGACGCCATTGGCTAGCTGGACTGTGGGAATCGCAATGATCCAATCAGACATGCGCCTTTGTTCAAGGAAGACCCCTTGCAGGGTCTGAAACAAAATCCAGCCACGGGCTCAAGACTGGGGAGAACTGTCGTGCCACTCCTGCCACTGTACGAAGTACTTCATGCATGGAGGCTGTGTCGTCTTATAAGTGCCAACTGACAGGTATCGAATTGGGGAAAATACATTTTATATACTGTGCAGTCTGTCGCTTTGCTGTCGACCCGAGCCAAGAGTTGGGAGAAGCTTCATGCTTCTCTGATTTCTTCAGCAGCACGCCAAAAGTATCAGCTTTGTTTGGCAGCTCGAACAGGTAAAAGCGCGTGTAACACTACTTGTGCCCGGCATTTAGAGTTACGGAACGCCACCTGCCATTTCATGTACCGAACTACCTCTAGGAACCGTCCCTACCCCTCTATCGATACTCCATCGTACGGCCAACACGCAAACTCGCGGGCTCCATTCTTGACAGCCCTCTACGCCCAAAAGAGTCGTTCTGCTGTTGGCCGCTGTCCAACGACAAACACCTTTGCCGGAATTAGTGTCGCCTCCTTGGCTGTCGCGGGACTGAGCCCTGTAGAGGAGCAGAGGAGCAGAGGAGCTGCCACGAAAAGCCGGGCTCTGCCCGCAACGCTCGACTTTTCGCAGCTCTGCAGTTGCTCGTCTGATTTGACCGAGAGACGGGCTGAGTGAGGGCGCTTGGACTGCGAAAAAGGTGGAAAGATGAGGATCGCGTGCCTTCAGTTTGCGCCGCATGTTGCAGATGTGGAAAACAACCTCAGCAAGGCGGACGAGATCCTGAATCAGGCTGACGCGGAAGACCTGCAAGTCGACCTTTTGGTGCTCCCCGAGCTGGCCTTTACCGGTACGCCCACATCATGCTCTACGATATTTTCCATCTGCTCTGTGGGTTCTGGTTCTTCTAACTTCTACTTGTTATTATTTTCTAGGCTACAACTTCAAGTCTCTGGCCCATATATCTCCCTATCTCGAAGAATGCAGCACGGGGATTAGCTCGCTCTGGGCTCGAAACACGGCCCTCAAGCATGACTGCACTGTCGTCGTTGGCTACCCCGAAAAGGTAGATCCGGCGCTCAACTGGCCCACGGACCCCCAGTATTACAACTCTGCTATTACTGTCAACGGCGATGGTGAGACGGTGGCCAACTATCGCAAGGTGCACCTCTATTACACCGATGAGACTTGGGCTTTGGAGGGTTCCCATGGCTTTCTTGGACAGCGAATTCCTGGCCTGGGCCAAACTGCCATGGGGATCTGTATGGACCTGAAGTGAGTTGTTTCATAGGACTGAGAGGGCCCCTTCTGTTCTTCTCCACGTATTTTCATGACTAAATTGACTGACGATCCACGCTTTTAGCCCGTATAAATTTGAAGCTCCGTGGAACAAATTTGAATTCGGACAGCACGTTTTGGACAGTGGTGCTCGACTCGTTGTAGTTCCTATGGCGTGGCTCACTAATGACGAGCAGCAGGAATTCTTGAGCACTCTTCAGGATCCCGACACTATGAGTCTACTGTACTGGGTATCACGCCTTGAGCCGCTGATTCGTGCACACTCAAACCAAGAAGTCATTGTCGTTTTCGCCAACCGTTGTGGCACCGAGGGTGAAACGACGTACGTCGGCACCAGTGCTGTGATTGGTATTCAGTCGGGTGAAATCCACGTCTATGGCATTATGGGTCGCGGAGAGACGGGCCTCCTCGTGGTTGATACAGACTCTGAGCCATACGCGAGGTTGGCTTATCAGCCGCTTCAGCCAGTCGTCCGATCGGACAACGACGGCTCGCCCGAATTGGAAGCAAGCTCACACAACAAGACAGCCCAGTTTCATGACTCTCAAGAGCAAGCTTGGGAAAGTCCGGAAAGGCCCAAAGATCGTCTCCCCGACGCTACCCATCAACACGAAGACGACTTACACGCCTGGTATGGGAATGATACGAATAATGTCAACGATCGAAAACATCGTCAATCTTCAAGATATGACGAGGGGCATGATTACTACAAATCACATAAACCACAGGCCAACCGTGTACCGCAAGCATCAAGTCCCAAGCTAAATGTGGAATCTTTACAGTTGGATATCCCGCCCGACCAGTATATGCTCCGAAGATATCTTGAATCAGAATCCCCGGTACCCCATGTGGACACATTCAACTCTTCGATACATTCCGCAATAGCGCCCCCAGAGCCATTTCGAGGGTCACGGAAAGATCAGGACGACTACGTAGCATTTTATCCTGACAATACAGAAGATGACAAACGATTCAGCATGCGATCTGACGTCTCCGTCTGGAACAACCAATCAGGTCGACCTCGTCAAGCTTCCGTCTCGATGGTGGCTCCTTCCGGATTATCGCATGTGGTAACTCATGAGCGAGCGAGGAATATTGAGATTGCGAATAATTCTAGATTTCAAGGCGGCAATAAATCAAGAAGTAAAGCCCATAGCCAGCGGCGATCATCAGACTGGAATAGCCGGCGTGGTAGCGAATATGGACAGCCGATATCGCGACAATCGTCTCATTATCATCTCCAGGAACATTACAATCAGGGTCAGATTGATGAAATGGCACGAAGCTACTCGAGTAGTGCTGTACTGCCGCTCCACCTTTTGGAGTCTCACACAGCATCACAACTTACTCCAGATGAGGTTGGGAGAGGTCGGCGGCGTTCTTCTCATAAGCATCCAAAGGATAGACGGCGAGGATCACGAAGCACACAAATGTCTCAAAAAGAGCCCATCGACCTTTCGCAGTTCACTCTCATCGAGGAATATCCGTCTGCCAGCTGCCCTGTGCATGGAAGCCGTCCTGCATCGGGAAGTAGGCGCCAGACCCATTCGAGGGCTAGGGGTCGGTCAGGAAGTCGCTCGCAGGTTGTACCAGAGGTGCAACCTGCTAGGAAGCCGTCCAACCGGCGCATGTCATCGCAAAATGAGAACCAGAGGGGTGAATACGGCTTGGGCTTATCATATCGACCCACCCACTCGACAAGACCTGAATTAGAGCATTTGACTAGAGAGAGAAAGAGAGATGAGGGGGAGAGATATGAGAAACATGCTGCTGAACATATTTCCGGCCCAAAGACTCCTACTGCTATGCAGCTGATTCCTGATTTGGAACTACCCGATGGCCTTGAGAAAACGTTTTCTTTGCTCAAATGTGTGGAAAAGGTGCCGGAACGCATTGTGAGACGGCGTGTGAGTTCATTCTGGTAAAGGATTTTACTTTTCTGGCTAGCAGCTGGAATCATTTGCTTTAGTTTGATTGTATTTAGCGAGTATCTTGGCTTTAAGAACGGCCTTTCCATCTAATAGACGAAGAACAGATGATATGGACGTGGTTTTGTAAGTGTTAATGCACGATATGAACCAATATGGCCAAACTAAAAAGAAATGGCGTTAACCCATGTGTTTATTGCTTTGGCTCTTTTCGTCTGATTTTATTCTGGACAGATACATATAGATGGAGTTCTTTCTGGGAGTTTCAGTTCGGCTATCAGTATGTTGCAGTCTTTGCCGGCAGCAAGTACTAGGATAGAAGCTACCTAGGTAGTATTCTTAAATTAAAAGATACGTCTACGATTAATTAACTGCCAGGGGCAATGTGCGTGTTTTAGTGCTTGATGATGATGCAATTGAGATGACGATAGTCACATGTAATCAAGACTCAAATTCAGCGCCTACTCGCGTATAGGGGCCGCTTCCATTCGCACCAAGCCATCACCACCCTGGGGTCTGAGACTCTATGGTTGTATGTAGCTGGCTGTAGTGTCGATGTAGAAGAACATGTATGCACGGAGTAGAGTGATATATGTGACAATTCTTAAGCAGTTACATATTCACATGTACGTAAACACAACTGTCCCCTTTAGTTCTTCGAGCGGCATTTTTTGTAGAGCGGCTAACAGAATGAAGAAGGACAGAGGGCCATTTTCTTCTTCTTCTGTATCATCTCCGCGTATGTGCTCGACCAACATCAATCAAGCGTGATGAAGATGTGATATCCGTGGCATCATAAGGCAGCGCTTGGGGGCGGTTATGGGCATATACTACTGTGTGAAAAAAAAAAAAAAACGTGATGAGGTTTGCAGTGCGCGAGGAGCAAGGGCATTGCTAGTGGATGCATTGCCGAGCATGTCAGTTGCATGTCAATTTATCCACAGAGACAAGGTTTGGATATGAGCCGCGGCGATTTTGTCATATGAGATGTGAGTAAGTACACCTAGAAGGTACTTGTGTGTGTGTGTGTGTGTGAACAGCCACCAACAAGCGGCATTTCCAGGCATCTTGCGCTAATGGCAATATTAACGGCATTAGTACCATCCGGCGATGGAATTATAGAAAAGACGATACCGTACGAGGAGGACTTTTGCACGCAAAATGCATGTTGGTCCAAGACGGACGCAAATGGGCGCAAAATCTTGGCCCCCACAGATGGAGTGCAGGATGAAAAGAGGAGACACAGAGGGTAGCAGCAAGGCTTCCTCCTGCAGCAACGGCAGAAGAGGGAAAGAGCTTTTACCTTTTACACACTTGTACATGAACTGATGCAGTCAAGTGTACCCAAGGATGTGCCTTTTGTGGATGGCGGGGGGATGGTGCGAATCAGATGTTGCTGTTGACAGCACCGTCAGCTTGAGGAACGGATACGAGCGAACGGTGTGATGATGACCAGCACTAGTATCTGGACCAACAGCTCTTGGATGGATCTCGGCCGTGTTTGCGGGCGGGGAGAGCAAATACCTGCAAAGAGAGACAATTTCCTCTCAATTTCCATTACGGAACACAGCAGCCCGAGCAGGTCCAAGCCGACAATAACGGGCAGCGGCCATCCAGAGAGTCGAATTAAGCGCCCAGGTCCCAGCGGGCTGCCAATCGGAGGGCCGCAACGGTGATGCGATGTGAAGTGTGAGCAGGGTTCCCTGCAGAGGCTTGACGCCACGCAGGGGATCCCGCCTCTTAGTGGCGAGATGCGATGTGCCCTTGGCAGCCTGCATTTGCCTGCATTTACCTGCACCGTACGGCATCACAGCCGTTTTGAGGGTGGTGGTGCAGCTGCAACAAGCAAGGGGCTGGGCTTGAAGCTGCCGGACACAGCTCGGCGCGGGCTCGAGGCCTCCCCGAACGAGACGTGATGTGCGGCCTGGCCTAGCCCTGGTGTAGTCTTGGTGCTCGCCATGGACCATGGACCATGGACGGGACGACGCAGATTGGACTGAGCGGTTTGGGTGGAGAATGTGACCAGCACCCAACCAAGAGAGCTGCTGTCCGGATCAGGACCTCCCATGTCCTCTCGTCTGAGAAGCACCTGAGATGCGACTCTGCATCCTCATCACATCTGCCGTCCAACAATCACTCGGCAGACTCGCCGTAGCTTGGCTTCACTGACGGGCGCGTCTCCCGGCGCTGATATATCACTCTCGATCAGCCCTCAATCTGGGGAATGCCCCTCGCATCTTGCTTCGTGAACACTCAGCAGTAAAAGGCGTGGCATGTAGCACGGGCCGGCACTGTGTCTTGCTACAGCTCCTTTGCTCCAATCCCACGCTCGCTATTCCAAACATCCCCAAAGCTCTTTTCCCCCAAGAGACGAATAATGCTACGCCTCCTCACGAGCTTCGCTGCCGTTGGCGCCGTGCTGCCGGCGGCCGAGGCCATCATCGTTGCGCCAAACTCGCCGTGCTCGGTCAACTGCGGCAACGTCCTGGACGCGACGACCCCCGCCGACGTTGTCTGCAAGACGGATGAGTACACCGGCGGCTATGACAATGGAGCCGGCACCGTGTTCCAGGGCTGTGTCCAATGCGAGCTGAACAGCGGGTATGCCACCGACGGCAATTATACCGACAACATGGCGGCACTCTGTATGTATCTCGCCTTCCCAAATCATCTATCTATCTATACAATGTCGTGTCCAAAGTGGTGAGCGAGACTTCTAATGTTCGGTTTACTCGTTAGATAATCTGCGGTATGCCGTATCATACTGCGTCTTCAATGAGCCGAAGCATGATGATTACATCAACAATCCGTGTACCACGAGGTAAGTAGCAGCGACTTGGGCGTGTCATGTATCATGTGTATATGCGGCGACTGACATGTCGAATTATAGCAAGGCCTGTGGCGTCTTCGCCGATGCTATTGCGTACCATAACTTGTCAGCCAAGTATGACGACTTTGGTTACTGCGATATATGGCCCGCGGGCGACACCGTCGACTTCAACGGCTGTATACAGTGCCTCCAAGTGAATGATAAGTACTCGGCAAATTGTGCGATGCCCTCCCGGATACCAAGCCCGACGACGATGCGGATCTTTACTAACATGCCATGTAGTTGTTACTGCTCTCGAGGCTGGATGTCAACAGAAGCCGGCCGCTGGAGATAAACTGGGACTCCAGGGCAACCTCTTTTCAAGCAATGTCGTCAACATCACTACTCCCACACAAACGCCAGAAGTAAACCCAGCCTGGTTCGACCATGGACCTTTGGGTCTGGGTGGAAAAGTTGGCATCGCCGTGGGAGGATTCATTCTCCTACTCATCCTCGCCGGTGCCGCCGTCATCTGCAGAGGGAGGAGACGAAGAAAGGCATTTCTCAAGAAGTTGCAGGTCAATATGCCACCGATGGCTTCCAACCATGGCGGCTGGCCGTCGATGCCTATGAGCCATGACACTGGCGAAACGCCTGTTAGCCAGCGTCCTCTCCGGAACTGGGACGACTCCCCCGTGACCATGAACACCGAGAAGAACTTCCCTCGATACTTTTCGCCATATTCATCTCAATACACCAGTCCCGTCAGTGCGACAGACGTCAATCACATGGCGTGGCCAGAACCAGTTTTGGGCTCTCCTCGCGCGCTGCGGGAGATTGGCCTCGCTCTTGGTTCGGCAGTTGATGTTAACAACACAGCTAATAACGGAGGCAGCGAGCGATGGCCCTTGTCGCCTGAGGATAAGGGCAAGATGAAGGACGAATCATACGAAATGCAGCACGTCGACAGTGCTGGCGGCAGCGGCAGCGTGGCTCCAGACAAGCGCGCTCTCCAAGTTGAAACTCCAATTCTGGGGCATCCCGGCTACGGGAGAAACTCTGATAGCCCGCCCAGGCATTATGATGTGAATGGGCCCTCTGCATAGGGGCCAGGGGTTTATATGACCAAATAATGCTCACGAATTTACGATCATGTCCACGGGTTTTGCGGAGGCGGTTGATGATTCCTTGCTGTTTTATTCTTTTCCCAGTGGTGTTTTGGAGCGATTTATAACACACATGTATATAGTATATACCTCTTTTGTTGATATTGTAGCGCAATGAGCGCAATCTAGGGAGGAAAACCGGACAGATATACGGGAGGGAGGATTGCTGGGGATACCCAAACGCGCCTTGATGGTGCCTGTTTCTTTGAACATGCAAGACCAGTACATTGGACTATGTATGGAATAAATAAGAATAGATAGTTGAATATTTTTTTTCTTGAAAAAATGAGTTGAAAAGCCTGGGTGTTTGTGATAAAATCTACCCAGAATAAGACTGTTGATTCTCAAATCACACTGCCATAGACAAGTCTGTGGTGATGGTGTGGCTGGTGCGTTTTGAGATGTGGCGTGCATATGCACGCCTATCCATATACAGGTTAGCGGTCAATTGGCGCCACACTTTGCATGCAAAGTTTCTGCCCCACAGAGCGAAAGAAAAAAAAAAATTGGAAGCTCGAACCGGTGGTAGAACTAGAAAAAAAACCATCACGAGTGCAAGCGCGCCAGTTTCGCCTTCGTCGTTTGAAACCACCAGCCTTTGCACTTTCCAATTTAATCCAGGCTCTCGGATACTCGGACAATCAATTCGGAGAGAGACTGTCAAAATGGTTACCGAAGTCGTGAACAAGAAGAAGGAGCAGGAGCAGGAGCACATCATCAAGCCCCAGGCCACCACTCCTGCCGTCGACACCAGCGAGTGGCCGCTGCTTCTCAAGAACTATGACAACCGTGAGTGAATCATCTTTTCCGGTCTTTTGATCATTGGAGAGGAATTGTAGCGCTCGATTGAGTGCGGAGAAGATGTCAAAGTGACATGGAAGTGAGGAAGAGATGGGATGGGAACAGGACGCAAAATTATGGCATCTGGACTCGAGCCTTGCGCTGACCTCTTTTCTTCTCTCTTCTAGTCCTTGTGCGAACCGGCCACTTCACCCCCATTCCCAATGGATCTGCGCCCTTGAAGCGTGACATCAAGTCCTACATCAGCTCTGGTGTCATCAACCTGGACAAGCCCTCCAACCCTTCCAGTCACGAGGTTGTGTCCTGGGTCAAGCGAATTCTTCGGTTCGTACTCGCCTACAGTCTAATATGAATGGATTGAAAATCCAATTCTCGATGCTGAAATTGTATCATTGAGCTAACAATTGCCATGTGCGGCGCGCAACCATTAGCGTTGAGAAGACCGGCCACAGCGGTACCCTCGACCCCAAGGTCACGGGATGTCTGATTGTCTGTATCGACCGAGCGACTCGACTGGTCAAGTCCCAGCAGGGAGCCGGAAAGGAGTACGTTGCCATCATTCGTCTCCACGACAAGCTGCCTGGTGGCCAGGCCCAATTCGCTCGCGCCCTCGAGACCCTCACCGGTGCCCTGTTCCAGCGCCCGCCTCTGATTTCCGCCGTCAAGCGACAGCTGCGTATCCGAACCATCCACGAGAGCAAGCTGATTGAGTTTGACAATGACCGCCACCTGGGTGTGTTCTGGGTGAGCTGCGAGGCTGGTACCTATATCCGAACCCTGTGTGTGCACCTGGGCCTGCTGCTCGGTGTCGGTGCCCACATGCAGGAGCTCCGACGTGTGCGCAGTGGTGCCATGGACGAGACCAAGCACCTCGTTACCCTGCACGATGTTCTGGATGCCCAGTGGACCATGGACAACACCCGCGATGAGTCCTACCTCCGCAGAGTCATTGCTCCCCTCGAGACTCTGCTCACTGGCTACAAGCGCCTTGTTGTCAAGGACAGCGCTGTCAACGCTGTCTGCTACGGTGCTAAGCTTATGCTGCCCGGTCTCCTGCGTTATGGTATGTAATTGCTTGGCAATGGCTTTCGAAGCTTTTCTCTATCCTTGGAGCACCTGTCGTTAACAAGTTTTTTTTTCTTATAGAGTCTGGTATTGAGCACCACGAAGAGGTTGTCTTGATGACTACCAAGGGCGAGGCTATTGCCATTGGTATCGCTCAGATGTCTACGGTGGAGATGTCTACATGCGACCACGGTGTCGTCGCAAAGGTCAAGCGTTGCATCATGGAGCGTGACCTTTACCCACGACGATGGGGCCTCGGTCCTGTCGCCCAGGAGAAGAAGAAGCTCAAGGCTGATGGCAAGCTTGACAAGTTTGGCCGACCCAACGATGCCACTCCCGCCAAGTGGACCTCTGACTACAAGGATTTCAGCGTGTCAGATGCCTCTGCCGCGGCGGCGGCTGCTGCTCCTGCCACCACTTCGATCCCCGTCCTGCCTTCCACACCCTCCAAGGAGGCTGATACCAAGATGGATGACGCAGAGACCCCTGCTGGTGATGAAGACAAGAAGAAGCGAAAGAAGCACGACGGTGAGACTGCTGAGGAGAAGGCTGAGCGGAAACGACGGAAGGCCGAGAAGAAGGCTGCCAAGGCAGCAAAGAAGGGGGGCAAAGACGATGAGGACAGCGATTAAAAGTAAAAAGAGTGGGGAAATTAAGACTGAGGATTCTTTTTCAACGTGAAGTGTCCTGGCGTGGGAGTCTTTTTGTCGATATGGAAATGGTCGTGCATTGTACCTTTCTCTTTTTTCTAGTTACCCACCAGTGGCTCTTTGGTAATCGGCGTTTATAGGTATCAATTCAAACATGATTATTCTTACTAAACAAGCTGTGTGTGCTGTCTTGTGTTGCAAAGCGCTCGGGGTGATGCCGCAACGGGGAGTTTGTCCGCCGCGTGGCTCAAGCTGGGCTTGCTTTGTGTTCAATATAAGCAGGTTCCTCTTCCAGCGCGTGTATGAAGCGCTTCCAGGCGGAAAACAGTCGATTGTCGATTGCATCACACCACCGATCTGGCGGTAAGCAATATAGAAGCGGCAAATTATCTGTATCCAACAGTTTTGCTCCCCAGCTATCCACTTGTAGCTCGTGCAGACGGGATAGAGCGAATTTGAGCCGCTCAAGGTGCTTGGGTCTGAGCAATATGCTAGTGAACAATGCCGGATAAACTCACGACTAAAAGCGATAATGCAATAGATAGTTTGGCCTAGTATGAGAATCTACTGATTTACCAACATTCACGAATCGTAACAGATTCAATTGCATCTCTGTGCCTGGCAGTAGTATCAAAACACTGGTCGAATGGGAAGCCTCCGTTGGGCGGCTCACGTGCAGCTGCTAAGCGCCGAACACTTCCCGGGTCCATCATCACACCTTGAAACCTGCATCTGCATCTCCCGCTTTCCTGGTCGTGCCGCTCGCTGCGATTCGCTACGCGCGCACATGCTAAAGAAGCACTAGTTTGCTCGAGGTTCTGCGTCTGGCGCCTCTCATTGGGCCGGAGCGACGACGAGGAACGCCTGTTTGGTGGGCAATCTTGGCCGCAGGCACGAGTGAAGCTTCCCGATGCGATGATGGGATGAAATGAACAGGGATGCAAGGGGCTGGGGGCAGCGATGAATGCCGGGCAAGGGAGGCAAGGAAACAGAGCCTGAGCCCTTTGCATAGCTAGTGCTATGGCGACGGATGATGCCCAAGCGCCCAAGAGCCGGAGAGAGAGCTTACGGATGGATGCGTGATGGAGGTGCTGAGGCGGAAGCGAGGGTGTCTGGGTGCATCGCCATGGGCGGCAAGCCACCGTCTCTGCCGTCATGCTGCAGAGCATCTTTGCCGCCGTCACGATGGTCTCGTCACCGGCGCCTTGGGGTTCAGGAAGCTTTCAACCGCCGTGGACCAGGATATTATGGGCGGCGTCTGCCCCCTTCATCTTGGCTTGAGTGTGATTGTTTCAACCGTTGCTTTTCTTCTCTCGTTATATACTCTCATTACAGCCTTGATTTGCAGATACCTCTGCCATCATCTTTATTTTATTGCCTTCTCTCCTGACTCTCCCATTGATGTTGCGGGCTGACGGCTTCATCTACCCGTGTGGATACTATTAATACCTGAAAAGGGCGACATTGTCTTACCTTTCAATTTACCGTTGAGAAGCAATTGCAATTGTGTATCCGTCTAAAATAAGGAGTCTTGGCAATTTTTGTTTAAATTTTTTTTTTTTTTTTTTTAATTCATTCGCTACTCTTCTGCTGGATCACTCTCTTGACAGCGTTTACTCTTTTGCAACACGCACTCGACTCTTTCTTTACCAGCATCTGGTCCGAGTCCTATCGTTCATTCCAACATACCGGCGCTATTTATATAAGACACGATGGGTTACATATCAATTCGTCGTGGAGCTCTTTCTCTATTCATCGTTGCTCCGGCATTGACGCAAGCCCTGAGAGTCTCGCCAAATTCACCATGCACAAGCGTCTGCACCGATTCCAACTTCTCACAATCGGACCCAACCTTCTTCGATGAACAATGGAAAGACATTGTCTGCACCGACACAGCCTTCGATGGTACGCCACAGGGGAAAAAGCTGGAGAGCTGCTTCACGTGCCTACAGAATAGCACTTACACCCATGGCAGCGAGAGTGACCAGGATTGGTTCCTCTGTTAGTTCCCAACTTCGCCAAATCTCTGTCCAATAGCCGTGGCTTACATGTAATATAGATAACCTACGGTACTCTGCCAGCTACTGCATGTTTGGCTATCCCAACAGCACTGGTTTCGACTCGGGCCCTTGTACGACGACCGTGGGGTGTGGAAGCCTCTCTGATGCCCTTGAGCTAAGCATCAAGAACCCAACGAGCTTGACCCCTTATGATTATTGCGATGTCAATGGGGGTGCCATCACCAGCAATCAAGTTCAAGGATGCCTACAGTGCATCCAGGCGGATGGAGAGCACGAATATATGTCCAACTGTACGTGGTATAAGTCCATCTCTCTACTATACATTACTAACCTAGACTTCTAGTCCTTCTTGCCTTACAAGGGGCTTGCCAGGTGAAGCCTACTTCAGATTCCGTCTTGGTTCTGAACAAGCCACTCTTTGGGAATGATACCGTCCAAGTTGTTAGTTCGTCATCATCTTCCGACAACAAAGGGCCTACAATTTCCACCTCGACAATCGTGGGCATCGTCGTTGGTGGTGTCGTTCTATTGGCCTTGATTGCAGGCTTCACGTTTGTATGCATTCGCAAACGCAGAAATCGTGCCAAGGAGCAAGACCGCGCCTCTGGCTATTCTTTCCGCTGCCAGACCAGAGTGACTCCCGTCACCCCCAGATTTCCAGAAAGCGCTCAGACCGATGACAACTTCCATGGCAACGAGAAGGCGCATGTCATGGTTACCAATGGTATTCCCATCGGTGCAAATGTGTATCCTCAGGCCCAATATCCCTGGAATAGCCAGAGCTCATTAAACGTCACCATTAGCCGACAGGACAGCGCGATCATGCGGCCCAGCGTCATAACTAGCCTGCCACCACCTCCTTCGGCGCACATCTCTCCTCGGCTTTCTTCGCCGGATGATTACTCGACTCCAGCTTCTGCTGTTTCCACTCGGTCCAGTGCTCCTCTACTTGCCACTCCGCAGCGGGGGTATTCTCCTTCACCTCACTTGGCCCAGTCTAGCTGGTCACTCAGCCCAAGACCAAACCGCCTCGATAAGAGGTGGGAAGATGAAAATCAAGGATTCGGTAATGCTCTTGGGCTTGTTAGCAAGAAGAAGAACCAGACGAACGCGGTGAGCCCTGTCCAGAGCGAGGTTATTCAGACATCTTTCCCGCCACCACCTACGAGGTAAATCGGGAGCTGTTGAACGGTCATTTATTTAGCGACATCTATCAAAGTTTTGTTTGTACTGCTTTTTCTTCTTTTCTTTTTTTTTGTACAATAGGTCGGTCTAATGGGAAGGGAAACGGCGGTGCATGTATGGGAGGGTTTGGGTCTGTATTAGTGATATCCACAACGAGTTATGAAAAGAATGTTTCAAGGTTACTATCATTTAATCGCAATGATTTCATCGTGAATAGCCAAGCAAGCATTTGCTTTAAAAAATCCAATATATATAAACGCTAAGCCACAAAATCTGCCGACATATCAATCCATGCCATGTGATGCCATTGTCGTTCCGACCCTCTGACCCGCAATGCTGTAAACAATTCCAAAAATACCAAGATGAATAAACACGCTTGCCGTATATCCCTACTACCCCAGCCGAGGAGAGAATAAAAGCAAAAGTATGAAATCGGCTCCTTCGCACCAATGTGCATAAACAAAAATAGGGGGGCGTCTTACTATACATATCCCAAGGGGAAAAGGCACAAAAACGCAAAGTGACTATAAAAAGCTTCACCAAGACAGTGATGTTGATCTCAGCCAAACTCGACTGCAACGGTAGGAACAAGAGAAGAGTCCCCAGCTCCCATATGACAGATCCACCTTCGTGGGTATCAATCTGACAATTGCCGATGATGTGTTTCGCGCACACACACACACACGCTTCTCTCATCTCTCCTCCACACACACAGAAAATATAAAACTCAATGTCCAAAAAAGAAAAGCAAGAAAAAGAACTTGAGCAAGACTGAAAAAAACACTTGCGAAGCTCAAAATAGGAAAACCAAAAGTCGCTTTTTTGTTTGTTAGAGAAAGCTGAAATGAAAAGATGCCTTTATTACCATAATGTGAAGAAAAAAATGTTTGTTTCAAAACTTTGTGAATTTGTGACTCCAAACAATAACCCAAAAACAAATCTGTGATTGCCCTCTTTTCCTTTTCTCAATGTCGGAAGAATTTGGTGTTTTTATACCTTCTTCTTGTTTTTTTTTCCCTTTCATATGCCGCTTTCGTCCATTGGCGTCCCCCCTCTGCTCATTATTTCACTTTGTAACCTCCCGTTTTGTGATTTGAACCACGTCGTGCCCTCCTCCATCTCTTGGCGCATTGCTCTAAGTTCTTGTAATAGAATATCGGCATCACTCATGACGCGTTTGTGCGGGTCTGCATCCACGATGCTCTCTTTGGCTATCTCGTCGTCAATCTCCATAGACCGTTTTCTTTTATGGTTCATGGTAAGCGAGTTATCCGAGAAGTTACGGTCACCGAGAGATTTGAAGGCCAGAGGACTTTGCGGCCGCACAGACGCCGCGCTGGTGATTGATGCTCGTCGGATTAACGAACTTGCCCTGCTGCTCGTATCCTTCTTGAAACCGCGACGGATTTCATCTGCCATGGACTCTGGTAAAGCAGTCCCATCAGGCATCTGCACAATACCCATGGCTTTCAACCGCCAGCGCTCAGATACTTTGCTGGTCCGTGATTTCTCTGGCGGAGAGCTATCGCCTGATATAGAAGGTAGGGTACGTTGAAATCGACCCGGCCTTTCCCCCATAAGCTTCTCGCGCAAAGCTCGTGTTTTTGAACCGCCTTCGATGCTCATCGCTGACCCAGCAACTGACCCAGAACGAGACCGCATCCCTTGGCTCCCATTCATTGATGGAGTAGGCGATAACCGTCTATATTCGTTGCGGAAAATCGCTGAAACGGCTCTTCGTTCGTTGGTGACGCCAGATAAGACACCAGATGCGAGGAGCGCTTCTTCTGCTTTCCTCTTGTTTCGTTGGTTATTCCGTATTATAGCTGCTAGCTCATCTGGGCGATTAAGAGCGGCCAACTCGGCTTTTTGAGTAGCGATTCGTTGAGCAGTTTCCTGCTCTTCTCTGATCTGCGCCGCTCTTTGAGCTTCGCGAAATGCTCGGAATTGCTCGCGTCCGCTCCGGCGAAGTTGCCTTAGACGTTTCTCGCGGGCATTCTTCTTCCACCGATAGAAATATTTCAAGGAAATGTTGTATATCCGGAATCTCTTAGCTTCCGCATTATCTCGCTCCTCTTTCTCTCTTCGCAACCTTTCTTCCTCATCTCTTTGAAACTTGTCAAAGACATCCCGAACGATGCTTTCTACCATGAAAGCCTCGAACTCATTCATCAGCCCCTTATCTCCATTCACAAACCACTTCGTCAAGTCGCCCAGCGGATCTCGTGGAGGGCTCGCGGGTGCCGGAGTAGGGGCAGGAGGGAAGGTAGGCTTAGAGAATAAAGCGGGAGGCGTGGAAGTAGGGGTAGTGCTGAGAGCATTGTCTCCGAAGCGAGTTGTCGTTGGGGATTTAAATGCAGGGAAGCCGGCTGAAGATGGCTGCGAAGTGCCTGGCTGTAACTGGGCGGGCGGCTCAACAGCCTTCTTGTTCTCTGAATTTAAAAAAGAACCAGAAAATGGTGAGCTCAATACCCCTCCTACGGCCGCTTGATTGCCAAGAAGATTTGGTGGTGAAATGCTTGAACCCCCACTTGTCTGAGGAAACGACAGTGGCGTAGAGTTGATTATTGACTTGGGCGGCTCTTGCGCAGTTAATGAAGGCTTTACGTTTGTATCGGAGGGCAATATGCTGCTGCTGCTCGTCCCTGTTGAAGCAGAGAAAGCTGGGAATCCTGACACACTTGTAGATATCGCCGGTTTGTTCGGACTTGACGGAGCAAGCGCCGGCGTTGGAGAATCAAATAGGCTGGGTTTTGGTTGGCTTGAAGATCCCTGTGCAATATCTGTAGCTGTAGGGAACATAGATAATTTGCTTCCTTCCGATGACTGGACGCTGGAAGCAAAGGGCCCTGACAAGGCAGGCTTTGACTCCCCAAGCGAGCCGAATGATATCTTTGGCGTAGTGGTAATCCCATTCGGAGCCGTAGGTAAAACGGATGAAAAGAAACTAGATGACTGAATTTGCGGTTGAGGTGATGGTTTATTCTGAGAGTCCTGAAAACTCGTAGAAGGTGCTGTTGTCGCTTGTGAAAATGGATTCACAGCCGTACTTCCTCCAAATGGTGGTGTGGGTGCCGCAGGTTTCTCTAACGCATTGATTGGCGTGATAGCGGGCGCAAAAGGATTAGTCGTCGCAGGTGTGTTATTAGTAGAGAAGGGAGGTGGAACAGAGCTCGAAGTCGAATGATTGCCGAATGGTGTCGAAATCGATGAAAAGGGGCTCGCAAAAGGAGCAGGTTTTTGCCCTCCAAGTGCTCCGAATACACTGGGAGTTTGTTCTGAAGCTAAACCTGGATTAGTGAATTGAACTAATAAAACAAGACGTGCAAAGGCTGCTGATGTTGGTGTATCGGGCAAGGAAAGAAATCTCTACCTTGGGATGCGGTGGCCAAGTTGGTGCCAGGACCACATGCAATCTGGTTGAAGGCAGGGAAAGCCGTTGAAGGTTGCGTTGCCGTCGTCTGAGGCTGGGCCGGTGCTGAATCTTGTACGAAAAGAGACCCTTCATTCTGTAAGAAGCTGCCAGGACCCAAATGTGAGGATGCAGTTGAGTCCTCGTGGATTGTTGTGTGGATAACATCCGGTAGTGGCCGACTTCCTCTCTTCTTTTCCACAAGATTTTGCGAGAATTGATGGGTTAGTCGGGGGTGTAATAGCGGTTCTCTATTATTCAAGACCAGACGCTGTTGCGCAACATCCATAGGGGCCTGTGGATCTGGGACCACGTCGATGCCATGGAGTTTCGCAAAGTCAATAGCTTGTTCAACCGTGTCGAATCGTAGAAACTTGTTCAAAGAAGCAGCTGTCAAATCGTTTGATGGATCCTTGGGCCTGGCTAGTGCTCGCTTTACGGCACGCAAAATCGATCGGCGAAGTTGGGGAAAATGGCACTCGGCAAAGCATGCCATGGTATATGATACACTAGGATCCTCCACGATTCGGAAGAATGAATGGAAAGCGTTGCTCGCAGCCAAGGATGGACCTGCTCTTAACGGTCCATGAAAGTCATCAGTGTTTTGCAAGGCCTCGACAAGTGATACTGCGGTCCTGATGTCATCCGAATCTCTCCAGAATTGCGGCTTCCACTGTCGTTGCAGCATCTCGATGGTATTTGAATCATGGGCATGGAAGAGGAGATAAAACGCGCGGAATTCGGCCTCGTTTTCGCATGTAATCCCCTGGGCATTGCAATCGTCGTAGAGATCCCGGAGTGAAAGCAAAGCTTTGCCGAGCTGCTCGAGTTCCTGTTGCTCCACAAAGTCTTCACCAGCTTTTCCCGGCTGCGACAACAGATGGAGGGCTGTGACGTGGAATCTAGCAATATTCTCCAGCACATAGGTCTGGGTTCTCAAGTCGTCGGCTGTGGGCGATGAGAAGAAGGTGAAATCTCGTCGAATAGCTCGTGTTCGGTCCCATAAAAAGCCGTGCAAAGTCGGTAAGTTGTCGTCGTCTTGAAGCAAGTCGTCGATCAAGTAATCCATTGTTCGTCGCAGGGCGGCGGTAGAGCGAACATCCATAGGAAGAGGAGCTTCCTGTCCGGCGGCTGAACGCGCCAGCTTCTTCACCATCCTACTTGTCTTTGCAAATCCCGTCCTTGTATCCTTTTCATGCTGTGGAACGTCGGCCTCGGTGACTCGTGTGATCTTTTCATATTCGGGGCACATGTCTTCACAGATTCCTCGAAAATCGATAGCATTCTGGAGCGTTCTTCTTTTATCGGGATCGTCGATCAGGGCGGCTTTCGTTAGAGACGCGCGCACTTTCTGGCGATACTCCTCGTACTTGTCCCTAAACTTGGCCATCTCAGCCTTGTTTGCGGGGTCCCCCGGCTGGGACGGCCAAGACGGAGGGCTGATGCCATCTTTTCGGAGTCGATCGTATACTTTCTTTGCGAATGGGTCGGCGGTGCGCATTGATGCAGCCTCGGGCGATTCGTCGACAGAGCTTGCACTAGAAGACGAACTCGGACGTGACGTGTTGTCTTCCTCAGCACTCGTGGTAGGCTGCGCACGGTTGCTGCGATGGTTTGTTTTCGGCGGCCGCAGCCCCTTTGCATCACTGCGCGGCTTCTTGGTGTTCTTGAGATCGGCCGCCTTGTCTGCGTTTTCGCCCCGTTTCTTCCATTGCTTTCCGCTGTCGCTCAGGCTCCCATCTTTGCCTTTGAACGGGTTGTTGTGCTTCGATTTCCTCTCGGTATCGCTATCCGTGGCAAATCCAGGCTTTCGTTTGTTGTTCTTCAATGCATTAGAGCCGCCTGCACCATCAGGGCCAAATGATGCTCCTTCGCCGGTCTGCCGAGGAGCAAAAGGATTGAAAGCCTGCGACGAGCCTTGCGTCTTCTGGCTGAATGGGGAAAACATTTGGCTCGATGATGCAACGGACGTCGCATTCATCTACGTGATGATTTGCGCATGGAGGAAGAGGTTTTTGTTGAGAGTCGCTTTACTGAAGGTATAGTGAGAAGTGCCGTGGCGCAGGATATTTGGCTGATGCGCGATGCCAAAGCTGGCCCGGTACCTTGAAGTGAGCTTCGCGGTAAGTTGAAAGTGAGCGTCACGTGATGCGAGCTGCCCAACAGCAGCTTTAGCTGTGCATTTGCTTCAAGACAATAGGCAAAGTGTCTGAATAGCAACTGTATTTTATTTGGGTATCTGAACTAATCGTGAACCAGAAGAGAGATTTTATTTTGCGGTCATAAAAAAAAATAAACTATTGAATTCGCTAGCCGTTGATTTTGATCATCTTTGATTGCGCCGTCCTCTTGCCCATCTAACCCATTCTCACAAAGCTACCTATCATGATTTAACGCGGCCCCGAATACGCGCAGGCCCCAATTCTCGTCTAATCTCTTCAAGCTGCTCCAATCCTGTCTGTGGCCTTGTTTTCTTTGATGTCCGCTTTCCGGGCCTTGTGTAGGAGCCCAGGAAGTCATCCAGGATGCCATCGAAATCTGATCGCATGGGGCCTGTCACGCTAGAGGCTGTTGAAACTTCTGATACGGAACCCATGTCATCAAACTCTTCATGGTAGCGCTCCTCCAACTTCTCGAACCTCTCGTCGAGGATCGAAAGCTGCTCTGTCCGTACGAGTGATGAAGATGTCATGGAGTAGGCTGAGGGATTCGTCAGAGCACCCTTTCTTCTCTTGGTTCTGCCTCCATTGGTAGTCGTAGTCCACATGGACTCAACTCCGGATCGTGACGGAGCTGTTGGCCCACGTGGGCCCTTTTGGTCTTTCTTGAACTGTTTGAAGTCCTCCATCCAGTCATTTGCAGGGCCTTCCTCTGGTTGCTCTGGCTGTACCTTTACGAGTTCTGGTACTTGATCTTTGTATTCCTTGGAAGGCTTTGCCGTAGCATCTGACTCCCATCCATCGTCATCCTCCTCATCCAAAAATCCAAAATCGTCATCATCAAGCTCCTCTCCGTCCTTTGACAGCTGGTTGAATACCTCTTCGTCGTCATCTACATACGCATCATCCTCCAGGGCTTCCAGAACTTCTCGTAGTCGGGGATCCATATCAGGGTTAAATCCAGCGATGACATCGGGTACATCCTGCTGGGCCTGGTAGGTTAACCTCGTAAGGTTCTTGGAAGGCAGAATCTCTTCGTCCAGAAGGTCGTCTGACTTTTGCTCAAGGTCCATTTTCCGCAGAGCGTCTTCCAATGACTGCTTCTGCTTGCCCTTGCCCTTATTTCCAGTGGCATCCGACTCAACAAAGACAACATTTCCGCCGCCGCTGTTGAGATCTCGCAAGTGCTGCATGTAATCATATTCCGAGTCGTCAAAGTATACGCCATAGTTTGCGGCTTCACCTTCGTTGGCGCGGATATGCTCCGCATCTGATCCCAGCTCGGAGGCCAAGTCATCCAAGTGCTTCACTTTCGATCCAGACTTGGACTGAACTGGGTTCAGCACCATGGATGGCGCATTCTCGTCGTGAATGAGCGGATCATTCTGCGGGCGGTGGACGAGCGTAAAGTGCTGCGCCGTCTTCTTATTACTAAAACAAATTGTCAGCAGCGCTCTCAAAGATACAAGGCAGTAGGGCGACCATACATCCACTTTCCCTTGGGCATTTTGGCGATTTTTGCGATTGCGATGAATCAGATGAGCATGGACAGTAACTTTTCCTCGACAGCGCTCAAGAAATTTCTTGGTAGCGCCAGTACAGTTCCCTTTTTGATAGTACTGTGTGACTTTGAGCGCATAGTGTGATGAATACAGTGCGAAAATCTTTTCACATGGCTATCTAAAAATTTTGCCCCTCCAACTATGATGTATTATTCAGCCCCAGTCCTGGACATGCGACCTTCCACAATAAATATTTATTCTTTCCGCCCAGCGATCCGAGAACATCTTGGTCAGCCAGACGGGACGTCTAAATCCCACGATATTTTACATATTTCCAGAACCTGATTTGATCGAAGAAAGCCGCCAAAATGGTGTTGGCAAAGTCAAAGAAGAATGAGGGGTTGGGCAATACGTTGATGAACGATCGCTTCGGCAAGGGCAAAGGCTCCGATAACAGAAAGACGTCGTCTCTTATGCGAACGAACCACACAACTGGCGAACAGTATCTCATCAACGACAAGAAAGATGCGGCTTGGGTCAAGATGCGCTCCGTCACGGAGCAAGGCGCACTCGACGAATTCTTAGCGACCGCCGAGCTCGCCGGTACCGATTTCACGGCCGAAAAGGTCAACAATGTCAAGATCATCCACACTGATCAGAAGAATCCGTATCTGCTGTCTTCTACTGAAGAGAGAGCTGTCCTTGGCAAGCACCGGGAGCACAGGAACCGACTGACGGTGCCGCGAAGACCTCACTGGGATGCCAAGACTACCCGAGAACAGCTCGATATCCGCGAGAGAGAAGCTCTTGTTCAGTGGCGAAGAGGCTTGGCCGAGTTACAAGAGAACAATGACCTGCTCATGACACCTTTTGAGCGGAATATCGAAGTCTGGAGACAGCTGTGGAGAGTCATTGAGAGATCAGACATCATCGTACAGATCGTCGATGCGCGAAACCCTCTGCTTTTCCGATCCGAAGATTTGGAACACTACGTCAAGGCCGTTGATGCCAAGAAGGAGAACCTGCTTCTGATTAACAAGGCTGATATGATGTCTACGAAGCAGCGCAAGGCTTGGGGCAAATACCTGAGAGAAGCGGGCATTACCTACAAGTTCTTTTCTGCGCAGCTTGCAAAGGAGTTGAACGAGGCGAGAGAGGACGAGGAGTACAGCTCAGATGAAGAGCCAGCTTTCTCTTCAAGGCAGGCTGAGAAGGCCAATGCCGAGAACGAAGATGAAGATGAAGAAGATGCTGCAGAAGAACAAGGAGAGAGCTCAGGAAACCAAGCGGACGAGGACGAAGATACCCAGATTCTGACAGTTGAGGAGCTTGAAGAAATCTTCCTAAGATATGCTCCATCTGACAGAGGTAAGTCTTTGCAAACGAAACGGTTGGCAATAATAGCTGGAATGCTAACTTATAGACAGAAGCGGACACCAAACTCCAAGTTGGTCTGGTCGGCTACCCCAACGTGGGTAAATCTTCAACCATCAACGCTCTGATTGGAGCCAAGAAGGTCTCCGTCTCTTCAACGCCAGGAAAGACGAAGCACTTCCAGACCATCCACCTCAGTGAGAGAGTCGTCCTGTGTGATTGCCCTGGTCTCGTCTTCCCCAACTTTGCCACCACAAAAGCCGATCTCGTCACCCAGGGCGTGCTGCCTATTGACCAGATGCGCGAGCACACGGGTCCCGTGGGCTTGGTCGCTCAGAGAATCCCCAAGCCGTTCCTTGAGGCCATCTACGGTATCAAGATTCACACAAGGCCAATCGAAGAGGGAGGCACTGGTGTTCCTACGGGCGAGGAGCTGCTTCGCGCTTACGCCATTGCTCGTGGCTTCCAGACGCAGGGTCTTGGTCAGCCAGACGAGGCGCGAGCATCAAGATACGTCCTGAAAGACTATGTCAACGGAAAGCTCCTCTTCGTCCACCCTCCCCCTGGCATTGAGGACGGAAATGAGTTCAACGAAGAGCTCTACGACGAGGCGCATCTGCCCGAGCGCCGCCGTGGTGCCTTTATAGCCGCCACAGAGGCCCTCACCCTAGGCGGCGACGAAGATAGCCTCGCCTCAGAGTTTGTCGGCCTCCCACAGGGCCCCAAGTCGAAGAACTTGGACAAGAACTTCTTCACGCCAAAGAATGTTCGGGGGCATGCGAACATGCCGTTCAACTACAAATACTCAGAACAAGGCAGTGTCGCGGGCGGCGCGAAGGCGCTCAGCGGCCGCAAGGCCCGAACGGTAGTTGCCCTGGAGAATGGGCTGGATCCAAAGGAGGTGCAGGTGGGATCGAGCAAAAAGCATTTCAAGGGAGGTCAGCGAGATGGTAAGCACAGGAAGACAAGGAGAACGGCGCCAAAGATGGAAGACTAGACACAAAGGAGGGAACGAATTTTTCTTTTCTTTTTTTCTCTCTCTATTTGAATGAAATTGGTAAAAGACTCTTATGTATGGTCGTTTTCATCCATCAGCTAGGTGACTCTTCTTTATGCATTTTATAGGTAAATATGCCGTAGGGATGGCTGGCGCCTAATACATGATTTATCTTGAACACCATGGAAATCGTAGTTTAAACAATAACAAGTAACAAGTTTATATATATAACCCACAATGTGACCAAGAAATATCCACAATTGCTCATCCCAGAACAAAAATGAAAAAGACTCTTCCCTTTTTCCCCCCTCTACCATCTGTCTCATGCTATTAACAGTCTATTTTTTTACGCTTCCAGGCTCCACCTCCTCATTTCTTCTCCTGAGCTTTGGGCTTTTTCAAAGACTTTGGATCCAGACCTCTCCTCCTCATGGCGTTCTTCTTGGCCTTCTCAATGTACTTGACATCCTCATCCTCGTCGAAAGCGCTAAAGTCAGATTTCTCAGTGCCAGCCTTGCCCTTGCTCTTCTTCTTGGCAGACTTGTCTTCCGTCTCGGTGTCCTCGTCGGTTGTGATGGGTGTCTTATCAATGACCTCCTCATCGCCAGAAGCAGCGGCGTTGCCGTTCTTCTTACCAGCAGCACCAATGGCATTGGGCGGCGTGGGGCCAATCTTTTGGAACTTGGCGACGTAGAAACCGTCAATGTTGTGGGCGTGGGGGTAGAAGCGGCGAGTGAGCTTGAGGCTGGGGTGGAATCTCTTGCCCATGTAGCTGGTGAAGCCCTCCTTGCCAAAGGGAATGCCAGCGTCGACCAATCTAACGTTGGGACGACGGGACAGGGCGTAGGCAACAACACTCTCGCTGATAGGAGGGTAAAAAAAAGTTAGAAACTTTGCTCGAATTATTGGAGCGATGCAGGGTTAAAAGGGCACTTACTTTTCCTCAATAGTGACACTGCATGTAGAGTAGACAAGGAAACCGCCAGTCTCGCTGGCATGGTTGACTGAGTCAATAGCAGATAATAACAGCTGCTTTTGCATGTGAGGCAGTGAGATGAAATCCTTCTCGTCCTTGTTGGTCTTTACGCTAGGATCTTTTGAGATGACGCCAGTACCAGAGCACGGGGCGTCGAGAAGTACTCTTGATAGGACTTGTTAGACTCTAATTTTCCCAATTCTCGTTTTAATTTGTGCATGTAGCTCACCTGTCGAATCCTCCCATGACTCGGGGGAACTCACGACCATCGTAGCTGCAGACGATGACATTGCGGACTCCCAAACGAGCAACGTTACCAATCAAACCCTTGGCACGCTGCTTGTTGGGATCGTTGGCGAAGACCATACCAGTGTTCTAGAGCAAGATTAGTACAGATGACTCTTTAAAAAAAAACGGATCACGGCTCGTGAGTATAAGAACTTACATTCATCATGGCTGAACAGTAAGTGGTCTTTCCACCAGGGGCAGAGGCCATATCAAGAACTCGCTCATTTCTACAATTCATTAGTATAAATCAACACACAACGAAGAAAAAGTAACACAAGTAAAAACTTACGGTTGCGGTGAAAGCGCCATGACAGGCAAGAAAGACGCAGCCGCCTGGATAATGTAATGACCAGCAAGATACTCGGGCGTAGCACCCAGGGGAACATTGGCCTCGAAAATCTGCAGGCCAACCTTGCTCCACTTGCCCACGGGCTCGAGCGTGACGCCACGGTTGATGAGCGCCTGGGCGAGGTCTCTTCGGTGCGTTCGCAGGGTGTTTGTTCGGATGACGACGGGACGGGGCATCTCGTTGGCCTCGAAGAAGGCAAAGGCTTCGCGCGGGGTGAAGAGGTTGAAGAGCTTCTCAGCCAGGTAGGGGCTGTAACCGTAGTACTATAGATTCGTCGCCACTGTTAGCACATATTTCTTTGAACAAACAAAATACCTAGGCAAGTTTCAAGCAGTGCAGGATAAACTTACGGCACAGATATCCTTGAGCAGCTGAGCAGTATACTCTGCTCTGGATCTTCCATCCTCCGCCAACTTGGCAAATTCATCCAGCACCCGTATCGTATCCGTTATCCTCTGCCTCAGTAGCTGTAGATCTGGTGCCAGCAAGGACTTGCTCTTGTCCGCCAACTCGTCATCCTCGTCATCCTCCTCGCCAAAGATTTTGGGCCCGTCAATGTTCGTCTGCATCGCAGACTCTTGCATCTCCGTCTCGGTTATGGCCTTGTCCTCGGCAAGCTTCTTGTCTAGTCTTCGCGACAGACCAGCAATGTTGGCAGCAGTGAGCTTCTCCTCGGCGTCTGATTCATCTTCGTCGTCGGAGAAGACGAATTTGCCCTTTTTGCCGCCCTCCTCCTGGTCGTCAGAGTCAAACACTGAGTCGTCCTCCTCCGCATCATCATCACTGTCATTTTCATCATCTGACCAGATCTTCTTCATCTTCCCTCCTGAAGAAGCATCTTCATCCGCTGAACCATCGTCCTCCAGCTGGTCTAGGTCAAACTCGTCGCCCATCTCTTCGTCTTCAGAATCCTCCGCCGGCTCTGGCAGCTTCTTGGCCTTTCCATTGCTCTTCTTCGCACTAGACTTCTTGGGCGCAGGCTCCGGCTTCTTCGCTGCGGCAGCGCCCTTGGCGGTCTTGCGCTTCTTGTTGCTCAGCGACGCTTTCTCGACCGGCGGCTCAACGGGCAATCCAGCCTTTCGCTTGAGGTTGGCAAAGTGCTCCTCGGACAGGGCTTCGGGCATGCCCTGCTTTCTCTTCATGCGACGTCCCTGACCCATTATGGCGACTGTGGTTTCGATCCCAATGGGTGTTGGTTGAGATGCGATGTACTGACGCGGGTACCGTCTTAATTTTGCGAAGCCAATGGCTCCATATCGCAACTTTTTTTTCTGCCACTTTATCGATAAGCCACTAGCAGCGCCGCCAAAGCAGCCAAGTCCCCTAGTCGAGTAGTCTACTTGGATGAGTAAGAAATGGGCTTACCCGGCAATTCTATGTTTGTTGCTTGTTTTTCAAGAGAAATTGTAGTTTTGATATTCAATTGTCCCTGGCAATAGTTATGCCATCTTTGGGTTTTGATTGATTCGTAAAATCAGGCAAAATTTGGCCAACATTTCTACACTTAATCTATCCAGGGTGAAGTTGCCCAGCATCCCACTTTTATTATCCACCACCTCAGCTGTAGCTCAACATCGCAGCCAGTCTCAGCATTAAAGCCCACACTCGTTACTTTCAACAATCGTAGACATAGACAAAAGCAAAGGCATCAAATAATGAAAGGTGATATGAGAAATGATTTTAATTCCACGAAAATGGTAAATCCGCTATGTGCTATCTGTATGTATATGGGTATCCTCTGACAATTCCTTAAACTCGCTCCAGCAAGGACATTTCATGCAGACGTTTCTGTAACAAAAAACCTATGACATGCTATGCCCAACAATGCCCGCCCAAAATAAAAACTCCATGCATGGTCTTTCTAAGCATGCGAATACAAAATAAAAATGACAGGTTCCATCGTCCCCGTCTCCCTTCAACCGAGCCCGCCCCCCCCTCTTCTTTTAGGGAGAAATAAATACCAAGCCTTTCCATGCACGAACGCTTACGTCGTGTTTCCGAGGGGAAATATAACACATGAGAAATAAAATAAAGGACAAAAGAAAAACAACCTAGGCTCTCCTAAACACGCGCTTGGTGCCTCCAGCCTTTCCAATATCACCAAAATTCTTCTCGCCAGGCTTCTTCTTCTCGCTTGGTTTCTTCTCGCTTGGCTTCTTCTCGCTTGGCTTCTTCTCGATTGGCTTCTTCTCGATTGGCTTTTTATCGCTGCTGCTGGCCATGAGTACCTTCTCCTTAATGCTTTCAACCCAAGCCTTGCTCTCTTCGCTCATTTCAATCTTCTTAGCTCTTGGTCCGGCCAGACCCAAGAAGGAACTCTCATCCTCTACCCAGCTTTGGCGAGAGCTGGGCCTCGAGATCGCCGAGCCCTCAGATGGGGGTGTACCTTGCGCCGGCTGGCCTGGAGTTACTGGGGTCTTTGGTCGCAAGGAGCTGTTGACACTGCTCCTCCGTGACTTGCGCGCCGTTGGCATAGGACTGGTAGAAGAGCGGTTATCGGCAGAAGTAGGGGAGCGGCTGGGAGGGCTGGAGTGGGTGGAGTGGGTAGGTCCAGGAGTTCGAGTGTTATCGCGAACCTCTACCTTGGTCCTGTCTTGGCCAGTCGAGCGGCGGCCATGGTGCATGGCGTATTCCTTCAAGTATTCAGACAAGTCGGCCCACCCACCACCCACGCGGACCATGACTCGCTCTCCATGTTCTCCAACGCAGCGGATGAAAAGCTTAATGGGGGCCTCGTTGTCCGATCTAGAGAGATGATAAACCCTGATCGGATAATGACCCTTGGGGCGCGTCCTCTGCTTGACAGGAGACAGGGTAAATGAAGGCGTGGCAGTTCGGGTTGACATGCCCGATGTGCTGCGCTTGACAGGTTCCCTGGAGGCCTTGTTCCTCAGCCGAGGGAGCTGGAGATCTGGCGGGTTGAGGTTGATGCCCGACGTTCCATTGGTGAGCTTGATTCGAGCTGGGATAGATTCGATAATCTGAGTGATTTGCAGGCGCAGTTGCTGCTCGCCCGCACTTTCTCGGCGAGAGGGCGGGGCGGGCACGTCGGGCAGATCGGGGGCATACGAATCTTCAAAGTCATCCAAGAAGGAATCCTCATCGTACGCTGATCTGAAAAATGACTCGTCGTCTTCGGCAATTGGCGCAACCATGGGGCTGTCGAGGAGACCCATGCTTTCCCTGGCACGGAGGCGTTCTACTTCCGGAGGCGAGCTTGGTGGGCTATCGCCATTTGCATACAGTGCCTCGCGGAGTCGATTCCTAGGAACGGCAGGAGATGCAGAGATTTCAGGCACATCGCTTGAAGCATCGTCGGCGTATCTGGATGCGGGAGAGCCAAAGTTGCTAGGGCCGTTGGGCAGAGATGGTAGATCCAGCTCATCTTCCTCGCTGATGGCTGACATGTGGTCGTCTACCACTACAAGATCTTCGGGAGAGGATCCAGACTCAGGAGTGGGATGATCCTCGGATGAGGACAATTCATCTTCTGCGATTGGGTCGAGATATGCCCCGTGGTCCGAATCGCCGGTGGGGGGTAATAACAACAACGGCGGTGAGAGTTTGTTGCCCGCCTCTCGGACCCTCGTTGGAGATGGCGAAGGTTTTTTCTTGGCCAACTTAGCCTCGGCCATCATTCGTTCGCAGGCAGAAACCCACTCTCCAAAGCCTTGCTCAACATCTTCCAAGCGGTTGAGCCAGTCATCTGGCAGGGTGTCTGGAGCACCCTCCAAGCAGTCTAGCATATAATCCAAAGTACGGCCGGGCTCGGCAACTTTAAGCGCGAGTGAGTGCTTGCGGGTATCAAAGTCTTTGTCGGTCAGAGTGCGCGCGGGCAGGACTATGGCCTTTCTGCTGGGTTGTTCCATCTCCCAGTGGGACTGAGAAATGGCTTCCCAGTTTTCGCCAAGAAGAGCCTCGACTTCCTGGATAGCCTGCAAAAAGGGGTTGACATGTCGGAGGACAATGATGCGCATGTGCCACAGCTGCAGCTGGCGAGAGAGCTTTGCCAGGTTGGGCAGGGTTCGTATAACAATGGCGGTGATGAGGACGGAGATGTCCTCCATTTTATGATAGCTCGATAAGGCGGACAGCATCGATTGACGGGGGTCCATGTTCATTGGAGTACCCGGCCTTGACAGCGGAAGGATGTGGTCGCTTATGACGTGACCTTTGATCTCTTCCAGATCTAGTCTATCCATGGCCTGGTTGATCTGGCTGATTCTTGATTCGTATTTTTCCACCTCTTCAGCGAGGAGGCTTCCCATGTATTGCTTCTTGTCAGCCTCCTCTCCAGGGGTCGGGGCCTGGGCAAAAAGCTTCCTTTGCGTATTGTTTGGCTCCAGGAAGCCCTCGGACCCCCCATGCTTTGGCCAATTCCACTGGTTCAGCTCGTCGAGCCATTGCCAGATCTCGTGGGATGCCATGGCCGTTCGCATTGCGAAGTCCCGGTCGATGGCGGAAGCTTCTGCGAGGCATCCCCTTAAAACACCGTTGGGCGGTGTTAGTGCTTCGACAAGTTTCGCGGGCTCCAGATGAGTAAAAAATTCATCGGCAGAGCGCTGTCGAGCGGCCAGCAGCTGGCCGGGTGTGGGAGTCGAAAGCCGCTTGGGCTTGACGAGGACGGGCGAATCGTTCATGATTGCGCAGGTCGTCGTGGGGCGTCGCGGTTGGTTTTGGTTGTTCGCGCGTACAAGCTAGATGTAGCGGCGATTCCACCGAGGCATGTTCTGCCTCGAGGCGTAAAAAAAAAAAGAGAAGAAGTATGGTATTTTCGTATCCGTGATAGCTTAATCTTTCGTCATGGACCGGGCGGGATTAAGACAGCGATGATTCGATTTTCGTTGGTGATGCCCATAGTCGACGGAGATCGGCGGTGATGGCACGGGTTTGCGGCTATGGAGTGACAGCCATGCGACCAAAGCTATAAGCCGTCAAGTAACAAAAAAAAAAATTGAACAGGCAAGCGCAGGGAGGCAGTTCGCCTCTTTCACTTGCCTGGGTCTTCCCTTGCTTTCTGGGGGGAAAAAAAAGAAGAAAGGTTGACAAGCGAGACAGGGAGAAGGAGAAGGGAAAAAACGCAAGACACGCTGAAGAGATAAATGCAAAGCAAAGACGCGGCGGCGGCGACGGGCGAACTCCACGCTCTGGGGGAGTCTCTCCAATGGTGTCTGTTCCCACTTCCCCTGGTGTAGCTAAGCCGCGGAGTGTCGCGGAAGGACAAGGAATGACGGGGTTGTCAGCCAGAACTCCAGCGCACCGATGCTAAAAGCTGCACGGCTGCACGGCTGCAGTAGATGCTAAGGCAACAGGCCTGTAACGGCGTCCAGAGGGTGTTTCGGCGTGGCGGTTGGGCTCGCTGGATGGTGCCACCTCAGCGCTGCTGCTGCGCTGGCAAGGCCGCCGGATAAGCGGGCGGCGAATGAGCTGCTGGCGACGGACGTGGAGCTCGATGTACGGAGTATGCGTTTGCGACTTTATGCGTGCGTGGGATCCGATCCAGTCCAGGCTTGGTGTCTGTATGCAATGGGGCGCGCACGCGCAAGTAGGGAGTTTTGCCACAGGGGGGAATGTATCTGGTTTGTTGGGATGGGGGCTGTTTTGGGGGTGATTGGTTACATTAAAATCTTGTACAATCAATAAAAAAAAAGAGGCAATCGGAAACGACAGTCGCGAAGCAAAGCGGCCCAAGGCCTGGTATAACGACGGGAGCGAGTGACTGGGTGAAGACGCGCGCGCGAAGAAGAGAGTGAGTGTGAGTTAAGACAAGGGCGCGGCCGGAGAAGCTGAATCAAGGGGGCAAAGAATGACGGGCCTTGTCCACAGGAAAAAGCAATTGGGGGGACAGCAGAGGCAGAAATCACAGCTGAAAAGGGGAGCAAACCAAGCGAGTGACGAGCAAAACGGCGACGATGGACTTGTAGAGAGCAAGAAAAAGAAATGAGCGAGGGAAAGAGCGTGAACGAGAGACGCCGAGCCTTGACAGACGGTTTGGCGCGCCGCGCGACAGGCAGCAGTAAAATGGGAACAAAGATTTGATCATGTCAGTCAAATCAACATTAGCAAGCAGCCCCGACCTCATTAAACCGGCTCTACGCTCTATGAACTCCCGGGGCCAGCGGGAACCACAGCGGGCCACAGCGCCTTGACGCCATTGTATGCTGCGCTGGAGGCCCTGCGGGAAGCCCTGTAGATTGTCCGCTGTAAGTGCTCAAGGCGCTGGACCAACGCGCCCCTCTCCGAAGGGTCAAGCTTGTTTCCCCCGGCGCTTTCGCCAAAGCTTATTAGCGCCATGCTCTCCCATGGCAGCTTTCATTTGCCGCCCTCCCGCCTGGCTCCTCATTTGACCAGGAAAAAAAAGGCGGACAATCTTATTCTGAACGGGCAGGGCTAAGCTTAGTGTCGCTTGAATCTCGTGCCTGGTACCTGGACTAAGGTACTTCGGGTACGTACTCGTATTGCGGGTTTCAAGTCGCGGTGTGTTTTGAGTGAGAGAGAAAGTAAATATTTACTTAGGCGGAGCATAGTAGATGATGCCGAAACAAACTGAGCAAATGGAGGAAAGGAGATACTGCAAGTAATTGATGCGCTTATGCATCCAACACCGCTCATCTGTCGCGATGATGAGTGACGAGGTACCAAAACCAGAATCATTTTTTTTTTCCTTCCTCCTTTTGTCTGCTCGCCCAAAGTCGCGTCTCCACACCTCCCATCTAGACGGTACTGTCTGAAAATTCCCCAAGTTTCCAGCCCAACCGAGACATCATCAGCTTCTTTTGTGTTTCCTCGCCATCAGCGTCTTTCAATTTCTCTCTGCTTCTCCAGGGACCCTCGTCCCCAGACAATCCTCAACTGATAAGACAAGCGAAAAGAGGAACAGCAAAATGTTGAGACAAAAAAAAGACAAGAGGCTACCCCGGCCATGCCAGATTCTGCGCTTCCGCAGCCCCGTAATAGCGCGTTTGCCAGGGCCGAACCAGCAAGCAAGAAAATCGCCCTGAAATTCCAATGGCATTCACCTCGCTCGCCCATTGTGAGGCGGCGTGGAGCCCAATCTGTCTTGGCCTCCCTTGCAGTCTTGGGCCTAGATTCACAGCAATCAAACGAGGCAGAGAGAGACAGACGACGTCACAAGCACCCGTCACGTACTCGTACTACGGACCTAAATGTACTCCTTACAAGCACATGCTCAATACGACGCAAGCACCACACAGTAAGCACCTCCGACCGCCGCGCACGTGAATGGCCAGGATTCCTGCATGCGCCTTAAATGCCGCCTGCATATACATAAAAGATACGTGTTACCACACATCCAAGTTGCAGGGCCAAGCGCAAGGTACCGGCCATGATCATGACACGCATCGATTGGCCTTGGGCATGGCCACGCTTACCGTTGCCTTACATGTACAGTAGACACACATGCGATGCCGCCGCCACGCCACGCCACGCCATGCCATGCCATGCACGACAGCCTGGCCCATCCCTTCAGTTGGTCCGGGTGTGCCCTGCGAGATGGACATGGCAAGGCCCGGAAAAAGCCTGAATTTCTCGGCGATCCGCCCGCAATTCGCAAAAGTGAATGCGTCCGAGGTGACGGAATTGCTGCTGCATGAGTGCCCGGTATCCGTAGATAGACGGCTGGTAAGGATACACGTCTTGTCCGCTGCGCATCTGTGTGTGATCCTGCACCTTGTCTGGCCAATACTGGACTGGCTGTACCATGTTGCTGCCGCGCGTGACACGCCGCATACACGCGCTTACTAAGTCACTCTCGGCAAATCTGCACTGGGCAAACAATCATCCTGTAACAGCGTCGCATTTGTTCATTCCATGCAATTGAAACGCACGTGAAAATGTAAAACTACCGATGATTCCTGACACTCTAAGCGCCCACTGCCGCATAAAATCAAGATGCGTGTCTTTTTTTCTAAAACCCTTGTCGGCTCTTGAGTGCAGCAAGCTAGGCAGCGGCCCGCCTGCCGGACCTTGTTACCTCTGACACCAGCTTGAAACACTCAAACCTTGTTCAATTTATCATTATCATTATCATCATCCTCAAACGACAACAATAAACAGAATCGGACAATCCCAGCCAAATTGTATAACAGAAAAGAATGAAGAAGCAAAAGAAAAGACTCAACAACTGAACAAAAAGGGAGAAGAAGAAGAAAAACCAAGAAAAACCAAGAACCCGGAAGAAATAATGATGATCCAGCAAACAAATGTCAAATAGAAAGCCAAAGGCTTTTCGCCCCTTTAAGCGAAAACAATCCGATAATAAATATAATAAAACCCAGATGTGCCCAAACGCCCAGATCCTCATCTCTCTCCCCAGCCATTTTTTGTATGTCCTGAAAATGGGTGAGCAAAACTTCAACGACAATTTCTTCCGTCGTCTGCTTGCTTGCTTATATGTTTTTTTTTTTTTTTGGTTTAAATGGTGGATTGTGCCGGAAGAGTGCCGTCCACAACCGTGTTAAAGACCCAATCTAGCGCATCGTCCGTGCCTGTAGCACCAGTGAATGCAGAGGCCATCAGCGTCTCGTCGGTGGCGGTAACTCCTTCAGGAGGAAACTGTAGCCACTGATCTACATCAAAGTCCGTGCCAGCCACCGCGTTCCAATCGAATTCGTCGTGGCCCTGCATAAAGTCCACGTCCAGAATGCTGTCCATTTCTATGTGGATTTCATCCGAGCCGCCGCTAACACTCGGAGTCAAGTTGGAAGTGTCAAATTCAGTATGTGGAGGAGAATTGACCACCTCGGTCCCCTGAGCGGTAGGAGGAGGCCCCATTGGCTTCTGCACTGACTTGGGCTTCTGATTGAATAGCGTCTCGGAAGCCGTCATATACGGGGCATTTTCAGGTGGCGGCGTGTGTGTGCCAAACTCTGGAGGGACTTCCTTCATCATTGCCAAAGTCGACGGTTCGACCGTGGCATTGATATCAATGGCTGCCTTCCTGAGAGCGGCATCCAAGAACCCGGTGGCGTAGTCTGCAGCAGCATAAATCTCGCGGAGCTTCTCCATGACACGCATACACTGGCGGAAGCCTCTTGTTGCTCGCCCGCGAGCCTCTGGCATTGGGTTCTTCATCTCCAAGAGATGGATGATCATGGCCGGGAGTATCACTGTCACGCCTGTGGTAGGCAGGTATCTCTCCAGGCGGAGGTGGTGCAGCTCCGTAGCCATGCTCGTAATGTGTGTCGCCGCATCCTTGACCTTGAGGCGTGACATCTCCTGCACCTGGCGAGATACAGTCGGTGCCTGCATGGGAGACGACGGTAGGAACTGAGGGCGATGCAGAGCAGAAATGGTGGTGTGGTATACCATGTGAAGCAGCGTTCGTTGAACCGCAATGGTCGGCCTGCCGTTCTTAGTGTCTGCAGGAACCAGCATGCGATAGTGACAGCATTCGGGGAGGTTCGCCACCCATTCCTTGAGCTCTGCATCGACAATCTTGACATTATCCAGGTTATCCAGCTTCTTGTTGGGGAACAGCATCATGGTGCTGTTAGTGGTGTTCTCTGGCTTCATATTGTCTCGGATAAGAACAGAGTACTGCGCCTTTAGCATGTGGCTAATGCAGATGCAGAGCTTCGCCTTGGCAATGCACATGGTGGCAAGCTCCCGCTGCATCTCTACATCGCGCATTAGTGTGCATTCCGGAGGAACCACGGTGATTCTGTCTGGCAAGACGGCCAGCTCAAAGTCGCTCTCTAAAAGCATCGGCACGTCGAAATCCTCATCCTTGATTCTCGTCGGGCGTCTCATGCCCAGGGCAATGAGACGATCGCGCATGAAACATGACCACCATATGCGCTTCCAGAGCTTCTGGGTTGGCACGGCCATGGTGGTAACATCAGGATTGCGATGAAGCCCAATGGTGTGAGCCAGGGATATCGCCACCCCCATCCAGTGCCAGGTATCTTTCTGGTCGTCGGGTGTCTCATACCAGTACGTCATCAGCAAAAGCCCTTGGACAAGAACCAGGCGGTCTGATTCGTAATCGAAATCGTAGAGGAGCTATTGACATGTGAATACGGGTCTCTTTTTTTTTATAGGTAGTTTCATCATCTGCACGCACAGAGTGTGTGCACTGCACGTGCAGATGTAACAATGTGGCTTACCCTCGTTTTTAAGAAGAAGCCTTTTCTGGCAGCCTTGCGGGTGGCATAACCCGCTTCGCGCAAGTGTCTCATGTCGACGAAAGCAGTCGCGGAGAACATGACGGCATGGTAGAGAAACAGGCTGATCTGCCCTTCTGAACCATCGTAGCGGTTGATGGTGCTGAGAAAGGGCACAAGGTCCATGAGAGGCATGTAGGGATGGACAAACTCAATGTAAGCCCGCAGGAGCGCATTCTGCAGAGAGAGGCAAGGGATGCTCAGCGCACCCTTTGCATGCAGGTAGCGAACATCCTCTGGTGAGATTTTGCTGGGCAACGGCCGCACAAACGGAGGCAGCTGGGCACTCGCCTCTGCATCGCCAAGGAGGCTGAGGGACTGTGGGGTGCGAGAAGAGGCATGACCCAAGGAAGTGGCCGAATTCGCCCAGGGAGATCGGCTGGCATCTGATAGTTGACCCTTGCTGAGCAGAATTGGCTCGTTGCGATACGTAGAGCGTTGATCTAGCGGGCCGTGGTCCTGCGGTCAGCATGGGTTTCGTCCGAAAAAGCATGGTGATGATCAGTGTAGCTTCGTTGCACATGCCAATCGCTTTGATGATTTGCATGTGAAAGAAGATGTCCGTCGTTATTTTTGACAACACCAAGTACACATTGCCCCGTGACGATTCCTGAATGGGCACGCCAGAGGCTCTAGCAGAACCGGGGTGGGTCAGGGGGGAGGGATGATGAGTGCGGAGAAATTGGAGAGAACCCCAAAAAATTGAAACAATAAAGAGTATGGCTTACAGATCATGTGAGGCACATGGCCTTCAATGCCGGTATTGGGAAGCAGACCGCTCGAAGGGTCCAGGCTTGCGGGTGAGAGAGAGGAGCCGCTGGTTCGTCGCAAATCTGCGCTGTTGATGACAATCGGGTTAGTCGGAGGTGCTTTGCTGCGCAGCTGAGCCTCGGCTGATTGGCCCTGCCCCACGATGCTAGGCGTAACGAGATTCTTTCTAGAAGAGATTTCGCGTCAGTGGATGCGTTTCGTTGGTTGGGGTAATGATGGCAAATCATGATCAACTCCGGATCCGTCCCTTGTCGGCTCTCCTCCGGACACGCCTCACCGCCGTCCAAGCTTTCTCACGTGCGAGGCGTCGGTGCCGAGATTCGCTAAGAATCGCATAACCTGGGGCAGCCGCAGAGAAGCTCGGTGGCTGGCTGTGGAAGGGAAGAGGATGGTTGTGTGTTTGTGTGTTTGTGCGTATGTATATGGTGAGAATATACACAGGGCTGGATGGATTGCATTGGGGCAGATGGGAAAACTCACTTTCTCCGTCGGCTCTCCTGGACAATGCACTAAAAGGAGGAAACAGGGTGTTAGCCATATTCTAGGTGGGATAAGATGCTGAATCTCTCGTGAGAGGCGAAACATGTGTGCCATGGACTGCGTACCTCGACATTATCCCAGCGGCAGTTTCCGCAAGGAGCCCCCTCAACCACATCGCATCGGACTTTGCGCGCGCGGCACGATACACAGGCCCGGGCGGCACGTCGCTTTGTAACCTTATGCGGAGGCTCAGAGCCGTCGTCGGCAGATGCTCGTTTCTTCGATTTGTCGTTGGACCGCCCATTGGTGGAGGAAGCATTGTCGGCCGGTTCTGGTGAGGGCGACATTGACGGCGAGGTTGCGTTTACCGCAGAATCGTCTAGGGCCGCTTGTGACGACATTGTGGCGGCTTGTGAAGTTGACGCAGAAAGTAAAAAAAAAAAAAATTGGGTGAATAAAAAAAAAAGGAGGTTCTAAAAAGAAATAGCCTCTATGTATGTATCCCAGGCTGTATATGTGGATGTCGCAGTGTACTTGACAACACGCGTCTGGGAGAAAATAGCCCCTTTGTGACTTGTAAACTTTGTATGAGCTCAGAGCCTCCTAGGATGAGCCGCAGAGCGCATATGTCTCGAGCGAGCTGATGACAGAAAGCAATGATGATAGAATAGCTCAAATCATGTATTCAAAGGAGAGCCGGGTTTGGTAGTGGCGAGCAAAGGTCCGTATCAGGTGCTGGAATGGTGACGTCGCACGCAGGCTGGAAGGAGAGCTGAATTCCACACTGGCCACAGCAGCTTGCGCATGTATGGATCGTCAGAAGGCACGTCTGTGGAACTAGGCAAGTCCACGGCTGTGCCGGCTGTGATGGCGACGAGGTCGAGGAACAGAGACGAGATGGATCATGGAACAAGCAGGAGGAGGAGCCACAGCAAGCTTGGAAGCGTGGGGTAGAAGAGGATCATGGAAGAGGAAGAAAGAAAAGAATCAGTCGAATTGTTTGAAGAATCCGGGGGTGGATTATCGGAAACGGGGCCAGAGCCAAGAGGGGCGTGTGGGTTCCCACGGTCCGGGCTATTCTCTACGACTTGGCCCTGTCAGTCCTGACTACTCTTGACTACGCTCGACTCCTCTTGACTCTTTGTGCGGACGCTGGGCCGAAAGCGCTTGTGGATGTGGCTGCTTCGTTTTCCCCATTACCAATCTCCAGCCATGAGCATAGCTGCTGCTAGACGGCACTAGGCTTGTCTCCCGCCTGCGTGATCGGTGATGGCGGTACTGTACGAATCCAGCCCAGAGCGTCGAAGCTTGTGCGTTCGTCTAGCGCTGTCTAACAAATGGCCATTCTAGGGCCAGACACCGTTCTCGGGACCAAGGGCGAGGAATGAATGGCCAGCCACGGTCAAGGACAAAAGCAGCGGAGCGCCGGGTGTGAAAAAAAGACAGTGTGGAGGTCGTCGAGGCCGGGGCGACGCCACGGGACTCCGGCTGACAAGCTGGGCTTGGAGGGATGGCCCATGGCTTGCATGGAAGGCTCTGGCTGGTTGGCCGTGCTGTTGAACCTGAAATGCCGGATCGGTTGGCTTCAGGCCTGTGACGGATCCGTCTGTTCCGCCCATGTGATGTCCGTTGGAAGGGAGGAAGCGAGTTGGGCACGCGAGACGGGCGGCGATGCCTTGCAACGAAGCAGCTGGAAGCGTCGAGCGGATCTGGAGGCACCTGTGCAGTACTTCGTATATACCTGGTTGTTGCCGCCAGCACGGAGCGCGCAAAACGTGCTGCTGAGTTCTAAAACGCATGGCTGGCTGTGGCTAGGGCCATGGCTGCAGCCTCTGGTCTAGCCTTGCACGAAATAGTCTGGTGTCTATTGGCAGCATCTTCTGGTGGACTTGCTAGTAGTTGGATCAAGCTACCTCTGATGAAACTGCATTGAACATTTACCATGATGTAGGATGACGCTGTGCAGCTGCGGGAAGTACCACCCCGGACCGCTGAAAGAAGCCATTGTCTCTCTTCCGTACCAGCAGGGTAGCCGTCTCACCGCATTGCCGCCCAGATATATGCCCAGATATACCAGCTGGTACTGCCGTGTACTGCCGCGCTGCCTGTCATCATCCTCTTCCTCTTTCATCATCCGCTAGCCTCATCGGTACATCTAAGCCAAGGCGGTACTTTGCACCTGGGACATGCTACTGTACAGTAAGACGAACAGCAAACCCGAATCACCTGCAATCATTATTTAATTACCAACCTCCTTTGCGACGAGCCCGACTGGTCCTCGACTGGTCGTTTCTCCCGCAGCGCAAGCACCAGCCAGACCCGTTGCTGAGGTGGAGCAGCAAGTACGAGCATGGTGAAAAAGTGGTGATGTTGTTTTAGTACGCCATGGCCACAAGAGCTAGTGCCATCGTAGCGCCTATTGCATGTGTACGGTGTCCGCTCTATGGGCACTGCGGCATAACGACTTCGGGATGCCCGTTGGATGCAAAACCACAGCTTCACCACCAGTGCCATGTGTGTTATTGGTTAGGTATATATTCGCTGTTGAGTGCCGTTTCATTAGTTAGGTGCCTGCTTGTACATTATAACCTTTCATTTAGAATTTCGCCCCTAGAACGCATGATTCGTTCGAAAGAGGCAGCTCATCACGATTCTATTCCTTGCATGTATTGTCAACAAATTCCATGTCTACAGTACAACCTTGTACCTTGATGGAGTACCTGCGCCCAGACGGTGGTAGCTGCGATCGCGCTTGACCCCCTGCTCCTGCTATGCTGGATTGTCTTAGGTAATACCATCAAAGTCGTCTCTATTTGGGGGAATGAAAATTTTTGCGCTCCTTTCTCTCGCACCTTTGATATACCTAGTAGGTAATAAGTGCGGGAAAAAAGAAGCAGATTCGCAATTTACTCCCTATTCACCTCACGCCCTGACGATTGTGTGGGGACGCCAATTACTAGTTCTCCTTGGCCACTTTTGACGTCGCTTCAGGATCAACGTCGACGGCGATTACCTTTACATGGAAGGCCTTGATGCCACGCACAAGCAACGCTCATCTCTTCCATTGGCCATTGTGCGCGCATTCGAAAATGTTATACCCTTGTCTAGGTTTTATTGCTTGTGCGTACACTACTGTAAGCACCTCTTTGCGTCTCAGGGCACATTGAAAAAACAGAAGAAATGGTGCGATAATACAGGGTAAGTCTGCCACCATTGGTCAGCCTTACACGCACCTCTTACACACCTCTTACTACTGATTAGTGTTTACACCCAGCATTGTTCGACACAATTCGATGCTCTCACAAGAGATGCCATTACACAACAAACGCCAACCCATTTTTAAGCTTTCATCAATCATGATCCCAGCTCTAACCATGCACCAAATCGTAGTAGCATCTGCTCCCTACCAAGGGCCATGACTCTTCGCGAGAGTGAAAAAGCTGGGTCTCCTGCATGCTTCCCAAAGCAAACGATGCCCCGCTAGCCCGAGCGATGTTAGCGGACAACGGGAATAACGCAAGTGTAATGTGCACAGTGAAACGCGGTGCCAATCCTGCACACACCGGCCTCTCACTTTCGGCAGTTCTATATACGGACGAGGACTCAAACGAGGCAGAAGGATGCGCATGCAATGGACACGTGCAAACCAGCAGAACATTCCGCTCTGCAAATACCCACGTCATGCTCATACTCGTGCTGGCTTCGACTTATCGCAGCCCCAGTGAGCCTGCTGGAAATCTCTCTCTCTCTCTCTCTCTCTCTCCACTTCAAAATAAGCCGACATTGTTCTTTTCCCGCCTCTCTCTCCTGGCAAGCCCCATGCCCAAATAGCGCAAGATGGGATTTGCCGATCGCTTTGCTTTTCTGATCTAATTCCTGTGTGCCCTCCTGACCGTTCTTTGGCTGCCGCTAAAGACTCCCTGTTTGGTCGCTGCAGGCCAACGAGCGCATCGGCGATGTGTGGGTTCCACGGGAGAAACCGCGGAGTGGATCCCCCGCTACCTCGGGAGGCCGTCCGGCATTTCCTGCCCTTCCCCCTCCATCTGCGAGCAGCGCATCTCAGTGGCCGCCTCCGTGAAGTGGACGGGAGTTGCCACGCCGGTAGATGAACTGCAGACGGCCTTTTTACCTTTGGACGAAAGAAACGGTATGATGAGATGACGATGCGATCGGCGCGGTGGACACAGCGCCGTTTTGCCCTGTGCAAGCGTCTACGCGAGTCCGGTAGGTGGATGCGGCACTCCGGATCCCGGCGAGCCAAAAGGGCAGAAACGTAGCATACTTGGCTATGCCCCGGAAAATGAAAATTCCACTGCGCAGTCAACTGCCCTTCTAGTCCGTACAACTCCGTGGAGAGCAGCTCTAGTGTCCATGGGAAGCAGAGCTAGAATGCTACCATCATTAGGAAAAATAGGGCTCGTAGTTAGAAAGCTCTTAGACGCCCGCATTGCTTTCTCCGTTCGGTCGCCGCGACAGACTCTCGGCCCTCCGAGCTACCTCGGTGGCGTTAATCGCTTTCCGAGCTTAAAAGCTTCTTATCTGAAGCTTCACTAACAACTTCCATTGAACGTAGTATTAACTCGATGATCTATCTGACACCCCTCTTTTTTTTTTCCTTTTCCCTTGAACAGATGGTCTTTTTGTGATCGTTATTTTTACTTCTTCTGTCCAATGCACTGTTACTCCTCTTTTTACCACATCCCTCCTTTACCACAACTGTCCTTTCGACCGATGATGACTGGGGAAAAAAAAAAAAAAAACAGAAAATGTCCGATGGAACTTGATCTGGAAAGCTGGCCAAGGAGCTAACGAGGTTCTCGACCATTGACCATGGAACCAATACCTACTTGAGAGGGGAAAACAACTTTTGCTATTACACTCAAAACGGCCAGGCTCACTTCATTGCACAAAACACAATCGGGCGAAAGGAAAAAGCTTGAAAGATGAAGAAAAATAAGGTATTGAAAAAAACAGCTATCAAAGAAAAGGCTGAAATATCCTGAAAGAGATGCCTTCAAAATCAGTGCCAAGCGGCACGAACCATAGCTGTACCCTGAACGCCGTCCCTCTTTTTCTGTGTATACGTCTTTCCCCCATCTCATCACCGGATTACATCGTGGCAAGCGTCACCTCTTCCCTCTGCTCTGATATTAATTCCTCCCACACCCTCCATCTGATTAGCTCCTTGCGCTGCGGTTGAATTTATAACCGACCTTTGGCGCCTGAGAAGGAGGTAGGGTCATATACGCGCTGCTTGATGTAGTTTGTCAAAGCGACATCACCCCACTCTTCCCACTCAACCCAGAGGGACTCTGGTAGCTCAGATACGCCATCACGACGAGCAGCCTTCATCACTTCACGGGCGACAATGACGCTGGCATCGCGGACTCGTTCAATCTTGGGGTAGATCAGACCCTTGTGGACCTCCTCGGCATTGAGGGATCCAGCAAGCGCCGCGGCAGATGTGTACACCATATCATCGGTGATGCGAGTTGCCTTGGCAAGGATGGCACCCAGACCCAAACCAGGGAAGACGTATACATTGTTTCCCTGGTTGGGGTGGTAGGTGATTTCTCCCGCATCGCCGCCTACCTTGAGGGTGAAGGAATTGAAAGGAGAACCGGAAGCGAAAACGACTGAACCGTCGGTCCACTGCACGGCTTGCTCAAAAGTACACTCAGCCTTGGTAAGAGGGTTGCTGAGAGGGAACAGAATGGGTCGACGTCCGAAACCGCCAGCGTCTACGGAAGCCTTGAGAGCTCGGACAATAGACTCGGTGAAGATGCCATGAGTGGCTGCAAGACCAACAAGAGCGCTGGGCTTGACATACTCGATGACCTCCTCCAGGGTGCGGAACTGGTGACCACTGTTGTCAACACGAGCAAAGTACTTCTTGTGCTCGGCAAGCTTGTCACCGCGATCCATAGTCACCAGACCCTTGGTGTCGACCAGGTAGAACTTATCACGGGCCTCAGCCTCGGTCAAGCCTCTACGTGTGTAGTACTCAACAAGCTGTTTAGCGACGCCTACACCGGCCGAACCAGCACCCATGAAGACGAGACGCTGCTCTTCCAGAGGAACACCCGAGAGGTTAACGGCGTTGATATATCTGCTTGGCATTAGCGAATCCATAACGACACGGGGAACGAGCTAGATCCGAGTTCATGGACTTACCCAGCAAGGACAACGGCACCGGTGCCTTGGATATCGTCATTGAAAGCCCTGTGGGTATTTCTGTATCGGTCCAGGTAGTTGAAGGCCTTTTCACTGTCGAAATCTTCAAACTGAACCACCATGTTGGGGTACACTTCTTTGACGGCCTCCATGAATTCGTCCATGAAGTCCTGTTGATCCTTGTAAGACACTCTCTTCTGGCGCAGACCCAGGTAGAAGGGATCCTTCAGGTTCGTCTCGTTGTTCGTGCCGCTGTCCAGAACGATGGGCAGGGTCTTGGCAGGGTGGATGCCCGCGGCCGCCGTGTACAGAGCTAGTTTGCCGATCTGCAGCATTGTCACAATTAGCTTTTGGAGCTACACGAGCCAAAGGGGAGGTATGTCTGAAATGCGACTTACCGAAATGCCAACACCATTGATACCAAGATCACCAAGGCCCAGGATTCGAGATCCATCAGTGACGACGCAAATCTCAGGGTTAGGGCAGGGCCAATTTCGGAGCATTGCTCGGATTGACTTGCGCTGCTTGATGGAGATGTATAATGCTTCGGGTCGGGTGTATAGAGTAGAGTATTGCAGGCAGACATCGCCAATGGTGGGGGTATAGACCAGGGGCATCAGGTCGCGGACATTGTCCATGAGCAGGCGGTAGAAGAGGTCAACATTCTGTGCCTTGATGCTCGACAGATATAGATACTTGTCGATGCCGGTCTGGCGGGTGTTGATCATCTTCATGGCCCGGGCACATTGCGTCTCGAGGCTCTCCATGGCGTGGGGCAGGAGACCAGTCAGGTTCTTGTGAACTCGCTGTTCGGGAGTGAAGGAGAGACCTTTCATGGCGAAGACGGTAAGTTAGCCAAACGCTTGCAGTGAAATTTTGATTGTAAACAGAATTGGATTATAGAAGTAGTTGAGTAACAAATTGTGTCGTAGAAGTAGCTTCAAACAATATTGCAAATCATGTTTTACCGAGGCAAACGGTAAAGTAAAAAAGGATAAATATAGTGGTTGTAATGTAGATCCCCATGGGGAAATATGCGTTTACATACCTTTGTTCCACAATGGCTCTCGAAGAACCTGATAGGCGGATGCGTCGGACTCCTTGAGGTACTCGGTTTCGTGGTCCTGCTTAACCTCGGTATAGTGGTCCTGGGCGTAGCCCCGGTATTGGTCGAGGGATGCGGCTTTCATAGCCTCCTCAATAGCGGTAACGTCGACTGAAGACATTGGGTTGAAATCGGTCAGCCTGCGACTAGAAATGGACATGCGCTTATTAGACACTGCAGTGCGAGAGGAGCGGCCCGACGTTACGGACGGAGTGGGCGAAGCTGATCTCGGGGTGTACACGTCTGAGCTGTCGGCACTCCGGGAACTCGACGCCATTGATGGGTGACGTAGAGCTGGGCTTGTGTTCAGCAAAGAGGCTGAGGAAACGCGAGAGTGAGAGTTGCTGCTTAGCAAAGGGGAAGAAGAAGAGTTAGCTGGGTTTGTCGAGGCGGTTGTAAGTGAGGACGGCGATGGTGGTTTAATACTAGCAGCGGCAGCTCTAGACTTTAGGCCCCTGCAGAAGATGGGGTTGCGATTTCTCATTAATAACCCCAGGCTTCCACAGGATCCGCCCCGAAGAGCAGACGGCAAGACCATCGGTTGGCGACCCATCACAAGATGAGCGCGGAGCTAATAAGGGGGGTGAAGGGGATTGTGAAGCTGAACGGGACGATTCGGGTCTGTTTCAGAGCGCAGCGGAGGCGAATGATTGCATGGGCATCACAAGACCGAAACGACAAAACCAACAATGGAGGGGTGGCAAGGGACTGTCTTGCAACAGGGGAAAAGGGGCTCTATTGGAGATGACAAACGAAAAGAAAGGAAAAAAAAAAAAATTGTAGGAAAACAGAACCAAAAATTGGCGGGACGAGAAAAAAGTGAAACGCGTGGGCGAATGGTGCAGTAATACCTAGTAAAAGCCAAGATGACTCGGAGTGGTACCGGTACCTGGTGCAAGCGGGCCGGGATACAGCTGAGCTGCAAACGGTTGGGAAAATTTGGAGGGATTGGAAAGGAAAGGGCGAGAGAGATTAGGTAAAAAGAAGGGATCAATGGATGCAGGAATTACAGTCCGAGAAGACAAAATAATGAACAAAAGTTTCACTCCGTACGTACCGACGAGGCTTGTCTGTTGGGGCAGACTAAGAAAGTCTACCTGGTCTTTGCGTCTCGTGAAGTACAACGGCGATAAATGACTTGTATTTGACACAGAGGTCGGAGGGATGAATAGGTAAAGCAGATGGATGGAAGGCAGAATTGACAGATAGATTGCAAGCACAGACAGAGACGGGCACAGAGGATCTCGGGCGAGTATTATATCGTCAAACCGCTAGAGTCGGATGGCGCTGTTGGATCATGGTGAGGCGATTCCGGCCTCTTCCCGGCCAGTGGGCGTTGCTGGGCTTGCTGGCGCAACGCACAAGATTCGCGTCGCTCGTGGTGTGCTGCAAAATACGGGCGCGCAGCATCGCAGCAGTCGTTTTCGATGCCCAACATGGCCCGTCCATCAACCTGCCATCCGTCTTCCTCCGGTCCAGAATCGCCAGAATCGCCAGGACCGCCGGCAGGGTGCCCGTGGCAGGGGCTGCGCCCAGGTGGATTGCGCGGTAGCTCTGGTTGCATCTGGTTCCCCAAGCTGCAGCAGCCGGCGCCAGGACTCCGGGATCCGCAGGGGGGTGGTGGGGACGCGAAGCTAGCCTGGCTGTGTTTTTTTCCTGTTCGTGGTTTGCTCAGGTGCTCAGGTGCTTTGGGTTGGCGATAGGGGATAATGGACTGATGCGCTGGGCGAAGTTGGATGAATTGTGCATTGGGCAGACGAGCAGGAGAAGCAGGAGCCGCGATGATAGGGGCTGCAGATAGGGATCGCATGAGATTCTGGACAAGTCACGGCACCTGGGCGTTGCTGCTGCGCTTAGACACCCTTTGCGGCTGCACCTTCCTGCTGTCTTACATACAAGTGCTGTAGCACATCAACCACTGCCTGCCTTGGCATAGCGGCCCAGGGCTGGCGAATCAGCTGCGCTGCCGCAAGGGTCCTCTCCACCGTGTTCTTCTTCTCTGGACATTCTTTTTCCTCTTCTCGAGGACGAACAAATCAGCACGCAAAACGACAAGCTCAGGACGCCGCCCGGGCAGAGACCCGGATCCGGGCCGGTTTGGTTGTTGCTGAGAAATGCGAATTGCGAAATGAAGAGGACGAGCCTGCTGAGTCGATCATGGGTGCCCAGGGCTGATTGCTGCCGGTACACGAGACTCTGTCGTGTGTGTTCTGCTACTAGTACTCTTTGTCCCGGGAACTTATATCAAGCCGATGCGTCATGAATTGTCAAGCAATCGTTGTCACATGCCGAGTGTTCGCCTGCAACGACACAATCAACGCCTTTTCCAGATTCACGACGTGTCCAGCATTCGGCCCCCCCGATGCTCGCGCAAAACTCCTGCTACTCCTTCGTGTCAAAAACACCGACACCCAGCGCCTCTGCTGCCACAGCTGATGCTCCTGACTCTGCCAGTTGACACACTTGAAGCACACATCTGCTCCGACCTCACCCGAAAGCCTCCGTCCGTAGAGCCAGGGCCCCCTGCACGCCACGCTATGGGCCTTACCGGAGCCCCGTTATGGACCCTGGAATCGGCGCCGGCGCGCCCCATCCATTATTTACTTCAATTTCGCGGCACCTTAGTGCCACATCTGAACTTTTTTTCCCCAATGCTTCAAGACGACGGATTGTTTGTCCGAGTGCGTATATCACACGGCTGGTGGCTTGCAGTGAGGTAGGTAAGAGAAACCCGCCAATTTCGCGCATCGTGCCGCGCAGTATTTGCATCACTTTAATCTGATGTTCAAGCTGCAGCGCAGCACGGGGAGTCCCCGGATGCGGTATTCCAGATCATGACTCCTGTATCCAATCGAGCCTCTTCCATCTTCCGGATTTCTCAGCTTTTACTTTTTGTGCGGTTCCCGTTGATACGGGGCCGCCGATATGAAAACTGGCACCTTCTATGGAGAATTGCTTTATAAATTGCAGCCCTCCTTTTAGGCACACCATATACCGTATTGAATGAAACGCTCTTCATATTTGCTTTGTTATAATGCCCCGCCACTGCTTCCGTTTCTTTTTCTTCTTTCTCGTCTTCGCCCCTCTCTGGATAATCAAGTCTCCGTTATGAAGTCTGTATGGCAACTATGGCCGTGGGCCGTCAATGGGTATCAAATTTGCATATGCTCGCATGTGCTTTGTCTGCCAGATATCCACCATGCATCTCCGCCCAGTGGGCTATTCCGCTCGGGCTGATGGGATCTTCACCATACCTGTACACGTATCTCTTCCTGCCAATAAGACGTGCCTCTCACTCACACCACTCTGCTAGCACATTGCAAGTACCGGTACGCTCATGTGCAAATCAAGATGAGTCAATTGCGTCTCTTCCTTTTGGCCATTGCAGCCCCGATATGCGGCATCCAAAACAAACTCCAACGTTAGCTTCTGGCTAATGCCGTTCAGCCTCGCGCCTGTTAGCTTCAACTAGCAAACCACTACCGGAATACTTCGGCTTGTCTGCGAATGGTCCCCCCACAATCTACTAACAATAGCGCTGCAGCTAACGAACCAACAGACAAGCCCAGATCCATCTCGTCTTGCTTGGACGTTTGCTCAAAGCACTTGCATGCTCAACAAATTCCGGCATCGGACAAGCTTTCCTCCTGTGCCTGTCATGCCATCCCAACAGGGTCTAAATCCTAGCTGCAGCTCTGCCAAGAGCCGTCCATCCTGGAGAAGAACGGCCGTTCCCCTCAAAATCACAAGACAGGGCTAGCTATCCAGTACGTACGTACACCATTCTCGGCTCGGCAAGCAAGCTCTAGGGATCTATCCCCAAATCACTCCGGCCCGAACAAGCTTCTTTGAGCTATGAGACCCCGCAAACCACATGCTCGCCGCCATCTTCAGATCTGGCCATCTCGTATTACCCACCGGGCTTGTTAAACCTCAGACGGGCTCATGTCAGTCGAGCTCAGATCGGCCGATGGGAGAGCCGACCATTCCCTGCTGGGCAATTCCGCTTACGACATTCGACTCGGCTTGTCGTTATCATTGCAAACCATTGAACCTTTTGTCTATCCGTATCTCCTCGCCTAGATTGCTCTAAACACATGTGAGATCTTCGCTTACACGCAGGGGGTTGTCTTCATATTCCGAGCTTGGAATGGAGACAATATTTGCCGGACACAAAAAAAAAAGGTTGATGCATTGGCTATGGCTTGATGCTAATTCTAAAGCCCTGTGTCGTACCTAACTACCCTGACTGCTCCTAGTAATCTTACATATGGTGTGTAGGTAGGTATAGTAGTAATTTCGTTGAATCGTTAGCTGCCCTCTCTCTCTGCCCCTATCTAAGATTTTCTTATACCAAATAATAACATGTAAAAAACAAAGGAAGAGCTTGTTAGCCACGTAAACTTGTTTTCCCAATTACCATTCATCCCAATTGCCTCGTATTAGTGAAATTCCCCTCGACTTCTTTCCCTATTTCTCCCGAATCTTGCATTCCCGAGGTCGCTTTCATCAACATCAGCTGTTTCCTCCCGATTTTGCATCCCCCGAGATCGCTTTCATGATCTTCATCTGCTACCCTACCGACGCTGGTAGATCATTTCGTATCATCCTTGCCGCCTTGTGACATTCGCTGATTCGCCTTATCGATCTTCGCCAACGACTTGTCATCCTGGAGACTCCACCACCTCTTCAGCCCCTGTACATACTCAACCTCTTCGTTTGTGATTTCTACTGGCGGACCCTTAATCTGCGGTAGCATCTCCTTGCTGTCTTTTTCGTAGACTGCCCATGCCGAGGCATCTCCGGCCCGGACGCCGAACCCCCTGCCTTGCATTGACACCACCTGGACGCGACGCAGCAGCACAATGTCACCGGCCTGGACCGCAGGCAGAGTAAACTTGTGTGGCCGGAAGATGTGCGCAATGATGACTGTTGTTGGTGCTGCTGAGGGGTCGGTCAGGTTCAACTCGAGCATGTAGTCTCGGGGCCCAGACTTCGGTCGGTGTGGTTCGCGCGGAGTGGCAGTGACAACGGCTAAAATATCGGCCGTTTTATTCAACGAGGCACGCAGGAATTTGAGTGGTAAGTAGTCCGGCAGGCTTGTTCTTAGACTCTTAGTCAGTTGGAGCCTCAGAGATGTGATGCTCACATCCTCAGCCACGGAGCTAGTAGCAGAAGATGGCCTGCCGGCGGCGAGTTTGCGGGGCGATCTCAGATTGTGCCCTGTGGCCGTTGACTCTGGGGTAACGTCCCGACGTGGAGTTGCTGACGCGTCATAAGCTGCATCTTGCGGATTCTCTTGCTCGAGCTGCTGTTGAGAGTCCTTGCTGGTTTCGGCTGTCAACTGCGAGCTCGGATCCGGCTGATCAGATTTATGACGACTAGCACGCAGCGATTCTGTTGGGCTGTTTAGCTGCTGAGGACTGCGCTCTGATGGCTCTGAAAGAGCCTGGGCTAGTAGGATGCTGGCATCAGTCGGGCCCTTGACGCCGCGTCTTGCGCGCAGCGATGTCGGCGCACCGGCTTCCTTTGGCGATTTAGACTCCTGGAAGGACGACTTGGCAAGTGCCGCATTACCCACTGAAGGCTCGGCCTTGCTCCGTGGCGACGACCGCGACGACCGCGGTGATCGCTGCGGGAGTGATTCTTCATCCCCAATGAGACATTGACTCGCCTTATTAGGGGAGCCCTTGGCAAACGAAGCGTTTGGATCAATCAAGAAGCTATCAGAACTACCACTGGAGACTCGTTTGGCACGGCAGTGGCTTCGAAGAGACTGCACTGTTATTAGCATCTCAGGCTCTGCCCTGCGAGAGCCACGTTCATGTGCGCTTTGTTCTGTGTGATGGTCATGGTGGTGATGAGCATGGTGATGGTGAGCATGATTGCATTCATGAGTTTCCTCAATTGCCTCTAGGGGCTGTGAGAGAGCCGGTGCATCATGTGCCTTCTGCGGAGTAGAATAATGCTGGGATTCAGCCATGAGTTGCTGCTCGATTGCAGTGTCGTCATCGTCGCCGTTGTCGTCGCTTCCATCCTCTCGTGCATCCTCATACTCATCTTCCGCCACATCTTCCTCCACATCTTCCCCGATGTCTTCCCCGGTGTCTTCCCCCATGTCGTCCTGTATGTCCTCCTCAACGTCTTCCTGTATGTCTTCTTCCAAGTCTTCTTCCACATCGTGGTAAACGGGTTCATCCACGTCTTCGTCCACCGTCCTAACTGATTCATCTACAGCCAGTGGCACCTCTTCCGTTACAACTGTATCGGCTACATCATGGTAAACCTCGTGGTCATCTTCCCGAGCTTCTAGTGGAATTGATAACTGTTTTGTAGCCGCTTGCTCATCCAGAGCTGGTACAGCCATGGGTGTCATCGAAGACAGTGCAGTCAGAGTAACCGGGGGCGGTGATGATGCAACGACTTCAAGCTCTCCTGTGGTTATTGGTGAAATTTCTTCAGTGGCTTGGTCGATCTGGTCGATCTCCTTCTCCAAGTCAATCTCGACATTCTCAGCTTCTTTTCCGAGTTGATTTAGCAAATCGTCTTGCATTTCCATGTCCGGTTCAGCAACATCATCATCTTCCGTTTTCGATTCTGCGCTGGTTGGCTGTATCTCCAAGCCAACAGGATCGACATCCTCCATAAGCTGGTCGTCGTTGGTAGTAGATTGTAGGATCGAAGTCTCTTCCACTTCGGCCATGTCCGCTGGTATCTCTAATTTGTGCACAGATGGCTCAGCAGCCGATTCTCCAGAATCCAAGGACTTTGAAGAGGCAGCATCTGGCTGTTCCAGTTCTCGTTTAAGCTCTTGTTCGTGCTTTTGCTCCTGCTCCTGCTCTCCCTCTTGTTGCTGCTGAGCTATCGGCGCTTCCTTAGCCTCTTCTGGAACAGTCGGTTTCTCGGTATTAATAGGTTCTGGTGATCGTGATTTAGAGATACTGCCCATCCCTATATCGGTAGTAATCTCTTCGTTGTCGGCGTTGGCGATAACGGATTCAGGCTGTGGCGAGGTCCTGTCTGCGAGCGGAGAGCTGACGAGAAGTACCGTATCCTCGGCCTCGGCTATAGTTTCCGCTATATTGACGTATCGGCGCTTGTCAGATTTAGGTGACAGTATCAAGTTCGGATGGTCCATTTCAAAGGGGCTGATTTCACTTCTGTCTGGTTCGTCGTGTTGAAGCAGAGCGACTTCGTTACTGCCATCAAGCTGGCTCACCATGCTGGGTCTCTTGGATGACTGGCTGACCACTGGTTTGATCTCGGTGACCTCTTCAATATCGGATGCGTCCTCGATTTCGTCCATATTTTCATCCAAGCTTTCATCCACGCCCGCGCCCTCCTCCACATAATCATCCGTGTCCCTATCTTCATCCTCAATTTCATCCTCAACTTCGACTTCATCTTCATCTTCATATCCATCTTGGTCGTCATCTTCGTCTTCATCTTCGTCCTCATCCATGACTTCGTCTTCTTGTTCACTTGGCTGCTCATTAGCCTCGTACTGCTCGGGCGGTATGGGCTCTTCGCTCTGCTCTTTCTTAGCCTGTACGGCAGCAGTGGGCTTGTCACTATCGTCATCTTCAGAATCAGACAAAAGGCTGATAACAACTGGCTCCTTGGAAGCAGCGGGAGCGGGTCTCGGGATTGGAATAAATGGCCTTGGAATATAAAGTGCCGGCTGCGCGGCTTCATTGTGAATTCGGGACTCTGATTCATATTCATATTCAGATCCCGATTCGTAGTCCGCGTCAGACCCTGATTCTTCAAGTTCGGATTCTGTTATGTCATCCTCATTAATTTCGTCTTCGCCAGAGCCCTGGTCAGCATACTGTTCGTCATCATATGCTTCCTCAGGGTCCCCGTTTTGCCTATTCCAGTCGTAGAAACCGCGCTGAGCATCTTCCTCTGCCTCTTCTTGTGATTCATCTGTGCTGGAATCTTGTTGCGGGGGGCTTGACCTGCCTTCTCTGCCAAACGTAGCGGTCACTGTAGCAGTCTCGGTATCATCTTCGCGGCGTCCATGATAGCTGGGGTTAGGCTTTTCAACACCGCTTTGCGTAAAGGACGATGATAGCATAGTGTGTGCCTCATTCACTTGAACATATCCATGCATTCCCACGCCGTGATATCCTGCAGATGCCAACGTATGCGTTTCATCTGAAGGGCTAGCTCTTAATGTGTAAGATGATCGAGCAAAGCTTCCCTGTGGAAAACCATGCACATCATGAGTGGGCATCGTATGGTATGCTGCCGCCAATGTATCGGCTACCCAAGCTAGCCCATCGTGTGTCTGGGAGCTGGGAGCTTCATGTTCTTGCAGTGGAGGCGGTTGCATCTCAGCCGCCATCATATTGTACGAATGCTGGTGGTGATGAACATCCGCTTCATGCGACTGTAGACTTGGGTCTATACTCATGGACATATCAAATCCACTATGCGGCGCAGGAATTTCCGGTTGGCGGATAGGTTCTGATTCGTGTACTCGAGCGCGTGCATCGTGAGCTTCAAATGAGAGCGGCGATGGCTGTTGGAGCACGCGGCCCATGTCCGGATGTTTCCATGGATTGGTTGGCGTAGGTTGTAGTAATATTCCCGTTGATTTGGATTCGGCAATAATTTGAACACCGCTGACTGGGCTGGAGCTCATCTCTCTAGTTTGGCATCCGTGATCTACCATTACCGGCTGTGGTTGGACAGCTGGTAACTGATCGCCCTTTTCGGTTTCTTTGGCTCCTTCACGATCTTCCAACATAATGGTCTCGGTATTCGCGATTGTGGGTTCATCTTGTTCTTCGTCTTCGGTAGGCTGCTCTTCCGCCTCGGGGGACGGTGACCGACTGGCATATCTCCAGGAGGTTGGGTTCATGTTGAATAGAGACCTTCTCTTCTTCTTCTTCTTGGCGCTCCTTGGAGGCTCTTCTTCGTCAAAGATATCAAAACCGCCTTCAAAAAGCGAGCCATACGACACTCTGGCTCTTTTGATGAATGCCGGAGAGGTATATTCCCCAGGCCCCAGCGTCTCATAGGCATATCTCTTTGATGGGACGACGGAAAGCGGCGTTCGTGGCACGGGATTCGCGAAATGAGTCTGCTCGATTTCGACCGAAGGCGAAGGACTCATTGTCTGGGGCTGCTCTATCGACTCCTGATCTCCCTCACCATCGTCCACATTGATGCTGATTGTGTCCACATCTTGGTTCTCGGCCCTGCGGATCATTAGCAGCAGGCGATTGGTAAACTTCATCTGCCACTCCAATGTGCCCGGCCGTCTCATCCACGCCTGGTTCTCCTCCCACCGCACCCCGTCCAAGCTCAGTCGCACCTCATCGCCGCCTCCCAAATGTGCGTCTGCAAGAGCCTTGGCTGCGGCGCCTTGGAATTCGACTCGGAGCTGGCCCTTGTCGCGTCGATGCAGGGGATCGCGTTCGGCGAGGATGAAGGCGATTGACTTGGTCACAGCGCTGTACGGCCATGTCACGGTGATGACGCCTTCGATCACGAGAGCTTCTGCGTCGAGAATGGCAGGGCTGAGCTTGGCGATGGGCGTCGCCTCGGTGCTGCGCAGCACGTCGAGTTGGGCATCGTCCTTTGCCATGGCGGCTTCACTGGCGCGCGCCGATCATCTAGTGGAGGGGCGGCTCTGGCGATGCTTATAGCAGGGTGGTTCAAGGCGGTTCATGATAGGGAATAGTAGGTGAAGGAGAGAAGCGGGAAAGAAGATTAAAAGGAAAGAGAGAAAAGCAAAGGAAAGAAACAGCCTGTGACGCAGGCGAGTCTCTTGCGTTCCCCTGTCGCTGATGCGCTGTACCTATCACTAAGGTGCGGTGCGTGAATGAATTTGGATTGGAGTGAGATGCAGCTCACTTTTTTTTTTCGCCTCGCTGCGCTGTCCTGCTTGGGCTGCAGCTCGCCCAATCTCGCAGCGACACAAATCCAACCGTTGCAGGGGTGAGCAAGTGAGCTACAGGCCCAAGACTGCTAGAAAGAAGAGAGCTGGCCAAGAGGGGCAGGCGGTGTGTTGCTGCCGGCTAGGCACCCGATGTACCTGGCGTTGATATCCAGCCGCGGTCCAGCGCCCGAACAGGCCATTACGGATACCTACAAAGTTACTCGAAGCACTTAGTGAGACCCAAGTGGCTGACATCATCCGACGCCGGCATGTTCTCATGCGACTATTTGACAGATCCGATCTCCAAGTGCCCGCCTAGCCGATATTATAAATGCCGTAGAGTGAATGCATCGTCTCTTCCTGCTATAAACTGGCGATGCCGCCAAGCAAATGCTCGCTCGCTTGTTTGGGCACCATTGGCCCATTTCCCTAAATACGATTCTGTTTGTACCAGGGACATTCATCTAAATACCTGCTCCCCATTGGATACTACTGGAGATAATCACATCTACTATACTTATTACATGCATATCGCAGCTGCTGATTCCTGCGCCGTCCAAGGAGCAACGACCAATAGCATGGGCGGCATCTGGTCAAGCCCTGCCGTTGGCACCGCAGTGGCCGTGCCAGCAACGCATCGGCAGCAACAGCGGCAGCCCTTCCACGTCAAGAAAGTCGCCATCATCGGCGCAGGGCCGGCTGGCCTGGCTGCTGCCAGATACCTCAACGCCCAAGGCGCCGTCGACTCCATCACCATCTTCGAGCAGCAGGATCAGGTCGGCGGCGTCTGGTACTACAGCGGCCTTGCGCCGAAGGAGGTGCCCGTGCCGCAGCAGGATCCGTTCTGGGGCCCGGAGCCGTCCATCTGGCCTGAGGGAGCACCGGCGCCAATCTTCCCTTCGCCCATGTACGAGAGGCTTCATGCGAATATTCCCGGATGCCTGATGCAGTTTCACGATACGGCGTTTCCGGCGGATGAGTGGCTGTTCCCCAAAAGGGAGGCGATTCAAGAATATCTTGTTCGTTATGCTGAGGACCTGAAGCATCTTATCAAATTCCGCCATCAAGTGACGCAGGTCCACGTAGAAACTCAGGATGGCAGAGATCAGTGGCATTTGGAAGCATCGTCTACGTTGAATGATGGTGAAGTCGTCCGGGAGACGTATGATGCCGTTGTCGTTGCCAATGGTCACTACTCAGTGCCTTTCGTACCCTCCATCAAGAACTTACAGGAGTTCAACAAAGCCCACCCTACCATCATCAGCCATTCAAAGCAGTATCGAAAGAATGAGCACTTCAGAGGGAAGAAGGTTGTGGTCGTCGGCAATGGGCCGTCTGGTCTCGACATAGCCTATCAAATCAATGAAGTGGCCGACAGAACGCTCATGTCCGTACGACATCCCACATCGCCCGACAAAATCTCTCACATTGGGTGTGAAGAAGTCCCCGAAATAGTCGAATTCTTACCAGACCAGCGAGGCGTTCTTTTCAAAGATGGAAGTAAAGAGATAGATATAGATTACATTGTGTTCTGCACTGGATTCTTGTTTGGCTACCCTTTCCTCAACAGCCTCGGCCACAAGATTATCACATCCGGGCGCGGTATTCATGGGCTCTATCAGCACACGTTTCTCATCGAGCATCCGACATTGGTTTTCCCAGCCCTAAATATGAAGTCTGTTCCATGGCCCCTCGCAGAAGCACAGGCAGCGGCATTCTCAGCGGTATGGGCCAATGATCTGGCACTGCCCTCTGACGACGAGATGAACAAATGGAGCAAAGAGCTGGAAGAGGCACGAGGGGAGGTACTACACACATACCCGGAATTAGGGGACGATGGCAAGCACATCAACGAGTTTTACGATTGGGTAAATAAGGCGAAACACGTGGGCAAACAGCCTCCACACTGGGAAGGCGAGCAGTTTTGGCAGAGGAAACTAGCTCCGCAGGCCAAGACCAAATTTGAAGAAGACGGATGTAGAGCCAAGACTCTGGCTGATCTTGGTTACCATTATGAGCCTGACAAAGAATGAATATGCAGCTGGGTAACTCTACTGGGGGGTGGAGAGAAACGGAGTTCAGGAGAGCGGCTCTTAGATATACTATTCAGGAGACAGAACTGTAGACTGTAGAGTACCTATGTATAGAACATAGCTTGAAATGATCTGTTTTTTTTTTCTACTACTGAAAGTCTGTGACAAGTCACTTACTACTTCTGCACAGCATGCACTGTAAAACAAGAGTATGTACTCAGGGAGGAAGAGAATATTGGTTCAAGTCATCGAAAAAAAGATGACTTGTTCGTAAAAAATCACATTGTTTAGACACACGCTGTTAATAAAGTCAAATCTCTTTTCGTCTTTTTTTCATTCAAAGAGCTCAACCTTTCCAGAAGCCATTACGCCTCGGTATGAAACCATGATATATCCCTCCTCCAATAACCCATTGTTCGTAACTTGCTGCACACCCAGAAAGTTAAAGTATTTACTCCTGCTTCTTCTGAGACTCCTGGGAGAAGACCTTTGCGTAAGGGTTCAGGCGCAGGAGGACCTGCTTGTTGCGCAGAGGGTTCTTCTTCTGGACGGCGGATCGTCGAGTAACAGCATCGCCCTTGGGGCCGTTGAGGGAGCTCTGGATTTCGCTGCTGTTGATCAGACGAGTAAGGTCGGCCTGGGAGACGACGTTGGAAGGCAGGAGGAAGTCCCGCTTGTGAGCAGAAGGAGTGGTGGTGGAGCCGTAGATCTCGTCAAGAGCCTTGAAAGCAGCAGAGGTCCAGACGATGAATCGGCCGAGGTGACCACCAGGGGCGAGCTGGAGGAGGTTGAGGGCAGAGACGGGGGAGGTCTCAACACCGGGGATGTTGCGGAAGCCCTTGACGAGCTCCTTGCCATCGACCTCGGGGTTGTAGACAACCAGAGGACCACGGCGCTGGCGGTGGCGGCGGCCACGGAGCTTACCCTTACCGGCACGGAGCTTCTTGGAGTCCTTGACCTTCTCGAGGTCAGCACCGGCGCCGACGGCCTTGAGGAGGGCGAGGGCAGCGGCAGTGCGGGCAACGGAGCTGCCCTCAACGAGAGCAGAGTCGACAACCAGGGGAACCTCGGGGATGGTCATGATCTGGTGGCCACGGGCGAGCAGGAGAGGGGCGGCGGCAGAAGCAGCCAGGGCAGAGCAGGTGGCATATCGCTTCTGGCCCTGGTTGACCTTGACGTGCCACTTGCGCCAGACCTTGGTAGGGGCGAACATGCGACCAGATCGGCACATGTTACCGAAGGCGGCCTGACCAGCACGGTGAGTACCGGAACCAGAGACACGAGGGATACGGGCAACGGCACGACCTGAACAATTCCAATACAGTCAGCACAGTTCTAAGCAAATTTCTTTCAGTGGGCGCGTTGAGGCTCTTCGCGATGGCTGGGCGAAAAAAGAAAATTTTCATAGTCCCGCCTTGTCTCGATTTGCATCTCAAATTCTGCCTCCCATGGTTTCCAAAAACACTCACCAGTTCCCCAAGACTCAGCAGAGGTCTGGTGACCGGCCTTCTCGCTGACGGCATAAGGCTGGCGCTTGTTCTTGGCCATGCCAGTGTGAACCTGCTTCACGATATCCGGTCGGATAGGGCTGGCGAAGACGGCGGGAATGGTGTGGGTAGCTCCAGAGGGAGCACCATCCTTGCCGATGATAGTGACGGTAGGTCGTGAAGCCATTGCGATGGTAGGACTAGGACCTGATGGCGGATTGAAGAGTTAGCAACTTTCAAAAGGCGAAAAGGCTGTGTTCAGGGCCGATGATAGGGTGCAGCATACCGTGGTCGTCGGGCTGGTCGAATTTGGCGATGAGAGGTGGAAAGTTTGCTGGCTGCTAGACCCGCGATAAATTTCACTGAATTTTCCTTGCAATTTTTGGTGGGCGGACCCTAGTTTAGTGGGGTACGTACCTTAGCGAGTAGAATTGGGGCTCACGTGATTGCCCTTTTGGCATTTCTGACAGGGTTGCGAGCTTCTATTCCTCATTGGGAGACAGCTTAGTAAGGGAAAGGCTATGGACAATGGGACTCGTTTTATATGGCATATCAGAAGCTTCAAGACAGAGCTCATATTTTAGGTAGTATTTCATGTATCTATTGTCATCATGTCATATTGCTAGTATCATGTATCATATCCGTGTATGCCATCTTAATGATGTGAGCTTCGCTATGCTTATTTCCAAGGCAATACACTGACCCTATAAAAAGATAATGCTTCTAAGTTTTCTACCACTTTATTCCCATCTCTTCCACTCTCTGCTGAGTTTATCAATCTGTTCGTCTGTCCATGCGCTATTGCGTCCATCTCTTACAAGACTGAGAAACTTGCTGTGTACGTCCTTCTCAATCTTCAACCTCTCTCGAGCCTTTCCCTCCAGATACTGCGGATCATTGTTCCTACAAGCTCTCTTGAAAACGTCTCTCATCCTGGCAGAATAGAGCTGGCACGTTGCAATGGGCAGCTTGGTCGGCTTCAAATAGAAATTCTGAGCAATCACATTGTCTTCTGCGCGCTGAGGCCGGACCACGGCCTCGTAGCATTCCCCGCAGACCGTAAAATCCGGTAGATACTCCATCACGTACCAGTAGCCGTCGCTCACGCGGCGGTCCTCGCGACACTCATCCATAGTGCTCAATCGCGTAAGCATCATAGAAAGGTCACCGACGTCTACCTTTCGGTTGGTCACATAGCTCTTGTCCGATGTGGTCTCAAAAGCATCGAAGAACAGCACGAACTGTTTCCGCTGAGGCGTATAATGTAGAGAGCAACAGTTTCTCGATGGCTCATTCCTGGGATCAAGTGGAATGAAAACTCCTGTGAGATTCGGGAATAGGGTCTCTACCGTCTTCGCACATTGATAGCATACTGCAAATTCGGGCACCGGCCGCCTTGTATATGGGTCCTTTACGGTGAACCAAACCCGTGTTACTTTGCGTTCGACGGGGCAAGGATAGTCGCGAGAATCGAACATGATCTTTGCAAGATGATGAAATAGCTGCAAGTCGGGCACCTTATGTTTCAGTGTTAGCAGCCAAGCTATCTGATACCAAGGCGATGAACCAAAGTCGCACGCAATTGCGTTGCCTGTTGGTCGTAGTACTGGATGGAAGTGAGTCCGGTACTGGGTGTCTGCAAACACATGGCCATAACAGTCAGGACAGATATTGAACTCTGTCCTGGGGAGTGTAAGCCAATCCATCTTCCCGGCTACTGGTTCTTTGCGCTTGCAGTCTGGCATGTTTGGAAAATCTGACTGCTCATCATGACCTCTGGTCTCAGAGTAGCGCCGGTAAAATCCAACCGTTTGGTCAGGACGCACTCCGGATTTGTTTGGATCAAATGGAGGTGGCTGCCACGCTTTCGTTGTCACGGATGGCTCTTTATGTGTTGGAGACTTGATAATTTTCTCGTCCGGTGCCACGTGGTCATCGTCAATCCGAGGAATTGGTGGCATTAGAACAGGCGATGCAGTATCCGCCCGTGATTGCCGCGCAACTTCGATTCCTGCTGACTCCTCTGGCCAAGCAACAATCGCATCGTCATCGTCTGGATAGGGAAGGTGAATTACTGGGGGCGTTCGATCCCCTTGGAGCTTCTTCTCTTGATTGAGCGGGAAAGTAGTTGACATGCGGCGATTAGGCACCCAATCCTCCGGCAGCCCTAATGAATTCACCGACGAAATTGGCATCGTTGGAACTCTAGAAGGAGAGCGAGAATTTCGGCCACTAGTGCCACCTCTGCGTGATGATGCAACAGATGCATGGTCGTCGTCATCAATGATAACTGGGCTTTCTCTTCTATAAGAGTTGCTGAAAGTTTCGTTCCGCGGAGAATTTTGATCCTTAAACCTGGATGGCGATGGGGCTCTCAAGGTTTCGGTTACGGGTGGCTTCTGTGAAGCATAACTATCTCTCAGGAGTTCATCGCGAAGGGGTCGATTGCTGTCTGGAGGACGAGACCCGTTGACGCGATCGTGCGACATAGGCCTTGACAAGGGCTCAAAACTTGAGTTCGGTCGCCCCTCCATCGTCGCTGTTGCGCTTCGTCTATGATACCTGTCTTCGTCTCTTCTGCTCTCGCTTGGTTCGCCCAGGCTAGCGCTACTATGGGTAGGCGGTTTGCCATATCCATTGTAGGTCTTGTCCCGGCCACTCGATCCATGTTTTGTCACTTGCGGCGAAAGATATTCCTCCCCATACTTGCGATTGTTCTGCGAGAACTCCGGGCGGGGGGCATTGACGGCAGATTTGCTTCGATGATGGGTTGGTGTCCGGTTCTCGTCCACGTCTGTCTCCAGCCGAGGCAGGTCTTGTCTGCTTCCCCGCCTCTCTAGCTGAGGAATAGAGGCGCTGAGACGATCGGATTTCACATTCTCGGCTTCGCTAATCTTTCTCCTATTTTGTGTCTCTGGTGAAGAAGACGAAGATACCGGCGCCTTCTTCTTTTGACGAAATTTATCTTTATCTTTCAAAGCCTTGTCCTCAGTCTCGTTCTCGGGTACGCTTGACGGAGTCGCACCCGGCACTATAACAAAGCGACGCTCAGTCTCGCTTTCGGGTGCGCTTGACGGAGTCGCGCCTGGCACTATAACAAAGCGACGCTCTGGATTGTATTCAAAAACTTCTTCTAGGACTGGCATTTGGTCAACTTCCCCTCTCGCCTGCGGCTCTTCCTCGACAACAAGCTTGAGGCAGCTGCCAAATTCCTTTGCAAGGGAATCAACCTCATCTTCGACGGTGGGTGGAGGTGGTTTTGAGCTGCGGTAATATGGAACGTCGTCGTAATATCGCGGCGCGAGGCGAGATACAGGCGGCTCTGGTGGCGTGGATAAGCGCACAGGACGCGGCGGGGAATCGACAGACGCTCTGCAAGGTTCAACGTGGTCAGCTATTGTCTTTTCAACCGAGATCAGGCAGCTATCCATAGGTCTTGGGACGTACGAATACCCTTGCTTGGCTCTTGACGTGGTGAAGTACCCCGTCTGGAGCATGTTCTCTATGGGATTGCTCATTCTGACCCGTCGTTGGGCTGTCAAGCCACAGGGCGTCTAGATTCTGGAAGATGCTGGGATAGAGCGTCACAGCGGCCCTATGCGCCGCGCTGCCAGTCAATCGGCCAAAGGCCTATGTGGGCTGTATCGTAGGTCCACGGGCGAGCTGAATGATGGCGTTTACTGTCGAAATTGAATGATGAACAAGGCGTCCCTGGGCCAAGCTGGCAAGTGAAGTTCCACAGCAAAGGACTTCCAGAGAGTAAACAAGAAAAATCCACAAGACGTCAGTGGTGTTTGGGTTAAGATGATTCAGATGACATCGTAGTGGGGTCTGGGCAGTATTTCAATTAGCGGCGTGGCGGCCCGCTTTGAGGGGTCCCGAGCGCTGTAACTGCCTAAGGCAAGTGCTATACCAAGTAACTGGCAGCACCTGTGCTTGTTGGCGTTGCCACTCGTGCCCAACCAGCCCTTGCCTCCAACCATGTCGATAAAGGGTCGCTGAAAAGCGCCTGTCTCAGCACGAGGCTGTGCTGCATGGGGCAGTGAGGGTCTAGCATCTATAAAAACACTTGATACTGTCGCTGAAGTCCGAAGTAGGGTTTCTCCGTCTCTCGTTGTCTTGGCAGCTGTTCAACTATCTCTTCCATTGATCGATGAATCTGGCGCACAGGCTGCAACTGCATCAAAGGTGAAACTAACTTGAGCATCATTTCCTCTGATTATGGAGTATATTGGCTTGGCTGGGTAGATTTCCGTCATATACGCAAGTGCCTAGATACTAGATTTGCAGTTATTTGATCGGCATAAAAGTCAGAGGTTTGACGTAGGTAATTTGTCTTCACGCATGCTCATGTCGGGCCATAAAGCTGAGGCATATTATAAAGAGGCAGCCGGGCCAAACACGTTCATATACAAAATGCCTATATAAAGCATTGCATACACGTATACTGACTGTAAGTGGTGTGGGGGGCCCTCAGCAAGGTTGCTTGATAGGCGTTTTTGGGAGGCCGTTGCATGCACTGCCGCCCAAATAAGGGTTTACCAAGGTAGCTAGGTAGGTATTTCTTACACATTTGTTTCGGGCTCTGCTCGCCGACACAGGTATACGATTGTCTTTCTGAGACTTGAGTGTAAATTATGTGATTATTATTATTCCACTTTCGTGAGATCGTGACGTATGTATTAATTAGGTATAATCATTTTGTAAGACGTAATGCATGATAAGGCCACTTTGGCCACATCCACTCAACCCGATTTTTTGAGTATTTCGAGGTTTTAGGCTTCAGCCCAATTGCGGCTCCCAGACCGATTGACATGCTTGCAGCAAGTAGCCTTGATAGCAAATATGCAAAATCAGCAAGAATCGAATATGGCCGTTGCTAGCCCAGCCAATTTGCCCCTGCTTACTCCAGGAGGTCCCTGATGTCCTCGTCACTCTCCTCCTCATACCGTCGTTGCTCCTCGGCTTCCAGAATCTTCCTCAAAGTCTTCCTTTGCCTGACTCGTGCCTTTGAGCCCCAGTTAGCCTTGGACCCGTCGGCACCCTCATCAGCGTCCACATCTTCTTCTTCCACCGCACCCAGGCCACGCAGGTCATTTGGCGACATTTTAGCAACCTGGTCCTCGGCGAATTTCTTGTCCTTCACATCCTGCTCCTCCAGCTTCTTGACAGCATGCTTGGTTGAGTATTTGATGATGTGAGGTCGTATCAGCAAGTATGTGCATACAACCATGATGAGACGAAGCCAGCCTTGTGTTGACATGTCGGAGAAGCTCTTCTGGATGTTGTTGGAGGCATTCTGCCCAAACTGAGACAACTGGCCAAGGATGGACTGAGAAGATTGCCCATCATCGTCTGGGTATGGCTGGTATGACTGAGAATCCATGGTATCAAGAGTAGCGGAAAGTTCTCATAAAAGGGAGGGCGGGAGAATAGAGTTTTCTCCAAGATGAGCGGCAGATGGCCAGATAATTGAAAGCAACAATTTCCAGCAAAAGTGGAAAAGAAAAGGCCAATAAGATATATGAGGCAAGGTGACCTCTTTATAGGGGATGGCGAGGTTTGGTAAAAGACGAAGATGCAACCGTAGTCTTAGAGGAGGGATGGCGGAAGTTTTTGTTCTAGACACCGACACTGCAAATTCGCTAGTGAGCACGGCGTGCTCCGGCCTATTTCTCCGAGGCTGCCGGTTGGGCGTGGCGGATCCGATGAGCGCCATTTACATGTATAGGTAGAAGCTCAACGGGACCCATAGGTACTTGGGAAAGCTTGTTTTTTTTTGTTTTCTTTTGCGAAGTAATTAAAAGGGGGAAATGGTAACCCAAAAAATACATTGTTCTATAACATCAACTTCCCTTTCCTAGCAATTGATTGGCTAATGATGTTGTTTGTCTTGAGAGAGCTTTCATGTTTTGGAAGAAGTACCTACTGCCATACAAATGGCCTCCGGAGTTCCCTGACCGCTGATGTAGCACGGCGACGCCGTTGGGCCACTTGCTTCCCCCCCCATACATGTCTTTTGCTAATTCGAATAAAATGTGCAATCCGTTCATTCTCCTAGAGAATTTGATATTATCTTGCAATTTTAACTCGCGAAACGCTGCATTGCATGAATATTCATACCTAGAACCTCTTGCAGAGTTATATACGAGTCACGTGATGTCTAAACGCAGCCAATCGGCCCAATCAGGATAGCGTGAAAGCGCTTTATGCTGGGAGCTCAAAAATTTCGTCTGTACTTTGTACCCCGGAACGCCTGATTTGAGACTCGGTTTTTTCCCCTCCCCCACTGGCCAAATATTTTTTTTTCTTTTTCTTTTGGCCTGGCATTGTATATTTCATATTGGCGGCGCAACATGTCGACTGCATTCAGATCAATTGCTCCGTTTGTACGGACGGCCCGGTATGGCCTGAAGTCCGGCAGCGTCAACCCTCTCCAGGCTGCGCTCAAGAACAACCGCAGTGCGGCTGGTGTTCTCAACATCGCCCGTGCATATGCCGTTTTTGAGCGAACCAAGCCTCACGTGAATATCGGTAAAGCGCCTTTTCGAATGGGCCATAATTAAAGATTTTGTGTTAACAAAGGGTTTGTAACAGGCACTATTGGCCACGTCGATCACGGAAAGGTAAAGTTCATGGAAGCAACTTATAAAGACACAACACTGACCCTTTGCCGCTATTGTAGACTACCCTGTCCGCTGCCATCACCAAGAGGCAAGCCGAAAAGGGCTTCGCCAACTTCCTCGACTATGGCTCCATTGACAAGGCTCCCGAAGAGCGAAAGCGAGGTATCACCATCTCTACTGCCCACATCGAGTACTCAACGGAAAACCGCCACTATTCCCACGTCGACTGCCCGGGTCACGCCGATTACATTAAGAACATGATTACTGGTGCTGCCAACATGGACGGCGCCATCATTGTCGTCGCCGCCTCCGATGGTCAGATGCCCCAGACCCGTGAGCACTTGCTGCTTGCCCGACAGGTCGGTGTCCAGAAGATTGTTGTCTTTGTCAACAAGGTTGATGCCATCGACGACCCCGAGATGTTGGAGCTTGTTGAGATGGAAATGCGTGAGCTTCTCAGCACCTATGGCTTTGAGGGAGACGAGACCCCCGTCATCATGGGCTCTGCTCTGATGGCCCTGAACAACCAGAAGCCCGAGATTGGCCAGACCAAGATTGATGAGCTGCTCAAGGCCGTTGACGAGTGGATTCCCACCCCCGAGCGTGATCTCGACAAGCCTTTCCTCATGTCTGTTGAGGATGTCTTCTCCATCTCTGGCCGTGGTACTGTCGTTTCTGGCCGTGTTGAGCGTGGTGTCCTCAAGCGTGATGAGGAAGTCGAGCTTGTCGGCAAGGGAATTGACCCCATCAAGACCAAGGTCACTGATATCGAGACCTTCAAGAAGTCTTGCGAGCAGTCCCAGGCTGGTGACAACTCTGGTCTCCTGATCCGTGGTATCCGTCGTGAGGACGTCAGGCGTGGTATGGTCGTCTGCAAGCCCGGCACCGTCAAGTCTCACAAGCAGTTCCTTGCTTCCCTCTACGTCCTTACCAAGGAGGAGGGTGGTCGCCACACTGGTTTCCACGAGCACTACCGACCTCAGATGTACCTGCGTACATCTGATGAGTCCGTCGATCTGACTTTCCCCGAGGGTACCGCTGATGCTTCTGGCAAGATGGTCATGCCCGGTGACAACGTCGAGATGGTTATCACCCTGACCAACCCCAATGCCATTGAGGCTGGTCAGCGATTCAACATCCGTGAGGGCGGCAGGACTGTGGCCACTGGTCTGGTCACCCGCATCCTTCAGTAAATACAACTAACGACTTGACAACCCTGGAACAGCGTGGAGTTGTTGGAATGAATAAAAAACAAAATGGACAAAAATCGTCGGGAAACTGGGAGACGACAAAATTGGCGCAATGCTTCGGCCATATCTCTCAAATCTGAGCCACACGTGCTCGTGTATAGTTGTAGGGGAAGCGGATATACAAAAAATCTCCACTACGCTTCTTCCTTAATGTCTTCATATATCAATGTACTTTAGACGGATGGTGGAGGCAGGAATAGATGTGCAAAAATACAAAAGCTTATGATTTACTCTTGGCCCGTTTTAAATAAGTAGAATGTGAGTAGTAGATTGTTACAGCATTACTCTTCTTGGGTATACACGTCATGATAGGGTGTTGATAGGGACATCGTGCATGATATGGTTTGGGTAAGTCACTCGTATTTACACGTATTTGAGCAGCATCCGATATCAAGATGTCCCTTTACGACAATTGCGATGGTGCAAGTTTCCCAAAAAAATGATCCATGGCATTCATAGGTATTCGTCTCATCATCTCTCAGCCATACAAGATGCAGCAGCGGGGAAAACAGCGGACGCAGCATGAAAATTTATCGAATGCAATGGTATTCGTCTATCCTCGGAGGATGTTCGTCAGACGCACGATCTTTTCTTAAAACCAAGCCATCCATTAAACTCCGGTTCCAAGCGGCCGCCCTCCGAGTGCTTTTTGTGTATTGGCCATCAAAAATGCAGCACGCATCCGTCAATCCCTTGTCCCCCTTTGGAAAGCCCCCTTTTTACAGCAACTCCTTTATCGGTACTAGAAACACGCAAAACCACGTTAGTCACTGCTCTCTCTCTCTCTCTCTCTGATGTGTTGATCCCCGTATCCCAATCTCCTTTTCTCATGTCTTCCATCTCCCAGGTGCTCCTTTCCATAGGTCTTTTGAGGTGGCTTACCTTGTGGAAACCAATGTCCTTGGCCTTCTCACGGAAGCATTGACGGCACAGGTCAAGGTCGTACTTGCGGATCAGACCAGCCTTGTGCTTGCAGACGCGGCTAAAAGAATGTCCAGTTAGCGTTCGTGGTTCATTGTATTGAATTTCGTCGATCGCCCCAATATCCTCCCGATCCGACACTCGGCTGCAATCGTTGCAGTGAAAGAATCCTCCAGCAAAGGAGAAAAAAAAAGGGTAATATCAGGCGTCATACCATTGGCGAGAGCCCTTGCCGTAGTTTCGCGGGCGCGAGTTCCAGACGCTTTCGTGAGACATGATTGCGGTTGTGGTGTTGCAAGATGGTGATTTCGCGAGGGCAGAAGTGGGCGGAAATTTTGTGTGAATTTTGCGATTTGCCTAGGCCTATCCACCAACCGATTGGAGGGTTGGCAGCCCCGGCGAAGCGGGCCCACCAAAGCCAAAGGTCGGGTTTGGAGCGTCACGTGGGGGGCTTATCATTATCAGCACGTGCAGCAACTTTTATCTGATTTTCGCCTAAAGCAAAGCTTCGGTGGGGCCCCTCTCTCCCTCGGTGAGGCCACCGCCACTAGCTTGGCTGAGCTCCCCGCCGTGCCTGAACCAACCACACACCTTGCATTTGGCGCAAGCTGTCCTCTTTTTGCCGCCTTGATTTCAAAGCACCTGTCTCAGGGCGACTGCTGAGCTACCACGACTGATTATCAGGGGTTTTTTAGGCGGCCGTATAAATCATCAGCTGCTTCTCTATTATATCCAAGCCGCAGTTGCTATTTCCACTGCGGAAACACCCCAGTTTTGATTGATATTACGTCTTTTCCTAATTCGTCATGGTTCTCATCAAGAACCTCATCTTCGCTGCCCTAGCGGGCTCGGTGGCCGCCAAATCCGCGGTTATCGATCTGATCCCGTCCAACTTTGACAAGCTTGTCTTCTCCGGAAAGCCCACATTGGTCGAGTTTTTTGCTCCCTGGTGCGGCCACTGCAAGAACCTTGCCCCCGTTTACGAGGAGCTGGCCCAGACCTTTGAGTTTGCCAAGGACAAGGTACAGATCGCAAAGGTCGATGCCGACTCTGAGCGAGACCTTGGAAAGCGATTTGGCATCCAGGGATTCCCCACGCTCAAATTCTTTGATGGAAAAAGCAAGGAGCCGGTGGAGTACAACTCGGGCCGTGATCTTGAGAGCCTGACCAGCTTTATCATTGAGAAGACTGGTGTTAAGCCCAAGAAGAAGAAGGCCGACCAGCCCAGTGACGTTGCCCACCTGGATAACAAGAGCTTCTACGAGACTATTGGAGGAGACAAGAATGTGCTGGTATCATTCACTGCTCCTTGGTGTGGTCGTAAGTGTAAACCCCGTTTACCCATCTTTTCATCTAGTGATCATTGTATATTTACCGCCAATGCCTTCATCTAGACTGCAAAAACCTAGCACCTACTTGGGAGCAGGTTGCCCACGACTTTGCCAATGATGCCAACGTTGTGATCGCCAAGGTCGATGCCGAGGGTGAGACCAGCAAGGAGGTTGCTGAGGAACAGGGCGTTAAATCTTACCCCACCATCAAGTTCTTCCCCGCTGGCAGCAAGGAGCCCGTCGCATACGAGGGTGGCCGACAGGAGATTGACATTGTCAACTACATCAACGACAAGGCCGGCACTTTCCGCACTGAGGGAGGCGAGCTTAACGACAAGGCCGGTACCGTGGCATCTCTGGATGCTATTGTGACCAAATTCCTCGGTGGCGTCTCACTCGCCGAGGCTGCTAAGGAGGTCAAGGCCGGTGTTGCCAAGCTCAACAACTCCGCAGAGGCCAAGGCTGCGGAATACTACGTCCGCGTGTTCGACAAGCTGAGCAAGAGCGAGCAGTTTGCTGCCAAGGAGCTCACAAGACTCCGAGGCATCTTGGCCAAGGGCGGTCTCGTTGCTGGTAAGCGAGATGAGATCCAGATCAAGGTCAACATCTTGAACAAGTTTGCCGCCAAACCAGAGGAGAAGGATGAGCTGTAAGCTATTTAAGCTGTGAAAGGAGTAAAATAACGTATTTTTTTGTCTACTATCAAGCGAAGAAAGCATCATAGATTGTATGAACCCGATTGTTACAGCTATCAAGACAGTTATATATATCAAGACAAAAGTCAAAACAAATTCTCCAGTAACTCCGTGACTCCCTGATGGGCTCACTTCCTAGTTGGGCCGTCATGAAACTCACTTCAAGTCTCGGCCTTGAATTCTTCAGTTTATCATCAAGGTTTGGATGAAGAGTTTGCCTCCTTGTTTTTCTTGCTCTCTAGTAGAGCAGCTTCAAGGCTATCGAGTCTGCGAGACATTTCATCCACTAACCTCCCCTATTAGCATGTTTTGAGCTACCGAGTCTTTCAATTCTTACTCACTTTTGGCGAAAATCTCGGATGATACACCAGATAATTTGTTGGACAGGGTGTTTAAGAGATCTTCAACAGCTGCTGTGACATCCGCATTGCCTTCGTCGCCGTTCTATCAAAGGCGGTTAGCTGGCTTCTTGCAAGCCGTGTAATTGGATTTTGATTCTATAGTAAACATGGGATGAGAGATGGAGTGGTGTGGAGAGCAAGGGGCGATTTTATACACGGAGCAGTGGCTGATACATCCTTGAAGATGCTCCCGTGGTAGAAGGGTGAGAGGATGAGCGAACCAGACGTACAGCAGCTGGATTTGAGGCGACAGAGTCACGGTTCGATGCCATGTTGAAGCTGGAGATGAAGGGTAGCGCGGGATTCGCCGTGGATCTGTGTTGGCGGGCGATAGCGATGTGAGCTGCTCAAAAATACGACGCGACCTTCTTCCTGGCGCTGGAACTAGACGCGTGGCTTCGATCTTTGATGTGTCTTAGTGTGGATTTGTGGGCTATCTGGAGCTGAAGTTTTGCACCAAGTCGAAGCGAGGTTTGAGAGTTTGTCAAGGAACGCCACGAAGAGTCGGAATGAGATTGAGCACAGAGCACAAGCATTACCGGCCCGCCTAGATTTTTAGCCCACCGCTAGAAACGGAGGCTTGCGACAGCAGCTTCCAGCGTCTCAGTAGCGACATTAGCTCCCTGCAGGGGCCCTACAAGAGCCGTGCTCGGCCCATAGCTGCAGGTAGCCCCTCCGGATGTCGCTGGCTGATAACGTTACGCTGCCACACTCGTCACTCCAAACTTAGAGCACCGCTACCAAATCAAACGTCCCCCAATACATTTATTTCTCCTCCAACGCAGCCGATTCGAAGCGCCCTCGTCCCTGACAACGCTCGGTCTGGGACAAATATAATGATAGCGATATAAACGATTCCGGGGTCTCGTCCACCAATCCGGACAAGATGCCACAGACAAACCAACCCCACACCTGGAAGTTCTTCTTTGTCTTCTTCGTCATCTGGCTTATTTTGCCCGATAGCGAGTACCAAAGCCAGTCGGTTGCTTTATCCGACCTTATTCTCTCGCGCCTTTCAGACTACCGCGTCGCCCTCGATGTGCTCAATTCGACACGATGGGGGGACTTTGCTCCCCTAGAGGCAAACCGTACGGAGAACAGCGACGCGGGCTCTCCTAAATATATCAACTTGACGGGGTTTCGAGACGAGGATCACTTTTCGTGGCAACACTTGAACAAGTTCCGGGAAAGAGGCCTGAAACTCAGCCACCATGCCGTCTCCGCGGTTGATGGCAATGAGCTGTGGGATGTGGCAGAGGGTGAGCCGATATGGGCAAACGCTTCCGGTGTTCTTGGAGGCCAGTGGGTGCGTCGCCCAGAGTTTAGTCCAAGGACCCCTGACAGCTACAATTTGAGCCAAAGTGTGCCTTCCATGCACTGGTATGCCGATAAATGGGACTGGGCTCGTAATTTGACTGGTACAAGTGGGCGAATCCATCTGCGTTTGGAAGGGAACAAGACGGTTACTGGATATGAACAGCTCTCGAAGACCGACGCCCCCCTCGGCGGAGGCCTGATACGCAATATGAAAGGGGTATTGACGATGGAAGATGAGGGATCGTCCTTTGAGACGCGTCTCTGGGGAGTACATTGGCCACGGCAAGGAGTCATCATGATGACGACTACGAGCGAAAAGTTCGACGGCATCTTTGGGCTGCCGCATCTCACCCTTGGACCAGACTATTTCCAATCTAGCCAGAGGCTCCTTAACCAGTCTCTGGCGCACACGATAGCCACAAAGAAGAAGAACATCTATACCGACCAAAACATACCGTGGAACGCAGACGTTGAGAACCCTCTCCACACTCCAAGTCCTGCTCCCAACTGCGAATACATCATATATGCGCAGATCCATCCTCCAAGCAGACAGAGTCTTGGCCTCGGGGATACTATCTCCAAGGGCGAAAACGTGGCAGACATTATACAATCAATCGAGTCAGAGCTGGAACATCCGCTGGGTGCGCCCATCCAACGCATTCCAGATCTCCACATGTCGTCGGTGATATACTCTCCAGACTGCTCATTCATGTTGGAAACCAAGGGGCCTCCAGATTTCCCTCCCAGCGAGGCTGACCATCTTGTCGGCGTCAAGTCTGAGATTCAGGTCACCAGGATCAACAAATGGCTCATCACATACGCGGCAGTGATTTTTATCCAAGTAATGTTGCTCAAAGACCAGATGAGGGAGACGTACACACCGTCCACTCTCGGCAGGGTCAGCTTCTGGACAATCAGTGTAATGGGCATCGTCGACTGCATGACCTTTTGTGCGGCTGCCACGTGGGTTTCGGAGGCTCAGAGCACCTTCTTACCGACCTTGACGCTCATGTTCACATCACTCATGTCCATGATGATTGGAGGGAGTCTCCTTGCTAGGATCCACGAGATTCAAGCACCACAGCCCCGTGCTCGCCGAGAAGGGACGGCTGGATCAAACAGCGGCCAAGCCAGCTCGACCGCTTCTGCACCGCTGACTCCCAACGCAACGGGCACAGGACCTATTCTTCCTGGGCCTGTGACAGCAGGACGTGGCCCCGATCCCACAGCTGCTGCTGCTGCTGCTGCTGCTGCTGCTACCAATGTCGCAGACGGCGCTGCGGCCGTACCTGGGGCTGCCACAGCTACAAGGCCGCTGCCACCGCCCTCACCACCTCAAACGTTTCAGTCCATCATTGGGCGATATTTACTTTTGGTCCTCTTCATCTCTTTCGTGGGGATATCTTCTCTGACGTGGTATGCGACGGCGCGCTCATGGTTCATCAACATCTGTGTGTTTGTATACCTATCCATGTGGGTACCCCAGATATACCGAAACGTCATCCGCAACTGCCGCCGCGCCCTCAAATGGAAGTTTGTCGTCGGCCAATCCATCCTCCGCCTGGCCCCGTTGGCGTACTTTTGGCTCGATGCGGATAATTTCCTCTTTGCTCGGACTGAGCCGCACTCCTTTCTGGTGCTATGCCTCTGGGTCTGGCTGCAAATCTTCGTGCTGGCCACGCAAGATATCGTCGGCCCGAGGTTCTGCGTTCCCAAGGATTGGACGCCGGATGCGTGGGACTATCACCCGGTGCTGCGAGAAGACAACGTCGAGGCTGGAGCCTTGCCCATCGGGCTGAACCCTGAAGACAGCCCAGGCCATGACCATAGGCGCAGCAGCGAAGAGAGGGACAAGCTTCGCCCCGGCGGCGGTATTACACGGACCATTGATTGTGCAATCTGCAGAGAGTTACTCGAGGTGCCCATTGTCAAGGCTGGGGAAGAAGACATGAGCGTGACGGGGGTGTTTGCCAGGAGGATGTACATGGTGACTCCGTGCCGGCACATTTTCCATACTGATTGCTTGGAGAACTGGATGAAGTTTCGGTTGCAGTGTCCGATATGCAGAGAGGACTTGCCTCCTCTTTGATCAAGTATATACCTTTTTGAATAAATTCAAGTGACAGCGGAATACAAAGAGCGTAATGGAGAGAATACTGTGACACAAGGGACGATTAGACGGCGGTGACTTGTCTATTACATTTTCAACTATGTAGCAGTATAGTGGTTAATCTACCTATGGTCAATACTTGATATGTGCATCCATTTCAGCATTTCTATATGCTGGCGTGATCCTATATGCCTTTTCCCGCTCCCCTTAAACTCCTTGTGATGGCACAAAAAAAAACCCAAAAGAGTAGAAACAATCGCTAGAATCATGCGAATTCAGTTTAAACAAGAGACACAAAAAAACAAAAAAACAAGATAAAATGTAAATGGGTATTCTTGTGCTGCGTAACACAGTCATGTCGCATCCATTGCATGTTTCATAAACGCAGATGCCAGAGGAAGGAAGCCCACTGTTGGCCTGTTGGGTGTTGGCTCACCACGTAATTCGGGTTGTTCTGTGTCGTTGGTCATGCATCCCTTGGCGCGCATCTCGCGAGCCCACCGTCAGGTCGGCAAATCGGGCGCGCAGATCAAAGTCGACAGACTGCACCATGACTCTCTTTTCCTCGGGGATCGTGGGCGTCGTCGGCGGTTCGCCTGCGTGGGTTACTACTCGAATCTTGACATCGTCGTGCTGAGAATGGCGCGTGTCTGGCAAGGCGTCGGCCTCTTCGAGCTCCATGATCCATTGGCCAATGTTGGCCGCCAGCTCGCTGTCCCACATGCCCTCGCGGCGGGCGCTGCTCCTCAGTAGGCGGATGGATTCTCTGCGGACAATGGGATCGCGGCATTTGGTGGCCACGACGAAGAGGGGCGTGACGATGCCGAGGTCTGCGGAGAAGCTGGGCTTGATGTTGTGGGTGTGGGATGTTCCGTGGTGGCTGTCGTGGTGTTGCTGGCATCGCTGCGGATCGGGGCAGCGGTCAGGGGCAGCTCGCTTCTCGTCATCGCCGACGACTTCCCATCCGAGGCTGACAATCTCTTTGAAATGCGGGAGGAAGCTGTCGAATTGGACTTCGGTCTTGCAGAAGATGGTCAAGAATACGATCTGGGTGTTCATGTGGAACATCTTCAACGCTGAGATGGCTGATTTCTCCAGGAGGTCTATACCGGGTTGCAGTCGTGATTGGAAAATGGGTTCGAAAGCCCTGGTCCAGGAATCGATCTGAGCCTGAAACGTCGAGCCCAGCTGTAGCCAGGACGGCGGCAGGGTGTATGAGGGCTCTCTCCTGGCTGCCTGCAGGTGCTCGATGAACCGGAGCAGCATTTCGCAGAGCTGGTCGGAAGCAAGGCGTGCTTCTCGCAGAGACGCGAATTCGTGGGGGATGGGACTTGATGGCTGCGGTGAGCCTGAATCTGAAAGAGGAGAAGATGGGTCGTTTAAGCTTTGAGGACCCAGTTCGATGACATAGGGGTGGGGGAAGTGGAAGGCCATGTCGTATGACTTGGCCTGGATGGCGAATCGTGTGAAGATGACGAGGAGATCCTCCTCGACCCGTTCGCTCGGATGTGGATTTCGGGCCCGGTCGTGCTGAATACGGGCCAGAAGCCGCAACCCCGTCTGGATCTGGACAATGGCCTGCCTGTGGTCGCCGATGAAGGAGTCGAAACAGGCCAGCAGCACGCTGGCCATCAGCCGGGTCTTGTTGGTTGATATCTTGTCCCCGCTGAGGAGCAGCATGGCGTTGCAGGCCTCTGAATACTTCCTGACGGCGACTTGCCAGTGACACATTACAGACTCCATTCGGCTCATTGCACCGGGGAGGGCTGCCGAATCAGGCTCGCACGACTGCTCAAGCGTCTTATACAGGGCGCCGAGAGCAACGACGGCATGCCGGATGGAAGGCTCAAAATGGCACTCCTGGAGGAGACGCTGCGTCCAGAAGTTCATGTTGAAGTATCCAGACAGCTCCGACGCCGTCTGCACGCGGAAGAGGTCAAAGTACAGGCTCTCGGTGTGCATCAGGGCCAGGCTATGCGACGGCTCATACAGCAGGGGCATCGGCATCGCGCCGCCGGCCATCTCGGGGTTGTTGGCCTGGCGCTTGCGGCGATTTGCCCTGCGCGGCGGCAGCAGAATCGTGTGGCCGGTCAGGAGGAGGCTGGCCGTGGTTGAGGCGCCCGCCATGCCCGCCATGCCGCTCGGCGCCGGTTGGAGACGCGGCATGCCGGCCGGCGGAGGAGCCAGAGGCTTTGGCGCAATGCGGACGTCGGCGGCGGCAGATCTGGCGGTTCTGCTGGGGGGCGGGTAGCCGACGCACTCTTTTTTGCTGCGGATGCATTGCGAGCAGGCCGGACGCTTCTCATCACACTTTATGCGTCGTTGTCTGGAGGCGCCGAGGCGGTTAGCACATGGAGGTGCTCTTGACAGTCGGAGGGACGTTGGGTCGACATGTGGTTCACAGGTTCTGGGTTGGCCCTTGTTTCAATGAGACTTACTTGCAGTTCAAGCACCCTGTCTTGACTTTGGGATTGCTTCGTCGCCCTCTCTTGGCCGGTTTGGCTTCCTCGACATTATCTTGAGGAGCATCTGCTGGAAATGGAACTGGAGCTGGAGGTGGCTGCTTTTTCTCTCCGCCCAGAGGCAGCGCCGATTTCATGTCTTCAGGATCAGGGGAGCAAGTTGGAGTTGCATCTGGAGTCCGATACGAGCCCTCACCAGACGAGGCCATTGCCGATGAGTTGGGTTCTTGACCGGGAGCAAACATCAATAACAGGGGGGTCAAAGGCCGAAACGTCAAAGCTTGCTTGAGCAAATGCTGCGGCTTCTAGGCACGGGACACGGCGTCGTAAAACCCCCGACAACTCACTCTGTAACCAGTTTCAAGAATGGAGAGAAAAAGAGAGGGAAGAAATAAAAGAAGGGAAAAGAAAAATAAACAAGTGAGGTGAGGAGAGCCCCGGCAATCGCGAGTCCGGATACTATCTCGAGAACCCAGCTTTGGCGGGGAGCTAACTGACTTATAGCCTCTCCTCTCCGGTCCCCCGTCAGTCTAGCAAAACCCGGCCCAGGGCCCTGGACCCAGGTCCTTTTTTTCCCAACTGACGGCAAGTCATGGAGCCATCAAGATGCCCGCAGCCACCTGTTAACTAATAGAGCACTAGCAGTAGCGAAGCCCGAGTGGAGCTGTAAGTGAGACACCGCTGCCGCATCTGTAAGACTGCATTACCACTGCTTTTTGCAATGGAACATGGAGCATGGGTTTCTCGGCCTGCGGCAGCGGTGTTGTATCTGCACCAAGCCGAGATTGGAAACGGACTGGAGACGGTCAATACGGCTTTTTGCGTAAGCCTTTTGTGGCCATTGCTGGATGCCTGAGCTGGTTCTGGGAGAAAGTAAAGAGGAGCAGACAGATCAGAGCTAGCATCGAGATGAGGTAAACGCGGAGGATACGAGAGTATGCCGGCATGTCTTGCGGAGTAAATGTACAAACGGAATCCCCCCTCAGTTTCCAATTTTCCGTGCCGCTTGATATTCCATGTACCTTTTCACATCCAAGGCATCGCCGCATTGGCCCCCGTCTTGGTCTACACCATGAAGACGCCGGCTTTCTCACAGAAGCTGGATCGTTGAATGACCGAATTTACTAACGTACATGTAGTAGGACTGCAGATATGCATGTCGCCCCCCAGTCATGCAGGTCCCCCTACAAGGCTGTTGGTAAGATGCAGGAATGGAATCCTTCAGAGTTGACAGCTTGGTACACTAACCACTCGTCCCGGTTGGCAGGTAAACCACCAGTACGGCATAGTACAAGTACTACTAGCCCATGACTGCCAAAGGCGGCGTCTGACAACTTCTCTTTGGCGCGGGATTCGCGCGACAGCTGGAGACGGGACATGCGAGCTGCTGGGTGTACCTCCGTCGCTCCGCGGAGTGCTATGGCGGGAACAAGTACCTGCCTGATGGGTTGCATCGTCGACCCGCGATCCTTGGGGCCGGAGGATGGCGAGGGAAGTTGGATGTTGGCGCTTGGCCAGCGAAACAGATGTCTGGGTTTATTGTTGGCAAGGGCCGAAACCTGGGAGCCGGATAAATGGCCATGTCAAGAATGTTGTTTGCTCTGTGCCATCTTGATGTGCCTACTTGTACATGCAGTGCAGCTCTAGCTGTAGCACTGTTCGATGATATTGATGCTATGCTCGTAGAATTCGCATGTCCGTCGTTTACAGGGGTTTCGCGGGTGCGGAGACGAGTAAACTTGACTCGAGTGACATTCCTAACCCTTGCATCACGGTTTGATTTCCCCTCTTGATGACTCTTTTCATACAAACACACTTCACAACGTTAAACTAATAGTCCGCAAGTTGCCTAATTCGAGGCCAAAGGGTACACATTGACCCCCACTGGATCATGCACTCACCAAGTCGGGCGTATTAAGCGCAGCCAACGCGCATCTGTTAGCCTCAGCGCGGTGACTTGACTTGCTCAATCCGATCTTTGATCCTCCGAGCACCTCAGTCCTTGTGCGTGAACTAGACTGACAGGGTTGATCGGGAAGCCTTCCCCCTGGCATCATACAGGCATATCCATGTCCACGTGGGCAGAAAACTGAACCAACATCTGCCCGCTACTGACATCTAAACTGGCACTAGATTGCTACAAGCAGCACGAATTACTACTATTCAGGTAGGTGAGGAATCATTTCAGTTCACCTCGCCCACAACGGTAATGGGTTCTGCTGCTGTCGTGTCACAGTCGCATGGATACGCGTCTTGCATGCATCCCCTCCTCTCACCTCCTGTAACTGTATGATATAGGGAGGGTCTACTCTTTACGGAGAGCTCCATGCTGCATGTCGCCTTGTGAGTTGGCAGCTTCTTGCGGTCAGCCAGAATAAGCTGACAGTTTCGGGGCAAACAGTATCAATGCCTCTCTGCGCCCTGTTGGTGTAGCAGTGTAGATGCGTGATGCTCTCTACCCAGCATTGGACTGACCTCGATCAAAACTTCAATAGTTTCGATGCATGTATCCGACCTCGCTGCGTTATCCTAATTGGTACATCACCGCGGCCGAACCAGAACAACGGTCCAGCAGAAAGGATGCAGAACCATGCACACGTGCGCCAACATGCTGTCAGCTTCCTCTGTTCCAAAAGAGAATGCAAGGCGAGGGATGACCTTTCATGCTTATAACGACGGATAATAGGTTTTGGGGGCTATAGTTCTTGAACTATCGTCTAATTGCTGCCCCCCGGATCTCGGCAGGATCCCAATCACTTGCTACGCCCAACTTGTAAATCGTATCGATAATGCCTACGCGTGGCTGATGAGCAATCTTTCTCCAGTGCCAACGAAGAATTGGGTTTATTGACGAATGTTCACTGATATTGACCGTTGATACGATGGGCAGACAAGGCGAGCATCGCCGAGGCGGCCAGCAAAAGTCACCTGATTGGCCACACCAATCATCGGCCCCGCAAAAAAGTTGCGATGATTTGCGCAACCGATTTGAGTCTTTCGGCTCTCCATCATCCGTCACTCCTACTGATCTTGAATTGCGCATTCCATAAGCTGCGCTGCGCACTCTATCAAATAAAATTTGCTAAGAAAACCTACGTATCGAATCCTTCTCATTCTCATACCCGCATCTCACCATTCTGGCGTGCACACGCCCTTGCCGGACCTTGCGATATACCCACCACAACCAGATATTAGACCATGTCTGAGCAACCTGAAAACCCGCTCCCGCCTCGCAATGAATTCATACACAAGACGGCGCTCGCTGGAGCAATCTTGACCCCTCTAGCCATGCTGCTCCCTCCCAGAAAAGCCGACATCCGACTATTTGTGCTGGTGGGAACGTTTTCGCTCTGCACCAACCAGCTTGCGTACGAATACACAGGACAGTCTGTATACGGCCGGCTTGGAAGTAGAGTGGGATCAATATTCGATACGGGCTTGCCGGAAGGCGCAAAGAGGACCCAGCAACTGCTAAAGGAGCAAAAGGAGAGAGAGGCCGCGCATAAGCAAAAGCAGGAAGAGAATAAAAACTCCGTGCTCAAGGACATCTGGATGGGCGGCGAAAGCGAGGGCTGGAAAGAGAGGAGGGCGGAAGAGCATAACCGGAGCTTTCAGGAGGGCAAGGGCATGAGCGACATCATCTTTGAGCAGGTTGCCGATGTGTTTAGTGGAAACTGGAGAGGCAAGGGAAAGGCGGACGAAGCTTCGTCATCTGATGACTCGCAGGGAGAAAAGAAGAAATAGATTCGGAAGAGGGGAAAGGTCTACGATTATGATGATGATGTCGACGATGCGATATAGCATGTGTCTATGATTGCTTCGTGTGTATTATATGTACGGGTTATATGTTTGTCTGGATACGTTACATGTATGGAATATGGTCAATGACGAGGGCTTGTTCCAAAAGAAAAAAAAAAAGAAAAAAAAATACCTACAGAGCCGAGGAGCGTCATGAATTATCTAATCATGGGCAAATAAAGAGAAGCTTAGGGTTAATTCAGCTCGGTATATGCTACTCTCTTGCGAACAAAGGATCGCCACATTTGACAAAACAAATTCAAGCATTTCAAGCTTAAAACGATAATCACTTGAGCACTTTTGTCATGCTAACGTCCAAGCATTGATACCTAATGCGTGTCTGCCCACCTGTTTGTGGAGTCTGCGCAAGTCCATAGTTACGGGTGTTGCTTACTTGCAACGGCAATATGCCCATATGGAGATTTACAGTTTGGGGAATAATTCGCGGAACGGCATTCGTATGTCGGACAAGACTGATCTGATCCGATCTGACGGATGAGTGTACGCGTAAGACAACGGCGTGGAATGAAGAACATGTGCGAAACTTGGCGTGGGCTACATGTACTGCAATGCGCCGTGCTGGGGCTCTTCAGCGTACAAAGAGCTAAAAGTATACGAACCCACGCAAGCGGAAACAAACGTCACAAGACAAGGGGAACCGGTGCTTGAATATTCATCCAGCCCTGTGCTGTGCAGTGCAGGGGCAAAATGATAGGCTGGCCGCCCTCGATGCGTCCAAAATAGCAGCAGCACTTGAGCATTTTCGACTACGAGCATGCTCATGAGCCTCTGATCGCCCACAGCACAGCCCAACCCAACCCCCTGGCTCCACCACGTCAGCGCTCTGGCTGGGACTTTGCTGTTGAAAAGAGCATGAGTTGAGCCCTAGAGCTGTGCGCTGCGTGTTTCATCGCTGGGCGGTGCATGCAGCCACCTGCTGGGGCTCGTATTTCACAGCTGTCTGCAGCTCTGCATCTCTTTGTTTCAAGGCAGTGTTTTTGCGTCCTTCTTCAATGTTGGGTGCCTTCATCTCCTCGGCTCTCAGTTTCAGCCTGCCAAGCCGTGTCCAGGCTTTTTGACGTCCCCCGCTGAGATCCCGAGGCCTGAAACACCGGCATCCCAGCCCTGTGCCAAACTGCCAAACAAACTGGACGAGTCTGGTCTGGTGGCAATTTGGCGATCTATTGCTGCACGAGCACAGACCTGCATCTCCGTATCCATATTAAACCACGCGGCGAGCTTGGCTTGGCAACCGGTACGAATCACACACAGCCTCGACTGCTGCAATGCTTGGCTTTTTGATCGTATCCACTACGTAATCGCCCGTAGCCAACCTTAACCACGACCGAGACATGCTACTTCACTTTTCTCTCTCCTTCATACCTTTCGAACCTAAAAGAAGACGCGGCTTCTGCTCTGCTCGCGACACGCTGATTCCCTGGACACGGAAGACATTCGCTCGTTACTGACGCCGGCCCTTGTTTCTGCCTTTGGCCTTGTTCTATCCCCTCCTTAATCTCTTCTGTGCGTGGCGTTAGAGCCCGCGGGACAGCCCGTTCGCCATGGCAGCAAACAACTACTACTATGGCGACAACCCTCAGCCTCAAAGCCACCAAGCTCCCCCTTACTACGATCACACGCACGCGCCCTCCGCAGACTCGGACCTGCCGCAGGCGTACAACCCAGGCTACTCGGATCCTCATTACGGGAGCCCATATGGCGCTCCTGCAAACCACCAGGGCCAGACAGGTGCGTCGCCGTTTGATACCGTATTCGACGATCACGCATACCCAACGAACTCGAATCCAGGCCCGGGTGCGAGCGGCAGCGACATCTCCCAGCAAGGCTTCTACCACCAAGATACAAACTACTATGGATCGAGAACGGAGAATATCCCGTTGCAAGACCACACGAGCAAATCCCCCGACATCAACGATCACATCTACGACGCGCCGGCCGAGCAGTCGGGTCAGAGGCGGGACAAGAGAGGCAAAGTTCGGGTTGGAGAGCTGGGCATGCTAGGCTCTAATCGAAAGCGCATCCCATGGCTGGTTTACATCTTCTCGTTGGCGCAAGCTGCTGTTTTCATTGCCGAAGTGGTGCGCAATGGTAAGGACGGCAACACTTTGGGTTTCCACAAGTATGAGATAGCTTGCGACTCTAACAATGATAATATTGACAGGTATATTGACGGGCTCTCCCATCATGATCAAGCCCCAGTTCAACCCCATGATCGGGCCATCGACACAGGTTCTCATCAACATGGGCGCCCGATATGTGCCCTGCATGCACAACATCAAGGAGATTCAGGGCTCCACCATTGAGGTGCAGTTTCTTTGTCCCAACGCCACAAAGAGCACACAGTTCTGCCCTCTTTCGGAGCTGTGTGGCTTCGGCGGCGATGTCCCTAACCCCAAGTTCGACGGCAACGCGAACCAATCGCCTGCTCCCAACCAGTGGTTCCGCTTCATCATTCCCATTTTCATGCATGCCGGACTTATCCACATCGGCTTCAACCTGCTTATGCAGCTCACCATCGGCAAGGAGATGGAGATTGCAATTGGGTCGATTCGATTTTTCCTCGTCTACATGAGCGCTGGCATCTTCGGTTTCGTCATGGGAGGCAACTACGCTGCCCCTGGTATTGCCTCCACAGGAGCTTCAGGCTCTCTGTTCGGAATCATTGCTCTTACTTTGATTGATCTGCTATATTCGTGGAAGGACCGCCGAAGCCCCGTCAAAGACCTTTTATTCATCATAATCGACATGGTTATTTCTTTCGTGCTTGGTCTGTTGCCTGGCCTGGACAACTTTTCTCACATTGGAGGATTCTTGATGGGTCTCGTCTTGGGTATCTGCCTTCTCCATTCTCCTAATTCGTTGCGGCGGAGAATTGGCCCAGATCCCTTTTACTCGGCGGTGCCCGGGGCACAAGACCCGGATACCGTTCCCTTTTACAAAAACCCGGTTGGATTCTTCAAGGGGAGGAAGCCTCTGTGGTGGGCCTGGTGGCTTGTGCGAGCTGCCGCTCTCGTGGCCGTTATCGTTGTCTTTGTCGTTTTGATACACAACTTTTACAAGATTGGAAACACTTGTAGTTGGTGCAAGTATCTTAGTTGTCTTGTGAGTTGCGCTTTTGATCGTCTCTCTTTGCTGACGCATGAATATAAACTGACTTTTCTTAGCCTGTTAATGGTTGGTGCGATCTCGGAACCATCCAGGTACAATAAGGAATGGGGGTCGATGTACGAAGTGAAAAGAGACTGAGGAAGAATACCGACGTCTATAGATTTCAAGTAGGCAAAAAAGGGGGGGGGTGGAAGACATAGATGGGCGAGGGGATTATTTACATCTTATACAGCGCTGGCGTTCAGGGGCGAGGGAGAGATCACGGTTACACGCAAGACAGAGATATTGGGGGTTAGATGATGGCACCATGGCATGTGCAACAAATTTGCTTGCTGCCTTGCGGTTTGTATATAAACACTTACTGTATTGTTTAGTTTAAACAGCTTCTATGGCAATTAGAATGGAAGTTGAGCAGGTTGAAAGCGTTGTTATCTGCAATTTGTTCCTTTAAAAGCAATAGATTTGTATGGCTTCAAGTGATGAATGCATCTGACCACTTTTGCGTTGCATCTCGGGAAGATATGTAACATGAGAGGCAGCTGTTTGCCCGCGCAGACTCCAAGTCACGCGACCTGTTACCTAACAAGCTGCCAAGCTGCCCGATGTTGCATCAGTAACTGCTGAGCCCCGGCTAAATGTTCTCTTTTCTACCGTTTAGGATTCTTTGCCCGTTCTGCCTCTCTTTTCCCTCTCTTTTCCCTCTCTTCTCTTCTTCCTTGTGCCTCGTGGTTTGCTCTGTGGATGTGCCGATCCGCACAAGCTGCCACCACTCGAATAAAACAAACGATGAGCTCCAGCTCAGGAATCGTGTAGCCATGACATGACGCCTCGGATTTATCTCATAGGATAAAGAAACACGCGCGATGCACGAGGTAAGAAAAGAAGTGACACTTTATCTACTCCCCTTGGCCGCTATTTCATGATGAATGTTCTTCAAATGCATGGCTTAACTAAATGATCCCGCAAGGGACATGTGTTGAGTAGCAAGAATACACCTCTGATACGACAGCTTGCTTTCTTTTCACCTTCTCAGATGTACTGTGGGCTTCTATCAGGGAATACTTGCTAATTGAGAATGTGGGAACTGTGCAGATGAGGTCGACTTGTTGGCAGTGTGCCGCTCTGGTATTGCGGCACTACCTCGATTCTTGAGCTCTAAAGCTGCCTTTTGCCCGCCCATGTGCCATCTTGTAACGATTCACAGGCGTTATAAATCTACTTTTCCCTTATACTCTGTCGAGAATTTGCCTAGTAGGAAATACTTGTTTTGATAATACCTCGTAGTCTTGGAGTGTCATGCTGTGCCGTAGATGAGGGGGCTGCTGAAGCTCTCTAGATTTCTCATATGTGACTCTAGCTCTCTAGAGCAGTTGCAGCCTACTATAATAATGCGACCTTGATGTTTCTAATAGCCAGCTTGTAATAGAGAATACAGTAATTTCCGCCTATAGACCAGACCTAGCATGTGGTGGCGTCTTCTTGTGTGGAATCTCTGCGCCTTAGTAGGGAAAAGCCTGGTTCTCGTTCCTGGAGGGAGGTTTTTAGTGGCGGGAGCCCCCGGAGAGCTGCTTAGTGCAGAATACAGTGGCGAGAGCAACGCCAACTCACGTGCAAAGCCCATTAAACAACAGGTGGGACCGTCACGTCACGGTCCAGCGGCGCGTATGTGCCGGCATCTGGAAATATTACCGTGTCGGTCGTGCAGCGAGAAATCCCACCTTTCCCTTCAGCAACCGACAATTCTCTCCACAGACCTCTGGACCTGTCCTATGATGAGAAGTAACTGGCCCCGATCTTGCTTGACACGCAACTTTTAGAGAAAATACAGCGCAAAGAAGATCACCATGGCTGCGACGGTTGTTCCCCAGAAGCGAGTGCTGGGCGAGTCCCGCACCGGCCAGAATATCTCTTCGCCATCGAACATCAAGAAGCGAAAGACCGACGTGGATGAACCCGTACCGACACCTCGCTTCCTCAGCTCACAGAAACCTGTCGGGTCCAAGCTGGGAGCCGGCCAGCCCAAGAGCGCATTCGAATCCGAAGTTCTCGAGAAGCTCAGCCAAGACATATCAGAACGCAAGCAGAACAATACAGAAAAGGACCAGGCATGGGACCGGCCGCCGGTGACGGATTTTGTCCCTTCTCGAGACAGCCTCACCTTCCAGTCCATCGAGGCCGAGGAAGGCACTCTGGATGGCGGCAAGGTCACCGTGAAGCTGTTCGGCGTGACGATGGAGGGGCACTCCGTCATGCTGCATGTCACCGACTTCAAGCACTACCTTTATGTGGCTGCGCCAATGTCCTTCCAGCCAAAGGACTGCGCTCTGTTCAAGGCATATCTCGAGACGCAGGTCGCTCAGCACCAGCCTGCGATCCACTCGGTCAGCTTGGCCATGAGAGAAGACATCTATCACTACCAGGGCAACGTGCAGAGTCCCTATCTCAAAATCACAGTCACGGACCCCAAATTTATAAACTCGGTGCGATCAACAATAGAGAAGGGCTTTGCCAATTGGAAAGGCATGTGGGGGGTTTTGGACGGTGGTCTGAGGACGTATGACAATATTCAATACGTGCTGCGATTCATGGTTGATTGCAAGGTGAAGGATTGATTCTAGATCTACTGGTAGAGTGTTGCGGCTAACATAATGTTCAAATTAGATTCAAGGCATGTCGTGGGTGGAAGCCCCTGCCAGCAGCTACAGTCTGATTCCAGAACACAGCAAGCAATCCAACTGCCAGATTGAAGCCGAAATCAACTACGTCGACCTTATTGCCCACAAGCCAGAAGGAGAATGGGCCAAGATGGCTCCTCTACGTATCCTGTCCTTTGATATCGAGTGCGCCGGACGCAAAGGAATCTTCCCCGAGGCCGACATGGATCCGGTTATTCAGATTGCAAACGTCGTGACCAAATACGGAGAGAAGAAGCCCTTTATCCGAAACGTCTTTTGCTTGGACACGACCAGCTCCATTGTGGCCACGCAAATCTTGGACTATGAAAAGGAGGAGAAGATGCTTCACGAGTGGCAGCAGTTCCTCGTTCGGGTCGATCCAGACGTCATTACCGGATACAACATTTCCAATTTTGATTTCCCCTACCTGCTTGACCGCGCAAAGCACCTCAAGGTGCAAGGCTTTGAATACTGGTCGCGCATCCCCAGCAAGCCTTCCAGGGTGAAGGATACCAACTTTACAAGTAAACAAATTGGTAGCCGAGACACCAAGACTACAAATACCAATGGCAGATTACAGCTCGACATGCTGCAGTTGGTCCAGCGAGATCATCACCTGCGAAGTTACACCCTCAACTCTGTGTGCTCACAATTCTTGGGCGAGCAAAAGGAAGATGTGCATCACACCATGATTACAGAACTGTTCAACGGAACACCCGAGTCGCGACGTCGTCTGGCGCTTTACTGCTTGAAGGACGCCTATCTTCCCCAGAGACTGATGGATAAGCTGTCTTGTATGGAAAACTATACAGAGATGGCCAGAGTCACGGGTGTTCCTTTCAACTTTTTGCTTTCACGTGGACAGCAGATCAAGTTCGTGAGCCAGCTTTTCCGAAAGGCGCTAGAACAGAAGCTGGTCATACCTAATATTGCCCCTCAGGGGACAGAAGCCCAGTACGAAGGTGCAACAGTTATTGAGCCAACGCGAGGATACTACGATGTGCCTATTGCTACGCTGGATTTTGCTTCTCTGTATCCAAGCATCATCCAGGCACACAACCTTTGCTACACAACCTTGTTAAGACCAGGAGATGCGGAGAGGTTCAAGCTCGAAAAAGACGTCGACTACATCATCACTCCCAACGGAGATCAGTTTGTGACGGCCGCAAAGCGCAAGGGCTTGCTCGCTCAGATTCTTGAAGAATTGCTCTCTGCCAGAAAGCAGGCCAAGCGAGAGCTTGCCCAAGAGACGGATCCCTTCAAGAAGGCTGTGCTGAACGGTAGACAGCTGGCTTTGAAAGTCAGTGCCAACAGTGTCTACGGCTTGACGGGTGCAACAACGGGAAAGCTGCCTTGTCTCGCAATCGCAAGTAGTACGACCAGTTTCGGTCGTCAGATGATTGAGAAGACGAAACGAGAGGTGGAAGAGAGGTACAATATCGCAAATGGCTACGCGCACGATGCCCAGGTCATTTATGGTGATACCGATTCCGTCATGGTCAAATTTGGAACAAAGGATCTCGCAGAGGCGATGAAACTGGGCGAGGAAGCCTCCAAGTTTGTGTCGGACAAGTTTTTGAAACCAATCAAGCTGGAATTCGAAAAGGTCTACTTCCCGTATCTCCTCATCAACAAGAAGCGATATGCCGGCTTGTATTGGACAAGGACGGAGAAATACGACAAGATGGACACCAAGGGTTTGGAAACAGTGCGGCGTGACAACTGCTTGCTAGCGCAGACGGTGATTGAAAAGGTGCTGAGAATGATTCTTATTGACCGAGACGTCCAGGGTGCACAAGAGTAAGTTGGAATGTTGGCTGTGTTGCGTGTTATCAGGTCACTAACATGTTTTTTTTTTTTGCTAAAACAGCTACGTCAAAAATACGATTGCAGATCTGCTGCAGAATAAGATTGACATGTCGAAACTGGTCATCACAAAGGCCCTGACCAAGGAGGACTATGCAGCCAAGCAAGCGCACGTTGAGCTTGCACAGAGGATGAAGAAGCGTGACGCCGGCTCGGCTCCTGGTCTTGGCGATCGAGTGGCGTATGTCATGGTGAGGGGTGCGGCGGGAGCCAAAAACTTTGAAAAGTCGGAGGATCCAATCTACGTGCTGGAAAATAACGTGCCGATCGACACTAAATACTATTTGGACAACCAGTTGGCGAAGCCGCTTGGCCGTATCTTTGAGCCCATTCTGGGTGAGACAAAGGCCAGGTCTCTGCTGAATGGAGACCACACGCGTATCATCTCGGTTGCTGCCCCCACGGTGGGAGGTCTGATGAAGTTTGCCAAGAAGACGCAGACGTGCATGGGGTGCAAGAAGCCACTCACAGGCCAGCACGAGAGTGCAGGCGCAGTTTGCAGCGATTGCGCGCCGCGTGTCGGAGAGCTGTACAACAAGACGCTGGATCGAGTATCAGACCTGGAAGTGCGGTTCGGACGGCTGTGGACGCAATGCCAGAGATGCCAGGGCAGCATGCACTGCGAGGTTATTTGCAGTAGCAAGGACTGCCCCATCTTTTACATGCGCATGAAGGCTAAGAAGGATTTGGAAGACGCAGGCAAGGAGCTTTCCAGATTTGATGCAGATCAAGCGGCTATTTGGTGAGAGATGGGGGCAAGAGGCGAAAGAGCGAGTATGTGGGGACATGTATAATGATGCATGCAACCCTTTTTCCCGTTGATCTACTATTTTATCCTTGTCAAGCGAGGAGAGCTAACGTTGAATTTTGCTATTTGTATTCATCGTTTGGATGTGTATGATGTATGCGTGGGATAATGCGATGCGAAAGGGTGCAGAAGAGAGATTGGTAGTCGTGTTATGAGGGCATGTCACCAAGTGTATGGGATCGATTGTGTATATCACAGCTGTTGATTTATCATTTACTTAGTCGGAATAGCGTATCATTAAAGATAAAAGAAGAGCATTTAGAATCTAATTACGTCCCGGTATTATGAGAGGAGATGCTAGAGTCTTTGTCTGCATCGCCGAGAGGTGCGTATATACGTTCGGCGCTGATGCAACGCAGCGCCTAATAGTTTTGGCTTATTCCGAGGCCCAAAACAGGCAGTGCCGCTAATACTATTATGCGCAATTTCAGATGCTAGTCTCTGCTAGTAATTGCTGCGTCGCCTCCCGCGTTTGTCAGGCCAGTTGAAAGAATCTTGGCGTGGCGGTTTCCCGTGCCACTCCGATACCGCACTTGGAATCTTTGTGTGACCTTATTATGTTGGCGGTTTGATGTTGCTTCGGTAAAGGTGAGCGGGAAGCGAGGAGGGCGATTTGCACAGCGGCATGGCGGGAGAATTCGGAGAATGGGGGTTTGTGTGCGCGCAATATACAGGTAGGTCTAGAGTGCATGCAATGTATTATTGTGAGGCTGCATCGGGCCTATTTGGAGATTGGCGCGGTGAAGCCTTTTCAACACGATGGGACCGGGTATATTTATATTAGGACGCGTAATGAAGAGAAATGATGTGAAAAAGACTAATTGAATTATATGGTATTAAATCGAATTAAATTAGACGCATTGGATGTTTTTGAACTCTGATAAAGGCTCGTTTGGCAATGTATAGATTGGTCCGACAGCCATGTGCCAGCGGACAAAAGTGTAATGCGGTGGCGTCACCTACGGTGCTGAGATAAGGCAATTCTGCCACGTAGGGCCCTCTGTGTCCTCTTAATGGCTCAGACAAAGGCAAATTACACATGTCATGCCGGAATATAATGAATTTACACAAGCAGAGATACTAGAATGGATAAATCTGTAAGCCTCAGAAATAGCTCGTGTGCTTCCAACTTTCAATTCCCACAATGCCGGTTACGGCCGTCCAGGCGGCGGCCAGCAAAAAGCGCTGCTGATTGGCCAATGGGCATTGCGCGAACGCAATTGTATCGACAAACCGATTTGAGGCGGATCTGACCAATCACGGCGGACGGGGTCGCTCGGATAGGGACAATTGATAGTTGAGAAATGGGCGCGCTAAAAGCTTTCAAGTTTTAGATATCGGCTTGTTTCGATGTCGGCCTTTTTTGGGGGGGCGTCGTGGGCTTTATTTGGTGGATCGATCGGCTTTTCTCTTTTGATTATCGATATGGTTTACTTGATGAGATCATGGCTTGGGATAGATAGGAAAGATATCAAGCCGCCACGCTGCTAGGTTAGGGGTCCCTCTTCTCTGTGTACACTCCCTGTTTGTTGCCTTTGGTACAATGGGAGTTTGATTGCAAAGCATATTTCGTCCGGAAATCGGTCCTTGTGCGTGTGAGACGTAGTTCTCGGCGCCTTTTTTTTTTTTTTTTTTTTTTTTTCTCATTGAAGATTGAAAGCGTGGGGCATGCTTTTTTTTTGCAGCCACGGTGAGTGATTACCGGCGAGGTGCATTGGATGTTTCTCGCAATCCTGGCTATATAGGCCCTTGTTGGTGGTGTTGATGCCCGTCTCATCTAAGCAGCACACACACCCCGTGAGCGACTTTCGGAGCAAAGAATAAGAAAAGGCTTGGTGCTAGTAATTGAAGTATCAAGCCACGGCTTTAGATCTCTGGAGACGTAACGTCTCATGGGGGGGGGGGGGGGGGGGGCGTGTGTGGGATGGACAGTCCTCCGGGTTCGTTTTTTTATCTATACTTTCTGCCTTCTTTGTGTCGAGTTTCGCCGAGAGTGGAAAGTTTAGTCTTGGCTTGTTTGATAGGCAACACCCACAGCAAACGTCTATATAGAGCAGCGTCTTTCCCCGGGTTTGGTTTCCTCCTTTTCTTTTCTCTCTTACTTTGTTCCATATCCATCTTTGTCGTGATTTGATTCATCTAGCTGTCGCTTCAACAGACTTTCGAAGGTTGGACGTAACCATTATCCTGCTAGATAATATCCATCAGTTTAGACGATAGCAAGGTTCAGCAAGACACCATCGACAATGTCTAACCTTGCTTGCGAGCCCGAATTCGAGCAGGCCTACAAGGGTGAGTGTTGCATATACATATATATATATATATATATATATACATAGCATACATGTATTTATATTAACTTGAACCAACAGAGCTGGCCAGCACCCTCGAGGACAGCGCCCTCTTCCAGGAGCACCCCGAGTACCGCACCGCCCTCGAGGTCGTGTCCATCCCCGAGCGTGTGCTGCAGTTCCGCGTCGTCTGGGAGGACGACAAGGGCCAGCTGCGCGTCAACCGAGGCTACCGAGTGCAGTTCAACTCGGCCCTGGGCCCGTACAAGGGTGGACTTCGGTTCCATCCCACCGTCAACTTGTCCATGTAAGAAGAAGAAGATGATCACTTGCCGTCTTCCAAACGGACAGACGGGAGAAACAACAAGACCATGGAGCTAACTTGATATTTCTGTATAGTCTCAAGTTTCTCGGTTTTGAACAAATCTTCAAGAATGCTCTGACTGGCCGTGAGAAATAACCACCCCCCTTTTATAGTCTTTCGTCTCACTTGTTCAGGCAAGAAGAAGAAGAAGAAGGTCTCCGAGCGCTGAACGCTAACCATTGTACAGTCAGCATGGGCGGTGGCAAGGGAGGCTCCGACTTCGACCCCAAGGGCAAGTCGGACAACGAGATCCGGCGCTTCTGCCAGGCCTTTATGCGCGAGCTGTCGCGCCACATCGGCGCCGACACCGACGTGCCGGCCGGCGACATTGGCGTGTCGGGCCGCGAGATTGGCTACATGTTCGGCGCCTATCGCCAGGCGCGCAACCGCTTCGAGGGCGTGCTGACGGGCAAGGGCCTGGGCTGGGCCGGCAGCCTGATCCGCCCCGAGGCCACGGGCTACGGCCTGGTGTACTACGTCGAGCACATGCTGCAGCACGCCGGCCAGGGCAGCCTCGCCGGCAAGCGCGTGGCCATCTCGGGCTCGGGCAACGTGGCCCAGTACGCGGCGCTCAAGTGCATCGAGCTGGGCGCCACCGTCGTGTCGCTGTCCGACTCCAAGGGCTCGCTGGTGGCCCCCGACGACGGCGCCTTCACGCCCGCGCACGTCGCCGCCATCGCCGACCTCAAGGCCCAGCGCCGGCCCCTGACCGACTTCCACTACGCCGACAAGTTCAAGTACTTCCACGGCGCCCGGCCCTGGGTCCACGTCGGCAAGGTGGACGTGGCGCTGCCGTCGGCGACGCAGAACGAGATCAACCGCGCCGAGGCCGAGACGCTCGTGGCCAACGGCGTGCTGGTCGTCGCCGAGGGCTCCAACATGGGCTGCACGCAGGAGGCCATCGACCTGTTCGAGGCCCAGCGCAAGGAAAAGGGCGCCAAGTCCGTCTGGTACGCCCCCGGCAAGGCCGCCAACTGCGGCGGCGTCGCCGTCTCGGGCCTCGAGATGGCCCAGAACAGCCAGCGCCTCACCTGGACCGAGAAGGAGGTCGACGACAAGCTCAAGTGCATCATGAAGAGCGCGTTCCTGGCCGGCCTCGAGACGGCGCAAAAGTACGTTGCCTCCAAGGACGGCGAGCTGCCCAGCTTGGTGGCCGGCAGCAACATTGCCGGCTTCGTCAAGGTCGCCGAGGCCATGCGCGACCAGGGTGACTGGTGGGCTTGAGCTGCTTGTTCTGATGTCGTTTTTTTTTTTTTGTTTCCTTTTGTGATACCTTTTTCTTTTCTCTTTGGTGTCTTTTTTTTAAGAGCAAAGGGACGTTTGGCGTTTTGGGGGCCGGGACTCGGCATGAAATAAAATGATTTGCATAGCATGGCATTGATATCGGTGATGGTTGAGATATCCAGATGGCGAAAGAAAAGTATTAGTGATGGTGGTGGTTATCAAAATATGACATCAATTATTGCAAAGATTACGGGCCATGTTCTTGAAGATTTGTAAAGAGCTAGTCGACATTTCAACCAGTTGACGTAGACTGGTCTAGGCATTAAATCATACAAGATTGCAAGTAAATGACATACACAGTGATCGTTTTCTTCGTCTTTCAACTAAAGAGTTGTATTATACTGGGTATCGATATGAGACGTGCACCAAGCCACTTCCGTTGCTCCCATTCCAATAAATCACTCTTCGTCCGCAGACTCTCCTGCCAGGAGCTGCTCCTTTATCCGCTGGCTCGGCAGCCATCTGTCTTCCGGGATCCACCACCAGGAAAGCAGCGCAAAGATTGTCACAGCACCCATAATCACCGGTGCGTAGTTGAGTGTAGAGCCTGTAACGGGGAATTCATATGGCGAGTAGAGTACCGCGACCACCCATCCGTTCCACAGGACGGAAATCGCCTGAAAGGGCTTGCTCCAACGGCCCAGGCTCCAGGCAGGCTTGGGGAAGGTCTTTGGCGTAAAGAAGAGCCGGCCAATGCAGATGAGCCCGTAGGCTGCGGCCGAGGGAACACCTGCGGCCGATACGAGCGATGTAAAGGCCACGGAGGAGGGCAGGATGGTGCAGGTGATGATGGATGAGACGACCCAGACGACGATGACGGCGTTGCGAGGCTGGCCGTCGACGACTCGAGAAACCCACGAGGACCAGGGCAGGACTCCGTCTCGGGCTACGGCGAAGACGAGGCGTGAGGCGGCGAGGATGGCGATGGCAGTGTTCTAAAATAAGTGTAAGTGAATGAATGAGAGCGTATATGGAAAAGCAAGGGTCAAAACATACAAACCACAAGGCGACAATGCAGACTACATTCATCACAATGTGGCCGCCCTTACCCAGGAGGACAGCATATAGAGGCACAAATGGCTGAACGCTGCCGTAGGAGAAGAGGGTGTCTGGGTCAGGCTATTGCAGAGATGAGTTAGACTGGTTCATCATGTGATGGCACCGAATGTCAACTTACAGTGCAGAAAAGAAAGAGGATAACGACGACAAAGCCTCCAATCCCGCTGACTACGGTGCTCCAGAAGATACCTCGGGCCGCAGTTACGCTGGCGTTGCGCGTTTCTTCGGCGACATGGCCCGATGCGTCAAAGCCGATGAGGATGCCGGCCGTTGCAAGGTAAGAGAGGCACCAGTTCCAGCCGGGAGAGGCGCCGGTGCCATTGTACGTGGTCATGAAGGCATCGTGGGCAGAGCGGAAGCCAATGGTCTGGGCCGTGCCGATGGGGAGCCAAATCATGTTTAGGAGGAAGTCGAGGATGACGGAGCCGGTTGAGAGATAGAAGATCCATTTGAAATATTTTGCTGTTGAAAGGCGTTGAGTTGGGGGTTACGGAACAAGAGAATTGGGACGCAACAACATACGAGGAAGAAGATTCCATAACGCTGCCAAGGCGAGCAGAACTTCGGTGCAGATCCATTGCACGGCACGGAATTTGACGTCTGAGGGGTCTGAAGGGAAGTCGAGATTGAAGACGACAGTTTCCTATCAAGTTTGTCAGTCAGTCTGATCAAGAAGCCGTTGGTTGAATTAAGAGACTGGTTTTGAGACGTACAGACAGCATGTAGTTGACAGCACCTTGCGTGTTGCCTGTACGGTTCGAGAATCTTGGTCAGTCTGCTGGATTCATTCACTCATCTCCCCCTCCCAAGATGAAGAGCAAAACATACTCGCACAGAATGTCGTCCAGGCAGTTGTGCTCCACCACGCCACGACATAGCCAAAGAGCCTTCCGTATTTCGGCCCGCCTGCTTCAGCCGCCCAGAGGTAGATTGACCCAGCAAGCGGCAGCGATGAGCAGATTTCGGCAATGACGGCAGCGCTGATGAATGTGAAGACGCAGGTGACTATGAAGCTTGTCCTGTTGGGGTGTATCATGAGCAAGTGGGCAAAAAGACAACCAACTCATGGTGATGAGCGAGAGATGGAGCCTCACCAGTAGGCGAGATTGCCGCCGGCAGCAATGCCGGTTGAAAAGGTTACTCGAACACCGCCGATAAAGTAAAGAGCGGCTATAATGTGATGTGTCTGTTAATAATTCATTTCGTCAAATACTAGGGTGATAAAACTCACCAAAGGTCGTCGAAAAGTTGTGAAACAAGTTGAAGGTTCTGTGAAGCACCTACAGCAGACTGTTAGGATTTTCCGTTTTTTTTTTTCTCTCAGAGTGGGAGAGCAAATATTCTCTCAACGTACAGGCTTGTACCCGAGTTTTGTCTATCATTGCAGTGTAAGCCAAAGTGCATCAAGCAAATCGTAATTCTTCCATGCAGCATCTTACCAATACTCGTTGATCTGCAGTCTCTTCGACAATGTCTTCGACGTCGTGCGATTTGGAGTCGGTGGATGCATCCTGCAGGACAGGAGAGGGCGCTTCTTCTATCATTTTCCAACCAAGCCGTGTTTGAAAATGTTTTTGTGTCTCGGCTTTATTAACAGCTGATGGAAAAGAAAAGAGAAGAACAGGAATAGAAAAATGTCTGAGAGCTGTGGCTAGGAGTGAAGAGTGTTGGTTGGCTACCGAATCCTAATCCTAGCTAGAAGAAAAAAAAAATAGCTCGCTATCTCAGCAGGTGACAATGAAATATGAGCAATGAAAGCAGCTTAGTGTTATCACGCCCTGCTCGTCACCCGTTTGATTAACGTATGACGGCGCCAATTTGTGTCCAGGACAGTTACTTGGCAACAGTCTGTATCCCGGCGAGACTCCACAGCGTTGAAGAGATGGATTTTGTCATTGTGCAATAAGACAGTGTTGGGAGATTCTTGTCCGGTTCGCTCTTTTACCTTGACCCACATTTTTTTATCATTGCAGACATTTGAACGATTAAACTTTATTTGGTGAGTTTTCTGCGGGCTTGGAGAGGGGGCCTCGATTTAGCACGCAATCGCCAGGCTGTTAAGCTGCTTGTTCACCTCGGTTAAGCCACATGATTTCGGTGGCAATCTTGGACAAGCTTACTTGAGATAAGGTGCTTGTAGGCAATTAGATAGACTTCCCTAGCTGCGTAGCGAATGTAGGTATGGCGCGAATTCCAGAAGCTATAGGGTAGCAGCATATCTGTGAGTGGCCAGCGGGAAGCTGATCCAGGAATGCGCAGCTTGCCATCTCTTGTATGACAATGGAGATGGACATTAATCATCAATACCAATTGAAGTTCTTTTCATGTGAATATATATTCACACCAAGAGTTAGAAGGCCGGTAGCAAAGATATTGCGCACTGTGTTTTGAGACAGAAGCTGTTGTAATCAATCGCAATTAGTCGACTATAACGACTTGTGTCTCAAAACAGTTTTGTATAGTTACATAAGATTCGAAGGCGGATACAGTGCTTAAGCAGCCTTTGTTAGCTGCTTTTTAGGTGCAATAGTATCTTCATACGTTTGATAGCTAGAAAGACCGTTTGCAAGGGCCACATGCGCCGCGAAAAGTCGGGGATTATGCATTAAATCCATAGACTTGTTTGTTTTAGTTGGTTAGAAATGGATCTAAAATCAATAAAACTTGGGTGGTTGAAGGAACAAATGTGTCGTATGTTCTATCCTGAAATCTTTATACTCGCATCGCATTTTTCGAGTTTCTGCAAGATGGTTCAAACTCGTGTATACATGTAAATTAAAAGACCTTATCAAAGACAAACATTACCCAAGCTACGTGACTGCCATGAACAATTGGTATATATCTCTTTCTTCCCTCTTCACAAACCCCAACGCCATCAACTCTTTACCTTCTTCTCGCTCGAAGAGGACGGCTGCCCAGGTATCAGCACCAGCCACAGCGTCTGCGTCTTCAGCTGCAGATTCGCCATCTCATCAATCTCAAGCCCAGCAATCAGCGGCTCCAGGGCTCTCATCTGTCCTGCAGCGTCAACCCCCTTTGTCTCCCACGCCCTGCTCAGAAAGCTGTCCAATGGCTGGCCCAACAGATGAGCGAGGCCCGCCGAATCAAACAGGTGGGCGTGCAAGCCGCGCCTGTGAAGCCACTCCTCGTTTGCCACGGCCGCGTATGTTGCCGCTCTCTCTTGGGGTGTTCTCGGCTTCTTGGTCACGGCGCCAATGGCCGATCCGGGGAGCGACAGCGTGGTGCCGACGATGCCAAAGGCCGTCGAGATGGGCAGCGAGATGGAGCCTCCGATGAGGCCCACGGCGGCGCCGATGATGTTTCCGCGTTTGGCGTCCCGCGTGACGTTTTTGCCAATGGACTTTGCCTGGGCAATGACATTCTTGCCCAGGTTTTTGGGGTTTTCGCCAATGTGCGCAGCCACATCGGTGGCGTGTGACAGCGCACGGTCTGATATCTTGGCCGTCAAGAAGGCGGAGGTTGTGTTGAGAAAGGAGCGCCAGGTCTGCTCGGTGATGCCGTAGCTAAGCAGCACCGGGGCATAGGCGGGGAGGAACGCCGCATCCGGATCCGGGCTGACTTGGGGAAAGGCGATGGGTCGTGGAGCGGCGTTTGAGCTGCTGGACGCTCCAATGTTGTCGTAGACGGGAGGACTGGCATCCGCCGCGGAGCCGTCTTTGCTGTATTTGGGGAAGTTGAATGGCGAGGTGACGGTTGGGACGAGGGCCGAGCCTGATGCTGGCGCCTGCAGTGTCGATGCGGATGCTGAGAGTGACAGCGAGTGTGATGCTGAAGCTGAGGCCGATGGCTCTTGGTGCGACTCTTGATATGCCGGAGGTTCTGATGCTTCAAACGGAATCACCTCTTGGGGCAGATCTGGTGAGAAACTGCCTGTCGCATCGCTGTTGCCCTTGGCCTGTTTGCTATCTGAGCTCCCACTGCCTTTGTCCATGGCTGGTGATGAATCAAAGTGGGTTTTCCAACCAACGACGAGTGTTTCGCTTTTCAATTGGGATTCTATGCGGCGATTATGCAGATTTTACTGTCGAGAGAGTGTATTGCGGTTTGTTATATCACGTCATAAAAGCGTCGCGATACCAGACAGTATAAATACAGCGTGTTGATGGACTACGAGCTAGGGGTAGCACTTGCGTAGCTCTAGCGGCTGCGCCACGGATGCCTCGCGGGAAAATGTCGGCTCATGCCGCCTTGGCTTAGCCCTCGAGTTTTCAGCCTTGAAGGAATGGGATCCTGAGGCTTGAGGGTCTAGCGAGGAGTGCAATTAATTGCGCGGCCATTCTGGTCATGGATGGAGGTTTGTGGCGCGGGGGGGGAGCTGACGTTGAATGGAGTGGCTTTTGTAGAAGCTCGAGTCATGGATGTTTCGTAACGAAGCGCTATCGATACCAAAACTTTGCCTGTCAGCATTTCATCTTGGTGTGCTGCACTCTGTACATGATTCGTTCATAGTGCATGAACAACAATATGAACAGCAATATTGTCTGAAAAGAGTGCTCATATCAGCTGCTATAGACTCCTTGCAGGAAGCAGCTCCTCTTATACTGCCTGGTGGGGTGGTCTTAGGTACTTCTCCACCCTGCTGTTTCCGCATTTGCGCCGTTGCGCACTAATACGGCAGCTTGACTATCGTGAAGACGACAGTACTGGCGCTCTACTGCTTAATTGCTGATGCATAGCCCTATATAGATGAATATATACTACTACTAGTGATGTAATTATCCCGAATATTTTTCAAAAGTATCTGTTCAACTGTCAAGTACCACTGGTATACAAGTTGCGTGTATCTTACAAGCAACGTCCCCACTTACCGAATAGACCATCCCCGTATAGGAATTTGCATCTCAGCGCCCGGGCTTACTATTGGCCCCCCGGATCATCCAACGTCTCTCCATCCCGGCAACTTCAACTCCCCTTCGTCGCGCCCCGAGAATGTCTCTTGAGCAATGCCTCGGGAGCTTCTACCCCAAAGATGAATATGCTCGTTTAATTGGACAAAGCCTACTCTCCTGATATACCCAATACTTGATACAATCGGCCTTGTCCCCGTCCTGCCTCCGTTATATCCACTCTCTGGGCATTGGGTCCGAGGTTACTTTTCCCATCTCCCTATTATTCAGATAGAAAGCGAATCTAGTCATGGCTATGGTCGAGCGCATCGACGATGATGAAGATGGCCGTTATACTGATAGTGGCTCGTGGAACCATCCCGCCATTAACTCCAAGCCCCTAACTATTCGGCCATCACATTCTCGTCCTAATCGCTCCTCAACCGCCACCTCTGCCGCCTCTGCCAAAACCACCACCATACCGAGGATGCCAGTGGTTAACCTTGAATTCATCAACACAGCTTATCCCGGCGAATCCACAACGGCAAAGCGCATCAGCCAGATCCGATCTCATGTAGCCAAGGACTCCCACGCCCGCCGCCGCCAACGCAAGGCTGCCCAAGCAGGGTCAAGTACTGCCACCAGTAGCAGCAAGGGAAAGAATCACATCATCATTTCCTATTCATCAGCATCCTCTTCGCCGCCTTATTTGCTAGATGCGGATGATGCCGCCCAAATCGACGAATCGTACTCCACTTCCGCCAGTCTAGATGGCCTGCAACACCCACACCAGGCCTGGCACTCATCTACAAATACCGGATTGGGACACCAGGGTTTTCGGAGAATTGCCCCGAAAGAAGGCGCCATGGTGCGGAGAGTGGCTTCGCCTGGCCCGAGGCAGATGATTGGCGACACTATGAAAGATGCGTGGAACGGACAGTTTGCCTGGGAGCTGTCGGTCGAGGATTACGGCATCTTTAATTACTGTAAGTCGACATGTCCTACTCCCTTCTTTGTAAAGGTGCATGTGCTAGTACTGGTACTACTATGAGAATCTCCTGCTTCACCTCTCCATACCATCTTGCGCGGATCTTGTCCATCATGCTTGGCTGCAGAGTGCCCGTGGAGTGTACTCTGGCTGCTAGGACAAGCATAATACGGCGATTGTATGCACAAGCAGGGGGTCCTATCCCTTCCAACATGTCTCTACCCCGACGCAAATACCTTGTGCATATCCTGTCCGTGTCCATACTAATCACCGCCACCAGATCTGGACTGGGTCCTCAAGTATGGCTACGCGGCGTGTTTCCCTCCCGGCCAGGCCGTCCTTGTAGAGAAGCGCTTGAGGTCGACCTACGTCCCCTTTGCCATGAGGAACCCAGGTCTGCTGAATCTCATCCTGTACGTCTCCTACCACCGGCGCGCCATGAACACGGAAGATCTAGACGAGGCAGTCAAGTGTAACCGCAAGGTGGAGCGCTATCGGATGGCTTGTATAGAGTGGATCAGGCATGCCGTCTCAGTGGAGAAGAGGCCGTCCATTGAGACTGTGGCCATGGCCCTGATACTGAGCTCGGAAGCGGTAAGCCTTTCTTCTCTTGTTCTTCCTTTTTGCCCCTTCTTTTTAAAACGTCATGCAACCGCTAATCCCCCCTTTTCCTTGTTCAAGTTCTTTGAAGCCAACCTCGACACATCGCTCACCCACGCCCAAGCTGCGAGAACCATGGTTTCGGCAAGAGGCGGTTTTGAGTCGTTTGGCAAAACGGGCATCGACGGCCTCATCTCCTTTCTGCTGAAAACATCAGTATACAGCGGCAACTACTTTTACGTTCCGGGCTGCGCTCCTGTTCCTGTTCCTCTCCCTCCGGAATAAGAATTACAGGGCGAACTACCTAGTGGTTCAATTTAAATTGACATCAGATTGTAATATGTACCTATATGTTTGTATCTAGGCTTGGAGGTGTTATACATGGCGTTTTAAAAATTATATACAGGAAAAATTGCTTCATACCGCCGTTATGCTGTCTCATATATACCTTGTTATCATTTAATGCGCAAAGTGAGAGCAAATGCACTTCTTCCCCCACCAGGGTATCAAATCATGCTCAAAATCTCCCCCGACTCGTACCCCCATTCTGCCTCGAGGTCTTTTAGCCGCCAAATGGCGCCCCATCCCGTCGTCCTATCGATAATCTTGAATATCCGCGCAACTTCCAGATGCTCTCTCGGGTGCGTCAGCAGCCTGCCCGCAATGTACAGCGGCTGAATGGCGTTTATGAGATTGCCGCGGTGGGGGTTCGTCCACGAGATGCCGCAGACCCTCTGGGCGTGCCAGATGGCCGAGTACTCGAGCGTGTTGGGCAGCGCCTCGCCCGGCGGCCGCATCTCCAGCATGACGATGCACGCCGCGTGGTAGAGCTGGTTGCTGGAGATGGCGGCCCAGTGGGCAAACAGAATCACGGGGAAGATCTGGTTCTCGCTCGGCTCCGTCGTCATGATGGGCAGCAGGCACTTGGGCCGCGTGTCGCGCCAGAACTGCAGCTCCGCCCACAGCCGGCGCCAGCGGTCGACGAGGGGCCTGTCGTCGGCGTCGTCGTGCTCGCCCAGCTCGACGAGGCGCACCTGGCGGTAGACGAGGTCGCAGGCCTTTGCGCACAGGTAGACGGCCCAGTTGGCGTGCATGTCGGGCGTCTCGCGGCCCTTTTGGTAGAAGATGCTCTTGACAAAGTCCTCGGCCTGGGCGCGCGTGGTGCCGATGCCCTCGGGCACGGCCGGCACCCACTTGTCCAGGCTCAGCACCGTGCTCTCGGCGCCGCCTGAGATGATGGCGCCGCAGAGCTCCATGCGCGCGTAGCACCAGAAGACGGCCTGCAGCAGCCCGCCCGAGAAGCCCGTGACTTCGTAAAAGGCGAAGAGCGACGCGCAGCCCTCGATGTGGCGCCGCCAGTTGCGCGGGCTGCCCGACATGAGCTCGAGGACGGCGAGGATGCAGGCCGTGACGAGCATGTTGGGGTCCTTGGCCTGCAGCCCGGGGGCCAGCAGCCTGATGCTCTCCTGGTACAGCTCGAGGCTGTCGTAGCTCTTCTCCAAGCAGGCCTTTCGCTCCATCTGCCTTGCTGAAAAGGCGAGCACTGCGTAGAACAGGCCGGGCGAGCTCTGAGCCAGCAGCGGCACCTGGATGCCAAAGTGCCGTGCCTCGTCAAACTTGTCCAGGTACGGCGAGCATTCAATGACCCAGTTCTTGAGATACTTGACCAGCCTCATCTTGGGTATTGAGACTCTTGAAAAGTCGAGGCTTTTTGACGACGGCACCGGGGTCCGCTCATGGTCATCGGCCTCATCAGACGCCGGCTCGGGCGTTGTGCTCTTGCTGGGGTCGAGACTGGACACGCCCGCAAAGAGCAGGCCTCGCAGCTCCTCTTGAAGCTCGATATATCTGGGGTTGGCGGCGTATTCGTCAAAGGGCGAGAGTGAGGACGGGGACATGAAGGCGTCCCCGTCGACCTGGCTAGCATTGGGGTCGTCCATTCTCGTCAGCCATGGGGGTTGAAAAGCGCTCTCTGTGCTTGCCGAGTCTACCCTGCCAGACACCTGGTCTGATATCGAGCCGATCCCTGGTGTCGACTTTTTGCCAAGCACAAGAGATCGATCTTCTGCTTTGGTCGAGGAAAAAAAGGACCCGCCACTAAGCAGCACGAAATAGTAATAGTAATGGTCAGCGAAATTACCTATTGCTGATCCCACTTCGTATCACTTTAATTTCAAGAAAAAAAAACAATAGATTCAGAGAAAAAAAAAAAAAACTCTGGCTCTCCGCGTGAAAAGAAAAATTTGGGGAAATTCGGGGGCATCGCTCAAGTGGAACCGACAAAAAGGTTGATCGATCAAGCAAGGCCCAGATGCACTCAATGCAGAAGCGGGCATGTCTTGAATCTTTCTCCGCATCTGCAGCAACAAAATCCGGGACGCCACCGCCGTGAGGACGGAAGACCAGCATCAACGCGGCTTAGCTCAACTTCCCCGGCCAAACACTAAGCAGCACGAGGAAACATGCGAAGAGAAGAGAATGCTCGTATGTTTTTACGTGTTTAGTTCGGCGGCCGGCACATGACAGCCCGAGTCATTCAACCCATCCTTGTCAGCACGTTGCAATGAAGCCATTAGTTAGAGCCAAGCCAAGTTGAAGACGAGGGCGCCGCGCGTAGGCTACACTGCCGCAAAGAGCATAGGCTGCCCCGGTGGAGAGGCGGCTTCCTTTAGCCGCCTTACAGGAGGCGATGAAGCCATCCAGGGAAACAGTCGATACGCGGACAACAGCCGAGGGCGCTGGACGGCCAATCGGGTCCTTTTTCGGTACTCGCTGTGGCGGTGATGCTATCCCCAAAGCAGGGGGCAGAGCCTACGAACCCCCTCAGATGTCGCCCAGATTTCGCCGGGCAAAGGCTCTCTCCTCCATCGAGGACCAAAAAGGACCAGACTTGCCAGCTTCCCTCCCCCACCGCGGGTGTAGGTCTCCACCAAATTGGCCCGGGACATGATTCGTATGGCCGGGGGGGAGGCTCCAGATTTTTCCTGTAAACCACGAGGTAGCAGTCAGTTTAAATAATGGAAACATGGGGTTGAAAATCCGGAGTAAGAATCCCAGACCTGGAGGGTTGCATTTAAATGCTGGGGTTCTCCCACTCCTTCGAACCACTTCCTCGCCTCTCTCCTCATCGGCCTTGACTGAACATCTTCTCTCCCTCTCTTGCCCGGCACACCGTCTGTGTGTTGTTGCAACCGGAACAGACTCGCCAATTTCAAAATGTCCACTGGATCGGATATTGAGGTTGCTGCCAATGGCGGCCTGGCCGTGGAGCCGGCACGACGTGTCAATCAAGCCCAGAAGACCATGTGGCAGTCGCTTCGACACAACCCCAAGGTCCTTTTCATTGCCTTTTTTGCTTCGTAAGTGTTTTCAATCTTTCTTCTTCTTCTTTTTTTTTCTTGAACAAAACCCTCTTCATTAGGTAGATTGTTGGCTGGTACAAGACATCACTAACAAGTTGGTGCTCAACATACAGATTGGGTGGCTTCGAATATGGCTACCAGCAGGGCGTCCTGGGCCAATCCCTGGTCATGACTCGCTTCAAGGAAAACTTCCCTGCAGTCGTCAACTCCTCCTCAGCGACGGGCTGGTTGACATCCGTTCTCCAGCTCGGCGGTATCGTCGGCTCTCTGTCCGCCGGCGTGCTGGGCGAAATCATCTCCCGCAAGTACACAATGTTCATCGCCTGTCTCTGGGTCATCCTGGGCAGCTACCTCTACGTCGGTGCCCACGAGGGCATGTCCTCCCTTCTCTATGCCGGTCGATTCTTCACCGGTCTCGGTGTCGGTCTCTTCAGCGGCGTCGGCCCTCTTTACAACGCCGAGCTTTCGGCTCCCGAGATGCGAGGGCTGCTGGTCTCTTTCTATCAGTTCGCCACCATTCTCGGAATCATGCTTTCTTTCTGGGTCGGATACTGCAGCAACTTTATTGGCGGAACCGGCGAGTCTCAGTCCGACCTTGCTTGGAGACTCCCGTCCATCATCCAGGGAATCCCAGCTGTCCTTCTTGCCATTGGCATCTGGTTCATGCCCTTTTCTCCCAGATGGCTTGTCAAGGTCGGCCGAGACGAAGAGGCCAAGAAGACCATGGCTTGGATGCGAAAGCTGCCCGAGGATGACGAGCTTGTTCAGATCGAGTTCCTCGAGGTCAAGGCCGAGAGTGTCTTTGAGAGACGCGTCTTTGCACGAGACTTCCCCAACCTGGCGGCCAAGAAGAAGAGCGCCTTTATCGAGCAGTTTGCCCAGTATGCCAGCTGCTTCAACTCCAAGGATAACATTAAGCGAGTCTTGACCGGCTTCTTCATCATGTTTTTCCAGCAGTGGAGTGGAATCGACGCCAGTAAGTTTCATCATGTCCTTGTATACACGTCGAAAAGTGCTTTAGCTAACCATGCTCTAGTTATTTACTACGCGACCAACATCTTCATCACCCTGGGTTTGACTGGAGGCACAACAGCACTGCTCGCCACTGGTGTCACTGGTGTCGTCTTCATCGTCAGCACCGTACCTGCCATGGTAAGTTCCAGATATCGCAACTCTTCAATAGCTGGGAAACTGACTTTTGCAATCCACAGTTGATTATTGACAGAGTCGGTCGAAAGCCCATGCTTATTGTTGGCTCGATTGTCATGGCTGTCAGCATGATCATTGTCGGTATAATCGTTGCCAAGTTCCGCCACGATTGGCCCAACCACGTTGCTGCTGGCTGGGTTGCTGTTGGTAAGTTATTGTCCAAAACTGATATCCTTGAAAGAATAGCTCTCTAACCAGACTTCTTATAGCTCTAATCTGGGTATACATTGCCGGTTTCGGTGCTACCTGGGGACCCGTCTCCTGGACTCTCGTCTCCGAAATCTTCCCTCTCTCCATCCGCGCCAAGGGTGCTTCCATTGGTGCCATGAGCAACTGGCTCAACAACTTCGCCATTGCCTTCTTCGTGCCTCCCATGCTTTCAGCTTGGGCTTGGGGCACCTACATTTTCTTCTCCGTCTTCCTCATTGCTGGCATCTTTGCTGTCTGGTTCTTCCTCCCCGAGACCAAGAACGCAACCCTGGAGGACATGGACCGAGTGTTCAAGAGCCGTACTGGCGAGAGAGATGCTCAGCTCCTGAGAGAGGTCCAGGAGGAGGTTGGCCTTGTTGCTCTCGTTGAAGCTCACACGGCAGCTCTGTACGAGAAGAAGGATATCCACGAGTCACAGATTGAGAAGCTGTAAGCGAGACAGCAGATGGGATGGAGATGTGTGTTTGTGTGTGTGTGTGTGTGTGTTATAACAGTAATGAATGCTACAGAGTACTAATAGCCATGATGATTTTGGACGCAACTGCTTGCTTGAGGGTCTGGTTTGAGAGCAAGGAAAACCCAGCTGCAGAAATAGGAGATGTATAGGAGTAAAAATATACCCACGACAAATAATTACTTAATAAGTCGCCTGCCAGCCCGTTGTTTCTGATAGTTCCAAGCCCAGGCTACGCCACACTGGGGATGATCCAATGCACAATTAACGGGGCACCCCGTAGAGTCTGCAGCGCACTAGCGGGGCGCTAGAATATTTCAGCTTGTGCTGATTCTTGTACGCGGAGCGCCAGAAGCTGTCAGCGCGGCAAACTTGACCCTTAACCTCACCTCCAAGGCCAACTACTTGCGGTTTGAAGCCTCATTTCGCCTTGTTCTGCGTTTCTTATTCGTCAGTGGTGAGGTGGATGAATGGCCTCCATGTATCATGCACCTGTAGCAGAGTGATCCCGTGAACTCGGAACCAGTCCAATGCCTGTCATTCGGAACATCCCAGACACTAAGAGGAGGGTCCGGACGGGATGCCTCTCGTGTCGAAAACGCAGGCGAAAATGTACGTCATGCTCAACATCCTGCATCCACTTGTATGATTTCTTCACCTTGATCCTTCTCTGAGCAATGACTTGCACTGTTTGGCGGGAGGCCATTGGTGGCTGATAGGCAGTCAATCAACCGCTAACTGAGCATCTGTAGGCGATGAACGCAAGCCGCGATGCGGCAGCTGTGAAGAGAGGAATGTTGCATGTACTTACCCGGACCTGACGTTTATCATGGGTCCTAAACTCGGTGCTGCTCAAGCAACGAACAGTCCCTCTTCGGATCAACCCTCGCGGCCTTATTCAAACGTCAGGGTGAGTCAGTCATTACTACCTATATGCCATCATCACTTCTCCCATAGCCCTATTACCGGAAATCAACTAACAGGAGACGCTACAAGTTTGTAAACGGCTCTTCATCAAGGCGTTCGGCGCCCTCGACTGAAGCAGCACAAGCGTCCATTCAGCATAAAGAGCCGCCAGTACTCGTTGAAGGAAAAGAGTCGGAACCGCCGCTTAGGCCTGAGGACGATATCATGGATTCTCTCATGGCCAGCTCAAGCTCTCAATCCAAGACGGCCTCGCCATTCACGGCCTCGCACTTACCGCAAGCCGAATGGAAGGATTACTTCTCCCCCACGCATGCTGCCTCTATCAAAAACGAAACTGCCGCTCTGCTGCATTTCCAGTACAACCTCGCGCCTTGGATCGAAGCAGGCGATCTAGCATCCTCTTTCGGAACCGAGATTATGCTTCTCGCACAGAGACGACGACCGGTGTCGTCTGCCATCTCGCTGGCTGCTTCTAGTCAGTTAGCCAGGTCCAACTCAACATATGGGGACTCGGCAATGCTCCTGCAAGACACGGAAAATGCCCTCGCCCTCGAAGAGCCACGAGTGAGACGGATTGGACACGCGCTGCTAGCCGTGGGAGAAGTATTCAACATCAGCCCTTCTCGATGGAGAACGCTGTCCTTCTTCCAGTCGGACGAATCCACGAGGAACACCAACAACTTTTCGGGATTTGGAGAGCCGTTGGAAACTTTATTGAGGTTCCATTCCAGACTCGGTGAGTGATGCCATAATAGCCAGTGCATTTGATGCAAGAATATTGAAAAGTCGGGAATTCTGGCTAACATACGGTACAGACCTCGCAGCGTCACTACTGACAGATCAGCCGCCGCTTACAACTTTGGGATTCGCCATGAATCACGATCCAGCAGACCGCACGCTCCCATTGTCAACAAAATCTATCCACAACGCTTGTCTACTTCAGCTCGCCAGCTGTCTTCAACTGCTACACGGCAGCAACAGTAGCAGTATCGCATCCCCCTCACCGCCCTTCTTCATGTCAGCAACTCAAGAGCCATTGCCACCGAGCCCAGGCTCGTATTTTTCATCAAAATGGTCTTCTCTATGGTCAAACTGCCAGCAGTGGTATCACAACCGACCGGTTGAAATGCAGCCCATCCTAGAAATCCGCAGCGTTGAGGCAGGCCAAATCGACGCTGACAACGAGTCCTCGTTCCCAATACCTGTCTACACAAGCTCGATTGCTCTGCAGTGCAACATTGTCTATCACATCTCGTCACGCCTTCTTCTATCTCGCAAACCTCGGCTTTTGCGACTGTCTAGTCGACAACGTCACCTCTCATCGCTGAGCTGGCATGCGCAGCAAATCGCGGGAACGGCAACGCGCAACGAGTTTGCAGAGCAATGGGACCCCATTCTCGTTGCTGGGCTGTTGTGGATCGCCAGGGACATGACGCATCCATCGCAGCAAGAGTCGCTACTGTCCTGCTTCAGCCAGATATCATCGAGCACGGGAATAAACTTGGATGAAGAAGTTCGCACACTCAAGGATAGATGGAACGTGTCACATGTGAGGGGCCATCAGCTCCCTGGCTGACATGCATATACCGCACATTATCACGACATACCCCCAATTCTCACCCACCAAGGATCGATTCTGTGAAACAAGGCTTGCAGCAATACCAAAACCATCCTCGTGCAGCGATGACTCAACAATGCTACCATGCACCTTTTACTCAATGGAGCTCGCCAAATCAGGATTGCCACGCGCAATGGCGGCTTCTACCCCACACGCTAAACCTCGGTCCGTCGGATCAGGATCCTCAGCTCACCTCCCTTTGTTTGTCATGAGATTCTAAACCCGAGATCCTGTTATAAATGACAAATCCACCTCAGATTTAAGATGCCCCATTTATGAAAACTCTATATAATTAATCCATCCCCGTTGCAATAATGGCGGCGAAGGCTTCGGCTCCCCCCTTGAAGGGCATCAAAGTCTTGGAATTTGCCGGTCTTGCCCCTGGTAAGCACTTTTTCCCCATCCGCCTTTCGCCTTTCGATGCTTCATGCATCTCATCATTACTCGCCTTTCACATTCAACCCTCATATTTACATCAAAGAACAAACTAACATTTCCCAGGCCCATACGCAGGCCTCATCCTCGCCGATGCAGGCGCTTCAGTCCTCCGGGTCGACAGACCTCCTCCCATTTCCCGCCCCCAAGGCGAAATATCAATTCCCGATGTGCTCGCCCGCAACAAGTCCTCCATCGTCATCGACTTAAAAGACCCTCGCGGCATAGCGCTCATCAGGCGTCTCGCAAAGCACGTCGACGTCCTCATTGACCCATTCCGGCCGGGTGTGCTAGAGAAACTGGGTCTCGGGCCAGATGAGCTGCTTGCCATCAACCCGCGCCTTGTCTACGGCCGCATGACTGGGTTCCGCCGCGACGGCAAATACGCCGACATGGCCGGCCACGACATCAACTATCTGGCCGCATCTGGCGTTCTCTCTCTGCTTGGAAGATCAGGCGAGAAGCCCCTCGCCCCGTGGAACATTCTCGCCGACTTTGCGGGCGGAGGCGCCACGCTTGCCCAAGGCGTGCTCCTAGCCATCATCTCGCGCTTCTCTACGGGCAAAGGCCAAGTCGTCGAGGCCAACATGGTCGACGGCAGCTCCCATCTCGCATCCTTCCCCCGCATGTACCTCAAGACCCCTCTAGGCGACCAACCGCGCGGAAAAAACACCCTCGACGGCGGCCGCCCTTTCTACGACACCTACGAGACTTCCGACGGCGAATACATGTCCGTCGGCGCCCTCGAGCCCCAGTTCTTCCAAGCCCTCATCAAGGGCCTCGGCCTAGAAGGACAAGGCTGGGAAACCAAGCGCCACGACCCTTCTTCCTGGCCACAGCTTTACGACCTCTTCACCAAGACATTCAAGAGCAAGACGCGCTCGCAGTGGGAGGCCGTTTTCGACGGCACGGATGCGTGCTGCGTCCCCGTGCTGCATTACAGCGAGCTTGAGACGCAGCCCGATAGGGAGGGCGACCAGCGGCCGGCGGTGACGCTGAGAGATACACCGCTGTACTCGCCGGCTGATGCAGAGGGGAAGGGGTATGTGGCAGAGCCTTTGGTCCTGGGCCGAGGAACAGAAGAAGTTTTGCGGGAGTGGGCTGGATGGAAGAATGGTGACGAATACGAGTTTCAGAAGGGAGCTGCCGTGCTCAAAGATAAGAGAGAGAATTCCAAGCTATGACAATAGCCTTGAGACTGTATACCGATATAGATATACATGACGCTTATGAACACTGGTGCGTTCAGAAAGCCCAATGTTTACGATACTTCAATTGAAGTCATACACATTCAATCATATAAACGGATATTCCTGATATTCACATCAAATAAATTGTTATTCTAATCTGGTCATGCTGTAAGCCTAAAAAAAGGGAAAAATTGAAGAGAAGAAAAGAGCACATGTAAACCCCTTTCCCCTCAACAACAAACATAAAAAAGCAGGCCCCCTTCCCCGGTCCAACCCGACCGCCCAAAAAAGAGCAGCTCTACTTCTCCAAATACTCCGCTTATCCGACGAGTTTTAAAACCTTTGATATCCCACACTTTGCCGACAAAACCCCTCCAAGCTCTTCGCTCTCGTTTCTCTCTCCGGACTCATTACTCATTTACTCTAGCCTCCGGAACAGCCGATGGTATCGAAAAAGGAAGAAAATAAAAGGGAGGAAAGGGGTTTAGGAAAAGGGGGGGAGAGGAGGGAGGAGGAGGAGGGGAGCGAGTTTCATCGTGCCTCATTGCATCTCATAAGCCGTAAAGTCGCCTGGTCCACGCAATCGTCTAAACATAATCATAATCTAGAAAATGGCGCGTCTCGCAAGTTGTCTCTCTACTGCACTTGGCTGACAATCTCGTTAGCTTTGCCAAGAGATTCAACCATCTGCTGACACTCTTTCCGCCTGCGGATGGTGAAGTCGCTTTCCTTGAGCAGGTCGTCGATGCTGTCGTTCTTGTACATGTTCTCTAGCAATTCTCGCTGCATGCCATCTTTTGTAAGCCTGCAAGTCAAGGTTGTTAGCATCTTTCTATTTTCAACTTCTCATTTGGGCGACATACTGGACAAGGTTGAACATGATGGCCTTGGGAACCATGTCGGCCATGGTTCGCTTGACAATGTTGTAGTAGGACGAGATGAGCAGCTCTGTTCGTTGTTAGCATACGCAAGCCTTGGCAAGCTGTATGGTATGTGCTTACTGATAACCTCAACTTCAATGACCTCACGCTCTGATAGAGTGCCAGAAGCCTTGAGGGTTGGTGGCGGCGGCTCCATCGAGGCGGCCTTCTTCTTGTTCTTCGCGGCGAAAAAGCTTCCAAAGAATCCTCCGTTGGCGCTTCCATCAGTCTCTGGGACTGTTGGGCTGCCAGCTCGGCCAGGAGTGCCAGTAAGTGGCTTGCCGGTCTTGGGGTCCACCTGGACAGGCTTTGGGTTGTGACGCTCATTGACAATGGCCATGGCCTAGAGACGAATCGCAGGTTAGATCTGTAAACTTGAAAGGGAAAAGATGAAGGAAGAGGAGAAAAGGAAATACATACGCGGTGGCCGTTCAAAAAGTCAGGGTGAGCTGTGTTGATGTAACACGCCTCCATGGAGACCAGATCTCTGACGAGCTTGTTGGTGGGCTCCATGGCCTTCTTGAAGAAAGAAACAACGGTAGTGTGCATCTTCTCCTTTAGAGAAGGATACCGGCGGTAGAGCTGCTTGGAGAGCAGCTGTGACAGAATTCGCACCAACTCGTCGTAAACCAGCGACACGCACTTCAGACTGGGGTCTTCCATTCGCTTGATCTGCTGCTTGACAATAAGCTCAAAAGCCGTCGTGCCGACAAACAGTGCGGGAGAAGGACCAGATGAGTTGTACAGATAGGTTCGGATATCGAGATCCTTGACAACGTCAAACGGATCAAGGGCCTTGACACCGTTGGAGTAAAGTTCGTGGAAAACGAAGCTGATACGGGCACCACCAGACAGTTCGCTGCTGGAGAGCTCAGTATTGTTACCGTCTAGAACGGTGCGCCACTCGTTGGTGAACTCGGTAATGACGTTCAGGACAATGTTGGAGCTGTTGCCAAGCATTGAAGGGCCTAAGCTGTCCAGCTCAGCACTGTATTTTTGCAAAGAGCTCGAAATTCGCGCCTTGATATCCGGAAGCGTCTGCTTGATATGCATCATCAGGATGAGGTTGAGTTTACGAGCGAGGTAGGGAGTGCCGCAGTAGGAGCTCTTGTTGCGGTATGCGTTGTGGTTCTCGAAATAGTTCTTCTCTGCCTCCAGAGCAGCGCCAATGGCCTTTTTGTTATCAATGTCTCGCTGTCCTCGGTTGACCACAGGAACGTAGCCCAGACGCAGCGGAATGATGCGGTTGGACAGAATGTCAATGACGTCGGTGCCTTCTTCCATCAGATCGACCTTTGTGAGAACACCAATGGTTCGCTGACCCTCGGGGTCAACCTCACGTGCCAGCTTCAAGCCATCGGAGTTGGCCAGATCGATGTTGGCGGCCGTGACAGCCAAGATGATGGCATTTGACTTTGAGATGTACTTGAGAACCATGTCGCGGATCTGGCGCTCAATATCGCGGGGCTGGTCACCAACGGGAACCTTTGTCAGACCTGGCAAGTCAACCAAGGTCAAGGTCAGGACGTTGGGAGAGTAGATGCGCAAGTTGATGGGAGCTGGGGAGATTCCCGCATTTCGTCCGACCTTGGCCTCGGTTTCTCTGGAAATTTCATCTCTGATTTTTCCAAAGTCGTAGAATTTCTGACCAGGCAAGTGAAGGAACTCGCCCCATTCGTCCACGTTGGCGGCTTTGTCGTTGCCGGCTTCGATCTCATCATGGCTGACGCCGTTCGTCTGGGCGGGGCGGTTGATGAGTTGAAGAACGAGGGGACGACGCGTGACGATACCAGTGCCTCGGGGAAGGCTGTAGCGCAGAAAGTAGAGTTAGCTGTAGCCTCGTCTCACAAAGATGATTTTAGAAGGAAAGGAAAAGCAGAGGAACCAAAAGCAGCCACGGTAAGTAAGGGGAGGAGCGGCTTGCTCCATAGCGGGACTCACAAGTCACGGCCGACGATGTTCTCCAGCACCGAACTCTTGCCGCTGGACTGACTGCCGACGACGGCGATCTGGGGGAGATCAATGGGGTTGTTGACGCCGACGGTTGCGAAAACATCCTGAAGCTTGTTGACGAGCCTAACGGCGAGGATTCCTAGTCAGTAACACAGGCGACAGCAGCAGCACGAGCTCAGTGGCAGACACTCACTGGATCAGGGCGGGATCGGTAATGCCTCCCGACTGGGCAAGCGAAGAGCTGGGCGTGCTCATGGTCGCGCTGGTGTTTGTGAGTTGCTGGAGCGTAGTTGACGGGTTGGCGGGTTGAAAAGAGTTGCGGTCGAGTTGCTAAAGGGGGTTTATCGCGAAGATCGCAGCGGTCGATCAAGTGGCGGGGTGCCCTTGCTGATAAGTGCGGGAGAGACGGTGAGAGCGCAGCGAGGCCGCAGCCGGGTCGGTGTTTCTGCACAGAACGACGAGACTCGCGCACACGGGGCTTGCAGCAGATGGTATCCTGAAATTCGCAGAAATGGCGGAGCGCCGCTACCAAGCAAAGGGCTGGACAGAGATGCGAGTTTATGGGTTTGGATGGAGATTAGGAGGGACTTCGCAGGAGAGCCTGAACAAGGGAACGGCGCTAGGCGGCTTTGGGCCGGTGCCCTGGCCGTCCAGCCACACGTGGCGATGCGCCCGCGGGAGGAGCGCAGCTGCAATGGCTGAATGGGCTGAACGGGTCTGGACGTGAGGCTGGTGCTGGTGCTGGTGCAGCCAAAACAATAGGCTCCAGCACAGCGGCCTAGCAGGGGTCGACGTCACTGGATGATGTGGACAAACCGCGAGACGCCACATTGAACTCTGTGACTGCCATGGCTTCCGTTAGCAGAGAAAATTTTCTGATTCTTGCAGACAGACATTCAGTCACCGTCGCATTTGGCGTGTCAGGCAGCGGGTATCGGCGCCGTGGCCTGTCACGAGCAGCCAATCGATGCCGTCTTCTGGTGCATTCCGAGACAGGCCGCGTGGTATCAGGTATCATCGATTCACCACCGGACGGCCTGAAATGTCCACAAGGCTGACAGGCCGCATGAACTCCATGTTGCATTACTCGTGTTGGTATTTGTTACGGGATAGAAACAACTATATAGTTGATTGACCAAGCAGCTTTTGAACAAGCCATCTTGAGATACAAGGCCTTCTCGAGTCTTTTCCTCTATCAACTCTACTGCTTGGCTCGGCATTTCAGTTGAGTTACATGATTGTTTCCCACCCGCCACAGAGTGGAAATCCTTTTGGCCGTGTCATACCTAGCGCCGCTATAGATAATACATGCTTAGATCACCTCGGACCAGTCCGCCATTAGCACCCAACGAAACCTTGACTCTGATTAGGTACCAACTTTGTGCCCAGCTGCCTTACCTATCAAGACATAATCTGGGGTGACATCTTAATTAGTTGAAAGGGTATTTGTCCAATACTCATTCGTATTTCTCTAGTAAACACTCTTCGACAAGGGTTTCTTTTTCACTTCCTTTTGTGTTAACCTGCAATTGGTGGAGGTTCATGTATGTGCTCCAATACGGCTGCAGATCCTGCATGAACACCACTCGGATCAGCGCTTTTCTCAGGGTCCTTCCAAGCAGGGAAGGCCGGATTTGGAGCCACTCAACCACTGTAGGGCCCCGAAATATAATGTGTGCAGCTGCATACTTGCAGCCCAACCAGCGTTGACCTTGTCCGGAGGCCTGGATTCGGGAAAGCCGATGGCGATGGACGCCTAAATGGATCCGTATAAATGCGCCCAAGCAGGCCAAGCAAATCGCGAGAGAAGACGTCATGGGGAGCTTCTCAGTTGGACCCTCGCTTAAGAAATCATAAACTGACTAGGAAATCCGCATCTACCAGCCGGGTACTCCATTTATAACCAAGCGAATTAGAAACAATCGAAATTATTCACGATGATATGCATGCAATGATATGAAGAATGATAGTAAAAGTCAATTAAGAGATGGCAATTGTTTTGAAATCATCTTCAGAAAGCTCATGTAATATCCCTGCTTTGCTTTGCTTTCCTTCGTAACCCCCTCAATTCCATAAGCTAGCAATTTTACCATTCCAACTCCGTTTTCGAAAACTCCCAAAGCCTCAAATGCCATAGACGATAGTCATTTCGTCTGGATATGTTCCATATATAAGCCAACTCCAATAGAGAATGGCAACCCAAGTATCGAAAGATCCAATAGCACATAGTGAACATGAAGAAGAAGAAATGAAAAGAGCTCAATAGTCCATGTCCTCGAAATCATCAAAGTTAATGTTTGGCCAGTTAAGCGCCAAGCCCATGGTCGTATCTTGGTGAAAATTCCTCTCGTTGCACTGCGCCTCAACGTGTCTCGCCAGCTCATCAATCGCTCTTGAAGTCCTGTTGGTCATTTCCCTCATCCGAAGCTGCATGACCTCGTCTCTTTCGTCGAGAACGCCTTGATGCGCGATTCCTTGGCGGATCACGTTGTGGAATCTTTCCCAGCGTCTGTTCACAGTAAGACGAACGGAACCGTCTTCGCTCCAGGTAATGGCCGAGTTGGAAGACTGCCGGCTCATGTATCTGGTGAGTATCTCGACGTGGACCATCTGGCAGTCGAGAGCTTTGATGGCCAGGTGAACAGGCGTATTGGGCTCGAAGAAGTCAATAAAAGTGAAACGCCCTTCCGCGGGCTCATATCCCTCCTCATTCCAAAGAGGTGATATGCGAACGGTCAGTGTACGGATGTTGCAAGTGTCGCCGCTATTCGCGAAGAGTCTTATTGCCTCAGCCATACTCTCTTGGGTTGCTTTCGAGTATCGATTGTGTTCTGCTTCAACAACAATCTTCCGAAAGAGATGCGCATACTTGTCGACGTCTATGCATCTCTCTCTGTGATCGTTACAGAAAAGAGAATCTCCCTCCTCGTCCTCGTACTCCGAGCCACTGTCGCTTTCATTGTCGCCGGATGGGACGTCATCATTCGTCGCCAAATCGAGAATTGCGCGCTGAGGGTAGATCGGATCGCGAAGAAGATATACAAACACATTTTCTCCGTATAGCACGACGCAGGCCTCGTCATGCACAGCCTGGCATGTTCGAAGGATGCTCATAGGCAAACTCAACTGGTTGTTCCTGTGAACCTGTTTCCATCCTCCGTGCACAGTGATTGGCTTCTCGCTGAGAAGCAGATGGCGATATATCTTCATCCTAATCTCTCTTGGGATGCCCATAAAAGTGGGCGGCGTCTTTCTTATTATGTGCTCTGGAAGCTCTTCCTCATCAGATTCGTCTTCTGAGTAAATGAACTCTTGAGACTTTGGCGGTTTTGGTGGCACATTCGATCTCCTGCACGTTCTCTTGCTCGGCCTTTCGTTGTTCCAAACACGACCATTCCCTTGGTCTTCCTTGTCCTCGCACCCGTAATGGTCGTTTGAGATGTCCTCGGTAGTTGGATCGGGAACCCATGGAGCAGGGGCCTTCAAAGTTTTTGGTAGTACTCGTGGATTCTCGCTGTTCACTTGCTTTTGTCGCTGCTGAAGTCGCATCCAGTGTCTTTTATGTGGAAGGGCATTAACGCCGCAAAAGTCCTCGTCAAAGGGAAGTTCCATCTTCTGCCCATTGCGAAGGCGCACATAGTCGAGCTCATATTTTTCTCTCCGTCGCTGTTCCTCGGCTTTAGCTTTCTTGGAGGCTGCATCGCTAGTAGATGTATCATCAGGACCAGAGATATCTTGGTTCTTCCTGCGGCGAGACGCCCTGTCGTTGGGCGCCATGGTTTCAAGCAGCTCCTCCAAATTGGGAAGATCCATTGCAAACGTGTTACTGGGAGAGAAAGAAGAGGTACTGGTTTGTGATATGTGACAAATGAATGAGAAAGTTGAAGAAAAGAAGAAAAGAAGAGTAGAAGAGGATAAGAAGGATGAGAAGAGAGAGAAGAGAGAAAGAGTCTAAGGAATAGATTTATAGTTGTGCATCTCGCCTTTGCCTGAGGCAGTATTGTTCGAGTGACGGTGTGTAGAGCTGGTGTGTACTCGGAGGCAAGATGGACACGGTTCGACATTCAAATGTCCATGAGCAAGACACGAGATGACAAGTAGCGAAGGCATTATCTAGAAGCGACGATATAGTGGATGCTATCATTTTCAAGTATGAATCTTTACAGTCTTGTATTATAACTCTACCATCTCCTTTCGCCGCCAAGCTACAGATAGGGTACGATATATAAAATAGTGTTTGAAGACATCTACACACAAAACAGGCCGATTTTATTTCCCCTTGCTTGTATGATTGACAAGACTGACGAGACCAGCTGAGGTTCGTCGTTTACACGGATACTTGGCTGTAGTATGTAGTATAATTCACCAGTTTGCATGAGAGATGTTACAACTCGAACATTAAAAAAAAAAGCTATATTAACATACTTTTCGTATTCAATAGCTTTGCCAACATTCTTCTGCGGTGGAGCAGCGTTCGTAAACCATTGGCCTCCCTTTGGCTGCACATGTCAATCTCTCAAGTGTTATCACGGCAGCTAGAGATTGCTGCCACCAGTATCAGAGATACTTGACCTCCGCTGCCGCCAGCGCTAGCCGCCACCTCGTGAGTGCTGTAGCCGCACTGGCGCAGCGCAGCTTGCAGCCACCACAGCCGCCACCGGGCAGTCAGAACCCATAACAGGCGCCATCCCCAGCGGAACCTTAATCTCTCGGAACTTCTACACTGATTGAACCGCAACCCCTCTGACGACATTACTCATCCCGCACACGCAACGACTGCAACGACAGCTGCTTCCGTCTGCTCGTTACCCCGGCCGCCTCCCTCCCCAAAGGGCCTCAGATAAGCATTTCGGCTGCGTGTTTGCTGGACCACTGGACAAGCGAGCCCCCAGACGCTGCGGCCAAGCTAGTCCCGCCTAGTTTCGTCACTGGCTGAGCTTCACGATCTGGACCGTCCAGGCCCAAACCTCGACTCCCGTGAATCCTTATACCCTTTGGCCCTTGGCCAGCCGCCTGCCGAGTCTCTTGCCATCGCACCGCGGCCATCTGCCGCGGAGAGGTCGACGTGGACCAACTCTCCAACTCTCGTGCCCTCTCGGTTGACGCCTCCGACGGCCCAAGCCCTCCGCCAGCCTCTCGGAGCTCCTCTGATACGTCTTCGGCACTCGACTCTCGCTCTGCTCCCCGGCCCGTCGATACTTCCTCGCGAGTGCCGGCTACTGCTGCGAATATAGCATCTTCGACAGCAAACCAATCTCCCTCGGCCTCTCATCAGCCTCCCCCGCAGATCATAGGCCGACGACGACGACGACCATCTGCAGAATCTCAGCCAGAAGACGGGGCCCGTGTTGCCGTTCCTGCTGCGGACGCTGTGTCTGCCGCTGCAGACACAACTACCGGAAGGCAATCAAAAAGAAGGCGGCGCGGCGGCGCAATCATGTCATCAGACGGGGACATGGCCGGGGCGTTTAACGGATCCGGAGCGACGCAGTCAAACGGCTCTTTCGCCGCATCTACGGCACATCGAGATGTAGCATCCTCAATCTCCGCCAACGGCAACCGTAAGGCGAATGTTGTGACAAACGGATCGTCGAATGGCGAGAAACGATCGGCCTCGCACCCTCTTACGTATTTCGGACACAATCGAGAGGAAGTCACGCGAATATTGATTCAGGCTCTGACAGACATGGGCTATCAGGCGGCAGCCGACAGTGTTGGGCAAGAGAGCGGCTACAGCTTAGAGAATCCCACCGTCGCGGCGTTCAGATCGGCTGTGCTTGCTGGCTCCTGGGCAGAGGCCGAAGACCTATTAAACGGCGCAACGGCGCCAGATGAAGAAGGCGAGGGAGGAAACGGCCTTGTTCTCACAGCTGGCTCGGACAAGGATATAATGAGATTCTGGCTGCGGCAGCAGAAGTTCCTGGAGCTACTCGAGCGTGGAGAAACATCTCGAGCCTTGACAATACTTCGCATGGACTTGACGCCCCTCTATCAAGATCCGGCCAAACTTCGACTCCTATCAAGCTTGCTGATGTGCAGTTCTCCGGGAGAAGTGATGCAAAAGGCCAACTGGGATGGCGCCAACGGGCAGTCTCGAAGAAAACTGCTATCGGAATTATCTAGTATGATCTAGCCAATGGTTTCTCCAAAAAAAAAAAATACGTTCCTTTTCGCTAACTCATTCACTTATAGAACGCATATCACCATCGGTTATGCTCCCAGAGAACCGCCTAGCTGTACTTCTTCAGCACGTCAAGCAAAGTCAGATCGATACGTGCCTCTACCACACCGCAGCGTCGTCTCCTTCACTGTATTCCGACCATCTTTGTGACCGACGGAACTTTCCCTCCGAGGTCGCGCTCGAACTAGGCGACTTTGGAGGAGAAATCTGGTCTGTCCGATTTTCTCACGACGGTACTCGCTTAGCTGCCTGTGGTAGTCGAGAGCACGTCAAGATATGGGATACACACACATTCTCCATCGTTAATATTCTCACAACTGGTGAGCATACAGACGACAGAAGTAAAGGCATTTGTGATATCTCTTGGAGTCCCGACGACTCCATGATTATGGTCTGCTCTTTTGATAAACATGCTCGACTGTGGGATCCAAATGTAAGAAGAGAAACTCCATTTATACAGAATGCATTTCACCTCATTACAAGTACTGCTAACACTCGAGATCAATAGACTAGCACCCTCATCAAAGATTTCAAAAAGTTCGATGAGCCGGTAAGCGGCTGTGTATGGGCGCCAGACGGTAGATCATTTGTCTTGGGTACCTTGGATAAACTTCACGGCCTGTGTACCTTCAACGTATACGACGATGAGATGATCGAATGGGACAAGAAGCATAGGGTACAGGACCTTTGTGGATCTCCCGATGGGCGCTTGTTGGTGGTAGTAGATGACTTACAACACATACACGTCTACGATGCCATTACGCGAGAGCTAGAATACGATTTAGAACTAAAGACCAGGCCAACGTCGGTCAGCATCAGTCAGGACTCTCGGCATCTGTTGGTCAATAAGAAGGACGGCGAGGCTCAACTCATCGACCTCACCACCAGGAATTCCGTTCAGAAGTTTTTGGGGCACACTGGGGGCGATTATCTTATCCGAGCTGCATTTGGCGGCGCAAGCGAGAGCTTTGTTATGAGTGGAAGCGAAGACGGAAACATTCTCATCTGGCACAAGAACATTGGGGCCGCCGTCGAGAGGCTGCCCGGCCACCAGCCGCGGTGCAATGCGGTAGTTTGGAATCCCACAGATCCGTGCATGCTAGCATCGTGTGGAGATGACGGCCGTATCAAAATGTAAGAAGCACTCGGGAATCACCGACACTGGAGAGTCGCAATTTTGCTAACCGTGAATTTACAGTTGGACCAGCAAAGCGCGGAGCGTGGAGCTTCGGGCAAGACATCCTAGGGGAGGCTCTAACGGATGGAGGAATGCGATTGACGAGTCGTAGGCCGGGAGGCAAACGCTGCGTCCTCCACTCCTACCAAACAAACCCATTCCCGAACCTCCACCAACACCGCGGCCCGCAACGGCTGTTTTGGGGCCAGAGGTAGGAGAGGGATCAAGAATTGTAACATTACGACCAGAGCGGCCAGCGCGACCAGTGGACATGACGCGATTAGTAGAGACAGCAAGGTCTATTGAACTCTTGTTGTTTCATTTTCGTCCACGCAGACATCCCTCAGACTCACCTGGAATGCACTGATGTCGACGGTGGAAGTGGCAGGCCCCTGCGCGAACTGCCTTGAAGTATCATGAGTTAAAGGGAACAATGGATGAGGGGAAAGTAGGGAGCGATACAGTGCTATCATTGAAGCGTCATGCCCTTGTCAACGTTGAGAGATGGTGCTATTTAGACTCAAGTTGCCTCAAGCTCTCGTGTCTTTACCATACACTTTCGCATGGGTGTTTATTCATTTGTTTATCTTTATGCCCTCTCCTTTCTCTCACTATCAAGCTACTGGGGTGTCCAACGGGAGGCGTTCAAAGAGGTAGCGGTTGGTGTATAGTGGCTTTTGATGCCATGAGCGATTAATGTTAGGTATGTGTAGAAGAATGGCTTTTGTTTACATCACACACACTCAATAAACAAATCTACACTCTAAGTGGGATTCACACTCTCGTTTACTCCTACCAGTGACATGCCATTAGGATCAGGATGACATTCAAGTACGTAGTACTGGGTAATACTAATGGATGGATTAGTATAATACGGGGTAAGGAAGGGATCGTAGGATTTGTGTGGCTGTCAGGCTAATACAGATTGGACTTTGTCGACTTCCCCCCCCTTACATGCCCTCTGCATATGCAGGATTGAGACATGCCGTGCTACCGCTACCTGTTGGGTAGGACAGCCATGGTCGTATGCAGATTGCTTTTTATATCTTTTTTTTGCTTTCCGGATGTAGAAAGGCTCGGTGTCACTCGTCTGCAGCTTCAGGCGACGGGCCAGCTAAACTAACGGCAGACGTACCGGAATCTCAAACAAAAAGAAAGGAAAAAAAAAGAAGGGCAAAACGGCTAAAGGCCATGGCCGATCAAAGAGACTACTGCGGGTTATAATCAAACGGCTGCATATGAAGGACTGCTTGCTACGTGTAATATATTACGACTATACTTACTGCTAACAAAGAATCCCCGCAAGTGTCGCGTGAGCTCAAGTCGCCAAGACGTACGAACTGCCTTTTTTACTGTGGTAGGTAGATGTCATGATCATTATGGCCAGAGGGCATTTTCGGTATTCAGTTGGGGTTAGCATTTGGACGGGGTTCACCCCGGACGGGGCCACCATGTTCACACTCGGACAGCTACACATGCTTGTACAGTAGTAGTAGGTAAATGTTGCAAAAGTAGAGTTAGGTAGGTAGGCATAATAATGGCTGCCGGGGATATGCTGGCTACATGCCTTCTTTCATGCTGATGCCAGTGCTAGTGTGTGCGACAAGTCCATCTTTCAGCTTGAGATCTGGGGGATGAGAGCTAAGAATGCACACTTGTACACTTATGCCGTGTGAAGCTAGCATCAGCATTCACAGGCATTCGATTGCAAACACTCCATGCCTCGTATTGCCAGTAGTACAACTACCGGTTATAATAGTAGCAATGCCAAGAAGGTTTAAAAGCAGACGTGTCTATACGGACAAGGCATTGCTTGCGACTTTTTTTGCACTGCGTACAAGTAGGATCCCAGCCATTGATTAGCAGGGAGCAAAGATCTGCTACTTGGTACAATGAAAAATGCCATGGCTCTTCGTATCAAGTATTTATGCTTAGAGCCCGTCTGACAACTGCCAGCATGTGCGCTCCGATGGTGTCCAGGCCATTGTCCGTGCTCGATGTCAGTTTTCAGATAGATTAAGCGATGCTACCCAGCGATTTCCCAGTGTGCCCAGAAAACATGCCACTTGATATGGATGCAATATACAACGCGGGTATGTGGAAGGTATTACAGATACAGAGTCCTCGATCCCGCACCCTGGTATAAAATACGGAGCACCGCTGTAATACTACTGGGACCAGCAATATTTGGTAGGTGCCGGAAAGCTCACTTACAGCATCAACGGTACATGTACAGTATCTCACGCTCTGCTTGCTGCGTGCAAGTCAAGTCCAGCCTGCAGGGAAATCTCGAGGCCTGGGCTCTGGCCATCCAGCATGCTTTACCCCTTTTCTTTTTGCAACAGGCCTGAGCATTAGCCTGCTGCTGGCTCTGACGCTTGTGGTGTAGTCTGTTGAGACGCATGCATAGGTATACATAGTAGTAGTATTTGTATGCACAGAGTTTGCTCCTATGCAGGGCGAGAAAAGCCTAAAAGTGAGCCCAGATTGCATTCGTCTTGGCTTTCTTTTTGTCCCAGTTCTTTCAGTTTGTTGTTCTTTCGAAGCCCTGGTTGGAAGCTTTGAGCAACTTGGCGAAATTGGACCAGGGTCAAGTCATGAATAGCGAGAACCCCCCACAATCCGGGGCATTTATGAGGGGCGAGCGCCGTTGATGCTCGCAACTCAAGGCGCTAAAATGCTGCTGGGACGGACTCTTGGGAGCGTAGGCAAGGACTTGTTTGTATACCTGATATATTCTCCATACTATACAAATGTACAAAGGTATAGTCGAGATTATAAGTGGAATACTGAGCAGTAATTTGGCATTACGAAGAATATAGGTTTGAGTGAGAAAAAAAAAGGGGGGGGCGGTTAGAAGTCGCGCCATCTGCTTCTCAACTGCCGACGACCCTGATACGGCTTGACAAAAAGCTGATACATACCTACTCCAGACAGAAATCCAGAGAGAAAAAAAAATCTCGGCTATGCTTCAATTACCGAGCTCTCATATAGGCGAGATCTGCTGAGAGCTATAATGACTGATAGACGACCACATGGGCGAGGCGAAATGTCATCCGAACAAGCCGACTTGACGGCGTATCGTTTCCCCTTTTGTTCCCAAGTGCACGGTCGAGCAGCATGCATCGTGACAGAGGCCTCTCCCTGGCAGTAGGGCCTGAATTGTGTTTTTTTTTCCTTTGCGGCAAATGGAGCCGGAACTGCTTAGATCAGTTGCTGCCCTGCTTGCCTGCATTCAATCATCCCTTCAGAGAACATTCTGCTTATTGTGAGCATTGCTTCTATGCAGGGTTGGCGCTGCAGATGCATCTTGTCAAGAGGCTGATATCCCTGAAAAGCATGTACTCTAAGTTGAATACAGCATGTCGGTAAGAGTCTGTGTTGCTGACATACATGTGCAGGCAGACTCACCTTCCTTTGAGGAGATGCACATCGACTTTGTAGATCAACAGGCTGCAAGATGGCGCTGTGTGCGTTGACGCCACTTCCAAGGCACGATCTCACTTGACATGGACTGCAGCATAAGAGTATGTACAGTACTGCTGCCAATTGCCTATTTGTACCGGTTATACAGCTGTACACTTTGTAAATTCCCAGAGACGTGAAATGTTGCGGCGAATCCGGATGCAGCAATACCATGGCTCTACTGACAGCTGAGCTTGCATTCGAAACAGAAGGTGACAAGGTGAGCGAGAAACAAAGGAATCGAGAGTTTCACCAGCAACTCAATTTCCCCGGCCAGTCTTACTCGTCACATCATCCCATGATCCTACTCTGTGTTATGAAGTGCTGGCTGTTACAAGTTACAGCATGACAAGTCCTTGATAAGTCGATCAAAGGAACATGTGTATCTATGGATCTGTGACAGTGATAGCATACAGCAAAGCGACCAAGAAGCCCTTGTACAACATGAAGCAGCCATGTAACCAGCGCCCGTTTGTCTCTTGTTTCTTTTTAGTTTTTGCGCAAACCCTGGGCGGCCCTAGTACAAACAAGAGGATGGCGTGGGCGCAGCGTCGCATTGGAGCTCCAGCACTGGCCAGCTACGCATCTGCGCCCGGCCAGTAGCCCAGAGATTAAAATTGATCGTAGATCAAGATGGAGGCTAACGATGGCTGTTCCTTCCATCGGACAAGTGCCATTGGCCTGGACGAGCAGAGCCACGAGCCCGATACCACCGTGGAAACATTGCACCGAGGATCGGCAACTGCTAGTACGTCGCAGCAGCAATGCAGGGGGAGCTTGTAACTTGGACAGACGGCTTCTGTAAAAGCAATCAATACCTATGTAATGGTGTTGTGTTTGTTGGAGTCCAGGCTACTGTCCTCTCCGAGCCGCCCCGTTGGCTTGGCCGTCAGTCATATCGTCTGATGTCTGTGGCCAACTGCGTCGGCACACAAGTCCACGTACAGTAGTATTCTGCGCTTCGTGCCAGCACCAGCATCTGATCAGTCGCCACCGTCACCATCACCGTCGTGAGATGCCGCCATGCATTAGCCAGACGCCCTTTTCTCGACCAATGAGCAGATCGGTGCCTGATGCAGGTACCAGAAGAGCACTAGCACCACCAAGAACGTCCTGTAGCACCAACACCCGGCTTCCCCGAGCTTTTCTTGTTCTGTTAATCTTCCTTTTGTAATCTCTTGTTTGTTCTTCGTCGGGGCGATCCAAAGGGCTGGTATTTGTGTATTTGTGTATTTGTTGCACAATCAAACGTATCACAAAGATGACATGCCAGAAGAGTGACGAATATAAGCAAGAGGACCTTTCTTTAATATACTGTGTTCGCTTCTGCTTAGTGCTGTCAACATGAACCATGATCTGCGGAGTGCTGGAGTAGCTCGAGGTAGTGCTTGAGGTAGTGCGCCCTGCAAATTGCATGCTCTAACCGCGACAAGTAACGGAGTAATATAGAGCGAGTTCCATAGTTGATACTGCTTTTCTCGTGATGGAGCGATAGAGAAGAGATACGCAGGTGTACTTCTGTGAGTATACGGGCACTCAGGCCAGGCTGCTCGAGGTGGAGGCTGGTATCCATAATTGCCATCTTGCAATAGCCGCCCCTGCATGCAGCAAGCAGCTAGCCTCGATTTTTTTTTCTTTGGCGGAGCCTTGAGTAACGACACGACTCTTCGAGAAAGCCGTGCTTGTACGTCCTTGTATTCGTGCATGGTATTCTTGTACATGGCGCTGCCGTGCTAGCAATAAGCCATGGCTGCAACTTGACCTATGCTTCGCCCGCTTGGGCGCATGGCTGGCATCAACGTGCCGCGGAATGCTCGGTATCTTTGCTTGCCTGTGTCTTCCCATGCTGCTTTGCTTGTCAAGGAAGCTAACTAACAGCCGAAGCCATGACGAAAGGCGGACTGCCGCCTTGATACCCGTCCGGCTGGCTGGCTGGCTGGCTGGCTGGCTGGCGTCCAGGAATGGTGGCTAGCACGGCTAATGGCGGACGCAGCCATGGCAATGCCGATCAAGACCCGGATGAAGGGATTTCGGCGCCGGGCGGAAAGGAGGGCGAAATTAGTGGTGTCCAGACGCCTCTTGGTGCGTTGCCATGATGATACCATCAGTGGTTGGTGGCTTTGCAGAGACTCTGCGCCGTGCCTGGCCCCTGGCCGAGGCTGGCCCATTCTGGCGGCCAAGCGTCGAGACGCTATTCCATAGACTTTGCTAGAACAGAATTAAGGAGCCACTCTGCGCTCCCGTGGCCCCCCCCTCCCAGATGGCCTGGCAGACCCTTGTCCGCGGGCTTCGTACTTCGTACTTTGTGTACTTGTGCTTTGGCATCGCATCGCAGGTGTCAAGGCGCTCTAGTCGCACGCGCGGATGCAGCCCTGCATTGGAGGCGCACGTTGTGCCTCGTTTCTGGGTGCCCGGCTCTCCTGATCCGTAGCAGTGCAGCTGGGTGGATGTTATTTCGTATCTTGATGTGCCTGTATCAGGTCCAGCGGTGGTCTGGACAATCATCATGATATCGACTCCATCTCGTAGACGACGACTACTACGATTGAGGACAGTACTCCGCGGTACGGTACTCGCAGCAGAGATGGCAGTATTTGTCAACCGTTTCGCCGATAGCCTGGCGCGGAGAGAGAGATATACAAGTACAAGTATACAAGCAGCAAGCAGCAAGGAGCTGAAGCGTGCTTTGCGGGAGAGAAACCATCAAAGCTGATATAAAATATGGAGTCGGATCACAAGTGTTATTACCGCTGGAGACCCTGGTGGGGTTAGGGACCAGCAGCGCTCCGCTGCCCGACGCAGCTTTGCCAATAACTCGATAGGCTGCGACGCCAAACGGGCGAGAGCGCTGGCATCGTCAGTGAAGCGAAGCTGCTGCGGCCGTCCCCGTGGTATCGTGGAGTACCTGGCGCCCGCTGTGGTGGGAGACAGTACCCCAAAAGTACTCTGGACGCCTCTGGGCGCTCTGGACGCTACTGGAGATATCTCGCCAGCGGGTGGCGAACGGTTCATGGCCCAAGGCGCTATTGCTGCATCTGGCGTGCTTTAGCAGGCACATGGAAGGATCCGATTCTTCTACTGGGCTGCAACGGCGGCTCTTGTCTGTGCCTATAGCGCTGGGAACTGACCAATATCTTAGGTAATGCCATCGATATGGGATGGGGTTCTGCTTCAACGTGAACTGGCCGCATTTGCTTGTACTGATGCTTGCAGAAATCAAATGTCTACAAAGAGTCAAATACCTTGCATTTCCGCTATTGTAATCAACATACTAGCACTCTAGGGCCTCCATCTATCTCGTACCAGCGTTTGACTACTTTATACACTTTCGATTAATTCTTCCTTCATCGTCTCTTCATGCCTCCAAAGCCTCGCTACCTGCTCCCCAAGAGATTCCGGGCGGTGGGGATGCAATTTATCAGGAACCCTTGGAAAAGCCCAAGGAGGCGGCGTGGCCCACACGCTGTTCTTTAGGGGACAGCAAGGGCCTTAGTGCGCCGGCGAGCTCCTTGCACAAGTACTGGGACGCTGCGGCGGCCATGATGAGACATGCTTCGAGGCCGGCTTTAGCGCTGATTGGCACGGCGGCCCACTCATTCTGGAAGTATCCTGCGTCGCAGACCTCGCGCCAGGTACATGGAAGCGGTGCCTCGGATTTGACTTCGATTGCGCCTCCCCAGCGCTGGGTCCGGTGGCGGCCCTCCGTCACAGCAGAGTGCACAAGGAATTACAAGTGGTAGCGTAGCCTAGCGCTCAGCCAGCGTCTTCCAGCGACGGTGGGGACCTGCCGACAAGGCCTTCCAGGGCCCTGTGCTTTTCCATCACTTGCACTACAGGCTACAGGTACTGATGGCAGCTTGAGCACGTCTGCTGCCCCCCCGCCGGCGGCGCCTGAAGACCGGATCGCCATCTATAAACTCGGGTTTGGCAGCTAAAACCTCGTCCCCAGCCGCATCCACCATCTCCGGACAGAACTAGGCCGGGCCCTCACTTGCTAAATTACTGCCCGTTGCTAGTATTTCAGCTCGCGCTCCCTCCTTCTCCATGGCTCCATCTCGGTGAATCCCTCATTTCGCCGTTTTCTTCTTCTCTTCTTTGTTGCTTTGCTGTGATACCCCGTTGCCATCTCTCGACCCACCAGAGACTCGCTGCTTTTGCCTGACTGAGCCTCCCTCTGAGCGGACATCCAGACGAGGTTAAAAAAAAAAAAAAAGAGGAGACGACAAGATAGGAGGCCATTCCCATTGTCCAACTCCGACAGGCTCTGCTCTGCTCTGCTCTTACACCCGAGAAGCGCAAACCCTCTCGACGACGCATATGAACTCGGTCGATAGAGGCGATTTCGTCTTTGCTTTTTTTTTTCCTCAGCATGTGCTTTTAACCCCAGCGACTGACAGCCCCGTTTCCCTTTTTCCCGGTCTGTTTGCGACTGCAGCTGCGGCTTTCAGGAGCAGCAGCCTCACAACCGCTCGCCATGGATTACCTTGATGGTTATCTCCTTGTTCCTCCCGACCGAAACCACATTCTTGCGAAAGCGCAATGGAAGGTATGTTTGCTTGCTTGTTGTCTCGTTTGGCCTGAATGGGAATTTCGTGGCTTCATACTCGTCTCCTTCTCTACTTGGATCCCGTCTAAGCTAACTTGCACTCCTTGCAGTCCCGATACGTCTTCGTTGGCAGACGGGCGACGATCAACAAGCAGAAAGACCGACAGAGCAGTAACGGCGTGTGGCCCTCCAGCTCTGGCCCCAAGCCCCTCGTCAAAGCGTATACCGACGAATACTGCATCTCCGTTTTCAAGTCCAAAGTAAGCGCTGATACGCTGGCTGCTGCTCTTCTTGGCAACCTATACAGCAACATCTAACACTTTTTTTCTCTCTCGCAGGAAGATGCGGAACCTTCTTACCAGTGGCCTACGAGCTGCGTTCTCGACGCCCAAGTCCAAATGGTCGCCTATCGCAAACAAGGGCCTATCCAGCCCACGCTTGTTGTCACCATATCCGACAAGGAGCGGAAACGCCGCTCTAGTCGATCTGTGGGCTTGATGGCAAGCAAGGAAGCCGGTACTAGTACTCTGTGGTTTCGAACACCACAGGATGACCATCACAACAGTCTCCATGAGTGGGCTCAGTTTATCCTGGATAAGAAGAATCCTACAGCCTCAGATGGAAGCAGCACGCCGGTGTTTTCGAGCCCCTTCAGCCCCAGGAGCCGTGAGATGGAATACTTTCCCAGACCTGATAGCGGAAATCAAGCGAGCCGCCAGGATGCGAGACCTCTACAGCACAAGAGCTCCGGCGCTACGTATTCAACGGGACCTCGCGAGCGGCCTGCCACATTCAGCTCAGATTCGCCGAGCCTGCGATCCAAACGAAGCGACATATCCTCGCCCTCTAGCGTCAGCCAGCACCCGATCCAGAAGTCATTTGCGGTTCCAAGCCAAATCTACACTGGACCGATGCATAACGATGCGGGGTTGCCTTCGATCAGAGACTCGATTTACCAGGGAGAACTGATCGAGGGATGGACGGCGGCCCAGGGGCGCTCCTCGACCTTGAGTTCACCCACGCGTGGCCCTGAAACGCTGGGCTCACCAATGGAGGCGTTCATGGGGTTTGACGTCAGCGCACCGCCTGCCCCTGGAGAGACGATCCTTGACAGGGCCTTTCAGATGGGGCATATTCCATGGGCTGACACAAGCGTCCCCGGTCAGGAGAACTTCAATTCCATTGCTCGATTCGATGCTCTCATGCGTGAAGTAGACGATAAGCGGAAACAGCGAGAGGCTGCCCAGCGCCTGGAACGAGCGGCCGTACGCAACACGTACAATCCTCAAGTCGGGCAACATCTTGACTACAACCAAGAGTTCGACTCCGATGACAACGCGCACTCGGCAGACGAGCAAGAGGGCGGCTATGATAGGAGCCCGATTATTTCCCCTTCGGCTCAGCGAGCATTGGCCTTTATCGCAGATCGACGCGGCGAGTCGCCAAGAGAGCGCGGATCACGACGTCCCACCATCTCCAGGGCTCACTTGAGCTTCCATGTCGATACGATGGCCTCGGCATCGACATCGCAATCCCCGCCCTCACGGCCTCACACAGCTCACGCCAAAAGTCGCCTCAATCCCACGCAGAGGACCCAGAGCACGCCGCACCTGAATCCAATTTCTGCAGGCAGGGTCACCGATGATAATGCTTCACGGAGCGGAGACTCGGATCATCGCCGCTCTGGCGCGAGCTCCAAAAGGTTGAGTTTCTCTGAGTTCACCAGAAGGCTCTCGAGCACCAGCAGCTTACTGGTAGTCCAGACCAACAGCAGCGGAGATAGCCGCCGAGGAAGTGTGGGCGCAGAGCCGCTTCCCTCCAGCGTCCGGCGGCCCAATATGAGCCATAGGGATACCGTTCCCCCGCCCAGAAGCCAAGAATGGCAGACCCAAGATCGACGCTGCCCGTGGCGCAACAGTGTTGTCGGCGTTGGCCCCGAGGGCGGGTTTCTTTAAATTGGCGTTACACCCTAGTTTATTGCCCGCCTGTGCAACACATTTTGGCTGCCTCTCTTCACCTTATGATTCTCTGCCGACTAATACACATCTCCAACGACCTTCACTCATCAGCGTTTTGTTTTTTTCTTGTGAAACTGAGTGGCACATTTCCTAGAAGAGGAACCAAATCCAAGGAGCAAAGATTTCGGAATGCAGGCATACCTGGCTCACGTCGCCTGGGCGAGATATCTCCTGTTTTACTCTCACTTTTATTAATATCGCCTTTTACATAACGACGACATACATCATTTTTACTATTAGCATCACTACGCACGACGCATTACGACGAGGACTGTTCAGCCTTAGCATGACTCCGGCGCTGGTTTTTATCTTGGGAAGAGTGTACAAATTCTTATTTTCATCCCCTATTCTCACTCCTCTCTTCTCTTTTTTGCTCCTTTTCTTTTCTCCCCTCATCCATAGGAGAGGTGGCTCCCATTTCTTGTTTTAAAGACCTTACGGTGTTTATTAGATATTTTCACATTTCCCTTCTTTTTCCTTCTTTCTACTTAGTCTTTTCTGCGCCCCGGCGTGGGAGAAGGAGGGAGGGGGAAAACGTATTTTAAAGTGACCATGATGGGTAAGCATATAGTCTTTTCAAGTACATGGTTTTTGAATTCACGAGATGAGACGAAAAGAGATGACGCAGTGACTTATCAAGTAGTCTCTTGTACGTTGTTGAATTCTTTTGATAGATAGTTATTGAAAGAAGAAATACAATTATATCAATCAATCACTATTGTGTATCATACTGCATCTGCTCGTTCACATTGGCTTCTTTTCTTCTCCTGACGATTCCACAATTGCTTATTCGTTTCTCGCGTCGAACATGTGTCGAGCGCTGATGTCAATTACTATCTACTAGACTACATACCTATGTAATGGATTTCAGTGTATCTATCTACCTTTCTCTCATTTTGGCCTCTCGTTATTTTGTGTCGCTTATCAACTTTCTGTGCCTTTCCCCCCATGTCCTGGTTCTCGGTATGGCCTTCTTCTTTCAGTTCTTCATAAATGATCATAATTTTTTTTTCACCAATAATAGAACAACACAGTTCTTTCTTCTTGGTATGCTTGTTCTTCTAGATTGTTCGATTTTATCGAATGTACTGAGCAATGGCTTCCTGCAGCTCGGGCGTAAGACGCTGCGAGATGAAGCCCTCAACAGCACCGCCATGTCTCTGGTTAGCACCAATCATGTACTGCTTGACCCAGGTCGTCACATCCTGCACCTCGGGGAAGTCATCCCGCGCGGCAAGCTTGCACGTGTTGAGAGCCGTAAATGTCAATCCAAATCCAATGTCATCGGGAGAGTTTTCAAGAATGATCTCATCTCCCACGCCAGCGGCAGCACTTGGTGGGTTTGCCAGCAGAGTGAGGAGAATCCTGCAGGTATTTCCCCAGCCCTTGGCGAACTTGGTAGCAAACACTTGAGAGTCGCATAGCGTCTTGGTCAGAGAAACAACGGCAGCCTTCCGGTCAACGGGCCTTGCCAGCTTGTCTGTTTCCTGCAGGATAAATGGAGGATAAACTTGGGCAAAGACCTTTTCGTCCACCTTGTCAGAATGCTTGACAAAGTAATCTGTTCCATAGCCAGCTTCCAGCTTTCCCCCAACGAGATGGAAGAATCGAACGAAGCGGATCTTGAAAGAATCGGCTGGAGATCCTTGTAGCTTTGTGAAAATCAGCCTGAGAATGGTGTCAAAGTACGGGTCAATAGCCGATCTTGAGAGAAGATAAAAGTTAGTATTGCAGCATTAAAGAGGTCATTTACGATCAACTCACGGCTCAAAAGAGTTGACAATAGCCTCAAGAATATCAAAAGCATGAAGCTCTGATTTCTTTCCGCTGAGTAGTCTTTGGAAAATGCCGAGAACAGCCTCAGTCTGGTTCTCAGTAACAATTGCCTTGGCTACTCTGGGGATAAGAGCGGCCAGCAATCGTGTGCAGGCCGGGATGTTGCCCCTGGTTTCCCACAAAGGAGGTTGCAGGAGAGGGCCAAGAAGTGCCTTGTAATTGTCAGAGACGGAATCCACAGGGCTGGACTCGAGGAGCTGCGCCAGGATCTGGAAAATGTAAGGAATGAATTCTATCGATATACCGTTAGTTCCAGTAAATCCAGTCATCAAAGATATCTAGACAAGAAGAAAAAAAAAAAACATACCCGTAACATCGTCTACCAGGATTTGATGTGCTGGTTCCCAGAGTTTCTGATTAATTGCAGCGGCATGCGTCGCGGCACAGTATCGTACCAGCGCGCCAAGAGCCTCAAAGTGGTAGTAATAAAACCGAGGGTTGCTAGGGTTAGACTTCATCACATTTGTGATGAGAATAAGGTGTGTCAGGATGGTATCGAGCCAAGGGCCCGCTCCGTCCTTGATGACAATGAGAATTCTCATCACGCATCGCATCAAGAATTCGTTTTCCTGCAACTTGGGAGCGCTGGTCTCCCTTTCTATCAGCTTGAAAAGATGAGTGAGCAGATCCTTTGCGAACGGCTCAATGTCTGCGCGGGGGAACATGGCATTGCCCGCATCGTCTGCCAAAAACAGCACGCGCTCCACGGCAATGGCCGCGTAGGTATATACAACATAGTTGGATGAGTTGAGGTTCTGGATCAACGGACCAATCGCCACTTTCCACTGCTCCTTGGACAGCTGACTGCGGAATGTGTAGAGGAATTTGATTGCGTCAACTTTGGAGATTGGCTCGATACCCTCTCCATTCACCAAGTCAGACGCAATGTGCTGCTCAAAGAAGTCGACAACGTTGACAAGTGGGTTAACGGTCTTGACACCTTGAGCCTGTGTGACGGCACCCTTGGCTGCAATTGAAATGAACAGGTAGACGGCAGTGTCTTTGGACTTCCAATCGGACTTTCCTTGAGTGAGGTAGTGGTTGATGTATCTCGAGACAGAGCCAGTAACGGGGGCCTCAAATTTCTCTTGCAGACTGCGGAGGAAATCGGTGGCTGATCTGCGTCGAGAGCCCGTATCAGAGCCCTCCAAGTCTCGGCGGATATACTCAATCGGCTCATCCTCAAACAATTCGATATCAGACTCTCGCAGGCTAACATTGGGCAAAATAACCTTTTCAATAATCTGGGTGAGGACTTCTTCGTTGTTGAAGAGCTCGGAATGCTCTCGAGTCGCCGCAACTGCCGCCAAGAAATGGAGCGACTTGCTGACAAGGGTGTCGTACTTTGTCTCTGAGCCAATGGATGACACCAGGTTCCAGGTGCTTGTGATGAATGGCTTGCAGTATTGAGAGAAATCTGCGTCATATTTGAAGGTATAGAGCTCAAGGAAGTCGCAAATGTCGGCCTTGGCGGTGTCGACAACGCTGACTTCATCGTCGTCGTCGGTATTCAGGATGGCATTGGAGTAATTCAGATACTTGTGCAGCAGCTCGGAGATGCTGGAGAGGTTATCTTCGAAAACAGGAGGCAGATCGTGGCAGGACATGTCAAACATGATTTTCAGCTGCAAGCTCAGAACCTCAAACCAGCCTCGAAGAGCCACCTTGTCTTGCGCATGCTCGGTGATTTTGCTGTCTGTAGTCTAAATCATTCACACGAGCTGGTATTAGCCTCGGATCTTAAAAGAGAGATGATAGAGTTCGGAAAAGGAAAAAGAAAAAGAAACAATGTCGGCTAGAACTGCTCTTACCGCTAGCAACTGAAAGAATGGAGCGCCAAATGTGTTGATGACATGGTTGATTTCTGTATACAGGGCGGTCGTCGCCATGAGGGGCCTCCACCGAACGAAGATGGAATGGGCCACCTCCAACACACCAATGTTCGCCTTGGGATCGGTGGCGGAGAAACGGCTGACAAGATCCTATTTACCACGCCGTCAGTAAATATAACAGCTCTATCGAGCTCGCATTGGAAGATAGCTACCTGGGTTAGAGTATCCCATCGCTCCCAAAAGTCTGAATCGGCAATGATGCTGACAGCCTCACCCAGCTGGCTCTGGATGTTGGCAGGAGAAGCGATCATCAGCCCGATGAGGCGCTCCTTGATTGTCTGGACCTCGTCCTGGGGGATCTTGTAGTTTCCATCGGCGTCCTGCACGTACGAGTCTTAGCATCTTGAACGTCCTGTGTCGGAGACGAGGTTCGCGTGGATCGCGTCGGTGGCGTGGCATCGTGACTTACCACATAGTTGATTCGGATGAAGTTCTTGAAGGCCAAGGCAGCGCCCAGCCGAGTGTTGATGGGGAGAGAGTCGTTGCTAACAATCGTGAGCAGCGTCAGTGAGTACTGAGGCTTGGCCGCCTCCTGCTTGAGAGCAGCCTCGGCTGTAGTGAATCGACGCTCGTCAGTCTATGGCGGGCTCTACAGACGCGCTTTGCGCCCTCCTTGTGCTTCGCGTCTGCCTCCAAGGCGGGGCAATGGGGAGAAGCGCAACATACCTGTGCGGTGCTGAGCAGGATCGAGAGTTGCCTGCAGCAGCTGTGCAATGTGGCCAACGTCGGCCGCCATCGTGAGTTCTTTCGCGTCGGATGCCGGGTGCTGATGGGTGCGCTATGTTGACGGGACAGAGACAGAGAGCGGGCGTGAGGGCGGACGTCCAATGTGGTGTTTGTGTTGGCGGTAGGTATGTTTGGTTCGCGTCGACTTTTTTTGGAGGTTGCCTCGTCGATGCTGGGAGCAAGGCTCTAGTGGGGTTGGAGCTTTGTCACGGCCCTGCTAGCTGTGGACGGCCGGGGGCGGCTGCGGCTGCGGGCGTGGATCAGGCCGCGCTGAAGCTCTTTTGGCGCTGTAATTGAGGTTGCAGCCCATGCTGGACAAGGCTCCATATTGTCAGAATTGCCTGTAGGCTTATGCTTTGATTCTTCTTTCATTCAAATTTGTATAATATATACCTGCAGCTTCGGGCAGAGATGAACGGCATACCAAGACTCATTATTGCTTAGGACATGGTCAGCTCTTGGCGCTGGGCTAACAGCTGGAACAAGGTCCTTTTATGATTATATTAAAGAATGTGCTCTATTTGAATTATCTATGCCATACATATCTCGTTGTAGCTTTATTAATATCTCTTCTATATCAAGATGCACAGATATACATCTCGTGATTCTTAAATTCATCGCATGCTTCATCTCGACGCAATTTTTACCCTCGTCACTTCCAAGGTTTCCGTATCCATCAGCACAAATTCCTTCGTTTTCGAAAACGACGGCACCGCAATGAGTCGAACACTTTGGCCGTCAGGGCCGTGAATGACTCTGGTTGCAAACTCGGGCTGGCAGCCGACAAAGTAGACGTGGGGGCAGGTCTTGAGGACAAAAGGGTCATCTTCTTGGAATGGATAGCTCCCTAAAAGTTAATTTCATCAGTATTGAACCACTCCTGAAAAGAAGAAGAGCAGGGGCATAGAAAGGGGACAAGACAGAGAGAGAAGGGAAAACATACATAATGTATCGGGTGCGGTGGGAGCACAGCACCTCCACCTGCACATGGCTTCCATCATGCCTAACCGGTCGTCGCTCTCGACATATTTAAACACATCGTCCACGTTTTGGCCGCCCGTGCCCAATATCCTCCATCCTTCTACCTCTGCTTCCCATGGATTTGTGACAGGGTCGAACCACCCAGGTTGTGATGCTGCCTTTGCGCCAAGTTCTGCTGCATAGGCTCGAGAAAGGGGAAACATGGCGCTGTGAACGGGTTGCTGAGGGTAGCTTGCGTTGGCGGGATCCTGAGCGCCGGGGAGGAGGGTGACAGGGATGGAAGGCAGCAGCTCCGAGACAAACTGATCAAAGAGCTGGGATGGCACGGGGTTGTAAGCGCTGGCATCGTAGCCGTATTTCTTCTGCACCGTCTTCTTTTCGTCTTCATCTTCGCCGCCTTCGTCGTCGTCCTTTTCTTTGACGGTGGAAATAGAATTGCCGGCGATGATGAGCCTGCTGATTTGTGAAGCATTGGCCTGCTCGTCGGGGCCGAGTGCCTCTCCAAGCAGATACTCCAACAAAAGATCCAGCTCAAGATCGTATGACGCATCGGTACCGGAAAAGGACAGTCCTGATACGATGGCAATCTTCTTGCCGCCGCTCTGCAAAGGGCTGTCTGTCATTTCTGTATCCTCGCCTTCGGATTTGCCGCTCGCCGTGGGTGGTTTGGAGAGGGCCCAGCGCTCTGGCTGAGGGGCCAAATCAGGAACCTTGAGGTCAATGACCTCGAACTCGCCGTTTGTATTCTCGGTGCCCATAACGGCAATGATGCAACCGGTGACAAGTGGGATATTATTGAGCACGTCGCCAACTAAGCGGACACGGCCTGAGTCGTCTTCCAGCATGATCTGATCGGAGCCGTCGTCGGAGTAGTACTTTTGCGAGGAGATGGGCGCAGAAAGCCAACGCTAGCAATTTGACAAATTGATAGTTAGTATCATCCAAAGCAACTATAGGCATATGCTAGCCAAAGAGAAAAAAGACTCTCACATCTTTGGATACATCCTCAAGGATGTTGGGCTTCAGCCGCATGTCCATGTAAACCGTTCCCGCAACCCAGCACAACTCGCCCTGCCGCACATCAAGCACTCGCTCAACCCTCGTGGCTCGCTCGCCGCCAATCTCTGTGCCCTCCCATGCCTTTGCAGCCACCTCTTCTACCGCGGGCTTGATCTTGGTGAGCCGCAAGAAGTACATGTCGCCAAACTGCTGCTTGTAGGATCGCTGCTTCTCCAAGGCGAAGGAATGGAGCGGGTTGTATGCTGACTCTGCTCGGATGGGCGCTTTCTGAGAGGGATCCCTTGTATCAGCGTTAGAATTGCAGCAAACAGGCTGGGGGGATGAGGACGTACGCCGGCGTCTGCAAGAGACTGGAGACATCTTCGAGCTTGACCATGGCGGCGGCTGTCAGCAGCTACGGCCGAAGCTTTCGTAGACTGAGACTTTTATTTAAATTCTATGCCCAGTGAGGCCGTCTTCGTGCTTCTTTGCGTGCGTATTATGTGGTTTGGTCACGGATTGATTGTTCAAACTGTTGGCATTCCAAGTGCAATCGTGAACAGGCTTAAGGTACAGCACTTTAGCTCTAATGGTGGAAGCTCGACGCGCCTTTGCCTGCACGCACTTTTTCTGCGCTGCCCCGCGTCGGACGCGCGAGGTCACACACCAAGTAGCTGCCCTGTGCCTTGGTCACCATTCTCACCATATGAGCGACCAAAGCCGGATTAAGGGTACATGGATCTACTTTGAGCTGTCTCATCCATTAAAGAGGTAGCACTACGATGCCGCTAAGCCAGCGCCTTATAGGCCTAGACCCCTGCCATCTCTTTACTGCCCTCAGCGGCGTGTTCCGGGCTGGCCTTTTCAATTCGGGCATCAATTGAATGTCGTACGGAGTATCGGAGCGCTCCGTATAAGGCAAAACCCCTCCCCCACCATACACCGATGAGCAGAGCGATCCCACTGCAAGGAGCCGAGAAAAGACGGCCAGCAGGCGCTAGAAAACTTCGCCAGTGGGGTTTCGATGTTTACAGGTGCCTATATGAAGCGGTAGCAAATCTGTTGGAGGCACTCTTCTATCTTTGTGACTCTTACACACACATATCAGACACCAAATCTTCCATTCCCTCATTCCTTGCAGAACCACCCGCCAAACCGCCAACATGTCGACTCAGCAGCCACCTCAAATCGTGACCAAGAGTCTCTCCTACACCTTTCCTGACTTTTCCACGGGCGTCCAGAACATCACTCTTGATCTGCCTCCGCGCTCACGAACGCTTCTGATTGGTGCCAACGGCGCTGGCAAGACGACTCTTTTGCGTCTTCTAGCTGGAAAGCGCCTGGCCCCGGGAGATTGCATCTCCATCTGTGGCGTCGATCCCTTCAAAGACGGCCTCGAAGGCGTCACGTATCTCGGTCTCGAATGGGTACTCAACCCCATCGTGCGCAACGACATTGGCGTCGTGGAGCTGCTTCGGTCTGTTGGCGGTGATGCCTATCCCGAGCGCCGTGACGAGCTAGTTGACATGCTTGATATCGACATCAACTGGCGTATGCACGCCGTATCCGATGGTGAGCGTCGCAGAGTCCAGCTAGCAATGGGTCTTTTACGTCCTTGGACCGTGCTCTTCCTGGATGAGATCACTGTCGATCTTGATGTCTTGACTCGTTATGAGTTCCTCGCCTGGCTGAAGCGTGAGACGGAGAACCGGGAGTGCACAATCGTCTATGCTACTCACATCTTGGATAATCTGGCCGGCTGGCCTACCCATCTCGTCCACATGCATCTCGGCACTGTCAAGGAGTGGGACACTGCAGAAAACATGCTGCAGGCCGTTGATTCAAGTGTTGGGTCCACTGGCAATAGCCGTCTCGGAGAGTTGGTCATGGGCTGGTTGAGAGACGACCTAAAGGAGAGAGGACCGAGAAGCCAGGTCAACCGTGCTCCTGAGGGCAGGACCTATGGCTTTGGTGCCATCAAGATTGGAGGATATGGCGATGAGTCCAAGCAAAGGGAGAACTAAGAAGAAAAAAATTACAGTGCCTCAAGCACGAGGTCTCTCAAATCCACGGAGAAGACATTTTTCGTTGGAGATGATGCCTTCAACGGCTTCTCAGACGATACATGAGGTGGATCTTTTCTTTGTTATCATAAATGGGTCGGTGAGCACAGCATTCAACGGTGCACGGCGTTGCTATTTGGCGGAGGGGCAGGCCTCAACTCTGCCTTGACAGCCGGATTTCAGTTTCATTCTGTTTTCAACACTCTGGGATGGGATAGCTGATGGATAAATCGCATTTCTGGTTTTTTCCCCTTTTCTCTTCATTTTCCTGTCTTATTTATTCTTTTTGATGATACCCTGAATTTCAACCGATGGGATATAGGCAGCTGGTCTGTTTCAACTAGGCCTAATCAATATATCAATACAACGCCACCATAAAAAGGTGCAATATTTTTCCTTCTCCCTAGCTTCTTCATCTTCATCTATATAGACATCTTTGCCCGTGCTCGCGGTGTTGCATCCATTGAGTTCTTCAGCACTGTCATTGTGTTTTTCAACAGCTCGGCGATGCCACCAAGGCTCTTTTCCGCAAGTGATCTCAAAACTTCAATACGATAGTCTTGCCACGAAAGCTGTATACCTCCCGCGACAGTCAACTTGGAAAGGCTGTTTTGCGTCACTGGCCCGGCGTGCCTTGTCCTTATGGCGCTATCGCTGCTTCCAATGGCAGCATCCTCAAGATCTCGCACCGAGCGAATGCTCTGGAAACAGAGTACAGGCGAATATGACAAAGTAAGAAGTGAAGGCAGAGAGAAGGCCTTGTCCACTGAAGAGACATATGCCGTGAGATCGGCCACGGTAGGCCGTGGCATCAGGCAGCCGTGAGAATTGGTATCCGCATCGCTAAATGCCCTGCTTCGCCAGAAGCAGTTACATATATCCATGAGATACCCGTTATATAGGTTCACGTAGGCTCGGTCATAAGAGAGCGCATCGATTCGATTAGAGCCATCATTTCTTGCCTTTGTTGACATGGCCATTTCAAAGCCTTTTTTGTAGCACGCCAAGATGCCGCATAGACGGGACATGGTGGCCACAGAACTGCTGAACAAGAATGTGTAAATCAGCTCGGATGGTGGCAGTTCAATCCGTATATAGTACTTGAGAGAATCGTCATTGACGAGGTGGATCGCCTGTTCATAGAACTCGATGATGGCAATATTCACCGACTCTGTGGGAGAGGTTTGTAGAAGAGTGAGGCCGAGTCGCCCGGTGTGGCGTATCAACGCCGTGATGCTCGTATTTGCATGGGCTGGAACTGGATCGCTCGATTGTAATATGGCAGTCCAGTGACGGAGTATGTTGGTATATAGGCTTAAAATTTCTTCCTGGGAGCCTGGTGTATTATCCAAGATAGCCAGCTCTAGTGGTTGCAAGATGCGTTCATACAATTCTAGATGGAAGAATTAGCTTATATGCGTTGATAGCTAGAAATGTGATTTCGAGAGGAGCGGATACTTGCCTTGAAACCCTACAAGAGGAGTGAACGACAGAATCTGTAGAATGGAGCCATGCTGACCAGACCCATTCCATTGTTGGAAAAAAGTAGCAAAAAAGCCAAGGATAACGGGAGGTATAGACTGTCATCATGTATCAGCAACGGCCTTGAAAATAGACAGGCGGTAAACATGCCTACAAGAGCTCCAACTTACTTTACATTGCACCACAAATTCTTTCACGACATCCAAAACTTCCCAAAGCACAGCCTCGTCAGCATCGCCATCAATGACATTCTGTAGAACCGAGTTGAGCCAGTTCGCCGCCCGTTGGTAAGCCTCTGCGTTTGGACGCAGAAGCAGTAGCTTTTGCAACAAGGGATCGGCGAGGACGGCCACAAGTTGGTTGGGTAGCTCTATCCTGTCGATATTCTGTACAAAGCCTGTGATGTTTTCGACTTCTTCCAAAGTCACAGAATTCTGGAGTAATGTTAATATACGAATGTGCATTGGAGGTCATGACCATATTACCTCTGTGGCATGAGACGTGTGGACGGCCGGCACAACTCTGTTTCCTCGGCCTCGGCCAGTGGGGCGATTAACCCGGAAGCCATCGAGAACCGCTTGTGAATTCCTCTCTGCTTGCAGAGCATAAGCTTCTTGTACTTCCTGAAGCCTTTCTTTCCACGATATGTCCGGATGCTGAGGCAATACTGGTTAGTTCGGGTCAACTTGAATTGGTGTCATCGTCATGAACGAACCTTGAAAGCGGAGGCCCTGCCTCGAACTAGCTCTCCCAAGATGATTTCAGGATAATAATCTTTATAGACTCTAAGCAGGCCGATTAAATAAGGATCATTGGCAGTCTGCCGTGATAAGTTCAAGCTTTGGGAAAGAAAAAAAAAAACTAGTCAGTAATCGAGGTTTCCTCAAGCATAGCCCTATCCTTCCAATGAGATACTCACAGAGCTTGGATCCTAAAAGGTCTAACATGCTTTCTCCGTGTGATGAGTGCCAGTAAGTGGCAGAGATTTGGTCGAATCGCTGCCGTATTGAGCAAATTGAAGAGAACACTGTAGGCTTGAGCGAACACGGCTGGGGTTTCCAGCACGTGGTGAATCATGATGAGCCATTTTAAAAGTGCTACCTGGATATTGAGCGAAGGCTTAAGTGCTCCGTGGCCAAGAGCACCAATAACACGAATGGCAATATCGCGGGATACTCTGGAGACAGGATACAGATTTCTAACTATGGCATTTCGACTCGCCTGATCAAGGTGGCTGGGTGTAACAACCAGATCAATAAGCTCGTCAAGTGCTTCCGGCAATAAGCCATTCTCGTACGCCAAAGAGGCCAGGCTTGCTACTGTAGGCCTGATATCTCCCATCCGGGACTTGGCTGGTAACTTGGCAGCTAACATAGGCACGGTAAGTAAATGCTACACAAAGGGGAGCATACTGGTCCACTCACCCGCAGCCACATCGCGAATGAGTGCGTCAATCTCCTTGACTGCAGAAGACGACATATCCTCGCCATTCAAATGATTAAAATAGAAAAGAAAAAGCAGGACAAGTGAGCACTATGGCTGGTGGCGGTGGGCGAATGCAAGAAGCCAGATTGGTCCAGAACACGCTGTGGCGCGTCAGTCACCAAAACGAATCAGAAAACAAGGCGGCGCGGCTGCCAATTTGTCACAGTGGAGAGGCTTCCATGAATAATGCGACAAGAATAAGAAGGAGTGCCACGTTTTGATTTGGCCCGCCGTCCGGCGTCTTGTCGAGCGGTGCCCCCAGCGAGGTTGGCGATGTCGTGGTGGACTGGACGAATTTCTTGTTTGAGCCTGTGGAGAAGCTATCTAGCGCGTGCAGCTCTGCGGCCAAGGCCCATTGGACTGCGGCCGGGATGCAGCTGAATAGGAGAGCAGGAATAACAGCTGCGTTGTGTTGTGTTGTGTGTGTGGATAAGATGCGGCGAGTGTACGTGTAAAGGATTGATCGAGGCCTGGACGGGCTTCGACCAGTATGGAGTGAAACAGCGAGCTGTCGTGCGTCGAGCTAGCGGCAGCATTGCATGTCTGTCGTGTCACAGTGTGTCGCACTGTAGCTCTATGCAGAACAGGCCTTGAAATCAGCACCAAAATCAAATTCGTCTTGGAGCAATTCGCACAGTGTCGCCTAGGTGTAAAGCCCAACTGGGAACCTCTTTCATGCAGCTTGCAGTCCGGCTTCAATCCCGAGGTGTCATGGCGGGATATGGGATATGAGAGGCGTGAGAGATGTGGTCAAGATCGCCTCTTGTTAATTTTAACCGCTGTACGAATATGCAGGAAATAGCCGTTTCGCTCTATCGTAAGCCTCGGGGGCCTTGATGATCGCGACGTGGCAGGCATTGGTGCTGTGGTGTCATTGGACTACTGCAGGTACAGCTTTTACATATCAAGTCTCGTGGCAGGGTCCAGTGCCCATCAATTGGGATTTATATGCCTGTATCAGCAAATACCGCCCCTGCCTGCTATATGTGTCCAAGTAGTACAGTATATCAGTATTTGGCTGGGCAACTTGGGTATCAGCATCGGCTGAAGAAGCCGCTCTAGATAACGGGGTGGTCTCGGCCTGTGATTGCCTGTCAAGTAGATGGTTTGACGGGGAATAACCCGGAAGTTATGTATGAGTAACATCATTATTGATTCGTGATAAGCCCCTTCAATCTATCGTGACAGGCTGAAGATGACAGTCGTAGATATCATTTAGCAAATCGATCCGGGAACTAAGTAGCTCACTTTATTACTCTCCTTGGCAAATGATGCTCATCAAGGACAGTCACAGCGTCTTGATTTTCTGAATTCAGCGCCTCGTGGAGCAAAGTCTCCTCCACACGGAGCTATAGGAGAAGTATCTCGTAGACTCGCTCGCCTACCCTAAACTACTACCTAGAGAGTGTTCTTCTGCCCAGTATTGACCAGGTTCCTACCAAGCAGCCACCAAACTCCATCATCATGCTAATATCATGTGATAGCGTTGGTACTTGCATCAATATTCATTTGGTTTTTCGTCTTTGCTAGCCTCAAGTAGCGAGTCTTTGCTGATGCTTGAAACCGCCTCTTGGAAAGTACCCCCTGCGCGCCTGCCCTATTTCCTCACCTGCCGCTCTCTCTTTCCGTTTCTGCGCTCAACACGCCCCAAAACAATTCCAGACTCTCTCCAAACCACCAAGCAGATACTTCCCCTCTTCATCTCTCCCTGTCCGTGTTACCGCGATGCTCTTTGTCTCACTGCCGTACGCTTAGCCCGGCATAGACGCATTATACAATATTGTAAGACTTGGCTGCTACAAGCGGCACTACTCGCCGATCCTCGAAGCTCCCGCCGCCCTTCCCGGCCACCGGCCCCATCATTCCGGCATATTAGACCAGCGCTAGGCCGAATACATGCCTGCCATGCACTCTCTACGACTCAGTCTTGTACACATACTGTACGAGCAAACAACTACCTACAGTATGCATCGCATTGCATGGTGCAGCTTAAAAACAGCACAGTCTATGACTTGGTCACGACGCCTATCGGAAGGCATTTATGTTGAGTGGCTAGTGTCTGCCCAACGCAACATGGGCCTCGTCCGATTGGACCGGTGGTCATCATACAAGAGAGCCCCTTGCGTCTTTGCCTGCTTGCCGGATTGTATCTTATTGGCAACCGTATTGCAAGTGGGTGAGGCCACCCAAGACGTGAGATAGTCTTTTTTATACACGTTGTTACACTGCATGAAAACTACTATGGCGGTAAGACAGCAAAAGTGCGACGGGTATTTCAAGGCAATTGGGTAGTTTCTTAGGCTTATACAAGCTCTATCCGAGTGGATGCTGCGTCTTTGGCAAAGCATGGCTTCCCAGAATAGCCTTGGCCTTATCCTCTCTATCGTTTCAAGTCATGGTTGGACATTAGTCGTACTTACACTGCATCTTGGGTATATACTTTGTATCTTTGATAGCTTTCTACTAGTACCTGCTTCACAAAACAGCAATATGCTGGCTTGACCACGTTCAGGCTAGGGCACAGCTTGTTTGGTGCAGTGTGTTTCTGGCAATCTCTCAAATAAGTGCTCTTGGTGGGTTGCTGAGCCAAGTGGCTCCCTGCTCCCTGTCTGTGTTTGCTTTTGGGCATCCTTATGGCCCTCGTGCCCTTCTTACTTTATTATATGCCTCGATTTATTGGCCAGTTTTTACGACGCAGCGCCTACCTTTGCCACTTTTGGCACGAGCCTTCTCCCTCTTTTCCTATTCCAATAGCTCGACCTGATTTGTGCCAGGGTCAGGGCCAGCGAAGCAAGACTTACAGAAGTTGAGGGATTTCGCACGGTGACAGCCGCGTCTCAGCCCCAATCTCGTCTAATGGACGCAAATTGCCAAATCCTTTGGTTACTGGTGGACCAAAATATGCAAGTTCGCCACACCTTACGTTGGGCGTGTTTGAGTTTTAGTTGTATCCATGGTCAATCCCACAAAACCCCCACGCGGAGTTGATCCCTACATTTCCTCCCCCCTAGCCTTCCCTTGGAGTGAGAATCATTTGTATCCATCGGATAGTCCTGGTCTCTTGTTCAGCCCAACCGTTGAATACTAGGCAAAATTAGGGCTATCCCTACTACATGTACTTATAAGGCATACTGAGCTATTTGGCATTGTGGCGCCTGGCGGTCCGAGCCTTGTTCTTATTCATTGCATCCACTGCTGTACGAGGAGGAGCTTTTGTCACGAAATACCAATCGACGTTTTTTTCTTTCTTTTATTCCTCCGATTTATTGCACACAAGTATTGTCTGTCACATAATTTGGAACCGCTGGAGCAAGTATTGGGGGCTGTTGAAGTGCTGTTACATCGCAAGAACGCTGGCCTTTTGTCCAAGTCTTGTTTGTCTCATAGCCTAAATTGTGGCATCAGTTGATGAAGTCGCTATACAAGCCAAGGGTTCTACTTACTCGCCCCGTGTGATGCCTATAAGCCATCTTCAGAAGGCCTGTAGCATCTGCAAAGCTTGAAATTCTCCGTCTTCCCAGTCGACTGGCTATAGGAGCCAACATGTCCACTAGAGCATTCTGGCCTGGCGGAAATACGCCCAGCGCTCCAGAGAGGCCTACTGCCACAGTTCTTTGGGACTATCAGAATTGCATCCCACTCGTTCGAATTCCCAGCTGGGACAAACCTGTCACTCTTATAACCCCTGTCGTGGTACCACCTGCTGGTAATGATCCCGCTGATAATAGGGATCCTTTTGAGATATTCGGCCAGTCGCTTACTAGTCGAGATATCCCCCTACGGCATGTTCCATACACCAAAAACCAGGGTATTACTGGTGTCCATGTGGCCTTCATCAGAAGATCAAAGGTCGTTATCTTTGTGATTAGTCATTTGGACGGTCCTGGGTTCCCGCTCCAGCTGGGATTTGCTGAGCTTGTGGCACAGATATGCGAATCGCGACCTCTCATAATCCTTGCTTGCTGTCCTGTTGCCGGCCACAACATCCCCAATGCCTATTTCAGGACGCTGGTACACGTTGCCGGATATGCCAACCCTGAGCTGCTGATTGCAGCCAACTTGTGTCTTGATGGCGGCGCGGGCTTCACAGCGCCATATGCAAACATGTCTATACAGAATATGCCTGTACAGAACCTGCCTGTGCAGAACCTGCCTGTGCAGAATATGCCTGTGCAGAATATGCCTGTGCAGAATATGCCTGTGCAGAATATGCCTGTGCAGAACCAATTATTGGATGCCGAATCTGCATGGCCAGTCCTGCCCTGGGTTGCCGAACGAGATCTATTGGAAACATGCGCACTCTGGCAAGAATGCCTTCCCTACCCGTTTCATCTCAACCCAGCAACTCTAGAGTCTCTTTTGAAGAGAGATGGCTACGCACTGCACTATGTTGTACGAGATCCGGTTCATGGATCATTGGTTGGGTTTTGTGCGGCATTTGCCACTTTCGCAGACAGCTTCGATGTTGCTCTGGTAGGCTCTATTGCCGCCGTCATTGTGCAAACCGCCTACAGAGGACGAGGAATTGGCTCATTACTCTATAATGCCGCCATCAGCAGGCTCCAGAGCGTCAGAGGTGTGCGAAGACTGCACCTGGGGTCGACATTTCCTCGCCTGCTCTGCGGCGTGCCGGTCGATATGGGTTATGTGGACCAGTGGTTCGAGAGAAGAGGCTGGCCTGTCAGCACGCAAGGCCACCAAGGCCAGGGTGGCCTTGTCGCAGACTGGATTCTTCGATTCTTGGACCTACCAAGCATGACAGTTTATTCCACTGGCCTGGGATTCAGGCAGTGCGTCGATGGCGATGCCGAGCAAGTGTTGAGCGTCGAGCATCGCCAGCCTGCGACAAGTACTCACAGCCATGGCTGGTATGATCTGTATGCGCAGACATTGAGACAAGGATATATAGGCGATGTCATCGTTGCATATGAGAACGACACAATAGTGGCTACTGCCATCATTTACACACCTGGCGCACAGAGTCCAGCGGCAGTTGATATACCCTGGCCGGCAACATTGAGCAGCAGCATCGGTGGAGCAACTTGCATATGCATCAAAGGTGAGTCCAAGCTCTTCTCCCCCCCTCTCTATTATGCGTCATGTTACATCGATACGTATCCTTTGGCAGCTTTGTTTCATTGCTAATGATTGGCGGGCTAGACGCGAACAATTCACGAGAGATAATCCTCACTGAGCTTATATTCGCATGCGCTCGTTCACTGAGCCAACGGGGCATGACAGGCATGTTCCTGGACGGAGTATCAGCCGGTCAGCGAGAGATCATTCCACTAGGTAAGCTTTTTAGAAATGCTGGGGCAACGGTGACTTTGGAATTTCCTGACTTACACTGCCATAGGCTTTCAAAAGTGGATGCAGTACAAGGATGTATGGAGAGAGATGTCGACCACTTGATTGCGACTGAGACGATTGATCACGTATTACCATGGAACTACATTGTGCGGGTTGGTGGAGTGGGCTCTGAAGAGAATTTCTTTTGTATGTCGTTGTCTCGTAGAAGAATAAAAATGGATGGATTTGTTGAATCACGACTGAATATCAGATCGAGGCAAGGTTTGTGTGAAAGTGAGCATATAAATATATGAGGTAATTGGGTAACTAGATAGGAATTATGACCGCACAGCCAAGGAAGAAATTACTCGAGATGATAAACGTCTTTGTAAATTGGTATAAGTACTTGTACCTATATATATATAGATAGAGTAGTAGAAAAGACAGCAAATGACTTTCGATCAAAAGATACAACAAGGGCCAAACGTAGAGAAACAAAATTGACGACGAGGAAAACAAAAACTTTTAGACCCAGATAGATTTTCCACCTTCCTAATAGTGTTAAACGCCCACCGCTTCCCAAATCAGAGTTCTTCTATCTCTGATATCAAATCGTCATCGTAAAAAGAAAAATATAAAGTAAGAAAAAGAAAGAAGCCTATACGAGTACATGACGGCTCGCGCCTTGCAACAGACTGTGTGGCCCAGTCCGAATCGCTCTTTTTTCCTTTCGATTTTTTTTTTCTATTATTGAAGATTACTGTTTTGTAGCCCAAAAAAATGTAGTAGTAGAAAAAAACATTCAACTGTACAATCCCTTCAAGCCCACTTCGAAAAGTCAACTGATTCAACGAGCGAGTCAATCCCATTCACCGTGCCAACTTCAGTGTCGTTCGTCTGGGCCGTTGATAGGATTGACGAGCGATGAGATGTCTGCTCGCTAGTGTTGGTGAAGAAAGTGGCCACGCTTGTCCTCCGTAGGCTGTTGAAGCTATCTCGCACGCTGCTACCACCTTGTTGAGCGGCATCTTGGAATGGCTGCAGAGGCTGCGGCTGGATAGGCATTGAATTGGCGAGGAGCGTTGGTGGTGACGTCGAGGACACAGAGCCGGGCTTTGGCCCGTGTTTCTCTCGCAGCCGCTTAATTTCTCGAAGACGACCAGTCCATGAGCTGATATGCTCGCCCTCTTCCCTGTTATGCCACACGTGAGAGAAAACAGATGCATTCATGGCAAGGAGCCGGATGAAGGCCGGGAGAGCCTTCAGAGAGACCATTTTAGTATCGGATGCTGGCGAGATCGATGGGAATCCGGGCTTGCTCATCACTTGCACGGTGTAGAATTTCTTCTGCTCTGGATTCACCTCCCTAGTGGCCAGGAATGAAGCTGGAGACGCTGGCGTAATGACAATATTGACAAAGTTGAACTGGCTGGGGAAAGTGTCGAATTTGAATGGAAGTCCAGAGTCGTTGAAGATAATATTGACAAAGTCATTACCAATATGCCGCTTTTTCGCCACGCACAGCGAATCTCGTTCAAGATTGGTTGGCATTTGCGTCGTGACATGGAAGACAATCTCAGTTACCCTGTCTCTCCAGCAGAATGTATACTGCCCATCGGTGTCGAATTCGCGATCCAGGCCCTGAGTATTGAAGTTTGCACCTTTAAGTTTAGTCAAGGTCCCAAGGCCGTTGAGAAATTCAAGGTAGTCGTCGCTTCCAGATACGTTTGCCAGTATCTCTGCTTCTTCAGTCTGGCCTTCACCCATGTAAATAATACCGACCTTGTGTCCATCCAGACTAGAAAGGCGATCAAAGACTCTAAGGGTTCTTTGAGTGACATCGTCGTCTGGCAAGGGAATGGGCCTCGCAGAATCGTGCGATTGCGGAATCGGAGACATAAGTTGCACCAATAAGTGACTGGGCATAATTGAGTTGGACGTAGGTTGGCCTTCTCTAGTGATGTCGACATGATTCTCTATTTGATGAGGAGGGGGAGGTCGGTATGACTCGCGGACAGTGTATGCCGACGTGCCTGACGGTTGTCTCTTGATGATCTGAGCCCACCCAGATGCTGTGGCCTGCTTGACGGTCACAATACTGTTTCCAATCAGCCACCGTTTGACTGCAATGCTGCCAAAACGATCTTCGGTGAAGTAAGGATCCTCTGCCGACTCATCAACATCTGCAAACGTGACCCTTTGCATAAAGTCTATCGACGTGACGGCGTGATCATCCATGGCATGCACAGGGCCATCCGTATCTGCAAACAGTTTCTTGACGATCCAGTTGACTTGGTTGACACGGTCGGGCAACTTGAGCGCCAAAAACCAGAATAGGATAACATGATAAGCCAAGGCGTGAACATATTGTGGAAGGTCGTCTGAGAGAGCGGGCTGCGACGTATCGGACGCCGCTGAAATTGACCCACCAGACATTCCAGACATTTGTAGCTCGCCCACATGGCTGTTCCGTTGCTGAATCTGTTTCTTTTCTCTAGCATAGTCCAGGTATCGGAAGCAAATTGCAAAGACAATTCTATACTCGTCTTCTCTGAAGTTGACGTATACATTGTGTAACCGACTCAGGCAGGCAAGAAATTCCAAAATGTGTACTGAAACAAACGGTTGCGTGATGATGGCGGCCATCTGGTTCAGCATCTGGAGCAACGACCTGCTTGTTGAAAGTGGCAACTCGTGACAGCATATCGACAGGGCGTGAATGCAACACTTGGCGCTTCTTTCCCAGGTAGAAATTCCATGGACAAACACTTTAACGATCTCGTCTTCATCCGATTTCTTAAAATGCTCATGGTAGCTGAGGATCATCGTTAGACTGTGATACAAGCAAATCGCGATATCAGCTCGGCGCAGGCCCAGGGCATTGGGGGGCTCTTGGAAACTGTTCTGCCGGATCTGATCGCATACCATTTGGCGAAGTTCCTGTATCTCCTTTATAGCATCTCTAAAGATTGCATGATTGCTCAGCTGCGATGGCAGATGGACCAAGACAAAGCTGTATATCTCCCAGTCGCATCCTTTGAGCATATTCAAGACCGTGCTCAGCCAGGCCGATAGGCTGAGAGCACAGGGCTGATACTCTGTTCTTTCGGCTGCGTGCTCTTCGTCTTTCGTCTCACCTTCGACGTGAATATGAGATCTGAGAATTGGGCTATTCAAGGATGGGGCGGCTTCAGGCAATGCGTCTAGGTCTGGATACTTCCACATTTGACTCTGCCTACTTCCAGTCTGGCCTTGGCTAGCAGATACACCGCGTACTCCGCGAGATGACATGGTCGCTTCAGTTCTTGACAGACGAGCCATATTTGCCACTTCTTCGGCTTGCTTTTTGGCTAGCGAACTCTCTGTGCGAAACAGAACAGTAGCAGTAGACATGGCTTCTACGCTGTTATTGGTAATGAAGATTCGATTCGCCCAGTCAGCGCGAAGCCTAAAAAGCAGTTTCATAGCTGTCAGCCGAGCATCTATCTCGCAATGATCTAGCGCTGCAATGCTGACTAGCACGTTGAACAGCTTCTGGCTTTTATCGTTGTGGAAATTCATAAGCCGCATAAACATACGGACATATCCCCTCGTGACAACGTTTGATGGCGACTGTTCTAATGGTGATCTCGTGTGCTCAGCAGTCTCTGATGAACCTGGCCGTACTAGAGGCGATGTAGGCGATGTAATGGGTGATTTTAGTCGATTGCTGATGACAATTGCTCGCAATGCATTGATAACAAAGTCAAAGAGATCTATATCGCACGAAACAACCACCGAGGTCATAAACGATATGACAGCGTCCAGGACCAAGACGTCTGCTTCCTCAGCAATGTTTTGGAGTATGCTGTTGGCAAGGCGAGGAATAAAGTTCTGTTCGTCTCCGTCGCCCACCAAATCAACAAGATCGTAAGCATCCATCATAGCTTGCAGAGCTCGCAGCCGCGTATCCGACGAGCGGCTTCGATTATTGAAAAAGCCGTCAAGTACAAGAGCCAGATTGGCTTCCCATTGCAGGTCCGACGGAGAGCAGCACCTGAATTCTTGGAAATAGTCAAGAATAGTACATGCCGCGTTGTCGGGAAGAAGTTGATGCACGCTAGCGAAGAACTTGATGACCGTTTGCCTAGGCACAGAGTCACCCGATTTCTGTTTCACCACAACGTCAAGCCGAGCGATGAGCAGCTGTATTTCCTCACAAACGAGGCTATCCATGGACTCATCACTTGGCCGTTCACCTGCCGCCGGATCAGCGGTTTCTTGAATCCTGCGATGGCATTCCGCTGCCGTGTCCAGCAGAGGAGACCAATCCTCCTCGAGGATCAAGCGGTGCAATTGCCCATTCTCATCGCTGAATAGAGAGTTGATGAGGCGAAGGATAGCATAGTAGATCCTTGGCGATGACGAGATTTTGAGGGTGTTGGATAAGCCATCGGCCAGAAGCGCATATGGAACAGGGGGATATCCGCTTTGCTTAGTCTTGGACAGGAGCCTCTGCAGGACAGCGAGTGCGCCTCTAAAGTCTCGCCCCATGTCTTTGCTGCTGACTTCATTCGCTGATGGGTTGCGCAGAACATCGAGCAAAATACGGACTGCCGCCTGGCCATTGTGCGAAAGGCAGAGATTCGACAGGGTATTCCAAGACTCGTCATTGAGGTTCTGAACAAGGCAGAAGATGGAGCTGAGGACTTGGATCGTGCTCTTGAGTTTGCTGCTGGGCACGGAACCAAAAGTTACAATGGCATCAATGACGGATATACAGGAACGCAAATCCTCTTCAACACTAGTACTCATGCAGATATCGAGCAGACAATCAATTAGGTCCGATATCGACTTCTCATCCGCGGGGTTGAAGTTGAACTTGATGACATCCAGGATGAAGGCAAAGAGCTGCGCGAAATTTTGGTCTTCGCCAGTTGCAGCGGCTTTGTTCTTGGAGCTCCTTTGCCCGCGCGCGGCCTGGGAGGCTCTTCGCGCGGTACGGGCAGCATTATATGCATCTTGAAGCCACTTTGTGAGGAGGGGGAGCAGTTCATAGTCAAATCCAGCCAATATTCTACCGCGGTTAGTCAGGTCTACCAGCGCGGCAAGCTGCAGATGGAAATCGTCGGGATTCGCCGGGGCGGCCACGGTCTGAAAATACTCTTTCCGCTCCAAATCTGTGGAAGAAGAGTGCTTGACACATTCCGTCAGCAGCTCCCAGCCGGCCTGCCGCATCGCATTTGGCTTGCTCTGCTCAATCAGATCCTTGGCAGCATACCATATCTCGAGGACGGGATTGAGTGGGTAGCCGCTAATGGCGAATTTAAGAGTGTTGGCAGCCGAGATGCGCTCGGATTGACTGCCATGCTTCAAAAGCTCGAAAGCATCCATATGGTTTGCGGATAGGCCGCGAGAGCTTATTGGCACGGCATTACTGAAGTCGGTTCTTGGGAGCGCCGCCGTCGACGACGAGAGCGGCGGCGGAGACTTGGTCGACTTTGAGCCGGTCAGGCCACGGAAGACGCTGGCGATGCCGCTGGGGCGTATGGAATCCGGCGACGAAACATCCTCTCCAGGCTGTGGGGACATGTGCTCGTCTTAGAAGGTCTGAGGCTTGGCTGCGAAGAGGGACTATGCTAGCGTGTAAGCATATGAAGAACTTGACTTAGTCGAACAAGGCCATGCAAGCGGGGGATTGGAAGGGACATGAGGTAATCGTGTAGCTTGGATATCTCGCTGCCGCAAAGGCGCTTGCCAGAACTCGCCGGTACGAACCGTTGGAGGGTTGCGCAACCGGAGCAGGCTATGATGGGAGTACCGCACTTGGCCAAAAACAAAAAGACAGAATCAACCACTCACTCCTCGAGGACCATGTATCCTGGACAGGACATCAAGGTTCCCGCAGGTATATGAAGCCAGAAAGACTATGGCGGCAGCAGCACGTGCGCAGAAGGAGTACGTTCGCAAGCAGACAGAGCTGTGAAGTCGGTGGTACAGCGTAGAAACAATGGAGGCAGATCGGTTTCGCAGGCGAGGCAGGGAGAGTGTCGAGGTTGGACGGTACGCCAAGAGGAGTCGCTGTTCAGCTGTGGTCAAGGACGCCGGACTGGGTCATCGGTCGGAACGGCGAGTTGGAACTGGAACTGGAATCGAGAGCAATGCCGAGCTGCAGCGCATCTGTAGAATGTTGTGATATGGGCGAGCCAGCAGAAAAGGGTGTACAAAGTTTTTTTTTTTTTTTTTTTGCTTCCCTTCCCTTGAGGTGCAGGACGGCGAAAGCTATTGGCGTAGGGCAGGTCGTGCAGGATGCAGGATGACGGAGAGCAGCAGGCCTTTTCATTTGCTCAGGAGGCCTTAGGTAAGGGCCCTTGGCGCCCTCGAGCTCGCCCCAGCAGCTTTTCCTGCCAGCGACAGCCTGGGCACGGGCCTCGGCCTAGCAGGTACATGCACCGGGACCGCGCCAGCTGCACATCACTGATCGCTGGCTCTGCCTTGTGGGCGGCGAAAACGCCCTAACGGCGCCCTAACGGCCTCCCAACCCGCCACTAGATGGCGGTTCCGCCCGCCACGCCTGCGGGCAGCCACCTGATTGCAGTCTGGTGCCAAAGGGCTGAAGCAGCTACTTGGTAGCACGCACGTCAAAACGCGGCCTGGAGCTCCCTGTCAACGATGGCGATGAATTCAGGCCTTGCTGATGTGAAAATGGGTCAATCCCTACAAGGTTACGAGAGTCTCGCTCAAGTACCTCTGCGAGGGTCTGTACACTACTGAATACAATTTGAAGTCCTACCCCTTCAAAACTACCTAGTGGTACAAGCATCTTCTGAAGATGGTGTGCAAGGCGGCAGTGTATCGTTGCCCGAGACAAAACTGACGGGGGTGCTGATGCTTAGATAGATTCAGCGGCAGCTACCCGCGATGCCGATACATGCATCCAGCTGACGGCTCTGCTTCTCGACCAGTCATCTGGGAAGCGAGAGGGGCTCCACTGTCAAGGAATGCGGCGAAAGGAGACCTTCGTTTCGGGTGTTGAGCGTATTGGCGAAGACGCTCCCTCTCCTTTCTTTTCTATACCCAGGCATGGTTACATGTATATCATGGTTATATCCCCTTATCAGCCACGGCATCTGTCACGGCGTCTGTGAAAGAGAGGCTGGCGTACTGAAAGATCCAAGACAGTCCCTCACACTGTGCTGTGGCATGGGTTGAAAAGGACGTACGACCCTGGATGCTCGTTGGTATGAATTTTCTCGCCGAGTATGGCATCGACCGTCTCATTGTATCATCACACGATACGATGGTAGCAACGCCAGCCGTTGGTGCCTACGTGTACCTAGCACTGCTACCGACTCATTAAGAGTTATTTCAGCAAAATACAAGTCGTGGATGAAAATGACAGAAGCGAAAAGAACACAGTAGATGTAGCAGAAGTATTAATCCATGGTCCATCTTCTGCGCCCATGCTCTCTGCCTCTTGCGCTATAACAGCTCATAGTTGTTTCCATGTCATTCTTGCTTTTGAGCTAGCTTAGACACTATTGCTCTCGTATGTATAACTACATGTGCTCTCGTCACTTTTATATGATGCCCATAAATCTTTTGGCATCAAAACGCCGTTAATAGCAATTAGTCGAATGAGAGTTCACGCAAATTTGAACATGCTTCAGAGTATCTTCTATCCAAGCCCAAAATCCGGACTTATTCTCTTGTTGGGAACCCCTGAGTCAATAAAATGCACTATCCCCTGAAACTTTGCTTTTTCTAATGGCGTGCTTCAAGATCAAGCTATTTAGACATGGAGTTTCTGGCATTAGCGTACGATTTTCAGGCCATTCTCTTCCAACTAATGGAAAGGAGTAGTAATGGCCGATTGATGGAGAATCGTATAGCAGTATTTAGAGGTGGCTACGCGTCCATGTTTTACTCCTTTATTAACGTTGAAATAACACTCCCTGCTGTTCAAATAAAATTAGCAACCGGGATAGTCTGGAAGCACCCATCGCCGATTCCATGAACTGTTGGGCGAATAGAATTGGCGTAGCCCCTAGTCGTATATTAACGTGAAGGCTACGCTATGTGTTTGAGCCTCAAGCCTATGTAATTACATATCAATATGTAAGCTCCGAATATGACGCCTTTCATAGCTAATCCTTCTTCATATAAACTCCCTCTTGCATGATCTTTGCTCAAGGGTAGCTTCGCGGATATGAATTATGCTTCTGTATAAGGTCAAGGAGAGAAAAGATTGTTGTAATATTGACACGATTGCGCATTCAAAGGCGTCTTGATGAGAGATGGCCATATAGGCCGTGATCAAAGCCATGACTCGAAGGACATGGTGATGCTCCCCTAGTAATTGTAGCATCTCGTATACCTGTCTAATCACCCAATAATCAGCAACATCGACCAAGACGACCTCGATTTCAATTTGTTCTTACCTTGTCGCTCCTCCCTCTCCACATTGTTTAATACGCAGATACAAACGCAAAAAAGAAAACCAGCATCCCAGGAAACGAGAATTTACTTCTTCGCCTTGTTCTTCTTCGCACCACCAGTCCGACTACTCCCCGCCCCAGCCTCTTTACCCGCCTTCAGGCCATCCACATACTCCTTCATGATATGATGCAACTCCGGATTCTTCCTCGCCAGCAGGAGCACATCGTCTGTGGTGACGGTCGTCCTACCGGCATGATTACAGAAAGTTTCTAGGTCGACGGCGACATTTTCTGACAAGTAGCAGTAAGACGAAGTGAGTCTCTCTTCTCTCTCTCTGTGCGTGTATATATATATACGTATAAAGCATGAGATGCTCGGTGAAAAAAAGGCCTTACATACCAATTTGATTCCAGACCATTTCGGTCAAAGCACCAATAAATTGTGGTGTCGCATTGCGGTCGCGTTTCAGAGATTCTTCATCGACGATTTGGCCTATGGCGTACCAGAGGGCGGATTTGAGGCGCTGGTGGTGTTTTGCAGTGAGCTTGTGGTTGATTCATTCAATGTGAGAGGGGCAGCAATCAGTTCTTCTAATCTTACCTCGCGATCATGCTCGGGTGTGGTGTCGGCCATGTTTATTGGAAAGCTGCAGTTCTAAGCTGCAATCGATGGGAGTGATGGAGAGAAACACACGAGGTTTTGTAGGTGAATCTAACGAGGGATGGGATTGAACGAATGAATGATTGCATGTCACTAGTAAAAGCGCGTCGCGGGGCTGTGGCTGCAGCTGCACCGATACCCATTAGGCGCTAAACTGATGAGCGCTAAATCACCGCTGGGCATGGCATCGTTAATATCAACGATTTCTTCCTTTAGGCAATAGCATCTCTCAGTCATAAGGTGTGTATGAATCAATGATATTTAAATCAGTGCTGCTTTATTTACTTCATAATAGTCGTAGCTTCTCGCTTGTCTTTGATTCAAAACCCTTAAAACCCTTGCGTCGCGCGCATTATATCCTATCCTATATACCCATCCCTCGAATCCAAATGGTCCCATAAAGGCGCCGTATACACAATGGTATAAATAAACGACAAATATCGAACATGGTTCTATACGTTTAGAACAACCCTTTCAGTGCCATATTCTTTCTATGTAATTTGAGCGGGTTTCTTCGTGTAAAGTGACAGGCGGTTACCCGCGCCACAGTACTCTAGGTCGTTGCCGCTGCAGAGCATGTTGCAGTTGGACGCGGGAGCCTCCAAAGAAGACGGATCAAGAGCGTTGCCGCAGTAGCATTCGCTGCCATACTCAGTGCCAAAGTACTTAAACTCATCGCAAAACGTGGCACAAGCTTCATTCGACATGGTACCTGCAGCGCTGGCAGAACCAGTCAGGGCACGGGTGCCGTTGCCTTCTGTTTGGCAGCCGACGAATACAAAGTCACCAGCAGCAGCGGGCTGCTCGGGCGAGCCGCCAGTAACGTTGGGGTTGATATAAAGCTCAAGACGGTTGCTGGCTCCGCAGTACTCGAACTGATTGCCAGCGCAGGGCATGTTACAATCGGCCAGAGGTGCAGTTGCGCTGGTGCTCTCGAGGAAGCTACCGCAATAGCACTCATCACCGTACTCAGTGCCAAAGTACCTATAATCTGAACAGAATTCAGAACAGGCTTCGTTCGTCATGTTCTCTGCAATAGTGGCATCCTGGGCCAGAGCACGAACGCCCTCACCTTCCGTCCAGCACCCCACCAGTGTATATGGACCGACAGTGGGCTCGTGAGTTAGAGTGCCAGTGGGAGAGGGAGGCTGAGTGACAGTTGTTGAATAAAGCTCAAGACGGTTGCCGGCACCGCAGAACTCACTGCCATCGCCAGCGCAAACCATGTTGCACTCACCAATAGGGGCTGCCTCACTGCTCTTGGCCAGCGTGTTACCACAATAACCTGAGTCGCGCATGAGTTAGTTACAAAGTTCAATAAGACGTATATAAAAGCCAGATAAGAGACACTCACATTCTCGACCGTATTCAGTTCCCCAGTAGACGTAGCTACTGCAGTAGTCCTTGCAGCTTTCCAAAGTCATCGAGTCGTTGGAGTATGAGTTGCCGTTTAGTGCACGCACGGCATCACCCTCCGTCCAGCAAGATACCATTACATACCCCCCAACCGTAGGACGGTGAGTGGGAGCAGCAACTGTCGTAGTGGGAGGCACTGTTGTTGGAGGCACTGTTGTAGGAGGTACTGTCGCAGGAGGTACCGTCGTAGGGGGGTCAGAGGTAATCGGGTCGCTGGTTGCAGGCTCAGATGTAGGGGCAGCAGAAGTGGTGGCTGGAAGAGTTGAGATGCTCGTCGAGCCAACAGATCCTGAATCGCCGCCATTGCATGTGGCAGGATTGGCAAAAGCACGGCAAGTACCACCGATGCCTGTAAGGGCCTTGAAGCTATCAGACTGGTCGCCGCTGATGACATCGACGTATCCCTCGTAGGCTAGGCCACCCTGTATGGCGTAGTCGACATTGAATAAAGTATAAGGCCCGACACATTGACCTTTTTGGAGGTCAAGCGTGGTATTTTGCAGGAGGGGAATAGGGCTACTTGTCTGGGGAGTCTTGTACCAGATTCTGGCCTGCGCACCTTGGCTGAGACGGTCGTTGCGAACGGCAGCCACAGCAGTCAGAGCACCAGAGGATCCCAGGACGCAGCTCTGGGGAGCCTGGAAGACGATTGCATCTTGGATGGGATACTCTTGGCCGTTGTTGTCGTAAACATCCTTGGTGCCATCGGCGTTGTTAACAGTAATGGTAAAGGACGAGATACCAGACGTGGCGAGGATGTTGGCCGCAATGGGATAGAAGTTGAAAGTATCGTCGAAACCTTGGCTAATGCCCTGAACGGTGGCGGTGACAACACAAGAGCTGAGGCCACAGTCGGTGGTGCCCTTGCGGTTCTTATAGGTGATGGTTACGCTGGATATGCTGTTCTGTGCAAGGCCAGTGGTTTTGACGCGGATGTAACCCGTGAGCTGAAGGGTGCTGCCGCCATTGATGAGTGTCAGCTGCATGTTTACAGGCTTGATCTTGTAAGGCACGATGGGGTCGGACAGCTTGACACCAGGAGGAACAACTTCAATCATCTTTTGCAGCACAGTCTTGCAGACAGAGGTGAAGCTGTCGGCATCGGCCAAAGCCTCCATGGTCTGGTTACCATCGGCATTGAATACCTTGAAGTCGGAGTTCATGCCAAGCTTGACCGAGGGACCGACAACAAGAGGGTTTGTGGTATTCCCAGACAGATACTCAGTTACGACCTTGTTGTCGAAAACGGCATCAGTCGAGTCAAGGCTCCCTTCGCCGTCGGCACCGGTCCCGGTGGGAACAAGAGTGGGAAATTCGGTGTTGTGAACACCACCCAGAGTGTGACCACAGGCAGTGACCTGGATCATTTCCTCGGTATTAAAGCCCATGCGTTGAAACTGCTGCTGAAAGGTAAAGACTGAGTTTTGGGGCTGGGGCACGCCCACAGGTCCCGCCTGGGTGGCATCTATTCGGCCAACGCGAATTGGGACAGAAGGGCCGCCACAAGAGCGAACGGATGTATAGACGCCCAAGGCAATCAAATCTGCCAAAGAAGATCGAGGAGAGAGGTAAGGGCCCATAAACTCCAGCGTCGTCTTGTGGCCCGGACCGGTGTTTTCACCATCGTTCAGCTCGTACTGGAGCGAGGCGTCGAGGCCACCAATGCCAAAGAAGGTGTTCGCCGTGGACATGTCGTGGAAGCCGACACGGAGCCACTCGGCAGCGTTCTGTCGGCCGGGGCCCGAGGCCTCATTGGAGCATGGGCTCACAGTGTCGGCAAATTTGCGTGCGCGGAACGACTGAAGCTGGGTCATGATCTCCTCAATCTCGTCTATTGCGTTTGGCCATGTGGGATCAGCACGAGCTGAGCCAGCCAGGCCGAGGAGGCCCAATAGGGCAGCAGTCGACTTCATGGCGGGATGATTTGGGAGATTTCCGCCCAGATGCCCTTTTTTTTGTGTCGATAATATCGAATTGGTATAAACCAAGAGCAATAAATAATCAAATTGAGGGTATAGAGGAGAGGGCGGCGTGTCAGCAACAGCTAAACTCAAGGACTGTTGTTGTGTAACCTCCTCTATCGACACACACACGCACACGAGCGAAGTGTGGATGGCCTCAAATCCCAACCAATCGAGCGGGCAGACTCATGTCTTTATAACGAAGAACAGGAACCAGAAGCAGAAGCAGAGCAAGCGGAAAAGAAGGACATGGCAGAGTTTGCCGGAGGGGGGCGTGAGGCTGCAGCAGAGTCGTGCGATGGATGCTGCAGCTCTGCCGTTTGTCGTCCATGGCGTCGTATAGCTTCACAGCGTCGAGAAGCAGCGCTGCAACGCTACGGCGCCGCAAAGGCCCCTGTCCCTTGCCCTCAGCCCGGAGTGGCGGCATCGCGGCCCTCGATTGGAGAGATGCTGACCGCAAGGGTTGGCGCGCTCAGGTGGTTCTCGTATTTCTGGCAGCCGACCTGCATTAGCCACGCCTGCAGAAGGGCCCTCATGCCAATTCCAGGCGGCCACAGCAAATTAACGTGCGCCGTGCGCTGGGAACAAAGGATAATCCACCCCGCCGGCTGCTTGGCCCAACCTTTTGGCTTCTGACCCCGGCCGTTGCTCGATTGTTTGTTTGTCTTGGGACTTGTAAAATTTGTTTTTCAATCCTCTTTGATACCTGATCCTTGCGGGCTGAACAGCTACATACTGTACGCTCACACACTTACAGCTTCTTCCCCACCCCCGCCCTGCCGTGCGCTGGCCTGTCGGTGGCATGTGGGTGTTTTGTACGGAGCATAGTCGCAATATTGCTTTCCGGGCCGCCTCGATAGCCGCTTGTGTGCTGTTTTCCTGGGCAGCACGGCGTGTTGGCAGCTGAAAGATGGTGCTGATGCTGCACATGGCGCCAGCTAATGCTGCTGCCATCAATTGCTTTCCCCTGTCGCCCTTGAAGTGGCTTTCTTGGCGGCATAGACGAGATGAACAGGCAGAAAACGAGCCCACTCGCACACACGGCGTGTGGCATCCCGAACCGATATCAATATTGGCAATGGGGGCGGTGTTGAAGACTCTTTCTTTGTCTCGCGGCTTGATAATGGGCTTCTCCGATGCCCATCTCCAATATCTCCAATCTATCCCATTTGATCCGTTGGCCCATGGCTGCTACCTTATCTAGGTCCCGCGGCCGTCGAGCGGCTAAAGCTGATGGCGCTCCGAAGGCTCCCAGCGACAACTAACAGGATCGGATATCGCGCCAGCATTAACCAGATCGGCATGTAGCCCAAAATGCTCGCCAGGGGCCTCGTGGTTGATTGATACTCTCGGAAGCCACCCGTAGCGCAAACTTTCAGGACAAGGGATGGAGTGCCGTTTGCTAGCCATGGTCAGCTTCCTTCTACTACTACTAATTGGTAGTAGCATTATCATCTGGTGACTCGCTTCTGTGTAGCCCAGCAAGAGGAAATTTCTACGGCTACACACGACAAGTACGTACGAGAACCGTTCCGACTTGGCTGTTGCTGTTGTTCCCACCATGGAACTACAAAGGTATTCTGGCCAGGGTAACACAGACAATAAATCACAGAATGGCTCCCCGTGGCCTTTGAATCACACCCAAGAAATTCTGGACTCGTCTTTTCGCCTGCCCAGCTAGACAGAAATTGAGACTTGGTGGTATGGGCTTCGACGCTACGCCAACGTTGCCAAGGGACGAGATGGAAGCAGAAGCGGGAGAAAGGGGACAAGGGAGAGAAAAGAATCTCTACGTGCTGCATCCAACTCCGCAAACGCCTCGTATCTTGGCCTTTGAATCCTTTGCGACCACTGCATATGCAGTGGATCGTGAGCAGTAATTTGTCCGCGCGTGGCTGCCTTGGAGGCCAGATTCTTGCTGCAGCTTCCCAATATCTATGGAGTAATATCTGCACTTGGGCTGCGCTCCAGTGGCTTTTTGGACGTGACCTATGACGGGTCGAGTCTCGAGGCCATCCACCGGCGAGCCAATAGGCGCCAGGCTTTTCAATCATATGCAGGTCGGTTGCAGATACGGACAGATGCTGACAATAGGCTTTGGGGACTGGCTGTCTTGGCTTGGTATTTTCGTTTCGCTGTGGCTCCACCCAGCCCGAAGAAAACGTCCAAGAGCCACTCCGAAGCATCTTTGATGTGTGGCACGGCAGATGATTTGCTCTTGGCCTCTGGTTATTTTGTCTTCTTCTTCTTCGGGAGTCAGGACGCATCAGCCATGGCCTAATGGGGTTCTCGCGGATTCAGAGATGCGCCACGTTGCAAATGGGCAGAGCGGCTGGATCCTAGACTTGAACAGCTCCATGATGGCTTCCAAGGGGACCCGTTTTCCTGCATCGGGGCGGCCAGCGAGCCGTAACCCGGCCACACCATCTTCGCCTTCACGAGCAGCCTTTTGGCCAGATCCCAGCCGTTGACGGGCCATCGCTACAGGACTGAACAGGAGTTTTTCTTCTAGATGCACCAGCCCTGCCATACCACCATGCAGTTCACAATGCGACCTATGTGCTGAGTCTATTGAATAACATGCAGGCTCGGTCTCGTTTTCAGCAAGAGTAAGAGGTTCGGGAACCACAAACCCCCACGTTACTATCAGAATGCTTCTCCGGCTCACGCCTTTTGAGTCTTGCCTGCTTGTTCGGCTCACAGAGGTGTCGAGGACGCCGGTGCCAGGGTCCTCATCTACATCAGCCTCGCAACTTGGAGGGTCGCCAAATACATGATTTCGCTAAGCATACTCTTTTCCGAACGGATCGTTGAGGCAACGTACGCGGTGGTGTAAATGAAAAGTAACCATTCATGAATTATTGCTTTCCCTTTTCGGCTCCCTTCGACTTTACCCGCGTGACGGATTCGGCTGGATGAATAACCAACCTCCTACGGAGAATTAGGGACACCTTCGTGGCAATCATTGTCGTTACGAACAACGGAATAGGCATTTTCAGCCATGTCTATATTTACAATTATTAAATCTCCGGTTCAACACTTTCCTATGCCCTTGTTTAGCGTGTGGTCTAGATCTATGTTTCCACCATGTCCTTTTCGTTCCCTTCTAGCTCTATCAGCTCGCATGTGTAGACGCCAAGCCTGCCGTATACTCTTCTAATATTTCATAGGAAATATTGACCCCTCCGCATATCACAAGCACAATGACACTATTCTTGTTGAGACCGGGAACCAGCTCCTTCAGCTTGCCGCCGTACACCACCGCAGGAACAACCGAGCACGACAACTCGACAAGGAACCGCTCTTCGCTGGCGAACCGCTTGCTTGCGGCAATGGCTTCAGCATCGGAGACGACAACCGCCGAGACTTGCTCACGGAGCCCGTACTCAAAGGCCTTTTTGCACACCGTCCTGGCGCCCAACGTGGTGGCCAGGCTTGTGATGGCAGGCAGTGTCACAAGCTCACGCTTTTGCACGGCCTGGTAAAGAGAGTCTGCACCCAATGTTTCCACAGTAATGACTCGGGTCTTTTGCATGGAGAGGTCGTCGAGGCCCTGCATCAGACCCGAGAAGAGGCCGCCTCCGCCCACGCTGCAGATGACGGCGTCGACGTTCTCTATGCGTGCTGTCAGATCATGGTCCGATTTTCCATCAATAGATACTGGATAGTGTCTAGTCATGGTAGGAATTTGCTTCGCAATCTCCTTTGAAATGGTCGCATTCCCATCCCATATTTCTTGGGCGTTGAACGGAGGCACGTAGATGGCAACCTCGCCCTTTGCTCGGGCTTCCTCCATAAGAGTGCCAGTCAAGTACTCATCGGCCTCTTGCCATGAAGCGCCCACTTGAATAACATCTGTAGCGCCAGCTTGTCGCATCTTGTCTATCATGTATGCTGTAGTAGACATGGGAACGACAATAGTGGCGCGGCATCCCAGGGTGATGGCGGCATGGACACAGGCCAGTCCAGCGTTTCCTCCGGATGAGCAGTAGAAGTGAGTGTTGCTGGGTTCAGATGCATGTTCAGCCAGCTTGGCCACCAGGTAGTTGCCTATGCCGCGGGACTTGAAGGACCCTGAGGGCTGGAGGTTTTCCAGTTTGAGGAAGACATTGCTGATGTGATGTTAGCGTTTACTCTCATCAACAGAGGTTTACTATAAGATTATTCGTGTGTTCTTACCAGCCGGCTACTTCTGAGAGCGTTGTGGATTTTATGAGCGGCGTTTCGATATAGGGCACTTTGGTACGGATTTCAGATCCCATAGTTCCTGATTAGGCAGATCGCCTGTTGATGCCTGATTGCAGACTGGTTGGATTCCAATTGGCACTGCTTTTGGTTTGAAGAGAGAATGGAAGTAGCAAAAGAGTGATTGTAAGAACAGGAGAGATATCAAGAGAGCGATGGTATCTTGATGGCTTTCACTTACTTTCCCCCCCTTCTTTACAACGTATTTAAGGGTGAATATAATCTAGATACTGAGATGGTAGTCTCACATTCTGCATATTTTGCACTACCGCTAGTGAGGGGCCGGCCCCGGAGAAGCGCTTAGAACGTTCTGCTGTACCACTTTTTGTCGTTCCGCAGTCACTTTTAAGGATTTCAGCCCTTCCGCCTACATGTACATGCGCCTTTGCGAGTCACATAATTGGCGTATAGAGCGTATAGATCCAGGCAGCAGAATTAAAATGCAAAAGATGAAGGATACACTGAGCCGATGCGATGAAGGGCCACTTGCCGACTACAGCACGGCGAAAACGATTCCTTTTTTGTTTCCATCTTTTTCCTTTTTCAAACTACTCCACGGTACCTTGATCTGCGATTGATCGGCATCTCCTTTATGCTCGCGTCCATTGGGTGGCGAACAAATGAGCATCATCGCGCATGTCTTGCCCTTGCAGGTAACATCTCCGCACAACGTGGTTGAAATGTCTTGTCTCGCAGGCCGTTTGCCTTTCTTAAACAGGTACGCACAACCTATTTATGGTAAATGGCCGCCAAGAGACACGCTTTCGTCACTTACACAGTGAGACATTCCCACCGTGTTCGTCCTCCTAAAAGCAGCTGAAAGATTGGGGCTTTGCGCAGGTACTTGTGTTGATGAGAGCGAGAGAGAAAGGCCTCCCATTGTCCACACGACTCTTTTCGGAGAATCTCCATCCGCGCCACATTGTGCAGTAGTTCTGCTTTAGCCTGGCGGAACTGGTTGGTTCTTCAAGAGTTGAGCCGAAAACTGGCGATGCTATGCCCAGCTGCACAGCCACCATCCGCCAGGCTGCGCGTCTTAACAAAGATAGACTTTTCGCCTGCAATTGTTCAGCTGCTCAAAGAAATCGAAACACGGCTGAAATATAGCTGCTGTATAAGAGAATTGACTCACCATCTTTGAAGCCCATTGCCATTGCCATGTTTGAACACCTCGTCAACTCAAGCTGCTCATCCCAATTCCAGGGCAAGCCAAAATCGACCAAAACCGCTTCTTCAACTGACGTAGGGAGAGGTACCCGTCCTCCCACCTGACTTGTATCCCAAAAGTCGCCTCTCACAGCATCTCAGCCATCTCAGCCATCTTAGTGCAGCCAAAGCCAGCCAGAACCAGCCGCAGCAACCCGCGAGGTACCGCCCCAGCCACAGCGCCGGTACGCAGCCCACCTAACCTGATTGAGTACGTCATCCTGTGACGACTTTGGCCCCGCCACAAGCATGTGAGTGCGCTCCGGAAAAAAGATGGTGAGAAGGTGAATGAATGGAGATCATGGCATAGAAACGGTTCCCTTTGTGGTGGTTCTTTTTTTTTTTTTTTTTTTTTTTTTTAAACTTCATCCACCCACTGACTGACTCGCTTTTTTCCCTCACTGCTTTGCATATTAGCTGAGCTCTCCTCCGCCCGGCTTTTCATTAATCCTGGCTCTTTCAAACAGTTTTCTTTCTTAGTCCTCTGACCGAGAGTCACACCTGACATACAGCATCACACCATCAAATTCCTTCTTATACTCGTCACACCTTCTTTGTTTCTTGCTTTTCAGCAGCTAAAAACTCAACTCGCACAAAAAACTCAACACGTCCATCATGGGTGCCAGATCAGGCTTCGGCCTCAAATTCCTGCAGTGGTTCTTCCGCGGCATCCAGTTCTGCTGCAGCGCCATCATCCTCGCCATCTACTCCTACTTCCTCGCAACGCTACACAACCACAACCTGCCCATCGCCACCAGCCTGAGAGCCGTCGAGGGCATCTCGGGCGCCGGAACTCTGTACACTCTGCTGGCACTGCTCATGCTGTGCTGCCTTGCCGGCCATACTCTGACTGCCTTTGTCGCTGTTGTGCTCGACATCGCCTTCATCGGCGCCTTCATCTACGTTGCCATCGCCAACAAGAATGGCGCCGGCAGCTGCACTGGCGTCCTCGACACGCCTTTTGGCAAGGGCCAATCGTCAAGCACAGTAGACGCGAATAACGGCTTCACCAAGCTGCCCAGCTTCCACACTGCCTGCAGACTGCAGAGCGCATCCCTCGCCGTTGCCATCATCGCAATGTAAGTTATTCCAGAATACAAAGTTCAAAGCAGAACAAACAAAGAAGAAGAAGAAAACTAACATCCTCTCTAGCATCTTCTTCGTCTTCTCCATCCTCATGGAGTTTGCTCTGACTCGCCACCACCAGAAGGAGAAGCGCTATGGTCCCAGCCCGCAAAACGACTACACCTCTGGCTCCGGCCGCCCCAAGACCGGTGGCTTCTTTGGCCGCTTCTTTGGCCGCCCCAAGGCTGATCCTATCGAAGAAGGCAATATGCTTCCCCAGCACACCCTGCCCGATCAGCTCAACGCCGACGACATCGACAGCCCCTACAAGCACACCGACGGCTACAACAACAAGTACGAGTCTGGCTACGGCTACTCCGGCGTCACCGGCCCCACCACAAACACGGCATACATGGGTGCTGGTGGCTATGTGGCTCCACACGGCACGGCTGGCTACGGCCAGCAGAATCCCTACCACTACGACGATGGCGTGTACGACAGCTCTCGCCATTAAAGCCCATCTATGAGTCGTACCATTAGTCGTGTCTTATCCCTCTGAGGGAAATTTATGCCGGATTGTTACACTACTTTGGTACTGATGGGAGACGAAGACGAAAGCAGAAATGCCTACCAAAAGAAAAAAAGTTAACCCTCCCAAAAAAAATTGTTAAAAGACAAGAAAAATAAACCAAGACAAGCAGAAGCTATTGTATCATTGTATGATAACAACTCAGAGGAAGAAATAATACCCCCTTTTTTTAATCTGTGATTAAAGAGACATATGGCTTGAGAGGAGGACTGTATAATCACCGGAACGAAATACTATCAAATGTTTTCTAGAAGTAGCCTCACAAAATGGGCAAATAAGAAAAACACCGCAGAGGGTATGACTCGTCAACCTCGTATTAATAATAATAACATGACAATTTTCATTCTAAACTTGGGAAAAACGGAGAATTCAACAAATATGACAGCCCTTTCCTTCAAAACGTGATATATATCTGGAGACGATTCACTGCAGCCTATTGTTATAGTAAATAACATGGTTTATTTGAACTCGCTCAGCTATTAAAAGGGGGGGGAAACATTCATGCCCACGCTCCACGAAGCGAGCCCTACCTGTCCTTAAAACACCTGCCCCCCTTCTATCAACATAGTTAATGCCGCAATATATATGTATGCTGGTTTCTCTCGTACGCTTAACATCTCTCTCTCTCGCTCTCTCTCTCTCTCACTCGTACGAAAGAAGCAAAAGAAAATTCTCGCTTTCCGTCAACCCCAAGTCGACTCTCCATGATCCATCTCGCTCATAGTATCATCAGCATTGAGCATCAGATCGCTCCAATTCAAGTCCACCTTCTCCAGCTCCCTCGAGAAAAAATCCTGCTCCTCCCTCATCGCGATACGAATATCCGCCGCAATCTTCTCGGGATATCTCCGCACATTCAGCCAGTGCGTCAAGCTCCGGAGGGCCTGCTCCAGGGGCAGCGCCGAGTCCACCTCGGCGTCAATGTCGCTACCTGCGAGCCACTCGTCGCGGAGCTCGGGCCGGCAGTGGAGATAGACGGCTGTGATGACGCGCATGTTGGACTGCCTCCACTTACGGCCACAGTACGGTACCTGGCCCTTGAAGAGCTTGAGCGTGTATAGCCGAAGCTCAGGCTGGGGTACCCGGAGGGACTTTTTAAGGATGGTGGATGATTTGTACTGCACGAGCAAGAGGTTGCGGTGCGCCTTGTTCTTGCAAATCTTTTGCATCACCCTGAGGTAGTTGATCAGAGAAAAGAAATTTCTCCTGGAGAAGTCGGTGATGGGCTCCAGCGGGAGAGAGCTGAGCGGCAAACCCATCTCGTCGACTTCTGGCCTCATTGGGACAGGGTCCTCCCCGTTGACTGCAATATCCTCCATATGGTCCACTGCTTGGTCCTCTGCTGGTTCCTCCAGGTCTCGCTGCCTCCTAATTGGCGGCGGTGCGGCGTCATCTTCGCTGTCTTCTCCTTCTGAATTTCTCTCCTTGTTTTCTTCATCATGAGCCTTTTCTACTTCGCCTACCTCCTTCTCCCCCTCGTCCTCGAGATCGCTCTCGGTCTTATCCTTAAATTTCGACCGAATGTTGCAGAATTGGAAGAAGCTGCTTACGCGGTAAGTAAAACGGAACGTCACTACAAGTGTATCGTTCAATTGAATGCTAATCTTACCTGTTTTCAACGTGGTCCATCTTGCTATCGACTACTTGTTGAATGTCCTGATGTGCAAAGAGCTTGAGAACCAAAGGAAGATAGTTAGAATCTAGTAAAAGTTGCGTCAAATATTCAAATTTGAGCACATCTAAATATTCAACCCATTGTTAGCTTAGTTCTTGATACAGAGCATTTCCGAGCACTTACGTGAGAGTCTAAGCCATTTTAGTAAGAGTAAAAGAATGGCTGTCATAGCTTTTGAAGTAATCTCTCGTGTCCGCGTAGCATCAATCTCCTCAGGAGTCGGCTCTCCTTCTCCGTCAGGTTGGCCTTGTCCATCCATGCCCCTCTGTGATCCAGGGCCGCCATTCATGCTAGGGTTATTGGCCCTACTAGTCATTCCTGCCATCTGATTCTGCTGCTGGGTCACAATAGCCGTAACATTAACCAGGATTGGACGAAGCAAAACAATCACAATAGACTGAAGATGAGGCAAGGCGTTGGCCTTTACAGGGGTTTTGGACATTAGTTTTGGACCGGCTGGGAAAAAAAAAAAAAGAAGGGGGGGGGGGAGGGCAGGCAGGCAGGCCAGGCACACTTACATAGAAACGTTCCACCGCAATGAGACGTTGTCTGTCTCCCTCGCTCAGTTTCTTCGGATTGGGTCCCAAGTCAACCTCAGGGCCTGGAGATGAGCGTTCCTTCTTTTTCTTCTCCTTGTTATCTTCTACTTTCAGTTCGCGCAAGACTTCCTTCTCCTCCAACGTGAGCTCGCTAAGGTCAAGGTCCTCGATGTCATCGTTTTCGTCATCATCTCCGTCATCATCCGTCTCCCAGCCGCGTTCAAACTTTAGAAATCGCTCTCGCTCTTCCCAGAGTTGACGGGTCGCCCGGGTCATCCTGACTCGTGAGGAGAAAAGCTGCCCTGCCTCGAGGATTGAAGCGGGGATATCGCTTCCTTCCCATTTTCTAGATACCAGAGGGTTGCCATATCCAGCACCACCCTTCCCACCAGCACTGTTACTGGTGGCATCTAGAGGAGGATACATGAAGGGAAAATTTTGGTTAGTTTGGTAGTTTTGCTTCTTACCGCCCTTACCACTAACGCCTGGCGACGGTGGAGGTGATGGAGCCGGGGTGGCAATATGCACCGGTTGATTGAGGATAGATGCTCCTCCCATTTGTGTGTTAGTCGGCTGCGTGATGATTCCGTTGGAACCATTTCGAGTCATGATATTAGGAAGAGGTGGGAGAAGCGACGGATTATCAGCCTCTAGAGGTATTAATGGCTGCGGTGGGACATAGGCAGGATATTTCGATGTGATTTCCTGGCGAAAGACGTGGTAGTCGAGGGGATTTGCTGTGATGGTGTCTTTGTTCTTGTCCCCAGCCAACTCGCTGGTGGCCTCCTTGATCCGGTCAAGGTCATCAGTGCCACCAAACACCAGGAGGATCGACTTCCAGAACAACAAGAATATCTATGCCAATTCGTTAGAATTCACTCTGACCATGTGCTTGCATAAAATCCGAAAAGAAATCAAAGACTTTGGAGAATTTACCTGAGTATGGGGCATAGTATTTTGCTCGTCCCATCTGAGTTTGGAAATCGCCAGCATTAGAAAGTCAACCAGTGAGGGATTCAATTCAACTAGCCATCTCATGTCAGTAACGTCCGCCAGCACAAACCAAAGTATGGGGGAGTGTATGTACGCAATTTTCCATAGGTAGGAGACATTTCCTCAGGATCATTCAATGTCTCTTGAACAGCAATATACATGATTGTCAAGAGATTCATCAACTCGTCCTGGGCATCTTGAGCGCTTGCCTGCTGAATCTCGCCAGACCTATCCACATTAGACTGCAGCTCATGTTTTCAAGCACGGGCGCCTCATACCAGTGAATCTCGAAGACATTCTTCAGCGCTTCCCAAACGGCCGATAGGCCATCGAGAGATGTGAAACATGTGACTCCAGCCTTGATCGCTTGCAGCTGCGGGATGCTTGCGATAGATCGACTCGACTCGTCCGTCGCGTAAGGCATTGCCGTATCTCCCCATCTACCCAGGACCAGGTACATAATCTTGCCAATCGAGGTTGCCCTCAACGCCGCATCGTCTGACTGCACACCCGCAATAGCAGCTTGTACAAACTTTGCCCTCGTGTCGTGGTCTGCGTCGTCCCAGCCAAGCTTGCCACCAGACTCCTGGTTCCAGTGCCATTCAAAGGCCTTTTGCGCCGCGTTAAGACGCACCCATTGCCAGAACTGGTACACGAACCACTCGTCAATCTCTTCGGCATGCGGACCCATATCTTCGTAGACAAAGTCGTATGCCGCAGGCTCGGCAGAGTTGACTCCGGCCACGATGCGCCGCAGCTGCATCAGGGAGAGAGAGTCGGTGGGAGCATGTTGCGGCATTGGTGCTCCACGGTTCATATTATTGTTATTAACATTGTTACTGCCGCCCGGTATCGAAGCAGGAGGCGCTGCCGAGTTGTAGCCTGCACCACCGCTCTGCATAGCGTTTGGATAACGTTGCGATTGTTGTTGGGACTGTTGAAGGGGGCCTCTGGCAGACGAAAGTGGTGGCAGCATTGGAGCTGAAGATGGCTCCGCTGAGTCGTCAATAGCGGAATCATCCGGCGAGAACTCGATTGCCTCTTGTATCGCGTCGTTAGAGGCCTCATTAGAGGCCCCCTGGGCCGTTTTCGCCGACGACCACAAACTATTCATCATGAGGTGGGCTTTCGATGGGACGTGGCGGTTTCTCGATCCGTGCAGCGCATTGCGGGGTGCCGCCAAAGATTCTTCTCCAGGAGGGGGGTTGGTTAATCCATGGAGACTGTGATATACAGTTACCGGAATGCAGAATGGAAAGATGCTCGCTGGGCAGATGCTATCGCGTGTCGGTGCTGGTCATGTGCAGGTGATGATGATATGCTGCAGCTCCAGAATCAGAGGACGTTGGAGCTTTCTGGTAAGGTGGGTGCTTCAACTGGAGGGGCGCTTGTTTGGAGCTCCCAGCGCAGCTCCAATTGGCTGGGCGACCCCTCATGTCCCCTGAGGTGCTGCGGCACTACTCGCTAGGGTTGGGCGGGTTAAGCGCTACAACAATAGCGAGCCCTTCATGTAGATGTTTGATCAATGCTATCAATATCTTCTAATATCAGCTAGGAAAAGACTCAGCGTCAAATAGAATATATTCTAAGCAATTGAAAATATGTACCATTTCTTCTTATGTGCATCATATATACAAAGTAATTCGCTCCTCCTACTCTTCATCAGATATATCCTCATCCGATTCACCACCAGCCTCACCCCCTCCCCCTTTCTCAGTCTTCTTCTTCGCCCGTCTTCGTAACTTCTTCAGTCGATTCAGCCTCTTCTTCTTGTCCTTTATATTCTCCTCCTTCTCAGCCATCTTCTGCTTCGCCACCTCCTCAGCCTGCGCCTTTGCCCTCGCCTTGATCCTCATCGCGGTCCGACGCTTCTTCCCCGGCCGTTTCCTCTTCGCTGGCTGGTCATCCTCAACATGAGCCACGGTTTCTGCTCCTCCCCCTCGTTTGCTAACAATTTTCCGGGTTGCTTTGATGGTTTGAACTCTCCAGGGGAGCTCAAGGCCCCACGCCCTCACCTTTGATCGCTCAATGACGTCTTCGCCGCTCACGGCTGCCATCTCGTATTGCTGCTTCTTCTCGGGCGACAAATCCGTCACCAGGTAGTATGATAACGGCCGGCCTCTGAGCATTTTGCCTTCTACCACTCTGTTCGTGTTTTCAAGAACAACCTGCGGCGCCGGACCAGCCGCGCTGAAGAGTCGGAAAGCGTAGACCTCATCGTCGTCTTCGCCGCCTTCTTTGGCTGGAGAGCCCTCGGCTGGCGTCTTTGGCTCGCTTTCTTCATCAGAACTGAGCTCATCATCATCTTTCTTCTTTTCGTCAACCTTGGGTTTTGTGACAATTGGCAGCGAAATAGTCTGCGGCTTCGGTGCACGAAAGGCACTCTCATCTAGGCCAAGAGATTTGGCGATTTGCGCATTGAGCCGTGCCTCCAGCTCGGCATCTGCTTCGCTCTCACTCCATGAAGACTCCTCCGATGCGTTCAGGTCTTCTCGACGAACTCTACTTGATCAATCAGCATTTGGACATCTACGATAGGCAAGTATGCAAGTAGCAGAGGGAACAGTTCATACCTCTTCGCATCAGGTACCTCAAACATGGTGACTTGCTTCCAGTAAGCCAAGGCAAAAGTTTTTTCTTCGCTGCGTCCAATCCCGGGTCTACCAAGTGTAGACTTTCTCAATCAGCTGTCATGAGATACAAGGGTCCAAAAGTAAAATGAGATGAAACAAATAGGTATAATTCAAGTTCGCGCCACGCCTCGGCAAAAATGTCAACGCTCAATGAGATCCAAAACCAACATAAAACGAGGCTACAGACGGAAATGCGTCGCCGTCTTCGAACGTTGGCTTATCTTATCGGGCGCCATGTACCCAGGTACCTCTACGCTGCTGTTGAAAGCATTACAGCTTTTGGCGTACTTTGTACTACTAATTGCTGGGGGCCGCCAAATTGAACTCCAAATACAGGTACCCACCCACACAGAGAAACACCAACACCCATACTGTACCAAACCTTGCACCGCTGGAAATGGCAGCAGTCAAGCACCGCACGCAGCATCCCGTCCACATCCAACTCCTTTCGTATCTATTTCTGGATTCAGCTCCTATCTCTCTGGGGTCCAGATCATGACCCCGTAATGCTCCCCCCCCTCTGCCCCAACAGCCCACGGAAACAGGCAATCAGCCAGGAACAAACTCCAAGCATATACAAGGAGTAAAGCATTCCTTGGCCCCCACGCCCGGAAAACCAACAACAACAAGGAGAAGAGAATTCTGATGTGATCCGTTTTTAATCTATTTTGAATTTATCCCCTCCAACACCATGCCGTCGCTCGAAAGGGAGTAAGCAACAAAAAGCCTTGCCGAGTTCTGCACGTACGTTGTTTATATTAGCCTAGGGTCGCATCTCATGCAGCCCTGCAGTAGTAGACAATTCACGCAAAATGAACAAAGGTACAGCACGTTAGAGAGAGGCCTTTTTTTTTTTGTTGCCCGGGGTGGTTGTAATTCCTCTCTCTCTTCTGGCCCCTAATTGAACGCCAAGTGCTTGGGGACTGCAATCACTCTGAATAATGCATATCACATTAGTAATTCGTCATTTAACAAACAAAAGTGCCATTGGCAGGTATCTCGTGTACAACCTATTGCCGCCCAATCAAAACTCCTTGAGAAAAGCGCTCATCTCGCTAACAGAAAACAACAACAAAAGGAACAATCAAAATCAACCATCAGCCCATCACAGCTCGCCATCGTGGTATCTTTAGTATTGTCAAAGCAGGTACCTGAACCATAACTTCATACCAAGGGACCCAACAACCAAGTTTGACCTTGACGCCATAATAGATTAATCATATTTTAGCCCCCTTTTCAACCAACTGCCAATCCAAAAATCCAAAACGTTTTCTAAATATATATAAGTATATATACACACATACATCTACACGAACACGAACACGTATGTGTGTATGTGTGTCTGTGTGTATATATGCGTACATGTACATAGGTAGGTAAGCATAGATAAATCCGTGAAACAAAGCCTCCGTAGCATTTGTTGCCTATTTGCGCCGCAGAATCAAAAGTGTCATTGCACACATGTCCCAGTCCATCCTGAATAAATAAAGATCCCTAGTAATTTACAACCAAAAGAATCGAAAGGTAAAAAACAAATAACGCTCCGAAACTGCTTGCCGAAACTGCCTCACATCTAATCATCATGTTGCAAGCTCCTTAGCTTGCAGTCCATGAATAATTATGCATGGGCTCAAACGACCCGCGAGGTTCGGGTTTCACTGAAGATCCGGTTGTTGTCCCCGCCTTGTAGGAATCGTGGGAGAATGGATATGGTCTCGCATCAGTCGTAGTATAAGCTGCTGTGGAGCTATTCTCGCCGGCGACGGTGGTAGACCAGGCTTGTGATGATGAATAGTATTCTCTAGAAGGATTTGGTCCTTGCGTCGTAGATCCGTACCGGTACTCGGGCGATTCACTGTTGTTGACGGGGTGGGTAGCATGGACAGACTGCTGGCCGCTGTGTCTTGGGCTCTTGTTTGGTCGGCCGTTCTCAACGTATCTGGGAATGCTCAGAGCGCTGTCCTGGCCACTCACGGCTGGTGTACTAGCCGGCAACTGGGATCCGGAAGTTTGCTGTTGCACATAGGTATACTGTCCACGAGTTGATGGTTGCTGCTCTAGTGGCAAGGTTGATATCGTTGACTGAAGCGGCAGCTCTTGAGGATCCGGGCTAAAGGTCGATGTAGTAGGCATTTTAGAATATGTATCGGCGCCCATTGTCGCCGCTGAATAGCTTCCTGGGCCAGAGGAGCCGACTTGAGAGATAGACGTGTTGCTGCTGCTAGCACTCCACGTTGGATATGGACTCGAAGGTTGTTAGCTCGCTTGAGAGATAACTCAGTCGCACAATTTAGAACTCACTTGGTAGGTCTCATTGAACCCAGTTGCCCGCTTCCGGGTACCTTGGGAGCGCTAAAGGTGAAGTTCGAGCGTGGTACTTGTAAATCCACACTTGCTCTCTTGAGCTCCTGTGGCTTTACGCTTAATGCGCCCGCGACAACTCCCAGGCCTGTTTCTACCAAAGCTTGACCCCTTGAGCCAGCGCTTGACCCCAGCAGGGGGATTTCTCTGCGGGCTTGGAAATTGCGCGGACTGCGGCCGCGCACTACAACTGGGGCAGTGGTGGATTCTGTCAAGACAACTTTGGAGTTGTCAGACAAGGTTCCAAACACTTTAAGGTGAAGCACAAAGTGCTGTTGAAGCTCCTTTCGTCGACCGTTGTTTGCAGTAGCACTATTACCTAACGTCAGATCTTTGTTCAAGAATGAAGGGGGAAGACATGAGAGGGAAGCAAGTCTCTGGTAAGAACTTGGTAACCGAGTAAACATACATTCTAAACTGGAGCCGACGCCAACCAATGGGATAGACAGCGTAGTCTCCATCAGGCTCAGACCCATCATCTTGGAAAGGAATCAAAGGGAGGGCGGCAGGTTCTTGATCCGGGCTTTGATTAATATCAGGGGCATTGGGTGGGGGGGTTTTCCATGGAATGACGATGAGGCGAACGGGGTTGCCATCAACAGATTCGATAGCAGTTATGGCGACTTCCATACTTGTCACCAACAGGGTCTCGTTGCTCTCGTTGACAACAGAGAGTTGCCCTCTGGGAGTGATCAAAGAACCACTAATTTGAAACAAATTCCTTCGGTAGCAGGTCAACTCGGGCTGTAAGGCGGTTCCGTCGCTGGCAGTCGCTGGCATCTCAGAAAGAAAGAACATGCCATGAAGCTGGGCGGATAGTTCCAGTTGCTGCATTCGGCCTTGCTGATCCACGATGGTATGCTTATCTTGTGTTCGCCGGAAAGCCAACAGTTTGTGATCTTGATTCACCGTCAATCGAGAGCCGTCATCCCGCAAGTCCTGAACGATTTCCTGATAGGCGGCCGGTTCAGTTTGAGAAAATGGCCTCTTGAGGCTGGGGTAGCTATGTTGAGCGGACAGGCTTGATTGGGAGTGGCGTTCATACGCAACAGAATCTTCTTGGGGGTATCGTCCATAGGGGTAGGACTGGTCATGGCCACTGCGAGGACGCCCTGGAAGAGGGGACGCCGAAGCTGAGCTATGAAAGCCAGAGTCCATTGTTGCTGTGCCGAGTCTGTTGGCCAAGTGAGCGGAACCGTTGTAGGTGGACCAGAAATTCGAATGAGCAGGCTCTCCTCTGAGGTCTGACATGGTTACTGGATATGCTGTTGCTGTCATCATGGGCTCATATCCCTCTTTGCTTTTTCGCTCGCTGAGGAAACTCTGGTGAATCTTGCTATGCTGAATGATGGAGTTTAGGGGCTGATGTCGCGGCGGATGAAGGATCAACTGAGTGAGATGATGGCTCTTGATATTTTCACCACCGAAGTGAGCAAGCTGCTTCAAAACTCCTTCAAAGTGAGAAAGGCGTGCAACGTGCGACGATGGATATGATTGAGAGTTGAAGTTGCGAAGAGAACGGAATATAAAGGATGATAAACAAGAGGCAAGTCCATAAATCATAGACTGACGGCAGATGGTGGAGGGGAGTGGTTGGTAGATTTAAAAGGCCCGGCACTGGACCGGGAGTGGGATATCGATCCTATTATTACTCACAGCCGAGTATGCCTATACATACGTCCGGATGTGTGTATGCGTATGTGTGTGTGCGCGCATGTGTGTGTGTCTATAAAGACAACTCGATGGACAGAACGGGTTTGCGGCCAGGCACTTCCGGTGAGGGCCGCCGCCTTGCACCCCAGTACGGGACCTAATATGGCCTTCTGTCTACGGAGAGGTCCAGGGACGCTGGTCCACTCCGAACTAGAGACCCATGCTCTTTTCACAAGCAAAAGGCCTCGAGTGAGGCTAAGTGGGATAATGATTCGGACTCTTTGACACAAGCGCCAGCCAGGCGCAGTGACTTGCAAGAATATAGCCCGTCAAGTACCCATGCATGCAACCATTCTTGGAAGGAGGACGAGGGGGATACGTCGCGGCAATGAGAGGGGTCAAACTCGGATCTCGTTCATCAGACGCTTGAAGGGGATCCCCGGGATTCCCTGCAAGTCTTTGGACTGACGTCCGGGCAAGCAGAGCATGCCTGAAATTCATGCCAGAGAGCACAAGCATCGTCGGTCTTTTTTTCCCATTTCATTCGTTTATCATATCCAGGGGGGGGGGGGGGGGGGGGGGGTGTGCGGGTGGGTATCTTTGAGCTGTTTTCCCTTCTTCTGTTTCCTCTGCTTTGAAGCCTCATTATTACCTGTTTATGCAGCCTGTGATCTCTTTCCTTTTTTTATTTTTTTTCGCTTTGTTCCTCTGTCGAGAAATGAGATCCGAGAATTGGGTAGATCGTTTTTATTTCTAGCCCTTCTCCTCTCGGTCATCGCTGATGAGCCCTATCTCCGTGCGATGCGAGACATGTGCAAAAATCGTATGAAAGTGGCGTTCCAAACCAATCTCCCAATACGCCCGAGGACACAATACACAGTTTGGGTAATCTTAGCGGAGGGCAACGAGAGGAAATTAAGAACAAAGGCCAAGAGAAAAAGGCCGAGCAACGATTCTCCTGTTGACCAAAAGCCAAACGTGATTCTCCCTTATTTCGAGATGAAAGTGCCTGTTTCATAGCACACGCCCCTTCCTCTGAACAATGTCCGCTTGCTTTTCTATTTTGCATACAGGTACAAAGTATACAGCAAAGAAGACAGACGTGTAGGCGCATTCGGGGGCTTTTTGTTGATGGTCCATGCTAACCCTGCTAGCACTCGATGGCATGTATCGTAGTAGTAATTCGCGTGTTATTGTAACGTGTGGTA